TACGATCTGGGTTCTTTCAAGTCCTAAAAGTCACACTCAACGGCGCCCCCCCCCCCCCCCCCCCACCCCGCCGTTGTTACATGTTGTATATCTTGAAAGTCCCGTACATACATACATACAGATAGACAGACAGGTACGATCGTGAGATGCTAGGGTTTTACGATCTGGGTTCTTTCAAGTCCTAAAAGTCACGCCGTCATCAAGATTAATAATCCGTGGTTCTGTTTCTTTGCGTGTGTGTGTGTGTGTGACTGATTTGGCATGACTGGAGTCTTCATCGCTGACCGTTTTTTGCTTCGGAAAAACAAGACTTCGCCTGATCCACACACTTTTTGCACTCACAAGGGCTTCTGTCACTCTCGCAAACAATAACCCTCTGCTCGGTTTTTTTTACCGTGTGCACACGCGCGTGGGACGTGGACCACCACCGGCGGGGTCGAGGTATTAGCAACACCTTTACAATACAACGAAGGATACCGGAGATTCCGGATGGAGTCTTACCTCCTCCCCCCCCCCTCCCCCTTGTTTCTAAATTCTAATGTACCCTGTATCGAGATTTCCTAGCTTTGTTGCCGACCGTCAGGTGAGTTTATGGGTGAGTTTGTCTTGTCGTTCATGTCAAGTTCAACTCAACTCATCTACTCGGGGGAGAGGCGGCATCTCTCTCTTTCTGTCTCGGGTGCACCGCCTACACCCCCATCTTTTGAGATACATATTTCTGTAATTGACCTGACGTGCAGATTGACATTTCAAACAATGTCTGGCCAGACGAAGAGTTCCGAGAAAATCAGGTGCGTTCAGCCACCCCTCCCCGATCGGGGGAATGCCTTAACCCTTCCTTGCAAGGATTCATTCACAAGTCTGTTTGCGAGTACGAGAAACATGCTTGAGCGATGCATGGTCCTTTTATTTTCTCTCCTTTCTTCGGTTGTTCAAAAAAGACTTGGTCGTGATTACTATTGCCATCTTAGTTGTTACCATCGAGGGGATGTTTTGGATCTTGATTTGAGCATTCCATTCCATTCCGTTCCGTTCCATCAATACAACAATTTTCATCAAATGTAAAAATCCAGTCATGTCCTTCAAACCCCCCAAAAAGAGTGTGCCAATTAGGTAGGTAGCATGGGGGGTTTGTTTGTCATGTCCTTGCTGTGTTGCCGTCAAAATCCAATTTTCGTGGTCCTATTCTTCTCTATCTCTCTCTCTCTCTCTCTCTCTCTTCCTCTCGTAGAAAGCTCAAGCTATTGTACAAATATCTCATTCATCTCTCAAAACAAAAACTCCTATCACCTTGACCCAGTGGTTTTTCCCTGGGTATCATCAATATATTAAGGCATATCAAAACAAAAAGAAAAGTCCTCCAGCATCATCAACAACATTAAACACATCAGGGGAGACATCCCATTTAGCCACAATTAAACAAGGACTGCTCAATAACGCCCAAGGTAAAGCAACGCTTTCACGTTCGACAACACGAGATAAAAATGATGTCTCGACGTGAGTGTGTGAAAAGAAAAATCAGTCCAGTAGACGTGATACGTCCATCCGAGTATCCTTTGCCGTAAAAGTACCTCTGGCAGATCCAGCCGTAGAATCTTCTCTCGATGGACTCGACCTCGGCCTGTGTAAAGAGTAGTGTGGTGCAGGTTCCAGAGCTGGCAAGAGCGGCGCCGCCGCTTGATACGCTGCTGCTGCTGCTCCCAAATGTCCCTGATCTTGTTTGTATTCTGCTACTGCTGCTCGGTCAGATCCGACGCCGCCATCGTGATGGTAACTTCCCCTGCTGTACGGTCGCTGCTGCTGCATCTCGGACCACAATTGTACCGGCAACGTGTTCGAGGACTGCATTCCAGGTCGAGGCGAAGGGATGGTTTTGGGCGAGATCGAACAATTGGACTGGTTGTCCGACACCAGAGACGGTGCTTGTTGACAGTTTGAGGAAGTATGAGAAACATCCGTCGCTGCCGGAGATAGGATGGGTGGTTCGAGATGGGTGAGAGGCGGTAGGTGGTGCCAGTCGGTCCGAGGTATTGACGGAGCTGGAGGGCAGGACTGAAATCTAGGCAGGGAAGGTGCGAAAGTCGTTCCTTGGTGATGGGACGGGTGAGGCAGAAGAATGCTCTTCGGTACATTGGTGTGAGGAGGGGAGTTTGGTGAGTGTAGGGGATGAGCCAGCGGTCGCTGGATGCGAATTTGAGCTGAATGGAAAAGCCGATCCTGTTCCTGCCTTTGCGATTCATAGTTGCTCCCCAACTCATACATGTAAGGTCGTTCTTCGTAAGACGTGGTCGGTGGCTCTCGAGGGTATCGGGCTCGGTGGTATATATTTGTCGAAGCGACGCCATGTTGCCTTAGGTAGATTTGCCTCGGAGAACCTGAAGCTGGGATAGGATGAGTGCGATAACCGACACCAGATGTGCTGCTGCTGCCGCCGCCGCCGCCACCGCCCGGGTGAACCGAATGTCTTTTGCGTCGATTCATACTGCCGTTCCACCAGTTCTTGACCGCATTGTCACTTCGATTCCCCAGCCGCCGAGCGATTTCAGCCCATCGTTTGCCCAGATCTCTCACCAGCCCTTCGATGAGTTCTCCCTCCTGCGCAGAGATCGGTTCGTGGTTCAGACTGGGTTTCAGGTTCTGGTGATATCGTTCTCTGCACTGTTTGGGAGATCGATGTTGCATGTGCTGAGAAATTCGTACCCAGTTGTTTGGTCCCTGAGTTTTCACAAGTCGCAGGAGCGTGGCATCCTCCTCGGGTAGCCAAGGCCCACGTCGACTTGATGGAGACATTTGGCCAGAGTTATGCGACAGTCGCATACAAGACGGTGCCTTGGGATAGAATTGGGTGGAACGAGGTCGAGATTTCGAGTCGAGTCGTGTGGACGTCTTCCTCCACTGGGAAAAAGAAAATCGGTATGTCGAATGTTACGGAGTATCTGTCAATAAGATGGAAAGAAAGAAGCCCGGGCGGAATGTTGAACATTCAGCAGATCATCATCGACGATGCATTTGCGTCCCTTGACTGCCAGTTGCGTTATCTTCGCTAGCGACTTTGTCAAAGAACACCTGCACTTGACAACAGAAGGTGACGCTATTCACATTTCAGGTAAGTTGGAAAGGTCAGGTAAATGCCCTCTGGAGAAGCTTTCAGATTGCCGCCAGCAAACAGGTGGGTTGACACGGGTAGATCGAACGAGGCTAAGCCAACAGAGTAGAAGTGGTGACAGAAGGGTGTCCTAGATTAAATCCCTGGTAGCCCAGTTTCCGGGACGGCCTGCGGAATGATGACTGGTGCTACTGCGTTCGAGCTGAGCTGAAAAGGCATGAGATCAATAAAGGACACACGGGCCGGGCGTTTCCAAAAAGAAAAGGGTGGTGAGATGGTTATGGATATGTAGCCAAGTGTACGTACAAGTGGGTGCGGTATTGAAGTCAAGAGGCCCAGGGAGGGAGGCGCTGGAAGTACGAGCTAGCATTGGGCCATCGAAAAAGCCTCTTGAAGGTCATGGACGTCCACTTTAGGAAAATTTGGCTGCATCCTTAGGTATATGCCTGAGCAAGGTGCAGGCCTGATCTTCTTCCCGCCCATGCCACCCTGGCTCAGGGTTTATTAGCGCTTCGTCATCAATAACGACGACAGGAGTTGAAGGCTGCTTGAGGACGAACCTCTTGGGTCTATTTCCTGCACGACCCACGGAAGATGAATGAGGCTTCGTCGTCGGATAGAACAAGTCGTAGAAGCGAGCAACAACGGGCCTCAAAGGCGTAGGGGTCTCCGGTAGAAGTGATCTGCCTTCTAGCAATTTCGTCGTGGACTCTCTCACCCTGACGACTAGACTACACTGAGGACGGTGTTCTGCGTAAAAGACCAACTAAACAATCATCCTCGCAAGTTTCGGCTCCATCGAGTGGCTCCACTGGATCGATCTATGGACATGGGTTGCCCCAGTCCAGATGACCATAAAGTTAGAGCCAGAAGGGTACCAAAGGGAAGGTTTCCTGACAAATTTATTACCCTTGTGCGGAACGGAGCTCCAAGGCAAGCTTCATGGGCGACTGGTACCGCCTGTTACAGAGTTGTTCAATTTGATGCTTTCCTGGGAGCTTTGGGCATGATCGCCCCCCTTTCCTGCAGTAGAGTTAACTGTGGCTGCGAGGGCTTCGCTTGCCATCGACCTTGCTAGACGACAAGAGCATGCTTCCGCGGCCATATTTCTTGATATTAATTTGATCACACATCGCCGATCTTTCTGCCTTGAGAGAGGGGGCCTTCTCTGAAAGGCACACATGATCCATCTTTGTCTGAAGAAAAGGGTTGTGATCCGACGCAGAAGACGACTGCTAGAGACGAGTGCAAGCGAATTCTCTCGACAATTTAGGTGCTAGTGTGCCTTGGTACCTTCGTAGTAGGTACCTCGCTCGCCAGTGTGGACAGGGGTCCTCTTTTTTCACGTCAAAGGGTGGGTGAACCAGATTGCGAATAACTGCGGGCTAGAGCCGGAGCGTTTCGACCGTTGAAAAGTCCCTTGCGGACAATCGGGAGGGGCTGACCACATCGCTAGTTGCAGTTGATCATTGGCGGGGCCTTTGGAGAGGAGGCCGTGGTCAAAAGATTGCGATCGAAGCCGGATCTCACGCCAGTGTGACCCAAACACATACGAAGGCGCGGACTGAGACGGCTAGTGCAACCGCAAGTGGACGCTTTGGGAGTGAGACAGAACGCCACAGCCATGTCCATGCCTCAAACAAGCTGAATCGTGGTCAGGACGGGATATGCCTTGCTCATCACTCGCTGCGTCTCCACATCCGCGCGGTTGGTATTGACTCAAAAAAATATACTGGATTTTGGCGACCTTTGGGTGCAAGGCAGATCATCATCCCGACAAATGTATTATTGGGATCTTTTCCTGGCACTTGACCGGGGCTGTTGGTGTGCTGATTCAGGGAAACTATTTGGGCGGCACACCATCACCAACAGCATTGATGGTAATTAATGACGTCTAGAAAGCATTTCCAGGCGAACGATGGAGGCGTGACGCCCCCTCCTGACCTGTGTGGTCTAGCATCTTGTTGACCAAAAGAGCTTCGCCTTCTGCGGGTTCTCCGGGGGCTCGTTCCAAGCTAGAGAGTCGCGGAGGGCAGAGCTCTGCGGCATACTGTACAGACCTCTATCCACCTTGGGAAAAGGGGTTGAGCATTATTACGGAGTCACCCTAGTGATGAAACCGTGCCGAAGCCGATGATTCTTTCGAGACATCGTGGCAAGAGGAGCCTAAAATCTGTAGATGATGGACTGGAGATATTGACGTCGACCTAGAACCCCGTCTCTTTGAAACTGAATTTTCGTCATGCGGACTTTCACTTTCTGCAGGAAGTGACTTCCTCCTTAGCGGCCCAGCATCGACAGGGGTAACTATTGGGTGGGCACTAGCTGGCAAGTGCTGGGGGATTCAATGCTGCAGGAATAGTGCGTGTCACAGCCCAAGTGAGGCCTGTGTAACCAATCTCTGCTACGAGAAGCCGTGTGCTTGTGACAAGGATGCGCGGTCGGCGCTTTACGGTAACACTGGCAGGGGCCCAATCGCGAGCACGGGCTTACTTACCCTCAATCACAGACCTTTGCAACCATGTCACCGGGAATGCCTATCTTGCAGCTTGCAGCTGTGGTTGGACAACGCATCGCTGACAGGACGCGAGTACGAGCCGCCCCAAGCGAATGAACAGGGGCGCGACCGGGGATACGAGGTAGGAAAATAGCCACCCCAAAGCCCGAAGTTCCAAGTGCTCAACTAGTAAGGATCAAGTAACAGGTAGGTAAATGTGGAGATCGGATAAGGAGAGAGATGAGCTTGTCCTGCATCTGTCGCGATAATAGTTGATTGATTGTATATGGCTCGTTGCTGAGCCAACATATAAACCATGTCGCAGATCGCTGGCTATATCAGGTCTTCTACGAGTACTAGTGAAGAAGAAATATCTTCAGGAGACACCAGCCAAGAGAGATGAGAACGGAGAACGACAAGAACAAGAACAAGAACAAGAACAACCAAGGTCCACCGGAGAACGAAGTACCCTGTTCCTAGTATCTTGGACTCGTACTCGCACTAATACCACCTCCTTGCTGTATCGACTGCTCCTCTCGGGGCCGCTCATTCAGCTTTTGATTCGTCCCTTTCCCTGTGTCAAAAAACGAAGATTACCTCGTGCTGCAGTAAGGGCGGTAGGTATTACGCACACCCACCTCTGCATTACGCAACAAGGCTACCTTACCCAGGTACTGTACTGTAATCGACAAAGTACAAATAGGTCAAGAGACATTCTTAAGGACAGTGAGAATGAGGAGCACCGAGACACTAACAAGGATAAGAATTGACGATTAAATTATTAGTCTCTCAGTCGTGACCCTTTTCTATACTCCCGTATAGCGAATGGCAATTTGGGGGTAACTCCAGCCTTGGGCGTAATACCTATCGTCGCAGTAAGCCGTGTCGGGTTTCCTTTCAGAGCGCTGTGGTCGTCGGTCGGTGGTCTTGTCTCAAACAGCAGCAAACAGCAACTTCGACCGCAGCAGTCTTGCCAAAGATCCGCGTCCTGGTTCCCATAAGGCATGTCAACCATCACCAGCAATCATGTCCTCGTCAATTTAATCTCAATATGCCACGCGGTGTAAATAAACAGGATGATGTTGGACCGGTCGGCGCGGACTCAGCAGTCTGAGCACCAGATCTACAACGGCGGAAGATCATGGGCTTGACTAGAGCTGAAAGGAGGTAAGGATTGCACGGAGCTTGATTAATTCTCGTTGAACCATGACCCTGTTCACCCTCGGATTGTCTTGACAAATTTGACAGCTGACAGCTTGACGTGGGCCTGGCCGAATAAATTAAGACCTGTTCCATGGGTACCGCAGATGATGTAACAAGACCAGTCCTCGCATCGAAACATAAAACCTAGTGGAGGCGGTGCATCACACCTTTTCGGCGTCAAAATCGATATTACTGATGTCCACCGAGACAAGGCGCTTGAATAGCCCTGGAAGCTCATCCTAGGGGACCGCGAGACGCAGACTTGATCTATCTGACAGCACATCTTTGGGAGAGACGTGTTCTGCATAGGCTCTTAGTCCAACATGTTGGAAGATCTAACGCCAATGACAAAGGGCGAATCTTTCTGACTAACCACGTTCGATTCTCCTGAAAGAGCCGATTTGGATCCCCTGCAGCTTGTACACTGTGCTGGGTGCATAACGGCAGGGCGGCTCTGGTCAATACCTCCTTGCAAGCAGCCGGAAAGCTAACCTTCCCGGTGGCCGTACATCTTCAACATTCATATCTTGCTCACATTCGTCGGGTCGTTGGCAAGTGTCCACTTGACATTGGATGTCTTGAGACAAGCTGGCCTTCAGTGATGGGCATGATAAGGTCTGTCCGCCCTAGAAGGCATGGTCCTGTCCCATTATATGTGAGCGGGCTAGGACTAATCAGCACGCCCCCATTGCCTTTGTGTTTCCAGATAAGATCGACAGACCAGCTTGTGCATTAGTGCAGGCCAACACTGCTGATGATGATCCTGTACGTCAGGTATTGCCGCCCAGCCGGTGTTGCAAGCTCGCCTATTCGTCACCCTTTGGATGAAACAGCTACGAACCCGGTCAAGCATCATGACCACGACTGTCATATATTGTTGTTTTGAATTTTCCTGTAACCCCACACGGTAAGAGAGCAATTCGAGAGCAGTGTTGGATGCGAGCAGGACGGACTTCAGGCTACGGTAACGAAGCCTCTTTTAGTACCACGGGTTGCCGTCACTTCCGTGTCCAGCCATGTTGACTCGTCGACATAGTCGGTTTCTCCCAACTCCCTGACCCGGCGACCCATCACTCGCAGTCCGGCAAGGTTAAATCCAAGATCATGCTTCTGCTTTTGAAGTGTTTGCCGAAGTCTATCTCGTGTCTCTTCGAGGGCCTCCCGTAGGGCTTGGCTACTGACAATGTGCTTTTGATGAGTCTTGAGCATGAAGAACAGGATTCTGCATGTCAAAGGAATGTTTCGTCCTTCCTTGGCCCAAAGACCTAGGAAGGTGAACAGAGCAGGAAGCTGTGAAAGTGACAAGACCAAAAGCGCATCCTGCAATGAGGCAGCAGGTACTTTCTGAAAGGTGTTCAGGACGTAGGTAGATGCAGAGATGTTGTTGTTGGCCAGGAAAACAGCATCTCGTGGTGGTGGTGCTGTTTTGGGATTGCCTCGTTTCGCTTGCTCGTACTGCTGCATGATCTTGAGATCTTCAAAGCCTACCTCCAGTGCCTCTGCGATCTTCTCTCCAGCCATAAGAGTTTGAGCAGTCTGCTTGCCAGCTGCGGTCGCTTCGACCCCTTCCATATCAGCGTCCGCCTGCTGCTCATCTTTCTCAAGGGAGGTGAGGAGGGTGTTCTCGTATAACTCTTCGAGCTCCTTTTCCCTTTCTTCTTCCAAAAAGATCTGCTCGTCTGTCTGCTGCCAGATTCTGATACTCTTGTCATGGCTGGCGCTGACCAAAAATTCTCCAGAATGCGCTATCGCCATTGCCCAAATCTCGCCCTTATGGCCATCGAGCTTTTGAATTTGCTCGAACTTGTCTGCATCGTAGTACTTCATTGTCTTGTCTTTCGATGCGGAGAAGAAGTGGTGGCCGTTACCATCGTTGTTGTTGGGAACAAAGAGAACGGACAGAATGCTGTCCTGGTGTGCGAAGAAAGCCTTGTGACAATCACCAAAATCCAATCCCCATACTCGAACATTTTTGTCGGCACTAGAAGTGACGATGAGTTTACTGTCATAGCTGATATCCATGCTCAATACAGGTAGTTTATGCCCATATAATGTCAAGAACAGCTTGAGACTGTCCACGAAGAATACCTTGACCGTGTTGTCCAGAGTACTGACAGCCAGGAGTCGCTCATCTGGCGAAAAGCATACACTGAGAATATCGTCGGCCACCTTCAGCGTTCGAGAATGCACCAGGGTCAACCTTGCATTCTTGCGGTTCGTTCCCAAAATCTCTTCTTGGACTACTTTGAACTGCCAGAATTTGGCACTTTTGTCTGCGGATCCTGTGACAAGCGACTTGCCATCGGGGCTGACTTGTAAGGACCAGATGTCGCGCTCGTGGGCATTGATAGTGTCGAGTAAATTCGAGGCAGCGATATCGAAGATCTCCAGCGTGCCCTCTCGTGTCCCAACTACAACAATTTTGTCCCCGGGCATGAAAGCCATACAGAGAGCATAGCCACAATCGAGAGTGCGGAGACAACTCTGGGTCCTGGTGTTCCATATTTTCAGGCTGCCATGCGAAGCCGTTGCAAGCATTCGATCATCAGAACTCAGTGCCACGCAGCGGACATCTGAGCGATGACCAGGCATGTCCACCGAAAGTGTCCGGCTATAATCAGGCGCTTCCTGCGACTTTTTGTCAGATCCGGTGATGTCGAAGAGCTCAAGTTGATTATTCGAAGTGGAAACAAGTATCCTGATGGCCCTCCCGTGTAGATGATTCCAGTCCATCGATCTGACTTTTCCACCCGTCCGTACGAGAACATACGGAACAAATATGTCTGAAATCGCAACAGTCGACATATCTTCAACGTCTTCCTTGCTATCTGCCACATCGATGCCAGATTCAGCATCTGCTGTTGTTCCCGTCTTTTCCTTCCTCCTCTTACGTTTTCGTACCAGGGTCTTGCGTATCTCATTCTCTGAGCGAATGCGGAACAGTTCGATGGCTTTTTCGGAGCCATGAATAGCGATGAGGTCTTTCTGAGGGTGGAAGTTGACAGCCACTGGACGATCGCGGCCCTGTCTATAAATTGCACCACGTTCATGCAGTATCTTCAGTTGCTCTTGTCCCTGAGCACCCACCTCGTGTGTCAATGCGGACTCATTGATTGCCCACACTTTGAGCTCTCCATCATTGCCAGCCGTTATGCATCCCTCTCCATCCCTCATGAGACCCATGGCCCAGCATTCCCCATTTGTTTGTGTGACATGCGTTTCAATGCAGTGCTGCGTCGAAAGATCCCAGACCTTGATCAGGGCATCTTTACTGGTGGATAAGAGGAAGCTGTCTGAGTCATCGTCATCTTCTGGGTCGCCACCGGGCGTTGTACGTGACAAGAAAACAATCGCAGTAATTTGATCTTTGTGGCCTCGTAAACGGTACAATCCGACTTCAGCAACTAGGTCCCAGAGGATGATATCCGTATCTCTTGAGCCGCTTGCTAGTCGAACTCCAGATTTGTCAAATTTCAGCTGTGTGACTGCAGTCTTGTGTCCGTTGAATGTAATGATCGCCGTCGCCGTCCGAGAGTCCCAGATTCGAATCTTGCCGTCATCGTAACCAACTGCAAAGACATCCGGATCAGTGTCGCTCCGACAAATGACAGTGACCACCGCAGTGTTGTCTTCAACAGTCCATAATCCAACTCTTTCTGATTTCTTTACATCCCATACTAAAACATCTTCGTTCGCACCAACGTATGCTAGACCTGCACCACCTCGTGCTGTCGAGTCGTCGCCGCCCGACGGATCCCAGACAACATTGGCGGAGGCTGTACAGATCTGGCCGAAGGTCTTGCTGTGCTCAAATTTTCTGTTGAAGTGAATTAGCCTTTGATATCATCATCCCGGGACAAACACTCACAAATATGACTTGACCATTGCGCAGTACACCTTGTCGCAAATTCTGAGGCATCACCGTAACTTTTTTTTCGGACTTTATCCGCATGCAGACCAAACAAAAATGCCAAGTGAAAATCAGCCTCGTCATTCTGTGGGGCAAGGCTGAGAGTTACGACCACACGTCTGACTTGCCCGCAGTTGTTGGATCCTCACACCAACCACTTGCAGGCTACGACATTGACCGCATACAATTACACGCAGCTTCAAGTATATGTTCCAGCGGCCTTTAAGCCCAATTCTGTAACTTTCTCACGATAACCGTCGTACCTGTGCAGCACAACGCACGATGCTCCTTCTCGACTACCAGAATGTCCTGCTTCAATCCATCCTGACTGAGCGCTTCTCGGGAGCACCGCCTCAGTCCATAGACCAAGTCGTGTCTGACTTCGACGGTGTCACATTCCACATCTCCACTCCTACTTCGAAGTCCCAAATTTTGATCTCTCTCGCCATCAAGTGCTTCCGAGAACTCGTCCAGTATGGAGCAGAAGCTGTCCTCCAGCGAGAATATGGGAATTACATTACCCAAACCGAAGCGGGGTATGATTTCAGCATTTTGATTGATCTGGACAATTTGCCGGCCACACCTGAAGAGAGAGAAGAGCTCGTCCGTCGAATCAGTCTGCTCAAGCGGAACGTTATGGCGGCGCCATTTGAAAAGGCATTCGATGAGTTCGCCCGGCTTTCCGAGGAGGCCGCCAAGTACACGTCCGAATCAGCACCACAAGGTGTACGAGAAGGGGGAGAGGTCTCGGCTATTCATTATCGTGAAGAGGAGGCTATCTACATCAAAGCCAGCCACGACCGGGTGACAGTCATCTTCTCGACACTCTTCATCGATGCAGTCGATAGAATCTTTGCAAAGGTTTTCTTACAAGAGTTCGTTGATGCAAGAAGGAGAGCCATCCAGAACGCGCCACAGGTGCTATTCCGAAGCGATCCCCCGCTTGAGCTGCAAGGGCTGAAGGGTGTTGGAAAGACCGGCGAGAAAGGTGAACTAGGATTCATCACATTTGGTAGGTTCGGTTTCGACTCATATCATGTCTTCCGACTAATCCTCGACAGTGTTGTTTCCCCGACATCTCACTCGTCAAAGACGAGAAGATGTCATCTCGCATATCCAGACGTTCCGTGATTACTTCCACTATCATATTAAAGCCTCCAAAGCATACATCCATTCCAGAATGCGGCGTAGGACCGCAGACTTTCTGCAAGGTTTGTCATGTTTTTTGCCTGTGTTCAAGAAATCGATGCTAATGGTTTCCAGTCCTTAACCGTGCTAGACCCGAGACTGAAGAACGAGAGAGGAAAACTGCGAGCGGCAGAACATTCAGAGTGCAGGGCTGAGTGCTGTGGCTTGGGAACTATGATCGACGACACGACGACACCTGACATGCGCGATTACGAAAGATTTGCTCGGCCATGCTGGCTCTTGTTGGACTTTGTACAGGGACACTTGGCGGCTACTTGCGTTGCCTCAGCAGTTGGCATCCTAGGCGAACGTCCGAGTATCAGCCGAGACTATTCAGCGCCCCTAAGAGGATCTGGGCTACCATGTAGTACTCGTATACCTGCATCTGTCTGGCGGGTCAGCTGGTCCTTTGACGAGACACCCCAAATAGAACATCCCACAGTGCCTTCCTTTCCTCCCCCATAAACACTTATTTGCCTCGGGACAATGAGTTTGCAGATCAGAACAACCTTTCGACTCGGACACGTCACAGCCACTACGTCGAACAGGGCGCAGACACGAGCGCTAAGTACTGCTCTTCTTGGGCGAGGAGTACTGCTGCTCGTCTCTCTCTCGCGCGGTGGGTAGAGGTAGACACAGCGCCAGGAAGAATGGGTTCCTTACTTGATCTATTCTTACGACCAACCAGCAGTAGTAATGCTGCTATAGTACAATTCTGGTATTCCACATCTACAAACTGATGTATGCCCAGCCTTGCAGCGGCACATAGCACCGAAAACGACCAAGTAACTTACGTCAGCCAAGCGCGGAGAGAGGTATGAAGTGGGAAAGGATACAAAGTACTCCATATGTACTCCGTACAGTACAGATACTCAGCATTGGATTGGTATTGCCCACCTACTAAACGAGGTATCTCGTAGACATACGGAGTTACCCATACGAGTATCGCATTATTTGCTGTACATCGAACACAGTCCGTGATGAAGAACGATGGACCTTCGCCAAGGACACACCGGACTCAGCATCTTCTCCAGGCCTGATGAGCACCACGTTGTCCACCCTTGCTCAAATCGAGAATATACTCCGTACCGTTGATGAAATCGGTGGCTATGCTCCAAGGATGGGTGGCTATGCTCCAAGGATGGACGACTATTCTCTTTTCATTACGAGGACGAGCGCTATTCGGATATTCAAATCGTGGGTACACTTGAGAAGAGCAGCCTTGTCCATCAGAAGGTCTAAGCCCCCACAACCACACGATATCCAGATATAGCTGATCGTGCCTTGGAAGACAATGGATACAAGCCCGATTACTTGTGCTCGGCGCCGATATGTGGGTGGCCTAGCTCAAGCGACGTCATTGTCAACAGTGTATAAAGAGAGAAGAAGTGAACGAACCTACCAGGTCTGGACGAATTCGAGCAACCAGTCTCTCCTCGGACAACAAGCGCCACAATGACACCGAAAGGCACACTAGCACTCCTCTTGCTATCTGCTGTCGGCACCCATGCCGCACCACAAGCACCCAAGTCGATACAGTGGAAGCCGTGTCCTGACCTCAACAAGCAAATCTTCGAGGAGATAGGCGTCGAAGGTGCGGCCTTCGACTGCGCAAAGCTCCCCGTCCCGCTTGACTACACAAATCCAGACTCTGAGAAACTCGAGCTTTCTCTATTCAAGCTCAACGCCACCAAACAGCCCTCCCTCGGCACCGTCCTCTACAACCCAGGCGGACCAGGAGGGACGGGCGCTCAAAACCTACCCTACGATGGGCCCAAACACCAAGCCAACATGGGCGGGCAGTTTGACCTTGTCTCCTTCGACCCCCGCGGCACGGGCAAAACGATACCCTTCAACTGCACGCCCGAGGACAACTCGACTCTGACGCGGCGTGCGACCGATAGTCTCGCGCACACCAACCTCACAGAACAGTTCCTCAATGGGGGCTGGGACGACGCCGTGGAGAGGGCCGAGATGTGTCATGCCACGAACAACAAGACGGGTCAATTCATAGGCACTACCTCGGTGGCTCGCGACATGCTCCAGATCGTCGACGCGCTGGGCGAAGACGGCATGCTCCGCTACTACGGCTGGTCCTACGGCTCGGCACTGGGTGAATACTTTGCGGCCATGTTCCCGAACCGCGTGGACCGCATGTTGCTCGACGGCGTCGTGGACCCGAACATCTGGCTGTTGGGCCACCGAGGCAACTTCCTCGTCGACACCGACGCGGCGATCCAAGGCTTCGCGGAGGAGTGCGCCAAGAGCAAGGATGAGTGCGCCATCGTCAACGCCACGGGCGCCACCAACGCATCCCAGATCTTCGAATGGGCCAACGGCTTCTTGGAGCCGCTGGCCCAGAACGCCAGCAAGTCCAAAGACGCCGACGCGGCCGCAGAGGCACTCGTGTACCTCGCATCCATCAAGGCCTACATCTACGGCCAGCTGTACTGGCCCATCAAGTGGCCCGCGCTCGCCGAGACTCTTGTATTGGCAGCCGAGGGCAACTACACCGCGATCCTGGCCTCGTCGAGTACCGACGAGACCTCGTCGTCATCTTCCGCCCCGCCGGGCTACGACCGCGGACAAGACTCGATGGACGGCATCCGGTGCAGCGACGCCGTCTTCCAGGTCGACAAGGCCCGGGACTACCTCCCGCAGATCGAGTACCAGGCGACCGTCAGCCAGAGCTTCTCCGACGTCGTCTACCAGTCCATCTGGCCGTGCGCGGCGTGGAAGCTGCCCAGCAAGGGCCGCTTCGAGGGGCCCTTTGACGCCCGGACGCGCACCCCGATCCTCTTCGTCAACGGCGAGTACGACGTCACGAGCCCCATCCAGGGCGCGTACAACGCGAGCCGGGTGTTCGAGGGGAGCGCCGTCCTCGCCCACTCCGGCTACGGGCACGGCCTGATCGCGAGCCCGTCCAAGTGCGCCGCCAAGTACGTCACGGCGTACTTTGTCAACGGTACCCTGCCTAAGAACGGAACCCGCTGTGAGCCGGACATGAGCCCGTGGGAGGCCGCGAAGGCGAGCGCGGCGGGCGGTGGTGGCTCTGCGTCGCGTCGGTGGTTACAAACGATAAACCACAAAAGGGTATAGCTTAGAAGAATGGAACAGTCAGTCCTAGCTTGCACAAGCGACAGTGGCCGTGTGGTCGATACAGATAGGTAGTTGTATAGTTGTTACCCACGGTGTAAAATATAACATCACAATTGAAAATCGCATGAGCGCCTTGTACGCAAGGGGACACACATTGCCCTTGTCTTGTATTTCTTGCCCTCGGATACTCAGGACCTAATATGTACGGAGTACTACTACCTTGCTCTATACAGTAGTCATGACGCTCGCATTGGCGTACCAATTCAACATTGGATTCTCGCCGTTCCGGACCTGCGTCTCTTCCAGGTATGCCCAACTCTCCAGGAACGACCGGTGCGACGACACCCTCGTCAACTTGCCGGTGATGGCGCGGTAAATGTCCTCCATCATGGCAAAGTCGGTGGGGAAGAAGATGTCAAAGTAGCCCTGGTGCACGTAGGGGGTCGTGACCTGCACGTTGCGTCGCTTGTACCGCGTCTGCACCACGGGGGCGTTTATGCCGGCTACGGCGTCCGGGAGGAAGTCAAAGTCGGACAGGACGAGCCTGTGGGCGGGGAAATATTGGTGCAAAACGTCAAAAAACTGCATCAGTCGCGTGGGGATGTACTCGGGTTTCGTCAGGTTGGGCGCAAACGGCAACGAGTGCCGGAGCCGACGGAGGAGTTTTGGTTGAGAGATGGGCGTGAAAAACGGCGAGCGCGCCGCGACCTCTCGAACTCGTAGGTACCGCAGGGCAACGGGGTCGAGGGTGCGTTCGTAAAACTCGAAAAACTCGCCGTCCTCGTCGATCAGGACACTCCCCTGCAGTGGCGTCTCGGTGTCAGGGTCGTACCGGATCTGGTCGTGCGGGAAATTGTCGACCACCTCGAGCGCGAGGACGAAGCAAGGCGAGTGGATGTACTCGGTCCAGTCGAAGATGGACCGGTGGAGGATCTGCGTCTGCTCGAGGTGGCATTCCGCGTACGGGGATCTGGACAGGTTGGTGAGTTGTATGTCGGCCAGGGATTTTGAGATTTCGACAATCTTGAATTTCGTCCGTTCGTAGACTTCCGGCTCATTTTCAAAGATATAATCGAGAATGTTCCGCATCAGGGTCCCATTGCCTGCACCGAGCTCGTATATGATCAGGTCATGGTAGGGGAAGAGCGTCATCTTGTAGTTCGTCACTAGGTAGCGGGCAATGGCCTCGCCGTAGTACGGGCGGAAGAGTTCGGTGGGCGTGTGCCAGAGCTGGCGGAGCTCGTTGGGTTCGACGCTGTCGAGGGCGTCTTCGAAATCGACGTAGCTTTGGTCGACGAGACGGTTGAACTCGGCACCATCTCGAATCGAAGGGAAGTGGAAAGGTCTGGGTGAGTTGAAGATGGTCGCATGCTTGGAGAAGTATCCGTAATTCGGGTTATATAGACTGTCTGCAGGGATACATTGTCAGCCAAAGCTCGGAGAGAACGACAGAGGTGGAAACTCCTTGTCGGGAGAGATTGCATTTACCTTCGATAAAGTCTCTGGCGTACATTTTCACCCGTCGTGGTCGCTGCGTGCGGTGTTGCAGATCGCGTGCCGTAACTCGAGGGTACTCTTGCAATTGCCGACTCATGTCCTTGGGAAAGGCATCGATCCTTTGCTGCCACGAGCTGCCACCGTCCTTGTCATCTTGCTTTCGACGAACCGAGTATGTTCTGTGCTGCTGAAAGGGCCGAAGCGCAGGCCGACGAGCCGTATTATGAAAATAGAGGCATTGTCGAGAGCGCCGCGCAAAGAGCTGCTGGAATATACGGGTGACGGTCGGGGAATCCATCTAGCTTGTCTCCAGGAGGAGATGCCAGGTCTGTACGCCTACAGCAAGATGGCAACGGCTGCGTAGGAATTCTTTGTGATGTATGAAAGGCGCAGATATTGTTACCACGTCCGGAGATCATGTCGGCGGCCTTTTTGAGCGGCAGCAACAATTGCGGAGTTTGTGAAATACTTCACCGAATATTAACCGAGCATCAGTAATTGATCAAACCTACAAACAGCCACAGCCTCTTTAAATATCATGTTTTCCGATTGACGCCAGGAGGAGTGAGTGATCAGCCATACTTGAGAGACAGCGAGCATGCAATGGTCAAGTCGCGAGCTGTTACTGGGCTTCACCACCGGCATTGCTGTCACTCTCGTTCTTGACCAGGTCCGCAGATATATCACATCTCCATATTTTAGTCGTCAACTTGCTCTCTCTCGATACAGAGCCACGACTGAATCCTCATCGGGGCACACAGGTTCTATAAGACCAGCTGGTTCCGGCATCGAATCTACAATTGGCAACACTCCTCTCATCGTCATTCCGTCGCTCAGCAAAGCAACAGGATGCACCATCTATGCCAAGGCCGAATTCCTCAACGGGGCCGGCAACAGTCCCAAAGACCGTGTGGCTCTCTCTATCATCACGCGCGCCGAGTCTCATGGTCTTCTGACCCCTCACAGCGGCGATACAATCTACGAGGGGACCTCCGGTAGTACGGGAATCTCCCTGGCGACATTGTGCCGAGCTCGTGGCTACCTCGCGCACATATGTATGCCCAGCGACCAGAGTCACGAGAAGAGCAACTTGCTCTTGAAACTAGGTGCCATCGTTGAACGAGTCACGCCTGCACCCATCGTCGATCAAGCTCACTTTGTCAATCGTGCACGCATTCTGGCTGACCAGCACACCGCCGATCCCGCGAGACAGGGACGGGGTTACTTCGCCAACCAATTCGAGACCGAAGCCAACTGGCGTGCACACTACGAGGGCACTGGACCTGAGATTCTCGCGCAGACCGAGAACAAGGTCGACGCCTTTGTTGCGGGTGCTGGCACGGGGGGAACGCTCTCAGGGGTTGCACTGGCGCTAAAGGAGAAACTCGATCACGTCAGGATTGTCCTTGCCGACCCACAAGGCAGTGGCCTATATAACAAGGTACAGCATGGCGTCATGTTTCACAGCCTCGAGCGTGAGGGAACGAGACGGCGCGACCAGGTCGATAGCATCGTGGAGGGCATCGGTCTTACGAGATCTACAGCCAATTTTGAGCAGGGACGAGAACTGATCGATGAAGCGGTGAAGATAACAGACGCCCAAGCGAAGAATATGGCCAGGTGGCTGGTTGAACAGGATGGTATCTTCATCGGAAGTAGCAGTGCAGTGAATTGTAAGTGTACAGATAGTGATGCTAACAACGTGGTATATCTCTAACAAAACATCTTACAGGTGTGGCTGCATTACAAACAGCACTCAAACTGGGACCGGGTCATCGCATCGTAACCATTCTGTGCGACTCCGGTTCAAGACACCTGTCCAAGTTTTGGGCACAGATAGGTGACATTGGAGGTGAAGCACGAACGACCATCGACGATATCCTTCAGGGACGCACTCTGACCTGATTGCCAAATAATTCGTCATCCGAATCTTCGGTCTTGATATACTGATGGTCGAATGCTCCGTGACCTCCAGACCATTCTTCCTCATTCAGAGTACGTGGATGGTCGCCGTTCTGGCGAAGTCTCCTGCGCTCGCGGAACGGTACAAGCCACGACTCTGCCAGTTTGTTGCCAACCTCGGTATTGCTGCGGTCCTTCAGGAATCTCGTAAATGTGCCGAGCTCTTGTAACGGTTTCTGGGACAGGTCGTCCAGAATCTTTAGCTCCTCCTCAGACCACTCTGGGCTTGTGTCTAGCTCGTCATGTCCAGCGGGCGTTCGAAACTTGTCATACAAGTCATTGAGAATTGGGGCGGTCTTGCGCGTTCGCAGGACTTTGCTGCTGGCGATCTCAGCAAACGATACACCAGCACCTTCATGCATCTCGACCATGGTTTTGAAATCACAAAGGCATAGTCTGGCTGTCTTAGGCTTCATATGACTCTTGGATCGATACTTTCTGATATATGTCAAGTCATGAATATCATCAGGATCGGTTCCGGTCTTTTCAGCTTTAGTCACTAGATGAGACCAGTGGCTGAAGACTCCAGCTCGAGAAGAGTATTTCACGCGGCAAAACGAGCAGATGCCTTGTCTCATCAACTCGATATGTTCGTCGTCCTCTCTTCGCTTCCTCGATCTTGGTTTTTCATCCTCGCGCCATTCGGAATCGTCACCACTGTCAGAACCGGCGTTTGCTTCGGGATGACCTAAGTCGTCGCGGAAATCTTCTTGTAAGGGATCCTCAGATACTGCTCTGATGCTTCTTCTAAAACGCATCGTACGCATTTGCTGGGCTGTTCTGCGAGGCTTCGGCGGCTTCCATAAAGATCGGCTGTTCTGTGGCGAGACTGGCTGTTCTGGTTGTGGCGATAAGCGCATAGGCTGTGCTGGTGTATGCGACCGCGAGGTAGATCGCCTGGCTCTCAGCGGGATGATATTGGCAGGTATGCGCCATGCAGGTTCGATATGTGACTCGGCCATATTCCTCGTCGTTTGTACAATTTCCAAGACTTCATTCCCAATCTCCGGGCCAAACTTTTCCATGATATCTACCTCGTCAATTTCACGATAATCCTGTGGCATCTCTGTCGAAGACCGAGTAGTAGTTCTGGGGCCGAAATGCTCTTGTGGCTCTTGGACCTCAAAAAGAGAATCTGGACTGTCTGATCGTAGGGTATTTTGTACCTCGAAGAGCGAATCGCAGTCAGAAGCACTGCCTTGAGATCGAGCAGCAGTACTACTCCTGAATGAGTTATGTCGACCCTCGGAAGTCGATACCTGTTGCACGGGAGCAAAGAGCTCATCATCACTGTTCAAGTCGACATCGTTTTGGTCTTGGAATTGGTCTTCATCACAGTCTTCGTCGTTTTCGTCCTCCTCTTGATCTTCGTTGGGTTCGGCGGCATTTTCGGCAATCTCTTCGATGCTCTGCATAACTTCGTCTGCACCCTCATTGTTGAAATATGAATCGGTCGTGTCTTCCGCCTCGGTCATTGCCCTCAGAAGTGAACTGCCCTTGTCTCCAATATCGGTCTCGTCCCTAAGCCCTTGCAGATGGCCATTGTCTACCTCAACTTCTCCGGTCCACAAATTGATCTCGTCGCCGAAGCCTTCAAAGTTGTGAGAATATTTCTCGAAGATGGACTCGAACCGAGATTTTAACAGGTTATCATTACGATCGCGCAGTGCGTCAAGGTCTTGGTCGAGAACATCGTCTTCGGATTGATCGGCGAACATGGACAGGCGGGGTCTTTTGCGGATGGGTTCTTCCATTTTGGCGACGGTCAGGCTTCATCGATCGGGTGTGCGTACGCCAGGGTGCTCAATACGCAAGAAACGGAGGATCAAGGGGATTAAGACTTTTCGTACGGTACAGGAGTGCGTGGTTGATGGTGATGGAGGGGACATTAACCGTCCCTCAGCTAGCCGCGCATTAATTGAATTCCGGGGGCGCGTCGTTACTCCAGAAGCGCGTCCCTCTTTAGGCCCAATTACATATTGTTGAGTGCGTCATTTGCGCTTCACCTGTCAATGAATACAGGCTCAAGTACGGAGTACCTCAGTCTACACTCACTCACTTACTCTCATCACAAGCCACGTACCTTGGTGAGCCTCAGATCGGTTGACCACCTACAAATACCCTTCGATTTCCATGGTTCTATATTCTCTACGCCATGTGAACTCTCATACCATCCACAATGTCGCCCAATTCGACGTTGTATTGCCAAAAGTGCCGCCAACCTCTTGATCCAGACACCACCGTCGAAGATCTCAATCCTGCCTCATTCGATGTGCTGGTTGGTAAGTCATTCCAGTTGTTCGCTAATCTTTTCAATCACTGACTGTTTCCCTGCTTCCTCAGCATCTACAGGTAGAGCGCAGCAATCTACCAATACTCGGCCGCATTTGAACTACCCTCAAGAACGGAAGGCCCTCTACGATCGAGTCTCAAGTCAAACCAACCCTCCTGTATATAAACGGTCCATTCCGGCTCCTCAAGATGCATCTACTGCGGATCTTCGTTCTGCCTCGGGTCAGGGTCCTCGCTCAGGCGCACCTGACATGTCCTTCATTGAGATAACCCAATCGCAAGCCATTTTACCGGAAAGAGATTCACTCAACGCTGTCAAAACGAGCCCTAAAGGCCCAAAAGACGGCGACAAAGAAAAGGGCGGAAAGAAAGACCCCATGTCTGGAGAGATTGAGAAAGCTCAGGTGCTTTACGAAATCCTGTCATCTCGTTCTGATATCGACCATCCAATCTGCGCAGAATGTGCCGCCTTGCTCCTGGCCTCCTTCAATGCTCGTCTAGCAAGCGCCAACCGGGAAAGAGATTCCTATGCCTCCTTTCTGAAGTCCATCCAACAGACAGCCTCTGCCACACAGGTCACTAGTCAAGCGAAGACCGCTAAAGCTTCTAAAGATGCTCAGAATGCCCTCGAATCGACCTTCGGACACTTAAAGCTCACCGAAGACCAGTCGGAAGCCGTTGAGAAAGAGATCGGGGATTTGGAAGAGGAAACAGAGCAGGCAGATCGAGAAGAACAAGCATATTGGACAGCCCGAAATGCCATAGACGACAGATTACATGAGACTACCATCCGACTGTTCTCCTTGCAAGAAAAATATGCCCACGATCGTCAGCAGCTGGAGCGATTGCAACGAACCAATGTCTACAACGACACTTTCTGCATCAGTCATGACGGCTCGTTTGGGACAATCAACGGACTTCGACTGGGTCGTCTACCGGGCCAAAACGTGGACTGGGCTGAAATCAATGCTGCATGGGGTCAAGCGATCCTCCTCCTGGCAACTGTGGCTGAACGGCTCAAATTCTCGTTTCAAGGTTATCGTCTCAAGCCTCAAGGCAGCACATCCCGCATTGAGAAGCTGGAATATCCTCAACAATCGCCTAACGTGAGCCGGCAAAGTGTTCAAGATCGTGGCTCGCACCAAGCTACGGGAATATCTGAACCTAAAATCACGATACTCGACCTCTTCAGCAGTGGTGACATGGCGATTGGGAGGCTTCTAAATCACCGGCGCTTCGATAACGGCATGGTGGCCTTTCTGGACTGCATAGATCAGCTTGCGAAATATGTTCAACGCACATCAAAGGTCGATCTGACAACTAAAACCAACACTTCCCGGAATGCGAGCGCCCGAACACCCAAAGCAAACACAATTCTACCATATGAAATCCAAGATGACCGAATCGGGAATGTCTCTATCAAGCTAGGTGTTGGTTTTCACCAAGATGAAAACTTCACTAAGGCCTGTAAATATGCATTGACATGCTGCAAATACCTCCTCGCTTATGTGAGCAACTTGGAAGTTCAGGGACTGACTAAATGACCAACCGAAGAACCGGATAGTGGTGGTCTACCAATGATATCCAATCGAGATCAGTCAAACTCGCCTATCGAATCGTCTTTGAATACGGAGTATCAAAAGAAGCTTTGAATGGCGGTGCACAAGCTTTGTCAGCTATACTTTGAGCTTTTTACCTCGCTTGGAGATGTTGCTAGTTTCAAAGAGGCTACGGTCGGTGCAGGCACATCGTCCATACAAAGCCCCACGAAGACATTTCCGTCGTCTTGCGAGAAAATGTTGAGGTGACGGATCTACTAGAGATACTTAGCAGGTTGAGCAGGCCATACATGATGGAGGTGTGTGATGATCTGCTTAACAGACGCTCGAGATATGCGTGAGAATCTGACCAGTTCGCACTGGAATTACAGGCCCTGTCAGGTACAGGGTGGAATCATGGGCGCTTCGTAAACGAGCCGAGCTAAACGCAGGAAACCAAAGTGATTAATGGCTGTTCAAGGTGGCGTTTGTTTCCCTCTTGAGATTGAGCTGGATTCCTTGTGGTAGAGGCATTTGATTTGGCGATTGCTACATGAGCCGTTTAGTAATCGTGCATAAGTCAGCCACTGATAAAAATCCTCCAACCATTTCACATGCCACTACACTACCCATCCAAAGGCTTCCTACGAGCTCGTCTCTGCGAGATATGAAGAGGCTAGAACAGCTGGGGCGACGGTGTGTTCTCTGCTACCAAAATGCCAATTTGAAAACAAGGTCTAAGTCATTCGCGTTATCCCCCATAACTTCATCTTGTCGTCCAAGTATCTGCTCAATCCAACAATATCTCTCCAGTGCCCATCATGTCACCTTCAAGTCAGCCGAAGCGAGAACTCCATTTTGTCACCGTGTCGTCCATCAGGTCAGCCTCGAGTACAAGTCCAGATCCAAAGCAACGGAAGTCACTGCGCTCCTTTGTGATGCAAGACTACCTGAGACAGAAGAATGATCCTAATTGGCATTTCGCTCCAGCAAAGGTAGACACCCAAATCAGCTCACATATTTATCGATTCCGCAGCTCCAGGCCAGCATCATCATCATCCCCGGACAGGAAAAGGACGGCCAAAGCGAGGAGGCCACGGGAAGCCCATGCTGCCTCAAGACAACCGAGACGGTTGCTCCCCGCGGGTGCTCAGTCTACACAGACTGGACAATCTAAAGTTCGAGACGTTGTCCAGAGTCCCCGATCACACTCACGTCTTCATGACCTCGACATGCTCGACCCCTTTCAGACGTTATCGATCGATCTTTCCGACCCCGACACGGTGGACCTCCTTCAATACTACCACAGTTCGTTCTGGGCCAACTCCTATGCTTGCAACCCTGAAGGGCGTTGGATCTCAATCGCCCTGATGGATCCAGCCATCATCCACGCCACACTTTGCTTGGTGGCCATCCACAGGAGAGACATCTTCTCGATCAGTCTCTCCAAGGACTATTTCAACCATCGCGGCCTCGCAATGAAAATCGTCGCTGGGCGACTCAATGACCCAGCCCAGGCCGTGAGTGACGCCACCGTTGGCGCCGTTGCTATTCTCTCAAGCTCAGATCATCACTTTGAATGGCCGGACGACGTGCAAGAAACACACGCGGTCGGCTTGGCCGAGTTGGTGGCTTTACGGGGCGGCATCGAGAAGTTGACCTCGAACAGACACGTTCAGCGAGTTACTGGTTGGGCAGACCTCCTACAATGCGCCATGCATGGAACGAAGTTGCGAATGAAGCTTCCGTCAAATCTCGGCAACGCTTCGCCTGTGGACGTCGAGGCCGAACATGACAGGATCTCCACACAACGTGTTCCTGGTCTCGTCTTGTCTGGAATGCACCCTCGTCTCGCCTCCATCCTGGGTCTCCTTCGCCGTCTCGCGGCTTTAAAGGCTGATCTCCTCGACAAGCGCAGTATGGACCTCTGTCAATCCTTTAGCGACTTGCTCTGGAAGCTTGAATACACTATTCTGGAGAAGCAGGACCAGACTGGTCGTGAAGATCCCACAGAGTCCTCCCTGGTCCATGTCGGGCACGAGCTCTGCGACTCTGTGGGGCGTGCGGCACTTATAATGTCGTACTCTCACCTACGAGATTTGGCGGCACCGATACTCTACGACAAACTAAGTGCACGCTTGAGGAGCACGCTGTCCACAGCCACCTCACAGACTTATGCGCGCGGGCTCCTCGTCGACAGTGAACTTGCCGTGCTGCTGTGGGTGTTGAATTTAGGACTGCGAGGCTCGAAGCGAAACCTCGGTGACAAACTTTGGTTTGCAGGGGAGATGGCCAGAGTGTGCTGGAACAACGGTGTTCTCTCGCTGCCTGATTTGCACGAAAGAACCCAGAGTGTCGTGCCACAAGCACAAGAGGCTCTGGACATGACGGAGCGAAATTGGAGAATGGTGGAAAGTCTGATATGGTTAGAGAGCGAGGAAACATGGTGATCGATCATCACCCAGCCAAGTGAGGAATCGATTGGAAGTTCGTTGAGTTTTTGGGGAGGGAATCCCTGGCGATAGGAATCACCCACATCCACCCCTGCATTACGCACAAGGCCAAGAATTAACGACTGAATGATTAGTCTCTCAGTCGTGTGCATGTGGCAAATCAAACATCTACAACGAATGACAATTGGGGGCCACTTCTAGTGATATATACCTGGTAGGTAGCTCTTGTGCGTTTGGATAGTGCAGAGGTAGGGGTGTAGCGTTGAATATCTGTCGCCGAACCCACCACCTACTTAGTAGGTAGATGATGATATGTGACGACTCGTCAATTATACTGTGCGTGCTTGAGGGATGGGCTCCTCCTTGGAATCGCCGCCCAAGACTGTTGTTGGTGGGCCGAGGGTGTATTGTATCCAGGGAGATCCAAAATGTCCACGACCCAGGACCGACCTGGATATTTTTGTCATTCGACCCGACCCAAAGAAAGTCGTCCATAACGTAGCATAACCACTTGATAGTATTCATGATATGATACCTAGGTGATTCTATGCCCGATCCCCCGTCGACGTACATGTGCGGACGTCACATCACATTCACCAAATCACATCCAAAGGCATAATTTTCCAGAAGCCGTACCACCTGCTATCCAATCTTTGGTGGGATGAAACACGGCAACGGCGGGGACGGCGGTGATACCTTCGCCACCTAATTGGGCGAGTTGGGTTCCATCGGCAGAGTACACGTCGACGAATCTGTTTGTAATACGCAGCATCGGTCAGTAAAATCAGTTCGTCTGGAGGGGGGGACCCAAAAAAAGGGGGCAGGAGGGAAAGAAAAAGGACAGCAAACAACTCACCTATTCATATTCCCAACCACCAATTTCTGGATATTATCTTGAGGAAACATTTGCCATCTCGGTTTGAGTATGGTAGTCCATCGACCTCTGTGAAGATGGCACATGGCACATTGGTTAGCATCGGGTCACGTCCCCCCAAGATGAACAAAATCTGAGGATGAAGCTGGGACAAGAACAGAAACCAAAAAGTCGGGGGACTCACGTTTGATTGTTATGCCGTATAACCACCTCAGGCTTCATGACCTCTTCATCGAGCGTGTACCCTGCCTTCCAAGTCTCCATACTCTCCAACGCGGCGGCCTTATTGGGACTCAACCCTTTGACGCCGAAGGAGTGAATCTTGATGGTGTCGTCGTAGCTCGTGGTGGCGACCTGTCCGGCCGAGTTGAAGGCAGCGTGACTCACGCTCAACCTCGACTCGTGCTGCCCGACGAGGACGGGGGACGACTTGGTCATCTTCCGCAGATCCCACAGCCTCATGGACCGGTCCAGGGACGCGGTCGCGACGTAGTGAGGCGCCGAGGGGTTCAGGCTGAACCCACCTATCTTCTTCTCCGACAACCGATACAACTCTGCCTTGGAGGCGTCCTGCCGCGTGTCGTACTTGCCAAACGCGCCGTTGAGGGTCGTAAAGTACAAGACGTTGGGGTCGGTCGCGGCCATGTCGACCCCCGACACGGGCTCGTCGTCCTCCTTGTCCACGGGGCCGTACACCTCGACGGCGACGGCCTTTGTCAGGTCCGTCGCGCGGATCGACGAGTCGTACGACGCCGTGTATATCGTCTCGGGTTTGCTGGGGTGGGTGTGCATGGCCGAGATGGTTCGGGTGTGAGGTTTGATTTGGGTGATTTCTGGATCTGGATCATCGTAGTCGTCGTCATCGTCGTCATCCTCACCACCTTCTGTCTTCACATTCGTCGTGTTGGGAGTCTGCGACGCGTCGACGATCCCTAATGTCCCGAGCTTGTCACCTGCAAATACAATCGGTTTTGTTGCAGCCGGGTGGAAACTCATAGTGTATATCCTCTCCGGGGTGATCTTGATCCGGTTCGGCTCCCATTGATCCCACACCTCGAGACCACTCATGCGCTCCCGTAGCGCCTTCAAGTCCTTGTCGCCCGTTTCGCGGATGTCGTCCTCGTCGAAGGTGCGCTCGTAGGGCTTCGCGACGCCCTTGAGGAGCACGTCCGTCCCGATTAACAGGCTCGAACCGAAGCTCAAATCGCCCGTGACGCGCTGTCGACGCTGCCGCTCCTCCTCTTTCGCCTTCTCGTACGCTTCCTCGGCCTTTTGCTTGACCACCTCGCTGTCCGCCTGGAGTCCCGCGAGTCTCGACGACACACGGCGAGGGGTGACGTCCTCCTTCTTCACCCTCTTCGAGGGTGGCTCTTTTCGTTTCGCCGGCCGTTTCTGGCCATGGAGGGTACTGGGCGCCGGCTTGGAGTATAACCCTGCCTGTTGCGCCTCCTGGGTCAATTTGCGAAGGAGGGCGTCCCGTTCGGCGATGTTGGCAAGCCGTTGCTTTTCGAACTCGGACGGTTCAGCGACCGGTTGAGCACCGCGAGCCATGTCGAGCTTGTGAATTGATACGACGCAGAGGAAAAGGGTATCTCAAGATCAACTGCGATCCAGCACTCGACAATGCGACCACGAATAAAATAACTGATGACGTGATGACCACTAACTACATCTTTGTCCAGAGAAGAGACACGAGATGGACGCGAGAAAACGCGATGCGCGTATAGTGAGATTGGCCGCTTACTTAATCTTTCGTACTCGTATATCATTAACTGCCCGCTCTGGGTTTCTCCTTCAAAGCTCCATGTCATGATCGACGTCGAACCCATCAGCCATGCTCTCGAAAGGTGCATCCATCATGTCGACTTCTATTTCTCCACGAGCTTGGTGGTCTGCCTCTCTCGCTTTCTGGCTGACTCCACCGGCAACCTGCTCTAACCTTCTCAGCTCTACTTCAGCCCTTCGGCCGGCCTCTTCTAGGGCCCCCAGGATCGACCCTAGAAGTTCGTCGAGTTTCAAATCCCTCAGCACCATTTCGTACCTTTTCACTTTGGCCTTGTCCCAGGTCTCTTCGACACGTTCTTGACCAGCAAAAGAGTCCAGGGGTCGATGGTCGACGTCTTTCCACTTGTTTCGAAATTCTTTGGCCACCCCAATGTAGGCGCGAGTGTCGCCGGTGCCGAGAATGTCGTGCAAGGGGTTGGAAGGATGGTCGAGGGCCGCTAAGACATTAGCGTGGAAGCGATGTGATGCACCGTGAAAACTCCGCGAGTCGCCGATGATAGAGGAACCCGGTGGTTGATTCTCCGATTGCCTGTGGCTGCTGTTGTCTTGTTCTTGATGATGATCTGGCATCGATGATGCTGTTATCACGATACCCCAGATACTGAACAGGTGGATCAACCCCCTTTCGAGGAGGCTGTAAAACTCAAAGAAGTCGAACTTGAATTGTCGCTCCGCCTCTATCGGATCGATTATCATGTCGTAGTTTCCCAACGACGCTCTAGGCCCGGATGGAGGATCGTGCTCAGTTCTCATTCCAGGGTGACCATGGTCAGCGTTTGTAGTATAATGATGATGATGTTGTTGTGACTGCTGATATTCCTGCGCCAGGTTCAAGGCTCGGTGCGACCAATGCGTCAGACTGTTGGCTTTCCACGCGAGTCGTCGGAAAAGTCGACGGAAGCGTTGAAATTCCGTGTCTCGGGTAAGGTAGATCCTTTGCGCCGAACTCAAAGGTCGGACCGGCGAGGAAGATATGGATGGGTGTGCAGATGCATTGCTCGGTATATGATGGGTAGAAAGAACGCTACGACTATTTGACCCCGGCGTACCTGTGGCGTGTCGCTTCTGCGGAGACCGACTGCGAGGTGGGCTGCTTTGATGATACTGTCGCTCACGTCGCACCTCGGGACTTGCCCACCGGGAAGCGGTCAAATCTGATGACTGCATCATCAATGAAGTCGAATGTGATATACTGGTAATTGTGTGTTGCGTGTTGATAAATCTCTGGATAGAGCCACTTGGCTCTTTCAAAGCCGTCTGCTTATGAATTCCGGTCCATTTGTGTCTGAAGATGGAGAAGGCTTCAATGTGTGATGCAGCGGTGAAAGTTGAATATCTACAGCAAGTGCAATTGTTTCACGAAGCGCTTGCCTGCGATTTTCACTTACTATCTGATACACATCGGATCATGAAAATGTCCTGATCACAATGACAGAACGTCAGGCTGAGGTACTTCTTGGGTGAGGTTGTTAGGTTGAACTCTTGTATCGAGATGCCGCAGCTTCTGTTGTCGTTGACAGCGAGGCTGGGAATCCATACGAAAATACTAGTGTCAGCCTTGCGACTCCGTATTTTCAGCCTTGTTCTGGGAGATAGGTAATAAGCACACCTACCTCTGGATTACGAACAAGGCTACTCCGTACCTACCAGATATATCACCAAAGTACTCCCAATTGTCATTCCTTGGTATCAATATAAGTTAAATGATAACCGACAAGTAATCAGTACATCAAGAGACATTCCCAAGGATAGTGAGAATGACGAGCACCGAGATATTGATAAGCATAAGGTAGTCAGTCTCGTGCGTAATGCAGAGGTGGGTGTGCGTAATAGCTATTGCTCTTGTTCTGAGGTTCTCTACTTCATATTCTGCACTTCATGCTCGTTCAGCAGATCAAATCCTCACCTTCCGTACAACTCTACCAAGTCTCACATTTCTACTAAATTGAACGATTAGGGGCGACAGAATCGTCCGACCCTGAAGAGGGCATGCTGAGGTTGGCTGGGGCCTGGAGGGACGGTGACAGTAACAACGAGCTCGTATGCTGGCAGCGGAAGGAACAAGTTCATCGCCTGAAGGATACAATCCTATTATTATCGCATAGGGACATCGTGCGCTACACAAACGACGCCTCTCTTGATAAACGTTACCAAGCCCATTTCAACTCGAAGTCATCAACATCTGGAAAGTTCTCTTGTACATATCTTCATACACCCTCTCCTCATCTTGGTCAGAATAATCCCCATCGTTAATGTGTGTGTGACTAGTCATCACCTGTACCGTCCCTGTTTCCTCGTCCTCCAGGGCGGCCGGCTCTTCCAGTGATATCCTGCCAAGTAGCTCCAAACCTACGGCCTGTACTGGCGAGAAGACCCTCTTCTTCCTCCTCAAGCTCGTCTTCCTCCGCTTCTGGATCAGACAATTTCGGTGTGCGGAAGAGCAGAACTACAAATCCGAGAAGGAAAATGCCTAAAAAGACAAATTGGGCCCAAAAGTCGACGACACCGAAGAAGGGGAAATTCACAGTAACTCGGTTCAGAAACGTAGACACCACCGAAGGTGTACAGACATTTCTTGCAGCCGGGTTGTCGCTGATCTCAGTGCAGGGTATAATGTGTTGAGGGTGGTCCGAACAGTCGGGCTGTTCACCTGGATGTTTCGGCGGATGATCGCAAAATGTTTGCGGCCCGAAGGTGGCGTACTGTGGAGCCACCATCATGGCAATGGAGTAGTTGATGGCCAGGGTCATGAGGGTGAGCATAACAGTCGCAATGAGCAGAGCTTGAGGAGATGTGTGTGCCTTCCGGATTCTAAAAATCGTGATCCAGAGCACTCGAATACCAATTGTAGCGATGCCGATGATACTCGCACTGAAGAAGAGCATCACTAGCAAGAGGAAGATGATATAGTCAATCGGGAAAACCTCGGACGACTTGACCAGGATCCAATTGATCGGCTGGAAGATGTTGATATGAGCCAGGAGGTAGCCACAATGCCTCTTACAGATCGAGTTTTTAGCTTTGTCGATGCCGGTAATGAGCATACTGGCAAAAATGAGGAGAACGATAATGACAAGAATGATGCCGAGAATGAGCTTGATGGGTCGAAAGATGGCCTCAATTTTGATCCAAATCTTCCAGAAGATGTTCTGGTCCTCGCCCGAAGCCTCTGCTGCCAGCCTTTGGTGGCGGCGCAATGTGCGTTCTTCGCGAACCAAAGCATCTAACTCTCGTTGATCTTTGGATGACAAACCGTCCGGGTTGCCATGAGCACGACCTTCGAGCTGCCTCTGTCGTTCAAGGTTACTTTCCAATTGTGAGGAGGTTGTTTCGCTCAATGCTGGTGCAGAGATGGCCGGAGCTGACTTGATCAAGGTGAGTGGCAAAAGAGCCAGGCCGGCTGCAGTGTAGAAGCAGTACATGAGGACGCCAATTGTAATGAGGAGGCCAAGTGCAAAGGTCAGGGCCCGTTCTCCATGGTTTTCCGATAACAGATGTTTGAAGAAGTCTAGATCAAAATGCGCGCCTTCCCTATGACGAGCAACTGGAACGAAGAAGCCGACCAAGAATAAGGCGACGCAAAGGAAGATGAAGATCAAGGTGTATTTAAATGCAGCCCAGAACCTGGACACAAATGTCTGTGATCCCTCCTCTTGCGCAACTTCGTCATATTCTTCGTACCAGAAGTAGGTGAACGGCACTACAAGCAGACAGAGCAAGGCGTCCAAAGAGTAGAGAAGGTAATACACAATGCGCAGTGTGTATGTGATGTTGTCAATCTTGCCTTGGTTCGCCCAATCTTTTCGTCTGCCTAGTTTGGAACTTGTCGTACTTGAGACCAAAGCAACATCGACCGGTAGGAGGAGCACAGTCGCCAGCAGACAGGTGATGGTGAAGATGCAGACTATCGTAACAAGGAGGGATCTTTCGCGATGGGCCTGGTAGAGATAGACGAATAGACAGGCAATTGACAGCAAAATGGCCACTGCAATAGCATAGACAACCCAGATCAATGTAATCTGGACGTAGCCTGCGCTGGCCATAGCCGAAAGGCCAGGCTCAACTCCCAGCATGATGAGTGTTCAAAGCAGTCAACGCGGATGAGAGTTTCGGATTAATCGTTCCAAGACTTGTAAAGATGTCGACATTAAAACAGGGCTCGTTCCGGTAGTGCGAAGAATTGAGAATATGGATGGCGCGAGTAATGGAGGAGGAGGTGTGAATCAAGGCGCATGACTTCGAATCCCAGTCGCCATGATCTTCGGTATTGCAGGTTGCCGGCGTCATCGTCATTCTGCAGCAAAAGTCGCGTCACTCGTGTTCGTGTTCGCATTCGTATCCGGGTCGGAAAGCATAGTATCACGTGTATGCCAAGACATGGACATCGAATCGACCTCAGCTTTCAATCTCGAGGGCGAGCAGACTACTACAAGTATTCATTTTGTGCTTGACCAACATCCCTTCTCCAACTAGGACCGACAGCCTCTTCTACCTAGTTGCACCGGTCGCAGCGCTCGCCATGGATCTTGTTCGCACACTGCATACGATCTAGCCCTGCTGATGTACCTGGATCATCACAAGTGAAAACGCTATCCAAAACACCAACAGCACACCCGAGATGCAGTGTTATACCGAGCTGCTCCCGCCTTCGGGTGTCACTCACTCCCTGTCGACCTCCTTCACTTCTGCAGAGGCGGAAAATCTTATTGTAGCTCGCACATCACTACTTCAGATATACCAGTACAAGCAATTCGAACATGACACCAAGCTGATTCTGGTGGCCGAATACAACCTTGCTGGAACAGTGACTTCTCTTGGTAAAGTGAGAATTCCAGACTCGAAAAGCGGTGGAGATGCTGTTCTAGTGGCTTTTCTAGATGCTAAATTGAGTCTGGTCGAATGGGACCCAACACTGCATAGCATATCTACCTTGTCAATTCATTACTATGAGCAGCATGCTACTCAGTCAGCGCCATGGCAGCCCGATCTCGCTGATTGTGTCAGTCGCTTGTCGATTGATCCTTCCAGTAGATGTGCCGCATACAATTTTGGTGTCAGTAATCTGGCCATTATTCCCTTCCATCAAACCGGCGACGACTTAGCCATGGATGATTTTGATGAGCTTGACGCCGAGGATAAACCGCGTCATTCACCAACAAAACCCCCCGACGACACTACAACGAATGATCATGCCACCCCTTACAGCCCTTCGTTTGTCCTGCCTCTCACAATGCTGGATCCTGGCTTGTTTCATCCTGTCGATATCGCTTTCCTTCACGAGTACCGCGATCCAACCATCGGCATAGTCTATTCGACCATGGCTCGCTCCTCCAACATGAGCGCGGAAAGACGCGACGTAACAATATATGCGGTATATGCACTCGACCTGGAGCAAAAGGCCTCGACAACCCTCCAATCGGTCCAAAAGTTACCTGATGACATCTACCGCATCCTAGCTCTTCCACTTCCGGTCGGCGGTGCTCTTCTCGTTGGCGGCAACGAATTGATCCATGTGGATCAGGGTGGTAAGGCCAGCGCTGTTGCTGTCAACGAATTTGCCAAGGATGCGTCCTCATTCCCAATGACCGACCATTCAGAGTACAGACTGAAACTAGAGGGATGTCGCATTGAGCATCTAGGCAACTCTGCTGGGGATATGTTGATCATTTTATCTACAGGTGACCTAGTTCTGCTCAATTTCAGAATGGACGGTCGTTCGGTGACTGGAATATCCCTTCGCCGGATAGCTGAAGGACAGATGCAAAGTCTCCAACTCAGTGCTGCCTCATGTACCGCAAATCTGGGATCAAGCTGCTTGTTCATCGGCGGCGAAGACTGTGACTCGGTGGTTGTCAGCCTTGCCAGAAAGTCAGGGCAATTGAAGAGGGTCCAATCCAGAGTAAAATCGGAAACAGATGGCTTTGAGCCGGATGGAAACGAAGACGATCTAGAAGATGAGGATGATCTCTATGGAGAGATTTATTCGGGGACAAATGGACACAGCTCGGCAGATGCAAGTGGCCAAAACCTACGGGTTATGGACCGTCTTCTCTGCATAGCACCCGTCAACAGTTTTGCGCTTGGAAACTCTAAAAAGCGCAAACGAGAAGACACGGATGCAGCTAAAGGATACCAAAGTCATGAACAGGAACTTGCAGTGGCGTACGGAAGGGGGCACGCCGGCGGCATTGCCTTTTTATCCAGACAGCTCGAACTCAAGGTGACGAAACGATTCAAGTTTGAAGGTGCCAATGGTCTGTGGTGCTTAGGGACAAAACACGCCCAGTCCGAAAGTGACCAAACACTAGACGATCTTCTCATAGTCTCGCAATATACCAGCGAAGGCGTCGGACTTTCCTCACTTTGTCGACTTAGCGAGGGGAATCTAGAGCCTGTTCCAGACTCCGAATTCGATCAGATGGCCGGTCCGACTGTCTCAATTTCACAGCTCAAGAATTCGGGCCACACGATTCAAGTACTGCCCACCGAGATACGTGTCTATGATTCCAAGTTTGCACTTTCGCAGATCTTCCCAATTGTGGACGAGGACGATGGCCAGCTCTCCAAAGCAGTCAAGACCACCTTTGCAGAACCATATCTTGCGGTCATTAGAGATGATCGAGTGATGACGCTGCTCAAGGCAGACAAAGCTGGTGAATTGGACGAAGTCGAGTTGCCAGACATCTTACAGGACAAGGCAATATTATCTGCGTCCCTGTATCAAGATCATCGCGACTTTTTCCAGACCTCAAGATTCTATGACGACGCAGGTTTGTCTGGTCCCATATTGTGCGTCCTGACAACAGATGGTCATTTCTGCCTGCTATCATTACCCAACATTGGTCTCCGAGTTTTCCAGTGCGAGAGCTTGCCGTTCCTCCCTACATACCTCATGCAAGATTTGCAGATTCCCAAGCACTGGCGCAACAAGGATGATATTGGTGAAGTATTGCTGGCAGATCTTGGAGACGAGATAGATCGTCGACCTTTCCTGGCCGTGCGAAACTTGACAGGAGATGTTATTCTGTACGAGCCATTTGCAATTCCAAACATTTCTGGGAGCTTCAAGTTCAGAAAGGTGGCTACCAAGGCGGCAGAAAATCTTGACGACCAGGCAGAGGAAGAAGGGGAAGAATCCTCTCTAGGCCCAATGCAAGTCGTCTCGAACGTGGGAGGCCGCCCTGCGATATTCGTGCCGGGCGCTCACCCCTGGCTGGTGTTGAGGGAAGCTTCAACAATGCCTCGTATCTACGAGTTGAAGCTTCCCGGGACCAACTCGATAGTCGGAGCACATACACTCCTGTGCCCGCACGGTTTGGCCTTTTTAGACGGACGCCAGCAGGTCTGTTTCGGCCAACTACCAAACTCAGCCATGATCGGCCAATCAGACTGGTCTATCAACAGAGTCCCCTTCAGGCAAGACATCAGTTCCGTCGCATATTTCGAATCCACGGACTCTTATGTCCTCGCTATGAATTACGGGATTGATTTCCAACTCCCTCAAGACGACGAATGGCATCCAGAATGGCAAGCCGAAACCACGACTTTCCTCCCATCCTCCATCCAGAGCACTCTCAAGCTGGTCAGCGGAGAGAGTCACTCGGTTATCAGCCAGTATCACTTCGACGCATTCGAAAGGGTGCTCTGCGTCAAAACGATGAATCTCGAAGTTTCGGAAGAGACGCACGAGCGTAAAGAATTGGTCGTCGTCGGCACGGCCATCGTTAAGGGCGAAAATCTGACGACACGAGGAAACATCTACTTCTTCGACGTGGTCGACGTGGTGCCCGAACCTGGCGTGGCGGAAAGCAACCTGAAACTCAAACTGATCACGAAAGAAGACGTGCGCGGAGCGGTCAGCGCGATATGCGACATCGGTTCGCAAGGGTTCTTGCTGGCGGCGCAGGGGCAGAAATGCATGGTACGAGGACTCAAGGAAGACATGTCGGTTCTCCCGGTCGCGTTTCTCGACATGCGGTACTACGTCCACGTCGCGAAGGAATTGCGAGGGACAGGGTTGTGTATCTTGGGAGACGCGTTTTCTGGGTTATGGCTGACGGGGTATTCCGAGGAACCGTACAAGCTACAGGTCATCGGGCGCGATTTGGAGAACCCGCCTGTCCTGGCGGCTGAGTTCCTACCCGACGGCAAACAGCTCTTCATCGTGTCGGCCGATGGCGACGGCACGTTGCGCGTCTTGCAGTACGACCCCGAGAACCCCAAGGCCGAGCGTGGGACAAAGTTGCTCTTGCGAAGCACGTTCAACGCCGGCACGCTGCCCACACAAATGTCGCTGCTTCCTCCTCAGTCGAAGAAGAGTGTTGGTGGTGGTGGCGGCGGCGACTCGGACATGGACGTCGATGGCCCCGGCGGCGCCGGAGAGATGGCGACGAGCCTCAGTCGGATCCTCGTGGCAACGCAGTCGGGCTCATTGTGCATGGTCACCCCGCTTCCAGAGTCGGCGTACCGACGCCTGTCGACCCTCCAAAACACGTTGCTCACGACTCTGGACTTTCAGCCGTGCAGCTTGAACCCACGCGCGTACCGACAGGTCGAGACCGACGGGATCGGAGGCAGGGGAATCATCGACGGCAACCTGGTCAAGAGGTGGTGGGAGACGAGCACGCAGCAAAGGGTGGCCAGCGCGGATAAAGCTGGAGGGAGTGTGTGGGAGGTTCGTGCGGATATGGAACTCATCAGCGGTGGTGATTTGGGATTTTAAAAAGACCTTAAACCCCTGAAAAAGAAGGCCCCTCAGGATCCCCATCCCGCGAATTCTGTACTTCCGGCAGGAAGAGTAAACTATTTGATTGTGATCGTTTTGAAGTTGTTCGTCATTGATTCCAAAAAAATAAGAAACTTTTGGCCTGGGTGTTTACTTAGAACCCTTGGAGTGCGTACGAGTACTAAACCTATTTGTCCTTGTCCGTAGCCTTGGTGTTTTGGGACAGAGTATGGAGTATATAGATCCACCCAACATGACACGCAACCTTCAGACCTTGTTACTCTCGAGCTCCCTTTGTCCCTTGTGTAACCTAAACGTGGCATTGCAGGTCAGTCAGTCAATGCTTATGCCCACCATCATCAATGTCGATCAGGCACCAGTAAGGGATTGCAGGGGGTTGGCAGGTTGGGGGGTTGTATATTGCTCACGAAAGTACCTCGACATTCTCTTCTCCCTCGATCGTAACAGTACGAATTTTGGTCTTTTTGTAGGCATTGAACCATGACCCCTTGAAGAGAGTGTCGATCTCTTCCATGCTGAGGCCCGACAGCTCGGGGACCGCGAGGTACACGTAACCGAGGGATACGCCGCACCAGGCCGCAAAGAAGATGAAGGCTCCCCAATTGTTGGTGTTTTGGAGCAACGAAGGAGTGCCGTAAGTCATGGCGTAGATGAACAACCAGTGGAAACACTGAGACATGGCACCTCCGAATGAACGGATCCTGTTGGGCCAAAGTTCTCCACCAAAGACGTATGGTAGGGCGAAGAGACCTGTGTAGTTGGTGGTCAAAACGTCAGATCTAGAACGTCCAAGGGTACAGAGTAGTGTAGGAAAAGAACTGCCGTGGACACAAAAATCCCCAACTTACCAACAGCATAACCAAAGGCATGGATAAAGATGAGTCCAATTGCGGCACGGGATGAAGCAGCCGATGCATCGCCTTCTTGCTTATACTTGATGTAGACACCTGACAACAAATCTGATCAGTATTTTATGAAACACATAATACAATGTTGGAAGTGTGTGGGTGTGATGGTGTGAGGACGTGTCGTGAATCGACGATAGAACTTTAGAACTCACCAAGATAAATATCCGAGATACCCTGAAAGAGGATACCCACAAAGAGCGACTTGCGTCTCCCCAACGCATCGATGAAGAAGAATGATGCGATGATGGCAAACACGAGTTTGGAAACCGCGTACATGCCGCTCAAGAAGATGTTGCGGGTTGTACCTCCTCCCACGCCCATCAACGTCAGGATTGGTATGAAATACGACGTGACCGAGTTGGCGCCCGACAGTTGCGCGAGTCCGTACGACACGAGGGTCTGCTGGACCCGACGGAGGTTGGAAGGAACGGTAAAAGTCTCCTTGAGAATGCTGACGATACCCTTGTGGTGGTCGTCTCCGTACTGTTCCCTAGCGAGCTGCATGGAGGTTTGGATCTCACTCATCTCTCTCAACACCCTGGGGTGATCCGCCGGTAGACCTCGAAGTCGAGATAGTGTCTTTGCCCCTTCGTCATGCCGATCCACCAGCATCAGCCACCTCGGCGACTCGCACATGAAGAAGAAGCTGGCGCCGACACACAGCCACATGAAGACGCAAGGACTGAAGAAGACGACTTGGAACTGAAGTCTGCCCGGAGGAATGTGTTCGAAAACTCCAAGCACGCAGAAGTTCGCGGACACCAACTGAATACGCACTATCCGTCAGCAAAGACTCATGCCCCTGGTTCGTCAAAGACAATACTGACCGCGAATCCCATGGCGACCGTGAACCATGATGCGAGAAGACCACGTATCTCAGCTGGGGCGATCTCCACGAGACTCATTGGCCCAGTCACCGTCAGACCCCCCATCCCCAAGCCGGTGATTATTCGAGCCGCATATAGCCCAGCTAATCCCGGAGCGAGAGTGGCGACGATCTGACCCAGTGTCCACACCGCGATGTACAGTCTATATGACCACCGTCGGCCGATTCGGTCGTTGACGAAGAAGGACAGCAAGGCGCCGCTGGCCATTCCAATGTAGACGATCGAGACAAAGTTCTTGATGGCCTGAGCGTCGGTACCCGAGCTGATTCCAAAGTGTCGTTGGAAACCCGGAAGCGAGGCCATGGTCGCGGATGAGCCTTGGTCCCATGCTTTGAACAAAAAGGTTAGCAGGGTGTTTGACAGAATAAGTGGGCGAGGAGCGAACAAACTTGTAGGGATTGCAGACGAAGCATACAGCAGCGCAGAGAGTATCAAGTTGCGGTTGAAGATGACCTCGCGAGGCGCGGCTTTGATTCTCCTGCCATATGTCGCCAGTGGAGACCGTAAGAATGCTTCCTTGAGACCCATCTTCTCCGGAAGACGACGTGATGACCTGCAGGTGGATGGGGCGTAGGGCAAGGACTTGCTAGAATGGTTCCGCGAAGAAATGACTCAAAGGGCGCAAGAGTTGCGTGATCTTTGTGACACAGACGACCCAGTCCTTCGCCGCCATATTTATTTCCAAAGCACGAAATGGTGTCCCAACGATTGATACCGAGTGGTAACGAGGAGGTTGTTCGGGCTTCCGAACAATTGGTAGCGGAAGAGTCGAAGTGCCCGGAAGGCCGAGGGCAAAGGCGGATCGACGGACCAATGAAAGTGTCTTCTTGAATCTGAAGTTTATCAGAAACGTCTTCCAGACATGGAACTAGACTGTTCTTCATCGACGACCGAAGGTCTTTTGCAGTATTGGGGAGATGCGTGTCATCTGCCTGAGGCTAACGACGCATACCACCGGAAATACCACTGCGAAGGCCAAGAACTAGCATGGAGACCTTGTCGTTGTATCTCGGGAATTCCGAGCATTCTTGAATGTAGTGAGAGTCAATATTTGTAGACGAAGCCAATCAAAGACCGTACAGTGCCATTGAAGTATGTACCCATCGATCTCATTCCTTTGGTATAAGAGGTTCCAACATATTTCTCGCGACATTCAAAAGCAATTATTGATAAACTCCTCAACTTGATTGCACAAGATGGAATCTCACGACTCCAAGATCATCATTGTCGGGGCCGGCGTCTTCGGCCTGAGTACAGCCTTGTGGTTGTCTCGAGCAGGGTACAAGGACATAACTGTCTTTGACAGATGCCCACTAGACACGAAGCATTACAATCCGTCTGATGGATGTGACGGAGCCTCGGCGGACATCAACAAGATCTTCCGAACAGCGTACGGGACGGAAAAGGAGTGAGGGCCTTTCCGTCTTTGGACTGCAACCCTGGATGTAGCTGACACCTTGGACCTAGGTATCAGAACCTCGCGATTGAAGCTCGAAAGCTATGGCTGTCCTGGAACCAGGAGATTAGCGAGAGTCCCGCATCAGACCTTCCGCTCGGCCTTGCGCCAGACGATAAAGTTCTGGATCTCTGCGGGAACTTTTTTTTGGCCGAGGGGCCAGAGCTGCGACAGTTTTACAAGGACTCTTTGTCTGTCATGGAAAAGCTGGAACCGGAATGTCGAAAGCTCCAGTTTGTCAAGGTGGGTCACCACGACAATTGGTCGCCCTGCGTCCCCGAATCCAATTCAACTGCCTGACACAATATCGTATAGGGCGACAAGGACGATGAAGAGCGTCTGCGACAAATTGATCCTAAGTGGGTCGAGACCTTTCATGCCATTGACGGAATCAATAACAACAACACCAACGGCTTTCTGGACATCCAAGGCGGAGTTACTCTTGCAGATAAGGTAGCCTGACTGACCTTCGTGACAATCCTCGAACGAAAGACTGACAAATGCAAGGCCTGTATCTACGCACGTTTTCTCTGCGAGAAAGCCGGCGTCCGTTTCGTCCTCGGATCTCCGCAAGGTCAGCTCAAGACTCTGATCGTTGCCAATGAGGGCAACGGAAAACAAGTGACCGGCATACAAACATATGATGGCAAGAGTCATCACGGAGACATCGTCATCGTCGCATGTAGGTCGATTTTCTTTTGTGACCTTACAAGTTCAGCCGCTGACACAACCTTCAGGTGGGGGTTGGACTGCATCGGTCATTCCCGAGGCCGCTCGTACTGTCGAAACGACAGCTGGTACGCTCATGTTCATCGATGTACCCAAAGAACGGAAGGACATATGGGACAAGTTCGATTCCAAGCATTTCCCGGCATGGTCGTATAGGAGAGGCGAAGGTGATGAGTATGTCCTTGCCGCACGCACTCCTTTCTTCTGATTCCCGTCGGACTAATAACCGCATAGATATTACCAAGGTGGAGGAGTGAGTATTTCGGCTTTCTGATGCGAGCAAGATTACTGGCGTAGGGGTCCTTGGAGACATCTCAGCCAGAAGCTGGTGCTTCGTCATGGCTTCGGTATATATGGCTGACGCTGGTTGATGTGCAGTTTCCTATCACGAAAGAAGGTCGATTAAAGTTTGGCTTCCGCGGCCGCAAGGTATGCAAGCCGTTGTGCTTATTGAGATGGGAACCCTGACTGATGGTGCTATAGTTCACCAATTTCCAAGACCATCCAACCGCTCCCAATCTGTGAGCTTCTCATTGAGCCAGGCATTGACGAGCAGGTTTTGACTGTCTGTACTAGCCGTGTCTCCACCCCGAAGACAAAATATACACATGATCCCATTAAGACCGTACCCCTATATGGTCTCCAGCTGGTGAAGGAAGTAATCGGAAAAGCCTTTCCCGAATTGGCTGAATTCGGCTTCACAGATTTCAGGGTACGTGTCTCAGCGCCTTCGTGCGGCATGTTTGTCCTGTGCTAATTCGTTGAGTATAGCTTTGCTGGTACACCGATAGCATTGACAATGATGTGAGTTTCAGCTGTTGGTGTGGACGTTTGAGCGAGGAACTGATGGCTTGCTCGACGGTAGTTTGTCATTGACTATGTGCCCGGATATTCAGATACCCTGTTCATTTGTTCGGGAGGCTCGTAAGTAGTTCCTTTGTGGCAGGTTATAATAAAGCGGGCTGCTGACTTCAGTTGGCAGTGGACATGGCTTCAAATTCTTGCCAATCCTCGGGAAGGTAAGGACTTCTTTTCGCCTGTCAATATCGCAGGGACTGACATTATTCGCCATTAGCACGTTAAGAACCAGCTGGAACGGATTCCAGATCAATTCACCAACCTTTGGAAGTGGAGGGCCGTCGAGGAAGGTAAAATATGCAATGGGCTGGAGCAGGGAGAGTATGGACCAAGAGAGATGTCTAAGATCCAGATGGCAGAGCGTGAGTTGCACCGTTCGCGAAGAATATGACAAAGCTAATGATTCGTTACAAGCCCGTGACTTCAAGTTTCCGCAACCAAATGGCCCAGCTCTTCAGAGTCAGCTTTGAATGTTATCCAGAGTAGCTGAACCAGAATAATATACCATGAAAGATACCGATTCGCTAAGATGATTATGAGACTCCCCAGAGATCAGTCATGTCTGGCTGAGAACCATTCATTGATAACATGTCAAATGGCATGTCAAATGGCATTGCAACATCGCTGATTCCCATTGCGGAGAAAAATTCCCCTGTCATCGGGAAATGTGACTCTGTCGAAATGCCTTCGACGGGTATTGTTTCGTATAGAGTTTGTGCGTCAGGAGACAATGAGTTCAATATCCTAGGTTCTGACTAAGCGCGTTGTAAAGATAGGAGTGGAATAGTACATACCTGGATACCTGAGATGGATCGTTCGACATGATCTCCTCTAGCAAAGTCCGTAAGTGAAGCATTGAGCTTGGTTCGTGACTAGTTAATTCATCATGAGGCCCGAGGAACCTGTCAGAGAGCTTCTCGAAGATTTCGAGAAATGGAGCTCCAACGGGAAATTGTCGCGTGCACACCGAAAGAGTGCTGGAGCAAGCAACTATGGCTCGTGCAATCCGTCTCGCCGGTAAAATCGTCGATTGTAAAGCCAGGCACTGCAATAGAGTGATACCACAATAGAAATTCTGGTATAAGTCTGTGAGGGATGGGTGAGTCTCAGGACTTATGCTGAGCAGTCTCCCAATCTAAGCAACATTAGTTGAGTACAATGTCGACGAACTACGCATGAAAAGTACCTCGCAAGCATCAGCAGCTTTTTCAGCACACAGAAGCAGCAAGTGTTCGTCAACACTCTGTTGAAGCAAGACCGGACGCATCGTTAGAAGAACCGCTTGAAGGTAGAAGCCCTGCTTCCTTGTGTCGCTCTGTCGGGGAAGGTTCTTAGGAATGTTCTGAGGTGCTGTTGCTCTCCAGTTATCTAGCTCAGAAAGTAGTCTCTGCACATCTTCGTAAGTCGGTGGGAGCGCATGTGGCCCAAAAAGTCTTGTCCTAATGTTGAGCTTGTCAGCAACTCTGGTGATACTACCGCCCAGTGATGATAATCATACATAATTCTTGATTTCAAGCGATAAAATTCGAGATGATGCAATGCAGAGCTGATCTGACAAAATGTGAGACCCAGAGAGCTCACTGAACAATTCGCCAAACACACCGATGTCAGTCCACCTATCTGACTACCATCTTCGCCAGCTCTCTGGCGGAACTGAAGATCTTTGATTTTGTCCGAATCTGTGCAGTCAATGTCAACGTTCACCGGGGTCTACTCAGACAGTTAGCTGATTCAAGGTCGGCGATAGCATCACATCTTGCCTCGGCATCAATATCCAAATCGTGGATTCCGAAAGGGCGTCGGGCCAAGCTCGCTACAAGGCTTCCAAATGTCAACAAGTATGCCATAAGAATATGCTAGACATCACTACCGATCAAAGCAATAAGCACACCAGAAAAATCTCTTCTGTAGTTCAATTGCGAGGGGGTCCATGACGTTGGTCTTTGAAGATGTTGTCCGGTGATAGCCAAGCTCGATGCAAAGGCGCATGATGATGCCGGAAAGATGCCTTGAATCCGGTAAGTGATACAGGTCTGATTACAGGGAAGGCGTTGATACCAGACTGATGGTCCTCCCTGGGAGTTGACGAGTATGCGTTAAGGATCATTCACTGGGTTGACTTACGGTTGTTCGGAAGTGATATTGGCACAGGCAAAGCAGCGCTTGCACAGTAGTTGAGTTTTGAAGTGTCAAGATTGGGTGCAAATATTTGAGTGCACGCGCGAAGTAGGCCTGAACATTTCAAATGAATGTCTATCAGAGTCCACATCTTTAGAAAACATACCCTGGGCGGATACTCCGGGTTGGAAACAAACCCAGCCCCGATGGCATAGATGATCCAAATAAAGTATGCTCCTGGAAACGAATGAGCGGGCTTCCTGTGTCTTCGATATTATGTCACATGTTGATACAAGAGCCCTACCAGTTTGAGTGTCAAGATCGTCATCTTTTGTCGAATAGCAGATGGTATCTCTACGTTGATGCCACTCCCGCAATTGGACCCAATCAACGATACAATAGCGTGCCTGAATGTAAAGGTAGACAGTCTCGAGCAGAAGATGGCCAACCTCTCTTGATGGAAGCTCAGGTAAGGTAGTCGCCTGCATCTCAGATGTTGAGGTTCCTCCTTGGAGCATGTTGAAGCTCGTGATTTCGGAGGTCGACTCAGGCGACTTCTGCAAGCTGCTATGAGACAGTCAGGTTCAGTAGATCAGAAGGTCTCTTGTGACATGCCTCTCAACAAGCTAAAGAGATGTTAGCAGCGGGAAACATAGTCGAGATCCTTGTTGAGATGAGTAGATACCTCTGTGAAGGAGAAGGTGCCATTTGCCGAGTGACTACCCCTTTGGGACTTTGCAACAGCCCTTGTCCTTCGTCCCGGAGACGTAGAAACTGCTGGAGGATTAGCAGGTAGTTTATCGACGAGCAGTGAGACAGTACAATGGTCATTGGATTGCCTAATTCCCTCATTGTCTACCAGGCGATCCCGAAGAGGTGTTACAGTTGTGGCGCTGCGGAGCTCGGATTCAAGTGAAGCGATGCGAGCTTCAAGGGTTGCAACATATCTGCGGTTGTTTAGGAGAATTCTGAGACCCAGGTGATTGAGGACACCTACTCTGAGCCTCTAGGAAGGCCGTCTGAAGGCACATCGAAGACACAATCTGCGGTCGACGTTGTTAGAGACGCTCACCTGTGCAGTCTGAGGGAGAGAGATACCTGAATTTGCCCTGCCGCACGCCGCACATTTGCTGATTCTGTCAAAGAGTGTGTAAACAAAGCCTCGATATAACTCACTCCTGAATTTGGCCTATGAAGTGGCATTTCAGCTTCTTACTTTTGCAACGGTGACCTGAGGGCTGAGTATCAGTCTATGCCGGTCACGAACAAGACCATCAGGATCAATTACAAGCATTGGTACTCCGTCGCGTTGGGCCAACGGTGATTTCTGCCCGTCTCCGTTTTTGACTCCTACCACCAGTATCTTGAAGTGCACTGGTGCCTTCAGGGATATCCATCCGTCTGCTGTGTTGACTCTGTGCCTAGTGAGGCCCAAAATACCGGGTATCAAGGTAGCTAGGAGATTCTTGAGGTTGGGGCATCTTGTAGTTCATAAAGTGCCCTTGGAGAGATAGAAGTAACCCCCTAATCAATGTACTGCAGGTACCAAAGGCTAGGCGGGGTTGACGCCGCTCTAAGCGAGACCTTTAACTAAATTCCTGCCCCTCCATCTTTATCGCGCTAGCAAGTATCAGAGCATACCCTTACACATACTCGCTCCCTGCAATACCAACGTCTACGAACTATCAACCTTCAAAATCGTGCTTCTGTCCTTAGGATGATCAGATACTGTGCTTGTTGGACGACTTCATTTGTGGAATTTTCCTCGCACACATCTTGACAGAGACACATCCGCATAGTATGCGACGCACTGCCTGCGAACGATGCAGGGCTCAAAAAATAAAGGCAAGACCAGACAACCTGATTGATGCCGTGTTAGGCATAATCCAGACCTGACCAACGCAGTGTACCCCGAACAAACCTTGTCGACCATGCCTTCAATCTGGATCCCAATGTGTGGCTCCTGGTTTACGCCTCTCTCGGAATCGACAGCCACTCATCGCACCTGCGACTGTTGACACGCCGGTGATGCTGCAGGAGAGCAGTATCGTGGATCTTGGCAAACAGGTGAGATTTCCCTGCCACCACAGGCCTAGGCCCCTTTTGATGACGAGAGGTAGCTGCTTGACCACGACCAAGTAATGCACCCATATGGAAGTGTCGATGCCATCCCGGGCAGTCTAGCCTTTCGAATTGATCAATCTACCGCCTTCCGTTGGCGTGACGAACTGCCGTATGAACTTCCAGCAGTTGAAGTACTGGATGTGTTGTCGGATAGTTATTTCAACTCAGTCAATTGGTTCATGATGGCAAGTCTGTCCTGACGGTCACACTGCTCATCTGTGGGTAATACCGATCGCCCAGATGAGCAGTGGATGAACTGACCTATACGCAAGCTTACGGTGATAGCTGACATCGAATCACAGGTATTGGATCAAGCCAAATTCCGAGCACGGTCAAGCCGAGCACTAGCAAACGAATACATCAACATGGATGACCGCAATTTTGTCTTCTTGATGTCCTTGATTTGGGGGCTTGGAGCACATTACATCTGGGCCAATCCTGCGACGTCCTCCAGCATGCCGATTCCCACATCCTTGCTCGCGGAGATGATGAAAGTGGTCGATGTTGCATATTCAAGAATAACAGCTAGCCCAACTTTGGAAACCGTTCAGATCGCCATCCTGTTAGGAAGCTTTCACTTGTTCAATGGCTCACCATATCTCGGCTTTGCTATCTTTGGAAGTGGCGTCCGATGTGCCCAAGCGATCGGTCTTCATCGACAACCACGTACTAGTAGTAGCACGGGAGAATCCTGCTTAGTTTGGTGGGCTCTGGAAATCAGTGACAAGTCTGTTGAACACCCAGCGATGCTTCCCTTATATCTAAGATGTTGTCAGTATGCTGATTTCCTCAAACGCAAAGGTATGCTGCTGTCGCATTTGGGTTACCATGCGGTGTCGATGACTCGGATTGTGATGTACCAGAAATCAACGACAAGGACAAATCACAACCAGATGACCCGGTGTCATCAATCAATTTGACATATCACAAACTCAAAGGTCGCCTATACAGGATTATGGGCCCATTCCTCGGTCGTAAAAAGCAGACGAACCAACTTCGAAGTCTCCTTCACGTTCGTCGAGAGCTGAAAGAGTGGCATGCAAGCGTACCAGAATGGCTCAAATGTAGCACCGATAGTCCAGAGTTCAATCGTCGGCCAACCCAAGTGCAAATGCAAGCCGTCGCTCTCCAATTGGCTTACGATAACCTTCAAATGGTACTGTTCAGACAGGCAGCGTTCCCAAGAAACAGGTGGGAATACCCTGTTGATCGACATCAAGCCGAAGCGATCAAAGATCTCTCCGAGGCCGCCATTCGTACCGCCAGCATCTCAACTTTTGCCGCTGCTAGACTGATTTGCCAGTCTTCTCATGCTGCGATGCATGTTGCGATCTGCTCATTCACAGCTGGGGTCATCTTATCCCTGATGATCGCATCGCAACCAAACGACCCAGAGTCGTCTACCCAGCTGGAATCGCTGAAGAATATCATTAATTTGTTCGAACAATTCCCGAGTCAGAACTATCGACTAGCTACTCAGAGCTTGACGCTCTTGAAAGCATTAGAATTCCGTGTAGACCCTCAACTCGCCCAAGGGTCAGGTGAAGATATCAGGTTCAGCAACAGACATTCATTGCACTGTAAGTTTCAACCTAGGCTGCCACACACTTGAATCTTTTTTCGGTTTGTTGTCGTCGTCGAATCCTACTGAGGAGTGCCACTAGATCAACCCAAAAGGAATAACCCTGGGCCTGTTCAAGACTTGGCAATGATGGGTGAGGACAACAATAATACTCCTAATACTGCAACCAATATTCTGGAATTCAACTTTGGAGATTTGGGCTTTTCATCAAATGCTGGTGGTCCCCTTGATGACGTTGGGCAGCTATGGTTGTGGGACGATCTTTCGAACGAGAACTGGATGCCGAATTTCCAATAGATTAGGATTACAAAATCAGATATCTCTCTTCGGCCGGAAAGACGAACGTTTTTGACAGATCTCTGTCGTATCCCAATTTGTTCCTTGGCCTCGTCGCGACCGAGTCAGACTTTGGCCTCGACTTGACAACGGCATTTCTCCTCGATCAAAAAGCTCTTTCTCTGCGGGGTCGGGACAATGACATCAACAACGCCTGCAAGGTTTCGTTCGGATTGCAAGCAGTTTTGATTGGAAGTATGTCCGGAAGTGTATTTTTGAGTTGCTCAACCCAGTTGTACGGGCGTAGTTGAGAAGATCGATCATACTATAATCACGGAGACTCCGCCAATCAAAGTTGCACGATGTCCGAGCATGGAGAACCCGTTCTCTCCCTTCAACGCGTCGCTTACGAGAGTTTCGTGCCAACGGACAAGCTTCAATTCTGATGTCAACTACGGCTGATGTTCCAGAGGGCAGTGCAAAGGTATAAAACAACCAGCATGGATCGTGACATAGTGTTTGGACAACACATTCTGCTTCTCCGACTTCGTTCTCACCTGTCATGGCTTCCAACTCATCAGAACGTAAACCGGTCCCCGACCAGGCCGAACACGACGCCTGGTTCCCATCACCATTCTCTTTGACGCAATACGTCCCCCCAAAGACCGATTTCGACGGTGCAGATTATCCCAATGCGTACAAAGGTGGTAAATGGCGGATCCTTTTGATTGCAACACAAGAGCGCTACTTGAAAATGTCTGGTGGTGAATTTTTCTCGACGGGCAATCATCCAGTCGAGATGCTCCTTCCCGTACTTCACCTCGACGCTGCTGGCTTTGAGGTCGACATCGCTACAGTCTCTGGCGATCCAGTCAAATTCGAGATGTGGGCGTTCCCGAAGGAGGATGAGGCTGTCAAGAACATCTTTGAAAAGTACAAGGATAAGCTCCGTCAACCACTTAATCTGGAGAAAGTTTGGGGCGACGGTTTCAACAAAGACACACCGTACATCGGTGTGTTCATTCCCGGCGGACACGGCGTCATGAACGATGTCCCATTCTCGCCAACGGTGGGCAAAATCCTCAGATGGGCAGACGCGAATCAGCGCTACTTTATCTCACTCTGCCACGGACCTGCTTCAATGTTGGCAGCCAACGTGGGCAAACCTGAAGGGAGTGATTTCATCTACTCCGGTTACAAAATCAACGTCTTTCCCGATACACTCGATACTGGCGCCAATATCGATATAGGATACATTCCTGGAAAGATGCCTTGGCTCGTTGGCGATGAGCTTCGCAAACTCGGCATCATACCCATCAACAAGGAAATCACGGGTGAAACGCACCGCGACCGGTATGTGCTTACGGGTGATTCGCCTCTGGCTTCGAATAATCTAGGAAAGCTGGCTGCTCGTACTATCCTGGAGGAGCTTCCACAACGGTCTTGATGACAAAGTGCTTTGAAAGGGATGGGTAGCTAGTAAATACTTCATTCGAATTGATACGCGATTCTAAAACATGCAATGCTTCTAGTAGCCCGTAATTGACGCCTGAACTCAATAGGGTATTCGGTGCTACGTAGGCCAGGGCAAGTCTAGTTCGGAGTCGGGGCCCCCCAGATGAGTTAGGTAGGTCGGGGTTGGCATGGGGCGGGAAAGAGTCATATACTGTAAGGCTTAAAGTCCTAGAATAACGCAGCATTGAAATTACCTGCTCGAGTTTAGCGTCTAGACTTCACCTCTTTGCGTAATTCCGCCCTCTCTCCCAGTCAGGATCAGACCTCAGCTAGAATCGGTCCAGGTCAACTATCAAATCGCTACTTGCCTCGTCTTTCTGACCTACCCAGCAGAACTGCCTGACTTACAGTTCACAAAAGTCGCCGTTCTGAACGCCCGACGGACGTAGCCATGGTTTCGCATTCACTCAACGAAAGTCCAGGAAGATGCGAGTAAAGTGCGCCCCGCTACTTGGCTGCTACAAATCTCACCTTCAAGTATAGCAAGCAGCAGCCTTCTTCTCCGAGGTCGTGCGTGGTGACTCGCGTTACATATCTGCATACGTTGAACTGCATTCGATAGTATCACTGATGAATTACCAAGTAATTGGCGGAAACAGATGTCTGGTTCCGACAAACAACCCATCGCGTCTCAACTCCAACGGCCATGTCCGGGAAATCAACACACTAGAATGTTTATGGAAGGTGTTGGCGGGCAATTCGACCAACCTATATAACGTCGGGGGTTACTTTTTTGGATAGTAATTATATGTACCTTTATGATTCACATCAGGAGGCCTTGAGGACCTTTTTATTGTGTCTACTTTATTTTTTTCCATACGTTCAACGGTCATAGATTAGAATTCCTCCTCCTCGATACGAGAACCATCTGAAGTCTTCTTCCCCGTTCCCTCTACCATCCATCCATCATTACATTGCAGCCGCCATGTATCTGCGAGCGGCCCACGCAGAGTTCAACGTCCCCGCGTTACGCAACTTCATCAAACAAAACCCTCTGGGTTTATTCATCACGGCCGTCTCGTCGGCCAACTTTCCAACCATCCAATGCACGCACATCCCGTGGTTGATCGACGTCCAGGACGAATCGAGCGAGGCCGAATTGGGCAAACTCCGTGGACACATGGCCAAGGCCAATCCTCACACAAAGGCATTGATCGAAGCAGTACAACAACAATCTTCTGGCGGTGGCACTCTCGGCGAAGACGTCTCCATCGTGTTCACGGGTCCGGTCCATCACTACGTCACACCGAAATTCTACGTCGAGACGAAACCCAGTACTGGCAAGGTGGTCCCGACTTGGAATTATTCTGCCGTACAGGTCTACGGGAAAGCCAAGGTGTATTGTGATGACGGCCCGGACACTGGGACGTTTCTCCAGACACAAATCAGTGACTTGTCGAACCACGCCGAGACAAACGTGATGGGGTACACGACAAAACCTTGGACCGTGGATGACGCTCCCACAAGGTACGTCGACATCCTCAAAAGGAACATTGTCGGAATCGAAATCGAAATCACCCGGTTGGAGGGCAAGTACAAAATGAGTCAGGAGCTGGGAAAGGGGGACCGAGAAGGTGTGATAAGAGGGTTCGAGACCATAGGGACGGATGAGGCTTTGTCGATCGCCAGGACGGTGGAGGATAGGGGGAACCTGAAAGACGCTCAGGCGCAGGCTCAAAAGGCCAAAGCATCGGCATAGCACAAGTTCCACACCGAAGAGACACTACTTATACCTGGTCAGCTGGAAGGGATCAATCTCCCCGGGAGCAACATCAGAGGCCTCAACATGCTGAGCATGGCATGCCTGCAAGCCCGAGGAACCAAGGAAACTTCTGAAGATCCGGTAGTACTCCTTTTGACTGTGCTATATACTCAATAATAAACCAGTACTATGACATATGCTCCATGAACGCCTTCAACCTTGTAAGATTCCACCCCAGTCCCATGGGTATCGCTGAGAAAGACTCCTTCTGTCTAGGAAGACGAAAACACACATACAAAAATCATCCAAGTGCGCCGCATACTTGCGTGAGGAGGTATCATCTTTCGTCATCCATCATCATGATTTTTCCTTTTCATTTCCCATCGCATGGAATTCCAATCAAGGTTGGTGGTACCAACCATGCATGTCATGATCATTGTTTGTCCGCGACCTGACCTCACTTCGAAGGTAATGCCGTCTCAAGTTTCTCACTCGACGACAGCGTACTCATCCACCCACTCACGCTCGTAGGGTCGACACTGTCACCGAAACTCACGCTGTCGTCCAAGATCACAATGCTCGCCGTGCCAGTGCTGCCCGTCCCATCCAAAATGACCGCGACCTTGACCGTCTTGTCCGTGGGCCGAGCGAACCAATTACTGGAACCCAGTGAGTGCGCGCCGTGCCAGGTGGACTTGCACTTTGTGTTGCCCGAGTTGAGCACCTCGAGGATGTCGAACTCGCCGCATCCCGACTGCCAGCACGAGCAGCTGCCGTACTGTTGCGTGCGTGGGACCTGGGCGTTGAGCATCCACGCCGCGGGCATGTCGGCGTTGAACCCCGTCTTGCCTGACAAGGGCATCTGGAACTCGGCGAGGAACAACTTGGACGCACCCCCAAAGCCGTGGTACGCCACGGACCCGGGCCGGTAGTAGTCGCATCCCGCTTCATTTTCGGCGGTGCACTCGTTGTCCGTCATGATGACGAATTCCTGATTGTCGCCCACGAGGGTGTCGGCGAGGGTGACGGGGCCCGAGGAGCCCGAGGTGGCGTCGGCGTTGGAGTACGAGAGTGAGTTGCCCCAAGTGTAGTCGAATACTCCGCTGCCTGTTCCACCAAAGTGGTTGAGGAAGACGAGACCTGAAGCAGTGCCGGATTCGGCGTCATAATATGCTTGGCGAGTCCAAGTGCCACTCCCACCGCCGCCACCGTTGGTTGGACTCGAGGTTGAGGCGCTTGATGTGGTGGTGCTTGAGGATGTTGGAAAAGACGATTCTGAAGTCGAGGAGCTGGAGACTTCTGCAGAGGACGATGAGGAGGGAAAAGATGGTATTGAGGTCGAGGAGCTAGAGATTCCTGCAGAGGATGATGAAGATGGAAGAGAGGACGTCGAGGAGGTAGGGAAGACCTCGGAGGAAGTGGCTGTGGGTGAGGAAGTAGGAATCACCTCCGAGGAGGTCGTGGTGGATGGGGAGAGAGTTGTTGGATAGGATGAGGAGGAGGGCGTGGGAATCATAGGGGGGGATGTCGTTGTCGTGGATGTCGTAGACGTCGTGGAGCTCGATGGTGAGTTGTCGGAGGTCGTGGTGACGGTAGCAGTGGTAGTAGCTTCCGTAGATGAGGCGGGAGATGAAGTTGAAGTTGTTTCCTGTGATGTACTTGAAGAACTGTGACCTCCATCACTGGTGGCTTCCGAGGAGGACGGCAACGACGTCGTCGTCGAGATTGGTGTGGTTGGGACGACTGAGGTGGCAGCATCGGTGCTTGATTGTGCAGACGATATCACGCTCGTTGCAAATCCTGATGTCGCACCAGGGCCAGGGTAAGTGTTGGGCCAGGATGTGACTTGTCCATCGATGGTCGCCGTCACCCAGACCGTGTCGAAAACGATCTCTGTCCAAGTGCGGGTCGAAGGCCCATCGTCTGAACCTGGACCAACTCCATCACTAGGTCCTGATGGTGTTGCATCATTTCCACCCACCGGGTCAGTATCTGAGCCTGGTTGCGGTGAGCCTCCTGTCCAGAGCTTCTTCCAAGATGTCCAATTACTTCCATCGTCGCGCTTTGCCTTTGCAGCTACATTGGCGGCGATTTCTTGCTTGAGTTGGTGGAAATGGCGATGGGCGGCGTATCTTCCGACGTGCTGCGACCGATGGTGGTGCTGGTCTTGAGATCGCTTCGTCTTTGAAGAACTCGATCCGAGGCTGTAGAATGCAAATTGTTTGAGTTGAATTGGGCCACGGAAGTGCCACGATACCTGTTCGGGTCTTGTCAGCCATTGTCTATGCGCCAAAGAAACCGAGGGAAAGAGAGTTCGGTGCTCATCATATACAATACATACCTCGTCATTAAAAGGGGCCATTCCACCTCCGTAACTGGCAGGCTGGAAATCGCATTGCCCTCCTTGCATGTTCGTGACTTGTTGATACTGACCAGCAGTACCGAAATTTGAGTACGAGATGGCTTCCATTTGACTGCAATACCAGTTGCCACTTTCTTCTGTACAGCCTGCCCCTTGTGCAGAGGCTGTGCCAGCGGTTGCCGCAAGGGCGATGCCGGGCAATACTACCCTTGAGTATATCATCTTTAGAGTGTGAGTTGGTTCGGGTTGCTGGGGTTGACGATTTTTTCCTTTCGTCCTTTGCTTTATGTATACAACTTCTCCAATTAGTCAACTGCAAGGGATGTGTATGTTGCAATTCGATAACAAGTATGTTTCATAGAATAGCAGTGATGGCAATGAGCAAGCAGGTAGTGCTCCCGAGTAAGGCGCGCAGTTAGCCAGCACCAAATGGTAAAGAGTGTGTAAAAAAAGAGAAAGAGAAAAAGGTCTCGACACGAACCCGTTCCAAAGAGTGTTGAGGATGGGTTTTGTCGTTGGGTTTTTATTGTTCCCATTGTTGCGTTTGTCTGGGACGAGTCACCTTATTCAAGTACGCCTCTGACGATGAATGGGAGAAACCAAAAGGTCTGTGTTCACCGTTTGCAGTTGTGGCTGGCAGCCCAAGTGAATCTTTTTACGAACAGTGACGCGGTGCGGCGCGGAGCACTGGGCATCAAAAGCGCCAATAAGCGACTCAGTGAACCTGAAACATCGTGATCAAATCCGAGTATCTGGCTGAAAACGAGTACTTGGGACGACAAAGAAGCGTCGAGACTTTCGGGGCTGACCCCTGACATATGTCCACCTTAGATGGTCTGCACGCGGGTGTGTGGAAAGGGCGTAGCTCACGGTCCATGTCAAGAGACAATCGCAGCCACGATGTCAGAAAGATAAAGGAATTTCAGGTGAGGTGAGAGAGAAGTGAGGAGTACGTAGTCACGGTAAGAAAGAAAGATTGGTCAAAGCGGACGTGGTCGAGGCAACGAGGCTTTATGTCAGGCGTCGCTGTCATTGGCTCAGCGGCGCAAGGCTCGGACAACTCAGAACAAAGCCTGGTCAGCCATGCCATGAGCACGGATCTCTCTCCATCCCCAGCATACCAGCCTCAGAAAAAGCCCACCAGCCACCACGTCTTCGGTCTGTGGCATCGTATGGTTCATGTCAAGTAGTACTCCGTACATCTTGCTACCTTTCCCAGCCTCGTCGCCACTGACACCATGCCGTGATAGCCACCTCATCCTCTGTTGCAAACATGGTGGATGGCGTGAGAAAAAGACTGTGCACACCTGGCTGGACACCTCCACTGACGCGTTATGGCTGAAGTGCCTTGATAATAAAAGAGGTGGCGTGTTCAATGCCAAAAAAAAAGGCGTTGGGCGGTGAGGGAGGCGTCACCCCCATGCAGCGCATCGACGCTGAGGTGCACCAGGCTTACGAGGCCTACAAAGTCAGTATGATCAGTATCCTACACCGGCATCGAACAGGACCTTATGTAACCGACGACCTCTACAGCGCATCAGAGACAATGTAGGTGACGTCTACCATCTGACCAAATTACTGAAGTCATGAGGTATGGATTGGGGTATCTTGATATCTAAGATTCAAAGCCACCAAAAAGGGCTTCATTCAGCCTGGCTTTAGCTGAGGCAACCTCCCAAACTCCAACAATGCGTAATCTCATCATCATAAACATTGAGCCGGCCATGTACGGCCTCTAACGGCTCTTGACCTTGGTCCAGCCACTCGTTCCCCTTCCCTCGCCACCACCAATCTTTCTCGATTGATCGTACTCCTTTCCATCCATTCCACGGGTTCTAACGACGACCGCGTCGTCCATCTTCTCTCCTCCATCGTCCCACTCTTGTTCGTCCAAGAGCTCCCACTCGGCCGTATTCATTTCACCAAGGAGATGCTTCTTCAGCGGATCTTTGATCATGGTGTACTTGTTGAGGCGCCAGTTGCGAGCTGGATTGTCTCTAGCAGCAGCGGCAGAACCGAGGAAGGTATGAGCTGACGTATGAGAGCCTGAACCAAGACGGCCGACGCTCATTCTGCTTTCAGAAGAAGGCGACGATGTGCTCTGGGAGCGACGTTGACGAATCTGCAAGTCCCGCTGAGTAAGGGTTCGAAATGTTGCTGGTGACTCTGGCTGTGCAATGATCATCTGATGTAGGTTACGACCGATGTCGCTGATATCTTCCCACAATTCAGTGCCTTGGACGAAACCTTGAGTACGACAAAGCCAAGCAATGTCCCATGCCAGAAGAGAAATGCCCTCTATGAAGAAGTTGAAAGCAAGGGGTTCCTTTTTTGCATATTGTGAAACAACTTCCGTGGCGTCAAAGGAGCCGATGAATAGTGGACGTGGTCGAGAGAATGAGCTGAGATCGACTCGAGATGCACTGGGGCTACTAGGTGCAGACAGGCTTGAGCCTGAGCCAGGAAACGCAATGCGGTGTCCAAAGTAAGATGTTTGCGGCGTATTGATGGTGGAAAGGGGATAGTCTCGATGAGGAAGTGTGATCTCGGCAGGCAATCGAAGACCGAGATAGTAGGCGCAGAGAAAGACCAAGCGAGCAGTGTTGTCAAGGGCCGCAGTGAGGTCAACACAGCGAACATCTTGCGAGTCTGTCAGTATGGCTCGGATCATGATCAGGAAAGAACTCACTGTTGATGTCCTTGAGATCGGGGAGAGGAAGTTGTCCAATCATGTAGCAATCCTTGATCTCACCGTCTTTGGTCTTCTTTTTGGCATGTCGTAGACCCAATAACAATGCAGACTCTCGGCATAAAACCGCTTTGGCATCGACGACTTTGTTATGGACCATGTCATGCTCAGCCTTCAGTTGCATACCCTTCTCTCTGAACTCTGCCAAAGCTATGTCCTCACGTTTGGCTTGAGCGACCCTTGCAGCTGCCAGATTGGCTCTGCGGTCTTTGAGGATGCGTTCCATCTCGTCGCGTTTCTCTTCTTTGAGTTCTAATTCTTTCTGAGCGATGACTAGGCGGCGTCTCAGTTCTGTATGTTCTTCGTGGAGGATCTGAGCCTCAGAGGACTCGACTTGAGAATGATAGGCAGATCTGAGGATGGCCAGCTCATTGTCGTATGGTTCAGCCGGATCTGTATCAGCAATGATAGCCTCAACCTTCTTGCCGAAGCCTTCTTTCTCTATCAACACTCGTGCAAGTTCGAGCCGAATTGCATACAGTGTGCTTTGCGCACAGCTAGTGCAGTTTGGACCAACCTCTTGAGTGAGGTGAGTCTGACAGATTCCACAATCCATCTCTTTTGGTTTTGCTTTTTCTGTCTCAACACAGACAATGTCCGCATCGGGGTTCAAGGGATCTTTGATTTCGTGTTCGGTAGTAGGCTCGATGGTCGCGTCCAGCGACCATTCTGGTGGGGTGCCGGGATAGGAACTGCTGTCATGATGTTAGACTCTCGTCTTGAATGTCGTGAGGATTGTGCATGGAAGCACGATCATGTAGACACGGTGGTCATGCTGAGGCTCACTGATAACAAAGGGACTAGGCATCACATACCTGGAAGAACGTCGCTTTAGCCAAACGGTTGGCCGGAGTCTGGGCGTTCTCGGCCACATGACGAAATGGTGCCGACAGAGCCTGCTCACGTGAGTTCGTGAAACGCTAGCAATCCACTAGTCAAAAGGGGAAAAGTCTCACGGGATGGCCCGAGTGCCGTAGAATTGCCGAAGATGTGTTAATGTGAGGATTGTCGTGTGCAATCATCCAACTTTCTTGTTGTCGTTGATTAGAAATATATATCAAGAAGAACAAAAAAAAGGAATGATGGAGATGTCAAACAATGCGCTGGATCAGTCACTATCTGCCTCACCTCGCCTGGGTGGTGAGCAGACAGACACGGACGCAGTTACTGCCGTCAACTCATCTCCTTTGCCAACCAGATCTCGACACGCTCAAACTCCCAGTGTCACGACAAGAAAGAGAACAAACGACGAAGTCTACGAACCAGTTCAATCACCAATTCGGAGCCCGACAGCTATCAAATCATCAAAACAACACAATAAAGCCGAGAGCATATTCAAGCTAGAGACTGGGGATGGCGGGACCAATCCGAATCGACCTGTCGGCACTGGCGGCGTTCGTCGCGATGAAGAGCCTGGATCGAAAGCGAAAGCAGTTCCAGGACAAGATGCTGACTACGGCCAAGGAGAAGCTCAAGAGTCGAATGAGGATGGCTCGGGAGAAGAACTCGTCAAACGAATCGAGCGATGTCAACAAGACTTCCAAGTAGCGTTTGAACAATTCAAACAATCACTGTCAGAGAGAGACAAGACTGCTGAATTGGAGTCTTTGGATTGGGACGAGCTAGAATTACGCTATCAGAACGAGATTCAACCAAAAATTGCTGCTGAGCAAGACATCATGGACGAGTTCCAGGCCCGATTTCAGGCAAGTGAAATTTACATGTCTGACTTCCACGACTAATTGTACCACAGCAATTCATGTTGTACATGCAAGTATGCAATGAATACGAGGCAGAACGTGCTATCAAGAGATTACGGACGAGAATTGCGATTGCTGAGACTGCCGAGTCTTCCTTGGCCAAGAAGCAGGCTCATTGTAGGTGTTCGGTCTGAGCCAGGAGGATCATGTTAACAAACCTTACAGACTGGAAGGTCCTCCACGCGTTCCAGAATGCAATGGAACTGTTGGCAAATGTTTGATGGATTACTTCAAACAGAAACTAACCATATTGAGGTTCTCTCGGACGCGTAACGACGGGAGGAGGTGGTGGTGAACTACGTCGAATCACAACACACAGCCATGCAATTCCGAAATAACCGAATGACTTCTTGATGGCTTTGTGATTTCTTGTGCCACATGTCTTTGCCCAACAATCACATGATAATGAGCCTGATGTATAGATGACATTAATGCCTGACGATACCACCTCCAAAGCGGACAATGATCTGCTGTCCCGCTTGAATGCTCTCAAGAAATCCACCGTGACCTTTGACCAAACAACGTAGGCCCGTACTTTTGTATCATGAGGTAAACTACGCCCCATGCTGATGATGATAGCTCTCAGTCACCACGTCCGCCCGGTCCTTCGCCACCCTTCGATGCTGCTCCTGCGCGCGACCTACACTCGGAATTGTTGACGCGATGGAAGTCTCTCGGAGGCAATACTGCCACCACGGGCGGCGATTCAGCCACGACCTCGGCAGAGAAGGCGGAAGATGACAAGACGGTAGAGGAACTCCTTGCGGATCTTGGGCCGTCAGACGAATGGGATGTCGGGAAGAGTGAGGAAACACAGGTCGAGGATTTGCTGAAATCTGCAAAATCTGCGCTTGACAATAATCATATTCAAGAAGGCCAACAAGCAGAGTCAAGGGAAGGAGACGATACGAGACAAGATCCTGCTCGACTACCTGCTATCGACATTTCCGTCTTTCAGCCCGAACCCCAGTCTGACGAAGAAGATTCGGTCGCAGGTAGACGTGGCAAGATAACGAAAGCAAACTTCGATCAAGAGGCGGATGAGTTACTCGCGAGAATCCTGGACGAAGTCAAACTTGAACCTCCAGAACCAGAAGAGCAAGATGATAGACAGGACGATGACAAGGACTCGGCGAGAGCCAACAACAAGGACGATGCTCATGGAACAGATGGGGTTCAAGAAGGGCTGCCTTCTCTCGATCTACCTTCGACCCCGTCTAAGGATCCCGAACCTGCACCTAGCGCTGACGAGCACGACGAGGACCAGGACGAAGATCTAGCAAGTCGCTTTGCAAGTCTTTCACTGCCTTCAGTACCGACCACCATTCGGAGCACCAAAACTTCTACTCCGAAGACAAAATCGGGCGCGGGGACAGGTTTCACGGACGAGGAAATCGATACGTGGTGCATCATTTGCAACGACGATGCTACGCTGCGCTGCATCGGCTGTGACGGTGACCTGTACTGCAACAGTTGCTGGGTCGAAGGTCACCGAGGCGAGGACGCGGGTCTCGAAGAACGAAGACACAAAGCCATACAGTTTGTCAAGGGCGGCGGAAAGAAAAAAGCACCCAAAAGGAGAGTCATGATGGGCGCTTGACGTGGGGGACGCCTCTGGATTTTTTACAACACAAAACAAATTGCCTCCGTTTGGTCACCTACACGTGATTCACCCCTTCGACACTCTTCTCGTCCCTGTCCGGCACGACCTTGACGGCACGGTCTTGATCTGCACCGACACTCCCCGGCGGCACGACCCAATACACAACACCATGCAGGACACTCGCGGCCAGCGGTCCCACCCAGTTGATCCAATGCCAGACGGGGAAGTGACTGCCCACAAACACGCCGAAACATCTCGCGGGGTTCAGAGCGGCACCGCCACTGCCCGGGGCAGAAAATGCAAAACACAAAGCGCTCGCTCCGGCCGCGAGTCCGACCAGGATGGGGGCCAATGCCGGGCCGAAGATTTCCTTCTGCCTGGGGTCCAGACCGACCCCGAACGCCATGACCAGCAGCAACAGACTGCCCATGAACTCGATGACGAACTGCGACGATATCCGTGTCGGTTCGTCCGTGAACAAGAAGCAGCCTCCGACTTTGAAAGACCGGGTGCCCGCGGCGGCGCGCAGCAAGAGACCCGCGAGCGTCCCGCCCAGGGTCTGCGCGGCGACGTACAGGACCAGACGTGGGAAGGTGGCGAGCCGGGCGAAGAAGGTGGCGAAGGTGATGAGCGGGTTCAAGTGAGCACCGGAGATGGCGCCGAAGCAGTAGATCAGGATGGCGATGAGGACGGCGTTGATGCACGCGGCCACGAGCGGGCCCAGGAACGCGACGGTGCCGAAGACGCCCGACGTGGGCGACGGTGTCGGTGGTGGTATGTAAGGTGAGAGGGAATTATACGTCGATCCAAACACCAAAATCATGGTTCCTGTAACACCACGCCCATCGTCAGCCTTTCTTTTGCCTGCGTACCTGGGTACGTAGTCAATCGTCCCCAGGTGGGGGATCCCTCGTTCGTTCGGCGGAAGATAGGATCCTGTACCATGATGAACGTACCGAAACATTCCACAATCGCGGCCTTCCACAATCCTCCTTCGGTGAAGCCACGTAACTCGAAGATCTCACGGAGGTTCAAATTCGGTGCGGCATCGGGGACTCTCTGAAGGACCTCTGCGTTCGCCGGGTCCGACCGGTCAAGGATGAATGTCTGGTTTCCTCCCAGACGACCCGCGAAAGGAATCATTCCCGTGGTTTCTGACCTCATCCCGTGGGCGTCCGAATGGTGTTTTGTCGTTTGTTGTTGTAATGGAGTCACCACTGGACGAAGATGTTGACGATCGTGTCGAGACACGGTGGTGTTTGTGGTTGTATTCGTATTCATATTCGTGTTTGGGTTCGTCGAGCCCATGTGTATCTTCGTGTCACGATCATGTACCCCAGTCGAATCGTACTCGTAACGATGTGATGAACCTTGGACGCTCGGATTTAGCAGGTATGGACGATCGAATGATGTCCCGATGCCGACCTCCCCGGTGGTCATTCTTTTGTTTCTGTCCGTCTTATGGCGCACGCGTAGAATATTGTCGCTTTCTTTCCCTTCTTCTCGTGGGTATCCGTACGTAACGTGTGAATCACCTACGCCGTACAAGCAATATCGATCATATATCCACGGGAAATGTCCCCCCCAATCATATCAGAAAAAGAAAACAAAACAGCACTCTCGCGCAGTGTGTGTGTATGTGAGAAACAATTCGAAGATGAAGTATTTAAGTGCCCTTTTTATTTTTCACTCCGGCTCAAAAAAAGACCCGAGACAGAGTAAGCCATGTTTCCTACTCACGGCAGAACCCAAATGAGGGTTGTGGAGAGTTTTTAATAAGAGATAAAGCGATGTGCCCTCGAAGCTGATTAAGCAAATAATCTGCCCCGTTTCACGAATATGGCTTAGTCTCTCTTTTTTGGTGCTCCAAGTACGGAGTATAACTGAGAAACTACCCGGTACTTTGGTATGTCGTATCATGTACATGTACGTACTCAATACCATGTCCTGATTCCAGATCACCCCCAGAAGAAGAATGTACATCAAATCAAGCCATTCTTCGAGAACCTCATCGACTTCATAGGTAAGGTAGTCAAGAAACCCAACCATATTAGAGGTAAAGACCTGGAATATAGAACTGAAAACATGAGGTATGCATCCATCCGAGCCATAATTATCATGTCAGACTGAACCAGCCCTCTGACCACCATTGCTGCCGCTGCTTCCACTGCCACCACCTACTCATCATCGGCATCATCATCATCATCGTCATCATCCCTCTCAATATGATCATCATCTGGATTCAACAATACTCCAATCTTCGTACTCTCATTCAATATCCTTCGTCCCTCGGCGGCATCAGACAATCTCATATCGGACATGACAAGCTGAAGAGTCAGTTCAGGTACCAGGACGGCACTGACATAACCCCCTACACCCGCAGCTCGAAGGACAGAGTCGGACCCGAGGGCTGTCTTGAGTGTGTCCGTCAAAGAATCCGTAATGACCGTAACCATGATCCTTGTTCCCTTGGGACCATAGTAACCCGGTTGAGCCACATCGACGACCCCATTAGCCAAATACTGCCGGATTGCCTTTCGGTTCCCTTTGGCAGCCTTGATCTTTTCATCCAGCTCATCAAGGTAGACACTCGTAGTTTGCCGGTTGATCAATTTCTTCAGTAGATGCATTTGCTTGGGTATCCGAGACTTTTCCAGGTCTTCCCAGTCAATACGAGGGTATCCTCGTTCCCTGTACAGTTCCTTGGCATCGGCTACTTGGTGTTTTGAACAAAAAGTTTGTTGTTGCTTGAAACTCAACGAACGCAAATTGTCGGGTACAAAAATCGATTCGGAATCGTGGACAGGTTTCTGGCAGATCGGGCAACAAACCCCGACTCCGAAAGGCTGCTCAAATTGGTCCATCAGATCGGCTTCGTTCTCTAGAATGAACATCGAGTTCGCCGATGATAGAGACGAAGTCGAGCCTGATCTGTGTCGAGGCGCTATTGGTTCTTCGAAGATGGAGGGAATGTCTGTTGCAGATGTTGCAGCTGAAGACGTAATGTCAGGCAACTCGGGCATTTGAAAGTCTGAGCCCTTCCGCGCGGTTCTGGCTGATGGTAGATCCGCGACATCTAAAATCTTGCCAGGCCCTCTGGTGGCTCTTGTCGAGTGTTTGCCCGGTAATGGAGCGGCACCAAGGAACTTCCCTTTACTTCCTGAACCATCGTTGTGCTTCTTGACCACTTCATGCGAAACAAAGTCTTGCTTCCCATCTGGTTTGTTGGGCCCCACGTCAAGATCGTCCAGTCGTTCAAACGACTTGCGGTGAGCGTACGTCTGTTGCAGTTTTCTCTTCTGCGAACTTTGTTTCTGAGAGCCTGAGGACAAAAAGTATGGGTCCTGCATGTCGGACAGCCCGGACATATCGAAGGACTCGAGAGACGGTTCGTCCTTCAACTTTCTCCGTTTGCTCCTCGAACTGGCCGCGGTGTGAGCTTGACGTTTCGAGGACGTCCGCGCAGCAGGCAGTGTGTTTCGCTTGGCCGCCGTCTCTACTTCGGCAGAAGAGCCATCCTCATCGTCGCTGCTGAGTGGTGGAGCATATATGGCTTCGAGGTCATCTTCTTTCATCGTGGCAACCCCCATGGCCGCACCTTCGTCGAGGGTATACGAATCGGAGGGAGGAGCGATGGCGAGCGCAGTGTTTCTTCCGAGGACGGTGCGCAGTAGGGTCGGTCCTCTGTAGTTTCTTCGAGTAAGGAACGTCTTTGAATAACTGGAGTTGGGTCGAATCATAAGACACTTGTGGGCTTGTTCCAGCTTATGCTTATTACCGACATGGGGTCGTTGCACTGGATTTTCTCGTTGCTCGACAAGAATGGGCGGAGGTCTGTAGGGCACCAAAACTCAAAGTTGATTTTCCATATTTCCATTCACAAAGTTTCGGATGTTAGATTGTAGTACCAAATTTCGTGAAGACGGATGGGCGGTCATCTTCGTTGTAACTCGAAATGCGGAGATGTATTCACGCGTTGACGCGTGAATACTTGGCCTCGTATAATCATTTTTCCGTTCCCGATAAATTGGTTCGACTCTATCGCAGTCTCGAGGGTCGACAAGGGGCCAGTATCAGTGAACGATTGCTCTGTTTTCGAGACATCTAACAGAATCACGGACAAAGATGTTCTACAAAATTATTTCATTTGCACAGCTCCAGGTCTACCTCATCTCAAATAGCAGATGGCTCTCAATCGACGACGTCACTCCTTTCCGGGTCCTTGCTCTCATGATTGAGGCACCAACAACCTCATCAATGGCTGCATGTTGGGAACCTTCTCCAGACCCCAGAAGTCGTCGATGGCCTTCTTCGTATTGGCGGGCGCCAGCTTGCCTTCGATGGCCTGGTCCTCAAATTTATCGTCTAATTGCTTCTTCGTCATGGGCTTTTCTAATGAACCCGTAGCATATTCGATTACTATCTCCTTGACCATTTCGGCTCCTCCATCGCCCTTGTATGTGAACTTCACGATTGCTTGATTGTCTCTGAAGGACTCATCAGGCTTAAGAACGAGTCGGTCTCTCAAGGCCTTCACGATGGCATTGTTGGCTGCCTCATCCGAGAATTGTTTGATCCCGCCCTTGCCGTAAAACAGTCCAACTGCCAGACCGTGGTAGTTGCTGAACATGGTCTCTGTGAACTTCACAGGGTGCTTCAAGCCGCACAATCTTATCGTCATCGGAGAGACGGTCGCCTCTATTGAGCTGACAATGTCCAGCACATCTTCAGGTCTCCGCTTACCGTCCTTGAACAAGAAAGAGTGCATCTCGATCGCCGCGTCGATGAGAGTATGGATGACGATACCACAAGGGTAGGGCTTGAACGCATTCTCCAGTAATGCCCAATCGCGTTTGCCGTTCTTCTCCTCGAGCAGATGCACAATCTTCTCTGGGTAATATTCCTCGCCCGGCACGCTGATCAGGTTGACCCATTTTTCCAGAGCGTTGGTGCTACTGGTGAATTCTTGTCTCGCCAGACGTGCAGCAAGGATCCCATTCTGTGCGGCTCGCCCAGCGTGCATGATCAGTGTGTCTGTGGCGAAGACGTTCCTCGATCCAGCAGCCATACTACTCGCGTGGCCCATGGCACGCGCCATGCCCGCGGCGTCCAGTTTCATGAGCTTGGAGACCGTCGCCGCGGCACTAAATGAGCCCACGATGCCCGTCAAATGCCAGCCCTTCTTGTAGGGACCGAGTCCAAGGGCTTGGGTCAGTGCCAAACCAACCTCGACGCCCACCGCGAAGGCCAGGAGAAGTTCCTTGCCAGAAAGACCCTCGGCCTCTGCGTAGGCCAGTCCAGCGGCCAGCGGCGGGCCGGACGGATGACTCAGGGTGGTCAGATGAGTGTCATCGAAGAAGCGGGCCGTCATGAACAGGCCGTTGAGTAGTGCAGCATCGTCGACCGTGGCCTTTTCGTCGACCGCAAGGACAGTGGCCGGGCGGGGGTGTTTCGTGGTAGGCTCGAGAGCCGCGTAGAGCTTTGCGGCGGCTGGCAGTGATGACGGAGAGCTTGATAGACCACACCCAACACTGTTCAAGATACTCGCTTTGGTGATTTCGACAACGTCGGCGGGGAGATCTTCATATTTCAACGCGGAGAGCCATGTGCATAGTTTGAGGGTAAGATCCTCATTCGAGGAAACCGCGAGATCGAGAGACATGGTTTGCGAACTTTAGGTATATTTCATTCTTTGGCTGGTGAGATCCTTGATTAGAAGAGTGAGAAACGGTCGACAACTGCTTTGAATCTCTTTTTGCATATGCGATCGTGCGAACAATGTTTTAATTGTGACTGTTGACAAGTTCCTCTCCCATGCCTCGTCGGGGTAAATGGATCCACCTCGGAATTCCCCCAAACGTGGAAGAAACGTGGTTGAATGGGGCAGGGGAATCGACACCTCTGATGTGAGAAGCCTTGTGTCCATATGATTTGAGATTGTGTATCTACATATGTCGACTATTCACCTCTACAATACATACGGTATCCAAAACTTGCTTCTCTCCAAGGAAGGTGATCAAATAAGAGAATATCCAAAGTCCATATCAACCTCCAGGGTACGATGCTTCTGGTCGAGTCTCTTTACTCCAACTCTCGATCAACGGGTAAGAGTAGTGGGTACGGATATGCCCCCAGCTATACTCCCCGTACAGAACATGTCCAGGCGTCAAGCACCAACGCTACATTTTGGACCCGGCCGTGGCCGATGTCGAACTTGAAGACGTATCAAATACTTCTCCGATCTGACAGTTTAGGAAATCGCCATTATCGTTCTCGATATTTACAGTGGATACGCAAATGGCATTGTATGTATAATACACCCTCTCCGAACATTTCGCGCCGACTATACATATCTCACTGGTAGATCAAGTATCAACATCAATATCAATCCAGGTTGAGATCGGAATATCCTCTAGCCGCAACCTCATCGCACCGTCTCCTGTAACCCGGCGCCGGTCCCATGTATCTTGCAATGTGCCTCTTTTGTTTATGAGCCAAGTTCTTGTTGATACCCGTCATCCACGAGTCGACCTCGTTCGTCAAAAGTCCAACGGAACACTGGGTGACGTGGTCCGTCCACTCCTCCACTCCCTTTTCGGTGGCCTCGATCCGCGTGATGTTATTGTCTCGACAATGTCTTATACACTCTGCGATCCAACCCACGGCATATTCTATACTCCGAGGTATGTTGCCAAACATCTGATGAGGACCCATGACCATCATCATGTTCGGGAAGCCATGGACGAAAAGGCCTAGTTGAGTCTGCGGCCCATCACACCAGACGTCCTTCAACTTTTTCTTATTCACGCCCTGGAAATCCACGGCCGTGAAGCAACCCGTCACGGCATCAAACCCAGTCGCATAGATCAAAATATCCAAATCGTGCTCTCCGTTTTTGGTTTTGATCCCTTTCTCGGTAATTCTCTCGATCGGATCCTCTCGGAGATCGACCAACCGAACATTGTCCCGGTTGTACGCTTCGAAGTAATGCGTCTCCATGGGTATGCGACGCGTTCCCCAGCCGTGGTCTTTCGGGATGAGCTTCTCCGCCGTCTCGGGGTCCTTGACACGTTCACGGATCTTGTTGGCGAAGAACTCGCTACACGCGGCGTTCGCCTGTCTGTCGTACGCCACGTCGGCAAAATTACTTACCCATTTTGCAAACCCCGGCCGAGAATATATCTCCTCCCAATATGCCGTTCGTTCCTCGTCCGACACGTCGGTCGAGTTCTTCGGCTGTGCAGGATGAAGAAAACACGTCGCCGATTCTCTGCACTGTCTGAAAATCTCGGGATACCTTTTCCGAATCCCGTCCATCTCCTCGGCACTAATTTTGGCGTTGCGAAGGGGCGCAGACCAATTGGCCGTGCGTTGGAACACAGTCAGGTGGCCCACGGTCTTGACGATCTCCTGGATGATTTGTATCCCAGTCGCTCCTGTCCCGATGATGCCCACACGCTTCCCTTCGAGTGAAACTGGCTCTCGTGGCCATCGTGCACTGTGAAAAGATTGTCCTTTGAAATCTTCGACGCCAGGTATGTTGGGTAACGTCGGCTTGTTCAACAGTCCCATTGCCGTGATGAGAAATCTCGAGGTGTAGCGACGACCTTGGTCATCGGTCAATTCCCAGGACCGACTTTCGTCGTCATAATGTGCCGTCTTGATTTCGGTGTTGAACTGCATGTCCCGTCGCAAATCGAACTTGTCGGTGACGAACTGAATATACCGTAGAGTTTCATGCTGAGGCGCGAAATGCTCCGTCCAATCCCATTCATCCAACACCTCTTGTGAGAATGAAAAGTTGTAAGAATAACTCTCGGAGTCGAAGCGAGCGCCGGGATATCTGTTCCTGGTAGAAGCATCAGCCCACGCTCATGGACTAAGATGATCTCAAAACAAAACTCACCAATACCAGGTACCTCCCTCTCCCGTACCGGCTTCGAGGACTCTGGCTCTCAATCCCAGCTGTCGCATCCGATACAATGAATATATCCCACTCAAGCCGGCGCCGATTATGAGCACATCGAAATCGAGATGTGCATTTTGGGCTGCGAAGCCTGTTGTTGACCCGAGACTACCCATGTTGAAAGATTTCCTGGTTTCCAGGCTTGAATGTCTTGGGACTTACATGATGAACAAAGAGACCACGATTGCATATATTTTGAGATGTAGACATTGTCGATAACAACAACAGGGCGCTGGAGTTCGTTCTCCGCACGCCAATTGCTCAACCGAGGCTAGTGACTTGCATGGGATTTATGGTACAACGGTGACTTGTGTCCTGTGCGGAGACCATCATCGGCACATGGATCTGAGATACGGAATAGAGTCGATTAGTAGTTAACAATACAATCAAAGTACTCACAGTCAGGGGCCAACATGAGTCGATCCGTCCAAGAATCATCTGAAATGGTAAATATCCATGATGTCACCATTGTCACAACTGATGCGATGGACGTGATGGAGACCACGGGACAGGGCGGCCTTGAAGGTGGTCACAGTCAGCATTTGGACAAGTAAGCAGGGCAGCTTCAGGTTAGAACTTTTTGGGTTCGGCACTCCTTAGGTATCTATTGTATGTATCATGACTCTTGTTCCTTATTTCGTCCAGATTCAAAGAGCACAGGTGGGTTTCCAAACCAGCCTTGCGCCATGAAATCTCCATCTTCATCCGACAAGGCTGAATCCACATCCTTGATATCAGCCAATGATACCACTCCCTCCCTCAAAGAGGATCCGGACGAACGCGGTTGCGAATCGGTCGAAGACATTTCCGGCTTAACTTGATGCCGTCCCTGGTCAAGACATCCAATGAGCATAAGCATATGGCAAGCAGGGCTTCAAAAGAGGTAGTCATACCAAGATACACAATGAACCATGCGAATTATCATGGTTGCCTGGGACACCTGGACCCGGGCCTTATTGTGATATATAAATTGAACCTCCTGCTCGCACATTGCAAAGAACCGAGCTAGATCCGACCCCAGACGCGACGGGTAAAGTTTTAAAACCACTTAGAGGAATTTCTCCGGTCAACAAAAAAAAACAATCGTGCAATATGCCAGGAAGTTTCTTGAATCCAGTCCACGATGACTACAAATACGACCCGGACAAGCACATCCCCGATCTGTCGTCCAAGGTCATAATAGTCACGGGAGGGAACAATGGAATCGGCAAGGCCGCCGTGACCGAGTTGGCCAAACACAACCCGAAACGGCTGTACATGACTGCTCGAAGTAGATCCAAGTACGACACTGCAATGAAAGACGTCCTCGCCGCTGTACCGACGGCGAAGGTTGACTTTCTGGAACTCGACCTCGCTTCTTTTGCGTCGATCAAACATGCTGCCGACAAAGTGATTGCAAATAACGATCGATTGGACATCTTGATCAACAATGCAGGGGTGGTAAGTTTTTTTTGGGGTCCCAATCAGTCACCTCTGGTCTTTTGAGGAGTATGCACCACTGACCACTCACTCACTCACCACATAGATGGGTCTCCCGCCTCATCCAACCACCAAAGAAGGTTATGAGATCCACATCGGCACCAACCACGTGGGTCACGCTCTTCTCACGAGACTACTCATGCCGTTACTCCTCGAAACCGCCTCCTCTTCCAACTCGGACGTGAGGGTCGTGACGCTCAGCTCGGGGGCGCACGCCATGGCCACGTCGGGGGTGTCGATCGACAAGATCGCCACCCCCATGGAGGGCACCTGGTCTTTCACTCGCTACGGCCAGTCCAAGATGGCCAACGTGCTGTTCGCCCGCGAACTGGCCCGGCGGTACCCCCAGATCATTTCCGTTTCTGCCGACCCGGGGCGCGTGCAGACCCCGTTGTTGGACGAAAAGTTCAAGACCCGCGACTTCACCACCTACTTCCAAAAGACGTACGACTTTCTCGCGGGGATGTTGGACGCCCGCCACGGTGCGTTCACCGAACTGTGGTGCGCCACGTACGACAAGCAGAAGGTCAAGACGGGGACCCATTATGTCCCATTCGGACACGAGTCTCCCGGTCACAAGAAGAGTCGTGACGAAAAGCACGCCAAGGAGTTGTGGGAGTGGCAGGAAAAGGAATTTGAAAAGCATGGGTACTAGCTTGCTCACTAAAATGGGTTTCGTTTGCATTGTTCTGCATCGGGCGCGCGTACCTCTGGGAATTTTTTCTCTTATGGCATAGAGATACCAAAGCACGGAGTACAGTGAGTAGGTATGGGTGTTGTTGGGACCATGTGTGGGGGCGTAATAACCAAGGGCAATGCGCTTGAAAATTCTTCTCTCGCTCATATTTTCATGTCAATACCAAATCCTGTTCAGGTCGAAACTGACAAGTCATCAAGTCTTTGAATACCATTCCCACTTCCTCGCCTTACATTGCACCAAGACCTTCATATGAGGCATTCCTTCTGTCAGAGTCAAAGTGCCTGCGTTGACCTTGACGATGCAATTCAAGCAGACACAAAAGGAATTACAGTCGCTACACCATAAACCTTGATAATTGCATGCCATGATTGCTACAATCATAATAACCGAGGAAGGTCAGCCAAAAGATGGGTCGCGCAAATTAAACGAAGAAAGAGGGTTGCATTCTGCTCTTGGACCGGATGTCTTGCATTGATATTCAGAATGTCGAAAAGTTGAAACTCACCTAAAGAACATATGCTGCAATTTAACAAATTCATGATTCCAGAAGGTGGTCTGGTGACTTCGACTTGGTAGGTTGGATGACGATGACGGACATGTCTGGACATGGTACATTTGCCACAGTACGCCCATGTACATTGTTTGGTTAGACAGATTGACCCTCTTTGATTGTAGCATAGATCTGTGGGACGAAATAAATCTGTCAGTATTCGGAACAAGAACAGATAAAAACTGTTGCATGAAAGGAGAGAAAACCCATCCGAGTCCGTTGAAGCAGACGCAATACAACGATTGCCGATATAGGTCTGTACATGTCAAGACAACACCTACAATTCAAACAAGTCATGCAGGTAATGGTCGTTGGTTCGAGACAAGCCGCTCGATCCGCCAGCATTTGCTCCCTTTTACAGGTCTGTCGTGCATTGGCTGCGCACAATTCCACCAGCAAAGGAGTGAGTAGTAATTGTAGATTAGGATGGGGGTGAAGATGTTCTCGACCTTCCAAGATATCTAGGACAAGGAGTGTGGTTGTCAGCTTCAGTCACCTTTCGTCGATCCTAATGAACATCCGCGTCGACTCCTCATGGCAATGGTGATACTCAAGTTTACTAACCTTGACCAGGACACAAAGGACAATGAAACGATATCTTGGTTCCCTTGGCCAACGTGTCCACACTGCTATTCGAGGTGAGGATAAAATCCGTCGTCATCCACTGATGCGTCGAGAGATGTGTAGGGTCCTCGCGGGCGTAACAATTTGTACAAATGACCTGAGTCGATCCGAACTCGGCGGTACATGAGCGGCAGTTGTAAGTTCGTGCTCCGGCTTGGACAACTAGACACACGGAACAAAAGATTGTTAGCGACTCGGTCAGACCATAAGGGCTAAAGGATCAAAATTGATGGACCAGTGATGTCGACCAGTAATGACAAGTAAATGCATAAGAAGTAAATGGCACTCACCATCGTGACATCGCTCGCAGTGTACCCCTAGGGCCGCACCGGGCGGGACTTCCGTGCAAGGACAATGATCAGTGACCCATTTCGTCGTCATGGTCCAGTACGGCGGATATAAAGCCAGAAAGCTACGATGCTCAGGGTGTTCGGTGGCGTGGGCCTTGAGGAAAGCGTCTCGTCTTTCAAAGTTGCCCGCGCACCGTCGACAGAGTGAAGCTTCGCACTTGTCGCACTGCCACCTCGATTTAGGAGAATCCTCGGCACAGTGCCAGCATGACCCTCCGACGGGGACGCCAGGCAAGGTCGGTAGGTACTGCATGGTGCGGAATCGTAGGATCTTGCGCATGTGATGTTCGTCGTGCACTCGGTGGCAGTCTTTACATATGATCATGCCGCACTCGGGACACATGAAGAGACCATCACTGTACGGGATGCCTAGAGGACCACAGCCAGCATTAGTATGTCATCGTTATCTATCAAATGCACTCATTCAGGAAAATCAGGTGCCTTCACCTGCATGACATTGTTCGCAGAATTCGCACTTCAATGTCGAGATACGTTGGACCTCTTTGTATGTTTTCAACTCTACACCAGGAAAGTTGGTTAGCAGGCAGACACATAATGTGGTGTAGTGAAAGTGTGGAACAGTGTTAGAGTCATGGCAGAATGAGACTCTCTCTGTCCCTGTGTTGTATGTGTGTGTGAGGGTGTGTATGAGACTTACCTTCTCCGGCGATATAACCCAGACGTTGGCCATTATCGCACAACGATTTAGCGCACCGTTCAATATCAGCCGCAGTATCGAATCTTCGAAGATAAGTAGCTGTATGGGCGCTGATCTTGCCTACGGCTTCATGTTCCGCCAACCCAACTTCGGCAAGGCCGTGAAACACGTTGAACCTATAAAGGTATCCCTCGTCCACCATGCGCCTGTTGCGCTTTCGAAAGGCGTTGCTGGTATCTTCGGTTTCGGTGACGATCTTTTTGAGAGCATCGACAAGAGACTTCAAATCTCCGGTAACATCGGGCCCAGGAGCAGATCCTGTACCGATACTGACGATGATGCGCTCTTGGTCAGGCCAGAGTCCTAGCACGGAAAAGACGACGCAATTAGCGACCATCCAGCAATCCAAGCATCCAGCGCAAGATGGCTGCCGGTGGGACGTGTCGTGAGTTCGACGCTGAAACTAGGAACTTACCTCTAGACTCCTCGTCGACCTTCTCGATGGGGTTATTGTGCTTCAGTGCTCCGTCAACGTACAACCGATCACCAATCTTGATCGGATCGAAAAAGGTGGAGGCCGCAGACGTAGCACGAGCAGCTTCCCAGATTCTACAGTCCTTGAGATCGTCGAACTCCTTGCTCCGGTACGATCTGATCACCACGGCGTCACTGTTGATCCCTTCGACGGCACAGACGAACACCGCAGGAGAATCCGGGTTGCGATCAGACAGCAATTCGTCCTCGGACAGACCGAGAGACGTGAGCATCTGCTTGACACTCTTCTCCAAAGGCTCACTCTTGAACCGACCTCGCCCTTGTAGGAAATCGACTGATTTGCTCGCGAAATTCCCCGTTCGATGGTTGGGTGTGAAAATATCCTTCGACATCTCCTTGTACGCTTTGATGCAGTCCGACACTGACATGCGGAGTCTCCCCAGCATCAATGCGATCAAGCCACCGGTACTCGTGCCCGCTATCATGTCGAATTCCTGCCACGGTTCCAGCCTGGCACCGCGCACGTCGGAAAGCATGTCCATCAGGTAGTCGATGATGATCAGCTCCGAAAGACCTCGCACTCCACCTCCGTCCAGACACAAAATCTTGCGGACTCTCGAAGTTTGCCCGTTGGAGTGGTGGTGGACTCGAAGAACATCTGCCTGAGGATCAAAGCCACTTTGAGATTGTGGTGGGTCTGGGCGAGCGAACTGACTTTGCGGCGGGGTGTTCGTCCACTGACTCGTTCCCTGGTAGATTTGTGGTGCCTGACTCGCGTTGTGAGTCTGTAGCGCATTGTACGTAGTCGTGCCTTGAGTACTCGTAACAGGGACGAGCTGGCCTGAGCCACTATTCCATACCGTCTGGGATTGAGTCATCTGAGCATACATTGCCATAGCTGCATCGTGCGATGGACCTTCAACAGGAACAACTGCTGTAGGGTACAGTGCACTATACGGTGACTGGCTTGCTTGTGATACTGTTATGGCGGGGCTAGACACGCTCGGACTCGCAGTGCGGATATCGTTCAGAGCAGCATTCATAGAGTGCATATCGAGAGCATTTGACTGAGCGAGAGGCTGAGCAGAAGGAGTCGGACTTGATTGAGGCACGCTTGTCGAGAAGCCAGCTGTTGAGTTCATCGCTGGGCGAGGATCATGGTGCGTCATGGCCGGCGATTGAATCACACTCGAGGTTGGAGTTGCTGCTGGACCACTGCTGGCAGACGAGAGGGCGGAAGCTGACGGGGCGATCTGGGGAGAAGCACTCGATGCTGGGGTTGCTGCTGAAATGGTGGTTGGGGTTGCTGTTGCTGTTTGCTGTGGTTCACCGGATGAAAGCGGTGGCGAGACAGACGGTTGATGTACCGCTGGAAGCTCAACAGGGGCCGGAGGCAACTTTCTGACAGGTCTGTCAACCGTCTGCTTTCTATATACATTGACATTGAGACTCGGCTCGCCAGAAAGCTCATGGTAGGTCGTGGTTGGACCTGAAGGATTATTCGATGCGAACGCGCGCGATGGCTGTACTTGTACGCTGGGAACATTGGCCAGCTCATGTGGCGCTCCGGGATGAGGACTTTGAGTGGCAGGTCTTTGCGGTAGCCGTGGCGGCACATGCTGATGAGCTGGTAATTCAGCTACTGGTTGAAAGCCGTTGAAGTTCGAGTGGTTCGCAGGTAGCGTAGGGGGCGCTGAGTACGATGGCGGAGGAGCAGCATACGACGATCCAGGAGATGCATTGGCAGGGGTTGTCGTGGGTTGCGAACCAGTGCTGTGCCACGGTTGGCTGGGTTGTCGCGGTGGCAGTGGTGGTCTCTGGTGCGCATATTGTTGCTGAAAGTTCATCGGCTGCTGGAGCCCATATGGAGGATATGGTGATGGAGGTGACACCGGGGAAACAACACCATATGCATAATTCGTGTTCGTGGGACTGCCGAAGGAGCCTGTAGGGCTGGATGTCGGTGGCCGACCCTGTGCTGGTGAGGGAGCAGACCAGGCATCATAAGACGGCGCTTGTAGATGGCCTGGATAGGCAGGGTAATACTGCTGCTGCTGTTGGAAGCCTTGAACCGGTTGGTACTGGCCTTGTGGGGGGATGCTTTGCAGATGGGGCGAAGCTGGACTCTGTGGATATTGCACACCAGGTTGTATGAATTGATTTGAAAGTCCCGCTGTAGGCTGGAAGACTTGAGGCTGTAGCAGCTGCGGTCGATCAGTGCTGGAGGCGGCTTCATACACGTCTCGGAGGAAATTCATCGACTTCTTCGCAAGCGAAGAAGGCATGTCTGCCGCAGGTGAATGCGGTGCATCCGTGGGATAGGAAGAGGTTTGTTACAAAGATTCCGGGGGCCGCAACAGAAGAAGCGATCGATCGAGAAACAGAAGGGAAATTCTCGAATGGCCTCGGCGGGACCGTATTCGCTTCGTATGACAGGCCCCCCAAGGGGTTGGGCTCGCTAAATATTTGGTCGCACAATCACTCAGCCTTACCGGGTTGCTCGCCAAATAGGTTGGGATAATGAGCGTTGTGTCTGCTGGGACATGATGAAAACGTTACGGGCACCTTTTTCAGATCTTGATGTTTCGTATGTACGGAGTAGCGAGGAGTTCGATACTTGTGGAGGGATCTTAGGCGATGAGTCTTAAAATTGCTCGCCACGAATCGCTTGCTAATGATGCGCGATGCTTATCCAGGTGGTTCCGATGCACTCTAAAAGAGTCAATTTTGCAGGTGAAACAGCCTTCTCATTTAGTTCTGCACCGAAGGTATTTTTTGGTAGTGTACGACCCCCTTGGTGGCGCAAATGGTGGTGATGAGACTGCAAGTGCTGACCTATCCACGCCCGAGATACAAGGCTCGACCCGCCGGGACATTCCTCTAGTTCCATGCCATGGCTTGCCGGAATCGGCACGGTCGATATTCCATGACAGGCTTGTACAACCCGCGCATAAGAATAGCTCACGGAACCTTGTCCAATGCGTTCTAGACTTTCAACAAACAAGCAACTACTTTACCGATCTTATTAAATTCAACGAGCGAGCCCCGCCCCATTTCTGGACCACCTGTATCTTGCTAGGACAAACGTCAACTGCTTCTCCGTATCGATGGGATTGTTCATCCTGCCTTTGGCCAGGGCAATAGCAGATCGCATGACGTTCCGGAATTGACGTTGATAGTCTGTTGGTAGAGTCACAAAGCACGCTTCCGTGGCGCGGATGACGGCTTCGCACGCAGCCAAGATGGCGGTGCCAGAATCTGCTTGCAAACGATATGCAACCAGCAGTAGCAGAAGGCTGCCGTGGAGTAGCTGAATACCAAAAAAGTACGGCATGAAACTGATGTCGGGGTCGTGTTCGATGATTCGAGTCACACATTGAGCGGCCATCATCGTATGCGACATGGAGCTCTTGAATGATTCGGATGAGGTGAAGAAGTCGTCGTCGTTGAACAATGAAACAGGATCCCACTTACTCCCAACCAGAATTTTCAGGACAAAACAAATGTGAGTCGCATAAGCAGAGAATGTGTTGGTAATGTAGTTGGCTTCACTATCATCCGTAGGGGGGGCAGGAGACGTCTCCCACAAAGATTCTCGCTCCGACGTATTATCGAGGACAGGTCTCGAGGTGAGCTGGTCGAGACTTTCTTGGTACTGGTCTAGTTCGTCGAGTATCCTGCGCTCTTGGGATCCCCATATCGCAGAGCCTGCAGAGGCAAGGACAGGATTGCTTTTGGCCCGATTGTAATCCAGCAAGTGTCCGGTGATGGTCATAAGTGGGAGGAAGAATTCAAAGATGCCAGGGCCAGAGCACAATCGCGGAGGTCCATGGCGTCGACCAGTACCGGCTGGCATCAGCATGCATCTTGGTCCATCAGCACGAGTACCATGGCTGTGTGGTTGTGCACCAGACTGCCAAGTCACATCGTCCAACGGCAATAGTAGATCCTTGCATTCGGCCTCGAGTAGAGTCAGGGAGTGATTGTAGCACAGAGCGAGATGCCTGTCCATGAGAAACAACATGTACCACGTCCGCCGCCTTTCCTCGCGGTGTACTTCTCCAATGCAGTCTTCGGAAATATCCTGACCCAGCGAACATTTGCAATTCACATTCGGATGAGTGCTGCCGTGGTCTTGCTGCACGACGTAAGACTCAACTTCTTGGTTGAGCTTGAGATCTCTTGCAAGACTGAAGGCAACCGACCACCATCTGATCGATGCTGCTTTCTTCTCCGAGCCGGAAATGACGGAAGAGACGTGAATGAGCGCAATAATGTAATCGGTGCCCCAAGCCACAGGAAAACCGTCGGAGAGTTGTTGAGGATCAAATGCCCGCTGCAGATCCTCGTTCGTCCAGCCTGAATCTGGTGGAAAAGCTGGCGGAAGACCTAGATCTTCCTGGCTGAGAAGTGGTTCGTACCTGGAAGGATTCAAGAGCCGATAAGTCAGAAGACTGAGGTATTTACAAACACGGTCGCGCTCTTGGGGTCCACTGAAGAGCCCCAGAGCCTTGTCGCTCAACGCCGCAACAAAGAGCATACTTCCAAGCAAGGCTGGATGGGTTTTCCGAGGATGCAATGGGTCGAGAACATCACATTTACGAAGAATGAAGTTGTGGATGTGATGACAGGTTGGGTGCATTCGACTGGAGAAGCTGCTTGAGAAGTAGGTGTCAAGAAGATCGCATGCCAGATTCGAGCTGAATTCTCGATCCAAAAACGGTGACAAGTATTGCAGGACTGGGTATCTGCAGTGCGCAAGTGCCTGGCTACTCGGGGTAGGTGCTTCGCGCGAATCGGCCAAAGACGGGAGTTTGTAAGAATAGGGATCCAATATATGCATGGTGGGTGACACATAGGTAGATTGGATGATGGGGAATTCTTTGCCGTCATTGAGGAGAAGCGAGCGAGAGTCTGCCTCTGCAGCAAGGCTGAGACGCAGCATTGCCGTCGTGCTCTCTGGGGAAGAAATAGGCATCGTCGTGAGTGTATCTTGGGGACTTTTGATAGATTGCAGCGAAGGTTTTCTCGGTTTCGCGGGGCTAGAGGGAACAATGGCCTCCGGACCTTCGAGAAACGATTCCTTTTCTTCGTGGACATCTTCTGATGGCTGCGGCGTGGCCGAAGAACTGGTGGCCGACACTGGAGGCTGTTCTTCGTCTGCCTTTTGGCCATAATAACACTTCATTCCGGAGTGTTCACATCTCGAGCATGGAACGCTGCCAGTGCAACGCGTCTTGAGTCGTCGGCAGTTCTTACACGCCCTGAATTTCTCGTTGCTGAGGATTCGATGGAATTGTCGTTGATCGGTATGTGTCGCGTGTGTTTTTAGATGGCGATTGAGTGAATCATTGCGGGAAAAGAAGCGCCCACATCGAGGACAAGGTGCTGAAGCCGGTGTCCTTCGACGTGCGGGCTTCTGAGAAGACATTTTCGACTTGGCTGGTTCCGTGCCCATCGTCGCTGCAGCGCATTTTTGCAGCCGCTGTCGTCAAGTTAGTGGGCCATTACTGACATAGGGCGCAGATATGCGCCGGTGATATGTCTCAACCAGCTGCAAGGTTGATATAGACAAGAGACACAATGGCAACGTTGGATTTCGGTGCTGTACAAGATGTCAAGAGCCGGAAGTCACAGTAAGTCGAATCAATCTGGGTGGAGTATTTGTTTTTATGGAGGGGGGACGAGGAGATTTTAAGCGGCCGGTGCCCAATCTTTGACCCAGTGAATCCGGGACTCGCTTGATCCTGCTCCTCCTCCTCCTCTTCCTCTTCTCCTCCCAATAACCATGTTTGACGCCCAAATCAAGGCAAGTCAAGTCTATGCACAGCCCCGCTTTCCACAAGTCCGGGCTTTTCACGCGAGTCCTGGTGAGCCCTAACTTTTTTCTAGCCCTTATTCATGGTCACCGAGAAGCCGGGGTCACGAATAGCTGGGGTAATGATGCAAGGCGCTCAGACGGGACATGCCAACTCTGACGGCACGTGCGATGTAGAAGGGCCCAGCATGGCGATGTCACCTCGTGGCAGGTGGTGCAGCTTTACAGGGATTCCCAAGTACTCATGCCAGAGGTGCCGTATTCCATTATTCGATGAGCTGCCACCTCTGAATACTTTTCGGTTCTGCTTGGACGACGTCGTGAAACTCTAGGTACGAAGTAGTGATTCTGCATGGAATTAATCCTGTCAGTGGGAAAAGATCATCGTATGTAAAATTACTTCGATTACTGAGTGGCGGCTAAAATTAGGCATGCTTAAGGGTCTCTGTCCTGATTTAATACTCCTTGAAATCAGCCCATACGCCCGTTGAGGCCCCGAGGATGTTGCTGCGAGCGAAAGAAAGCCGTCGAGGGCCCCCGAAACGATATATGAAGACAGTCAACCGCTGCTAATCAAATCTTAGGGGCTGGCTTGGTTATGGCTTTGTGCTAAATCTTCGGCCGCTTGGTGCTTGACCTGTTCGATGGCGGCCTTCTCTTCGTCCATGTTGGCAGTCTCGACGTGCACTTCGTGGCCGAGAGAACCGGTCCTCTTCTGAACGTCTCCAACGCTGAACTGCCTCTCACGTGCTTGGTCGACGAGTCTGTCCAGTCTTGACTGGCCGACGGTTGTCTTCCACGGAGGAATCTTTGACCAGTCTTGGAACAATTCCTCGATTTCCTCCAAAGTCTTGTTGCAAGTCTCGGGGTAAGTGAAATAGAATTGAATCTAAGAATATTAGTCTTGTGCAAATTGAAGCAGCGTATGATAGAGGCTTGAACTTACAGCACCGAGGACGCACATGCTTCCGAAAACAATAAACATACCCCATTTGATGTTCTGGAAGCCAGGAGGAATGTAAAGACCGAGTGCGAAGTTAAAGAGCCAGTTGCCTAAAGCTGAGATTCCCATACCGGTGGCGCGGGTCTCCAAGCTCCAAACTTCAGCGGCGTAGACCCATGCGACAGGAGCCAACGTCAAGGCGTAGACAATGATCAAAAGGTAGGAGAAGGCAATTACTGTGTTTGCCTTGGATCCCGTGACTTTGATGAGGACGTTTGGGTTCCCTCCGACCCCTCCAGGGACACTCTCGCCAGCCGAAAGGATACCTCCCACGACGAAGTGACAGGCTCCCATAGCCAAAGCTCCGTAGATCAAAAGTTGCCGGCGACCGGTCCGATCAATGTAGAAGAACATGATGGAAGTGAAGATGATGAAAAGGGCGTACTGTACTCCAGAGGCGACGAGGTTGATGTTGCCAGTGAGACCAGCCATCATGAAAATGTAAACAACGTAGTAGGTCATGACATCTGTGGGAATGTTAGACAAACTGTTCCTGCAGTGCTCTGAGACCGCATGCCATCGATTCGCGATGGAGAAAATGACTGCACAGGGTTCATGGTTGTAGCCTAAGGGAGACGACTTACTTGCTCCGGAGTTTTGCTGCCACATTTGAACGGTAAAGCCAGCGAGAGTCCGTTTCCACATGCCGTTGACGACAAACTTACGCCAGCCTGCTGGAGCTAATCTTTCGGCTACCAGGGTTTCAGTGATTTCTTCCCACTCAGCGACAACGAGAGGGTCATTGATCTTCCCCCCTGCCTGAATCTTTGCAAGAATTCTGATGGCTTCATCACCTCGATCTACTTTTGCAAGCCAACGAGGAGATCGGGGAAGGAACGGCAGACCGCACATGAGGAAGACGCAAGGGACGAACTGGATCCCCCAAGCAGTCCGAAAAGAGGCCGGGCCATCAATGAAGCTGCACCCATAGCCGATGAAGTACATGATGAAGATGCCCCATTCTGTGACTTTGTCAGCTTCGTTGAATCCTTCTTGAATTTGCGGAGGTCAATTCTTACCAATAGCAAGTTGCTGAATAATGATAATGGCACCTCGTTTCTCTTTGCGAGAGATTTCGGCCAGATACACTGGAACCTGAGAACTGGTGATACCGACGCAGACGCCGTTGAGGACACGACCAGCAATGAGAGATCCTATCCCGCGAGTGCTTGTCTGGACTGCAGTACCAACAAGCCACCTATGTCATCTTTAGGACACTGATGCCGTGGAATTGGTCTGGGGAAAACCATAACTTACCACAAACAAGCAAACATAATCGAGTCTCGACGTCCGATCTTGTCGGATACAGGCCCAGCAATGATGGACCCCACGATGGATCCTGCAGCAAGTGCAGAACCGATCGCACCTTGTGTGACACCTGCAGGCTTGTTGAAGTAGGCATTGTACTGTTTCGTACCGATGATGGCCGACATGCTGGAAATGTCGAACCCAAACAACATGCCACCCACTGTAGCGACGAAGGCTACAAAGTAGGTATTGTAGATCTTGGGAAAGGTCACGGCGCCCATATTGCCTGACTGCGCAAATGACTCTGGGGTATTGTGTATATGGATAGTGGATGCCAGAGGAAGGACGACTGATTGCGCGAAGTCGAACCTAAGTGAAGGTATGCATGCAGATATATATCTTCCCAGTATTCGCCTCCTGGTTTTTACCCATACAAATACAAACGGAGACAGCCATCATCAGCTACGAGTATCGGGAGTGTCGTGGAGGTACCAGGATCCCTCTGCTGTACTCGTAGAGGTTGTGATCTACAGCATTTGCATGTCATTGATGGGGACCTTTGCAACAACTCATTTGCCGTGTATCCCTTACGGCAAAATTGCTATGGGTAGTACGGAGCACCCTGTTGCGACTCACCTTACGCACGGCTATTTCTGAGTGTGGTCTGCACATGATGGTTTGTCGATTGACGATGGTGGCCCAGAGGAGTTTTCCTGATTCCGTCTAGTCCCAGGATGATTCTTCTCCAGCTAGAAGTGCCGGTGGTAGAGGGTTGACGTGGAGAAAGGCTGAATGACCACCGGTACTTTGCCTCGCGGGGTTAGAGCCCGAGTGATGATCGAAGAGAAATGATCCGGCTGGATGCCTGCGGGGGACACGGAGACGATCATCAGGGAAGAGAGACAAGCTTTGTTCGGTCATTTGGACATCATTCGCATTGATGGTGTCTCTGTGGTATCTACTCGTATTGGACAGAAGCTTGAACCGGCACCCATTTCCTCCCGTTAGAGGCCGTGAAGTGAAGTTGATCGTCATTAATTCACGAGCCCTATGAAGAGAGAGTTGTACAAGTGACACGATCGCTGTGACACCAAGTCGCCGGCTCAACATCCGAAACGCGTGGCCCTGAACAAGGGTCTGGCTCATGCTTGATTCTGATATGAGTATAAGTCCCGGCATCAAATGATCAGCGTGTCCAATATACAACAATGGGTCACCGGTGTCTTTCCTCTCAAGGTAAGTATCAGGTCGAGAGTGTGCTTGTTTCAACGGCGAGTGGCATGGGTTGTTCTGGCCATCTCCGGATGTACGGGTAGCCTTGTTGCGAACCACATTAATTTCTAGCGATGAAGTGTGGTTTCAAGCAGCAAAGGAGGACCACGTACGGTCATTAAATTGAGGCCTGAACTCCTTCGACCACTCGATACCACACTTGTGCTTGAACGAAGGGGACAGAAGCTACTGAGTGGCCCCCAAGGCTGCTGCCCACCGTTATGCTTGATAGAGCCCGGAACTACTGTACAAATACCACCGGTGGACGCGGCAGTTACCTCGCTTGGAGGTCTTCATCAAATCTATCAACCCTTCACCTATGCAAGTCTCTCGAAAAAAGGAAAACGCCCCAGTGGAAATTACACACCCCAACCATCAGTCCGAACCCGAAGCTGCTTCAACACCATATCCGGCGGACAAGCGCTGTCATCTAGCTTTTTTCCCAGCTGAGACCAAGTTCACAGCCCACGGCAAGCAGAGCAACGTTTGTTGTGTGAGAGATCAATAAAAACTTGGTGGCGACATCCTAGTGGCGACCTCGACTTCTTTCTTCACGTCGACATGAGACTCGTCGCCACTTTTGAGTTTCATGGTCAAATATTCAGGGTCGAAATCGATGCCGAAGGGGTTTTTCATGAATACATTGACCTTCAGAATCTCCATCGCCTCTTTGTTAATGTCGAAGTTGTGGACTTGTGTCTCCAACAGGTTCCCATCCGGGTCCTTGTAGTAGATGGATGTGATCAGACCCTGGTTGACCGACCACACAGGTAAGATATTCTTGGCCTTGCGCTGACGATATGCCTCAAGAAATCATGCAGAGTCGGAAAAGTGAAAGCCACATGGTGTGGTCCCGCAATGCTGGGGATCTTGGGTCCGGTGTCAGGGATCGCTGCTAGGGCAATGCCATGGTGCTCGTTGTCGTACGTGATGAGACTGAACATGTCGTCTGAACATGTCGAGCCACAGTACCTCCCAGAAACCTGAGGTAGAATTCCTCGGAACGTTTGACGTCGGGTGTGCGCAAGTCAACGTGCGCCTCTTTGATTGGACTGATAACCTCGTCGACTAGGCCGTCAAAGTCGATCTCAGAGACAGATGACGAGACTACAAATCACTGGCTGTAATGAAGTTTAGTATGAACAAGTCCTTGGGCACGGAGAATTGATCAAGTCAAGGCGTGCTTACGTTCAAGGATCAAGTGCTCTAGACGAAAATAGACGTCGTTGCACAATGCTTAGCAAAATGCCCAAATGACGGTACAGCATGGACTATATATAATCCCCAACGGACCACTCCTAGGTGAATTCTAGCATATATCCATCCCTACCGTAGGCCATAGCTCTGGAACAGAAGTCTGACTATTAAAGCACCTATCCGATCCATACCTGCAAAAAAACCATCCACGGACCACGATGACAAGTTCGACCTCATCCCCATTCTGGCGGGACATCGACATCGCCCACACCGCGCTCCTTCTCAGTGACGTGCAGAACCAACTCATCGGTCACATGCCCAAGGACGAACAACAGAGATACCTCGCCACGCTGCTGGCACTACTCAATTTGTTCCGGACCGCCATCTCAAACACGCGCGACGACCACAAGTCACAGCACAGCGCCGCACATCCTGGTGGCGGTCCATGTATCATTCACCATGTGGTATTGATGGATTACGCTACCATGAATTCAAGCCCGTACAACAAAATCAACAACTGGGCGTTGAAACGGCTACAACAGGCGGAGGCGGCGTCAGCAGCTGGCGGTCGCGCCGACAGTGCGACAATGGGACGACCGACACACCCATCAGCGACAGCCACGGTCCCATCGAGCCTCCACCCTTCCGCAGGCTGGAACGTGGACGAGTTCGTCCTCACCAAACAAGCCCAAGCTATTTCGTGTCGTCGTCGCTGCTGAAGACACTGCAGGTGAGGAATATAAAGCACGTAGTGTTGGTCGGCTTGACCACCGAAGGGAGCATCTTGAGTTCGGTCCGGCATGGGAGCGATCTGGATTTTCATATTATCGTTCCCAGAGAGGGAGTCTGGTGTGACGATCGAGACCTAGGGGGAGTAGTGCTAGAAAAGTTGGTTCCGCGATTTGCTGATGTCTGTTCAATGCAGGACTTTGGGGAGTTGATGGCAAAGGAACGGGAGAAGTAACATTGAGGTCATAGTGAATAATTATCCTCGTTCAGATCTTGCCAGTCTCCATCTCAACACCTGTGGCTGCTTCATCAGTGTTTCCGTCCCCAGCGTCGTCGTGTCCAGAAGTCCTGCTGACATCACCACCGGGTACCAGACTCTGACCATCTTTGAGCAGCAGATCAGGCAGGTAGAAAGATATCAAGAGACAAAGTGCCGAAGTGCCCACGGCCACGTAGGTGATGTTGCGCATCACATCCGAGTACGCAAGATCCACGGCCTTGCGCTGTGGGGTTCCCTCTGCAGGTATGTCGGTGCTGGTGATGGACTGGAACACGGCGTCGACGACCGTGTCTGACGCCCCGGATCCAAGATGATGTCGCAGAGCGCTTTTGAACGAGTCGCTGTATATTCCTCCGGCAACAGAATCGCCTATGGCTGCTCCGACAAAGACGCATAGCAAGACAAGCGCAGTAACCTAAAAGCCGGGCCCTCACAGTCAGCCACACGAGTTCGACTGTCAACTCCGCCTTGTCACTCACCTGTGCCATTTCGGCATGAGGAACAACAACCTGGGCTCCGACGATGATGGCTATCTCGATTATCCCCGAGCCCCATCCTTGTATTGATTGAACGATCAACAACTCGGCCAAGGAATTGTTAGCACCTCTCAACCGTATCATCAAGCCAAACCCGAGCAACTTGATCGCCGTGCCAACCACCATGAGCCACTTGTAGCGTCTGGTCTTGTACATTATCGCTCCGGCGACAATACCGACAAGGCACTGCCAGACGCCGTTGGTATAGTTCAAGAAGGTCGCGTCCCGTGGGCCCATGTTGTGAACGATTGTGGCCCAGGGGTACAAGTAGGTATGAGTCGCCTCAAAGCCTAGCGTATCAAGAAACCCGAGGGAACAGCAGATGACAATGGAAAGGTTGCGGAAATATCGAGCGGGGAGAATCGGATGCGCGGCGACGTAGATCTCGTATACCACCAATCCAACAAGAGTGACGGCGCCAATGACAATCAGGGCGATAATATAGCTGGTATTCCACCTGCTGGGTGTCAAGCCAGCGAGGCTGAATGGGATCAAGAACATGGCGAATCCGGCAGTCAGCAGAAAAGTTCCGCCCAGGTCAATTTGGGAGCAGAAGTCGCGTATTGTGATAGTTCGGGTCAGAACGACACTCAACTTCTTAGCCCTGCGCTGGTAGTACAGCAATGGTGCTATCAATGCAGCTGCAGAGAATGGCATGATGATCGCAAACATGCCTGAAGAGTCTGGTTAGTCCGAATGCGGCATCCCACGACGTGCCAGGTGTGGACAAACCGATTCCCCATCTCCAGCCAATGCCACCTGGTCCGACGACGTCTTGGACGATGAACCCAGATACCCAAGGCGTGATCAAGAATGGGAAGAAGCTGATACCGATAGCAAAAGCCCTTGACCTCATGCTGGTGATGTCGGCGATGATAATATCGTTGAGTATGTTGGCTCCCGTCATGCCTAGGTTTGCGAAGATGAATCCTCCAGCATAGACTCCGAAGCTGTTCGCACTGGCGCAGAGGATGTATCCTAGTAGGTAGTTTCCGATGCAGAATGAATATGCTTCTGCACGACCCACGACGTTGGAGATCTTAGCAATGGGTGGTTTGGCGACGGCGAAGACGATGTTACCGGCCACCGCCAGCGTACTCAGACCGGCGACATCGTTGAACTCGGAAGTCGCGTAGTTGCGATAATTGTAGAGCAGGGCGTGGTCGAATTGACTACAGGTTGGTCAGTCGTGGCCTCACAAGAGAATGGGATGCACACAGACTAGACTATCAGCATAATGCAGATACCGAGCCATACTATTAACCTTCCGTTCTTACCCCAGACAAGTTGCATTGCCTCTGCCCGAGCCGTGCCACTGGTTACGGTGGAATCGGTGACAATCACCGTTGACTTTGCCATCTCCAAGTCATCATCATGGTCGAGTTGAGCAGGCCGAGCACTCTCAGCAACATTTCCAGCCACACTTGGCTTGTTGTGGGCCTCTGTAACCGCGTCCATGTTTGCGCAGAAATCTACTATAGCTGGCCAAAGGACTGTCACATTGGGAAAGCTTTTCATTAAGTACTCGAGATGGTGGTGACATCCGATGAAGGTGATAAGCGTTCAAAGACCGAGGCTATGCCCAGTGTATCTTCGCTTCAGTGCATGATCCTTGTAGGATTGGAGGTACGATACAGGCAGTCACAGCATCGTTTCTGGCTGACCGCGACGGCAGTTCCATTCATTGGTACTGGTGGACATGATTCGGTGGCAGAGCATATCTTGTTGGTGATCCGATTGGTTATGTATGGTGTAGGAAGCAGAGATGATAGCCTCGATAGAATGAGAGGCATGGGAGATAGCATTACGACGGACGGACTGGCCAGAGGGAACCGAAGCCATATTGATAAGCTCTGCAATCAAGAGTAGAGTGTAACCTCGTGCCCCCAGTAATGTGTTGGCGATAACACAAGAACCCCTCGAATCCTAGTGAGAACCTTGCGAAGTGGTAAGTAGAGAAGGAGATGAGCGTCTAGCAATGTGACCCGGCATATTTTGATCGATGAGGCGATGATCATCTAACGTCGTTCTGGTGCTGCCACTAACTGGTTCTTTGGATGGCAGCTTAGATAAGTCTTCAGCCAGCTATTTAGAAGTGCACCAAGCAGCTTTGTCGCTCCCTGAGGCCTGGATTTGGAGCGGGAACGAGCCGCTTGTGGGGGTCGCTATTTGCTAGACCCGGTGGTTGACGGCGTTGACAGGCTTCGACCCTGAAACGCGAGCGACAACGCTTTCTCAGCAAGCTCCTGGCTCGTCCCTCCTAAGTCAAAGACTCTCGCTCGACTCGCAAGGCTGTTGGGGCTCTTCGCCAATTCAAATTTCCCAAGAGATTCGAGACTTGACGGCACGACAAGGTTGATCGACTTGAGATGAAGATCCAAAGTGGCGGCTCTGAATTGAGCACTGCGAGACGACCGCGACAACAGCAGAGGAACATTGCACTTTGGCTGCGGTGTATAGTTGCTGCAGCTTTATTCGGTTTCTGTCTGCGCAATATCGGTGGATGGGTCGAATCATTGCTTTCTAGCAATTTTAATTTCAATCGCATCCAAGTCCACGATCAGGAAACGTCTTCGACCTCACAGTTTCGATGGCACGATATCGAGCCGACAAAAGAAATCCAGTACCATGACTGCTACGACGGACTCCAGTGTGCTCGACTTGAGGTTCCCATGGACCACCATGCGCCGGAAGGCTCATCGGATCGAGTTGCTCTGGCCATTATCCGACTCCCTGCAAAAGTCCCGGTTAGCGATCCACGGTACGGTGGTCCTATCCTGATCAACCCTGGCGGACCTGGTGGCTCGGGTGTGGCGAAGGCGTTGCACCATGGCTCTCTGATGCAACAGGTGGCCGACTCCGGCAAATCCGTCAACGAAGCAGCAGAGTCGGACAAGTACTTTGACATTATCGGTTTCGATCCCCGCGGGGTTAATCACAGTACGCCTATCTTGACATGCTTCCCTGATAGCTTTGCTCGACAGACCTGGAACCTCCAGTCTTTGGCGGAGGGTCTGTTGGGTAGCTCGGAAGGATCATTGAGAACCGGCTGGCGGCGTGCCCGAGCCTTTTCCGTGAGTTGCTCCAGCAGACTTGAATCAGAGAATGGGACGAACTTTCTGGAACATGTCAACACGACTCCCGCGGCGGCGGACATGGTCGAGATTATCGAGAGACACGGTCAGTGGCGTGAACGTGAAGGTCAAAAAGCCCAAGCTGCACATGACCTTGCACATGGTCGTGACTCGAAACAGACCATCGCCCAACGCACAAAGTGGCACGAGGGTAGAGAACCTCTCCTCTTCTGGGCCTACTCGTACGGGACGGTCCTGGGATCCACGTTTGCAGCCATGTATCCGGAAAGAGTGGCTCGTATGGTCCTGGATGGTGTCGTCGATTCAGAGGACTACTACAACGGTCCTTGGCTTCAAAATCTCCATGACACAGACCACATCCTGCACAAGATAATGGAATACTGCTCTGACGCCGGCCCGGACCAGTGTCGCTTCTGGAGGCCCGGAGGTCCACAAGCGATACTCGCAGCGTACGAGACCCTCCTCCATGATATCTGGGACGATCCACTCTCTGTAGTCGGCGACCACCGTCGAGGCCCGGAGATCATCACCTGGACCGACGTCAAGATGGTCGTCAAGGACGCTCTCTACCAGCCCCTCATGCTGGGTCCGATCGCGGTCGACTTGCTGCAGGATATCACAAACGGCACAGGGAGTGTGTTCGCCGAGTACAAGCAGAATGGACGTACACCGAGCTGTCGGTCTCGCCAGTGTGAGATTGACGGACCGTACTCGGAAGAGTGTGTCTCGCCCGGCTGGAACGAACTCGAGGCCACACCTGCGATTCTGTGTACCGACGCCCAGGACATCGGCAGCTTCACCGAGGACGAGTTCAGGTCCTACTGGCGGCGGCTGCAAGACCAGAGTAGCGCCATGGGCGACTACTGGGCTCAGACGAGACTCAGTTGTGCGGGCTGGAAGGCCCGGGCAAAATGGCGGTTCGCCGGACCCGTGTCCGCCAATACCTCGCACCCCATCTTGTGGGTTTCCAACACTTTGGATACCGTGACGCCACTGCGTAACGCGAAGAAGATGAACGAGAGATTTCCCGGGTCGACCCTCCTACAGCAAGACTGCGAAGGTCATTGTTCCATTGCGGCGCCGTCGCTGTGCACAGCGAAGGCAATCAGGCGATATTTCCAGACCGGAGACATGCCGGATGTCGGTACACTCTGTGAGACTGATGCGAAGCCTTTTGAGAGTCAAGTAACACGAGACAGCGTGTCAAGATTGGATACAAAGGATGCAGAATTACTTGCAGTGCTGACACGGCTGGCCGAGACTTCACGGAGCTCCAGGTTCTTATGATGATTGCACCTTGAAGGAAATGACCGGGATATCGATCGGTAGAGAGGAAGAAAGATCGTCCGTGGGTCATCTGTCACGATGCACTCTTCGAGATACAGCTTTTATGAGGAGGAGTTTCATGACCATCGTTGAGATGTCTGGCGATACAATGGGTAGTCCTCAACGACACAGCCTTGTCCCTTCAATGATGATCTTGATTTTGAGTTGCCTTTCAGCAGCAACATGTGAGTGAATCAACGAGATATCTCTTAGCGAACAAAACAAAAACTCATCCCACAACCCCCGAAGGGATTGTGGGAATAGAAAACCAGGCAGCCTGATTTTTAAAGGGGCAACACCGATGCGACTCGAACCCTACCACCCATTACTCCCGACTCTCTCCAGAATATTGCTAAAGGTCACAGGCGACATGCTGGTAGGCATTGCGCTAATGAACTCCAGAAGGGATTCTGGGTACTATGAAGGAAGGCCTTTTGTGTTCAGATCACGAGTCCCATTGTTGAACAACATTTGAAAATCATAACATATCAAGTGAACATTTTTTTGGAGCTGTGAATGTGTGTGTATGCGGATATATCAGTTTTGCGCCCAATGAGGTGTTGATGTGTTGTGAAGGGCGCATGACTTGACTTCACTACACAGAGAGCAGTCTTAATATCAACCGCCAGGTCAATATCTCTCCCTATCTTTGTCCACTACCTACGCTCCCTTCTTCTCATCACCATTAGGAACACTTCTCAAGTCCTCAATGTGGGCATTGATAAAATACCCCCTCAACTGCCCCGGCGTCATGTACTTTGCCCCTCGAATCTCACCGTGACAGGACTTTGTCCCGCAAAGACACTTGAAGGATTGCTGCATCTCCCACTCGGTGCTGGGGTAAAAGAAGGTCAGTTCGTCGCCGACACTGAGTCCCTTGGGGCGACCATTTTCATTGACCCGTTTGGCCACGCGAAGCTCGATGACCGGTTGATCATTTGAGTCCGAGACGACGTGGAATTCCAGACTCGGTTCACAGCTGTGGTTGATGAAGACCAAGTCGGTGTTTAGTTCAATGTGCTGATTCTCCGAAACTTGCACCGACGACCAACGTGCAGTGGACGTGAGCGTCATGGGTGGGCAAGTAGTGCGAGCAAACTGGTTTTCGGTGTCAGTGTCAGTCTTATTGGTTGGTTTTGTCGTTGTCGAGGCGGACAAAAAAAGAGCTACACAAGATTTATGTTCTGGCTGATCGGATTGGAAGGAATTTTGTGTGGTTTCTTGTTGCTTCTTGGAGCAGGCCGACGGAACGGAGACTTACGAGAGCACCTGGAGCAAGCGAGACGAGGGACGAGCTGTAGGAAGTATGGAAGCCTTCTCGTTGGTTCACTCGCATGATGGACGAGAGGTTTGAGGTGGTATCTTTCATGGTGATGTGTGTGATTTGGTGAGCTTTGGTGGGTTCGGAGTTGTGTCGGCGTGTTAAGGTTGATGTCGGGCAATATATATTAGGTATGTATCTCTACATGCAAGGGACTGATCTGTGGTAGAAGACGGATATCTATAGGCAGTGACTGGTTCTATCGCAAGGCAGTTTTGTGAATCAGTGAAGGAAGTGTCTTGAAAGGCTGACGTTTAACAAGAACCAATATTTGCACGGAATACTTGAATTGTGGCCAACTCAACTTGGTACACGTTTTCTCTGGCTTCGCCCAGCTCGTGCCGAGGTTTTTGGAGGGGCATGGCAATTGCGAAGAGGTCTTAGCGTTAAGTGGACGAGAACCTGATGACCAGAAGAAACTGTCCACAGCTCGGGCCTAGGCGGGAGTTCTTGGAAGGGGGTGGCAGTCTTAGCATAACAGTAAAATTGAGGGACGTAGGTGGGAAACCCGCTCACCCGACAGAGGTATTTTGTACATTGGAAACCCTCAGTACGCCTCGCACAGAAGGGGAGTTACTACTAGCTACTCGATCCCCCAGTGTTTGGGAACTGGCGAGGACTGTGAGCCAAACCCCCGTTGCACATGCCTGTGTCTGTGCTTGTTAGCGCAGCCTCGTTCAGGTTACACTGCAATCTCGAGGTTCGTGAACGGTACACAATTCGATTGCACACCCCGACGGATGCCCGGTGTGAAACACCCCCTAAAAAACATGTGCTTTGCCCTGGCCTGAAATCTACTGCCCGCTAGAGAATGCCATGGTCCCCCCTTCGGGAATCGTGAGTGAAAAAACCTTTTGCTCAGTTCTCGCCCAGAACACGTGCCATTCTTGATTCAGGTTAGCGGTATGAAGCTTGACACCCCTTTGCCCAGCGAAATCTCATCCCGGGTATGTGAGTGTGAGGTCAATAATATACACTAATGATTAAAGGTGAACGAGGCCAGAAAGTACTCCCGAGAAATGCTGTTTTTAATCATCAAGCTTGCCCTCCATGCGCTCGTTACTTGTTGGCCAGGCGAACAGGACAGCAAGCTCCCAGCCTTGGTGGGGCTCTCTGCCACAGGGGCAATGACCGGCTTTGATTAGGTAACCACCACGAAGAGACCTTCTGTGAGGGCGCGTATTCGAAGCTGATGCCGAGGGAGGTTGCTTACATATGGTAAAAGTACCGTGCCATCAATCCGGCCAACTTCTTACCCGCCCTTTCGCACGTCATGCAGTCTGACTTGACTTTGGCCTAGGGCTGAAAGTGTGAGACGTCACTCTCGGACTGACTATGATATCCATTATATTACCTGCCATGGTTTGTTCACTTTCCGATGTAAGCAGTCGGTGATATACAGGGCGAACCGTCAGTCGACTCGGTCGGACCTCTGAGACAACCTCGCGCAACAAACTGACACAGATACATTTCTTGATCATATTACACCAACAAGTCGTAATTGTATTACTCTACTCGTTGACGAGCCCCCCAAAGCAACTGTTGTCGACTCTTCTAGCACTCCAGATCTCAAAAAGACCAACCACAATGGCTCCGTCGAAACCGTTTGGCAAATTGCCAGCGAATGCCGCCTCGGACATTCACGAGTACGAGCTACACGTCCCTGACGAGGATATCAAGCAGATGCAGGAACTGCTCAAATTCAGCCCCGTCGCCGGTCCCATTTACGAAAACTCCCTGCCAAACGGCGACAACCACCTGGGTATCCGACGAGACTGGTTGATCGAAGCCAAGCGTGTATGGGAGACTGAATTTGACTGGTGAGTTTGTTTCTTTTTCTTTTCGGCCGTCTGTGGAGGCACAACAACTTTCTGCACTCGAGAGAGAACTTTCCTGTTGATGCCTTTTGATATCTCCCAGGAGAGCCACCGAGAATCGAGTCAATTCGTTCCCAAACTTCCAAGTCCCCATCCGAGACAAGATCGGGACATTCAATGTCCACTTTGCCGCACTGTTCTCGAACAAACCTGACGCGGTCCCTGTTGTCCTTCTGCACGGATGGCCAGGGTCATTTCTTGAGTTCTTGCCAATGTTGGAACTCTTCAGACAGAAATACACTCCCGAGACTCTACCGTTTCATCTTGTCATTCCGAGTTTACCTGGATTCACACTCTCAGGGATTCCCAAACTCAGTAACGACATCAGCCAGGTGGACGTGGCCCGCATCGTGGACAGTCTGATGAAACAAATAGGCTTTGGAACTGGCTACGTCGCTCAGGGTGGCGACGTGGGATCCAGAGTTTCCAGAATCATAGCGGTTGATCATGAGGCGTGTAAAGGTGAGACGGTCCACAGACACTTCCATTCCTTGTTGGTACTCAACCGCTGACAATCCTCTCACAGCTATACATCGTACGTTTATCACCACCCTCTCCTTTTCCCCTGTCACAATTGTGTCATGACTTTAGGCGCAGCGATATAACTCCACCTCTGCCAATTTTTTCCTGCTGACCTCACAATGTGTAGTCAACTTTTGCGCCATGACCCGTCCCGCCTCGGCGACAGACGACTCGAAATTGTCCTCGATCGAACAAGACGGACTCAAACGTCTAGAGTCCTGGAAAGCAACCGAGACGGCATACGCGCTCGAACACGCCACGAAACCGAGCACGATCGGCTTCGCCTTGAGCAGTAGCCCTCTCGCGCTCTTGTCTTGGTATGTCTTTCACCACGTCTCAAAATGATACTCCACGGAAGCAAATCACCCACAATCACCAACTAACCCAAGACACACCACTGAAACAGGATCGGTGAAAAGTTTCTAGCTTGGGTTGACAGTCCTCTTCCCCTAAACACCATCCTCGAATCCGTCAGTTTGTACTGGCTCACCAGATCTGCACACAGTAGCTTGTGGTCATATCGTCATGTAAGTCCTATGTCCACTCACTCTACTTGACCTCGTCTTTTCCTAATACAACACATTCAATTCGACACACACACACACACAAACGATATGCTGACCATGAGATCTCGGTGGTCGGACAATTAGTCATACGGACCAAACCCCCTCCCTCACGATGATCCGAGATACCACATCAAGATCCCCTTGGGGTATTCTTACTTTGCAAAGGAACTCATTCCGATCCCGATCGATTGGGTTGCTACGACGGGAAACTTGGTCTGGCGCAAATGCCACGAGCGAGGTGGTCATTTTGCTGCGTTGGAACAACCCAAGGAGTTCATGGAGGATCTCGAGACTTTTGTTGGTCAAGTTTGGAAATCTTAGAGCGGCAGAACAGGTACATAACGGTGGTTGATACAAAGTACCATCACCAAAACCGACCTTACCAAAGTTCTCGGTTCTTTTGTTTCAAGGCTGAGCTCGTGATGATTTGGATTTGGCCTGAACAAGGACCAACCCCCCCAACTTGGAGCCGTGGCTGTGCTGTTTCACCCTCGTCTTTTGTGTAACTTTGGCATGCAAACTGTCACTTCCCTGGCTTGGCTCGAAACTAGGTTCACAACAACGCAGAGGTCTTAATCTCCTTCAAGATCTTCCAAATCCATTCCCTCCACCACTCTCGATTTGCCGCAGGGAACATTCCAACCTTTCGTGCCCCTATCCTCCCTTGTTTGCAAGCCAGAACCTCCCAACGATGCACCTCTTACGTCTCGACTCAGATGGCCAGCCTCGTCTGACGCTGTGCTCCGAGCTCCAAGCACCCAAATACGCCGTGCTCTCGCATACGTGGGAAGAACCTAGCGGCGAAGTCACGTTCAAAGACATGTCGGAGCACTCTGGCAATAGCAAGCCAGGATATCGTAAAATTGAATTCTGCGGAACACAGGCACGAACAGACGGTCTCGAGTATTTCTGGGTCGACACTTGCTGCATCGACCGAGGAAGCAGTGAGGAGGTATCTAAGGCCATTAATTCAATGTTCCAATGGTATCGCAACGCAGAAAAATGCTACGTGTACCTCGCAGATGTTTCGACGTCATCAGGAGCTGACCGCGAGGTGTGGGAAGAAGCATTCCGCAAAAGCCGGTGGTTCTACAGAGGCTGGACACTGCAGGAGCTTCTAGCTCCCCAAGTCGTCGAGTTCTTCTCCCGAGAAGGTCAGAAGCTAGGAGACAAGGAGAGTTTGCTGAATCTTCTCCACGAGGTGACGGAGATTCCGTCTCTGGCCCTGCAGGGGCTGGGCTTGAAGCGCTACAGTGTCGAGCAAAGATTTCAATGGGCGGCCAAGCGCCACACAATGGAACCAGAAGACAAAGCTTATTCGCTGTTGGGTATCTTCGAAGTCTCCATCCCCCTGATCTATGGAGAAGGCGAGAAGCACGCATGGGACCGGTTGCAGAATGCCATTGAGGAGCAGACAGAGCGCGAGAGGCGAGGCAAGCTTACCACATCATCCCCATATTGATAACAAGACTCTGACTGGTGAGATTTATAGACCCTCGCGAGTCTCTTCGAGGAGAAGACGGCCCTATCGAAAGGACAAATTGTGTCAGAATGTCGATTCCCCAGGATCCAACAGCGGACTGTGTTCTTGCCCTCCAGATTGCGGGACCCACATCGTCAGACATCATATGCACAATAACTGGTGCTAATCTCGGGGTGGAAGAAGGGAAGCGAACAGTCATACTATCCAACGGCAGCACCGTAAGCTCAAATTCCACGATATGTATAAATAAGTTCAACGAGGCGGGCATCAATAGCATATTCTCCGGGGCCGTTGATTTGTTGGCTGCGCTGAAGGCAGGCAACCTGTACAGGAGGGAGATGGCAGGAGAGCAGGTCGTTCCATCATGTGTGTCATTCCTCGTCCCGGCCGATGTGGGTTCCGACGTTACCATGGAACTCACCCTTGGTCGCGAACTGGGTGAACAACTGGCGCTAAAGCTATACGGTCGCCGTTGAAAGGTCGAAGGGTTACAAGATTAAACGCGTTGCATTCCGTTGAGACCCTCAACAACCCGTTTCATCGGGCATCTGAAGACAGTGACTTGTCATTTCTAAGCATCTTCTCAAACATTGAGCCACCTATACGCATAGAGAAGCGGTGACATAGCCTTCCGAGAAGGCCTGGTTTAGTACAGGGCTGTCTGTACATAAATCTTCAACCCAAGAAGTGGCTAATCAAGACATCTCTGCGTTACTATTACTCTTTCAGCATCACGTACGGGCGCGACGTCCGCGAAGAGTGCTGCAAGCGTAACTATTTGGACGATTAGCACGCCATGATGAGATAAATTTCAACTTGATGTCTTGACAAGGTGAATGGATTCGTTTTTTTTTTAAAGTCGACTTTGGTGTCGGCCTTGATCCTCTCCATCTTCCTGTTCCGGTGTTGCCAAAGACCCTTCTCTCCTCCGTCATCCTTTGACTGGGACTACACCTTCTCGCCCGCGACCCTTCGCACAATCATCCCTACCTCCTCTGGGCGGCTCACGAAGGGGCTATGACCTGCATCCAGCGTGACATGGTGCATCCTCCCCTTTGCACCTCTCTCTTCAACCGCCCGCCTCCCATCTGCGACCATCCGTCTCTGGTAACCCACGGGCATCGCCTTGTCCCTCTCGCAGTGAACGTACGTGCTGTCCACATCCATCCAGGCGGCATACGTGCTCTTGCTCCAGAATGCGCCGTAGCTCTGTGGCTTGACGTTCCGCACCAACTCGGCAAGGACCTCGTCGTCGTCGATGTCGTTGTAGAACAGCTCGGCAGACATTTCGTCGGCGAGGACCGATCTCTTACGGTCCTCTGAGAGGTTGAACCATGGCAATGGTTCGCCGCCGAGATTGTCCATGACAGATACACCTTCGTCGACGGCGTGCGCGGCGCAGAAGATGAGGTGAGTGACGCCGCCTGGTTTGCCTCGGGCATCACGGTCGCTCTTCAAAAGGCCCCGACAAGCGGAGCTGCCTGGAATTCCGCCGTAGGAATGGAAGAAGACGACAATATCCGAACCCTGGTCGGCGTGTTTCTGGATTGTTGATGCAATTGCGTCGACATCTCCATCAAAGTTGGGATGTGGTGGAGATGAATTTACCGAGGGTAAAGATATACCTTCGACCACGTAGCCGTGTTTGACTAGATAGGTCGCCAGGAGGGAGAAGCAAGAAGGCTCATGCCAGGCGCCAGGGACGAGAAGAAGGACGGGTTTTGTCATGGTGAGTGCGATGGGTGTTGGTGGGAGTGGCTAGAGGAATCTCCAAGACCTCGCAAGGTCTGTCGTGGGACCTATGTGTACTCCCAGTATCCTCACAAAACATGTCGTCTGTCGGAGGAATCGATTTACAAAGTCCCCGATGCTTTGCAAGAAATTTTGGAATCGATAGCATACTGAACGTGTAGCAATCATCGAAAAGAAATGCCCGTGACAAATACGCGGATAAGTACTTTTCCACCCTTCAGCGGAAAGATGAGTAAACAAGCAGCGCCGGCCAATAGACCCCACCCAGCAAAAGGAGAAACCAGGATCGCATACACCATAGTCCTGACTGTCATTGGGTCTCAATATCCTCGATTATGCTCAGTGCCTCGACTCAGTTTGTAGGAATTCTTGTCCTTGTACTGTGCAGTGTTCCAGTTCTTCGCCCGTTGCTTCACCCAGTCATCGGCGTTCAACAGGATTTCTCCCGATGACTTTTCCAATTTCGCCACGTCGTTTTCTGAAGGGTGCTCGAAGAGATCCCGCAACTTGACTTCTGAATTCGGTCGTGAAAAATAAACCACGCTGTGTCGAACGGAATCACCTTGTTCCCCAGGAGGTGCAACGACCCGATGCACTGCGCTGTACAATCTGCCTCCCAGTAATGTGATCAGACTATCCCCCAAATTGATCACTGCGCACTCGGGTCGAGGGCGGACATATTCCCAATCTCTCTTGTTGGGAGCCAGCACCTGAAGTCCGCCGAGCTGATTGAAGAGCACAGTGACACTTCCAAAGTCGGTGTGTTCACCTAGGGTGATGGTCCCCGAGGGCTTGATCGGCGGCGCACAGGTGACTCGTGCCTGGTCGACAGAAGGTCTCTCGAGCTTGTGTAATGACTCGAGGAGGCCCTCTGATAAGCCCAAGGATTTCCCGAGAGACGCCGTGATGGTGTATATCACACTGTGACACGATCTCATAAAAGTTGTGAGTTCACCGAACCGATCCAGGACCACCTGTGGATGATCGTGCTTCAATGGAGTTGAAGAACTCGTGCCCGTCGACGATGCCGATTGTTGAATACCCAATACCTCGTCCTTGGAGACGTTGTAGAACTCGCTGTGGTCCTTTGTCCCTTTGTCGTCGACGAACATGGCACCTGACCTCTTGTACCCAAAATAGTGACCTGTAGTTCCCATGTCGTATTTCAGCTTTTCATCGAGCGGAAGCGAAAAAACGGCATCGGCGAGGTTGAACATGAAACGAGAATCGACATGGTGATTGGAAAGATAGAAGAAGCCATAATTCTGGCATGAGTTCAGCAATATTTGTGCTTGCTCTGGGTCTCCCTTGGACAAAAGGTCGAAATCGACGGTAGATATATCGGCTACTGGTACATCCGAAGGAAACGGTGGGATATTCACAGGCATGTTGAGTCAGTGTGTGTCTTTGTGCGTGCCAAAATATCGAGACGTATATGACGATGAATCCTCATATGATATGAAGGTCAAAGAGACAACTGTTGAAGTTCATCTTGAGGTTTGACAGTGTCATCGGTTAGAACTGTACACATTCCCCTCTCGACTTGTTTACCGACATGGAGGTCTCGGAACATTACCCGAGACCAAGCGTGCCACCTTCCCCCCAATACCGGGGTAGACTGTACTGTATCTCGATCAATCAGAGTGCCTTATGGCAGGTCAACTCGTGCTTGGGGACGCGTATGCGATACTCCCGGTGAAATACGGTGGTAGTATATATACCAAACTCGGCTTTTGACTGCCCAGTGATCTAGGCTTTTCTTTTGCTGCACACAATTACCTGGTCCAACAACCCCTGCAGCCAAGACACCACAACCCCCAGATTGGAGACATTGTCGGCTGGAAAACCGGCCATGGAGATTGTCATTGTCGAATACACATGATACATGCAGTGTGCAATGGTATGTTGAATGTCAGTGAGGTCAAGAGACTTCGTGGTTCAATACAAAGAGTAGAAGCCGAAGTCACTTCAGGACCCATCACTCGAAGACTGTCCATTTCAACCTCAATCAGGGGCTTTACAACACCGAGCTGCTACAGAGTGTGAAGTTGGAGTACGGTACCTTATGCTCACCATCACAATGTCCTCTTTTGTACTCATACGGAGACGAGTCCTCCATATGGACCCCCAACTTATCTCCTGATATACGAGCCACGATGCCCCCACTCCTTGGACCCCCATCTTCAACTTCACCGTCGACTTCATCCTCTTCTCCGTCTTTGGTCTCCTTCTCCTCCCCCCGCACAGTTCGACTTGATGGCTTGATGATCAGCGTGCCACAAAACCGGGGTTCTCGACCTTTTGGGGACTTTGATTTGGTGGAATTCTCCAAGCTCCTCGAGCTTGCTAAGACTTTGATGGATACTCCGTACGAGGATGTCACAACCGGCCGACGGTTTCTTAGCATTGGAACGCCACAAAAGGTTTGGCTATCGTCATAAAGCCTCCAGTACAAGGTAGGTCACTGATGCTGGCTCCTCTCGCTCGGACAATGCACCGACATGGCCGACTTGACTGACTGTCGTGGTCTCATTTAATTACTTATGTCGAGCCCTGGCTCTTGTTCTGGTCATGGTTCTGGTCCTGGTGTCTGATGTTGTTTCTGTGCCTGTCGTCTATGCCCACACCATCTTGGATTTCAATCTACGAGGCGACTCATTACTGCATCCAGTATCAGGCACTGGTCCCTCGGTGATTGTCATCGTTACCTACTTACTTTACTGTCACTACTACGTCCTCATCCCCACGCAGTCAAAATGGATTCCACCACACCCCCCGACGACAAGGGCATCTCGACCCAAAACGAGATCGTCGACAACACGAGCCTACCGCCAACGAAACACCAATTCCAATTCTCGTCCAAAACCAAAAAGCACGACGGCGACGTCGCCCTACAACTCTTCGCCAACCCGGATGACCTTCACGACCCGATCGATCGACTTGAAGAGAAGAAACTTATCCGCAAAGTCGACTTGGTCATCCTCCCTCTCATCGCCGTCAATTATGCCTTTTTCTACATTGACAAGACCACCCTCTCTTACGCCGCCATCTTCGGTATCAAGGAGGATTTGAATCTACATGGGACACAATATAATTGGCTCAGCAGTATGTGTCCAAAGACCCACTGACTTGGTATGCTCGTGTAAAGCAACGTCTGACACCTCACTAGGTTTGTTCTATTTCGGTTTTCTCGCTTGGGCATTTCCTACCAATTTCCTCATGCAAAGACTTCCACTAGGAAAATACGTTGGTTTCAAGTAAGTTTTGTTTCCCTCCTCAGAGATCTTCCTCTTGCCCGAGAGGTAAGCATCGAAATGAAGACTAATTTCCATGTGATCACACAGTATCTTCATGTGGGGTTTCTTCTTGATGCTCCAAGCTGCATGCAACAGTTTCGCTACCTTGAGCGTTCTGCGAGCCCTGGCTGGTGCTGCTGAAGCATGTTCGGATCCATCATTCATGTTGATCACACAAATGGTAAACATATATCACACCTGACTCCTCGGCTTCTTTCTTTCCGATCGCTAACCGTATTGTCTAATATCTAGTGGTACACACGAAAAGAACAACGTAAGTTTTCTCTCCCGCCCCTCCTGTCCCCCATCTCTTCTCTTCATGTCTTGGACGACTAACATGATTTTTGCATGGGACAGCCCTCAGAATAGGTCTGTGGTACACTGCCAACGGAGCCGGTATCGCACTGGGTGGCCTCTTGGGTTACGCCATAGGTCACATCAAAGGTGCCCTGGCGTCGTGGCGTTACGAATTCATCATCATCGGCGCGCTTTGTTGTATCTGGGGTATCGTCATTGGTATCTTCATGCCGGATTCCCCAGTGACTGCGAAATTCTTGAACCAGCGAGAAAAGAGGATTGCGGTTGAACGACTCAAAAGTAATCAAACTGGTATCGAAAATAAACACTTGAAGGTCCGTCACACTCCCACCACCTACTTGACACTGTCACTCCCCGTCGAGACATTTGTTCCTTGTCATTTTCATTTCGAGATGTCTGACACTCGTATACTCACTTGTCGTGAACAGGGATATCAAGTCATTGAAGCTTTCAAGGATATCAAAACGTATTTACTCTTCTTTTTGGCATTGGTTGGAAATATCCCCAATGGAGGTATATCGAATTTCGGAACATTGATCATCAAAGGTATGTTATGATCCCCATCGCCGACATCACCTCCATTGCCTTCGTTCCTACACTTGTTCAGATCACGAACATCAAACCACTACTCTGTCCTGACCTTCTCTCTCTTTATTTTTGGTACGTGTATAGGCTTCGGTTTCTCCACTCTCGTCACGACCTTGATGCAAATCCCGTATGGAGTTTTCATCATTCTATCGATCCTGACTTGTGTCTTTTTGAACGATCGATTCGCCGACAACAAAAGATGTTTGTTCATCTTGTTGTTCCTCTGCCCCAACATAGCGGGAGCTTTCGGGTTGAGGTTCGTGGCGGAAGAACACCACGTCGGTAGATACTTTTGTTACCTACTCACCGGTCCCTACAACGCCGCCTTTGTCATGATCTTGTCTCTTCAGATCGCCAACACCGCGGGACACACCAAAAAGGTCGTCACCAATGCCGTCTTGTTTTTGGGCTACTGTACAGGTAACATCGCGGGGCCATTCTTTTACAAGACGAATCAATCCCCCGCTTACCCTTTGGGTATATGGAGTATGATTGTCAGGTGAGTTTTGTTGTCCTCGTGCCTCTGGTATCACTGCCCAACATCTCTATACTCCAATATCTGTATCCATGTCTTCCAAAAACCGACAGGCTAATCAATTGTTCTTCATGCCCAATCTAGTCATCTACTTGAAGTCGTTGTCGTCATTACATTTTGGATTTTGATGAAGATGGAAAATGCAAGAAGAGACAAGATCCAATCGGAACAAGAAGGTGGATTGGAAGGCAGAGATTTGGACGCCACCGCCTTTGTCGACCTTACCGATAGGGAGAATTTGAATTTCAGGTACATCTATTGAGAGACCAAAAAGGTACTGCGACGGCATGGGACAGAGTTGGTCCTGGGTATTATCGAATCCCAAGACACCTACCACGTCCTGTCGAATTGATGGATGAATGAGGATGAGGATGAGGATGAGGATATGGGTAAAATGCGGCTTGCCTAGGACTCGTCAAAGGAACTTGTGACGGTTTCAGATATCAAGACGAGTTATTACATTTGTACATGTGTACGTACAGGTGGTCAAGAGTAAATAGCTGCTTATTGATCGAACGCTGTGATGTCAAATCCAGGTCAAGTCCCAACAAGGCCCAACTGTTTAAACCTTGACCTTTTCACCCTCTTCACTCCCACTAGTACTACTACCTCTCACATCACCAGTCTTGCCAAACCCACCCCTCTCGGCTGCCGCACCAGATCCAGCCATGACTTCAGTAGCCGCACCATCCTTTCCTTCCAGAGTCATGCCAGGAGCGCCACCACCACCAACACCACTTCCCAAGTGCCCGTCACTCGTGTTGTGTTCGACGTCCTCATATGGTCTCCAGAAATCCTTTTTACCCTTGGCCGCACGGGTGAGCCAAGGTGGCAAGATGCCTCCTTCGATCTTGTAGGTCCAAGGGTCTTTGTACTCCTTGTCCGCGGGTCTGATGCGACCGCCGGAAATCTTTTCGATGATCCAAACAAACGTGTTGAGAACGATGTAACTTATGATGCCCGCGATCAAGCCGTACGCGATACTGTAGGTGAATGGCATGATGGCGATGGTCAGAAATGCCGGAACGGCGTCACCAATGTATCGCCAGTTGATGTCTTTGGCTGCTTTGGCCCTGTACGACACAAAAAAATCAGTACTGGGCCAAGAAGATTGGCAATTTCAAAAAGGAGTGGTGAAGGCAAAAAACTCACATCAGAGATCCAACAATTATGAGAACACATCCAGTAGCATAGGGAGGAATGGATGCAAAGATTGGGGCGAAAAAGATGGAAATGAAGAAACATAAGCCCGTAGTGATGGCTGTGAGACCTGTACCACCACCTTCGGAGATACCTGCACCACTTTCGATACTGCGGTAGTAATGTTTATTAGTATGAAAACTCATCGGGAAGAGATGATAATCAAAACTCACTATGCAGTCACAGGTGGCGTTCCAAGAAGTGCACCGATAGAAATACCGAAAGCGTCGACCAAATACGCCACGGCTGACCCTTCGAAATCTTGAGTCTTTTCGTCAATGGCACCGGCGAAACGAGCCATGGAGTACAAGGTACCGGTACAATCCAGGATGTCGACATAGAGGAACGTGATGAAAGCCAGGCCGAATTGTCCTCCGTACCCTGAAATATTCCACTCTTGTACCGTCAAGATTTTTTCGATGGGATGGAAGGTGACGACCTTTTTGAAAAAATCAAACATGCTATCACCCAGTTCCGTGTACGGGAAATACGTGACCGGGGTACCCCTGGGCCAGGAGATGATGCTGACCAACAAGATCCCAAAGATGATGGCACCCTTGACGCGGAACATCATCAGCATGACCGTCAGGATGCCGCCGCAAAAGATGCCGATCCACATGGTCGGGTTGCGCATCTTCTCCGACGAAGGGCACAGGCCCATGTCGTCCCGGAATTCGGGCTTGCAACCGGCCAGTTCGAGAGGGGTCGATTGGGCGCCCACGACGGCACCGATGCCGGCGCTGTAGGTCAATCCGATCAGGGTCAGGTACAACCCGATGCCGACACCCGTGGCGAGTTTGATGGACGCGGGGATCGCTCGAGCGAGCCATTGACGAAGACCGAGGACCGTCAAGCCGACAAAGACGAAACCTTCGACGAACACGGCCGTGACCGCCACCTGGTACGGGACGAGACCTGATCCGTGGTAACCGACAACGGTGTACGCGAACTGTGGGGAGGAAAACCTGTCAGACGGTCGACGTTCCACACAGGTGGTGTTTGTTTCGTGCAAGACTTACATAGGCATTCAACCCCATCCCCGGGGCCAGGGCAATGGGCATGTTTGCAAAGAGACCCATGCAGAACGTGGTCAAGGCGGAGATCGCAGCCGTGGCGGTGACCAAATCTCGTTGGACTCCAGCCACACAAATCATGTACTCCGGGTCGCTATCACACAGGTCGGGACTGTCGGGCGGACAAACGCAAGTCCCGCCGGACTGAGAGACAATGCTCGAGTTGACGCTGATGATGTAGGCCATCGCGAAAAAGGTGGCCAACCCGGCTCGAATCTCGGTGAAGAAATAGGTCCCCTTTCGTTCCCGACGATGCCCTGACCCGTCGAGTCGAAAGCGCTTGCCGACGAACGACCGGGCGACCGCCATGTTGGCGTTGTGTATCCATTCGTTGACGCCCATGTTTGCACGCAAGTTGCACCTCTTTCTGGTGCGGAATCAAGGGAAGATGACGAGAATCGATTACCCAAAAAGGTCATTCGTACTTGGGGAGGGGGTTCACATCGATGTTGATATATATGTGTATATATACAAACGCATTACTTGCCTTTCTACTCGATAGATACCAACCTTGCAAGATCTCCCCATGAGAAACGGGCTAAGAACGTGCTGATAAGGGAAGCATCTCTGCTCCATCCGTCGTTGATTGCACAGTTGCACCCGAACAGAGCCTCTCAATGGTCCATCTCGACACAAAAGGGTCGTGAGCCAAGACAACAGGCGGATTCCGCTTGTCCTAATGGCGTCCAGCGGCCCTTGGCGAGGCTTTTTGACACTTGGCCCTCTGATAGCTATAGACATAATTGTTGGTTGGAATCGCCTTTGGTGCTTTCGGCGAGCGGCGATGTACTACTGTACATATTCATCAGATCCCAGCCCATGGTAGATCTTTCTTTTGGCGAAATATTGACGAGGTCAATCTGGGCATTCAGAGGGAGGATTCCGCCAGACCCCGGCTGCCAAGACTCTTGGGGGCGAGGACACCTGACGATGATTGTCTCTGCTGTACTTACGACAAGTACAGTTACTGTGTGTGTAGGTAAATCTACCTATCGTTCAGAGGTTGGTGGAGAGTTGGAAATCGCCATGGACCGAGACCCTCGTCTATCTCTGGCACCCACCAAACCTCGTGGTTTCTTTGATGATGAATCGTGTCATGGCCCGTTGGACTCTGGACCACCCACAGTGCAACCCTATGAGAATTTTCGTGCCTCGTTGTGGAGAAAAAAAGGGCTGGGACAGTTCGACTTCGCCACGGCAGAAACAACTTTGGACTGGATTTACCGAGGTTTTGCTTACTTCTCAAGACAAGTCGGGCATGCATAACTTGTGATACGTGTATAATTGGCACGGATTGGAGCTAAGGGAAAAAACAATAGGAGTGAGACCGTCCCCGTGAGTCTATCAATGAATTTGTTTGCTTTGTTAGAGCCCTGAACACTTATTGATGTACAGTACTTGGCCAAATTTCCCTTTTACTGTATGTACTGCACGACAGTGCCTTCCTTATTATGTACCCTGAACAATACTCCGTACAGTATGCCACCCGCTCATTTCATCACGTATTGCCTCATCTCGCATGTCCATTCGTCTCGCCGTCCATTTCGAATTCTTTCCTGATGGCGACGCCAACCTTCTCGACCGCTTCTCGCATCTTTTCTGCCGGAGCCGCCGCGAACGTCATACGGAAGAACAACTCATGATCGGTACCCCGTTGCGCCCTGAACCAACTTCCCTTGGCAATCAGCACTCCCTGGTCGGCACAAGTCGTAAATACGCTGTCCTCGATCTCCAAGAGCGTGGCATAATCAATCTTTCCGCCCTTTGCCTTGTACAGCGGATGACGAGTCAGGTCCACGCCGATCCAGTGAAACATGCCTGCCTTGGGTGCGACCCAGGAACACACCTCTGTGGGCAAATGCTCCTCGCACGCATTGACAATGATGTCCCTTCTCCTCGTGTACTCGGCGCGAATGAACATCAACCAGTCTAGAAATCCCTTGTGTCCCCAGTTCTCCTCGAGCAAGTTGTACAGCGCGATCAACGTGAACCCGGACGGGGTCTGGGCACTGACCTCGTTGTGTCGCATGAACCGCTCAATCACCTGAGGCGCACCAGTCACCCATCCTGCTCGACTGCCTGGCGCAATGATTTTGGAGAACGAGTCCATTCTCAGCACACGTCCTGACGTGTCGATCGACAAGTACGACGGAACAAGATGGCTCAGAAACTCTTTGATGGGAGCTGGCTTGAAAGGCGATGAGACGGTGTGTGTTTGTCCCGACACGAACGGTTCCATCTGCAGGAAATAGTATGGCTCGTCTTCGAGGATGAACAGATCGTGTTTCTCGGCGACTCTGTAGATGTCCCTCCTCCGCTGTAGAGATTGTGTGCTGGCCGTCGGATTTTGGCCCGTCGGCACGGTATACACGAGGAAGGGCTTTGGTGCTCGCCGGGCCTTCTCGTCCCAATTCGACAGGGCATTGTCAAGTTCATCAGGCAACATTCCATCCGCGTCCATCTTGATGCCCAACATCTTCGCGCCCAGTGGTGCAACAGTCTCGATGGCACTGCTGAAGGTGTATTCCTCGGTGATGACGTAGTGTCCTCGCTCAGTAAACATGCGCAACGCAATGTCCAGGGCTGAAGTGCTCCCAGAAGTCATGCAAATGTCCCAATCTGAGTACGGTGGGTTGTGTACGATCTCGGTGTGTTCGGTGAGGTATCGCATGAGTGCTCCCGGCCCCATAGATTGGCCGTAGTTGAGGGCGATGGACAGGTCTAACGAAGACTTTCCGTCTCGCGTGGCGTCATACTTGCCAGAAGAATAAGTCTTGCCCGACACTGCTGTCTCGGCCTCTGTGAACTCGGTGGGAATAGGAACCTTGGCGGAGAGCTCTTCGAATGGAAAGTAGTCGCTCGACGGAAGTCCACCGCAAAGACTGATGGTGCCGGGCTTGTAGTATTTCATCGCACCCTTCAGACTCGAAGGCTTCCTCGATTTACTCTCCTCGGTCAGTCGATGGGTGAAACTCTTGGCGGTGGGTTTGCTGAAGCATCCTTTGCTTTTGAACATGTCTGCACTTGAGAATGCAGCCACTGTTGCTGGTGGCGGCTTTGATGCCTGTCGATGTGGCAGCACATGGTCGATGGTGAATATGGGATGAGCTGCTGTTTTGGATTTTGAGTCGTTTATCACAAAGGATGAGGTGTCCGTGGCGGCGGTGACCTCGGCGTGAGGTGCCATGTTGTGAGGCTCGTCTGGAAGCAAGTAAGATGTTCCAATAGGGTGCAAAGTGTAGACCAAAAGTCCTCGTATTAGGATTAGTATGCTCTGCAATGCTCAAAGAGAGGTCAACCTGCTGGACAATTAAGAGAAAGCGGCAAATCTGGATGTTTTCAATGCTGAACACCCCTGCAATGTCCCTGAACGAAAGAGCGATCAGTAAAATGATCCTGTGACTGAAAAAAAGACACACATCATATCACCTGGAAATTATGTAAATGGAACGCGATCAAGGGCGTCGATAAAGGAAAACTGCGCTTGACGTCGGCTATCTGCTTATCATCGGCTGCGCCGTGTCCACATCCACCAATCACATGACTCCAATGCACGTGCCGCCACCGAGCCAGTCCCGATGCGTCATAATCTGCCATCGTAAGGGCGTGTGCACGTATCTGTCCCCTGCGACAACATATCCATCAACAATGAAACGTATGTAGGGCAAAGTATCTCCTACTCCGGCTTTACCGGCCCCTACGGCTTCCGAACAGACTGAGACACATGCAACGTCAGCGCAGGTATTTGTATCAGCTACCATACCGTGTCAGATCATAGTAAAAACAACTCCTCATATTCCAGCTACTAATCTCAACCAAATATTTCATACTCGTCCTCGATCTCAGTTTGATAACTCTTCCAGTATCAAATGATGGTTTCGTCCAACCCCATGCCCAAGTGCGTAGTGAAATCTTGCCATAGTCAGACAGCCCCCTTTTATACCTTCCAAATCCATTCATCCATTCCTTGCTATCCCTGTATGGTTTCATTCACTTTCTTCCTCTCATGTACAATCAGCAGGCACAGAAACAAAAGAGACCTCGACCTCCTGTCTATTCACTCTCGTCTTTTCTCCCAGCTTGTCCATCGCTCTACCTGACCTGGCATTCCCCAAAGACCGTGCCCGAGGCAACAGTCAGATGGTACACCCTGATCACTTGCTGACCCGTAACCACCTTCACTTTCTTTTTAGTCTTGTAGACTTTTTTTTGTGTCTCCTGGACTGGACGGACTGGACTTGCACTAAAAGTTGTCGTTGGAGATGCCATTGTGGCCGGTGGACACGGCGCTGGGGTAGCCGTACGCGTTGGTTGCTTCGTTCTCGTTCGAGTTCAAGCCGTGGGTCGGATTCAATAGTTCGCTGGCATTCTCGGCTTGCCCGGTGAAGCCTGCAGCGCCGGAGGCGGAGGCAGAGCCCTGGACACTGCCGCCGCCGCCACTGCCCCCGCCGACGGGACCGCCGTAGCCGCTGCTGGTAGGTCTGGCCTGATTCTCGCCCCTTGTGGATTGGGTCTCATCCCAATCAGTTCGAATGTTCAGACTGAATACCCCGTCGAAGTGACAAAGGAGAAGGAGGGAGGAGCGGGGAGGGACACCAAACTTACTTCGCGATACTTGGACAGGTAGATCTTGAGAGCCTCTGCGTAGTTTTCGAACCCCAGCGAGGTCATGGCAAATAGGATATCCTCTCCATTGACCGTCTTGCGCTTCTCCTGTTGACATTTTTCGGATGCTGTGCAACGTTAGTCAAAATGCCCGACGCCCTTCTGGAAGGAGGTTTTTGGTTGCTCCGACGTACCTTCGCTGGTGATGAAGCTGATGAATTCGCTGACGCATTCCTGCATGCACTCTTTGGCCTCTTTGGCGATTTTGGCGTTGTCGGGGAGGGCTTGTTTCATGATTCGGGCAACTGGCGCAAAGTTTCTGATGTTAGCATCGGACATGGCTGAAGCAGAAACAGACAATGAGGGCAGTGAGCGCGCGCCATGATGGCGGGACGACGGTGGACGTCTGGGATCCAGGTCCGCCGACATGGTCAGAGAGTTGTAGTCTCGCTGAACAGCAGTATGGCCAGAGTACTCCGAGTGGTCCAGGTACCGCACCAGTCAGCGCCAGGCAGAGCTGCGATGCAAATCATGGTTCGAGAAGAGGAGGAGCACGAACGAATGAGGTGAGCCTGGCTAAAGAGAAGGTGCAGCGTCGCACACTCGGATTCGCACAGAGGGGTCAAGCAGCGTTCCTGGCGGCACGCAGAGACGCATGACTGTGACGCAAGGGTCGAACAAATCAAATGGCTGCGGCCATAGCAGAGGTTTCGTCGCACGGGGCGGGAGGAACACAAGACACGACCAAAGGGAATTTTGACAAGAGGAAAAAAAGAGAATTAGCACCAACCATTTGCAATGGGTAGCCATCGGTCTTGCTCCTTGACCTCGAAATCACCCAGACCGGTGCCAGCTTGTCCTTCTTGTTCGCGATCCATATGATCCTGCTCTTCGCCAGACTGTGCGCTCTGTTCGACATCGGGCTCCTTGGGTGGGGAGGTCGACATGATGTAGTTTCAGGATAGCCGCAGCGGCCGGATGGCAAGGCGAGAGAATGTTTGGCTAACCTTGACCACGTCACACACTGACGCAGAGTGCCTAATGCTGGCCTGCGTCACTTGGGGGGAGACCTGTTGGTCAGACGATCGCCTTCTCTTGCGCTGTTTGTGCCCAAAATGATTTCCGGTCGGCAGGCTTCCTTCCCCCAGCGGACTCCCTCTAGGGCGAGTGGGTGGACGGGGGTTGCAGGGTGAGAGAAGAACGGGGCGAGTGCGAATCGAGGCGGTCTACCACGAGGCACGAATGACGAATTGTCTGTGGCAGAGGAAGCGACAGCCAGAGACTCGGCGCGGGTGGATGTGTACAGCGCAGGTTTTGGGACGCGTTTGCGACGAGGATCGGGACGGACAGCTGCAGGAGGCGGATGCAGATGCAGATGCAGACGCAGATGTCGCGACTGGGGAGGGGCGGGACGGTCTGCTGCAAGTCTAGTCAGCCAGAAGAAATGCTTATTGTCTATTGACCAGATGGGCCCGAACTCGTATCGAGATCTAGGGTGGTGGTAGGTCGTGTTTGTGCGTGTGTGAGAGAGTGTCAACATACATGATTGATGCACCTTTGTGCCGATACCTAGGTAGTAAGGCGGAGGTGGGAAAGCAGCGAGACGAATGAAATGGATGCTCTGCCTGCCGCAGGACGAGCGATTGGATAGGCGGAAGTTTTAGTCGGCGTCTGTTGCCAGTCAGTTTAGTCGGTAGTGAGGACCACCGCATCAAATCAGGAAGCCGACCACTTACGAGGGAGGATGTTTCCGTAAAGGCTCGGTACTAGAGGCTTTTACTGGATAAAATGCCAACAAACACCAGACGATGTGAATGGACAGGATAGAGAGTTGAATGGACGGTACCAGTAGGTGGTGTGGTTCGTGGGTGGTGGGAGAGAGGTACGGAGTACAGAGTAGGAGAAGAGCGACAAAAATGGTTGGTCCGAGGGGGGAGGAGGAGGAGAATTACTTCTTGTCGGCACTTATGGACAATACTGGATACTATGTATTGGTTACGTCTAATACAATAATACAATACTACTCCGTATTCGGTACCTATATTGAGCAAAGAATTTGTAGTGATATGTACGAGTACGGAGCAGTCCCGAGTACCGATACTGTACTGTGATTGTACTGTAATTGTACTGTAGTAGGGGAGGCTGGGGGAGAGAGACCCCCGGGCGAAGTCGCTTTTAGGGTTAGAACAGCCACAGCGAATGCACAAGTGCGAATACGAATACGAGTAGGTGTTACTCCGTCTACCCTACTATACGGAGTACATGTTCGTAGCATCAACATTCTCAGTCTGTGCGTTGACCACTTGAGGATGAACTCGTAAAGAAATAAAAATAAGGTACATACGGTTGCTCGTACGTACACAACTTCATAATGGGGATTGGACACTTTCAAGATGCATCAATCATCACACTATTTACTCACCGCATCACGTACAGAGTACGGAGTGTCCGTATTGTCAATCACCTTGAGACGCAATACCCTTGCACTCACTAGATACTCCAGTAGGGATACAATCTGATTGACTGCCTCTCTTCATATCCCATGTCATGGCACGCTTCATATGCAAGCCATCAGCCTCACCCGAACCCATACCCCTGGTACTCCGTACGTACGGGAGTTCACTTTCGCTTTCAAAATACCTAATCGAGCCATACATCGTCAACCACAGCGGTGTGCGTTCGCGTTGAACCCATCTTCCCAAGTCCGACTTCAAGATGGCTGGCTAGATCATCCTTGCTTGGTAAGGTAATCGGGAAGAACAAAATACTGGATACCCTGTACTCTCGAACGTTGAGTGACCGCCCTTCCTTGGGAATCTTTGATCACGTCGACCTCCTTTTTCTTCGATGGTAATAGTGATACTCCGTAGAGGAGGCTCAAAAAGGCCAGCCTGCAATTCCGTATTCTCACGACTCCTAACATCCTGGATATACTCCATACTCTCCGTACTCCCCGTACCCTAAACAGACGAGAGGGAAGGGGCAAAAGCGGTCCTAAATAAAACCTCGCGGTGAAGCCACCGCCATTCCCTTTGGCACCGAAGTGTCCGGAAATGCAAAGAAATGAGGCGCCTATTTTGCTATCCTCCTCCTCCTTGTACTACGATCCAGAAACCAAAGTTCCAATGTCCCTGTCTTACGCACATAAAACCCATCAAGGGGGTTGAAAATACACCACAACAACGACGGTGGTACTCCCTCAAATTTCCGCCATGTCAGGTAGTGACACAGTCACCAACCAGCAACAAGTACTCCATTACAGCCATTTGTCACATGAAGCAGCAATGACGCATTCACCTTCACCGAATCAACTGAAACGCCGGGGGAAACGTCACAAGCGAGACAAGTTCGTGTGGTATTGCCAATGGCTGTCCATCACCCGAAGGACTCTCTCTTCAATATTACCGAGTCGACGTGAAATGAGTTTGCTTCGAAACCCTCCCACCTGTGTCTTGCATAAGCGCGATTTCGAGTCCGAGTCCGAAAGCCCCTACTTTTTCGCTTGTAGGCATGAATGGTGGGTTGGCTATTCACCCCCCGGCCACCTGTGGTGTTGTCGCCCAGAACATCCCGCCTTTTCACTATCCTGGCCACCGCCCACCCCCCATGTCTTTCTCTCCGTCACACAGTCCAAATGTCAAAAAATTTCCGCCCAAAGTGATGATGTATGGTATGATCGATGTTCGGAATACCCGAATCCTTGTCGTCACTTCGACAATCGCGCAAAGGCCGGGGAGTGATGTGGGGACCGTTTTTGTTTTGCCTAGCGTAGCTACTGTGATACGGAAGAATACAGAAAGAAGAAACGGTGTGGAATTATGCATCGTGCGCCTCACATTGGGCACCTTCGCATATTACACCGAGCCTAAAAACCGCGCAGTGCGTGCTGTTCATGCGTTGTGCCCACGTGCAAACATGGGCCATATCATTTTCCCCAACCGGTTTAAGCCTACACACCATTGCACTTTTTGGCGTCATAGAAGCGAGGGTGTGAATCCCCCCGAAAACACATCTGCTTCATTGCACAAGGGCGCAGAAAGATTTGGGGGGCTTGTTTGAGAGCAACGCCCAGCTGTCGGCCAAAAACACATGCTCAACTTCCCGTCAACAATATATGGCGAAAAGTAGTATTATTCAAAGGAGCACTCTAGGGCGGTGAAAAGACGCTACACCATATAGAACCGATAACGAGTACAGAAGGGGGTATCATGTTAAATCAATCACAAGGAAACTTTTCCAGCTTCGGCATTCGAGCCTGTGTTTCGAGGGTGCGGATTCCCCCATGGCCACAAACCATGACAAACCCATTCGCCGCGCCTTTGTACTTTCAACGACTTGCTCCTCTGACCATGATGAAAGAGCCTGGAAGCACCGTTTGCAAAGCTCTTGACGGAATCAAGGTGCTTCATGGCGACGTCTCTGGTATTGGGCCTCGTACATGACTCCACGGCCATCATCCTCCGCAGCATGGTCTCGACCGGGCTCGTCCATAGGCTCAATCACGCGATAGCGCTCAGTGGCTGAAGGAAACGCATGTCCCTCATAATGATAGCGCATACGGTAACCGCCATCACCGGCGCCGGCATCTCGGGCACCGAGGCGCACAACTTCATCGGCCGGCAACCTTTCATCAATGTATCGTTGGTGCTCGATGTAATATGGGCGTCTGTCGTCTCGGACCTCAACGTACCGTGTGGGAGCTTCTTCTGCGGGATAACGATATCCTTGTCCAGACACTTCCACAGATGGCTCATACCGTCTGAGTCGACGCGCGTATCTATTCTCAGGGTGGTAACGAGCTCCTATTAGGGGTTCAGCAGGTGCTGGTCCTCGCTCGATCACCTCCCTGAGACCATCGTCCTGGTGGGTTCGATGTTGCACCGCGGGAAAGTCATCAAGATAGTCACCATGTCCGGTCCGGCCCGTAGGGAGATAGAATGCAGACCGCAGATGAGGCGCCATTTCATAGCTACCAGGCTGGGCTCGGTCATAATCGTCCAACGCCGTTCTGCCACTCTCGACCATTGCTAGCGCGGGTGTCTTCATTCGCTGTGATGATCCGTCACTTCCACCAGTTGCATCAAGCAATGGACGATGGGAGATTTGATTCCTAGAAAGCCCTGTGCTCGGTCTAGAGCCAAGCGTTTCCGGAGGTCGCGATCCGTTGCGCGTCGCAAACGAGGCGCCGCTGAGCCCTCCAATTTCAGCGGTACCTTGAGCTGCCATCGGGTCAAAATTTGCGAGGAATTCCTCTGCTGCAGTCGACCCACGATCGTCACCCAAAGAATCTTGTGGTGCGGAGTGCTGCGAGGGCGCTGACAACTGGAACGAATGTCGACTTCCAGCTTTGCTATTAGGTCGAGCTTCGGAGATGGTGGTTTCACTATAAGCGGTCAAGGGCTCCCGATATGACCCCCATTTGGATGATTCGTCTTCATACGAGTAGACCATGGAGTCTCGGGAAAGGGGTCCTTGTCGATTGCGCGTCTCCCAAGCAGGGCTAGATTCGAATACTCTGGAAGGGTATTCCTGACGAGACGGGTATCTTTCGACAGCTGAAGTCGCGGCTCTGTGCTCAAGCAGATCGAGTGGTAGGGGAGGAACAACAGCCCGACCCTCCATAGGGTGTCTGTGGAGCGCCAGATGCCCACGTCTATGAAGATCGTATTCGTCTTCTGGGGCGTTGAAGGACTCTTCTGAGCGCGCCATGTGTGGCTGAGCGCCCCTGTCATAAGCACTGATATTGCGTGTTCGAGGCGGCAGTGGTCCCGCAAAATGTGGAACAGGCAATGGGGCTGCGTCGATTAGCGGAGCAGTATGCTGTCCCATACTGACATATGGTGACGCTTCCGAAAAGTAATTAGGAAAGGCTTCAGCAATGACCTGAAGTTTGTCATCATCAATGCCTCGTGAGTGCCGCAGAGCCATTATCGCCGCACTGCTCGGAAGTAGGATCATATCCCTCGTCCAAACCAAACCCTGCACGCCGTTGCCTGGTCTTTGGGACACTCCATGCAAACTGAGGTTGCTACTCGACGCATCTAGGTCGTAGTGAGCAGATTGAAAATGGCTCAGTAAGTTTGGAACGTCATGCTCAATTCCACTGCCTTCACCCTGTCGGCTCGGTATAGATCGCAAGTTCTCGGCACAGATCGCGCAACGGAGTCCGGACAAATTGCGCAAAAAGAACAGCTCGGATCGATTAAATGAAACATCTCGAAACAGCGGGAGTCCAAGTTCGAAGTTGAACATCCGCTTGAACCTCGAGCTAACGTGGTGGATGATAACGTAAAGTCGGACTGGATTGGAAAGGTCCCAAATGCCATCAGTCCTGCGCCAGTATTCAACAATCAGGTTAGTGACATCGACCGCGGGATTTTGGACCGCGACCTTTTGTTGCGGTCTACTTCGCATGCTATTCGGAGGTTGCCAGGCAGGTGACTGCCCTTGATGTTGTGCCTGCTGTTGAAGGTTGCGATTCTGGTCCTGTACCCACGGGATGTTTGGAGAGGGATCAAAAGGCGGATCAACCGGCCAGTCGGCATCCCAGTAAACAACAGCATTGCCGTGACTTAGCTCGTGAGTGTGCTTAGCAGCATAATGTTGAATGACTGCTTCAAACGGGAACAACTTCTGCGTGTTATCGCACACGCGGCACAGGAACAGGTCTTTACCGAAACGTTCAGTATGTGGTTTGACCAGCTCATCGAACGTCCACTTCATGTCCTTCAACTTTAACCTTCGAGACAGCAGGGACTCGGAATCTTGTGGAAATGCTGTTCCTTTCAGCGCAAGCATTCTGTCTTCGCCTGCAAGGTCTTCACCAAAGCGCTGGCGTACATGACAAAGTACCTCGGCTGCAAACTTGCTAGCTGTCGCTTTGGTGACACCCCGACCGTCCGACCAGGTTTGGCGAATAAAATCGCGAGCGTATTGTTGAATTCTGTCTCGGGAAGGAATTTTCAGTTCAGACCACATATTCGCTTCGTTTTCTTGTGCTACATGTTGCTCCTGCTCAAACAATTCAAGTTCGTCGGGCTTCATGGAGGCAGCATTTTGACGTCGTTCCTCACGTTCTGCAGCGGCACGTTGCGCGAGGAGACGTGGCTTTAATATTTCCCAAGCATTCTCGTTGAGCGGCATGGCGATTTTAATCGAAGCCTTGAAAGCTTCCATGAAGGCCAGAGTTGCTGGCATTATAGGTGGTTTCATGGCCAGGCACCGCTGTTCGATTGCTTCCCGGCGTGTGAGCTTGACCTGCTCTGCCTCATCCTTACTCTTCTCGGTCTTTTGCTTTGAAAGATTTCGGAAAGATGTAGCAGTGTGCGGCCCTGCGAACGTGTAATTAGTCAGAGATTTCTACTTGGGGAGCGATTCAGAAATCGCCATCTCTCCTCGAATCAAGGAAAAGCGCTTACTACTTGTGTCGATCTCCATAGAGCCTGAACTGGGAGACAAGCCCCCCGATATAGATGGTGGCAAAGTTGTCGGTTGGTTTACCTGCATTGGTTGGGCGCGTGCAGGAAACGGACGATCCCGAGCCACAGGTGTTTCGGTCGATTGGATAGTATCGAAAGCACTATCCGCTACGGGTACGGCGATCTTCGAGGGACCGCCTTGAAGTTCCCATTGCTCTAATTTTGCAGCATCCAAAAGTTTATCTCTCCCCAAGCTTTCCAGCCCCTTGTACCACTCTTCCAAGGCAGCAGTCCCGAGTGCCTGGACGTTACCACGCTCGGCTTGCATTTCTTCGAGATGAGCTTTTAGATAGTACTTGGTAAGCTGAACATGAGAAGGCGGCGCTGTTCGCTCGAGCAGTGTTGAGGGAACATAGTCCAATGAGGAAGTCAATATAGCATAGGCCAAGGCAGGTAGGAGGACGGAGGAGCCTGTGATCAGTACTTCCGTTTCCTAACGGGGTCAGTGGTGCCCAGTATCAACATTTACCACCAGCTCACCTTGACAATTCGTTTCTCTAAGCATCTGCCACAACTTCTTATGCGGAATGGCCAGATCGTACGTACATCCACTGGTCCGGGACCGGCGCTCCAAGGAGATGTTGAAGTCTCCGATCGCTCTTTTGAGGATGCAGCATGACAGAATTGGCATGACCGGCCTCGAATGAGTCGCCACATGTCCAACTCTGTCAACTTCTCCAAGGGCTTTGGGAAGCCTGGCAGAAACCGTCTTCTGGACGCAGCCCAAATTTTATCCTGACTTTGCAATGCAATTTGGCTCGTTGGAGCCAGGTCTTCCTGCAAGGGGACGCTGGGGTCAAGCAACGAATGGAAACGGCGATTGACACGAATCAATCGCCCCAGGGTGACAGGATGAAGAAACATGAAAATATGCCGCAAGATTTTGTCCGGTAAATCCTCCACCTTCCGCCTAGTGCGGGACAACTCGCCTCCCGGCCGTGGTGGAGAAGACACCGGCAGCGGAGAGGAGAGCTTGGTTTTCTTCCTGGGCAGAGTATCATCACTTGTCTGGATGATCGATGCATGTTCACCTGACAATGGTTTAGATAACGGACTGCCCGCAGATCGATCAGGGGTTCCTGGAGTCCATGTCCTTTTCCCAGGAAGTTTTGCATCTCTGTGATGCGACGAAGTGGTAAAATCCATGCCGGATGGCCATACAAGCCATTCGTATGAAAAGAAACGAAAACAGACAGAAGAAAATAAATCTTTAGCACATTAATATCAGCGTGCGGCTGATATCAGAATGTGCTACCCAAGCTTGATATGATAGAGACAAAACCGAAAACATCTCGAGCGACGGATGTATTCTTGAGGAAAGTACGAGGACAAGTCAGTTGCCGCGAATGCAACTGCGATCAGGTGTGAGTTGATGGATCTCGAAGCATGAGCAAAACCAAAACGACGGGAACCAATCAACAGGAGAAAACGCCCGGGAAAGGGGCACTTGGGCAACAGACTGCTTTCGGATTTACGAGAGGGATGTCCGTCGTGGCGGGAGCTGTGTGCGCTGAGCAAATGCGCACGCTGGGCGTCGGCTGAAGATGTGAGGCGGTGTCTCGACGAGCAGAGGAGGTGTACGGCAGGTACGGCCAAGTCGGGAGTGACTTCGTCGGCAGAGACAGCAGGAACACTTGGTCCGGGAGGCAGGCAGTCGATTGATCGAGGGGCGAATGCAGATTGTGAAGTTATATGATGTAAGGGAAGATGCAAAGATGCACATACGAGTATGCGGTGGTCAAAGTTGAGCGCAGGCGCAGGTAGGCGGCAGTCCTATTTAGAAAACTATGACAGTCTGACAATAATTTATTGACGAATTCTACGCAATTAGGCTCCTTTGCTTTGGTCAGTCATAATATAATAACTCATCTGCCCGCTTTGTGCCAAGCTCACACCTTCAACCCCGATCAGGAAACAGGGTGATGCCGCCCTTGCTCACCTCGCCTCACCGGTCATGGGTCACCAGGTATGGAGTAGCCTTCTTATTGATTGGAGCACGTTGAGATCGCATCTGCATATTGGCCTCTAGACCTATTTATTCATGACAAAGAACTACTCGATAGCGACGTCGTAGAATCGACCATCCATGTTTGTGTGTTGTCTCAGCATGTTGTTCGTCGAGAATCAAGGCATGCAGACGCCCGACGAGAAGCCCATCACAGCTCCGGTTGAGTTAGAAGCGAAACTCCTGCAAGAGACGGAGCACGATGGCCACCATGTCGGAACCTTCATCACGAATGGATCAAAAAAGAGAGGAGGTTTAGATCGATAATAGTTATGACTATATCTTGTAACTTGACAGGAGACTTTCCCAGTCCAAGAACCATCCACCTACTCTCTGGTCTCTAAGACATGTTCATTTCTTTCTCACGTATAGAACTGTGGCAATTGTTTCATCTCATAAAAGCATTCAGAATCATGCCCATAGACGATCTTAGCGTCCAGTAGTCTTTCCAGCCTCTCGATATAGGTCAATGACTGTAGCCACGTCGTTCTATCTCTTCCCAGAAATCCTACATGTAAAGTATGATCAGTCAATAAATGTCCAGAAGCTTTGTGATACACGACTCTATTACTTGCCCTGTGGTTGCCGAAGGGTATAATTCTCCTTGACATGGAACTGGTCGCCTGTGAAAATGAAGGTACCTGCGTCTTTGAGGTCAACTTGCAAGCAGCATAGTCCTGCCGTGTGACTGAAAATAATGTTAACCCAAGAGACAAAGACACAGGATTGAGAGGTTGAACTGACCCTGGGCAATGATGCAACGAGAGCCCTTGGAAAATCTCCGTCACCTTGCCGTCAAAGGTTTGCCAGTTGAGTCGTGGTGTCAAGTACGACGCTTGGTATGGACCTCGATCGGCCTTTGCGGGATGGTGTCAGCGCACTTGGAATCTAGATGTTCTCGTCTAGACCATTCCGGGTACCTACCTTTGTGAAAAGTGACCACAGCGCAGTGTGGAGTTCCTCATCATGCACATAGATGGGGACATCGGTGTCGATGAAATGCATCAATCCCCCCGAATGGTCCGCATCTGTAATATGGTCACTGTCAGTGTGACGCAGACTCGCTGGAAGACGTGAATTCTAACGAAGATGGCCCATCAAGACTGCCGTAACGTCCTTGATATCGTGTCCCGTGGCGGCAATTTGTTCGGGGAGCGTATTGTGCGAAGTGTAGTTCTTGCGGGGAGACACATCGTACATCTGTCAAGTGGGCCTTACGTGAGCACTGGGAATGGCGGGAGACAAGAGATCAAGGAGGGCAGTACTCACGGGGCCCCATTGTTCTTTCATGTCATCGTGGCAGCCGGTCTCGAACAGAATCAGCCCTGCCTTAGGATGTTCGATGAGAACAGCAATTAGAACGAGGTCAATCCGCTCGTGCTTCGGGTTTGGATTGCTCGCGCTTCCCGCTGTGGCTGTGGTCAGCTGAATGAGCCATTTTTATGTGAGTTATAAGATGAATGACAGGGGATATGAATCGCATTCTACCATTGGGGTGTCCAGCAAGAACGTAGTTGGCATCGATCTCAATGGTTCCGAGATTGAGCAACTGATGTGAATTGTCAGTTGAGATGCTTAACGAGTCTTTCGAGGACATTACAGACCCACATCTTGGTCCCGTCCGGACATGGTCGGTATACTGGTCTCGACATGGCGCTGAATGCCTGGTCCAAAGCGCAAAAGAGACTCAGTTGCTGTCAGCGAAGACGATATCGACTATAGTAGGGAAGCACGGTTTCTTGCGCACCCTTTTTATTCTACATTATGAGATTGCCTCCGCTTCGTCACACACAGTATTCCCGTTCCCTAATACGGGGGCTTGGCCGGGGAGAATTTACATGTGCCGGGGAAGAGATGTTGATGTTTGAAGTATCCCGGGACAATCCCGCAAGTTGTGGGGCAATGGCGGGATCATTCCCTGCCTCTGAATTCACTTCAATGCTGATGGGCGAGTCTCCAGAGATCGAAAGTATGGAACATAAATACGCCTTAGCAATGGCTGAGATGTTCTCGATAAGGACACCTAACCAAAACTTACTGTGTCGTTCCCGATTGTTGTTTCGCCCCTATCCAACACAATGTCTTCAGCTAAGCAATCCACCACCTTCAAGGGTGCTGGTCGCATCGATGTGCACCATCATTGCTTCCCAGCCACTGTCGCTGAATTGCGATCGGAGTTCCAGGATAACAAGTTTGGGATTGCCTTTACCGACTTCCCTGTGAAGCCTGAAGAGCATATCCAGTATATGGATGAGGTTGGTGTGCAGACCGCTGTTGTTGTAAGTCAATTTGCGAATACCAGAGGCGGACACCGCTGCTGACCTCCCTTCGTGTAGACTCCATCCATAAAGAATGAATGGCACAACAGATTTACGAAAGACCAATTTCTACAGCTGTGTGAAGACTCCCTCAAAGCACAGCTGGAATACGTCTCCTATAACCCGCTAAGATTCGGTACGTCCAAAACCACGTTAATGGGATGGTCGAAGCTGACAAGACCCGATTGCAGGCTGTTTTGCCATTCTACCATTGCCTCATATCGAGGAAACTCTCGCCTTCATCAAGAAAACGTCGATTCTGCCTCTGCCCCCTGACGGCTGGGGTGTGACGACAGCAATGGGTATGTTTTCCGCCGTAAAACTCCCTTCAATTCGATTGTACTGATAGATTTGACAGGCGAGAAATACCTTGGAGATCCAGCATTTGAACCTGTATGGGCAGAACTTGCTCGACAAGGATCAGTTGTTTTTGTTCATCCTGCAGACACCGTCATGCCACCGGGCATACCATTTGGCCCCTGTATGTGACTTTGGTTCTGTTCGATGCCGCTTGTCTCTAGGCTAACAACACCGCGACAGTCGTTCAAGAATTCCCATTCGACACTTGCCGTGCCATCACGACGGTCATCAGTTCTGGACTGCTCCTTCGCCATCCCAATGTGAAGTTTCTTTTCTCTCACAACGGTGGCGCATTCCCCTTCCTGGCTGACCGCATTGGTGCTCAACACATTGACGAAATCATCGCCAAAAACAATAACGGACTGCGTCTGCGAGAAATCTTGTCTACCAAGAACATATACTTCGACACTAGTATCTCGAGCTCATATCAGTATCCGCTTTTGAAGGAGTTGGGTGTTCCTCATGAGCGTCTCCTTTATGCCACTGATTTCCCTTACACGAGGCGTGGTGACTCCACCAGTTGTTATCTGGCAGGAGCGGATGCACCGCGAGCTTCTGGCTTATTTAATGACCAAGAAATGGAGGACATTTTCAGGAACAACTCCCTCAAGCTTTTCCCACGATTGGCTAAGGAATATGCTAAACTGCAATAGCCAGAACATGTCTTTGCTACGTCCTTGGGCATGTAAGGCACTCAGTGCCGCGTGTGGGTTTATCCTAAAAAACATAAAAGAGCCAATTTGGCTAGCTTATTCGGACAGCTAATCCCGAAGCGTAAAATTGTATATGTTTGGCCGTCAATCTATTAGTATTCATATAATCGAGTAGTATGCCGACATCGATCCTAGGAGCCCAGTCATAGACATGGCGTGGCCTCTTGGTGCGGTACAAGAGATCCAGCCCCTTTTTGGGCTTTACCGCAAGTATCAGCGGGGAGTGACGGGGGGAACTCTGCCCCGGAATCCAGCCGTCGTGATCTCTTCCGATGAGCACGTATAAGTGTCGAGTCACTAGAGGACCGCGTTTTGCAAGAACTCGTACATGGTTGCGAAGTATCAATCGATTTGACGAAATGGCGGGTGAACTTCCATCAACCAACATACCAACGAAAGCATTGGTTGTTGAAGAGGTGAACGCACCATTCAAATTAGTGGACATTGTCTTGGACGAAGTGCGAAGTGATGAATTACTTATCGAGATAAAGTATTCTGGGGTCTGTCATACAGTGAGTTTGTCTCCATTTCATTCTGGGCTCGAAACCCGGCAAACTGAGACTGAATAAAAGGATCTTGCTGTCAGAAATGGTGCCATGGCTGTTGGAGAGTATCCTGCCATCCTGGGTCATGAAGGTGCAGGAATAATCCGTCGGGTGGGCAGTGCGGTCCAAAACAAAAATCTCAAAGAAGGCCAGAACGTTCTGCTCAGCTTCCACACTTGTCGAAAGTGTGTTCACTGTCAGGCTGGAAAGTTGGGCAATTGCCCTGAAATGACACCTAGCAATTTCGCCGGGACAAGGCTCTCAGATGGAACTGCCCCAGCCAGATTAATAGATGGGCGCCCTGCTCGCGGGCAGTTCTTCGGACAGTCTTCGTTCAGTAACCTGTCCATCGTTCCAGAAGAATGTGTCATTCCGTGCGACCTTCCAGAGGAGTCTTTGGCATTACTAGCCCCTCTCGGCTGTGGATATAATACGGGAGCAGGTACAGTGATTAACGTCCTCAAGCCAGAGAAATGGACGCGGTTGGCCGTTTTCGGAGTCGGTGCAGTCGGGATAGCGGCATTGCTGGCGGCTAAAGCAGTGGGAGTAGAAACATTGATCGCAGTCGACCTGGTGGAGAGCAAACTCGACAACGCAATCAGCTTTGGGGCGAGGCACACTATCAACACCAGCAAACAGCAAAATCTCGTTACTGCTCTACAAGCAATTGGAGTTGACCAGATCATTGACACTACTGGCGTGTCTTCGTTGATTGAAATGGGCATCAAAGCACTGAACCATGCAGGAACTTTTGCCTTGGTTGGTCTTCCGCGACCGGAGGCGCCCATTCAGATCGATCCACTGGAAACCATGCTCGCATGCAAAACCATCACAGGCGTCATCGAGGGAAGAAGCGATCCTTTGACGGTAAGGCCATGGCTGGACATTCTGCCATACATTGTATGAAACTAACTGCGAACAGTTCTTGCCTCGGCTGATAGAGCTCTTCAAGGAAGGGAAGTTTCCAGTGGACAAACTCGGAAAGATCTATCCAGCAACTTCAATCGAGGACGCGTTGCGAGACCTCAAAAGAGGACTGGTAAGCGCAGCTCAACGATGTGCATCCAGACACTAAGTGGTTCCAGGTCGTCAAACCGATTCTGTCATGGGCTGATATTTGATCGTCCTGAGCAAAAGGCAAATGTGACATCGTTCAAGTATATGCCACAGCGACGATAAAGCTTGATGTGGTCAAGATCTGGATCCATGTTGTTGCCACCTTCGCAGGAGGCAGAAGGAAATGCCAGTCGCCGATAGGAAATCGTCCGAAATCAATGTTTAGGCGGGGCGAGTTGCCCACACTGTTCACAACAATCTTGTGCAGGAGATTGACGCTGGCTGATGATATTTACAAGCATAGGTGTAGCAGCTGAAGGGCGCCGATCACAACGTCACTCAGGGCATGGTTCCGTGGTGCTATGCTTACCTTGAATAACAAGAATTGACGAAGACTTTGTGCACAGTAGAATTCGCCTTGTTGGTTACTGTTGGCCCCTAACTCTATTGGGAAGTACGTGTAGAATTCTTTCTTACTGCTTTCCATCAATCAAGCTTCTTTCTTGCTTCGACCAACACTACACAAATAGAACCATTCTTCTATCAACTGCATCAACTGGTATGCTGACTCCCACCCAGAACGACTCGGAGATGGTGTTGTTGGTAGTCTCGAGCAGGTAAAGTCGCGCCATACCACAGTCCCACTAAGTCCTTTGCTCACCTATCGGAGCGGTTCCGGGTCAGAAATCGGCAGTATCAGCACCGGCGATCGTCCATGGGCTTTTGTATGGACCCCACGTTCTCCAGAAGTCTGGATCGGATGCTGCACTCTTCCCAGTCTCCACGATATACGAGACAGCTCCAGGAAAGTCTTTGGTTCCTGATTTCCCACTCTCGCAGCTATACTTACCACCTAAATTGTCGAGCCCGTGAGTGAGGCCTTCGCGCGGAGTGAAATGGCCAGCTTGGACAAAGTTACTGTTCCTTCGAACAAGCGTCACGCCGACCGGCCAGCGGAAGCTCGACCAAAACGAAGCAAGACAGCGGTCGCTTGTAATGCATGTCGAGACCGAAAAAGGAAATGTGATGGAAAGAGACCTGTCTGTGGAGCCTGCTCTGTCAAGACCAAAGGCGAGCAAAACTGCATGTGGGATTCGGACAAATCGGACAAATTTCATGACTCTGAGTATGTTGCCAGTTCTCTCACTATGGCACGAGTGATCTTGCGATGCTGACATTATCGCAGGTATGTTATGTCCCTGCAGAACCGAGTTCGCCAGCTCGAGAGCATGCTTCTGACGCCTCCAACCACCTCACTCACATCCACGTGCACCGAAGATCAGAGCATTGCATTCGATGTGTCTGCCCATGAACAATCCGTAAGGCCGCTCTCAACGTGGCAACCACCACCTCCCATCGTCGTGGGGTCCTCTTCCGACTCGAGGCCTTCCAATGCCCACAACCAAACATCTTCAGTCTCACTGGACGCCATCAGCGGCTCACCAACGCCTACGCAGCCTGCCACCTATCCTGTTCGCATTCCCGCGCAGGTTAGTGGCACGTCGCGACCCGGTTCCTCCTTTGTTGACGGCGCCCAAACCACAAAAGATCATGGTTGTTTTAAGGCGACAGAGCTTGATCACGACTTGGACGAGGCCGATGAATCTGAAGCCGAAGGTGATGGGATGGGTGCCATAGCGTCCATCTCTGTGCACGAAAAGACTGGCAGCTTCGCCCTGGAGAGGGCATATTTTGGCCCTTCGAGCACCTTGGGATTCATGAAATCCATTCAAGCTGTGCTTCAACTTAACAGCCCCTCAAAGGTTATCAACACGGCGAGAAATAAGGGCTTTCGAGAACAAGGTAGAGTCTCTTCCAACGAAGAAAGAATGTTCTGACCTGGTGAGCCAACCCTCAAGGTTTCAAAAATGCAAAGGCCATACCTTTTGGTCATCGAAACTACGTTATACCCACAAGAGAGATTGCAGATGCATTGCTTTCCAGCTATTGGAAATACTTTCATCCTATCTACCCGTACCTTTTCAAGTCTGCATTCAATGTTCGCTATCAAAGATTGTGGTCCCCTCCGCACGAAAAGGCGTGCGGGTCAACGAACGTGTCAGAAGGCCGCCAGATCACTGAAGACTACTATTGTAATGAGCTCACATATTTCTGCATACTCAACCTGGCGTTCGCTCTTGGGACGCAGTATAGTCCAATGATTGACCCTGGTGAGTGTTGTGAGACTGGTGAAGTCTTTTTCCAACGTGCGAAAGACTTCATCAATCTCGACAGTCTAGGGTGTGGAGAAGTAACCCTGGTACAAGCTCTCCTACTTATGGGCCACTATCTCCAGAGCACCGACAGGTCCAGTATGTGTTGGAACATTGTTGGCCTGGCCATTCGCACTGCACAATCGATCGGACTTGATAAGCCAGCGCGGCGTCATCATCACCCTAACGGACGAATGAGCAAACTTGATGAAGAGATCAGGAGACGGTTATGGGGGGGATGCATACTACAGGACAGGTAAGCAACTCCGGGTTGTCCGTTGCTCATCATTTCTTGCAATATAGGCCTTGCTACGCTATCCGTCGTTAGTCGTCACTGACCTTTGACAGAGTTGCATCCATGATGTTTGGCCGACAGCTAATGCTATCTCCTGCTTCTGTTCGCAATGCTACTTTCCCAGAGGGCATTGAAGAAGAAGATTTGATGGATGTTGCAGCTACACCGGGCAGGCGACTATCCACCTCACCCAAACCGATAGCTTTTTTCGCGCATGCTGTGAAGCTCTGCCAGGTCGTGGGTGAAGTTCTCGATGCAGTATACTCTGATGGCACAACAGACGTTGGTATAAGCCCCGACACCGCTGGTGTTGGCAAGGGTTCCTCATTGATCGACAAGGTCAAGACCGGGAATCTTCACGATATATTGAAGCTCGATGCCGAATTGACCAAATGGCGAGACAATCTTCCATCATTCCTCCAACTCTCGACGTACAAAGCAGCATCCGCCAACTCTCTCGCCCAAGAGAGTTCTCCCATTCTTGCCGAAATAGCCCCTGCGTTTCTCAACACTTTCACCCGACAGGCAAAAATCTTACAAGCTCGGTAGGGCTTATCCCACAACATTTGAATCGTCCCACTATTACTAACTGCAACTCTCACAGCTTCCTTCATATCAAAATCTTATTGTCTCGTCCTGTACTGGCGGTCCTTGTTTCGAATTCGGATGCTTCCACTGGGTCTTACTGCTCCACAGATGCACTCCAAACAGTGCTGAATGAAGCCATATTGGAAAAAATATCCAAACATTGTATTCAAGCAGCTCAAGATCTTACTTCTTTGGTATATGACAGCTTGATATCCAAAGACGCCGCACTGCCTGCTTGGTGGTATAACGTGTTCTGTAAGCACCAACCCCCATCTTCGGATATATTCGGGACTTCCACTAAATTTTAACCCAGACCTATACACTACTGCCACCATATTTGTGGCGCAACGGCTGTGTCCTCATCTCATGCCAGCGGGAGATGATGACCAATGGCAACAATGCTGGGACAAATGCCTCCGAGGCCTTCACAGATATGAGTCCCAGAGCGTCTCGGCGAGAAGATGTTTCAAAGTGCTTGATTTGATTGACAAGAAGTTCTTCCGGGCCAAAGACCGAGGTACGGGCCCCTCCGTGATGGATACATAGCTGTGTCGAAACTAACACATTTCATAGCACAAACATTCTCTCCGGATTTAGATGCTACCGCGAATGATGGTGTTTACCAGCAGTCAGATGTCCAGAGAGGTAACACAAACGATGTTTTTGCCGACTCTGGGTTCTCCCTCGACCCAACCCTACAATTTCCAGGCGCTGGTGGCTTGACCTGGAACTTGGCCCTCGATACTGCGGAAATGGAGTGGCTGGCAAACATCCCTTTTGACCCCAACATCGACATTGATTCTTCGACTGTTGGCTGATTGAATAGGCTCAGCCCCAATGATGAGAATGTTAATACTGACCCCACGTAAACGAAAGAAACATGTGTTCTGGTTGTTCAAGTGCTTTGTTCAAGTGCAAAAACCAATTCTATCCTTGTTCAAGTCCACCAAATCTTTGATTGCATCGATCTTTTCTTATTGCACCACGAGCCTTCTTCGACATTGGACCTCTTCGTTATCTAGGTCAAATATTCTTCCTCTCCGACTTCCCGACCAGGTCTTGATTTCTAGAAACTGTCGCCGTGATGAGATGGACGAGCTTCTTTCCAGATCTTGGCGGACCACGCTCTGATCCGAGGTCCCTTCCACCAAAAGATGAAGATGGGAACGTGAGCCACAAAACAAATAACTGCGAGAACGCCGAAAGGAATGGCATAGCCTGCACTGGTATTCCACGGAACGATGGCGTAGGAGATACCGAAGGCGGCGAAATTCTTGAAGCCGTTCTGGATGACTAACGCTGCATCTGCACGTGCAATATACACGTCTACCAAATAGGTCTGTGTGAGGTTGCAGGCGACAAGGAAAGAGAACATGACTGAAGAAGAAAACTGTGTGTTAGTACCATCCGTTCATATGCAGGAGCAGAGGGGGAGCCCTACTCAGTCCTTCTCCGACAAGAATCGATACAAATTGAACATGGTTCTGCGCGCAGACACCCACGATGATGCAGCCCACCGGTGACAAGACGGCACTGAGTGCGAAGAATACCAACCTCCATTCCGGTTGGAAGTCAGCGTGATGTCGATTTCGCGCGATATACCAATCATTAAGGGCTCCAGAGTACGGAATGGCAAGACAGGTAGCCAGGAAAGGCGATAGGGCAGTCAGGCCTGTCTTTTTGATGCTGAACCCATACTCGCCCTCGAAAATGAATGTGTTGGAGGTCAACATATAGTTGGTTACCATCAACAGGAGCGAAAAATTGATCGTCATGACCAACACAGCTGGGTGAGGGATATAGCGGAAGGGATAGATGAATGCGTGCCAGAAGCTGTGAGCACACCAAACACATACACGATCAGCACCAGGGATCTTTCAAGGCCGAAGGGGACGAAGGAATGGGGACTCACTTGTTGACTTTGCTTCTTCCACCTCCACTGACCTTGGGAAATGTCAAATTGTCTATGAGGCGTCGCTTGCGGTGGTGCTGAGCATTAGACTCGCGGGTGTACTGTGTCTCCGGAAAAAATAGCAGCAGCAAGACAAAGCATATCAGGCACAGAATAACGTGGACCCATTCAATCCAGCGCCAGCCCAAGTTCACGGTGGTGTACGCCCCCATCAAGCTGCCGATTGCGAAACCGGAAGACTCGAACAGGGTGAAGAGTGCCATGCACTTGGCCCGATCGTTCAGATAGAAGACATCGGCGATGACCTGTGGGCCCAACGTCTCAGGAGACGCCATGAAAGCGGACGCCAGGGTTCGCGCGGCCGTGAGGGAGCCAAACGAGTCCGCCTTCGCGCCCCAGATCGAGAACAGACCGGCAACGAGGCTGGATATGACGAAACATTTGCGCACTCCGAACTTGTTGCCGAGAGCGACCCAGAAGAGAGAACTGACTCCGTAGGCCAGCAGTGGCGACCCGACGAGGTATGTGACTACATTGATACTGCATTTGAGGTCTTCGGCAATCACAAAGAATGCAGGGGCAATAGTGATCATGTGGGCAGGTCCTTGGAAAGCCCAGATACATAGCACTGCGAGGATGGCGAGCTTCTGGACCCGGGGCCAGTTGAGGGGGTCGAATGGATCGTCGGCGGGCTGGGGCTCGAGGGGGAGGCCATCCTTGGAGACCTTCAACGCTGGGTTCGAGTCTCTTGGGAGCTGCTCGACGAAGGTAGCAGCGGCGGCATTGGGGTCCTTCTCTTCGAAGGGAGGAGGAGATTCAGACATATAGTCGCGAGGCTTGAATCTGACAGGGGGTGATTGAGCGGCTAGAGAGTGTGTTCAATACACCAAAGTACACAGCCCAAGAGCTTTCGGTAGAATCTGGTATTTATGCAAAGCCTTAGAGGTTACCGAAATGTGGACTGGAATTGTGAGAATGCTATCCGGGGTACGGGGCTTCGTAGAGCTCCTTTTTATGGGCCCAAGGACTTCACACTTGCTTCCGCCTGTGCAAAACCCCCTCCCCCTGTTCGATGATCCCGTAACTCAACAAAGACCAGCTGGCCTCACGGGGAGTCGATATCTTTGCTGATGTCGGGATCATCCCGGTCGTCGCTTTTCACCTTTCACCAAGTGACTGATGGGAATATTCGGAAAGATGCTGATACGAAGCACCACAATCGCTCTCGAGTGCTCGGACCGGGGTAAGCGCGCGCTGTCTTTCCTGTTTAGAGATGAATCTACTAGAGCGGTAGAGATCCGAACAATATCGCAGGATTGGCAAGCGAAAGTTCCTACCGTCTTCTGCGCAAAATGTGCCATTTCCCATGGACCTCCCCTGTACATCCCCTTTGGGGGGAACGCTGGGCATGGCGAAAGAAGTTTGCGAATAAAAGGTATTGTCATGGATCAGTATACTCATCGTTGGAGTTACCCTCAATTGTCATTCGCTATAGAGATACCTTTATCAAAGGCACACGACTAAGTTACTAACAATTTGGTCGTTATTACTGTCCTTATTAGTGTCTCGATACTCGTCATTCTCAATGTCCTTAAGAGTGTCTCTTGACTGATTTGTATTTGTCGGTTACCATTACAGTCTGTTGCTAGGTATTGATACCAAGAAATGACACGACAGGTTCAAGGGGTTCTTCAGTGATATGTGTACCTGGTAGGTAGCCTTGTGCGTAATGCAGAGGTGAGTGTGCGTAATACCAATCGCCCCCCCAAAGAGCATGACTTTTTCCCATTCGAGGCACAAAACGCCTCTCCGCCAACTCTGCGCTTGCGTTTTTCCGCAATCCATGATATGATGACTATTACCTGCTCTCCTTCAAGTACAGGTTCAAGCTCTTTCCAGCTGGGCCTCCACTAAACCCGTCAGTCATGACCATGTCGGCATCGGTCGTGCTGGGTGCCATCTCGACGTCGAAACGCCGAAAGAACGAGGGCACCACGAGCTGAAGTTCCATCATAGCAAGACTAACAACAGCAAGCGTCAGAGACACTTCCCACTGTATATCATACGATCCAAGCTTGGCGATACTTACTTGCGTCCGATACAAGCTCGAGGACCGGTTCCAAAGCCGTTGAAGGCAGCACGCTGTTTTGAAGTGTCACTACCTAGCCATCTGTCCGGAATGAATCGTTCTGGATCTGGGAATATGCCGGGATCTCGGTGAATGGAGTAGTTTTGAACTCCCACAACCGTCTGCCCCGAGTTCCACTGGTTAGCTATTCAAACAGTTGTTTGCTTTGACTATCTGTCGCCTCATACTTACTCCTCTGGGGATCTTGTGCCCGTCCACCACAAGATCATCGTCAATCGCGATCCGGGGCTGGCTGCCTGGAATTGTTGGGAACCTTCTCAAAGCCTCCATGATCACTGCGTTGGTGTATGGGAATTTGTTCGCCGCCGTGATATCTGGGACATCTTTAGGGTCGGGAGCCACTCCTCGAAGTTCTGCCTTGAGCTTGTTGTAAATGTCCTTGTCGCGCACGACGGACCAAATCAGGAAGACTATGGTATTGGCTGACGTCCCACTACCGGCGAACATGATGGCCAGAAGTTCTTCCGCGACTTCCACATCGGTCAATTTGCGTCGTAACCACGTGTCGGGCTTCTCGGTCAGGCTGGTCATCACAGCAGCGCGCTTATCGTTCCCGCGCTCTCGTCGCACGATTTCGACACAGAACTACACGCTGATAGTTAGAACATTGTGCAGTATATATCGCCGGCTGTACTGTATTATAGCCCACCTCGATCCAATTGTGCAAGAGAGTGAAAGGTTCTCGGACGGTTGCCCAGGGAAGAAATCGTCCAATGGACCGTATTGGTGGCAGCAATGCCGTCTTGACGAAGTTAGCCTTTGTGATGTCACAAGATCGGTCTTCGCACCCATGCGAATGCTGCTTGAAATGCTTCGAGCTCCCGGATGATGGGATGCTCTTCGCCTGTCCTTAGTGTTCCGCTTTCGTGGTTCAATGTGAAGTGGACTGATAGAATGTCAATGGCTGCCGTCTGATACTGGATGGCAGAACGTGACTCACACACGACGTCCAAGGCCAGAAAGTGAAACCACGGATAGACATTGACAGCTTGTGTTCCTCCTTGGGACCTGATGGCGAGCTGGTCTAGCGCCTGGACTATCTTCTCCGACATAAGAGGAGCATAGCCCCATATGCTTCCCTGCGAATAGGTTTTTGCCATCAGCGATCTCCTACCGGCGTGCTGGCCTCTGTCACGGACGCTGAACACGCTATCTTCCGTCGTAAACTTGCCCGCCTTGTAGAAATCGGCTTTGGGCAACCCCTGGCCGTGTCCGTAGATGTCCTTCAGCGCTGCTGGCGAGGAGAATGACAGCTCGTTGGGACCCACTCGCACCACTGTCCCGTACTGTTCATGGGCTTCTCGGATGGCATGAGCTCTTCGTAGCTTGCGAGCATGTGATGTAGCCCAGAAAGAAGAGACGCGAGCAAGCAGAGGTCCTGGATAGCCTGCAAGTGGATGGAACCACAGCCGGTAGGTGTACTGTCAGCCTGTCAGTCTTGTGTTCGTCTTCGGTCATGGCGTGGCTCTCAGGATGGCTCGCTCACCTTTCCCACGCTGTAGATGAGGTATGCTGCGATAAGAACACCAAGAGCCCTCAGAGGGTTGTCTAGGATCGGTGAAATGACTGCCATGACGTGTTCACATTTAGAAACAACGCGCTCTTGAAGCCTCTCTGCCAATTTGCAGCGAAGGATGTGTGTCCCACAGAACCACACTCAGACAATCATACCTTATGAACAAGGGTAACGGACCATGACAGAGGTCCATGTTGGCGGGAAGCATCCCGTTCGTCGACAAGATGGTCAAAAGAACGAACAAGGATGGAGCGGGATATCCGGGGAGCAAATAGCCTTGACGTTGGGGATTCACCCCCGTGGATTGCCCGCAATGTCTGCAAGGCCGTTATCACAGAAGGACTACAATGAAGTGATGGAAGCATCTACGGCCGGAAGGATGATGCATTGGCACCCTGAAGACACAATCTTTTCTGAATAGATCTTTGCGAGGGGGGCGGGCGTCTTTCATATAGAGACAGCGAGTCGATGAGAGAAGAGAAGTAGCGAAGCTTAGGTCTGAAATTCAAGACCTCTTTATAGGGATCCATCACTAGAGTCTCTCTGATCGTTATTAATCACCTATGTATGAAAGTCCCAATAGATCTAAAGCGTGCCAAAGAAGAGAGGGTGAAGTCGAAAAGCAGCGAGACGAAAATGCGTACGAGTACGAGGGACTAGTCGCAATCAGGTCGTCTTAAAAGCGGCGTCGGGAGCTCGCTTGTCCTGCCAAGCCAGTGATGACGGAGACCGCAACTGCGCCATCTCCAATGTTGCTGCCGCTGCTACGGAGACTCCAATGCGCTGAACTGGTTCCTTGAATAAAGGCCCAGTAAGCTGAATTTGCGACCTCGTTTACTGCATTCTCTCGCACAGTCCTGTTGTTCATTGTAAGTGTGAGAACCAGGAGAACATCGTTTTCAACACCTTCCTCTACACTTCCTCGCCCTCAATAACCTACTCCAAACCCGCCCATATCCTATTGTAAACGCCAGGCATCCAGGTTCCGCCCGGACCTCGTCCCTATTATAGCCCCCCATGGCCTCCCTCAACACTTCTACCAATGGCCCTTCGATCTCTAAAAGCTACCAAGCTGTCGTCAATGCTCCTGCTCCCTCTGGGGCGGCCGCGAGCTCCCCAACTTATGGACAATGGGCAATCTTCTCGGTGTCAGCTCCTTTGGCGAATGCATTTCAGCAAGATTCGGCGAACAAGGAGAGTGTCCTTAAAGTTCAAAGTACCGGCGAGGGAGAGCTCATTGATTTGGTAGACGAGTTCTCGGACGGACGGATACAGTTTGCTTTTGTCAAGGTCAAGGACTCGAACACCGGTCTGCCCAAATGTGCCTTGATTGCTTGGTGTGGAGAGGGAGTACCGGAAAGAACGAAGGGATATTTCACCAGCCACATGAATACCGCTGCGAAACTCTTCCACGGCTATCATGTACAAATAACTGCAAGATCGGACCGGGACCTCACGCCCGAAGGGATCATTCAGAAGGTTGCCGATGCGTCTGGTTCCAAATACTCCTCCAGCAGCTCTGCCCCTCCGCCAGTTGCAGCGTCCACGAAGCCTTCTGTTGCCTCAAAACCTGTCTTTACTCCAACGCAAAGCAGCGGTGTATCTGGAGGGTACAATCCCCTTGGACGGACGGCACCAAAGCGGGAGACCAATGTCGATGAGGATGGTTGGGGAGCTGACGCACCCCCGGTAGTTCGTACGCAATTGGAAAAAGTCCAACCAGCCTACCAGCCTACAAAGGTCAATATGAGGGAGCTCACATCTCAACCGACTCCACCGACAGTTAGTAGCAGCCAGGGAGATGACAGACCTGATGTGGTCAAAGGTGCATATCAACCGGTAGGAAAGGTCGATATCGCCGCTATTCGACGCCAGGCTCAAGAGTCTGGCCAGCTACGTGATGATCGACCAACTATTGTGAAAGGATCTTATGAACCGGTTGGTAAGGTTGATATCGCTGCGATCCGGGCCAAGGCACAAAAGCCAGAAGACTCTCTTGACTATTCACGGCCTGCACCGGTTTCTGCTTCTTCTACCGGCCCAGCTGAAGAACCAGAACGGCCACGCTCGCTGGCCGAGCGGTCAGCTGCCTTTTCTCAGGGTCCAGAGCGCCTTACGTCTTTACCCAAGCCAAAAGTAGCCAACAAGTTTGGCGGAGGTTCGACATTTACGGGTACAAAAGCGCCGGTCCCAGGAGGTTTCGAGGCTAAGCCAGTTGCTCCGGCGGCGCCAGTAGGAGCAGCCAGCAGAACGTTCGCTGACCAAGGAGGCAAGACACCTGCGCAACTTTGGGCTGAGAAGAAGGCGCGCGAAAGAGGGCTTAGTGGGTCTGGAGAGCCGCCTCTATCTCCGTCTGGGTATTCCGGGCAGAGTCCAATTGTCTCACAAAAGAGTGGTGATGGAGGATGGAAGAGCAGTTACACGGGCAAGAGCTGGGCGCCTGTGCAGACGACACACACGGGCCGCAGCAGCATCGGCCAACAAGTCACCGGGGGTAGTGTAAGCAGAGAACAAGAGGAGGAAGTCCCTACTTCACCCAGTGGCGGTTTTGGATCTCTTCGCGATCGGTTCAGTGGTGCTCCTCCGATGGGCGCTCCAGCTTCTTTCGACCGGGCGCCGCCCCCCGCACCAGAACCTGACACAAGCAACAAGCCCAACCGTGGTATCCCGATCCCAGGTCTATCTATGCCACAGAACGAGCCAGAGGAGGAGAGCGCCCCTGCGCTGCCAACTCCACCTCCGCAGCCTCGAAGCCCTACTCCTCCCACTCCAGACATGAGAGAAGCATCGCCTATTCGAGTAGCAGTGCCGGTCAGTGCGTCGGCAGCCCCAGCCGAGGTCGCCGACGTGCACGACGAACAACTATCTCCACCACCCGCCATGCCGGCCGCGTCGATGGCCAGAGCCATCCCTACACCTGCTGCAGAGGATGACGAGCCTGCGCGCGAGCCAGACTTTGGCAGAGCTGCCGCGCAAGCAGAGGCCGCAGCAACTCTGGGCCAGGAAGCGGTTGAAGCTGCACCTGCAGCGGTCCCTGGCGGTGAGCGGGCGAGAGCCGAATACGACTACGAAGCCGCGGAAGACAACGAAGTTTCCCTACGTGAAGGTGAGCCTACAAGGTTTCGGATCCAATGACGACGATTCACTAACTTCTACAGGTGAACTCGTAAGTGACATTCAGCGAATTGACCCTGATTGGTGGCTAGTAAAGAACGAGGCGGGACAAGTAAGTTGCTCCTTTGCACTACAATCCATGGATGCTGTATCACTAATGTGTTCTGGTAGACCGGGCTTGTTCCAAGCAACTACTTAACTATGCTGGAGGAAGACGAGCCGGCCGCTGCTGCTCCACCGAGTGCAGCGACACCCGCAGCAGCTCCAGCAGCTCCAGCAGCGCCCCAGCCTGCTGCCTCACATGGTGCAACTGCGACAGCACTTTATGATTATGAAGCAGGAGAAGACAACGAGCTGTCATTCCCTGAGAATGCCGTGATCACCAATGTGGTAAGTTTTGGCATCTGCTGGAGTGAGGTTTTTCGCTGGCTAACAGATCGTCTCCAGACGTTCCCTGATGAGGATTGGTGGCATGGCGAGTACAACGGAGACTCGGGACTCTTCCCCGCGAACTACACGAAGCTGGACGAATGAGACTACCTAGATGTGCTCTGAAAGGGATGTTGGTGGTGTTGACATTGGGGTTGGAGGAAAAAAGCCTTGCTAGCCAAGTCAGTTAGAACCAAAAAATGATGATGTTTTTCCTCCCTATAAATGGCGTTGCAAATTCCCTGTCGCTCTACGAATTATGCATGCGAATGTAAGTGCCCTACAGAAGTTGTATCAGCTTCTGTGTTGTCAGGAAACATGACGAATGTCCAAAGAATCGTCACTCGGCGGTATGCAGTAGAAGCTCTTGTCTAAGCAGATGGTAGTGGGGAAGAGTAATGTGAGAGATTGATGGTTGTATCAATTATGTAGATACCTATCGTGTTGTGTGGGTATCTAGAGTGAGTTGCTTCCTGTTGATAGATACGGTATACACCATATTCTGTGCTTGTACCTCAAATCGCACTTTCACTCGGATCTTAACCACATCCGATTCCAACCTCCCTTGTCCGATCGATGTGGGTATTTTGCTGGAGCTCAAGAGATCGGGATGCCTTCAGTGTGTAGTGAATCGTCTTCGGGAAAAAAAGATTCCAGCTTATCTATTGGTTGGATTTTTTTTTGGCTTCCCGCGCAAACATCCTCACAATTTTTGGTGTCTGTGACTCTTAAATCCCCCTCTGTCTACCTTACTTTTGCTCGTGTTTATCCCTTGAGATTCCTGTCGATGCGGTGAAGCTGTTGTCTGTCTTGGGAGCCCACTCAACCTCTGGCAGTGTCTCTTCTCTTTGGCGGCCAAGGGTGCACCATGGCGTCCTCCACTCGAGTCCTCCGACAGGCCAGTGGTCTTCTGCTGCGAGACTGCGCACCTAAACCATGTCCCTCTCACCGAGCTTTCTCGATCCGTACTCGCATTGCGCCAATTGCGACCAGACAACACCTTCTGAGCCCCAAGACACCCTCATGGCAGCAGGTCAGAAAGTTTACCCGATCTACAAAGCGGTATGCAGCGGTCGACAGCGCTCCCCGCCCCGAGGCCTACCTCGAGAGTGGTGCGGTTGAGCCAGGAAAAAATTTGGTGGGCGTGTCTAAGGTGATCGTGATTGGGAGTGGTGGTCTTAGCATTGGACAAGCAGGAGAGTTTGACTACTCAGGTGAGTTGAGCTCAATATCTAGCGCAAAGCTAGCACGAGCCTTGGTGGCTGCGATTGGAATGGCAAAAGAGCTGCTAGCACACGAAGATACTAGAAACTAACATGTTTGTGACAGGCTCTCAAGCTCTCAAGGCTCTCAAAGAAGCTGGTGTGAAATCCGTCCTTATCAACCCGAACATTGCGACCATTCAGACCGACCACAAACTCGCAGACGAGGTCTACTACCTACCCGTCACGCCCGAGTATGTTACATATGTGATCGAGAGAGAAAAGCCCGATGGTATCCTCCTCACCTTTGGTGGCCAGACTGGTCTCAATCTGGGTGTACAGATGAACAGGATGGGTATCTTTGAACGATATGGAGTCAAAGTACTCGGGACTAGTATTCGCACATTGGAAGTCAGTGAGGATCGAGACTTGTTCGCCAAAGCATTGAACGAGATCAACATCCCTATCGCGCAGTCAATTGCTGTCGGCACTGTGGACGAAGCTTTGGACGCCGCGGAGAAAGTTGGTTATCCTATCATTGTCCGATCTGCGTACGCTTTGGGTGGTCTCGGGTCTGGCTTTGCCGGAAACCGAGAAGAATTGAGCAATCTTGCCTCGCGATCCTTGTCTCTTTCCCCTCAGATCCTGGTGGAAAAGTCGCTCAAAGGATGGAAAGAGGTTGAGTACGAAGTCGTCCGTGATGCCGAGGACAACTGCATCACAGTCTGCAACATGGAGAACTTTGATCCCCTGGGAATCCACACTGGTGACAGTATTGTGGTGGCTCCCAGCCAGACCTTGAGCGATGAGGAATATCACATGCTCCGAACTGCAGCCATCAAAATCGTTCGACATCTTGGTGTGGTTGGCGAGTGCAACGTTCAGTATGCCCTGCAACCAGATGGACTCGACTATCGTGTCATCGAGGTCAACGCCCGTCTTTCTCGATCCTCTGCCTTGGCCTCCAAAGCCACTGGATATCCTCTCGCCTACACTGCAGCAAAGATCGGCCTTGGGCACACACTGCCTGAGCTGCCAAACGCCGTGACCAAGACGACAACGGCGAATTTCGAGCCCAGTCTAGACTATATTGTTGTCAAAATCCCTCGTTGGGATTTGTCAAAGTTTCAACATGTCAAGCGCGATATCGGTAGCGCCATGAAATCGGTCGGAGAAGTCATGGCCATCGGTCGCACGTTCGAAGAGTCTTTCCAGAAAGCCATCCGTCAGGTCGACCCTAGATACGTCGGCTTTCAGGGTGACAAGTTCGAAGATCTCGACGATACGCTACGAAACCCTACTGACCGACGATGGCTAGCTGTGGGTCAGGCCATGATCCACGAGAACTACTCCGTCGAGAAGATCCACGATCTGACCAAGATCGACAAGTGGTTCCTCCACAAGCTACAGAACCTGAAAGACACCATGATCGAGATCCAAGAAATTGGGTCTCTGGCTGAAATCAAGCACGAGCTCATGCTCAAGGCGAAGAGGCAAGGTTTCTCCGACAAGCAGATTGGCATGTACACCAAGTCTACCGAGGGCGAGGTTCGAGCTCGGCGACAAGGCTTTGGTATCAGGCCGTGGGTCAAGAAGATCGATACTCTTGCCGCCGAGTTCCCTGCAGACACGAACTATCTATACACCACTTACAACGCATCTTCTCATGACGTTACCTTCGATGATCATGGTACGATCATCCTCGGCTCTGGTGTTTATCGTATTGGTTCGTCGGTTGAGTTCGATTGGTGTGCTGTAAATGCCACTCTAGCACTCCGGAATATGGGTCACAAGACCGTCATGATCAACGTAAGTACCCCTTTTACTTGCTTCGCTGCATCTGGTGTTTGATGCTCCTTCCATTCTCCCTCTTGCGCCAGGCTGGATAGTACTTGGACTCTGGCCCTGAACTCTGGACTCTGGACTCTGGACTCTGGACTCTGGACTCTGGACTCTGGACTCTGGACTCTGGACTCTGGACTCTGGACTCTAAACTCTGGTTATCTGAAACTTCGGTACTTCCCATTGGAAGCACTTCTGGCTGGATTTTGGACGCACCTTCCTACTCACTTCCCACCTTCCCACTAAATTTCGGACGCACCTTCCTGCTGCAACACGCCACCTACCTGAGATGTGTTTTCTTCGACAGATTCTTCTCTCTTCTCTTCTCTCCAAACCACTCTCTTTGATCTGGCTGCGACGCTTTGGTCGGATTGAAATTGCTTGTTTCATACCCTTTCGACCGTGTCGATTGAGTCCTATTCCAGACACTTAATCACCACCGGTCATTTCAAGACACTTTCCACCAGCAATCCTTCTTGACAAGAAGTCCATTGATCGTGTCACTCGGTACAGTCCTATTCCAGACACTTAATCACCACCGGTCATTTCAAGACACTTTCCATCAGCAATCCTTCTTGATAAGAAGTCCTTTCGTCGGCGTCGATTGAGTCCTATTCCCAACAGTCTGCTTGATCATCACTGGTGATTTCAAGACTCTTCATACATCGACGATCCTCCTAGACAAGAAGTCCTTTCGTCGGCGTCGATTAAGTCCTATTCCCAACAGTCTGCTTAATCACCACCGGTCATTTCAAGACTCTTCACACATCGACGATCCTCCTAGACAAGAAGTCCTTTCGATCGTGTCACTCGATACAGTTCTATTCTCAACAGTCTGCTTAATCACCATCGGTGATTCTTGACACTACACTTTGGTAATTAGTCTCCACAACAAGCCACGAAATGGACGCTGTCGATTCTTCTATGGAAGGCCTTCCTGATCAAGTCGACGAGTCAAAGCATCCCTTGATGCTCGACGACATAGTCAAGACTTTGTGTCTGGCCATCTGGGCAACACTCAATGGCATGCCTGTATCTGGGAAGTCACCTTTTTTTGCTCGCTTCTTCACAAGCCAAGATGCCATCGAAGAAATAGCCTTGAAGGCTGGCCTTGAATTCGCGCCTGAACTGTGGGATACTATGCAAAGTGCTGATGCACCTGGCATCGAATTTTTTGAAGGCCTACCCGTCTGTCTGGTCCCATGCTGGGGTATCTATGCAGTCGTCCTCAAGAAACCTGGTTGTCGGCCTGCAGTCTATATTGGTTCCGGAACAAACAAGAATGGTAGTGCCATCGTTCGCCTGAATCAGTATGATGCTCTCAAATATCTTCCTTCTCGAGTTGCAGCCAAGCTGGATGAGGGCTTCTCAATCGTCCACAAAGGGCTTCTCTGTTGGAGACCAATGCCACCAGTCAGATACATCCCCATCTGGCGGCTTTTGTTCGTCGCCCTTGAAGCAGCATTAGCCTTCATCTTCTGGACCATGTACTCGCCAAAGGGAGGAGACTGGGGATGTCTTCATCTTTGCCTCTGGGACCGAGACACTTTGGAATATGACGGCTTATGCTCCCACCCTGCTGTCAACGAGACCATTCGTGGCGAGTTCGACCTTACTGAAGAGCAACTTGAAGACCTTGAAAAAGACAAGCAGGAGAAGAAGGTACAGCTTAAAGCCGACTGGCACTATCAGCAGATGGCAGAGAACTATGATGAGTATATCGGCAAATCCAGCGAACGAGTCGCTCGTTCCCGAGCCAACAATCCAGGAAGAGACGCAAAGCACCAAGCCGACCGCATCGAAAAGGCTCTGGCTGAGAAGACCTTCCATTGTCACCGCTGCAATATATCATTCGGCACCAAGCAGAGGCTACAGGACCATGAGAAGACGGCCAAACATAAGAGAAAATCGCAAGAGGCCAATAACCCCTACAAGTGTTTTCCCTGTAACCTTGGGTTCCACAACAACAGCAATCTCCTTCGCCACCAGAGAACAGAGCGCCATCGCAATGCTGTCGCCGCTCTCGCCGCCGCCCAGTCGAGCTCGTAGCTCGTCTAGGCTCGCTTTATACCAGGACCTTTTTTGGATCTACATTTACCTAGCATTGTTCCTCCTCTCTTACTGGACCTCGATAAGCCACAAGATCGACGCTGTCGATTCTCACGTATTCATTTCTTCTCTCTTACTGGATCTCGACAAGTCACACGATCGACGCTGTCGATTCTCACGTATCCATTTCTTCTCTCTTACTGGATCTCGACAAGTCACACGATCGACATCGTCGCTTTTCACCCATTCATTCTCGACGACATCGTCCAATCCTTTTGTCTGACCACATTTAGCCCTTCTTATTTTACTTTCTTGCATCTCTTCTTTTTTTACTTCTACTGACTGTATTTTTGCTTTTGCATCCAGATGAACCCAGAGACGTACAGCACCGATTTCGATACGGCAGACAAGCTCTACTTTGAAGAGTTGTCATATGAGCGTGTTATGGATATCTACGAAATGGAGGGTGCAACAGGCGTTGTGGTCAGTGTGGGCGGTCAGCTGCCCCAAAACATCGCACTCCGACTCCAAGAGGAAGGCCACGCGAAGGTTCTCGGTACGGATCCCAAGGACATTGACAAGGCTGAAGATCGCCACAAATTTTCCCAGATCCTTGACTCGATTGGAGTGGATCAACCTGCGTGGAAAGAGCTTACTTCTGTTGACGAGGCTGAAGCATTTGCTGATTCTGTTGGTTATCCCGTCCTGGTCCGACCTTCTTACGTTCTGTCCGGTGCTGCTATGTCGGTCATCCACTCGCAAGCCGAGCTAAAGGACAAGTTGGAGTCTGCCTCCGCTGTTTCTCCAGATCACCCCGTAGTCATCACCAAATTTATTGACGGAGCACAAGAAATTGACGTGGATGCCGTGGCATCTAAGGGAGAACTCATTCTGCACGCCGTGTCGGAACACATCGAAAATGCAGGTGTTCACTCGGGTGACGCCACCCTGGTCCTACCCCCTGTCAATCTCGAAGCTAGCGTGATGAGTCGAGTCAAGCAGATTGCTGAGAAAGTCGCTAAGGCATGGAACATCACTGGTCCTTTCAACATGCAGATCATCAAGGCCGATGTGCCCGGCGAAGAACCAGCTCTCAAGGTCATCGAATGCAATCTCCGAGCCTCTCGATCTTTCCCGTTCGTCAGCAAGGTTCTCGGTACCAACTTCATTGATACAGCTACAAAGGCCTTGGTGGACAACGATGTTCCCGAGCCTCGTGATCTTATGGCGGAGAAACGTGACTACGTAGCCACCAAGGTTCCGCAATTCTCGTGGACTCGCCTGGCCGGTGCAGACCCTTTCTTGGGCGTCGAGATGAGCAGTACCGGTGAGATCGCCTGCTTCGGTCAAGACCTCGTTGAGGCATACTGGGCATCCCTGCAGTCGACAATGAATTTCCGAATGCCGGAGCCTGGCGAGGGTATCCTTCTCGGTGGATCCACTGAGCTGCCCGAGCTGCCAAAGATTGTTGAATACCTCAGACCTCTCGGATACAACTTTCTTGCTGCCAGCAACGAGGTGAAGCAGCATCTCTCAAAATCAGGAGTGTCGATCGAGGTGATTGAATTCCCAAAGACGGATAAGAACGAGCTACGAAAGGTCTTCCAGAAATACAACATCAGGGGTGTTTTCAATCTGGCAAAGAATAGGGGTAAGACATTAGTTGACGAAGACTACGTTATGAGGCGGAATGCTGTTGACTTTGGAGTACCACTGTTCATGGAACCAAAGGTAAGTGTTGTCACATTCTGTCCCTCTCTGCCCGTGTGCGCAATTAGCTGACCCTTTTCCTTTAGACTGCTTTGTTGTTTGCTCAATGCATGAACGCGAAACTGCCCCGAAAGGACGGTATTCCGGCAGAAGTCAAGAGCTGGAGCGAATTTGCTGGTACTAAGATGATGTAATAGCAAGATGATGGATGGATGGTAGAAAGGAGCTTAGATTGGGATCAAGGACGGGTGGTTATTGATTGAATGCAGCGTTTGCGCGATTGAAAGAGGTCTCTCTTCTTCATTTCAGACACCAAAAAGTTTTAGACGAGGCTGACCTGGGATGGTCAGCAAGATAAATCTTTCAGGGGGGGGTCTGTTGAATCAAGTCGGCACATTTGGCGCAGGAAAGTGTCGAGATATGGACTCTCTGTACCTAGCTAGGTCATTTAGGATATAGCAAGCAGGAGAATGGGCCCGCACTGAGTTCAATCTTCAGCTTTTGAGTCGAGATCGGGATTGTGTGTACTTCGTATGTTGTGGCATGCGCCCCCAGCCTCGTCTCGACAGCCTCGTCGCTCGACCTTCCCCGGCCATTTTCAACCTCGTTGCTCCTACTCGTACTCCGTATTTGTGACTTGCACTCTCGCAGCCTGAGAAACGTGTGTGATGGTGACATAGATATGTCGAACTCCATCTCTCGCCTGTAAGATAGCCTTACACCACTCTCCTTGAAATCGACAAAGGCTCTCGTGGCTGGAACGACGACAACAACAACCACCATGGCACCCTCTTCTCGACGATAGCCCTCTTACTCTCCCTTCACCCATCACCCTGAACGTCTTTGGAAGAGAAACCACCATGACCCGTCGTAAGGCCAAGAAGGTAGAATCTCCCTCACAACATCCAAACGGCTACAATGGAGGTTACTTTGCCCTTGCAACAGTTTCCTCGCCGTCGAAAAAACAAGCACGAGCCGAGCCTGGTCAGTCTCTCGCACCCGCACCCGCACCCGCACCCAGCAGCACGACGTCGTCCCACCAAACCGTCTCGATCCTCCTCTCCATCTGGGCGCCGACGCTCGTCCTCATCTTCGGCGGCTGCTGCTCCAACGTCTACACCCTGGAGTCCCTGATCAAGACCTCGCCCTCCTCGGGTCCCCTGATCACGGCGTTCCAATTCCTCCTCGTCGCCCTCGCGACGCTCCCCCGGCACTTGTCCCTCTCGCGCGGCTGGCGCCACGCCTACCTCCGACCCCGGGCGATCCCTCTGCGCAAATGGCTCGTCTACACGGCCTACTTCCTCAGCATCAACATCCTCAACAACATGGCGTTCAAGTACCGCATCAGCATCCCCCTGCACATCATCCTGCGGTCGGCGGGGCCCGTGACCACCATGGCCGTGGGCCGCCTGTACGGGGGGAAGCACTACCCTTCGCACAAGGTGGTCGCGGTGTTTTTGCTGTTCGTCGGCGTGGTCCTGGCGGCCTTTGCGGACGCCGCGAGCAAAGAGGCCCACCACTCGTCCGACTTTGAGCAACCCACCGCCAGCGTACCCCAAACGAGCGCGACGGCGACGGCAGCATCACAACAGGCGCCTGGATTTGCACTCTTGGCCTCGGCCCTGATCCTGTCGGCCTGCATGGGTCTGTACACGGACAACATGCACTCGGAGCACGGTCGCTCGAGCTCCGTCGCCTCCGAGACGCTCTTCTACAGCCACGCCATGTCCCTCCCTTACTTTGCCAGCCAGGTGAAGCCGCTCATGCGCGAGTTCGCCAGCGTCAAGGCCGCCGCCTTGACCGACTACGGATACAACGCCGAGCACGTCACCGCTTTTCCATTCTTGGAGACTCCAAACAAGACGACAACCACGGGCCCCGTGGGTCTTTTGGGCTCCCTCGTACCTTTGTTGTCCTCGTCACCCTCGAGTTGGTTGTTGGGTCTCTCACTCGCTCTGCACGTGCCCCGACCCGTGCTGCTCCTCGTCCTCAACGCCGCCACGCAGCTCCTCTGCATCGTCGGCGTCAATCGACTGTCGGCGCAGTCGTCGAGTTTGACCGTCAGCATCGTCCTCAACATTCGCAAACTCGCCAGTTTGCTTTTGAGTATCTGGTTGTTCGGCAACCAACTGCCCAGCGGCGTCATGGTAGGTGCCGCCATCGTCTTTCTGGGCGGTGCACTGTACGCTATGCCTACCGGATCGGGAACTTCTTCAGGTTCAAAAACGAAAAAGGAGCATGATATCAAAAAGAAAAACTTGTGAGAAAAATCCACGATACCACGACAATGTTTACGTCTCTAAGACGATACGGGACGAGACACCACCAACTACTGTAGAATAAAGAATACAAGGTAGACTAGAGTAGAGTAGACCGAAAAGAGAAAAGAAAGGATAAAAAGTGACTTTCAGTGTTTTTCTGTACTTGAGTCATGTCATGTTCATGTGTTGTGTTTGTTGGGGAGTTGTTTGATTTTCACATTGCCATACCGCATAAGCCATATAAAATGCCCGCCGCCTGCCCAAAAGCACGCACGCCGCCCGGAAAGCAGCACATGTGTTATAACGTCCCATGGTGAAGTGCAGCGCGGCCCATTCTCCAAATCCCCTCGGAACCCTCCATTGTCCCATCGAAAGGAGGCCGGCCCTTGTGCTCCGAGTATGCAAACGTTGGTGGTTCCTTCGTGAGTAAAAAAGAAACAAGCCGAAGAACGCCATATCTACCCGCGCCCGTTCCTCATCTCATAAAAGACCGAAAAGCACAAGGGAAGGGGTGTTTTTTTCTACCAAAAAAAAAAACAAGAAGCACATCGACGGCAGCAGCAGCAGCAGCAGCACGCCAAAACGCATCCTCTCAAAATCAATCACTCCTTTCTCCCCCAACTTCCGGACTCGGGTACTTCCTGTCCAGCCTTCCTCATGTCGTCCAGGACCATGTTGAAACTCTCGCCCATGCTTCGCAGAACCTCTCCGCGGTCCCAGACTCCGCGCGTCGCCCACAACGTATCCATGAGCACGGAATTCACCTGCTCCAACTGCTCGACCGACAGGTTGGTCGATCGGTCGGTGATCTCGGCGATGAAATTGTCCAATATCCGCTCCTCGACCTGGACGAGATTCGGTCGCGTCGTGGTGGCCGCGGTGCTGGTTGTCGGTGACGACCCTGAAGGGTTCAGGAGGCCGTGAATACCGACGGCGCCGTTCGATTGTGACGGTCGTCGCTGCTCGTTGAATTGTGGAATCGGTGGCTGTGAAGATGATGCCCCTTGGCCCTGGCCCTGGCCCTGGCCTTGACCTTGGCCTTGACCTTGTGAGGGCGAAGAAGAGGGTCGGATATGGGTGGCGCCGGCGAGTGGATCCGCCACATCTTGGGAAGCGGGCACATTTCCTGCGGGACCAAAATTGATTAGCTTGGAGAACAGAGCACGCGTTGACAATCCTCCATATGATCTGGAGCCATGGGGAGACTCAGACCTGGAGGGAGGCGGAGAAGTCGACGCCGTCGAAGCGGGAGCTGCGACGTTGAGAACACGGGAGAATGGGGCACAAGTCACATTCGAAAAAGGGCCTTTGAGCGGGACGCGCGTACCTTGGGTCGAGGGGATCTGGCTACCTGCGGCAGACCGAGTCTCTGGGTGTTCGAATAGATTGGGTCCTAGCAGGGGCGGGGTGTGCCGATCCAGGTCACCGGACGATGTCTTCTTCTCGGTCGGGGTTTCGGTTGTGCTTGCGTCGTTTTGGAGATCAGCAGCCTGGCTGCCATGAGGCATGGGAGTGAATGGGCCAGTTTGAGATCGTGGTGCCGATATGCCCGATTCTTTGAGCAATTGTTGCGAAGGTGCGGTCCAGGTATGAAGGGGTCTAGGCTGTGCGGATTCACGATTACCATATGAACTCGTCGTATGCGTTCTTTGGGTGTCATTGGTCTTGTCGTTGGACGTAGGGTGAGAATCAACGCCGCCCATTGGCGTATCACCTTCGGCATCTGCTTGCGAAGCGCCATTGGTGATGTCGTCCTGCGCGAGATTCTCATGGGGGTGTAGGCCGTTGGTCAGCACAGAAGCAGAATCTGCGCCATCTATTGTGGCAGGGGCCAGACGTTGCGCGAAATCACGGCGTCGTTGCATCGGCTCGCCCAGAAGCACCGGGCCGGTAGATTCCGTGGCAACAGAGGGTCCAGAATTGCCATGAGCAACGTTCGAAATAGTCTGAGGCGGAGGCATTTCCTGGCTCTGCTCATTCATCGCTTTTGCCTTGTCCAACACCTCTTTCTCTCGGGCCAGCTCACGCTCGTAGACTCGTTCACATTCGGCGTTCAAAGTGGGCTCCCCCATCTCGATGGCTGCAATGTCGACCTCAACGTTGGCCACAAGCTCATTTGCCTTGAGTAACCGATCTTCATCACCAATCATTTTGGCATCTTTTGCCAAACGCTTGATATCGGCGAGGAAATCCTTCGGTCGTTTATAGTAACCATTGCTTAAACGCTTTTCGATGGTCACGGAATCAAGGTTATAATAAAAATTGTCATTACCCTGGTCCACAAGACCCAACACACCATGAGCATCCTTGCCGATCTCGAAAGGTCTGTACGAGGCATGAGCTAAGACTTCGGCTTGCAGGTCAGAAGTGACAGTAGCTGGGTCGGCCTCATCGTAGAGATAGCGAATCTGGCTCTCGTCGATCACTCCAGTTCGGAATTTCTTGTATTTGGTCCGGATTTGATCCATAATAGGCTGTAGACGGAGTTTGAGCATGTTGAGAGTGAGTCGATCTTTCTTCTTTTGTGCTTTGAGTTCTTCCTTGGACATTGGTGGCGGTTTTTTCTCTTCCACGGGTGCCACTGGTAATCTTTCCAGCTCACGCTTCTTACGATTTTCCGGGTCGGGAAAGTCATTGGGAGCAGTCTTGATGTAGTCCTTGAGAACTCGAAAGAACTCATATCGCTCACCGTGATTAGGAACTTCCAATTGGAATTGGTTCTTGGGAGAGTATCCAAAAAGGACCCGCCTCATACTTTCGTCAATGTCATCGGGGTTTCCTTCGGTGTAGCCGAGCAGCAATACAGGGTCTGTCGGTTTGACAGCTCTCAACAGACCCAGAAAGATCGCATGAACAGTCTCTCCGACTCGATCCCACCATTCTTGAACATCTGGAATGTATATCACACTTGGTTTGTGCATCTTGACTTCAGAGAAGAGTCTCGTCAGGGTCGATTCAGCTGAGCTTGTTGTGTCACTCAGCAGCGTGGGTAGATCAAATGCTTGCACATGGAGACCTTCAAAATGATTGAGGAGAGCAGCAGCAAGGTATTGTTGACCCATTCCAATTTTGCCCTGTATGAGCAAGCGCGGACGAAAGACTCGAGACGTCTCGAATGCTTGTTGCATCTTTTCTCGACCAAAGCTATGGCCATCAGCAACTTCTTCGTACTGGGCTTCTTCCAATGCAGTAAGCCGCTTCTTTCGCGGTAGCGCATCAGCCAGAAGCTTCTCTATCTCTGCGAGTTGGTTTCGTAGCAGTGGCTCCACATTAGGGGGCAGTGGAGAGGCTCCAGAGGATGTTGATCGCTCCGAAGAAGGTGTCATTTTCTTTAGTGAAATCATAAAATCCTTGGGCGTCACCTCAATCGTCTTGGGATCGATCAGCAGCTTTTCTGTCGAGGTGTATATTTGTGGATAACGGCGCTGAACCGCATTGAGAGCAGCTTCGGTGCACAGTGCACGTAGGTCTGCACCACCGTAACCCTTTGTCAACTTAGCTAGCTCAGCCTTGATTGGGTCCGGAAGAGGAGGATCCCAGCCTCTGGTATGAATGTCAATGATGGCTCTTCGCGCATCAGTATTCGGTAGAGGGAAGTAGAACTCTCGGTCGAATCTCCCAGGTCGTCTGAGAGCAGGATCGATTGAATCAGGTCGATTAGTCGCACCAATGACTATGACTTGACCTCTCCCATCCATACCATCCATCAAAGCCAGTAGAGTGGACACGATGGATGCATGAATTTGCTCCTGTTTGCTAGACCGAACCGGGGCAAGACCATCGATCTCATCAAAGAAAATGATACTAGGCTGGTTTTTCCGAGCTTCTTCGAATAGCAACCGCAGTTGTCTTTCGGCTTCACCAACCCATTTACTCAACGCGTCTGCACCTTTACGCATGTAGAAGGTGACCTTTCGCCCTTGCGAGCTTACGCTGGTAGCTAAAGCTCGGGCGAGCAATGTTTTACCTGTTCCAGGTGGACCATGAAACAAAACACCACGAGGAGGGGTGATTTTGAAGCGTGCAAAAATCTCTGGATAGAGAAGAGGCAGGGCTACCATCTCCTTCAGTTGATCAATGTGTCCCTGAAGGCCGCCAACGCCGTCAAAGTTGACGTTCTGGTCAACCCCCAAAGGATCCGCATCTGCAAGTGCCTGTTTGTCTTTGAGTTTGCCCAAATTTGCTGGAGTGCCACCAGCCGCTTGCGCAGGATCTGCATTGTGTGTTTGCGGGAATAAATTGAAGGCACCGCCAGTGGTTGGCGTCATTCCTACTGTGCCACCCACAGGTCTTGGTCGCTTCATGACTTCGTCGTCACTGCTGTCTGAATCGACGTCGCCTTGAGCCCGTGGAGGACCGCCTCCAAGGACTGGTGCAGCACCGCCGCCTCCACCGAAGGGCCCATAGGTATTGAAGAGACTTCTCTGCCATCCGCCGCCTGCTGCCCTCCGTGGTCGTTGCGATGGAGATGGCGCAGGCTCTTCCTCGTCTTCAATGGGTGCCAAGTTCCTAAGCAGGTCATAATTCGGCTTCTTGCCGCCTCTTCGTTGCCGCGGCTCGAAAACAATTTTCTCTTGCTCACGGCGTTTCTTCTTTTCGTCTCGCTTGAGCTCCTCGACTTCTGCAGCAAGCTCATCAGCATCACTAGCTTCCGATCTCTGACGCGAGACTGCCTTGCTTCGAAGACGCGTTGATCTACGCCCGTTGTTGCTACTATCATAGTCATCGGGCTTTTGAGGCGAAGCTTCAGATGCGCTACTGCTGGATAGATCGTCTTGGGCTGCTTGTTCTTCTTCTGGGTCAAAATCACTGCTTTCCGCTTGTGTTTTGCGCCGGCGACTCCGAGATGCAGCTTGCTTCGCTCCGCTCCGTAAAGCACGTCCACGCAAGCGCCTCGATGACTGTGCAGGGTCGAACGGAGGAGACTCGGCCTGTCTCTTGGAGGCACCTCTAGTCAGTCGTCCCCGAGGAACAACATCATCCTCGTCCTCGTCCTCGTCCTCGTCCTCGTCCTCAGCTGCAACCTCTTCGGCTGGCGCCTCCTCTTGAGTGGCAGGGGCCTGTTCTGCTGCAAAATCATCATCTCCGTCACTTTCAGCTTCAGCATGATCAAAGAGGTCTGACAGCAATTTGGGGGTTGCCTGATCGACCTCCTCTTCCGCCCCCTGAGCATCACTCTCAAGCATTTCATGTTGCGAAGCTTCGATTTCTAGTACTTCTTCACCTACAGGCTCGGCGCCTTCCCCGTCCTCTTCTGCCTGCTCATGCTTCACTGCTTGTTGTGATTCTTCATCGATTGTGCTCTTGGATGGGTATTTCAAGCTCTTTCCGCCTCTTGTCGCCCGTGGCGGGACCGCGTCATCTGAATTGTCCGGATCCCGCGAACTGGCTCGAATGACCTGAGCGTGGTGGCCAGAATCAGTCAGAGCGACTAGAGGCTCTTCCGGGTCATGAGAAAGACGGCTGCTTCTTCTTCTATGAAGTTCTGGGGGTTGAGCGGCAGAAGTCGATGGTTGCTTTGCGCCGAAGTTTCGGGTGCGTGTAGATTCCCGAGTCGCCATTGGAGTTGTCTTGAGGGTCACTATAAGGTGTTTGCTGTGTCTCTTGGGCGGAGTTTCAGGTGCACTCGAGGGTGACCTAATCAGCTCGTCCTCAGATTCGTCTGACTCTTCATATGTTACAGTCTTCTTGGCACTTTTGCGGACCGGTCGACCTCTTTCGTTTGTCTCGACCTCTTCTTCCTCAGACTCTTCTTCTAGGAGGGAATCTTCGTCAGAAGAGATTTCCTCGCCATCAGTATCAATGTCCGAGCCTCTGTATCCACGTTTTTGCTTCTTTCGCGCTGGTGGACCTGTTCGACGAGACTTGCTTGGGCGAGGCCTTGACGGTCTGGTGGCGCGATCATCGTAGTCAAAATCCTCAGGGTCTTCCGCCATGGCGACCTCTTCGAGGGTTCGCTTGTTGCTATTGCGATAGCTCGGCATGATGGAAGATTACAAAGAGTTGGAATTGAGGTGATCGACTCGGAGACAGGGGACCGCTTGGATGCAGCGCGTTACGAAATCATCACAGAAAGGACTAGTGACATGATATTCTCGTGTCTGGAGCACGGCGGAGGCGATACGTACAGTCCGAAGCTGCGATGGAGGAGTGACTCGCACGGGAGGAGCAGAGGTCGCGCGTGTTGTCAGTTGAAATGGTGGTTGTGTCCGGCTAAGTAACAGAAGAGATACCTCTGCTTGACTGAGGTAGTGAACTGCGTTGAAAGCAGCAGGTAAAGCGCCGGATTATAGATACACCAAGACAAGATGATGATGATTCTAGATGATGGTGATTCGATTGATCCTGACGACTCTTTTGGGGGGGCGGGCGTGTTTCTCAATCTCAGGCGCAGGCGAAGGCGCCGCGCCAAGCATCTGCTGAGACCCACTCTTTAACAGCGATAGCCAATCAGAGCGGCTGAATGTGCATCCTCCGACAGGCAGAAGATTGAATCTCAACAGCACTTTTGAAGACATTAAATATCCAATATCTCGACAACCACAGCGCCGAATCTTTCAGCACTCAAATATATGCGGAATGGGCATCGGAGCCTTACGCGACAACATTTATCGGACTTGTAGCACCCCCGCCGCCCCAGATAGGCCATGCCTCGAGCCCAAGAATATGTAGAAATATTTAACTGGTGAAGACGATACCACAAAGATCGACGTCAGATCTCGGTTGTGCCTCGCGAGAAGCTTATCGTCGGTGCAGGGATAACAAACCCTCCGCACGGTACTTTTGATAATCACGTGATTCGCCCTCCCTGCCAGCAACAGCCATCGACTTGGGTGGTGTCTTGTAGGTAGGCATATCTTGGTGCTTACAACAGACACAGGAGGATAGTTCTAGATAAGAATTTAACAATACCAGACACTCTTCTACCAACTTCGCAATTCAATGCTCGCTGTAATCGATTCATTTTGTACCTTCTACCAAGAATACAGCTGTCCAGGACACACCAACGGCATCATTCTCGATGCATATCATACACTTCCTCCTCGGCCTCATCTGGTGACTCGATTACATCCTCTTCGCCTTCTGTATGACTCTCATCCTGCCAGAATACTGAAGCTTGTCGGGTGAGCTCCGCCAAAATACTACTTTGACGGCGAGTAGTTCGACCCTCGGCTTCCTCATCATATCCGTCAGGTCGTAGACTGTCCGGTTGTCTCCTGGCACGGAGAAGGGCTTCTTGTGCTTGTTGTTCATGAACGGGGTTTGGCACACGGTGACTGTCGTCTATCGGTCCGCCGCGGCGCAGGCCCTCGAGAATGATTCTTTCAACTTTCATGCGATTTGAGATGAAGCGGACCTTAGGAAAACAACTTCGTTGCCCGACACGGATCATACGATCCAGTCTTCGCGGACTTGGGTCGCTTAGTATGTTCCAGTAATCACTGGCTATTGTTTTTGGCCAGATGGTCACGGTACCGGAGAATCGTTGCAACCAGATTTCGCTCCAGTCTTGACCCATCGGCCTAGGCAACAATTCGAGATGTCGCAAAATCTTCAGGTATTTCTGTAGATCCAATTTGACAGATGTTTCGATAGTGGAGCCGAGGAAGCCACCTCGCCAACCACGACCCTTGCGATGAGTGACAGGTCTTCCTGGCGAACCCCTCGGTGAGAAGAAGAAGAGGTTGATATGCGGGTTGACTTGAGAGACAATAGAGAAGTTGACATTGAAGTGGAGGTTGAGCGCTTTGAGGGGAATATCGGTACGCAGACTACCATCTTTCCACTTGTTGCCAAAAGAGTATGGGACCAATTGACCATCGCGCGTCTTTCGCATGAGAACAATAGGATTGAGGATTCCAGGTACAGCGGCGGAAGCAAGTACAGCTGACCAAATCACGCAATCGGGACTCGTGATATGGTTGTTGAGAATGGTAGGGGAATGCGGATCGGATGGGACACAAGAGACGTTCAAGATACGGCCAGTCCTCTCGAAGGCTTCTTTGAAGGTCAGCGATCCCCGACAGAACCAGCTGCATTGCTTGGCCCAATCTATAGAATCAAATCTGGCGCCGGTGCGCCACCATCTGCGAGCCCACGTTGCAAACCCTTCATGGCAGGCTCGAATGCGGTGGGCAAGTGCCGGCACCAAGAGCTGTTTGAGTTCTTCATCAGTTCTGGTAGCTACCAAAGCCGCAACTAGCGCACCGCCCGATGTCCCAGTGATGATCTCAGGTAGCTGTCCTGCGTCGAGGAGGGCCTTGATAACGCCAAAATGGTAGTAAGCGAAGGTCGCTCCTCCAGACAGGCATAATGCTGTACGACCATAGTTGAGTTCCAGATGTCGAAAGAAGACAGCTTTGTCTTTGTCCGTCAGCTCTTTCGAATCGAGGACCAATTTCAAGCTCCTCTCCACCTCGTCAACGAATGACTGGATCAAGACTTTGGTGCCGAGGTAGGTTTCACTATACAAGCGGGGATTCTCGATACCCACGAAGTTGTTCTTGACGCAGCTTTCGAGTAGTGCCTTGAGCTCATCGAAGGCAGCACTAGAGCCACTGAGTCCACTTCGGCCGTTCTCCGTCTCAGTCTCGGCTTTTTGTCGAAGCTCGATCAATTGAGCGGTGACTTTGCGAACTGTCTGGTGATTGTAGTAAGAATATTGATCATGTTGTTTCCATTCTTCGTTCCCAAGGTATTCATCAAGCTGATTAGCAGCGTCTTTCCACTCCTCATACGTGTCAGCTCGTTGTAACTGTCGGCGTAGTCTTTCTCGCCGGCCAGTCCAGGTGAAAAGGTGCTCATATGCATAAATGTAAAAGCGAGTGAGGTTGTAAATGATGAATAAAAAGACGATCCAGGCACACACGACGAACAACAAAGGGTAGTACAGTAAGCTGTACACAAACCCCTCCCGAGTCTCATCCTTGGACCTTCTAGGCACCTTGCGTCGAACTCGAGCTCTCTTCACTCTCTGCCGGATGGGTCCCCAGTCATTGAGAGCTACCAGAGGCTCGGTAGTGGGTGCTGTAAGCGCATTTGCAAATGATTCAAGGTCCTCGCGGTCGATGAAGTCATTGTCGTAATCGGGTAAACAGGACGGATCGTATGATCCATTGCCGGTCAACTGGGGACGTTCTGCTTCCCCATTCATTTTGAAATATGCCACAGCATGATTAAAGATGACTCGAAGTTGACAAGAGGGGTTTTGTATCAGAACAACACTCGCAAGCACGGAAGGAAGTCAATGTGATGGGGTGGAATGCTAAGCTGCAGACATGATTGTTGGGGGACGATGACATCGGCGTCCGACTTCCAGCCCCAAGCCAATAAAGTCTCGCCACAGGCTTGGCGCCATCTATCCGCGCACCAAGCCACTGGAGAACGCCACATATGTTCTCGACCTCAGGAGCTACAGCATGGAGTACTCTTACCCCCAGATCATGAACAGGGAAGAGAATTCTAATTGTCGACCAGGGGCTATACGAAAAAGATACTCAGAGCTTCCAGTGACATACAAGTACAATAATAACACAACCAATGCCTGTAAGACACATTCCCCTCACTGCTCCAGCTCAGCAGTGGTGATTCTGGAGATTGACTAATCGTACTTGAATAAAGAAGTTGTTGAGGCCGACATTCATACAAAAATCATAGAACAGAATCACTCGGACAGTTATGACGTCCTCTTGTGCGTATCATCATCGCTCGACTGGCGCAGATGACAGAATAGGAGGTCTGCTTACCCAGATTCTTCTCCGTGGGAGTTCTTGGTCTGTCCTGCTTCAACTGCATTATGGATATACGAAGGGTGTAGCAATTCTGGTCCGGCGCACTAGTCAATGCGTCTTTGTGGACCAATCTCCAACTGGTATTTGTTGTTAAATTGGATATATGTACAGAGTACAGAATGCTTACACACATCTAAACGAAAACGAGGTGCAAGCACTTTTGACCTGCGGAGTAATACTACAAGTACGATAGTAGGCAAAGCAGAATGATGTCATGGGCTCCTTCGACCCCTTTGGCTGCCCCTCCAAACACCAACATCCTCCTCACATCCCACCATCCAAACGCTCCTTCGCTCCTACGGCCCTCTCACGCTCTCCCACCATTCCCATAACTCCTCGATAATCTTGGCTAGGGGTCATCACGAGAGGTCACTCACGTAACTTCGCGGGATTCTGCGGACCTCCTGCGTGCCGAGTGGCCACTAATCTCGGGTCGGTCCTAACTCTCATGATATCTCTCCTGGTCACAAATCATCACTTTGTACCGAACCAAAACCCTCCGCGATACGAGCACTGGCCAAACACCCCACGCGTTGCTCGGCGAGAAAAAAGAGCTGCAGACAGGACTTTTTCAGATTCCAACCTTTCCTCAAGATTAGTTCGGTCCTGCAGAAGATTGCGCCGTAGATCATTTGTCAAGACGCTTAAGGAGGAAAAACTCATGTGTAGCGGATACTGTGGGGGTTAGGTTTCCCTTGTTGCCTCTTTCGACCGTCGAACGTGCATGGTGCTGTGATGCGTGCAACATCAGTCCCGCCACTTGCTGCAGCTAAAGCCTGACGTACATGGATAGCATCAAGCAAGCCCTTTGGTCACCTCCGATTCCATCTTAGAGCGGGCGCTTGTGTCCTTTCTTTCCGACCACTTGCCCGAGAAATCTTCGAGACAGGGCGAATCTGGCTGGTCCTGCAATACAGCGCGAGTGCAATCCGTGTGAACTCGTATGCTTCTACGAATACAACAATCCTGACGATCTTGAAACGCTGGTGGCAAGACGCAGATCTCTGTCAAAGACACCTTCACCCCAATTAGGTATGTGACCCGTCACAAGAATGAGCAGACTCACCGCTCCCGTCCTCACGGTGATGGCTACATCGGCTGTGAAAGAAAAGAGGTGGTCTCGTGTCGACAAATTCTCGAGAAATGAGAACACAAAAATTACGAGCATGTGAAAAGTACTGCTGACTCGACATTACAGTGTCTACTAGCTACTCTTGGTGCGGTTTGTTACTCGCTTCACAGCGGCCCAGGAGACTGTCCTCGATAGCATATCACAGACTAGTGACCTTGGGGAGCTTTGAGCACTATGCCTAGTATGCATAGTCGGAACAATAAACCACCTTACACTGCATCATGACGGCAATAAACGAATGGAGAGCCTCGTCTTTGGCTCGGTGGTCGGAGTATTTAGCCACGATTTCAGAGAGCCCCCAAACTGCGCTCGAATAACCAATGGGCAACAATGCCTAGCTGCAATCACGATGCAACACAGCAGCACGGCTACATGCTGCGCACATCTTTGACGTATCATCTGCGACGTGGCACGAAGAACTCGAAAGTCCGTGTCGTGTTTTCGAGTCATGTTCTCGAGGATCACCACGTTGATGGCAATAAAAAGTTCGGAAGCGATGTTAAGTCGAATAATATCTCCATATTCTCACGCCTGGGCAGGGCTTCCTGCCACTGACAACTGTGCAACAGGGTCTTGAAGTACAGCCTCGAGGGTTCGTGATCTGGGGCCCATGGACTGCGGAGCATTTGGCCATCTCCACAAAAACATGAAATACGAGTATTATTATCTACATAGAAGTTCGTGTCATAGTAGAAGCCCATTGGAGGATTCAGGAATATCAGCCTGATACTCCATCGGTCATGCGGTCAGTTGGACATGCAGCCGCGTCGCCTACCGCGTACGTAGGCCGAACGAGGTGAGCTGAACACATGCAGCACTCCGAGATGTTCCTCCTCCTGCCAGACCCTAGCTCACACACCCATTCCACGCGCCATGGAATGCTTCACGAACGGTGAGACGACTCCTGCGAGAGCCCGTGCGGCCGAGGAGGTGTGACAAGACGGTCGTCTCGTATGCGTTTTGACTCAACTGGTCGAGACTAAGAATGACTCCTGCGTAGACTGGGGGAAGGAGAAGAGCGGTCAGAAGCCTGGCCAGTCGATCGCCTCAGCACAGGCTGTTGGCCATGAATGTTCTGGCCTAGCGCCATCTGTCAGGCGCTTGGTCTTTGTGACCTATCATTTTGCACATGAGCACGAATGAATGACATGGAACACACTGTCGCCATCAGACCATGAGGCGAATCATCCAAGAAGCGGCAACTTGACGTTGGGTCAGTGCCGCTGGTGTGTGCCAACTTGTGACCATTCCCAAGTGTTCCAAGAAGATCGTCCGCAAGACGTTGCAGGATTGATGCTGATGGTCGACATTAAGGCTGTGGTTGGTGGTCCTCAACCCTAGGGTCCAACGATGGTTGTAGACGGCTCGCACCTGACTGAGGTTAAAAGTGAAACCCACTGTAATCGTAGTGAAGATTCGAATTCTACGTTCAAGGCGATTCCTTTGGGTCGGGAGGGCCCAGAAATCTTAAGAAATGCTGGTGCACGACAGGCCCTACTGTATGCGCGATGACCACACCGGGGTGCCCTGCTCGCCCATTGGGCCCTAAGCTGGCTTGGATGGCGTGGGTCAGACGTGACATGCAGGGCACCCTGGGGTCTTTGCCTGCATGTGGTGGTAGGGGCTTGAACCGAAAGCAGACCTCTAAAAAGGCCCGACGAGTGATCTTGAACTGGCTGCACCTTGACGAGATGCGAGGCCCGCTGAGCCCGTTGTGTCCGCTGAGGCCGCTACGGGAGGGGTTGGCCATGCGTAGAGGGGCAACGCCTCGTCACAGTACTCGTACGAGCTTGAGGATTTCACGTACTCTGTACCCAGGTAGGAGAGTCCCTTCGATCTGATGATCTTGAGCCACCAAGGGCCGAGCCTGTCCGCCAGCCATATACGGCTCGTCAAGCGTCGTATGATGACATGCGCAGGGACGTGATGATCGCGGAAGGCGAAGGGTAATTGTTTACGGGAGAGTCAAAAGATGTATTGAACGTGCGCCCTGACGTCGAAGATGGTGTGTAGAAATCTATGGTGAGGGTGTGTAGCCCTCGCATCTCTGACCATCGGGAGAAGCATACACAATACCTCTTTTCTCATCGATGCACAAAAGTCTCTGCAGTAGTCAATGATTCTGTAAAAATTTGTTGATAGAACATGTAGCGGGGATTGTGCTCGGCTTGCATGGCTTGATGCAAAGGAGGTCGTCGTCGATCCTGAGCATTGGGCTCGAAAATACGGATAATACTGAACCCTTTCACCCGCCCTCGTTAGCACCAACATGTTTAGGGCAGTCAGGTGCCGGCATCGCATCAAGTAGTGGGTATTGAAGTCCCTCAGTGGCGTCTGGCGAGCCTAGTGAGCCTAGTGAAGCTGAGCTACTGGAAATATCTGGTACGGAGTAGGTAAAGGTAGCGTAGACCATGGTAGCCGAAGCCTGGAATTATTGCGGCTATCAAGAGAAGTCGATGCAGGGTTTGGGTTGGTGAGTGGATGAGCTTTGTCTCGTCAGTGATATGATAATATTGCGCCCTCCAATCTAACTTGATAGCAAAACTTTGCACGCTCCATCCCGCCGTCAGGCTAAAGAGTTATAGTTTCTACTCCTACTCAACCTTTGCACCCCGTCGTCTGTTGTTGCTCGGCTTTCCACCCCTCCATCTCGTTCTCCGGCTGCTGCTATTCTCACTGCTATACACCATCCTCGACGACTCTCCTTCCTCCTTCAAGGCTCACCTCACTGCTGACGGTCACGCACTCGCCTTGTCCTTGTTATCACGCAGCCTCCTTTGCTTACACAACTGCCTGGGAACACCGGGCCTGAATCCCCCAGCATACACAGCATTCTACTTAATCTCCCGGGTGGATTTAATTGTCTTACCAGTGGATCACGCTGCAAGAGAATCCACGATAACACTGCACATATTCTCTCCGCGGCTACAGACCTCACGTCGCTCGCCGTCGGCCTCTCTTGTCGAAACCAACCCGGGCACCTCTATACATTCTAGATGCCACGATGCCCTCTCTACACAAGACTGGTATGTTCTCGCTCTTGCCCACGCACGACTCGTATACGGCCAATTGATTCTGACACGTCCCTCTCAACAGGCTTAGGATCGCGCAAACTGGTCTCCCACATTCCTTTACGATAGGCGTTGCCGTTCGAATCGTCTTGACTTTCTGCATTTGGCACCTCGAGCTGGGACGCTGAGGTTTGCCCAAGAAGGAGATGGAACACCAGCAGACTGAAGATGGACACCACTTCATTCGCGTGAGTACTATACTTCAGTCATATACACACAGCCCCGCAGATGTCAACCGCAGAACGCGAGGAAAGAAAGGTGCACGGGCGTGGCGTTCGAGCAACTAGGGATACAAGAACCTTGACTAATTCGAAACCTCGTGGCTAGTCACTGGCGCAGTTCATCCGCCAGCATGAAAAGGCTCTCGCCAACAGCCTTCAAATGTCTGTCCACAGGCGGCAGACCTCACTGAATTCCACCACCGCGGCCGCCTCGAGCCATACCTCTGGTACTTCTGCAGCGAGCACGAGTACCTCGTCGAGTGCCCTTGCTGCAGCATTTTCTTTCGCTGGTCTGAACTTCAGATCTCATGCAGCGAAAGCGGCCTTACTAACCTTGACACCTCACCACCTTTTCTACCTTTTATCGCGGATGGAAGAGCTGGATATCCTTGTAGGCCCCATGAACATCCGCCTGGAAAACCTGAATACAGATCCTTCTCCGTCCAACTATGTGTCATTTCTCCAATCACACAAGCCATCAAAGGGCCGCAGTGACAGAGACTCGATACATTCCGTCTCCAGCATGCGGAGCGTCATGTCAGGAATGAGTACTTTCTGGTCGTCGATCGGCTTGGGTGGCAGTAGCTCAAAAAGTGAAAAGGCGAAGGCACTTGCAGAGGCAGATCTAACATACCTCTACTCAGCATTCACCAAATTGCCATCGCTACGACTAACCACCGATCATCGCGCTAGGCTCATTCAAGGGTATGAAGAGTTTCCATTTGACACTGCTGTCCCACTCTTCGCCTTCAAAAACCTGCAGCAGCTGGACATAGTCGATCTTGACTTCCGTCGATTTTACGGTTGGGATAGACTGGCTGAGCAGCTTACCCTGCTAACGGTCAAACGCGCCAATCTAGATGACCCCGCTGAGCTTCTGACCGACATCGTATTGGATGACGCTGAGAAGCGTCGAAGACGTTCGACCAAAGGTGGTCGAGCCTCGCCAACTCCCACAAACTCGTGGACTGTGCCTTCTACTCCACAAGCAGGGTATGCACATTCGCATTCGGATCCAGGATCACCTGCCGGAGCAAGTCTCGAGCACGACGATCATGTCGAGTTCATGCCTCGAGACAAACAAATGTCAGGGAGCGTGTCGCCAAAACGACCTAGCCCGGGGCGACCGACAAGCTCATATCGGCATGTCCGCTCCTACTCCTCTAAGGTGAAAAGATCAGGATCGGGAAGCTCCAACTCGAGCGAGTATTCCGTTCAGCCCCATCGTAGCGACAGCACTTCCAGCCTCCTTAGCCTAAACATTCTCCCCCCAGCCAAGTGGCAGCGGTTGAAGTATTTGTCCCTGGCAGACAATTCTCTAACAACCATTTCGGCCAGAAGCCTGGCACCGGTAGCCACCACGCTTCGCTCCCTGAATCTCTCGTCGAACCTTTTCACGGAGATACCAGATAGCCTTGCTTCCCTCACCAGGCTCGTGTCGTTAGATCTGTCCAACTGTATGATTGGGTCTCTCCAATCGCTGTCTAAATATCCCCTGCCAGCTGTTTTGACGGTCAACCTGAAGGCAAACCGCCTTCGATCTCTGGCAGGCATCGAGAAGCTCCTGTCGTTAGAACAGCTGAACATCCAGGACAACAAGATTTGCGACCCCATGGATATGGCGAGGCTCACTTGTATTCCGAACCTGAAGCGCATCTGGGTCAAACGGAACCCCTTTACCAAAACATCGTCCGACTATCGAGTGCTTACCTTTAACCTCTTCCGCAAGACGCCCGGATACGTGGATGACATTGTGATTGATGAGTCTGGCCCCGGGTACTCGGAGCGAAAGCAACTGGTGGACCGGGTCCCTGAGCTGGAGAGGCAAATTGCACCACCGTCGATCCGGATAGTCGAGTTGCCGCTCGTTGTACAGCAGTCTGAGCAGGCGCAACAAGGTCACAATCAGCAGATTGAAAGTGCGGTGAACACTACGCGTCGGAAAAAGATTCCTCGACGACGCATAGTCGACCTGGCAAAAGACGAGACATTCGCACGTCTTCCTGATGAGGACCTTGCGGCCACCATCCCTTTGCCATCTCCTGCCACTCATCACCTTTTGGCAGCAGATGGAAATCCGCGACTACCTCTCTCGAGTCCGGGAGAGACCGCAGAAGACGACATGTATGATGGATCCACGCAAGTCGCATCCGTGGGATCAAGCACTCAAGCCATGCCAGAAGACGATTATAGAGCCAAAATCGAAGCCTTACGGCAAGAATTCGGCAGCAATTGGCTCAGTGTTCTGGGAGACCAGAATTGGCACAATAGCCACCACATGGAAATAACACAGGGCCAGAAGAATCTGGGACACCACACCCTGCACCGTCCCGGCCCAGTCATTGTTAGCGGGGGTCGTACTCTGGGTTAAGAACAGCAGAGAAGGGCCACAGCCTGGTTGCTGCACCTACATCAACCCTTTTTCTGTTTTTGCGCCTGCAAATTGGGCATTTTTTAGACCGACTGTTTTTCTGATCGATTTGGGCAATGGTTTTTCATGACTGCAATTTTATACCCACTCGTTTGCGTATCACTGCAAGACAACGGAGGCATTGCAAGGGATTCTGGTATGGGTATGATGTTTGCAATATGTTGTTGTGGTTTTGTCACGAAAGATTTGTGTTTGACGCATAGCGACGGTGTTCCGTGGTCGGACGGGTTGTTTGATATATTTTTGTTGTTGCAATGCTTGATGCATGGGAGGGCAAAGACGAAGTATGACTTGACGGACGAGATGTCTTAAGACACTCCCTTCTTGATATAATTTTGGCGCGCGTGGGAAATATGAACCGTTCTCCTTCTCTTCTGACGCGCAACTATTTGATTAGTGACAGTATTGACCCTTCGATCACTCCACTCTGGGAGTTCCAGGCTCAACCTAACTCCTTAGGTCAGCCAGCAGAGTTCTGACACTGCTCCCTCGTACGCGTCTGTCTCACCTGTAGAGAGGCACATGTCTGTCGATCGAGATGGCAACGGTACGTGGCGGATCTCAACATGTTCCCCGGAAACGCGTGGAAAATTCCAAGATAGCACCATCTCTTTCGGTCAGATGCCGACTCGTCGAGTTGGCGACAGCAAGAGGCCAAAAAGACCTCACTGGGCATGGGATGGCATGGGCGCAATGCGCTGACGCTAGCGAGGGCTGTCGCGCGATTAGCCTACATTCCTCTGCTGCTGGGTTGGCCCGGTTGTCGCCAAAACATCAGCAAAGGTGGGAACGTGTTCTCTGTATTTTTTCTTCTCGGGGCAGATCTCACGTTAGCGTTTTCTCAGAGGCAGAGAGCGGATGGCGAGGCTGACGCCGAGTCAAGCGATAAATGTTCCAGACCGTAGGGTAGCCTAGGTAAAATCTGAGATCGGCATCTCGCGAAAAAGGGGAAGACGACTCAGCGCGCGTTGGAACTATGGTACGAGCACAGAGGGTCTTTTGGGGGGAAGCCGAGGAAGCCCAGGGAGGATCTGTAGTGGCCAGTTGGGGGCGCAGGAAGGGGTTACCGCTGGGTGGTCGGCCCCTCCCCTGGGTCCTATCTAGGGGCGCTCTTTTAGGCGCATGAGTGCCTCCCTGTGCTGGGTTGAGGTACCTGAGGTAGGGGTAACTCTCGTACATGGTAGTGAGCGCCTCGTCGACTTCGCCTGCTCTTCCTCCTCCTCATCACTCAACTCTCTTTGTCGCCAGCGCCAAGACCAACACCGCTGCCAGGATTGAAAATAGCAAATCCGCCCTCCTCATCCCGCCGTCGACACTGCTTTTACGCTTCCCAATTTGCTCTTACCTGTACTCACTTCCATCTGCAACCCGGCATTAGTTACTGTCGAACGGATTGCCGTCCAAGCTGATCCAAAAACAATCGCCCTTGCCGTCGAAACCGCTTGTCCTGCACCGCAGACAATTGGGGCCCCCTCAGCCTGCTTGTTCCACAGACTCCCGACGCGATAACAACACCTCAGACTGCTCCAAAAGTCGTCAACCTGCGCACATCCTTCCATCGAGGCCCCAGGTTTCCCGGGCGTTCTTCTAGCTGAGCGCTCTGCAGGCTATTCTGCATTCCCTATTCTGTACCTGGTATGTTTCACCCTGACCGAGTCTGTGACTTGCGTCAGCTTCCCCTCCTCGACGCCGAAACGATCTCGAATCGATCCTGATTGTGTTTAGATAGAGTTGTGAGCTTCTCGTAACAACCTACGCGTATCGATTTCCCGTTCTCCATTCCTCCCGACCCTATCTGGTCGGCGCCTTCCCCCTTCCTCCCTGCCCCGCCCGCGGCGAGTACACCATGGCAGAACAGCATGAGGTGGATTTAGACTCTGTCATTGATCGGCTGCTCGAAGTGAGAGGAAGCAGGCCTGGAAAGCAAGTGCAGTTGCTAGAGACAGAGATTCGATACTTGTGCACAAAGGCACGGGAAATTTTCATTTCTCAACCTATATTGCTCGAGTTGGAAGCCCCAATCAAGGTATGATGCGATGGCCGCGATGACGGCAACATACGGGAGAACCTCTCACTGACCGTGCCTTGGTAGATTTGTGGCGATATTCACGGTCAATACTACGATCTTCTTCGCCTGTTCGAATACGGCGGTTTCCCTCCCGAAGCGAACTACCTCTTCCTCGGAGACTACGTGGATCGTGGCAAACAATCCCTCGAGACCATCTGCCTGCTTCTGGCCTACAAGATCAAATATCCAGAGAATTTCTTCGTCCTGCGAGGAAACCACGAATGTGCTAGCATCAACCGTATTTACGGCTTCTACGATGAATGCAAACGGCGATACAACATCAAGTTGTGGAAGACCTTTACGGATTGCTTCAACTGTCTGCCAATCGCTGCGATCATCGATGAAAAGATCTTCACCATGCATGGAGGATTGAGCCCTGATCTCAACTCGATGGAACAAATACGTCGCGTCATGCGTCCCACGGATGTAAGCCGATCATTTCCTTCATGTTGCACAAGAATGTCCCAACGGTCACCGCGCTATTGCACTTTGCGCACGTATCATGTCGAAGAAAACTACTGACAGGCATAGATCCCCGACTGCGGTCTTCTCTGCGACTTGCTCTGGTCCGATCCCGACAAGGACATCACGGGGTGGAGCGAAAACGACCGAGGTGTCTCGTTCACCTTCGGCCCCGATGTCGTCTCGAGGTTCTTGCAGAAGCACGACATGGACTTGATTTGCCGTGCTCACCAGGTAGTCGAGGATGGTTACGAGTTCTTCTCCAAACGACAGCTTGTCACGTTGTTCAGCGCACCGAATTATTGTGGCGAGTTTGATAATGCTGGAGCCATGATGAGCGTCGATGAAAGCCTCTTGTGCTCGTTCCAGGTATGTCGTGGAGTGTTGAGCCCCTGGAATTCGTCACTTGCTAACAGCCTGAAACAGATCCTCAAACCTGCCGAAAAGAAACAAAAGTATGTCTATGCCTCTAAGGGCTCAAGCAGGCCTACTACTCCGCCTCGCAAGTCCAAAAACTAGTCTCTCGACTTGGGCTGATACGAGAACGTGATAGCAGATTTGGAAGAAGATAGGATCGCCTTCTACCTTCCCCTACGAAACGGTAATCGGTGTCTATTCTCCCTCGGTTCGGCAGTGTGCGACTAAACAATCTACCTTACTCCGCGCCTCAATATTGGTCCTGTAGACGAGTTTTTTTTGCCAGTTCTAGCCTCCTCGCCTCCATACGTTGACGAATTCCCTTTGGCCGAGTACGATTCTTCGGCGAAATCATACTCGATGAGTTACACAACAAACGCGACGAAAACATGTACTTGCAACCATCCAGCACATTCTTGAAACAAGGCTGTCAAGCACGGGGGATCGAGTTGAAACCAGGCACGGACTTTCTCTCTCATGCTTTCACAAGTCATTGAAAAGGGCAATGGACAGATCGACTCTCTGGGATCCAGGACTATGGGACTATGGGATATGGGCATTAGTTTTTTGGCCTTGGCGATACTAATTCAAGATGCAATCCTCCCCTTTTTTTACCGCTGTGTTAAAGTGTGTGAGCAAACGAAAGAGAATTGGAAGATGATGGGGAGACGAAATGCGAGGGCGGCCAGGCGTCGGATACGCATCTTCTCAGATCCTCCTCCTGTAACATGCAAGATGGCTTTTTACCTGTTTCTCTCTCTCTCTCTCTATCCATTGATGTTCTGATGCCTGACGAGTTAGAGCCTTTCCTCGACTAGAACGACGATCGTACGCAAGAATATCTATTACCAGCACAGCATTGCCAGCAGAGATGACGAGTTGTGTTTCTTTCCCTTCAGAATAGTAGAACATGTGCCTTACTTTTCTTTCTTTTTTTTCTTGTCAAGGAAAGAATACCCTTTCAAAGAAGCAGGCGAAAGTTTTTTGTAAAGTGAGGAGTTGCTTTTGCAAGGACTGTTTTATCACTTTGCCTCCCAGAGGTTGTCGTCGTCTTTGTTTCAATCCTCTCATCCCGACATCGATCGGGTCGGTATCTTTGGGACAAGATCTTTTTGAGGATGTTGTTCAAAGGGCGTCGGCGTCTGCTTTCGTTTACGTTTGACACTGATTGATTCGTTTATGGTGATGTGTGTAGGTTTTTTTGGGGGAGGACAACCAATCCCTCTCTCTCCCCCCCCCTTCTGACCTCGTGATACAAGAGTGAGGGATATTCTCTCGTCTCACACCTCCTTGACCTTTTGTCAAGGTCCATATGAGTGTACCTAGATGGACAGAAAAGTGAGAAAGAGGTCGGGTTGGAAAGTTTAAAAAGAAAAGGTCCAACCATTCACCGGTGCATGCATTGTCCTGTCCACTGTCTGTCAAACATGGAACTTGAAATCAGCGAAGCCATCGAATCTGCCAGAAAAACGACCTTGACGGTATAGAGAACGAAACCATGGCCAGAACCAAAAGGAAAAACAAAAAAACAAAACGTCGTTGTCGTCTAATCAACAATAACAATAATAATATCGCTCTGTATTCGAATTTCATGGTCTTGACATTACTACCTAGGTACTTTGGTATTCTTGATTCTCCAACGGCGGGGATTGAACTCGAGTCCTCTTGAGCTTGTACGCAGGCACACAAGACACGTAGGAAACAGGAACGACAAAAGCATTTTGGCCGGCACAATAAAATGCATTTGCTACTTCACTGCGCATCCAATTGTGTTTGCTTGGAACGGGACTCGAGCCAACCCATCTCGAGCTTGAGAGTTCCCCCCTCCCGAGAGGTCAAACATAACGATTCATGTTGGCAGGGAGGATTGACCCGGAGAGAAGAACCCGTCTCGACTTTGTCATGTACAGCAACGTTGTGGTGTTGTGTACGGTCTACACGTACTGCGCCAACCATCGGATACCTTCACCGTAACCTGTAATTTTCAGAACCCCCGGGTCAGAGAGTTGTTCCGGTGCACCATCCAAAGGACATTTTGTGGGGGAGGGCCAAAAACTCACCTTGTCTCATGACGACGCTGCACATAAACACCTCGATGGGTCGGATTCCTTCCAACGGCACCTTGCCCTTGCCCGTCGTTTGATACAGACCCAACTGGTGTCTCAACTCATCCTCCGACACGGCGTCGGGGTGATCGATCTTGTTACCGAGGATGAGGAAGGGGGTCTTTGCGAGGTCTTCCATGGCGAGGAGGGCGTCGAGTTCGGCTTTGGCTTCGGGGAGACGTTCGTGGTCTTTGGCGTCGACGAGGAAAACGATGCCGGACACTTCGGGAAAGTAATCACGCCACAGACGGCGGGCTGTGCAAGAGGTTGAACGTCAGTCCAAACAAATCATTTCTGGTGTTGTTTTTTTTTCGTTTTGCTTTTTGCAAATGCTGCCGAGGGAGGGGGGTATCGCATACCTTGCTGATGACCACCGAGATCAAAGGTCGTGAACCTGTTGTTACCGATCGCCAGTTCTTCGGAAGCTGTGGGATCATGGTCAGAAACGACGAGTTCGAAAAGAACTTTGCCAGGGGGGGGGGGGGGGGGGGTAGGGTAAACCGTACTAGGATGTAGTGTAGGTTGAAGGATCGCGACTCGGTCGTTCTACAAAAACCAACCGTCAGCATTGTTTATTGTTGCCTTGACTCCCAAAACGTGTCCTTGTCTCCGTGTCTCTTTGTCTCTTTTGCGTTTTGGGACCCCGTGTCCCGGCCTTGCACCCGTACCTTCAGCATGTGTAATAACGTCGTCTTTCCGGCATTGTCCAGCCCGAGGAAGAGTAATTTGGCATGTTTGTTGAGTAGGCCGAGCGACGCAAGGATGTCGTAGACTGAGAAACAAATCGTATCAGCATTTCGTGACGATATCCAGAAGTAGCGTCTTCCAACATACACCAGTTGACGATCCACATGATGCGGTCAGATTCAAAGGACACACAAACGATGGATTCTGACAATCTCTATCACTGAGAAACTGCAAATGAAAATTGCTGGCTGTGAAATGGAGGTCGGCGGTCTTTCTTTTCGCTCACTTTAATGCTTGGAAAAAGACGATGGACAAGCGGCCAGATGTCAATGTCATGTCACGTTTGTTGGATGAGCCGAAAGCGCAGCAGAAACACATCAGGCCGCATCGGGTAATATCGCGCCAAGTGAAATAATGCACGTGACTGTAATCTATCGATCGACGGCTGTGAGGGCAAAGGACACGAAAACATGTTCTCGCCTGGACATACAGAGTACCACACGATTCTACGTGAACACATGGAACAACTGTAACTGGATAATATCTCAAAGGAAATCTTCTCAATCTGGATTTGTGCATTCAGGCTCTCAATCGAGTCTTTGCCCGAGAGAAGCTCTCTGTATTCTGAGGACCATGCTGATGGTCATATGTATTTACCAATCCCATAAAACGCCCATTGCTATGCTCGGAATATGCATGCAAGCTCAATGGAATACTGCCGAGCCGAGACCAACATGGGCTTCTGAAGAGTCCATGGGTAAGTGAAAGGTCATCAGGCCCTGGTGCAAAAGGCAACCCCAAGGCGCTACAAAGAGGGTTCAACACCCTTGAAAAAGTCGTACAAATAAAAATGAGTATGTGCAATGCTGGCGCGATGGCCATGCATGAGAACAAGTGATTCCAGTAAATTAAAGTGAAATCACCAGTTGGGTTTGTTGGCCGACGCCATAGCCCTTCATACGCTCGGCGCATTCAAGACCAAGCTCCTTCATTCTTTCGGCACCGCGGCCGCGAAGGGGTTTTCGTTCAGCTTGTTCTTTTGCTACCTTGCGGCAGTGCTGACGCCAGAACTTTTCTTTTCTCTTCTGACGCTTTTTCTCAAGGCCAATGACAATGTCGACTGGACCTCTGACGTGCATATCAGCACGTGGAGGTTCCTCAATAGCAGGGGTTACAGCCCCAGAAGCAATGTTGGAAATGGATGCACTTCCAACCTTGAAGTTTTTGAAGAATGGGTTTGGAGTGTCTGGAAGAGAAGCTGTACGTTCCATGTTGGGCCGCTGAGCCAAGCCCCTCATGTTGAGCTGAGGAGTCTTGAGACCAGTTGGGGATCCTCGTGGCGAGCGTAGACGGGCAGGTGGAGGGGGAGACCTCATTCTCGTGGGAGAATGTCCAAAAAGCCTTCTTGGCGGAGGAGAGCGGGTTACCATGTGCTTTGGTGGCGGTGACCGGTGTAGCCCTCGGCGAGCTGGATATCCAGGTCGTGGAGAAGATTCCCGCGGAGAAGTTATTGATGTCTTGCGACGTCCACGGATATCTTCGAGTGCACCAAACTGCTCTGTGAGCCAGCGAGGCTCATCCGAACTAGGCTGTGACTGGACCACATCGTCGACTTCGTCTTCCTCTTCCTCAGGATCGGTGGTAGGGAAACTTGGGTCGATGTCCTGGGGGATTGGGATATGTTTCTCTCGCTTGCGTTGTTCACGACATGAGATATATGCCGCCTCCAACGGACGATCCTCGTCGAGAGTACCACAGACGAAGTCAGTGCTATCCGGCAGCTCTGGTGTTCCAGGTCGCATCTTGGAAATTCGATGACCATTGCCATGGTACTTGCCGAGCTGCTTTCTAGCCGAGAAGAGTGGAAGACCACCAGAGTGTTCTTCGGAGTCGATAGAGCTCGCGTCCGATTGGCGACGAGAGCTGAAATGGGTGATGTGCATGTTGTCAATGCTCGTGTTGCGGGTGGTGGTTCTGGTGGGTGCCCAGAACTGATACTCTGATCCAGCATCACTTTCCTCGTCAGAGCTGGCGAAACCACCTTCATCATCGGACTCATTTCCGCCATCCGACTCCTCGTCAGAGGGAGCAAAGTCATCAACATGTGCTTCATTGTCCTCGAGCTCCTCTTCAAACTCTTCTTGCTCACGCTCTTCCTCTTCAGCCTCCTCTTCAGCTTCTCGACCGATCTGGCGGATCTTGTTCTCTTTCTTCATACAGTCGTCGAGGGTCAGCTTTCCCTTGTGCTGGTTAGGCCTGTCGATCCATGCATCCGTCTCATCGTGTGAGCTGCCAAATTCATGGAAAGCTGACTTGGGAGAAGGAGGGTTGACCCTGGTCCGGTCGGCGGATGCTGCAATAGCAGTCTCGGCCGATCGACCGGTAAGGTCGGCAGACTCTGTACTCGGTCTACGTCTTGAAGTAGGAGCCGGCGACAAACGACGAGGAGATTTGTGCTCGACGCGCAACTTGGAGAGTTGAGGCTTGCCTTCGCCGGAACTTGTGCGGGTAGGGCAAGCAAATGTGAGCATGCATTTTCTCTTCGGGACCTCTGGTTCTGTAGCTTTATCTTTCGGCACCGACACATCATCCTTGCTCTTCTCAGAATCAGTGCCAGCGCAAGCAAACATGATGCAGCGCTTTCGGCCAAGACTCTTCTCGACCGCGGCTTCACCGACATTGGCAACGCTTGGTCTTTCATCCTTAGAGTTCGGTGCGATGAGTATCTTCGAGGGTATGGGAGAGGGTTTCCTGCCGTTCACCAACTGGGTAAAACGACCAGGAGGCGGTGGCGGACTTGGCGTGGCCGAACGAGAGGGACTGGTAAGGTCTCCATCGCTGGTCAACTCGGCGGTAGAGGCCATGCTCGCCGTACTATGGGAGGAGGTAGTCGAAAGGCCGCGGGTCGAAGAAGAGGTAGGAGAACGTTCGTCGTGTTTTGACTCTGCCATTATGGCGCGGGTCAAAAGAGATTCGCGGTGAGTACGCGGTAGAGCGACGGAGCGAGTTCGGGAAGGCATCTTGAGGGATGCGATGTGATCGTCCGGAGGTTCATCTGCCTCAGCGTTGACCTCTTCGTCGGACAGAGCAACGGTGGGAGCAGTGGAGAGATTCAACATTTTGAGTAGGCTCTGCATGGTTGAATTTCTGCGGGCGTCTGTTTGATGTTTTTGGTGGTGTGCCATCGGAGTCTATGAAAGGTGATAGAATGGTGGATGGGCCGTGGAATCTTATGAATCCTTCTTGGAGAGAGAACTTCGTCAGGCACGACAAGAACACAAATCCCGGAGAGGACTGGTGTTTATTTGGTACGGTTGGCCCTGAGGACCGCCGTTGTTATAAATTGTATCTCGACATGGTGATGGGATGTTGGAAATGGTTGGACTCGACTGAAAACCGGATAGACCGTAGAGTAGGAAACAAGTAAAGGAGAGGGAATCGTCCAGAGACGACGCAGGTGATGTCTACAAAGGTCGAGCAGGGCGGGTGGCGATGTACGGACTGCGCAGAGGTGTCGGAAGCCGTAGGATGAACGAAACGCTAGACGCGATTTCGAAGAGCCAAATACGTGCGAACAAACAGGAGATTGCTTACGCAAACTCCAGATGAAGCGGAGAGAAGGCGATAGAGTTGAATAACAAAAGGAAGAGGACGGAAGGAGAGGGAGAGGAGAGTGGTAGGTAGGAGGTGGTGGTGTGTTAGGGTTGGAGGGAAGAGAAGAGAGATCGGGATATGGCTGTTTTGATGAGGGAAAAGTGCGGGCAACAGCAGAGCCAAAGAAGAGAGAATTGGAGATTTGTGAGCAGGTCGGCAGTGCGAGCAGTTGGCGGTGGCAGCCAGTAGAATAGGCGAGGGTAAGCAGGGATTCTGGCGTCGATGGGAGATCGAGAAAACGTTGACTGACGAGAGGAAAACAGGATTTTTCGCTGGTGCGGTGGATACAGTCAGTACCTGTATTGTTACGAGTCAGGGACGGACTACTCCCTATAAGGAGACAATTTTGTCCGGACGGGGACCGGTAGTCGGTCTTTGGGGGGGTGTGGACAAGGAAAATCCTTTTACGCCGGGAAATTATGTTTGGTCAGACAAGTGGCAATTTTGGGCCCATGTGACGGTTCTCGCAGAAGACTTGAGTAGGAGGTGCCCTAGGCGCAGTCCTCATTCCCTTTGGGGGGCCTGCCAGCAACCCGGCTCCCTGCGCTAGCCTCTAAATTGGCAGCCCACGACAGACATATCTTTAGGCTTTGTTGGTGGGCGTCAGAGGCGCCTACACTAGCAGCTTCTCCTCCGTACAATATGGTATGATCTAACAAACCAACAATACTCCGTACGGTAACGAATAATTGCAGGCATGTAGCTGCGGAATATGCCACAGGTATCAGGGAATTTCATCTTCATCCAACCAGCATTTCCCTTTCTCCCTCGACCTCTTGCAACTCAAAACAAAAAACCCACCGACCTCCTCGGCCCCCTTGCTCAATGTCATGGATCGAATCGGATGAAGGGCAGAAATTGTAGCCACCCACTGGCAACTCATCACAGCTTTTGATCGGTGAGAAAAGCAACGAGGCAAGAGTATCGCTGGAAACATGTCTAACAGAGTCTTTGTGCTATGGTTACCATACAATCTTTCACACAAATGATAAACAGCGTGTTGTCGCTGTCCTAATTTTGTCGCATCAACAGTTTGATGTTCATGTCAAAGCCATGCCGATCTTTTCGCATACAACAACAAAACACAAGACCACTATTAGGGTCCATGATGCCTTTGTGCCTGGCCTGCCAGGCAACGTCACGTTTCTAGTATCGCTGATCAGGGTTCTTGTTAACCAGCGACACGGGTCAGGGTACTTGTATTATTGTCGTTGACGTATTTGAGTAAAGGTTGCCATGTACGAGTACCGAGTACCAGGGCTTCAAACTATGAATTCCCTGGCAACATAGACCCTGTTCGGCAAGGCCGGCAATATACTCTTCACACTCGTATGGAAGGGTATGACCTCAATCATGCCATTCCCAGCTGGACGATGCCCTTGCGAATGTAGCAATGTTCCAGGGACTTGTATAGGTCGCTCGTCACTATTCCCTTGTGCCGCGTCTCGAACGACCCCCCATGCTACTCGTGTAGTGCAATGCTCTCCGTGTTGACCCGTCTTCAAGTTGATGATCCAATCGTCTAGTATGTCTTCAATATACGGAGTACATACTACTCAAGAGCTGACGCAGACATGCATCAGTAGCGACCAGAAACACCTCCAATTCCTGACTCTTGAGGTCCTTGGCATCTGAGTCCTTGGTGCCTGGTTCAGGGCATCAGACACCCCAAGTCTCATCTACGCGCATCATACCTGGTCGTGCCCTGCAGCGGGCTATGCCCATGTGTCGTGGCTATACTGCTGTACAACCCTCCAACATCTTCGGAGTAGTCCTACTCCTACAAGTATCCCCAGCACCACAATAGTTTTTGCACAGACGAAGCCGGATCTACCTACAAGCAAGTGAGATGACGTCAACCGATCCGCTACCAAAACTGTCACTCGTGGATACGTTCTATTGCTTCCCACACACAACACACATGCGCGCACACACACACACAAATTATTATTTTCAGCTCACCATTGTTCAGGCATACATTGGCGATCCTGCATGACCTGTTGATCTGACCGTCTCACAATCTTACCTACACCCTCGTTTTCTGACGGGCGGGCCGTGCAGAGCGAATACACCTGCCGCATACGAGATGCAGATGACTTGTTGGAGTGTGCAATCGTAACCCAATATGTGACAAACACAATCTCCAACCCTCGACTCTTGCCGCACCTGACCCCTTCACACCCGTGCATGCATACATGCGAGTTCATCGAGCTTTGGCGAGCCCACCACCCCCTTGTGTACGCGCTACTCGCATCACCCAACGCGATCAAAAGTATGACCGGAGGACTGCTTCGTCTCATAGCTCTCCACAACATGGCGAGAATCCACAGCGGCCCGTGTTTCGAGGTTGTCAACTCCATCCTGCGGAAGCTAGCACCCATTGAACACAAAGGAGCACTGCGCAAAGACAGGCGGTCAACAAACGGTCAGGACAGTGCTCAGACCTCTAGATTCTAGAATGGTTGCGTAATGATTCGAAAACGCGGGTTGTGGTATGAATCGACGCTCGGACTATCCACGAGCTCACAATTGATACAAATCGAGGCCAGAACCAAACGCGTGGGAAAGGGTCCGCTGCGAACAGGTTCAAGGGTTCTCTCGACATCAGATGCTGGTACGAGTACAGTACTTGTCGATCAGCATCTGGCTGCATGCAATGCTGGCCTAGTCTGTTATTGTGAGGAGGAGATGCAATTCGCAGCTGCACCCACCTTCTCAGACAAGCTGTGTTGTTGCATGCCGAAAAAGTTAGCAGCAGTCTATCCAATATGACGGCCACTGGTCAGTGGGTTGTGAGCGCATGGAAGAGCAGCGTAATTGGGTGTGAAGAGGCAACATTGTGCTGTTGGAGTCGGACGAGGTGGACCATTCCCTCGGCAAGTTGACATTTTTACTATGAGGCATTTTCCAAATGACGAATCACAGGCGACAGAGCTAATGCACCGCTCGCTCAAGCACCTCCCCCCACGCTTGGATACCGACATGCAGAAGCTTGGAAGCTTTTCCTCTTCTACGATATCTTCCGATGACCCGTTGTCATTTCGAAGGGTCATCCGTTGTGCAAATGCAAACACACACAACCAAAGGATGGGTCAAGCGAGGTCGCATTTCGAGGGAACCCGTTTCCAACCAATTGCCATCGCATGTACGGAGAATGCAAACGCCTTCTGAGAAAAGGCCGGATCAGGAACCAGACTTGCCTAATTCGGAGGTACCTGCAAAATACGTCGACCAACAAGCCCGTACAAGCCAACCAAAAGGCCAAAGCATACTTGGTGCAGCAGGGGTCGTTACTCGTATGTTGTACTCGTACGGGATGCTTAATACCAGTGTGACCAACCTCTGCGCACCTCACCTGCTTTGCAGAGTCGGCATCAAAACCCTTGTTCTTGTGAATATGGTGCTTCACCGCATTCTGTCAACCCTGCTTCTGCTTCGTCTGTGGCGTCGGGCTGTTCTGTTCCAGGATCAACAGCAAGCCGAGCGTAGCCTACAATGCGAGGGAGCATCACAATAATCTCCGCTTCGTCCCAAGCCGTTCCTCACATGATGAGTTGCTTGTAACTTTGTATGCTCACCGCATTTTCTTCCCGCCCGAAGACATGGCAAGGGGGGAAGATGTCAGACACGTCTTGACCATCCGACTTCTTCGTGGTGGATCACATGAACGTGACCATTGATGGTCTTGCAGAAAATACTACGGGGTAACAGTATGTTGTTGGTTAATTGTTCCCAGACAAGACGGGCATCACTCTCGCTTAGAAAGGCCCCAACGTCAATGTATCAGGTTCAGGAGCTGCCGATCTATTGTCTCAAGCGAGAACTAAGTGAGCTTAATTCTACGGAGTCCATATATAGTAGGTAAGTTTACTCGAACAAGGTAATGTGAAACACCATTCGAAGAGTGATCAGCGTGTTGTTGTTGACTTTATACAGACGTGCAATGTTTTGAGATTTAGGGATGTGCCAAGGTACCTGCGGATGGCTTCAACTTTGTCTCTCAGGTCTAGGTACCTACGTATGCAGCTTCTTGGAAGCAGTATCAAAGCCCCCCGGAGATCAAGGCGAGAGGTAAGCTCAGCCGCCAAGAAATAGCTTACTCACCCGCAAACGATTTCCCCCCTGAAACATCCCCCTAATACTCGTAACGGTGTGCTTTATAAGAAGAGACGTATTATTACTGTACGTGGACCACCAAACTGCAAACAATCGCCTTGGCGACTCGTAAGTCGTTTGAGTACAGTACGTATATCACGGCCAAGAGTCTTGGAGTTGAGAAGATGATGGCGATCAAACACATCTTCACAGTCACCCTCGACGTCAAAGCGACACAAGACGCGATTCAAGCCTGTCTTGGAGCCTTGGCTTGTGAGCTTCATATACCTTCTGCAAGTTTTGCTGCACATTATACGCGTGTGCATGTGTGTGCGTGTACATGCTGCGTATCTGAGGCATGGGTCAGACGGTAAACATTTCTCGGAGGGTGAGTGAAATGTTTTGCCCCAACTGCATGAAAGTAATTGTTTACAATTACAAGGTCGGTGATGCTGTAGGTGAATTATAAACAGTAAGGGTAGAACGGGAATACTGCATTGTAGGTACCATTTACTCACTCATGTTCACTGACTCTAGCATACAAATTGCAAAGCTCGCACTCCCGGCATGAGTCTTCTCAAGTGGATGATATCTTGAGGAGACCTAGCTGGGTTCACTACTCTGTACGGAGTAGACAGGGTAGGTATTCTTCGATGGATTCTTTGGCCTTGTGGTCGTGGCTTAGGACAACACAATCTGATAGAAACACCCTGTTGTCGGAGATCCCTACTGAGGTGGTTGAACTGCATACGTATCGCGTCCCCAAGGCAAACCCATACCCATACTCATACCCATCATACCCCCGCTATAAACTTCACCTTCATCGTCTTGTTCGTGGCCAAAGTGATCTTTATCCTCATCGTTACCACCATACCTTCCTCAGCCTTCGGGTCAACTGCCCATCATCATCTCACGAGGATCCTGAGGGTACGCTCCATGGCCGCCGATCCTGTCGTGATCTTCTTCAGCTGGGGCTTCCCGACATGCAGAAACAATATCTGGCAAGAGACCGGTTTCTTTTCAAGGGTTCATATCTCGAGAATTGGGTACAAAGAACCGGGGCAGATGTCGAGCGTTGTTGGACGAGGGATAATCAGTTGGGACTAGCGCAGTTTAGCCGTCAGTACCTGCGGTTTTCTTACCCGCAAAGGGTTCACTAGGCGCCCCCGTCGAATATCGCTTCCAAACCTCATGTTTACTCCGGTCCATCAGTTCAAGTGATATAAAATACCAACAGAGGCCTGATAAGATGGGTGAAGGGATCCAAAGTTGGAGCTTACACCCTTCCAAGGCTATCGGGCACTTCTCGTGAAGCCTCCCTTCTCTGGGCGCTCCATACAGTGGCCAGCCAAGGCCAAATGGACACTGTCGGCTGCCTGCAAGTCATTTCTTGGTACGTCTTGTGTGAGTGCCACAATTTCGACTTATTTTGTTGCTTTCGTGTGCAAATCCAATCAAATTAAATGTACAAGCGTGATGAGATGAGGACCTTCTCGGCATTACCTTGAGGGGATCAACAACAATAACATCTTTCCCAGCTTTGGCTGGACTCACGATGTCGACAAGACCAGCTTTCTCCCGTACCTGGTAGTTGATGATATTTCTCCTTTACCGGATAATGCCTCATCGAATACCCTTCCACCAACATCCGAATATTCTCACCCACAAGTCTGCGCAGCATCAGTCGACTTTGGATTACACATTGCACGTCTCACTCGGGTCGTACAGCATCTGATCTTTCAATCTTTGGTCTGCAGATGGTATAGTTGATCTCAAAAAGTCACCACCCATGATGCCCTCCGCACACAGACCTGCAAATACCCAACTAGTCGTGGAGGACGAAGAGCCGACTATTGAACCCAGACTATACCGATACATCACATCTTTGGACGAATCACCAGCTTGCTACACACGCTTCTTCGATGCACTATTGATACAGAGAGATTCTCGTGCTCAATTCTTCCACGACCTGAAAACGTTCCGAGAACAACCGACCATCATCACGTTGCTCGAACCAGGCAGCAGGGAAGGTTATAGGACGTGCACACAGAAATTCGTCACCTCGCGATTTGCCCATCCTTGGTGTCGGATCAACAGCGACTTCCAGTCCGGTTGGAGTCGGGCGACCTGGGTCGGTGCCACGAAGAAGGTGAGCAAGGATGACAAGAAGGAAGAGGAACGTTTGCATCGACTCCTGGTGCCGATCTGGATTGCCTTCCACAGGCGAATGTTCCCCGACCAGGTAGTTCTGGACGAATGGATCGTGAAAGACGATGAGCACCAGAAGGAATTAGCAGCGAAGAGAAAGGCTAAGGCTGAAGAAAGGGCCAAGGCTGTTGAGAAGGAGTCGGACGAGGATTCAGCTGATCCAACTGCCGCCTCGACGACTACTGCGTACCCTGAACTTGGCTTCAAAATGGCTGATGATCCGACAGCAACATCTTCATCATCAGGCCAACCAACAAATTCCTTGCCACCAGAATCCGGCGCCACCACTGCGTCCCAAGTCTTTCTCGGAGCTGCTATCGGTGGCTTCATCATGAGTGATAAACGAGTCATGAAATACGTCAAGAAGAAGTTCAAGAACAAGTGAATGCTGGTCTGGCTTGTTGATTCAGTACCTGGCAATTCATGTTAAGATTCAGGTGAGCACTATCAGCGAGTATATTTCTGTATTTTGGAGCATACACCGCAGCACGAGATCGGAGGGGGAAGAAAATCTCCTACTACTGGAAGGCTTTAGAGTCAACTATGTGGCATCATAGCCTGCCCGTTCGGAACTCCATGTTAGTCACTGTCATCAAAAGGCGGGCCATCTCAGGTCCAGATTTCTTCCCCGAAATGGGCTCAACAACATTATCACAAGCCACGTGTGTCAATCAGCATCGGTGCAGCTGTTTACGATCTCTCGAAGATGTCGAAAAGGCGAAGAGGGAGATAGCACCCGACCTCCCAACGTTCCATTCTCAGCTTCACCGCCCCTATCCCAGCTCGGGTGTAATTTACTTCTGAAGAACGGGATGTTGCGGCATTGTGTTGTGAGAACTTGATCGGCTTGTCAATGTAGAAAGGAAAATCTTCCACGAGTAATAGAATCCCGAAAGTACCGGAGCGCAATTCTAATGTCATCCAGATTTCTCGATTCTGTGTTGAAGTTGATCGTTGAATGCGAAGGTATTCTGGTCTTTGATATGATATGATGTGTTGTTTTATTGCAACATGCACGTCGTAAACCACACTCACTCACTCACTTGCAATCCTCGCACTCTATCTTTGACTTTGCCTCTCCCTCACCGCCACCAGTCTCCTGATTACTACCGTTTGAACTGCCATCCCTCACTGTTTCCTCAGCCTGGCTTGCTTGCTGCTGAGGCGTCGTCTTTGCCTTGTTCAAACTTCTATCTATATGGCCCAGATCTCGACCTGGCTGGATAATGTTCCTCACTCGACTCTTGAGTTCCTTTGTCTCTGGGAACCCGCCGTCAGTTTTCCGATCCCAAAGTATAGTGTCCGTCGCTGTCACTGTTGTTGTTGTCATTGTCGTCGTCGTCGGTTCCATTTGTTCAGGAGATTCTTCCGACTTTTGGGTGACTTTCGAGTCTGTTGAAGTTGAAGTTGCAACAGCATGAGTCATTGTCACGGTAAAGATTCCTCCTGTGGCTGGCACAAGTGCGATTTCTCCTACACTCGTACCGAAAGTTTGGAGAAGTTCCTGGGCGTACTGTTGTTGTCCTTTGAGTCAGTTTTGTGTTCGACGGGGGATTTTTGATGTCGTGATTCTGTGGTAGAGTGTCCTTCCGACGTTTGAATATATACCTAGCACACCACTTGTGATGCTAAGCCCATTCCCACCTTCACTCCCAACAGGCCTTGATATATTTGGAACTACTTTCCCCCCCATGAAAACACAACCCACAGTAGGCCTGGTTTTGGGGTCAGGGGAAAAAGGGAATGCAACTCACATAAGCAGCTCTCAGGTTCCATTTACATTGTGTACAAAACTTGATCGATATCCTTGGAACTTGGACGGCCGTCGTGGCTTGTTGACTCGTCACCGCCGTCGAGCTTGCTGCTGCTTGTGCCTGCGTCGTCATTTTGTATCACCGTCGCGTAACGCAACGAGTAATGTGAGAGGGCCCTCTCTTCGTAATCAAGCGCAAGACTTTTTCAAGTCGGCAGAGAAGTGCAATGTCGTTACAAAAACAAGAACGTAAGTTTAAGAAACCATTTTGTGCCGAGTAAATATAAATTTGATGTTGGAGCAATACTGTACATACCAATATGTCATCCTCGCCCGGGATTATGTACTGGAACAAAAGCCCTTTCTTTAGGGTTTTCGAAGTCATCCTTCAGCCTATTGGGGGCGCCTATTGTATCGGAGACGCTCATAAAATCCACAATCAGATGCCCACAATAGAGCCCCCCTGTGGCCCAGGCTGAGACGATCCCTGGAAAGAAAAAGATGATCAGATCAGTGGAGATTGTAGAGATCTGATTACTGTTTTATACGAGTCACTCGATCTTGGTCTTTGTTTCAAAGACCTCAGAGATGCGGTCGATCAAATATGGTAAACAGGACGGAGTCCAGAGATATGATTGAGTCTTTTGAAAAAGACGAGGCGTGTTTTAATGCTCTGCCTGGACCCCTCTCTCGTTGGGGCATCGATATCAATGTCAGTAGGTAGTTTGGAACACGATCAGTCCCTCTTACTCAATGACTAAAATCAAAACGGATCCCACAAAATACACATTAAATCAACCCAGTAGTGAGACTGTGACTCTTTGTTTTCTTTTCTTTATTTTGAACTACCTTATGGTCCCTAGCCCTACTGAGGGTCTCTTTCATAGAATGCTATCAACAGGAACGGTAAAAGCCCGACTACTAGACCGAGTAGAAAAGCATAGCAACAAATGGTTGCTCTCTCTGGCATGAAACAATCGTCGCCGTTGAAAAAATTGGTCCAACAAACGCCCTGGTGCGCCGTATGCTTTTTTTTGTTCTTGGTTCGAATCACACTTCCTGTCCGTCAACATTGATCGGTTCATCTTTCTTTGGTTCTCCTCTTGTCTCTCAATAAAACAAACTCCATTAGGCTCCAATTACATGACTGAACAACAACCATCGCTTCCGCCAGACTGTGGGTTGTAAGGATCTTCTTTTCGGTCGACATGTCCCCAGACAGAAGGTACCATGTAATCTCGGGTCTGATTACAGTAGTTGATGAGGCTGTTGTGAAAGTCCGGCGCCGTCAGTAAAATTCCCAATCGCACAAGTAAACAAAAATTCTGGAGCAGAGCTCACCTCATTGAAGCTTCTGCAACCTTGACACGCGGCCTCTCGAGGTCCTCCTTCAGCCTTGAGTTGAGCTCTTGAAGCCGTCTAAGCTTAAGATCTGCCATGCTTTGTTTCTTCGTTTTGGCATCGCCCCCATCCCGCACCGCATATGCTGCTGGCATGTTGAATTTCCGCAGGGGAAGAAGTCGTGGCGATCGTAGGCAAAGGAGTGGTAGTCGAGGATGTTCGCGACCTCGAGGTCACGGTTGTATCCAGACCGAGGTGGGAGATGACCGACTCGGCGGAGGGGCGGGGGAGGGAGGGACTGTCGCTTTGCGAGGACCTTGTTGGCTTCCCAGTAGGCCTTGACCGTCTTTGCGACCTTGTACTTGAGGAAGTAGTAGGGCTCGAGGCGCAGTTGTTCAGGGTGAATGCCCAGATAGATCAGTTCCTTGGTGTCTGGATCGGTTTTGGTTAGCGAGGGAGACGAATTGCAAGAAAGCAACACAATTGGAAATCAGGGGAGAAGGGGAACGGGAACTGGTCGTACGTGGATCCATTCCGAAGGGACTGTCCCAGGATTGGTAGGTGGAGGGTTGGCGCTAACGCTGTTTGTGCTAGTTTGGTCTCGTGACATGAAAGGTGAGGGTTGAGTGTACGGTCGGCAAATCTTCGGGATTTTAGGCGTGAGAATGTCTCAATGCATTGTGGTGTCATGTGACCTTTGAACTAAACCGCATTTAGGCGCACTTCTCTTCACCTTCACTGCACAGCGACGAAATTCGCCAGTCTTGCCAAGAACTTGGTTAGGCACAAACTGCACACTTGCTCATCGACACGCCTGTGACTATCCGTGGCCATCTTTTTATCACTGGCAATCTCTAGGACAGGCTAGCATCAGAGTCTCGAGAGATCATTTACTTGATCATCTCCTTTATTTCAAAAGAGTCTCTAAAGCCAACCGTCAAGATGCCTCCACCACCACATATCCGGCCCGAGAATGTGCTCAGAGTGAGTTGATCAAGTCCTCAAGTCTTATCGAAAGATTGATCTCGCAGTATGACTGACATATTCCCTTCTAGCGAGCACAAGAACTCATCGCCGTTGACCAAACTCAAGCCGCACTCACCGTCCTTCACGAACATGTCACCTCGAAGCGATCCCGAAATAGCCCCATCGCCTCCTTGGAGCCTGTCATGCTCCTTTTCGTAGAGTTGAGCGTCGACTTGCGAAAAGGAAAGGCAGCCAAGGATGGCCTCTACCAATACAAGAACATTGCACAAAATACCAATGTCGGGACGATAGAAGTGAGTTTCGGGAGAACAAAAATGTGTTGGGTATACTCATACTGACATTAAATTAGTTGGTTCTCAAGAAATTTATCGAACTAGCCGAGAAAAAAGTCCAGGAGGCGCAAGCAAAAGCAGAACAGGTCCAGTCCAACATTGAGACTGCAGCAGCCACGACAAACCTCAACATTGACGATCTCGAGGCCACCGAAACCCCTGAAACAATCCTCCTTGCCACAGTTTCCGGCGAACAGTCCAAAGACCGAACAGACCGCGCCATTGTAACACCATGGCTCAAATTCTTGTGGGAAACATATCGCACGGTTCTGGAAATCTTGAAAAACAATGCTCGCTTGGAAGTGATGTACCAGGGCACTGCTCATCAGGCCTTCGACTTCTGTTTGAAATACACCCGGAAAACCGAGTTCCGTCGCCTTTGCGAACTGCTCCGGAACCACGTTCAAAATGCCGCGAAGTATTCCTCGCAGATGCACGCCATCAATCTCAATGAGCCAGATACTCTGCAACGCCACCTTGAGACCCGTTTTCGACAATTGAACGTCGCGGATGAACTCGAGCTATGGCAAGAAGCTTTCCGTAGTGTCGAGGACATTCACATGCTTTTGACCTTGTCGAAACGACCCGCAAAGAACGTCATGATGGCAAACTACTACGAAAAACTCACCAAGATCTTCCTGGTCAGCGACAACTTCTTGTTCCATGCCGCCGCCTGGAACAAGTATTACAACCTGCTGCGTCAATCGGCAACAGTCATGGCATCCGGGCAGGGCCTCAAGCGCGACAATCCGGTTGTTACTGAGGAGTCTCTCACAAAAGCTGCTTCTTTCGTCTTGTTGTCTGCGCTTGCAATCCCCGTCATCAGCACTTCTCGTTCGCGAGGGGCGCTCGTTGACGTGGACGAAGCACGCAAGAACAAGAATACCCGTCTGACGAACCTTCTCAGCATGCCCTTTGCTCCTACCAGAGCCGGTCTCTTCAAGGATGCGTTGAACAAGGGTCTGCTGAAGAGAGTTCGCCCTGAGATCAGGGATCTTTATAACATATTGGAAGTTGACTTCCACCCTCTGTCCATTTGCAAGAAAATTTCGCCCATTCTTGCCCAAATTGGCTCGGACCCCGAGATGGAGAAATATGTGCTGCCTCTTCAACAAGTTATCCTGACGCGACTTTTCCAGCAACTCTCACAGGTATATGAGTCTGTCGAACTCGGATTCGTTACTCGACTGGCTCAGTTCCCTGCGCCATTCGAAGTCACCCCTGCAATGATCGAAAAGTTCATCATGAATGGTTGCAAGAAGGGTGACCTGTCTATTCGTCTTGACCATGTCTCTGGTATCCTTGCATTTGACTCCGACGTCTTCTCTTCCGCCAAGGCAATTCATTCTGGGAGTGCTGCAGGATCTGCAGAAAGCGAAACTGGCTCTGTTCAACGTCTTCAAAATACTCCGGCTGAAATTGCACGCTCACAACTCACCCGCCTGGCCAAGACCTTGCACATTACTTGCATGTATGTCGATCCTTCATACAACAAAGCTCGTCTCGCTGCACGAGAATCCGCCCTGGCTCGTGCCGAGGCTGGTGCACAAGAAGAGCACGAGGCCATGCTTGCAAGACGCGTCATTATCGAGAAGAGGAAGGAGGAGGCCTCTGAGGCGTTCTCCAAGAAACAGCGGGAAGAAGAGACTCGTCGTCGCATCCGAGCCCAGCAGCAGGCCGAAGCCGAAGCCCAACGTCTCCGTGAAGAGACCAGAGCACGTGAGCTGAAGCGCGTTAAGGACGAGCAAGCTCGCATTCGCCGACAAGAGATTGAGAAGCAATTGCAAGAACTCAAGTCTACCACCGGAGACATTGACCTTGAAGGCGTCGATATCGACAATCTAGATTCCGTTGCCATTCGGAACATGAAGCTACAGCACTTGGCCAACAACAAGACGAAGAAGGATGAGAAGGTTGCAGTCACTGCCAAGCGTATTGACCATCTCGAGCGAGCTTTCCGTCGAGAAGAACTCAAGTACCAAGCCCAAGATTACGAGAAGCAGCGTGAAGAGGATGTGAAGGTCTACGAACAGACCAAAGAAGAGACTCTGCAGGAAGCCCAGGAGAAACACAAGCAAGGCTTGGCCCTGAAGCACCGCCTCAGTAGACTTGTCAAGTACTACGACTCATTCAAGGGCCAAATAACCGAGCGTCGTTCAACCGAGTTCGAAAGATTGCGTAAGAAGGCTGAGCGTGAGTTTGAGGAAGAGAAACGGAAGCGCGTCAGAGAGGTCCAGGAGAGAAAGATCAGAGAGCGCGAGGAGCAAGAAGAAGAGGATCGACGCATTCGTGAAGAGGAGGAGCGCAGAGCACGTGAAGAAGAGGAGAAGGCTAAGGCTGAAGAAGAGAAGAAGCGAGTTGTCGCTGAGCGACGAGCTAAAGCTGAAGCCGAGCGTGCGGAGCGTGACGACGCTGCACGCCGCCAAATGCAACGGGAGGAAGAAGCGGCAGCCAGACGAGCAGCCCGTAAGGGACCCGAAACTGAGAGGCCTGCACCGTTCAGTCGTCCTCGCGAGGCCGTCCCTGTGGACACTCCTACAGAGTCCGAAGAAGGCCGCATAGCACCTCGTCTCAACCTGGCTGGTAAGGGGGGTGGTGGCTGGCGTGATCGTGAAGCAGCTCGAAAAGCCGCAGAAGCATCTGGTCAAGCTCCAACCGAGCCCGCCCAAGCACCAACTCCTGAACCCGCCTCAGCACAGCCTACCCGCTCCGGCTATGTGCCTCCTCACATGCGCCGAGGTGGTGCTCCTTCTGGTGGCGATCTGCCACCACCTCGAGACCTGCCCATGCGCGGCTCATCCGCCTCGCCCGCTAACAGCGGCCCTGAACGCAAGTACGTCCCTGCACACATGAGAGAAGGAGGCCGCAGTTTGTCGAGAGAGGGTGCCGGGTCACCTGCACATGGCAGCAACGAAGAATCTCCAGCGTCGGCACCGAGAAAACCTGCCACTGGTGGCACAGGTGGCAGGTACGTGCCCCCCAGCATGCGCAACCGTTAGTAGAAGATTTACAGAAAGCGGTGATTGCGGTGCGTTTGTGGAGAATGTTACGCATCATGATGGAGAGTCTTTTGCATCTTCCACAAAAAAGCTGTTGTGTGTATTTTAGTCTTCCCTCAAAATGTTCCGGGGGTTTGCGGCTGGTGTCTTTAGTAGTTTATCAAATTGCTGCGTGGCGGGTCATGGGGGGGCACACTGGAGCCTACTTATCCCAGGTAGAGTGGGAAGTGGGCTCCTGGCCAGAACAGAAGAGTCGATAGAATATCAAATTGATGGTGTGGGAAAAAAGTTGAACGTTGGTTCAGTACAAGTAGACCTTCACAAAGTGACTTCCAGCACCACCCTCCCAACGCCGGTGTCTTTCGTTTCTAGTAGGGTGGTGCTCTTTGCCTGGCGAGTTGTGGTTTCGCTCAGAAACTCGTCGACGCCCCCTCCGACACCAAAGTAGACCTTTTTAGCCGCCACCCAGGCCTTTGCACTTCCCGAAGACTGGCGACGTAGTAGCTTCACAACCGTCTCCGTGAAGGGAGTGATGGTGGATGGTGAATAGATGGTCTCCGACGCCAGTATTAGGAGATTCTCGGACGTGCCATTGGAAGAAACAAGATCGAGAAAGGCGTCGCCCCATGCTCCGGATATGAAATCGAAAGAGATATCTCGTGAACGAATATCGTCGAGGGTGGTGTTGATGAAATTTTCCCCTAACCCTTCAATGTCAAGTTCGCCTTCGTCTTCGGATTGACCTTCACTCTCGTTGACTGGTTCATTGTTTGATGATGACGCCGCGCCTTCTTGTGTTTGAGAACGGTTCCGAAGAGTGTGGTGGAGGCGGGAGTGGCGATGATGATTCAAAAAGACATTTGGAGCAGTGCACAATCTGAGCACGTCTTCGTTGTAGTCGCAGAGCGTGAATTTGAGGGTTCCGCGTTTAGATCCACGGCGATGATGATCATCTTCGGTGCTCGTGAGGAAGTCGTTCAGGAGTGATAGACTGGGCACGGCACTACCGGCGCCCAACTCGACGATGTGCCAGTTTTGACTCAGATCTAGGCTCGTCACCAGGGAGGCCAGGTCGACGGAGCACTCCCAGGTCTTGAAGCCACCTTCGTAGATGCCGGACGACAAATCTCCGTTCTCCAAACCCGATAGGAGGATGTCTGCCGCGTCGTGCGTTTCGGGGTTGGCCTCGGCCATGAGTTGGGCTCGGATATCGAATAGTGACCGGCGTTGGACGGTGATGCCGCCGCTAGGTCGACTGGATGGTGACTGGTGCGTCGAGTTCGGTATCACGAGGGTGTTGTATGATATTTGAGAAGGTATAGATGATAACTGTGCCCTTGTTAGAAGAGGGTCATACGTGGTGACGGGAGATTTGATGTTTTCGCAACCAGAGCCCCTGCAAGGCAGCCTCGCATGACGAGGGCTATCTGTAATTCCACACTTGGCTTGAAGGTTGCGGGATCCATCTTCCCGAATATTGCATGATTCGACCTACCAGGTCTTCAAGTGAGTGCCTCTTGGGCAAAATAGTTTGTGCTTGAGAAGCAACTTTGTCGGTTATTGTACATGATGAGATTTTCCCCGTCAGAGCGACTTGGCCTTCTTGGTTTCCTTCGTCGTCTTCGATGTCGTCGCCACCAAATCCAAATGAGAATGACATTTTTTGTATCAAAGGATGTTATCGAACCGTGCAAAGCATGTCATGCGTCGCAGCAAGCTGTCTTGATGTCGTGTGTAAAAAGGTGGGAAGGCTGAGGAAAAGGGAACAATCGATATAAATATCCACAGCTTGGCAAAACGACGAGCATTTCCATTTCTCTTCTTTTGTCGACACAATAACCACGACTTACAGAGAACAACTTGGAGATCACGAGAAGAAATTTACAGAGCGAATCTCGAAGTTTTCAGGGCGAGAAGAGCATGCAAGCCATTATAGTATGGCTGAAAACCTACAACGAAGTCAACGGGAATTATACGTCAACTTTTGATTCACTGCCAACTGCTTCGATAAGTAAGTGAGACATCGGTTTTTCTGCTCAGTTTAAGATGTGATCAGATCCGTCTATGGGCAGTTGATCGTTTTTGAATCTCTATTCCTTCTCTCTCCTTGATCTTTCCAGGAAGTCAAAAAATTCGCGCGGACTCGACGAGTCTATGCAAATACAACTGGGTTCTTCAAGGTGCCAATTTTGGAAATCTCAACTTCCATCTTCGTTCCAGGCAACAGATACCTTGGAGGATTGAAACCAGCTCCGACACCTATGACTGATTAGTATCTCCACGATCGGGTGCCGCTGAGTCGTCCATGAGAACCTACCTCCAGGAGTACCGGTCATAATAACACTTCCTTTCTGCAGAGTCGTGCCTTGACTTAGGAATGAGACCAAGTAGGCACAGTCGAACAGTAGGTCTGAAACACTCTCATCCTGCCTAACCTCGCCGTCGATGATGGTTTTCAAGTGCAGCTTCGCAGGGTCACCGATGAGTTCTGATGCCACGAGACAGGGCCCCATGGGAGCAAACGTGTCGAAGCCCTTGGAGAAGCCCCATTGAGGTACTCGGCCAGCTAGATTTGGGTCTCGCTGAAGTTTGCGCGATGACACGTCATTACCTGCCGTGTAAGCAGCGACGTAGTCAAGAGCATCCTCTTTCGAAACGTCCTTTGCGTCTTTGCCGATGACCATGCACTTGGTATTGTTAGTCAGAGCGAGCAAACGTATACATGGAACGACGTACCAGCTCTCCTTCATAATCTGCTTGATCATCCTGTGCGATCTTCGGTATTACCACGGCGGCACCGTGGTCTGTGACGGTGGTATTGGGTTTGAAAAAGATGAATGGAAATGGAGGCGGCGTCCTGCCCGCTTCCTTGACTGCTCACGCACACTTGTTATCAACACTTTGCCGCACGTATATTGACAGCGCTTGTACACGTTCAACGGATCGGGAATATAAAGAGGTTTGCCCACTTACTGTGCTTCGCATAGTTCAGCCCGACGCATCTCAAGATTGGTACTTCGTCTCTGGCCAGAGGACCGAGCAGAGTCTTAACCGTCACAACCTCGTCGCTGACAACTGTTTTCCCAGTAGTATCGAAAGGGTCATCTCCCACAATCACCTTCGCCTTCAGTTGGTCTGCTTCGGTCACTTTCCCGAGATCAAAGTCCTCGCTGGGGAGTATCGGCTCGCCACGCAGCACGCGCCCATCGGCGGCCTTGAAGCGAATTAACCTAGTCCACGGTACTCTCATCTTGACTACAGACGCAAAAGTCGTATTCGTCTCTGGAAAAACAAGAATGTGAATGGACTCGATGGTTCATAACCGATGAGCATGCGTGGGGCAACAAGGAACGAGCACCGGCCTGATCGCGATCTGACTCCACAATCCGGAACTTGGTCTCTAACTTCGCACTTTGCCGGGGAGACATCGGAACCCTCAATCGTCACAGTCTGCCTGTCCATCAATCCATCACTGGAGTGGCTAGGCCTGGAAGGTAATGATTTTGTATGACCGAGGAGGCTGTTTGGCTCGGTGGCGCGAGTGACTACAACGTTGCCTCGTATACGAACGTGGAAGAATCGAGCTTAGAAATGATGGAACGAGAAATCCACACGGCTTCTTAAAGGTGTCCATCTCTGTGTAGCATCTTATCAACAACCATCAATCCTCGATACCCTTCCCGATATACCCTGAACGACCACCACGGACTACGCTTCGGAATCTGATGACGGCGAGTCCTACACGTGACAAATCATTCCACTTGGACCCCGTTTCAGGCTCTCTCGAAGTCGAATACCATGCCAGCACCTCACCCGCAGCCTGATCCCCAAGAGGCGGCCTCTCCTCCGCCGTCGTACAAACGGCGCAGGATAGCGCTAGCCTGTACTTCCTGCAGGAACCGGAAATCACGTTGCAATGGTGCGAAGCCCTCATGTAGCCTCTGTGTCGAGCTCGGGTTTGAGTGTATCTACCAACAACCAACCGCCGGCAGTAGCAAACCTATCCAGGCACCCACCGGTTATGATGAACGCCTCCGTGCCATAGAAGATACATTGCGACAACTCGTGCAGCAGAAGGACCAGTCACCAGGGCAATCAGACCAGTCCAACCACGATGCTGAAGGTGCGAGCCGACAGTTTCGTGGAAGTGTTGAAGTTCTTCCACCTACCCACGACGGAGACTATGTTGCTATCCTGGATGACGACGACCTTGCACAACAAAATGGTGGCGAGGACTCAGTAGACGGCATGGCGGCCATCACTGACCCAGAGGAGAAAGAGGTTCGATTCTATGGACCCTCTTCCAACATATCACTTCTGCGTGAGATTTCGGATGCGACTTCTGCTTCTCTCAAAGCCATGGGTCAATCAAGACATGCGGAGCATAGTCTGACAGCCGACATCGTGTCTCGGGCAGTCTCGCCCATGACGACTCTGCCATCTGAAACGAGCCCTATAGCCCGGCAAGGCATCAACGTACGATCATTGCCGCCAGAGAACAAAGCGCTTTTGTTGATAAAGCTCTTCTTCGCCGACACTGGGATGCTCTTTCCGTACATCCATGAAGAACCCGTCCTTAGGACTTATGCAAATGCCAGGCGCAACAGATTGACCGCAGTCAGTCGATCTTGGTTATGTCTGCTTAACGTTATCTTCGCCTTTGCCACGTATATCAGTGCAAAGCCAGATCAGACGGCGGAAAAGAATGCGGCAGAATCAGATGTGTTCATCGAAAGAGCACAGGCGCTGGCATCTGAGATAGAGATGAAGTCTGCCAGACTCGAAACAGGTGAGTACGGTACTGATTTATGCATGACTTATGACCTGTGACGATATGGTGTGAGGAGATATTAGGTCATTATCAGGCCGTATCAAATCGCTGAATCGTATCCTCTTGTTCTTGATCCCTGAAGGGACTGAGACTTGCTGGCATCCTACCCGTGGGATGTTGGACAACTTTCCCATGCCGTGTCCTTTTTGATTTGGCATATTGATGGATTCGATCGCTGATATGTCATAGTACAATGTCTCTTGTTGATGGCACAGTATCGGCAAGGCACACAAAGATCTGACCAAGCCTGGAATCTTCATGGATTGGCAGTCAGGGCAGCTTTGCAACTGGGCTTACATTCACGGAATGCCTCCGCCGACTGTTCTTTGCTAGAAGCAGAGCTTCGTAAGCGAGTATGGTTCGCTTGTGTGGTTCTAGACAGGTGAGTGGCCCTTCTCTATGTCTCCACTAATGAAACATGTCTTTTGCAAAGGTGGTTAATAAGGATCGCTAACCTTGGACAGAACATTATCTATGACATTCGGCCGACCATCAACTATACCAAACGAATACGTAAAACTGGACCTTCCGGTCAACCAGAAGCTAGAAAAGCTTGCAATAAGCTCAATTGGAACTATTACAACCTTGAGCGGAACTGTAGAGCCGCCCGACACTGTTTGCCTCTACATTGCCACAATGTGAGTGGCCTGCACAGCGCACTTCTACTAATCCCACTGACGCCTTGTGTAGCCAACTTTACTACATCCTGGGCGACGTTATCACTCAACTCTACGGCTCGAATGTCGACTTCGACCCAGACATATCCATGCTTACTCTCATAGAACGAACACTAGCCCTGGAACAAAGGCTGTCTGTCTGGAAGCGCAACCTATTTCCGCAGCTCCAAAGGAGACCTTGGGATACATTCGACTCGGAATCAATCTCAACATCCACATGGGACCCGGTCTTTGATAGACTAAGTGTCATCATCACGTTGAGGTATCTGAATACTCGCATATTGCTGCATAGGCCGGTCCTCAGTGCCTTCTTGAGAAAACGAGCGCATTACAGAGCAGCCACGGTTCAAATGGACGATGAGGACCCATACTTTCTGGATCTGGCCGAGAAAAGCCTCCTGATTTGCGAGCAGTGTGCTGCAGAAATCGTGCAGATTGTTTACAAAACCAGCAAGCCTCCTACGCTACTCGGAGCATGGTGGTTCTCAGCATACTATAGTAAGTCTTATCCTTGGGGCCAGACTCATCAGGTGATTGACTTGATCTTCTCAGCTTTTAATGCAGCCCTCGTCATTTTCGGGTGCATTTTACTCAAAATCACCACTGTCAATAAGTGGAGCCACGGCGGAGCGACCATCACAATATCAGAATCCTTCGACTGTGACAAGGTCATCGGGATGATCACTTGCCTACGCCGAGCTGCAGAAGCGTTACAACGGTTCGGTGAAGGCACTCGATCGTCCAAGAGAATTCAGAGAACCTTGGTAAAGCTTGTTCAGATCTGTATGACTCTTGCACAATTCAATCCGGAGCATGGCCCCACGGTTCTGTCGGCTTTCTCATCTTACCAGAATCCTTCGGACCCTGCCCAGATGCAGGCACAGCAAGAGTCAAGAATGACGACGCAAAATGCCGGCGGCATGGGCCCACCTGCACTGCTCAATGGTGCCTTGTCAAACACGATACAACCCGATGATCCCTTTGCCATGTTCGATATGCATATGCCTCAATATTGGACAGATGCGAATTTGGATCTCTTCTCAGATCTTGTTGGTGTGGACACCGGCATAGCGGCAATGTTATCTGGCTGAGGATGCACAGATTTCGTCTGGAATGGTGTCGATCAATGATCTATGGAGTTACGATGCATTAACCGTTCGGCAATCCTTACAACAAATTCTGCCGCAGGTAGCTGTCCTGGCTACTGATGCAGTCATCCATGCCACGAAGCAAAGACAGTGCAATGCTGCTGAAGGCGTGGGTTACGCTAGCATTATCATGAAAGCTAGCACGGAGTTCCACTGAACTGGTCAACTATTCACCTATCTCAATTTCCGGTAGTCCCTGGCGGCGGCAATATGTCACCAGAATCAAAAGTCGCAGATCAGGACTTCCTTGCCACAGCCAAAAGCCACTGGCTCACCTCTTGGCCATTATAGGCCGGCGCACAGTGATCACCCTGGAGACTGCTGACGTCGACCTTTCTGCCGCTTACTTTCTCGATCAAATCAATACCTTTTCGCTGATGGTCAGGTGGGATGCACCTGTCGTTCTCGCACACCAGATACGACACCGGAATGTCCTTGTATCCGGCATGTGTCAGCGGTCCACCGAAACTGACCGATGAATGTCGTGGAAACCGTTTGATCCAGGCCATGCCTGCTTCTGGCGACATGTCCGTGAAGCAGAGATCAGCGGCTCTCGCGATATCCTCGTGGTACAAGAATCCTTTCTCCTGGCGGGATGTGTCAAGATGATGAGATTCGAATCGGGAGAGAAGAGGCAGGCTTACATCGATCTTCATGCCAATTTGCTGTTCTTCCGGCACTTCTCCCAACACCGCCGCCGCGGGCATTCCCATGGCGGGCACCAGGCAAGTCATGTACGCAAGTCGTACAATTCCACCGGGCTTCCCCTGTGCTTGTCGTTCTGCTCTCGACAAACCCTTTGTGGATTCGGTGGTCGGTACACCTCCGTAAGAGTGAGGTACGAGGACGATATTTTTGCCCTCGTCAGCGAGTTTCTCGACCTCTTTGGCAATCTTCGTCGATTTTCGGGCAGCGGTGTCAGCAAGCGAGTCCACACATCAGTTTGAAGCGAGAGGGATGAAGTCGACATTTGTCATCTGCAGCCGATATGCATATGTTGCGGCAAAGTATGCAGAGATGGGACAATGACGGGGAAAGCTTACAAATGCGGCATCATCGTACATGGTGCTCGGTTCTCTGTCAACAAGGCCAGTGTTCGGGTTGACACTCGGAAGGTGAAGCCCTTTTATCTCGTACCCTTGGGCTCTCACTAGGTTCACGACTGGATCGTAAAACTCTGGGATTCCCATGGCCCCGGGGACGATGACGATTGAAGGCTTGTCGGACATTTTTGAGACAAGATATAAAGTTACAGCCACGAGGTCTTGAGAGTATGGTGTGTCGACACAGGTAGGTTAGGAAGTTATTCTAAATAATGGTTGTTGGATGAATCGTGGGCAGTTGGGAACCTCTTATATATGTACTCTCCCTACCTGAGAGAGCATGTGCAGATCTCGTGCGGGAATAGTGTTACACCTCCAGACTCGGTGATGAATAATACCCTGAATCCGTGGTATGCACAGCGAGGAAGTTCATTGCCAGCCCCCCAATCCTCAGTTCTTGGGACTGGACAAGCCGGCACATCTACTCGAGAATTTTACTCCGCAGTGACTGTCTTGTTTGGTAATACTATGGGGTCGCGTGAGGATCTGTATTAACTAATGTCGACCACTCGACGTTGTGATCTCTTGGAAATCGGATGAATTGGTCCTCCCGGTTATCTTGTGGAGCCGTAGAATAAGCGGCGGATAGCCGGGGACAATGTTCGTAGAGTCGACGTGCTGTGCTACACTCAGAGGACTCCGTAAACTGACCCATGAAGAGGAGGGACGTCAATTCGGTCATGTATCATTCAACGACAACAATCGTCTTATCCCAGAAAAATCTCGACGGTAGCACCATACTCCTAGGCATCTAAAGTCCATTCATCACCATTGATCAATCACCCCAGAAAGGGTCCCCCGTGGACGAAGGGGGAGGTTATCTAAAACCCATTCACCACCGTCGACGACTTCTTGTGGCTTTTTTGAAAGGCCTTTTTGATCTCCCACTCTGCATCGTACCCGTACGTCCAACGCTGCGTCGTGGGGTCACTCCACTGGTTGGGACTGGTGAGGTATTCGCGACCTTCGACTTCCGGCGTCATGGCCTCGTCCCGGGCCTGTTGTAAGGGTCCGTCGGGGAAATGCCACAGCTTACCGTTGATCAAGCTGGCCTCTTGCATCTTGTCGGCCCTGTCTTTGCGGACGGCCTCCCAGACGTGCAGGGCCCTCGGAACATCCTCGACCGTCTCAACATGGTGAAGGGCCTCGGCCAGCGCGGCTCCGTCCTCGACGGCCATGGCTGCTCCCTGACTCATATACGGCACCATGGCGTGCGCCGCGTCTCCCATGATCAGGAGTTTATGAGATTTCGACACCCAGGTCGGTAAAGGGGAGCCGCTCATCAAAGGCCATTTCAACGTCGTGTCGATCATGTCGATGATCTTGGTGAGCGTGGGATCCCACCCCTTGAAATGCGCCCGCATGCCCGACAGGATCTCCTCGGGAGACTGAGAGATCCATGTGCCGGGGTCTGAACGGTCTGGGTGCGATAACACCATGTTGAACGACTTTCCCCCCGCTATCATGTATGTCATGACGTGTCTCATGTCGCCGACCCTTGAAGTCACGATGTTTTGTCAGTAAGGGTTAAAAAAAGGTGAAAAGTTCCTGCCCCTTTTACAGTTCTGGGATTATGCTCACCATAGATTCAAGACCGGCTTCGCGCACACCTCTGCAGTGTCGGCATATGCTTTCATCTTCTCCACGTCGACTGTCGCACGGTAGGCAGCGAAGCCAGTCCTCTTCGGCGCCTGATCTATGCCACCTAGCACCTTCGTCCGCGCGTAGGACTTGACGCCTGTCCAAGAACAAGTCAGTCAACGGAGAAATAGACCGGTGTGGCACAACACTTCAAAAACTTACCGTCAGACGCGATGATCAGATCTGCGGAATGCGTCGACCCGTTTTCGAGCGTTATCGAAGGAGCGTCCTCGTCGTAGTCGAGCACTTTGGAATTGATCTTGACCTCGATGCCCAATTGAAGCGCCAGCTGGTACATGGCGTCGTGGAAATGTGCCCGGTGAACCACGTAGTAAGGGGCGTCAAATTCCCGCTCAAAGTTTGGGATGAGCTTGGTCATGCCGATGGTCTTGCCGTCCTCCCATCTCCGGAAGGCGATGTGACCTGGCTTGACAATCTTGCTGGCTAAAAAGGGCTCGAGACCCCATTTTATCAGCAGTCGAGTCGAATTCGACGGAATTTGTATACCGGCTCCGACCTGCGATCACCGATGATAAGAATCGGCTGGGGGAATAGACAGAACAACGAACAATGCGTGGCCACTCACCTCTCCAAGTTCCGGGGCCTGTTCAAAGACGGTGACGTTGTGGCCTCTCCTAGCGAGCGCGATGGCGGCAGCCAGACCTCCCAAGCCCGCACCGACGACAATGATGTTGAGTCGTATCCGGGACCTGTCCTCACCGTTGATCAACGAGGAGGCTCGCATTGCCTTTTGCCGTTGCTCTTCTTTCTGCTGAAGCTTTACGAGAAAATCCAGGCTCCCCGTAGGGTATGAAGCTGACTTATCATCTCATTAGTTTTGCGTCTGGCTGGGTGGTCACTGGCTGCATATTACCTCTGGAATGTGGATGAAGTCCGCCTCCTCTGGGCCTTGGGAATCTGGTAATATGGTCATTCTGTTGGTTTCGTCGTATTCCGTTGTATATTCCTTTGTCGTTGACCCTTTTAGATGTGCTTCCTCTGATAAGTGGGTCAGTGGCCAACGTACGTCTCACGGCAGAGTGCTCGTATGTTATGTCGCGCTTTTAGTCGGCGTACGTCCCACAGCCATGGGGTCAGAAGTATGATCCGAACCGATATTAGCCCATCTCAGTCCGTCGTAAGTCTCATGCCATTTCGGGAAGCCGTCAGAGACGACGTGGACTTGCGGTGGGGATCGATGGGCCGTCGGGTGTGTATCGGGACACTCATTCCTCCTCCCCCGCAACTGTTTTCTCGACAACGACTCAAGTCGGAATTGATCCGAGCGATGGTTCCGGCGCTTGGGAGCGTCGTTCTATATGGCCCTGTTACGGCATATATGTCAGTGTCATGGGTATATAGGCGTGGCGTTGTTTCACAAAGCCCAGGGACCCGTTTAGTTAAGCATCGACAGGACAGCAAAAGCGTTCTCGAAGGAAACTCATCACACAAGAACACAAAGAAGCAATGGGCGCCACCACCACTCAAACCATGACACAAGCCAATGGGTCCAATATGGACCCTGCGGAGGAACTCGTGCAGAGTGCGCTCAAAGTCAACACCAAACCACTTTGGACACAGATGGCCAGGTTGAACCCTCCGGAGCCCAATCCTCAATGTATCCCGTACATCTGGCGATACGACGAGGTCAGACCCAGTCTCCTGAAGGCAGGAGAAATCATCACCGAACAACAAGCAGAGAGACGAGTGTTGATGCTCGTCAACCCTGCCAGAGGTATGTTCTTTGTTCTCTCGTCAGCAAGAAGATACCGCAGAGCACATCAGGCTGACACTAGCTTTGTGCGACGCAAAAGATGCCCCATACACCACCGACACCTTGTACGCCGGCCTCCAGTTGGTGATGCCCAACGAGACGGCCAAGGCACACCGACACACTGCCTTTGCCATGCGTTTCATCATCGAGGGACAAGGAGGTTTCACCGCCGTCCACGGCCGCCGCATCACCATGCAACGGGGCGATGTCATCCTCACACCGACGTGGAACTGGCACGACCACGGCAAGGACGGCTCAGGCCCCATGATTTGGCTGGACGGGCTGGATCTGCCCAACTTTAGACACTTCCCCGTGCACTTCGTCGAGCACTTCCAAAAGCCGAGATACCCTGCTGAGGATGTGGACTCGAACGACTCACCCATCGTCTTTCCCTGGAAGGTGATGCAGCAGAAACTGGACGAGAAGAAAGGTGACTGGACCTCGGAAGATTACTTGAAGAAGGACGGAAGACCTGGTATGTTGTTACTGAGAAATGTCTTTTTGATAATCTCAAAGCAAAATTCACCACAGCTGACATTTTCTATCTTCACTTCCAGTGTCGAAAATCCTAGGCGGCTCAGCCGAGCGTTTGAACGCAGGATGTACTTCCCCGGCCGTACGGGAGACCGCGTCCTCGGTGTATCATATCGTGACTGGAAAGGGGTACAGTGTCGTCAACGGCCAGCGTATCCAGTGGAAGCAAGGTGATACTTTTTGTGTCCCGGCGTGGAACAAATATCAACACACTGCTGAAGGTGATGAAACGGTTTATTTGTACAGATTCCACGACAAGCCAATGTTGACGTCGCTTGGATTTTACCGTGTCGAGGGATGTGATGTCGAGAGCCTGGTGTCTGATTAGTATATAGATGGAGATATTTGAAACAACAACAGATAACAACCAGAGGAGGAAAAGAAATATAACGAACGGGAGGAACGAATGACTGGGGACCCGAATATTTGGTCTGGCCATAATTGCTTGATAGCAACAACAGCAGAATGTCTATATTTACCACCATGAAGCCGCGACATGGATAACCCTAGAGTACTTGTCACTGCCATTGTGTCTTTGCGGTTTGAGATAAGCATTAACAACTATATTTGAGCACTTGACTTCGGGATAGTGCCTTAGCATGTGATGCGCCTAGAAAAGATATTATGACTGATATGGCTATGTGCCCGTGACAATCTCGATGAAATTCGAAACGCACAGGGCGAGCTCATATACAGGATGGAGGCAGGGCAACATGTCCCAAAAGCCCCTCTAAATATCTCATGTCCATATCATTGTGTGTGTCTTCGCTATTCAAACCCCAACACCGGTGCTAAATGTCAGTAATAATATCAAAGTCGGAACCTCGTTATGCAGATGCACATAATCACTTCCGCTTATTAGCCATGGCAAGCAACCTCTTCCGGCGCTCTTCCTTTTCCTTCTTCAATTGGTTTTCCAATGCCAATTCTCTCGCGTCTTCCTGCTTAGCAGCCCGAAGAGCTTTGTTCTCTTCCTCATCAAGTTCAAATGCTCCCGCTTCCATGTCAGATGATACGTCAGATGCATAATCTCCTTCTTCCTCATCTCTACCATAGCTGCCAATATCCGAATCCTCGTCTTCCTCGTCGGTGCCAAGATATTCGTCGTACCTGCTGCGTTTACGCTGCGCCTCTTTTTGTGATCTTCCTGAAGAGAGACCCATAGTGCCCTTGTAGCCTGAAGGTGGAGCATGGAGAGGTGGACGAGGGGTCTTGATGACTCTTCCCTGTTCTGCCTTCTTCGCGGGACTAACGCTGCGAGAGTTGTCACGCTTTGTGGTAGAAGGACGTTCACCGAGTTTTCCTTTAGCAGCCTTTGCCTTCTCTTCTTCTTGTCGCTTTCTTTCGGCGACCTTGGAGATCTTCTCCCTGTTCGTTGCCTGGTGCTTGATCATTCCGACTTGGCTTTGCATCCTTGCCTCTTGAGCTAGTTTCGCCCTAGCCATGATGTCTGCGTACGAGCCCTTTGCGGGGGCTTTTGCAGCCGGACTTGTTGGTGTGCCAGGTGGTGTTGGGCCCACTTTTTGGGAGCTGGGGGTAGCATCGATCTTTGGTCTCGGTACTGCTGTGGTTTTTGGAGGAGGCTGTCTCGGCGCATGGAGAGCAGGCGCCGCTGGACGTCGGACTACACTGCTTGTCAATCCAGGTGTAGGGTTTGGTCTGATGTGCTTCTCGGTCTGTTTCGTGGCACCATCTTCAGCTTTCCGCTTCAGCCCATTGAGTGGCGAAGCTGTTGTTGCCGGGAGGCCAGGTCGTGGCCCAGGCTTACCATCAGCAGCAGGACGATGTGAAACTGTTCCGGGGGTCCGGGCTGAGGGCTTTGGTGGCGCCGGCGGCTTGCCGCTGCCTATCGAATCGACGATCTCGCCCAGGAAACTCATGTTGAGAATCGAGAGCTCAAGTGATGTAGTGGAAGAGTGGTAATCAGGAAATTGTAGTTCTGTAATGGTCAAGAAAATGATACCGCATGTTTGCTGGTCGAAAAGCAGAGAACGAGATGCGGCTTATAATTAAAACGAACAATATACAAAAGAGCAGAGCAGTTTCGCCGAGTCACCGCAAGTGCATTGTAGGCAACAAGACGATTGTTGAGCAAGACAAAGAGAAGAAGGTATGAGTCGCCCCCCGCAACTCGCTCGTTGTTCGATATTTGGTACGCTCCGAAAGAGGCCTAGTGCGAGCCTCGTCCTCGGCAGACTTGCCCCGACAAAATTCCCACACAATTTCAACTTGTGCGCACAACCTCAAATCGCAACTTTTGGTGCCTCTACACACAATATCACGAAGGAACATCTCCAGAACTTGACGTGCCAGTCTCCGCCCAATTCGCGGTTAAATCGATTGTCTCTCTTGTTCGACCCTCTCAAAAAGTCGTATGTTGCGCAATCGCTGGTGCATTGGGGTTTTTGTGCTAACAGTGTTTCGCAGACAAAATCAATCAAAATGAAGCATCTCGCAGCTTACCTCCTCCTCGGCCTCGGTGGCAACAGCGAACCCTCGGCGAGCGACATCAAGGGTGTCCTCTCATCCGTCGGTGTTGATGCTGATGATGAGCGCCTGGAGAAGCTGGTCGAAGAACTCAAGGGCAAGGAAATCAGCGAGGTATGGATTGATACTTTTAATGCGCGTGGAAGACTGGATTCTGACTCTATTTGCAGTTGATCTCTGAAGGTTCGACCAAGCTTGCGTCCGTCCCAACTGGTGGTGCCGGTGGTGCTGCCCCTGCCGCTGGTGGTGCTGCCGCCGGTGGTGCCGCTGCCGCCGAGGAAGAGAAGCCAGCTGAGAAGGAAGAGGAGAAGGAGGAGTCTGACGAGGACATGGGCTTCGGTCTCTTCGACTAAACAACTATCGGTTTTGAAATCCCACCAACTCACATTGTCAATCCATCAGAGGCTGGTCAGTGACGGATGCAAAGGCAACTTATTGCTCCACCAGGGGAAAGCGATGCAGCAGGATGGTTCAAGAAGGCCTCTTGCTATCATGAGTTAAGGCCCTTCCTGTGCGTAGATTGAGGCGCCTAGGTTTTAGACGATCAATGACAATATCAAACCGAAACAAAATTGTACTTCCGTCATGCTAAATTCATACTCTACCTCAAATGAGTAAACCGTGCTCAATTCTACTCTCACTCCTCCAGCTTGTTGCACCCGACTATGTAGAAAATCTCAAAATGTTTTGTCTCAATCGCTATTCGTCGCGACGAAATATTCGACCGTGGCTTCAATACCCTGTACATCTGTAGCCTTGAGGGGTGGTGGTACCAGTACTCCGTACGTGCCAAGATTTTGTATCACGTGCGCGGCAGGTGGACTCCCACAAACATGAAATTCCGCAGGCCAGTGCCAAGCCTCAGAGACTGAATCTCGACGCTGGGCTGCAAATCGTCGACACACTGACCCGACCACCAACTAACTGCACCGCACAAATTCCCATCCACACACCCTCGCTTTTCGACAGTCACATCGAAAAGCGAACGCGCCAGTCCACCGCAATCATGGCTGACACCGAATACGTACGTCTTTGATACCTTTTGTGTCCATGGGTGCTGCAATGGACAACCATACTGACAAGTTTTGCGATTCCTACCAGAACGCCGAGGAGGCCGCTGAGCTCAAGAAGAGAAGAACATTCCGCAAGTTTTCATACAGAGGCATTGATCTTGATCAGTACGTCTTTTCTTTTCCGCGTTTTTATGCACGACAACCGACGACACAGAAGCTCTCCTCTCTGTTTTCTGTGTGAGATCACGAAGATTAACCAACACGGGAAAAAATTATAGACTCCTCGATATCCCTTCCAACGAACTCATCAACATCCTCCATGCCCGAGCCCGCCGTCGATTCAACCGGGGCCTCAAGCGCCGCCCGATGGGACTGATCAAGAAGTTGCGCAAGGCCAAGCAAAACGCGAAGCCCAACGAGAAGCCTGACCTCGTCAAGACTCACCTTCGGGACATGATCATCGTGCCCGAGATGATTGGCAGCGTCATCGGCATCTACAGCGGCAAGGAGTTCAACCAGGTCGAGATCAAGCCCGAGATGGTCGGCCACTACCTGGGTGAATTCTCCATCTCGTACAAGCCCGTCAAGCACGGTAGACCCGGTATCGGTGCCACCCACTCTTCACGATTCATCCCATTGAAGTAAAGGAAGACGAAAACGAGGGAAAGGATGGAATGGTTCTTTGTGGTGTGTGATGTGTTGTGGTGTGTCTTGCCGTGTTTGGTGGGGGAAGGAGTTGGCAGACACGAAGCGCAGTGATACAATGGCACGCCCAATATGGAAAATGCCGCATGATTGCATGAGAGTTCTGGGTCCATGGGTGCTTGATTCCAAACAAGGCAAAATAAAAATGCAAATGGATCTAGAAAAGTCAGCCATGACCAGGCCCGCCCCCCTTATCGAAGAAGGGTTCAGGGGTGGTCAGAAGCTGTATTTGAAAATCAATCAACTTTTGAGAACAAGATTCCATGCAAACGTCCAAAAGAATTGTGTTGTTCCTCAACTTGAACAGGAGTGACTAGGGACTACTTGAGTCTATCCTTTCTATTGTGTGGGTATCTCGATATGCCGTAACGCCTTGCTCCTCCTTTGTATCCTTACGCCCGTATCAATGCTTCCTAAACACTCCTATACACTGCCGTTGGTACTGGATTGATGCCTCATGACTCGAATTCCTGCTCAGGAGATGTATCGCTTCCATCCTCTGAGTGTGTATTGTCCGTATCTGTCGTGGAATCGTGGATGGATCCTTCATTCGAATGAGACCCATTAGACTCGGTCGTAGGAGACTGCTGGGGGCTCGACGAATCATCCTGGTCATCCCCGGACAGGCCCAACAGCCCATTCAAATCTACCTCGACCTCACTCACACCATTCATGGGCCTGAGATCCCTACTGTCCGCCCGTTGGAGGATGTTTTCCCTGCTCAAGGGGGTCCCTCGCTCCGCAACGACGATCGCCTCCCGATGTCTCCGTCGCAGGTGCTCTTCTTCCTGACTTCTTTCGACCGACCGTTGCCTTGCAGCAGCCGAAATGGGCGGCGGTACAATCCCGTCCCAGTCGGTCACGTCGTCTCTGACTTGGCCTGCCGTGTCCTCCCCTCCCACCATGACGACGTCGCGGTCGTCGTCATCATCATCACTACTATCGTCTTGATCCCAGCGTTCCGTGAGGTAAGAATTGTTCCAGCCGTCATTAACGAGGTTCTCCCTGTAACTGCTGGCCTGCAGACCGGCCTCGCGCATCTGCTTGCGACCCCGTGGGTGGTGGACGACCTGGAAGATGATGCCGGCCATGAGATGGTCATCGCTCTTCCACGCGGAGCGCTCAAAGAGCCGCGCGACGTCCGATCGCTTGAAGTTGTACCCTTGGTTCTCCGGCAGGGCACAAGGAAAAGGGTATTTGACCAGCCACTTGGTCACGAGTCCCGCGTTGAGCGCCGAGTAGATGGGCGGCTCGTCCATTACATTTCCCGAAGATTCTTCCGCGAGCATGTAATTCAGAACCACCAACAACGACTCTTCCTGAGCCGGTCGACTCGGAGGTAAGATGGGCGACTGTGGTAGTAGACCACCACTCTTCTGTTCTGGTTGTTGGCCAGGGGTTTCGTGCAACGGCAAGACATTGATCAGGGCCTGCACGGTGGCCTTGAGGCGTTTGGCGAGATCGAACTCGGCGAGCAGGCTGCCCCTCCTGCTGTGAGCATGTTGCTGTTTCAGCAACAGCAAGAGTGCGTTGATCGCTTTGTCGCGCCGCTCGTAGTCCTTGCTGGCCAAGTCGCGGAGCAGGAGGTCCTTGGCCCGTGAATGAACGGTTCGACTATTGACGATTTTTAAAGCGGAACTACGCAACTCGTAACTATATCCGTCTGCTAGAGTGCGTAGGGTGTCGATCTTTAAAGAGTTCTCGGAGTCCTTTTGAAGGCGTTTGCGTGGAGGCGGGGGATCGGGTTCTGGTGCTCGGGCGGCATCTTTGACTTGTTGTAGAACACCAGGGACTGAGTAACAGATCGTGCCGAGTCCGAGTATGAGAATAATTGCTACGAAGCGATTGGAAGAGAAGAACGACATGTTCGTGGTAACATGGTGGATGTCACTTTGATGGGACTGGGTAAGGAAGGAAGTAGAGTTGATGGTGGTGCAATATGGACAATTAAGAGGTTAATTGAAAATGGCGAGGCTGAACGAGGCTGAAGAAATCACTGCCCAAGCAGTAGGTGGAATTTGTAGGTATAAAACCATTACTTATTTCTATCATATACGTAACAAAGAATAAGACAGTTCGTCATTGACATAACATCATTGCGCAGACACTTCTGATATTTCATGTCTCATCTAGCATGACTGGATAATTCAATCATGATCCTCCTCGGTCAAGCCAGGACACCCTTCCATTTCTTTGTCGGGGTATCTGAACTTGCACCAGAAACAGTAATTCCATCTTTCTCTGAGGTATGAAACGAGTTTCGTTAGTCTTTCAGAGACCTCCAGAGTTGCAAACTCATCGAGTTCTTCGTCTTCTTCATCGATGTCTACATCAACTTCTTCCGTCTCAGCCCTTCTCCCGAGTGCCATGGCATCTTCCTTCTCCTCATCCGGGTCATTGTAGTCTGGCCGTCTTGACAAAGACTGTTGCAGGTCGTACCTCATCCTGCGATCCCGTTCATTTATAAGTCTTTGTTTGACCAAGGTCCGCCACAGGACGTTGACACTCTTCAATGGCTTTGTAGTTCGCCTGGGCTTGACCGCGTCGCCATTCTCACCGGAAGAGGAGTCTTTGGCATCTTCATCTTCATCCTCATCCTCGAGTCTCTCACAGACCTTCATGGCACCCCACATCTGGCCTTCCATCCTCTTCTCCTCGCGCTCCTTCTGCTGTCGTTCTCGAAAATCTCCCGCTTCGACCTTCTGCTTCTTCTCGACCTCTGCATGCGCCTCCATTTCTTCCCGGAACTTGCGCTTCTTCTCCGCATCCGCGCCGATACCGCTGCGCGAGTCCTTCATCTCAAGACCTATAGGCTCGAGCAGACGGTCATCTTTGGTTTCGCTCTCGGCTGCACGAGAAACACCCAACGCAGTTCCGGGCTTGTACCCAAGGGCCGCCATCATCTTGAAACCTTTGCTACTTGTGTCCATCGTTGTAGAGTTCAACGCCGCGTCTCTCTTCTTGCGCTCTTCCTCTGCCAGTTCCGCCTTCGATTTCGGTCGCCCTTTGATTTCGGCTTCTCTCGCTAGTCGCTTCTTGCGTTGAGTTAAGGTCTCTGTCTTTTTCGAGGCGGCCGACTCCTCAAACGTCATGTTCATGTAATCATCCTCGTCTTCGACACTCGTATCGTTCTTTGACGCCATTTCGCCGGGGGAAGAGATTGAACGTTGGCAACGTCTAGCACTTTCTGTCAAAAGGAGCGATAGAGTTTCATAGGTACTAAGCCAGAGAACTAAAGAAATGACAGGGGAAGCTTGCCCTTGCACTAGACCTCACCTTGTCTGTAGCATTACATTTTGTGGATTCAGGATTTAATATTGATGTTGGAAGAAGTAGTTATCTCAGGGCAGGGAACGAATGAAAGTTCGACATCACGTGATTATTGATAGGGTTATATATTAAAACCCCAGAAAATTTTCACAATTTTGACGCACAAGTTAGGATGGAAGGGTTTCCTTTCGGATCGCCTTGATGTTGTCAGGATATCGGTCCTGTGACGCAGCAGGTTTAGCGTGTCGTTCTTATATTGTATGCTTGCATGCTATATGAATCTTTCGAGATATGCGAAAGTCGCGAGTTCAAATCTCGCCAGGACCAACCTTTTTTTGCTCGTTCTGGTGGACGTATTGAAGCCAGGATGGTACTGATCACATATACGTGGGATGACCACCAGTGCATAAACACGAGTAGGAGGGCTATATTTATCACTCATTCACAGCCGTCAAAGCAATTTTAGCCATGATGAAGAGTTACTCTGAAGAATGTTATATACTAAACACGCCCACTGTAGACTAGAATCGTCCCTGTCTCTTTTTCTTCTCTCTATCGTAACCCTTTTGCTCTCGGCCTTCCTCACCCTGGATCTCAGCGACCAACCTCTTGAATTTCTTATCATACGCAGCATCCTTCTCCTTCTTCTCTCTGAGCTGCTCTCGGGCCATGAAATTAGCATCCTTGCGCAGCTCACGCATCGCTCCCTTTCGTTCCTTCTTGTGCTCTGCCTTGAGTTTCGAAAGCTCAGCGCGTTGTCTGTCAGGATCATAGTGGCGATCTGGGTTGTAGTTCTCGATAAAGGCTGGGATAGCGGTCTTGATTGCCAAGGGTCGGTGGTTGTGAAGAAGCAGAGGTTTCCGTGCCTCGATCGATGCCGTCCGGAGAGACCGTAGATTTTGTAATGTGCTTGAAGTAAGAGCGATGGATCGCTTAGGAAGCTTGCTAGGGTGGGAGACGATGTGGCTAAGGGCTTGTATGTAAGGAGAGATCAGCTCTGGAAAGGCGGTCTTCTGTTTCCATAGCTCGGCAGACTGTGCGCAGATGCGAATGAATGTATGCAAGAGAGCCGTCCGCTTCGAAGAATCATCTTGGGCCTCTGCATTCATCACAAGCTCCTTGAAGGCCAATTTTTCGGGGACATCTCCGTGGGAGTTGATTCGCAGAGGTACACGTGGTAGTCTGGCTGGGATATTCAGTGGTTGTCCTTCCTTGTCCTCCTCGGGGAGTGGGACAGGCGCCAGAGCAGCCAAAGCATTGACGATGTACGTAACCACTTCGGGTATATGTCTCCTTGCCAGTCGCTGGTAACGGAGAGAAAGTGAGCAGCAGTATGCTCCGGTTCCAAGATCCTGTACATTTTGGATTGTGCTTTGACCCAGGTACCGGCCAAGGGTCAGCATGGCTGGGGTCACCACAGAGTGAAAGTGATCAGAAGTAGGAAAAATGGTCGAGATACCAGTCAGGATGATCAAATCTCCTGGAGATAACTTGAGTGCTCGATCTTCGGCGATGCTTTCGAGATGTGTCCGGAACGCAATGCCGACTGCCTCTGGTGAGGCTTTCGCCATAGAATGTAGATGCCGTAGTAAACTTTCCAACACTGAAAAAGGCACGTCGCCCTTGTTATCGGCGAGATACGCCACGTGCTGTGACAAGACTCCCGCAAACACATCCAGCTTCTGCTGATTCCCTTGGGCAAGGCCTTTGTGGTAAAGAGCACGGATTCTCTGGACGATGGTTGGTAGATCAGAGAACTCGGCATCCTTTGTTACCTCTAAAAATTCGTCGTGGGTTTGCGGGCAGGGAAACGTATAGGCAAGGTTGTTGCTGGCGGCCACGTTCCCTGTCGACTGCGTCTTCAACTTCGGCAGTTGTGGTAGGGCAAGACCATTTATGAAGTCGTCGTCGCCATCATCTTCAGGCTCATCTTCAGATTTGTCATCATCTTCGTCCTGATCACTGGCCATCTCCGCTTCGGAATCAGAGGCGAGCAAGTCATCGTCGAGGACAAACTCGTCTTCGTCCTCTACATCTAATTCTTGCCTAGGAGTGGCTTCAGGGGCAGCCAGACCAAAGGCTTCTGCATCATCTTCCTCGAAATCCTCATCTGGACCAAGCTCGGCCTCGTCTTCGTCGTCTGAGCTCTCTGCTTCGCCTTTCATACGTCGCACACGTTTCCTTTCTAATTCTTCAAGCCTTGCAGCTTCCTCGGCAGCCTTCTCTTCGTCTGTCTTTGTCCGAACACTAGGTTTAGAGCGAGCCTCAAGTTTCAGCTCGCGAAGATTCGCCTCGTACTCCTTCTCTGCATCTACCCTGCTCTTACCTGCGAGCATGGCAGCTCGAGCGGGGTCCATGTGTGGTTCGGACGCTTCGGTGGCTTGCGCCGTGACTGGCTGCTTCTCGGGTGGTTTATGTCCACGAAGCGCCTCGTAAAAGTCGGCCATTCCTTTGTCCAACTCGGCTCGTAAATCATCGTCGTCTGCCTTGGCCGCTTGTCGTTCTGCTTTGTACATTTTTGACTTGGCGATTATTTCTTTCATGACTTCATTCTTGGTTTTTCTTCGCTCTGGCATCTCTCCATCTTCCTCACTTCCGTCATCGAGGGAATCCTCAAGCCGCAGCTTCTTCCTTGGTCTATCATTCTGCGCCTCGAAATCGTCGACATTATCATCTGATGCAGCAACATCACCCTCGTCAAAATCATCTTGGATATCGCCACCAAAGTCTAGTGATCTTCCACCATGTGTAAGTGTCATCTCTTCCTCGCTGTCGTCCTCTAGATTGAACATTGACGTCTTTCTTAACTTTCGCTCGTTTTGACGGGCAAATCTTTCGGCGGCTCGTTCTTCAGGCGTCATGGTAGGATCGTTCTCTCCGAACCGTCGATCGAGTAGGCCTCCGACTTTGTTCCGGCTTTGCATCTCTTTCAATAATGTTTCTCGTCTTCTCTCTTCACCCAAGCCTCGTGTGACACCAGGACGTACTGATGATGCTTGTGATTTCTTTGCACTTGCAACCTCGAACTTCTCCCTCCTCGGACCCTTGACCTCGAAGGCATTGAATCGTTCCCGGATGCTTTCGAGGGCTGCATGGCGCTGATTCCGCTTCTGTGCATCCTTAGCTGTGGCCTGTCGTTCTTTTTTGGATTTTTGAGGACCACGGATACCATGCTCGCGTAGGGAAGCTTTCAGCTGTTTGAGCTGTGAGGGCGCCATGTTCGGCGTCTATTGGAAAGAAATCTATCTTCTTGCGGCAAAGAACCCCGGACAAAAAAAGTAATTTCTCAGCCAAGATTTCGGTCCTTATCGATAAGGATCACTAGCCCATAACAGGTTACACTACCGACTACTACATACTGTACGGAGTACCTGACTCTTCACCACTCAACATTGAACGTCGAATTTTGTGTACAGACACTTGTGGCCAAAGGAGGATAAGGAGGTCGATGTCTCGATCCCTCAACCAATGATCGATCCGCCGACGGATACACGCCTCATGCTCATCTTGCGATGCCGTCATTTCCGTCATTTGGTTTGTTTACGTCGCTTTGAGCTTGAATGAGCATCTACAATCGCGATAGGCATGGCATCTGCTGGGAAATGCCAGCTGTGTGATATTTGTACCAGGTTATTTAGTGGTCAGTGGGACCATCGGATCGTGAGTACTGGTGGCGAAATCGAGAATGACATGAGTCAGTCTCGTGGCAAAGCTGCAGCCACCGTCGACGACGACTCAAGTATCCAGACCTTTGAATCTCACGGTAGTGCACCAGTGCTGCCGGCGAGGCCAGCGAGACAACAACAAGGACGAATGTGGCAGCACCGCGATGACCAGTCTGTCCAGTCTGCTAATTTCAGACATTACAATATATCTGAATTGAAGATCTCCGCCGGCAATGGATGCCATCTTTGCAACTTGATACTAGATCAACTACCTATATTTCATACTACTGGAGCGGGTAAATACCATGAGACTTGGAAATTTGCAAAGGAGAATCCACAGAAGATGTTTGGTATTGCTACAATCCTGCCACACAGAGAAAGCGAAGATTCTTCTGGTCCCTTACGCCTAGACGTGTTATACTTCCTCGACGGAGATGTTTCCAAGAAAGGGATCCGTCCTTGCTGGATTTCTCTCTACTTGATTCCGATCCTTGGTAAGTTTGGAAAGCATTTGATGCGCTTTCAAGAGAGTTGACTTCGAGCATACGCTGGTTCTGAAGCCCCCGAAAGCATCCTTTCCGACGTTCAAAAGCGTACATTACCCGAGGTTGATGCATGGGTCCGCCAGTGTAGGGGGTCACACACCGAATGCCAAGCGGTATCTTATTTGCCATTACGGAAGCCCTCAAAGCTCATCAACATACAGTCTCAAACATCCTCACATCCACTACTGAAGATAGTAGATGGGTCTAGTCTTCCAGAAGAAGCGGAGTATATGACCCTGAGTCATTGCTGGGGTGTGACAAGAATACCGGCGCTTCGAAATGAAAACGAAGCTATCTATCGCAGAAACATTATACGGAGCAGTCCCCAAGAAATGCCAAATGAAGAAAAGGATTCCAACCTTTTACGAATGGGTCACATCGCTCAACCACCAGCCGAGCTCGACGCCCAACTTTCCTGGTTGATCATACATGATTAAATGTCCGGCTCCGTCAATGAGAACTGCATCCTTTGCGTTTAGCTTCTCCTTCAACTTCTCCGCCGTATCAAAGGGGATCCATTTGTCCTCTTTTCCCCAGATGATCTTCACCGGCATCCTTCTCCCCACTCCAGGGTATTTCCCTTCGACCTCGGCCGTGCTCCGGCTGTTGGCCTGCTCCATCTGTCTGACGAAGCCCATTTTGCCCTGTTCGGTTGACACCCACGGTTTCTTCAGCATGTCCATCGTCTCTGGATTTAGTTCTTTGTGAGCCGCGTCACGGATATAAGACTCGACCACACCCTCAAACACCGGCCCCGTCAGGGCATTGAAGACGTCTTGGTGCTGCGCGACCAACTTGAACAACGGTTGGCCGAACGGTCCGATCGCCACCACGTCGATGAGACACAGACTCGCATAGTCACAACCGTGCAGGATGTTGGCGCGCAGACTCATGAGACCACCGTGGTCATGTGCGATGACATGTGCTTTGTTGTTGGGAGACCAATCTCGTGCCCAGTGTTTGAACAAGGCGGCAAAGGCTTCCGACTGCTGCTTGAGGTCCGCGTCGAGGGCGATCTTGTCGGTGATTTGGTCCTGCTTGCCCGGGAGAGGTTGGCCGAGGGGGCTCTCCCCGAAACCAGGGTTGTCGAATAAGTACACGTGAAAATATCTGGCGAAAGACTGTGCGTAGTCGTGCCACACGCGGGAAGACCAGGGTGTGCCGTGGACAAAGATTAGAGGTGGTGAGGTTGAGTCGCCCAGTGACGTCCAGCGAATGTTGAAGCTGTGTGTCTCGGTAGAGTAGGTGAATGTCTCGGTAAGATTTGTATCAGCCATTTTCTGTGTTTGCTGAAATCTTTCAACAGGCGTGACCTAGTTTGTGTTGGTTGGCTTGTTGTCGCTTTATTGTGTGATTGTGATTTATCGTCAGGCGCACAGAGGGATGTCGTATGAAGCCGAACGCTCAAAGTCATATACACGTATAAATTTCTCTCTCGAGACTTATTCTTTACCTAGTTTAACTTGGAGAAAAGTCACTCCTCGGACAAAAAACTGTGACGTACTTTTGCTAAAGGACCCTTCTTTCGCGTAACTCGTACATACAAGTACCTTCGTAGTACTCCGTAGGTGGGGTATATTTGTAAGATTTCCTTGGTATGAGCGGATTAAACACAAGGGGGGTCTGGCTTGTCTTTGCCGTTGACGTCTGTACGAGATAGATATACAATGTACATTACGAGAACTACTTTTTGACCCCTTCTACTACAACAAGTATTGTTGACTACCTTACCTAGGTACCCATTTCCGTTACTGTGTACTAGTCAATGTACAATACCACAGAGCGATTATGTCATAGAGTTGGGGTTATTGTTTAGCGTACTATTGTATGAGTACTATTGTACCCCCGTACGTACACAGCCTCCCTTTCAATATACATTGGACATCGGCAATGTCCAGGTTCTCAATGCTTCCGAAAAGCTCATGTCCAGAATTACATCTGTAGTAGCCACGGTAGCCCTGTCCACGGCGTTAATTCACGGAGTACAAAACCCTGACCCTTGAGAAAAGAACCAAGTCCATCCATAGTGTACGGAGAACCAATCAATCCACGGATCAAAACGTCGGTGGAGACCAAGTTCGCTGGTTTCCCTCGATACGGTCTAGCGTGTGTGTGTGGACGAATACGGACTATGTACAGTTTACTGGGTACTCCGTAGCTATGTCCCAACCTCCGGTACTCTGGGGTGTCTGCACAGTCTCCTGCTAGCGAAATAGACAAGACCTGGCATGTTTTTGTTGTTGCCTGAATACGATTTCTAATTTCTACAAGCAAAGTCCAAGTGCCCTCCCAATTCACGGGGTTAAGTGGACTCCGTCAAGAAAAAAAATCGAAGATAAAGCATTGGTGATTGCGTTCACGTTTTCATCTCCTTGAGTACCTCCTATAAAGCCCCAGTCATTTCCTACCTTTCATAGTCGGTGTTGCTCTCCAAAATATCATTGTCCGACCCATTCACCATCACAAAAAGAATTGATAGCTTCCCTCCTTCCCAATCCTAGAACACATACCCAACACTTACCACAATGGGCAACTTGATATCTCAACAATTCGTTCGACTTCCGTACCCGACGGCGTCCTTTTCGGGAAAGACGGTCATCGTGACGGGGAGCAACACCGGGTTGGGGAAAGAAGCGGCTCGACACTTTGCTCGCCTCGGGGCCGCGAAGCTCATCCTCGCCGTACGAAACACGGCCGCCGGCGAGGCCGCCAAGAAGGACATTGAAGCCACGACCGACTGCGACGCCTCCGTCATCCAAGTCTGGCATCTGGACCTGGCGTCGTACGACTCTGTGCGGGCATTCGCCAAACGAGCCACCGACGACCTTTCGCGGGTTGACGTCCTGTTGGAGAACGCCGGAGTCGCCACGTTCAAATGGGACCTCGCCGAGGGCCACGAGCGTACCGTCACGGTCAACGTGCTGTCGACGTTCCTGCTTGCCCTTCTCATGCTTCCCAAACTGAGGGCCACGGCCAAGGAGACCAGCACCACCCCGACCTTGACCGTCGTCTCGTCCGAGGTCCACGGCATGTCCAAGTTTCCCGAGTGGAGGGAGCCAAACACCTTTGACGCGCTCGACGACAAGACCAAGACCGACTTCAAGGAACGGTACCCGACGAGCAAACTGCTCGAGGTCCTCGCCGTCCGCGCCATGGTCCCCAGGATGCGTGGGGAGGGCGAGGTCACCGTCAACTACCTCAACCCTGGCCTGTGCCATTCCGAACTCGCCCGCGAAGGCGGACTGACCTTCACCGTCCTCAAGTTCTTGTTTGCACGTACCACCGAGGTCGGTAGTCGGACGTTGGTGGCGGCCGCGGCGGCCGGACCCAAGAGCCACGGCAAGTACATGACCAATTCAAAGGTCGACGACGATGCATTGTCCTCGTTTGTCAGGAGTGAGGATGGAAAAAAGGCTAGCGAGAAGGTTTGGAAGGAGTTGGTCGAGATTTTGGAAAAGGCCGAGCCTGGTGTTGTCGGCGAGAACTTGTGATGGATACACCTCGCGACGAGCGCGTCGGACTGTGTGAAACTCGTGGTGGGTAGTGCTTTTGCATGTCTTGTGCTCATGTAGCTACTTTTGGTAATTAAGTCCCCCTTGTCTCCCGAACATCTCTTTGAGGTCGAGTAAATTTAATCAAGATCGATATTTGGTTCGTCGGAGCGTATTCAATATGACTCCATAAGTACGGAGTAACGAGCACAAGGAATCTGTGTCGATCGATGGAGCTATTGTAGGAACTACCTGATTTACTAAGCCAGATGTTTATGTACGAGTACGAGGATGACCAAGAAAAGACTCTGCGGCGTATTGAGGCTCTTTTTACTCGCAACGGACATTGGCGTCATTTGACCTCCGGTTGACTACAATATTTGTGTCCAATTCACAATACGCATCACCCTCTCACACAAAACCATGGTCTTTTTTTGTCTCTCAAACTGGTAAGAGGAGGAAGGGTTTTTTTTTCGCAGCTCCGCAATACTCATACGTACGTTCGTACACATGGTGAAAAAGAATTAAACCTCTTTGAGGAAGGGTGAGTAAAGAACAAGTGGATTGTTGCCTACCTACCTTTTAACCAGGTCATGCCAGCCATGTTCCATGATCGCGCGCGTCAACTGTCACCCAAAAATTGAGGGGACGGAGGTGACGACTATACGGAGGACCTCGAGATGATCAACTCCGTCACGCGTATTGTCGATACCTTTTTCGGGCCCGCAGAATAGGGAGCGATATAAAAAAAAGGTGCTTGAGTAAAATCGGCAGGTCATTCTTGTCCTTCGACATCGCCCCCCTTCTCTCTCTATCTCCTACAGAGTACCTTTACTGCTCTTCCTTGACTTCCCTACCACCTCGTCTTTGCGGGGCCAAAACCATGACCATTCAACCTCGGACGGTCGATGATGACAACACCGACCTACCCATGCCGACACCCACCATCCCCAACAGACCCCTGACGTCTTTCAAGACATTGTCGTTTGACATTTACGAGACCTTGATCCAATGGGAATCTAGCATCATTCGACATTTTTCCCCTCTGTTGGTCCACCTCGGTCATGATTCACCTTACAAGAATGCCGCCACAGACCCGACAGCACGTCAAGCATTGTCCGACCTGTTTGCAAAACACGAAAAGAATCTTCAGTCCGTTTGGCCCAAAACATCATACACTGTGATCCTGGAGAGGGCGTACATTGAAACCGCCAATGAAATCCTTTCAGATTTGGACTCCGATTCAGACCCAAAAATGGTCCCATCAATAAACCCGGACTTGCCAAACCTGGAGGTCGAAACGAGGGCCAACAATTTCGGTCAAAGTGTCGGAACTTGGCCACCATTTCCAGATACTCTGTCGGCCATGGAGAAACTATCTCGGTATTACCGATTGACGGCACTTTCAAACGTCGATCGTCAATCATTCTCCCAAACCTTGTCAGGTCCTCTCGCCGACACCGTTTCCTTTTGGCGAATCTTTACGGCTCAAGATGTAGGTTCTTATAAACCTTGTCACGAAAATTTCAAACACCTCTTTCAAAATCTCGAAAGGACAATGACAATCGAGAAAGATCAAGGTGGTGGTGATGATGGTGGTGGTGATGATGATGATGATGGTGATGGTGATGAAGCAAAAGGTCCCCTGTGTACTTCTGCGAGTACGAGTAGATTTGACAATCTACACGTCGCTCAAAGTTTGTACCACGATCACGTCCCTTGTAAGGCTTTGGGTGTACCTAGTGTGTGGATCAATCGGTCGGGAGCCGGAACAGGAAGAGCCGATTTCAAGTCTCTACACGAAAAAGGTCGGGTAGGATACGGTTGGAGGTTCAACACCTTGGCCGAATTCGCCGATGAGGTTGACAGACAACACAAAGCTCTGTAAAGGTGTACATGTAGTTATATAGGTAGGTACCTTGACCCAAACAACAACCCACCTTCGGTACCTACCCAGGCATTATGGACTCCATACACACACACACACACACACACACACACACACAATACAACAAAAACACAGGCCTGACCCTGTAACTGCGTATACTTCTCACCTCGTTATTATACTGCCAAAGACACTCCAAGGTAACAACACTTCCTCTCTTCCCAAGTCCCACGGTCGGAGAGAAACACAACGAAATGCCATCAACCCTTATAACCCCTTTAGAAGAACGACGCTTGGAAAATCTTTTGACACGTATTGCCAAACACGACAAAATTATCTGATATTTAAAAATAAATTTTAAAAGAGTCGTCTTCTCAGAGGTTGATATAACTTTAAACTAAATAAAAAACACGTTGTGAACACACACATATCACGACCCAGCTCCATTTTCTTCCGCCATACTCTCCAAACTCCCTCGACCACCATTGGAAGTACTTCGACTATTTCTATGACCTCGAGGTGGTCCTGTCGTACCTGGACTGCTGGCTTTCTTTGCCGTGCCGTTCAGAGAGGGGGTCGTGCTTCGGTTTGCCGTATTCGACGACGATGATCCAGTGCCGTCGGAACTGTCCTTTTTGACGCTGGGCGGCGGTCGAGAAAACATGGCTGTCAATGCTGCTTTCGCCTTTGCCTTTTCTTCCTTGGCCTCGGCTGCCTTCTTCGCCGGGTCTTCTTTTGCCTTTTCCTCGGCGTATTGCTTCCACTTTCTCCATCCATCAAAATCAATCAAGGCTTGCATACAACCCCATTCGGTGACTTTACGTTCCATCCATACAAAATTGACCGGCTATCTAACGGTTAGCAGAAAAGAACTGGAGAACATACAGGGTAGTCTCACCTTTGTCAAAAAGTCATTACAGCCCGCAGCCAAAGCTTCATGTCGATCACTTTGTAAACTGCTGGCTGTCAAAGCAACAATGATGACTGGACTTTTGAAAAGACTTCGGTCAGGCAAAACATCAGCCTCTGCCGGAGCACCGTTGGTTGGAGTGATCTTAGAATGGTTGTCGATAGGACTTCCGCCAAAAACACCAATCCCATTCACAGCTTCAAGTCGTCGGATTTCTTTGGTGGCTTCCAACCCATTCATGACTGGAAGCTGGATGTCCATCAAGACCAAGTGGAAACCACCTTTCCTCCACATTGTCACAGCCTCTTTGCCGTTCATGGCCGATTGCCATCTGACCTTGAGTCTCTTCATGAATGCTTCGAGCAATTTCAAGTTGATGACGTTGTCTTCGACCAGGAGCACATTGATTGGAGGGACGGTGCCATCCAGAAGAGCTGCCGAAGCAGGTTTGGTGGAAGATGAGGGATCACCATTGGAGGATCGATTTCTGACCAAATTCCGCCTTTGTTTTTGTTTTTGTTTCTGCCCGGGATGCGGAGAAGAACCTCGATTGGGAGGAGTTATGGATTGTTTGTGGTCACCTTGTGCCGGAGGAGTAGGAAGGGGAGGTGCTGTGGGAATGGTGCCATTCATCTGTGATTTGGTCTCTGTTTCGCCATGTCAGTACATCATTTGGGAACCCACAAATCCCACAAATCCCACAAATCCCACGTACCTATGACCTGTCCATTAGGCTGCACTGTATGTAGAATGGTCGGGCTGCTCGTATGCTGCCTGCCATACTTTGGTCTGCCGTGCCGTCTGCCATGTGATCCGGGACTGGGTAAAGGTGGCAGCTGACCAGTAGTCAAGACGGACATGGAATGTTGAACGGCGCCCGGGTGCGCTACAGTAGAGAGGTGAGGAGAGTGCAAGGGCATGGGAGGAAAGTATTCTCGAGCATCGTCGGGAGGTCGATATTGATCCTGATAGTAGTAGGAAATTTGGTGGTTGCCTCCCCGAGGTGATGGCCGCGGAGTCCGCCGGGCAGATGCCACTTCGATGACGAGAGCTTCGTCGACCGTCTGTCCGCCGGGATAGTAGGAATCAAGGGTGGCGCCAATCGGTTCTTCGGGGCCCAAGGCACGTTCCAGCGGGACATTTTTGTTTCCTTGTTCGCGACTGATGATTTTCAGCGTGATGTCGGGGGCATCGATGCTGCGGCCGAGTGAATTGGCATATTTTTGCAGAATGACATCGCGAACATTATCGACCAGATCATCCTCGGCGACCTCTACTCTGGTCGGGGAAGCGCCGGGCCGCTTCACCCATAGTTTTCTCTGCATTGCTTCGTGAGGCTCATATCGAGGACATGACGGAGCTGGAAGTGACGGGACGTTTGGGGTGGAGGGTCGCTGGACGAGGACGAGTGGAGGATTCGTGGCGACGGGAGAGGGAGGATGTGACGAGGATGGAGGATCAAGGGAGGGACTGTCTATGTAAACGCCAGCACCGGCAGCAGAATGGTTGATGGTCGCCGTCTTCGCTGGCGCAGGCGTCGTCGTGGAGGTGGGTGTATCTGGCTGAGACGGCTTCGTGGAAAATGAGGTGGGTTCAGTTGCTGGCGTTGGCGTGTCCGGGTCGGTTGGGGCGGGAGTGGGAGGAGGAGAAGGATCTTGGTTAGTACGAGGAGTAGTAGGTGTGGCTGGTGCATTTCCTGAGCTCGAACCATGGGCGCCTGTGACTTTGCCATTGGCCTGCGGAGTCCACGCGTGTCGGGGGAGGTGTTGGTCATGTTCGCTCTGGCCATCGGTGGTGCTGAGGTCTAGCTGACTTGGAGCCCGATCTCTGCTTTTGCTTTTGCTTTTGCTTGTCGATTTCGCTCTTGTTCGTCGACGCGTAGTGATGTGCGCAAGTGTAGAGAGGGTGGGCAATGTGAAGCCCAAGTTGGAAACGAGTGAATTGCCGTCTTCCTGGACGGTGGACTTGGTGCTGTTGTTGCTGGTGCGGCCCTGCTTATGATCGCTGGGCTCGCCAGTACTGGGGTTGTTCGCGTGCACGTTTGCATTACTCGCGCTCAGACTTCGGAATAGGGACCGAGTCCGGGATAAGGGCATCGCCAAATTGATGTCTCGAGGTAGACACCACCATTTGAAACAGTACTCTCTATACGTGTCGTTTGGCACAGAACTCCATACTTTAGGCGTAGGCGAGCTTGGGAAGATTGGGGAGCGTTCAAAAGTTCACGTACATAAAATGCGAAGATGGTGTGTGCTTGTACTCCGTACAGTACGGAAGTACTCTGTAGGGAATATGGAGGCGATGCGAATCCGAATTCACTAGTACTCAATATCCCCCTCGAACTAAGGCAGTTGCAGACAACACGAAGGACACAAGGAAAGTCAAACATGAGAAAACAATAATCTCAGCAAAGCTCAGCCCGCCAGCCAGCCAGAACCTGATTCACAAATTAATTCTATTCGTACAAACTCGCATACAAGGTCGCCAAAAAAAGGTCGCCAGCATTATTGTTGCAGACTTTTGAAAATGATACAAAAACCTCGAAGCGAGATTGGTTGATGCCCGATGCTAATTCCCATCCTTGCGAATGAGCTCTACAGACAGGGTGTTCCTTCAAGCCTGGGTAGGTAATAAGCCTTTGGGCTGATGTGAACAGGCCTCCCACTTCCAGGGATCTCTAGGCTCGCTTGCAGCACGATAACAACCAGCCTTTGTATGCCAGGATCATGGGTGAAACAGTATCCGTGTTTCCACCAGTGCTCCGTAAGCACGAGGGATCCCTGGCCACTGTACGGAGTATCACTCATATTTTGCTCCCAAGAGAATGCCTGGTCGTTGGCATGCCACCTCTCATACTCCGTACCAACCCTACTGTACCTAACGCTACGGAGTAGTCAGGTCGTAAATCATCCTGTATAATGCGGAGTATAGTACGGAGTAAAACGCCGGTGCCATTTGAATTCTCTAATCCTGAGCCTTGCGTTTCCCATCACATGTCAATTTGATCCTTGCTTGCAAATCCATGTCATATATATACCTAACCACAAAATGCATGTCATCCAGTACTACCAGCAGATGGTGTGTATACCTAGGTATATACTCCGTGTGTGTGCCCCGTGCACCACCACTCCCCCCCCGAAATGTCACAACAAAAACAACATTGATGCCTGTAGAACCCTTCGATAATGACTGTGCCTTGGTGAGCGTCCCATCCTGTATTCATGCTTTCCCATTGCAGCCCTGTCAACTGCTGGCTGCGTGATAGTGATATGAAACGCCATGTCGCTTGCCTGCTTGCCCACCTGACTTTGCTTGCTGTCCGCTGAAAGGGGGAATCTCGTGATTGAAAGTCAAAACGAAAAGAAAAAAGGAAGGACAAAATCCAATCGAAACCCACATCACCGCAACGCCAAGTTCTTCTGGTCGCTTGAAAGTCCAGTCTAGCAACAAATATGATGCCATCGCCCGTCATCACGCGGATATCCTCAATCCTTGTGATAGATGCACATCCAACAACTTGCCTCCATGCCTGTCATGATACAGATCGAGCCCGCGCTCTTCTTCGTTCGTAACGTGCCCATTTAGCGTCCTAGCATATAATCAGGGTACATGCCACCCATGTTTTGGTTCGCCGGACTGTTATTCATTCCCAGTGCCCGCATATTGGGTTGCGCTCCTGCTCCCGCAGGAAATCCCTGGTTCACATAGGCGGGCGGTAAAGTCCCATTGACACCTGGCGGGGTCATGTTCAAGCCGGGGGGTGCAGATAGTCCCGGCGGTGGGCCATTTGCAGTCGTGAAGCTGCCAGGAGCGAGACTGCTGAAGACGCCGAGATTGGGAGGCCCTGTCGCACTGAGCGGTGTCGCTGGGTTTGAGCTTCCGGGTTGTCCTGAACGTACACCCAACGGATTCTTGGAGAAACTGAGTCGGATACCGCCCTTGACACTGTTGTGCAGTTGAGCGCCATACAACTCATTCAGCGCCTTGGTGGCGAATGAGATATCCTCAAATTCGACAAAGCACATGGGGCCGTTCTGTTTGGTCCGAAAGCATAGTCTCTTGTAACCCCTCTGCTTTGAAAACATGGCCTTCAGCTCGTCTTCTGAAGTGTCGATCGGCAAATTGCCCACATACAGCGTGTTGCACGGGGGGTTCTGATCGGCTGGATTGACCGGTGGGTAATTGTGCCGTAGGTAGGGTTGACCCGACGATCCATACGAACCATTGGAGCTGATCCCTGGAGAGAACTGCGAATGTGGTGTTCGGCTTTGCGCAGCCGACCGAGGTGACGCAAAGCTGTTTGATGTGCCGCTCATATTGGTATTGAGGGACAATGACTGAAATGCAGCAGTGGGAATCCGGTGGTTCGTGGAAGTTCGTCCTGCATTCACTGCGGACGAATTGTTGATGTAGGCCAAGGGGTCTTTGAGCAATTCTCCAGTATCGTCATCTCCTCCATCTTCGTCAATGAATCTCTTCCCACTGACCCGAGAACGTTCGGTGACCATGTTGGCGATTGGTGACTGAGGAGAGAATATGGTATGCATTGCCGGTCCGGCATCGGCGGAGGAGTAATCTGGTGGCGAACCAACCGGTGGTGGAGATGACTTATCCAGCGACTGGAATGTGCCGTTGAACCTCGAAGGCCTCTGAGAATTAGCGAGTGGTGGTGATCTGGACTGTGCGATCTTGCGACTCGCCATGGGGTCCATAGTATTTCGTCGAACCATGGATGCGATGGAGTGGTTTGAAATGACGTTGACAATCATTTTCGCCTGCCCGGCGGTGTTGGCTTTACCGTCCAACATGGCTTGCGCCTCGGACGCACCAGTCATGGAACCGAACCGCGCGATTCCAGTGGCGAACCCAGCGTCCTCTTCGTATTCATTGGGGACGATTTCTGCGTCCTGGAGGTCTTTCGCAAACAGTAACATGGTTCGTACAGCCTCGGGAGTCGTATTCTTGGGCAGACGGCGCAACATGACCGTCGGGAGCGCCATGAGGCCTTCGTTGGCCGTCGACATGCGTCGTTCGGACGACGCAGCATCCAAACCAGCAGGATGGACCGGCATGTTATACGGATCGGACAGTGTTGGATGCAGCCGGTTCTCCGGAGGGCTATAAGCGATTGCGCTCATATCTAAAGTGCAAGAAACAACCGAAACTGATTTCGCTTATCACGAGTCCAGACGCGGACGGGACCAGATGGGAGTTTTTTGGTGCTCGCGGTGAAGTTTCACAAAGCGATGAGGCTCGTTGCTGCCCGAACAAGGTGGCGTAGGAAAAGAACTTTGTGACAGACACCGTTCAAGGCGCTCGAAATGGCGGTTTCAACGTACACGAGGTCGAACCACACGCAATCATATTACGCATTCGTCGTTGTTTGCTGATGCGGTCGTGTTTTGCGACCTGTCGTCCACGACGCTGTCGGGCGCGATGGTGATCGAGTGCAGCGGCGCTCTGATGGTGGTTGATGACTTTTGTCGGGATGGGGAGGACGTTCTCATTCCAACACAATCGAGGCCGCGGTACCTGAAAAGCGACACCAGTCACTGATAGCGGGCTCCACACGCGATTTCAAGTCAGAGGTCTGGGTCGCCAATGGGAAGACGCGACAAAGGAATTATCGGGTGTCAGACAGATCACCACGGTGTCTTGGGGGGGGGCCGTCGCGTGAGCGTAACGGTGACTTGCTCGAAATTAGACAGATCACAGAGAGGTGTGTGTGTGTGAAAAGAGTAAGATTCCGAAGATGGATGGAGGGAGGCAGATACGGGAGAGTAGGGGGGCAAGCCAGCCCAAGGAACAGCGAGCGTAAAAGGAGAGCGAGCAGGGAGACAGAGGCTGAAGGAAGTCGAAGGTCGCAAGAGGTGGGAATCATTATTGCGCAGCAGCGGTGCTGGGGGACGGGGAATATTCTGGCGGGCGTCGAGTGGCCCAGTCGATAGAAACGATAAGCCTGAACAGGCCCGTGTTTGGCAATTCGCCAGGATGAGCAATCGTGCCAATCCGGCGCTGCGGTGGCTTGAAGAAGGGGCCCGAGCAGGCATGGAGCAGGTCTCCTTGCAAATCGCGATCGCGCGGCCACCGGATGGTGGAGAGAGTCGGGCGGCCAGGGCTAAATAGGCTGCATGTCAGAAAGACTGTTGGTAGCCGGTAGAGGGGTTCGGACCTGATATTGGCCTGTATCCCTCGAGTCACACAGGACGCAGAGATAAACGCGGAGGTTGATCAGTGGATACACCATTGCTTACACATGGGCCAGACAATCATTTCGGCTTGAATGAGGAGGCGATCGTTTGCGAAGATCACACCCAGGACAGAGAGTCCTTTTGCCAGATCAGACCGCCGCACTCGGCATGGCCAGCATGATGTGGATGATCGAGCCCTGGGTGCGGGAAGCTCCTGCAAGAGCGAGGGAGGGAGTGGTTTTGTAGGTGGTTGGTGCTAATATGGTAGGGATGTTTAGCAGCGGTCATGGTTTGGTGGTGGTGGTGGTGATAAGTCGTATTCGAAGTAAGATGGGAAGGTCAAGGATTCTCTGTACTTCCCGTGCGAGTACTCACCTTGGTATCATGGATGCCGAATGGCGACATGGGAACAGTTACTGTATTACTCGGTACAACTACCCTAGGCTTTTCAGGAGGATAAAGTATACTTACTCCCTGGGTTCTCGACCAAATAGAGACACTCCTAACTACCGACTGCCTTTCTAGAATGCATCACGCCTTTTAAATTTCTGTCTTCTGTCAAGATAGTCAGAAGACAGAAGACTCGACGTTATTGGCAGCTGTCTGGGATTTTATGGTGTACTGGTTGGTAGAAAGGCATACACATTCTTTACTATTGACTCCATACAATACATGTTGGGTGGATAGGTAACACACCGTAGAAGCGATGAGGAGGGTAAGGGCGTAGTCGTAGAGGCCATGCCTAGTTGTAAATAATGGCGAGAGCGGGAGAGAGAGACATACACACCTCCTCTACGGAGTATCTTCACCCCCATTACCACCTCTCACCTTCTTCACCTGCCGCCTTATGCTTCTTGCCGTCTCAGTCGGCTACAGCAACGGAGTGCAGAAACAATTAAACCTCTTTCAGCACCCCTCACCCCTGTTCAGCCCAACAGCCACTCGTCACTGCTCTATCCAACTGTACCGAGTACGGAGTAATGGTTTTGGAGATGGAGGGTCGACAATATATGGTACACGATCACAAGTTGCGTTCTGGAGACCCCCCCTCTCGAGAAGTAGCTGGAGACCTCGTTAAAACCAACGTATCCCGTGCAGTTTCAGCATGCATGACCGAGTGGCCTGAAAAAGGACCTTTGTTCTCTACTGGACCTACTCCTTACCATGTCTACTCCCGGACACGAGCTAGATAGTGGGCTCACTAGGCATTTCCTTAGTCTCCCAAAGGCTTCACTAGGCCTGCCTCGACAACGGTCTGTCCTTGTTTTGCCGGCATACATAGGGCTTTCACGCCACAGAACCACCCCCCGGTCTCCATCCTCTAGCATTCCACCCTGGGCTCCGTGCGCACAGTGTGCCGGCACTAGCCTGGACAATTGGCGGACGCTTGAGGTACCTTCAGCAGCTAGTGGCCCCCCTCAGGCCGTGCACTATCGCCTACCCTCATCACACTCTGATAGCCACGACCTGCAATCAGCCTTTAGAAACCCATGCTCTGTACGGAGTAGGCAGCACAGAGTCCCTGTTCTTGTCTGTAGTTGGCCCTTCATGATGGACGAGCTAAGCGACTGTATGGATACTCAGACGTGCATACCGAGTACCTGTAGCCAGTTATAGTAATCTTGTCCATAGTACTCCGTACTCCGTACTCGTGGAGGCTTCAAACTACTAGTAGGCTGCATCCTGCACTGATACTGCACATACCGCACGCCTGCGGGTGGGAACAACTTTTCCTGTGCCTCAACCGTGCTATAGTCGTCTCTGCATCCTCATTGTACAACAAAAGCACCGCCTTAAAACGGCCCCCTGTACGGAGTAGTTAGGCCCTTGTTTCTGATGCAGTGCTGTGCAAGGATAATGCACTTGGTGCCCGATTGGGGGCCCCAGGGTGTGTTGCCCACTATCTGGAAGACGGATTACTTCTTCAACCCTTGCCGTAGTGCGTGCCTGAACAAATGGAAAGAGTTTGAGGAGTGCTACAGTGGGGTTTCTATCGGTCCTCGTACATACTGTACAGGACAGGACATGATGGCGACATTATTCCCAGCTCCCTGGTACTCCGTATAAAGATCGACAATGCAAGCAAGAACCGTGGGCTGCTCCTCGATTTCGCGAAACCTCACCGCCGGGTTTTCCAGAAGTCCGTCACTTGCCTCCTCCGTACTTCGCGAGACCTCAGGTTAATGGTGTGGTGCCTCCCCTCTTTCCTGAAATGCTCGTGTTGGACGGCAATTGTCCTGTTGATAGGTTGCCGGCAATAACACCTGCAGTTCCGTCGTAAGCCCTTGGCTAAAGCCTTCTACTGCAAGCCTTCGACTTGGGATCAGTGCCCATTGGCCTCTTAGCTCGTGGGGGCGCCTGGCGAACCAAACTACTTGTCTGGTCAGCACTTCACTCTCTCTAAGGACACGTCAAGTGACGCTGTATAGTATTTGCATATTTGTAGTCGAATCAGCCAGTGCATTGGTGTCCTAGAGGAATCGAGTCTGGTTGAGAACTATTGGCAGCGTCCATTTTCCATTCAAGCAAGCTGAGCTCCCACCCCGGCAACCACAGAATAGGTACTCGGTGACTCTTCTGGTCATTCTGAATCCTTCCTCCCATTAGCCGTTTGCCCACATTCAACCACGTATTTTGACCGAACAGAGCTCGTGTGAACAAGTCGTTACCCACTTCCGGGTGTGGCCAATACTCGCACAGGGTGCCTTCTGACAACCCAGCAGGTCGAGCTAGTACCAGCCTCACTTCGAATCATATACAATCCGTATGTTCTGGAGAGCAGTTGTTGCGGGGGAAGGATGGCTCAATTCGGCTGTCCATTGCCTGCCTGTTATCCTCACGCTTTTGGGAATCTTTTGGGCACAGCAGTATGTCGTGTAACCCTCGAGACGTCGCCGTGTAATGCCCAGCTGGAAAATCCGTGGAGCCCTCCGCAATCTGGGTAACTCACTGTCCCTAACAGCTTCTATCCCGAATGCTCAATATGCATCGGGTCTTCATCTGGATCGGCTTCCTTATCGCCGTCACCCCCATATTTCTGCAGCATTTGTTCCGCGTGGAAGCCAATCTTGTTCACCTTTCGTTCCTGCATTTCCTGCCTGCCCGGGGTCTCTTCGTACGGTGGTGGCAATTCGGGGTGGAAACCATTGTTGCCTTCTCTTGCTCGCTTAGGCGAAGGCTGTCCGTCATCGTCACGAATCCCAGGACTTGAGGTTGACATTGGCGTAAACTCACGCACGGAACTGCTCGACCCTGTCTGATCAATCAGAGGCACATCCTCAAACTCCGTTTCGACCTCCCCCTCGCCAGAGTCGTCAGTCAGTATGCCCTCCTCCTCTCGTAGTTCCTCGGCAAAGGCCTGGTTGTCACGATCCACAAAGTGTCGAAGAGGCAGGCTCAATTCACTGCCTTTGAACTTCATGGCGTTATCGTTGGCATAAACCAGCAGTATGGATTGATGTGTACTCTTCGCCGCTTCAAGCACCTCCTTTTCGCTTACTTTGGATACAGTGTATTGTCTCGACTGTTCGCTTTCCACTGAAGTGTCCCCAGTGGCAGTGGCTCGACCGGTCTGGGCTCGCTCTTGAGTCACAGGCCCAATGACTGGTGCTGGCGGCACCGCACCGCTCTCCTCCTCCAGCCAGGCCATCTTCCACCATTGGCTCTCCAGGTCCTCATTTGAACCTTCCTCGTCGTCTAGTCGTAACAAGTCTTGGTTTGGTCTGCGGACATAAGTGATGTTGGGCATCGTCGATATCCCTTGCAAGGTGTATTTCCGGCACGGGAGATCTGGACTTTCTGAAGTTGGCCAAGTGAGATGGGACGCTGTCTGGCGCATCGTGAATCGAAGTTGTTGTTTTCTCGACTCTAGTTGTTGCAATTTCTGCTGGATGCGCTGAAGGATGCTTTGCAGTTCTGAGCGGACTCCCTCAACCTCACTAGAACTCACAGCATCCTCGTTCATATTCATGTTGTCCTGACCACCATATAGTGCATCTGCCGAGGTCGACTTCTTCCCAGTCACACCTAGGGACGCCTTACTAGCCGAACCGAGGACGTCTCGAACCATTAGTTCCCTGTTGTCCGGCAGCCTCAACACGTCACAGCGCTTTTGAATTGCTGTGCATTGCTCAACTTCCCAGTGAATCTTTCGCAATTCTTGTCTCATTCGCATGCTTGCCTCCCTGCATTCTTGCATATAGCGATCCGGATACCATACAGGATCCAGATGCAGGTTCATTGCAGTTTTGCTAGTATTGGGATCGCGAACGCGGATTGTGAAAACCTCGGCCGCATGATCAATCCAGACATCGTCAATATTTCCTCTCTCGTCATCCCAGACGGTGTTATCCAGCACGTCCACAAGGGTTTGACCCAGTGAGGGGTTGATATAAGGTTCCACGCAGACCATCTCCTCCTGCTGTCGATCGCTCTCCGGACCATTTTCCTTCACAGCAGAAGAGGTGAAGGCCTGTGTCAGTTGTTCGCTGGGATCCTGATGCAGAGCCGCAGAGCTCCATGCTTGCATCACCCGGACAAATGAAGAAGGATCGTTGTTGTTCCGAACACGGTGAAGATCAGCCAGCGCATCGACGCTACCATAAGCACGGTTTGTTTTGTCGAGGAATGCCATCAAGCACTGAATCTCAGCAAGTACATTGCATTCGTCTCGATCAACGCGTAGAGTGTTATCTGTGGACAAGGATTTCGAATTCTCATCATTTGTGCCTGACCACCAACTACTGTCGTGACCATAAGCATGTATTTTGAGACCCGGCATCAGCAAAGCTTCACGAGCCAGGGGAATGCTGTGGTAGATGGTCAAGAGCGGGCCGAGGTAATCCGTTTCTTTGGATCCGCGTAGAAAGGCTGGCTGATCATCAATACGCCGTCGCTTCGAGGGAGGAGGATGATCGATGATTTCTCGCGCCGTAGAAAATGTGGTGAGGGCCCAGTTCGAAGGATCATAATAGTCTCTGTTTGCCGGTCCAAAATGTGCTCCTGTGCCAGTAATCCCATTTTCCTGTGCAGGTACGTTTTGACGTAGGGATTCGGCCATTGCACGTTGGATTTCTGGGTCGTTCATCTCCTCCTGCTCTCTCAAAGTCTTTGCATCTTTCGAATTAGCTACAACTGTGTTAGTAATGGTAGACATGATACAAACGATCAGAAAGTGTACCTGCGGCGTGATCTGCTGACAGGTCGACGAATGGTCTGTTGCCATCGACCCGTGAGGGTGGACGAGACAAAGCAGGCACTCCTCCCATGCTGGAATCGTCGGCAACTATGCGGAAAGCTCATGTCAACATCAGTTTCCAAGGTACATCTCCGTTACCACCAATAACATACAGGGAATATTATCCTGCGCTTGCCATTGATTCGTAGGCGGCTGTTTACCCTCAGTATTGTCATAGTTTTGCGCCGCACAGAGAACTCACTGGCTCCTTCAGAGAGCCTACCGGATCCTCAAAGTAGGCATTTATGGCTGCGTTGACATCGTTATTACTCTTCTGCGGGTTTGGCTTCAGTTTGGTGTTTTGTATTCCGATCTTTTGCTGTGCTCACCATGAGCAGAAATTTGGCAGCTGAATCATCTGCTTGGGTGATCGCAACCACCTGAGATATTTGGTCCTGGGTCGGTTGTGCAGCCGCCATCGCAACTGAGAGGTCGTGGCGGAGCGGACGATGAGAGAGAGGGAATCATATACCGAGTGCTCTCTCAGGCGAAAGGGTGAGACAATCAGGCAAAAGAGAAACCGCAGAGAAGGGAGAGGCAGCAGGAGGACGATTGCCGGTAGCCTTGCTGGAATGATGTGTAAGAACAAAAGCAATAGCGAGTGAAACTGCGCTGCGAAGAATCATACTGCCTGCTTCTCCGTCAAATGATGGAGATCATGCCGTCCGTTTGTCAACTACGTAGTTTATCCGCTGCTACAGCCAATGGATCGCCTGATTGCCATGCTTGGGGCAGCCTTGCCTTGCAGCCTTGCAGCCAGAATGCGACAGTGCTTTAGGTCTATCTAAGGAATAGAGTATCCTTGCCAGATAGATATTTGTCTACAACTCATCATCTGCAAAGTCTTGGATCCATTGTCATATATACAAATTTTATTATTTCATTAATACAAAGTATTGTCTGTTCTGTTCATTTTGTTCAATGATCTATTCCCAACATAGTGACCTTCATAAAGCAGTACGGTATTCGGTATTTCTGACCTCTGACTCGCGAGGGGGTATTCTCCATTCCACATTTCCCTGTCATCAAATACCTAGCTATCCTCATGCCCCATAGCCTGGTATCACAAATCTCAAAACTGGCAAAATGATGAATAGATCGCGTTCGTATGTCGCCTCTGACACAACCCAAAGCCCAGTTTTGATCGCCCAGCTCTCCCCAATGCGAAGACCAATTTAGACTAGAAATCTTTGAAAGCCTCTTCCCATTCTTCACGTAATTCGTCAGTATACCTGCCTCGACCACCTTCACTCTCCTCGCCTTCAACAGGATCAGGGTACTCGTCGAAATTACCTGCATCTCCAGCCCATTCGACTCTCGGTATAATCGGACCTCTTCGCTTCCTATAGTAGATCTCGTCCCAATCCACGCCGTCGAAAAAGTAATGTTCCATTACACGTTTACTGCCACCTGCGATTTGACCCAAGCGTTGCGTGGGATCCGTTTGGCACAACGCAAGAATAAAGTCGCGAGCTGCCCGGGGTACGTGAAGACTGTGACGGTGTCCTGGCTGAGATGGGTGCGAAGTCGGAAAGCGTATGTGGCCAGCAACAATCTGTTCGTAGATGCGCATAGGATTCTGATCCCAGAATGGCGGTTGTCCTATAAGCATTTCGTAAACCAAGATTCCGAGCGCCCACCAGTCGACCGCCGTACCGTGGCCAGTGTTGCGGATCACCTCAGGCGCGAGGTATTCCGGTGTGCCGCAGAGAGTGTAGGTCACACCTGCTCCACTTGCTTGTGGCTCAGGATGTTCCGATGCAGGTTTCGCTGAGGTATGGTTCTGGTTGGGAGTACTGGGGGATGCTTGATCGGTAGTTGGCGGTAGGTATTTGGCGAAGCCGAAGTCAACGAGTTTTAAATGGCCATCTACATCCAACAAGATGTTCTCCGGCTTCAAATCTCGATATGCGACGAATTGTACTTCGTGCAAATACGCCAATATCAATGTGATTTCAGCTGCGTAGAATTGAACGGTAGCAAATGGGAACCGCCGTGCTCGCCGAAGATATGAAAATATTTCTCCCCCGGGTGTATAGTCGAGAAGCATGTATAGCGAAGTGTCATCAGAGAATGATGTGATCAAGGTGGTAATAAAGGGATGCCCTGCGACGGCAGCAAGAACATCCCGCTCGTTGCGAACGTGTTCAACCTGCTTGAGTTTGATCACATCGACCTTTTTCAGAACCTTCAGGGCAAAGACCCTGTCCCTATCCGGCGATTGAGGATGCGCAAATCGACAAAGCCAAACACGAGCAAATGTTCCTGTTCCTGCACCACACTCTGTCAGTTTCATATAAAGAACCACTCGGGCGGCGACAAATTTTCATACCCAGGGTCCGCATCAACTCAAAATCACCGAGCTTCAAATGTTTCGATGATTGTCCCAACTGTTTCTGTTCTGGATCTTTTGAAATTTCCTCCGGAGGCATTACCCCCCGCGATTTCGATGCGTCGGCTTGGTTGATGGCCAGATCTTTCTCGTTCTGGCGACTAGGGTGAGGATGTGAGGCACTTCTGACATTTTGCGGGTTACTGGGTCGCAAATTCTGTCTATGACCTTGAGCTGAGGCCGCTCGCGGCGGCTGCTGTTGCTGCGACGGCTGAAGCGTCGCTGTGCTCATCGGTGCAACCAATTCGCATCTTCCTCAGTCGTGGCTGCCGTACAGGCCTAGGTACATGGCAAAGCACCGGTTGCGCTCATGCGATCACGTATCCAAACGGCAGGTGAGTGCAGACCCAAATTGAGCGAGAAAATAGGATTGTGGCGGAATCGAGAGATCGCGGGACAAAAGTGCAATTGAGGGTCGAGCCAGCAGTCGGTCCAAGCCACCGCGCCTACGCAGTACAATCACAAGAACAGGCAATCACTCAGCAATCGACAACCACAACACTTTCCCAGTCTCGCTGCTCGCCAAGTGGAGTTTGAAACAAAGGGAGCGAGGATGACGAAAAGCGGGATGGATGAGACTGTTGGACCATCTAAAACGAGCAGTGCAAGCCTCACTAGACAGGGGGCGGACCTGCGCGGGGCAGAAAAAGCGAGAGGCTGCAGGTTCGAGACTGCCATACGGGGTACTCGTACAGGCACCATAGGCACTAACTTGGGTATACATATTGTAGGGAACCAACTCAAAGGTCCATGCTTGTGGAACCGAAGCAGTCGAGCTTGAAAAGCACGCTTATTAGGCAGTCGTTCTGATATGTGAACCAATGAAGCATTGCTTGGTGAGCTGGTCGGAATGTCCGTCAGTTGGTCGTCTGTGCCAGCTGCTTCGATCGACAACAGATGGGTTTCAAACTAGACTCGAAGAGGTCTCAGCGGAAGCCAGTCGCTGTCTAATGGTTGTAGGTGAACGAACAGCGCCAGTAGGAACAGTATCTTGATTCCAGGCCTGACGCTGTCCGAGCCGACATGCAGATTTACGCGATCGGCCTTTCCGCACATCTACTCGCTTAATGACACGAAGTTGCCTCCATTTATTGGAGGATATATACATAGCGACATAAAACTACAGTATGCTACGTGTACTATTCCTACTCAATGTTCCGTACTCCGTAGCATTGCCAATATTGTGTCAGGTTGATCAATAATAAAATGTCTGCACAGATGCCACATGCCGTCATTAATGCTGCCCTGTGCCCGACTCTGAACGCCTTTTCTCATATGTGCAGTGACGCTGAGTGTGCGCATTGGGATTTTCCGAGTCCGCCGCTTGTTTTATTGTTCCAATACTCCCTCTCTCTATCTTTTGTAACGAGGGAACCTTGCTGTATGCTTAAAAACGCCCCCAAGACTTTTTGGTGCCATAAAACAAAGCGTATAATTACAATGGAGAAAGCACATATGGCTCTCTATGTGCGCTTCATCCGTTCCTCTGCTGGCTTCCATGATCCTGGAGGGTTGTTAGTCTTCAACTGTAGGCCTTGCTGAGGTCAGGGAGCTTACCATCAAACTCATGCTTTACAAACGCCATAGGGTGATCTGCACCCTCAGCACCCATTTGACCGACTCCGGGACTGAAACTCGTAATGGGCAGCACAATGACATCGCCAATTTTCTTGTGTTCCTTAAGGGCAAAGAAGTCTGAATATGTGATATTTGATCGTCGGGTACTAAAGTCGAAGAAATCCCTGTTATTGAAATATGAAAAGAGGGTATCGGTCCAGACTCCAGGGCCTGTGTACTCCATGATGCTCTTGTGGGGAGTTTGGCCCGCTCGCAGATGGCCAGCTTTTTTCATAGCCAGGGTGTCTTCCGTAATAGAGGCCACAATATCCCTCAACACAGGGTGGCCCGGTTTAGACTGGATCGTCCACTGGCAGAATTGTATCCTTCTAGCATACCATTCGTTCCAATCTGGTCTATCGGGATCAGCTTCGATCCCGACCACCAGACCAACCTGAGACTTGTCGAGGCTCTCGGGAAGCCATTCGGTGGCAGATTTTATTGCTGAAGTGTCAATATCACTGTATATACCACCACGAGCGAGCAAGATCAAGTAACGGAAGAAGTCGGCTTTGAGTACCGGTAGAGGCATGGCTTCGTACGCTTCGACCACATCGGGTGTGGACGCATAGAGATAGTTGATGAGATGAACGGCAGCATCATCCGTGACCACCTCGTGGACGAACCCAGGATGTAATGTCGTCCAAGATGCTTCAAATGGTCTTAATCTTGCTTCGAATTTCCCGGACCCAGGTCCTTCTTTCCACGTTTGCCATACATATGCAGGAAATTTGGTCTCGACATCGTACGGGAAATGGTAGCGTAGGCGCTCCCGCAAGGGCTTCGAAGCAAGGATTCGTAGGGTGCTCTCGTCTGACGTGGTTTTCTGCCCGGCTTTCGGAGGAGGGTACGATCTTGAAGGCTGGTCTGCCGCTTGGGCTGTCGGATGGATCAAGGCAGAATCGGCTGTGGACGAAGAGGTCGACCGCAGGAAGAGGCATAGTATGACCAGAACCACAACAATTGCGGCAAGCCGTCTCGTGTTGGGTGAAATTGTCATGACTGAAGTCGATCGCGAGATCGAACTGGTCTTAGTTTTCCCAATACGGCTGGAAATGTGCAAGAACTATTTTTTGTGAAGATGCTGGATGCAGTTGGCCTCCCACAGAACAACGTGTGCTCTCTTGAAATCAACAGCCCGAGCCCGCGAGAAGACCAGTGCTGCAGACTGATTTAGGGAATGAGTGGTTTGCACATGGCCCTCAAAGTTGTGGTTTGCAGGCGGCGAACATGGCGCTCCCGACTAAGACAGTCGGAAGGAGACGTATGTGTCGTATTAGATGGGAGGGAGACCTCGTGCGGAGTGGTGAAGATCCGACAGCACTGCAATTAGATCCAGAGGATCAAACAAGAAGGATTAAAGGAGAGGACACTTGAGATGGAGAAACAGCAAGCAGGGATCGCCTGGCTGAGCGCGCAACATTACGACGACTGCGATATTATTGTAATAGACTCCCGATGGGCACTCGAACAAGGCCTACTAAGTTTCTATTGGCACTAGAATAACAAATTGACAGGGGTTGAACCTCACTAGGCCTCGCTTTCTGCACAAGCTTTTTAGTACCGGAGGTATTGTCACGGAGTTGTCGAGACTGATTTTCCAACGATGAGCGAGATCTTAGCCTTGTATTATGGAATTTCCACATGATCGTTCCACGACCTTTCGCGCACCATGCGCACCAAGCAACAGATCTCCAAGTACCTTAGACATTGTACCCTGTACCTGTATCTGCCTCTCCGTACGCTCTCAGGAGATATTCCGTGGTGATAAGACACCAGCTGCGCCGCATTGACCTTGAGCTGAATGGTCACCCTGGTGAGCCTTAAACCTTCAGCACTTACAAAATTCGGTCAGCACATACTCCTGCTGAAGGGAATGCTCACGCTGCGCTGACAACATGGTCAAATCTATCCTTCATTATTGGTGTAAAATGTAATCTTCGAGGCCTGGAAGACGTGATTTTGGGAACATGCGCTCATGCTCGTGCTCGTACTCGTACACACCTCTCCGCTGGAAGAAAAATTTACCACTACGGCAGGTTAAGCGACAAAGATCTGCAGCGAATTTCATTGGAGGATGATGATGTGATTTTATAGTCTCGCCTCCTACTCGTACCTCGACCCTCTTGTCGCCGAAATATGTCAGAGGGGAAAATGGAGCCTACATATCAAAAGGCGTCTTCTAGGGTGAAGAGAGGCTTCGTCCTCGATTCTACCACCTCGATTCCCTCACCGCGCTACTGTCCACCATGGCGACTCCTCGTGGTGCTCAAATAGCTGCTCGCCTGCTCAGTCGAGGCTCCAAATCCTTGACGACGAATACCTCGTCTTTTCGACCCAAGTTACCTTGGTCTAACGCTGTGAGCAACAGAAAGATTACAAATGCAAGTTTACATACCCGCTCGCAACACCATGCTCAGGCTGCTGCCGCTCAAGAGGAGGTCGCATGGGAGCCTGCCGAACCATCGAACCCAGCAATGGCATTTCCTTGTCTTGACGCCCAAGAACTGAAGACAGCTGCACTGCAGAGTAGGTCTCTGGAATCGGGTCCAGAGCCTTCCTATACCAGTGGTACACACATGGTCTTCCACAGCCCAACGCCATTATTACTGGACTGGGGTGGTACTCTACCAGAATTCGAGATTGCACATGAAACTTGGGGTACATTGAACGCAGACAAGAGTAACGCCATTTTGATACATACTGGTTTGTCAGCATCCAGCCATGCACGCAGCACCGATGCAAACCCGAAGCCAGGCTGGTGGGAAAAGTTCATTGGGCCCGGTGCTCCAGTCGACACTGACAAGTACTTCGTCGTTTGCACAAATGTGATAGGAGGATGCTTTGGCTCGACTGGTCCCTCGTCGATCGACCCCTCCGACGGTCAGAGATATGCCACCAGATTCCCCATTTTGACCATGGACGACATGGTGCGGGCACAGGCAAGACTATTGGACGGCCTGGGAATCAAGAAGCTGTACGCAAGTGTCGGTGCGAGTATGGGCGGCATGCAAAGTTTGGCTTTCGGTGTGCACTTCCCCGACCGGGTAGAGAAGATTGTTAGCATTTCTGGATGTGCCAGAAGTCATCCATACAGCATTGCCATGAGGCATACTCAACGACAAGTCTTAATGATGGATCCCAAGTGGAATAGGGGATTCTATTACGACAGTATCCCGCCGCATTCTGGAATGAAGCTCGCTCGTGAGATAGCCACAGTGACCTATCGAAGTGGACCTGAATGGGAGAACAGATTTGGACGCCGACGAGCAGATCCTAGGAAGCAGCCTGCTTTGTGCCCGGACTTCCTGATCGAAACCTATCTTGATCACGCAGGAGAGAAGTTTTCGCTGGAGTACGACCCCAACTCGCTGTTGTATGTATCTAAAGCCATGGACCTCTTCGACCTCGGATTTGCCCATCAAGAGCAAACCAAGCTACGCCGCCAGGAGAATTTGGAAAAGATGATGCAACGCCCTGACGTATCGATTCGCAACGACTTATCCTGTAGCCTTACCCTTCCCTCCAAAAACTACGAAGAGCAGGAATCGACAGCACCCATGGACGAGGCAACCAGTTCAATTGGCAGCGAGCCACCACAGGACCTGGTCAAGGGTATGGCTGCTTTACGATCTCATCCTGTACTTGTAATGGGAGTAGCCAGTGATATCCTATTTCCGGCCTGGCAGCAACGTGAAATCGCTGAAACTCTACGGGCTACTGGAAATCATCAAGTCACCCATGTTGAGCTTGGAGAAGACATCAGTCTGTTTGGTCACGACACCTTCCTCCTCGACCTCAAGCATATTGGTGGCAATCTCGCCATGTTCCTGGCCTAAATTTTAGATTCTATTCATGTTCGATACGAGTGTTATAGCGTATAGCGATGTTCAATTCATGCATATGATATTACTAGTACATGATCTCCCACAACCAGTTATCCCTCTAGAAGCACCAAACACCGTTTTATATTTCGCAGAAACCTAGCTAAGCTCATACAACCTCCCAGTGTCAAGGCTTAACTCTTCGAGTTCAGGAGCAACCCAACAATCAAGCCGTAGAGTCCAAGCACCTCGCCAAAAATCAAAATGAGCACCATACCCACGAAAATCCGGGATTGCTGCATGTAGGCTCGCACACCCATGTCTCCCACAATGCCAATGGCATACCCGGCCGCCAACCCCGCCAACCCTACGCTGAGACCACTGGCTAGATGCATGAAGCCTGTGAAGAGACTGTAGTGCTTTGCTGGGGGAGGTTCCATGTCTCCAGCGATCAAGACTGCTATCACAAGAGCATAGACAGCGATAATTCCGGACATGACCACGGGTATCAACGACTATTTTCTTGTCAACTCTCTATAAAACTTTTATGCCAGTGCATATCAGACCTTCATAACCAGATCAGGACGGTATTGACCGACACCAGCAATGCCAATTCCTGATTTTGCCGTTCCATATGCTGCTCCTAAACCTGTGATTTCTTAGTAGTGGAATCATTTACTCGCTTCTCGGGTACAGATCGTACATCCAAATATCATCTGCAGCACGGCCGGCGTTAGTACAGGTATCAGGCAGAATAGAGCGAGTAACGTACCGCGGATGCAATTCCAGCCTGCAAATGGTCAGCTTTTCTTCCTAGTCAGAAGTCCAGGGTAATAACTTGCCATGCCAAAAAAGGGTGCAAAGCTTGGTGTATATTCGTTCACGGGTGTTTCCATGATGCCGGGCATTCTGCCTCTGGTATCAAGGGTCCTTTTCGCTAATTTGAGTTCGAGGTCCGTGGTATGATTGTCACAGGGGAGTTCATAGGAAGTGCGACAACGTTGAGTCGTGTTGGTGTAAATGTGTATTGTAGAGATGTGCCTGCGTTCTTAAGATCACATCACAACCGCAGGCAAAGCTTTGAGGAAGGAGCCAATAAGATTAAGGCGCAGGCTTGTGTCTGTCGGTTGGTCGATCCTCGTTATTCCAACTTGGAACCACAACTGCGAGCACGACGGCTGTAACCCATTCATTCGCAAATTATCTTCACATCCTCAGACCATATTTCTCATTTTTCTTCGCTCTGTTCCTGCTGGCATGGGCGGAGCATGAATTTGTGCAACATCACATGTAATTCTATCCACCTACATCGACGCCCTCCACGACGCACCTCTCAATCTTAGTATCAGCCACCACATTTACTTGTTCATACTCCTATCCCACGATTAACTCCAATACCACGGTGACCCTTACATGCGATAGCTTTTCGACAAGAAATATCCTGGGTGAGGACGAGCAGAAACAAAGAAGAGGAGAGAGGAGAGAATAAAGCACGGCCTCCCAAGAAACCCCCTGTGAACTCCATCTCACCGCGCTCGATGCACCCTCGGTGACATTCATTCCTCTTCTAAGGCTACCCTCCCTCTGCTATCTCTTCGCTGAGTATGGCAGACTATGGTAGTCCCGATTCGCGCTACCATGCTTCGAGAAGCCCAAACTATGGTGGTCCCCCGGCCGACCGTCAGAGAGATGCTGCTTTCCACAACATCTTTGGCGGAGCGCCGCCTCCAGGAAGATCACAGACAATGACAACCCAGTCGTCAGGGATGATGTACGATCGCTCCAACAGCTTGAGCATGGGTATGCAGCCAGCCCAACACACAATGTCTATGCGACAGGGACCGCCTCCGCCCATGCGACATCCTCCACAGAATTACGACCGTGCAAACGGCATCGTCCCAGCTCAGCCCTACATGAACGGCACAGGTAACCCAAGACCTATGCCGCATAATCCCCCACCCATGTTTCCAGATCGGAGACCATACCCCCCTCCTCAACGCATGGATCCACGATCAGGAGGACCGCACATGATGCCCAATCCATATGAGCGCAGGCCTCTTCCCAACAGAATGCCTCCTCCGGCACTGAATAACGACTCCTACAGATCACGATCTATGGTGAGACCGGGTGAGCCTACCATTGGTTACCGACCTCCACCCAATAGTTTCCAACAAGGTACGGCTGGTGCCATTCGACAGCAACCTTATGCTGGAATGGGTCCCATGGGTCCATCTAGAACGACTGCGCAGGGCCGGCACATCCCTGAACGTCCTGACGATCGCGCGATGTCCATGGGTACATATTCATTTGATCGTGATCACACACAACAGTTGACTAGTGGAAGGGTTGTGCCTGGGAGACGTCGAGAAGCAGAAGGTGATCCCTTTGCAGATCAGGTATCTGTTCAAGGGTCTTTCAATTCAACCAGCTCGCCGGCGTACGTGCCGACACACCGTGCACGCCGCCCTAGTGAGAGCAGCGCAGCCCCGCCACGGACGGTATCATCGGCTTCTATCGCTTCTGGTTCTTCTGATCTGACGGGCACAACGATGAACGGGTCACGCAGTGATAGTATGAAGCAACGCCCTGCACCATCCAGTCATTCCTCAAGTCAGAGCACGACGAGCACCGTTGTTCAGAGAAAGTCCCCATTGGTGTACCCGGCTCTTCTCTCACGTGTCGCCAGCGCCTTTCAGGAACGTATTGGTGTCGGTGACAGGGAGAAGAACGACTTGTCTTACAAGAACGCCTTTACAGGTGCGGAAGCTGTTGACCTGATTGCTTATATCATCAAAACTACCGATCGCAATCTGGCTCTGCTGCTTGGGCGTGCTTTGGATGCGCAGAAATTTTTTCATGATGTTACCTATGAACATCGACTAAGAGATGCACCTGGAGAGGTTTACCAATTCAAAGAAACCCTTGGAGAGGAGGCATCATCAAAAGACGTCAATGGTGTCTTCACCTTACTCACAGAATGTTATTCTCCCACTTGCACAAGAGACAATCTCTGCTACTCTATCGCATGTCCGCGAAGGTTGGAACAACAGGCGAGACTTAATTTGAAACCACAGCCGGGTCTGAGACACTCCAATTCAAGAGGCAGTCTTCACGACAATGATGACCAGGAACAGAAACTCTGGATCAACAGCGTACCAAAAGAAGTTGCCGATAGAATTGATGATCGCGAGAAAAAGAGACAAGAAGTCATCTCTGAGATCATGTACACAGAGCGTGACTTCGTCAAGGATTTGGAGTATCTACGCGACTTCTGGATAAGACCGTTGCGCGGGTTGGGCAATGTGGCATCTCCGATCAAAGAAGAAAAGCGTGAAAAGTTCGTGCGCACGGTCTTTGGCAATTGTCTGGAAGTTCTTGCAGTCAACGGGAAATTCGCAGACGAATTGTCCAAAAGACAAAAGGAGCAGCATGTGGTACAATGTATTGGAGATGTCTTTTTGAAATGGGTTCCCCAGTTCGACCCATTTATCAAGTATGGTGCCAATCAAATGTACGGCAAATATGAGTTCGAGAAGGAGAAAGGAGCAAATCCCGCATTTTCTCGCTTCGTCGACGAGACCGAAAGACTCAAAGAGTCAAGGAAGCTGGAGCTTAATGGGTATCTCACGAAACCAACGACTCGTTTGGCTCGGTATCCACTTCTACTCGACAATGTACTGAAATACACCAAGGACGACAACCCTGATAAGAAGGACATACCCAAAGCCATCGGAATCATCAAGGACTTCCTGGCTCGAGTCAATGCTGAGAGCGGCAAGGCTGAAAACCACTTCAACCTGCTGCAACTGAATCAATCGCTCAAGTGGAATCCAGGAGAGTATACAGACCTGAAGCTCACTGAGGAGAACCGTGTCATCTTGACCAAGATGGGTTTCAAAAAGTCCCCGACCGATACTGCTGAAGTACAGGTTTACTTGTTTGACCATGCCGTCCTGATGTGCAGGGTCAAAACCGTGAACAAGAGAGAAGAATTGAGAGTCTACCGAAAACCAATTCCCCTGGAACTTTTGGTTATTGCCGAAATGGATCAGGTTATTCCTCGATTGGGTATCGCAAAACGGCCTTCCTCAAGTCTCATACCCGGTGCCAAATCATCGGCATCGAGCACTCCAGGTCAGAAAGAAGTGTATCCCGTCACCTTCCGTCACCTTGGTAAAGGTGCTTATGAGCTTCAACTCTATGCCACCTCCATTACCCAACGTAAGAAGTTCATTGAACTGGTGGAAGAGCAGCAGAGTAAGCTTCGAGAGCGCAGCAGCGATTTTTATACCAAGTCGATTCTCTGTGAAGGCTTCTTCAACGCCCAAAACCGAGTCAATTGCCTTGTGCCAACTGATGGTGGGAGAAAACTTATTATTGGTACCGACAACGGGATCTACATTGCCGATCGATTTACCAAGGATAAGTCGATCAAACCAAGACGAATCCTTGATGCCACTCAAGTGTCTCAAATTGACACTTTGGAGGAGTATCGACTACTTTTGGTCCTCTCGAACAAAACACTCACTTCTTATCCGTTCGAAGCACTCGATGCGAATAATCAGAACCCTCTGGCGACACGACCTCGAAAGATTCAAGGCCATGCTAACTTCTTCAAGGCTGGGATTGGTTTGGGTAGGCATTTGGTTTGCTCTGTCAAGACATCGGCTCTGTCAACGACTATCAAAGTATACGAGCCTATGGATGACCTAACAAAAGGCAAGAAGAAGCCAGCTATTAGTAAAATGTTTGCGAGCGGTCAAGATGCCCTAAAGCCTTTCAAGGTAAGTTACTCCCTTGACTCGTAGGCCCCCCTTACTAACCCATCCAAGGAATTCTACATCCCTGCCGAATCCACGTCGGTACACTACCTAAGATCAACGCTATGTGTTGGCTGTGCCAGAGGCTTCGAAGTTGTGTCTTTGGAAACCACAGAGCGGCAATCACTTCTCGACCAAGCAGACACGTCCCTTGACTTCGTCACAAGAAAAGAAAATGTCAAGCCAATTCATATTGAGCGTCTTAACGGCGAGTTCCTGCTCAACTATTCGGACTTCAGTTTCTTCGTCAATAGGAATGGGTGGCGAGCTCGACAGGACTGGAAGATCACCTGGGAAGGAACTCCACAGGCATTTGCTCTGAATTACCCCTACATTCTTGCCTTCGAGCCGAGTTTCATTGAGATAAGACACATCGAAACTAGCGAGTTGATTCATGTCATGACCGGCAAGAACGTAAGGATGCTTCATTCCAGTACCCGCGAGGTAAGTCATTGAACTGCGCTTGATATGTGATGCCTATCCTAACACTATACAGATTCTGTACGCTTACGAAGATGAGAGCGGTGAAGATGTGATTGCCAGCCTCGATTTCTGGACTCAAGCTCAGGCTTGAGGGTGGCAGAGTTCAACGTGTATTCTTCTTACTTTATGGGGTTGAGGTCAGCTAGAAGCAATTGGAGCGAAATGCTCCCGGTTGGAAGAATGTGTAGATGGAAACGAACTTGATCTCTTCATACGAGCTCAAGAAGGATATGAGACCATGGGAAATTATGTTCAGTGCTACCGACAACAATTGATTCTAGGGCAAGTTTGGACGAGGAACGCTGGAAACTAGAGCTCTAGTCTAGGACCTTTAAATGGCCGCTTAAGGCTTTAGACATTGTTTATTCGGCTTCAGAGAAATCATAGGATCCTTTCAATATCGTCACATATTTGTAGAAATGCGTATCAAGCGTCGCCTTGTCATGACACTGGATAGCTAGGCAGGTATCTTCGAAGCACGATAGGCGAAATATGATACCGAAGAGTGACCGAGAACGGAAAGGAGGACGATGACATTCTCGCAGATCTTTCTTGGACGTCTGAAAAGCTCAATATGACTGCACCGTTTCGTTTCAGAGCGTCATCCCACAACATGTGCCCAGTACACATACACCTCACTTCACTCGACTTGTTCAATTTTGGTCAAATTGAATCTCTTGCGGATGTTGTCCAGATTCAAACCTCGGAAGCACTGAAATGAGAGGAGTCGATGGCTACGAAACAGAACAACCGTACGGTGAGGAGATAGGTAGGCTACCAATTGGGTCAAATGGGAACCGTACCTGGATGTACGTTCGAATGAGATACAGAGTGCCTCTGATTGTGAAAAATCTCAACAGCATGTGCTGTCAGCTGCTTAGCTGCCATGACCGGGGATAAATTCGATGTCATTTCTCGATGGGCTGTGTCCACCTTCACCGGTCTGATGATATCTGACTCGTTGGAAAGATATATCCACAGCTTGCCCTCCAACTCGGACTGACCTGGCATACGCCTCTTCTTTTACTTCGTGTGGAAGCTCTCTCGGCGAAGAGATGAGACGAGTCAATGGGAGAGCATCTAGCATCCTTAGCATCCCACAAGAAGCTCAGCACAGTTGCCAGCACATCTTGCATATTTGACGGCACGGATCGTCAACACGTCAGACCTTGGCTTAAAGTCACAAGAGTGTCGAAATTGTCCATTCAGAGGCCCCAGGCGGAACAGTCTAGGGCACACATGGCGTGGCATGTTTGCAGAATTGGGCTGACCGGACGAAACCTTAGCAGGGATACCATTGTACAACCTGAGAGCCTTGGGATCGAACCGGACCCGTCCGAAGAGCGTCCTAACAGGGTGGGATGCTATCAACGCCCGCTCCAGGAAGAAGCGAGTGATTGGCTTGGGAGAAGTAGAAGGGGAGCCGTGCCCACGCAGCATGAGAGATGTTATCACACAACCTACAGGCCCTTTGGACGGATAGTGGATCATCTTCTTGCATTTTTCACACGGGCGAACGAGCGAGCGAGAGGACGTGGGACGGGTCCTTTCTCGTCTGCAGGGACAGGTTCACCTCATTCTCGATTACCTGAATCTAATGGTCCATGAATTCCTCTTCTCACCCCACGGGCTTGCAGGGCATGGATGCCTGACCACTTGAGCAAGAGAAGCGTGGGTTCGAGGGAGGTCGGGACTGGGTCAAACAATTGCACTGCATGCAACTTTGAATCAGACGACCACACAAAGCAATCTGGAGAGGGTATATAAACCCATCCCCGAGAACGCTAGAGATGTATCTTCCTTTTCTTTTTTGTTTCCTTCACGACAAAACTTGTTGCGTTACTGACATCAAAACACAAACGACACAAACATAAAACCCAAAAACAGTCTCTCTCGTCTTACTTACCCTCGAGACCCGGACACCTTAGTCCAACAAACAATGGAACCTCACTGCAGTACCTGTGGCCATGATGCCTCTGGATGCAAGGGATGTTCTTGCTGCACTGTATGTTTTGTCCCTCTTTGTCTCTTTCGGGTCATATCATCATCTTCCCGTGTACATGTTATGTACCTTTGGCTAACACGCTAATGTCTTTTTGTTGAAGCATTGAACGGTAAACACTCTCTGTGGCGAGCAATTGGTGTGGTGGTGATATGGGTGTTGCTTGTCCTTCAATATGCTTCGGACCGTGATGTATATTGTTGGGATAGACAGACAATATATAAACACACTGTCATGATCGAGTAGAGCCTTTGTCGGTGGGATCTCAGAGAGTCTGCGGTGGACGTGGACGCCACATCAATCAATCACCTTTCGTCCTCGTGGCAGCAGAGGGGGGATATGACCTAGATAAGCTAGTCTTTGTTCAGTTCGAACAATCAGTCACTCTTTTTTGGAAAATACAAATTTCTGTCTTTGCAGGAGAAGAGGGTATCGTTGTCATGAATGTCTTCGTGTATACAAAACACTCATCTTGTATCCGTGGATGTGATACTACTGTATCACACCAGCCAGACGGCAACAAAAAGGAAATGAAGAGGCAATATGAGGAAGATGGTTATTCACCGATGGCATGACCATGACCATCACCAAGTATATATACCCATGGACTCTGATCTATTCGAAAGGGTAATCAGGGACACAAAAGTTACGATTTATGCCTACCTTGGTCTAGCGAGTCGTAAGGTCCTCACTTTTCGTAAATATCCGTGTGTACACAAGTCTCGACGCTTGATTCGACCCATGAATATGAATGACATGTGCAGTATTTTTTTTTGGCGCGGCTAGGTCGAGTCTGTACAGACAGGGAGTTCTGTGCTTGTGTTCTCTTGGGCGAGTTACAGTATTGGATGGGGGGAAAGATGATGGGTCGATGTTTTTGGGACGTGTCACGAGGCTGAGAACCATCTATCAATCAACCTCGTCGACGTCGGGCTTCATCTGTCCACACTCTTGACCTCCCTCACCTGCAAAGACATCCATTCCGTATGTAAGCTGATTACTGGTACATCGCACGCATCACTTAACGTCTATCAAACTCGTGACAATGACTCAAAAATCCTTCTTTGGCGCATCTCTAACACCATCGCCGTACTTGTTTGGTGCCGTCTTTGCGGCGTCCTTGTCGGCCACAAACAGTTCGACCTCCCTACTGTCCATGTGTTTCATGACATTATCTGCCTGCCACTTTTTGAAATTGAACCCAAGACCCTCATCTGGGGATTTGCAGTTCAGTCCACGTCAGCCGAATGGTCGGAATTTTTTTGGGGTTGCTCTGAGATTCATCACTCACGGGAATAGTCCTTTTCGTTCGCCTGGTCCTTGTGATACTTGACCCTGACAAAGTCCGAATCCAGCGTGTCGGGATCCAAACTCAGACTCACCAGGGCATTGATGACGGCGGTCTTGGGGATCCCGCGGAACGTCCAACTCTGTTCGTTCTTGAACTGGATCAGGTCCCGGTCGTTGCGGACGACCTCGTACCCCAGGTTCTTGCTCTCGTCGAACAGTTTGGGCAGGGCGAACCACTGGCCCGCCATCTTGTAACGGTCGTTGGCGTAAACAAACTGGTCGTCGTACACGCAGTCAGGGGTGTAACGCTTCACGCGCTCCGCCGTGGGTTCGCAAGAGTAAAGAGCGATGATGTCGTCCATGAGGGCCTGCCGGTTCGGCGGCAAACGGATCGATCTCGACGGGTCGGGTTTCCAGTCGGCCGAGCTGGACGTTTGACGGACCTCGAACGCCTCTCCCGGCGTCGAGCCGTCGTTCTGGGGGAAGTTGGTCGACGAGTCGACGTGGGCACCCGACGGGTTGGACATTGTCGTCGATGTTTCGAATGAGCGGACGAAAGGACCCCTGGAAAGAATTAGTCGTCGTGCGATGCTGATGTCGAGATTCGCTCGCGGCTTGAACGCACGCACTCGATGTGGGCGAGTCAATGATTTCATACGCAACGATGCGTCCTGGCTTTGTGAACAGGAAGGACTCTTCTGGCAGCAAATGAAGAGAAGAATTTGCGAGATAACACTCGTGTAGGTCGAATGTGAGCAAGTTGGGGTGCAAGAAATGATTCGCATATCAGCCTACCATTGTCATCTGGATATGTCTAAATAGAGCATCAGATGGCATGATGACGCCTAGAATACAATCCCCGGACGTGTCTTGACGTACCTTGATATCAAGCTCCGCATATCAATTCAACCTTGTCTGGCCGAAGGGTCAGATGTCCCTGCGAGCAAACATGTTTATATCACGTCATGACTCGAGAAACCAGAGTCGGAAAGCCGAAGTCCGGAAAAAGCATCAGCTATCCATATATTCGAACGATGCTACACATCTTCTATCGAAGCCTGTAATCGAGAATACAAGACTTAGGAGAAAGATGTGAAGCTCTGACTGTCCACAATAGCAATGAAATTTCAGAAATCTTCGTCAACCCTCAAACCGTCAATATCAATTCGCTTTCCCAATCTTCTTATTGTGCACAACATATCCTTCATGGTCTTTGAAAATCATGCTTGCGGCTGCTTTTAAAACTGTCCAAGGCCGCCTCTCCTAACTCGGAGCAGTTCCTCTAACCTTTTCAATGATCTGGTTGTCTTGAGCAAGGAGCAGGCTCGTCATTGTTGCTCATAAAGCACGAGTTTAGATGACGTTTTTCATCATCACCAAACGAGCTCCGTGTGTTGGTTTCCCTGTTGCCATCTTTTCGACTGATTCGGACTTTCAAGGCACAAAACCATCATATCAGTTCGAGTGGAGCATGCGCATTGCTCGAGCGAAGGACCACCGTAACTGCCGGTGTGTCGTCTTGTGATTCTTCCAAGTGCCCTCAGCAGTCACCTGTCGAAGAGATGCTCATTACCATGTCCAACGACTACAATTCCCCAAGGTGCGGCAACGGCGTTCTGATAGAGTTATGACTGAGCAATTCATCGAGAGGTGCTCGGCATGTAAGCACTTCGTGATCAACTCAGTATGTCTTTCTCACGTTGTTCATCAAGTTTTTCAGCTTCCGAGATACTTTCTCCAGCCGTCTCTCCAGACTGATCTCTGACCTTCATCTGCGATCCCAGGGCGTTCACCCACTCTAAAACGTTCCCATCGAGCATCTCGGCCCGTGCCGATACAGATCATAGTCGCATTGTCAATCCATCCCAGAATTCCTTTCTGTGGCCGATGTGGTAACGATCCCAGAGCAGGGAGGTAAGATAAGGTTGACCCGTTAATCCCTACGTTCTCATCGCCCATTTCGAAATGTGCAGACGCAAAGGAGTAGATGTCGGAAAAGACACGTGGGAGTAGCGGGATCTTGGACAAGAAACCCCATTTCTGGTTCGTTGAGCCTTCCTCATCACCTGGAACATGGGGTGATTGTGATCGGCGCGGGCTTCTCGGGCTTGCGGGCTGTGGGATTGAGGATATGGGGAGATCAAAGACATGGAGAGTCGACTTGTCAGAGGTTACCGCAAGCATGCTTGAATTCGGAGAAATAGCAATGCTGAAGATGTAGGCAGGGTCTACGCCCCTTCGTAATTCGGCAATCTTGGTACAGTTTGATGTCGAAAACACTCGGATCAAGGTGCCCTGCTCACTGGCCGTGGCGAGGAGCTGTCCATCTGCACTCAAGTCCATGGCTCGTAAAGCCGAGGTATGCGCCGGGATGATACTAACATTGCCTGATGCGAGCTCAACCAACTGTACTTTACCCGGCGAGCGACCTGGAAATGCCACCACACTCGCACCTAGGCAGCACAGTCCCAAAGGATTGTCCGCAGTTTCAAAGATCGCTGTTCGTTCAGGAGGCGAGGAGAATTTGTACAGGTGTATGCTATTTTGGATCGCAATCGCAATCCATGATTTTGTCAGTCGGACACGGAGGACTGCAGTCTTCAATTCAAGAGTGACCGCAACCTTCTGTTTCGCGTCGTCCCATATCATGACCTAGGTGGTGTATCAGCCCCTCGTCCCTTTGGGTGTTATTCCAATCGCACCACGGCATACTTTTGTTTGTGGCCACCTGGGATTCTTTCCGCCTCCTACGAGTGCCAGATAGTTGTACCGCCCCAGCATTTCCGCAGTGCCAATGCCGGCATTAAGGTCTGTTCGTTCTTAGTCGGAGAATGAATATAGGCCAAGAGATCGTACCTCTGGAGGCTTTCAACTCGCATGGATCGGAGTTGAACACTCAGCAAGGTCAGCATGTGCACCATTACACTTTGTCAGCCATATAAATACCACAGAAGCCTGTCTCAAGGCCAACAGCAAAACAACTTGCATCATTGTTGAAGGCCGCAGACAAAGCAATGGATGCAGGGGACTCGTCAATGATGGGTCGTGTATTCATCTTGGTGTGAGGATGTGTCACCGGATCATGATGTGCAACGAGGAAGTGGGCGACGATGGTGGTCGGAATCAAGATGCCTCAAGAGTTGCTGGGAGCCCTGATGGAAGCGATTGTCAAAAGTCCATGGTGGTTTGTTGTTTGAATGTTTGGACGGGACGAAAGCCAGTGAAGCAAAGGCGCGGGCTTTTTGGTGTCGTTTGTCGATGATCAGAGCCGCCTAAAGTAGATAGTGGCCGGGGTGCCTTAGGAATCCCTGCGTTGGCTAAAGATGCCTGCGTTGCGCCTAAGAATCTCGCTTAGACTTGTGCAAGAAATAGGCTTGACAGGCGCAAACGCACGCCCATGTTGATTATCCAAGACAAGGCTAAAGCCTGCTGACCCAGATATCAAGGAACGAGTCAGCGTGACGCACCCTCATGATGGCGGTGGCTGTGCACTGCATCCCGAACTCCATCTGCCAAACAGCATGTCATTAATTGAATTAATTGAATTAAAAAGTCCACGCGACCATGCATCATTGACCATGTAAAAAAGCAGCACAACATCCCATCCAGCATTCTTTCTATCATGTATGGTGACCTTAAGTTGCTGATTTACAGCTTCATGCAATGCTAAGCTGCCCGCCACCAAACGGACTCCCTTGGCGGTCATGAGCTAATGCACGAGGCGCTTTGTGATTGTGGAAAAGAGCTTCTCTAGGGAACAATCCCTTGTTAGACAGCAATGTCCTTAAAACCCGACAAGTCTGATGGAAGCAGACTCTCCCCTGAGCCATGGAAGTCCTCAGATCCTTGGGGACTGAAGCCGTCTCAGCATGGAGCACCACCAGGTGCTTATCCATCATCGCCAAATGCTCAAGATGCTCGGTTTATAGCACCTCAGTCGCTGTCTGCCGCCGTCCGCGCTCGCAAGAGTGATTATGTCCGGAAGAGGTCGATGAAAATCAAGATTGGTAGCTGGAATGTGGCCTCGATCAGTGGCACAGAGAAGGACTTAGGCGCCTGGTTTATTGGAGGTAACGGAGTGAGGGGTCTGTCTCAAAATTTGTCTGGCGCAAACCTCGACGATGACGACGATGGTGACTCTGACAGTGACGAGCACATTGAGTCAATCGAGTCTCAGGAAGCCCGTACCAGGAACGAGAAAAAGAAGACCACCGTGCCAAAGCACGATGTGCCAGGCGAGCCCAATGGTGAAGACATTGACCTGTACGTCCTGGGGCTACAAGAGGTCATTGATGTGTCTTCCATGACCGAAGCAATTCGGCCATACACTGATCCCAATCCTGGCAAAAAGTGGAAACGAGCCTTGAAACGAGCTCTTCCCCGTGGTTATAAGAAGGTTGCAGAAGAGCAGCTTCTCGGGCTACTTCTCTTGATTTACGCCTCGCCAGAAGTAGCTCCTTCTATCAGCTCCGTGAGCACAACGTCTGTCGGAACTGGGTTGATGGGTTATCTCGGGAACAAAGGTGCAGTCTCGGCCAGACTCATGCTGGCTGAGTCGACGCGCCTGTGCTTTGTCAATTGCCATCTGGCGGCAGGAGCTGACCTGACTGCCTTGAATCGCCGTATATGGGACACAACTCAGATCCTAAATCGTACTCGATTTGCGCCTGTCAGTACAGACGGGGAGGGCACCTTTGGCGGGGAAGAAAAGATTGGCGATGAGGATCTCGGGTTTTGGTTCGGTGATTTGAACTATCGACTGGATGACATTCCAGGCGAAGACGTTCGAAGGCTGTTATTATTGCACACTCGAAACGAATATGACGTGGAGAACAAGTCAAAACGACGGATTGACAGCGAGCTCGGCTACGTGAGCCCTCCTCCAGGTGATTCTTCGAAACAGGAGAATACACACTATGAGATAAGTGATGTTGAGAGACCTGCAACTGCGAGCGATGCTGAGCCTCCACTCGATCCCAAATCCGACCCTGCCTCTCTTCATGTCACTCTCCAATCGCTCTTGGCACATGACCAGCTTAAACATCAGCAGAAACTTCGGAAAGCATTTCACGAAGGCTGGCGGGAAGGCGAAATCAACTTTTTGCCAACCTACAAATACGACGTGGGCAGCGTGGGCATGTTTGACTCGGGAGAGAAGAAGAGAAGCCCCAGCTGGTGTGACCGTATCCTCTATCGCACTCGTCATGACATAGAGTTGTACGAGGAAAAAGCGAAACAACTCGAAGAAGCTCGCAAAAAGGATGAATCCATGAAAGCTCGCGGGATCGACCAAGCCAGTGCTGAGCAGGATGTTTTGTTTGACTATGATCCAGATGCCGACGGTATGGCCTACGGTGATGATTATGACGAATACGACGAACGTGACGATGCCCGTAATGACGCCGAGTTAGTCCGTACGCATGAAGACTATGGCGACATGATTGAACTCAACAACTATATCTCGCACCAACGGGTGTTATCTTCAGACCACAAGCCGTTAGATGCTGTATTCACTGTGACTTACGATGCAGTCATACCGGAGCTGAAAGCGAAAGTACACCATGAAGTGGCTCGAGAATTTGACAAAGCCGAGAACGAAGGCCGTCCTGCATTGACAGTGGTAGTTGATCACCACTCCGATGAACAGAACTCGAATGCTGACGGTTCGGCAGACATGAATGCCGTAAGCTTCGGTGATGTTCGTTATGCTTTGAGAAAGACGAGGGCGATCACCGTAGCAAACACTGGACAGATCACAGCGTCCTTTTCTTTTGTCGAGCGGCCTGCGGGACCAGAGAATGAGGCTTCAATAGCACCACCATGGCTGGAAGTGAGGGCCGATCCAGAGATAATGCAACAGCCAGTCAAAGGCCGCCATGACCCGAGAGGACCTATGAGCCTACTTCCTGGGGAAACAACAACAGTCGAACTGATAGTCGACATCACTGAAGGCGAGCTAGTGAAAGCACTGAACTGGGGAGAGGAGGAACTTGATGACATATTGGTGCTTAGAATCGAGAATGGACGGGATCATTTCGTTCCCGTAAAAGGAACATGGCTACCCTCTGCCTACTTCCGCTACCTTGGGGAGTTGGTGCAGGCGCCCGAGGGCGGTGCACGTAAACTGCAGCTGCGAACATATTCAGGACACAATGATCAGGCTTTTGCAGGACAACACTCTGCGCCTAAGGAGCTGTATGTTCTTACCGAAATCATTCCTGTATATGTCGAACGCTCGGTTGCAGAATGGGGAATGCTTCATGACCGGGACACTCCACCTTGGCAATATGAGAATGTGGGCATCTATTGGCCGTTCTACAAGGAAACCTGGACCTTCCATGAAGGCGATGAGCGTTCAGATATGCTAGCATCAGTCCGTGAGGCACTTGACACAGCAAGTCCACTCGAAGCCAGTCTCCACGCTGACGTGCCCTGTATTGTAAGACTGGAAGTCCTGGTCGAGGTATTGGTATCGTTCCTCCAGTCTTTGCAAGACGGCATTATCCCTGCAGAGGTGTGGTCCGAGGTTGAACGTCGCCTGTCAAGCATGGAAAAAGCGAAGGTCCAGCCTCAACCAGAAGGCCTTCAAGATATGATCATGGATCCCTTGTCGCATCATCCCATCCACAGCGTGTCTTTCACGTTCATTACGTTCTTGTTGACCCGGCTCATCAATGAACTTGTCCCTTGCGGGATCCCAATTTCTGGCCCAATTACACATTCGACCTCTCCTGACCCTTCAAGACGCTCACGAGCGTCAACCATGTCTTCTGAATCGGGGAAAGAACCGTCAATATACTCAGAGGAAGCACTGCCGGGCAAGAAAGGGTTGTTTTCTGCTCTCCGCCGTCGACGGACCCAGAGTATCTCCTCGGTATCAGCCACCGGAACAGAGCAAGATGCTGCTGATCCAGAACGACGAAGCAAGCTTGTTGATTCGATTGTGGAGATATTCGCACCCATTGTCATCCGCTCGGAGAACGACGACAAACTCAAGGGCAAGGACAAGAAGGTCTTGGACGCGCGGAAGAAGAGAGTACTCGAGTCATTCCTCGACATGAGGCAACCTTAGGAGGGCGGCCATGTGATTCTTAATTGTGATCGGGGAAGTATCGAAGTTGCTGTCTCGCATACGCCAAAGAGATGCCACTCCTTGCTACGTAGCACTCGCAGCCTGTCTATGATACGACTACAACGCGAGAGGAGATCTACCGGGCATTCCGTGCGACCTTGGCGTTCTGATCAGGGCATTGACCCCGGAGTGAATAGAATAGATTCAGGACGTTCATCAGTGGACTATACCGTCCTACCTAAATAGACAACTAATAATAAAGTGATCTTGAAACTTTTGCTTTTGAATACTCGCACAAACGCATCCGCCCTCCAGACACGAGGCTGAGCAAGGCTGCGCATTTCTCAGTGAGGAATGAATTTCCTTGACGTCATATCCACCATTTGCCTGGGAAATTTCACCTTATCAGCAAAAACCTCTCAATACAGTCCGGATTGCGCCCTTTTTTCAAAGTCCTTTGTCAGCGATCTTCCTTTCCAAGGGTCTCGCTAGGCCTGACCAAGAGGAGAAAAAAAAAGACTCTCACATGCTCGATCTTCAGGTTGATATCGATACTATTCATGTCCTTTCCAAAGGGAAAGGAATTGCGCAATCCGCTCGGCTGAACAAAGTGTGAGCGATATTTACTTGCTTTCTTTTCCTACGGGTCACGACGCAGGGCGTGTAAAGATGACGCAAATCTTCTGTTGTTCATGCATTCCGTACGGACACAGCACGTTTTTCTTGTTAGAGGCATGAGATCCTTGACATGGTGACGCATATATATATATGACCCCCTTTGTGTTGGCCCTTTTGCCTTGAACTTGTTTTTTCACATCATCACCGACCACAATAAAAAACGTCCTGGAACACAATACGGGACATACATAGTTGTACACTTGAACCACAACCCTGACAAGAAAGAAAGAGAGAGGTTCGATCCTACCTTGACCTTTTGTGTGCCATATCAGAGGTATCGATACACAATTACCTAAAAAAAAATGCAAATCAAAAAATACATTCCCGACTTTCTCCTCCCGACGGACGAGCCAGGCGCGCCGCCGAGGATCTACGATGTCCCATTGAGGAGACCGCACTTTCACAGATCCCAAGTGGGCAATGATGATGGTGAGCAACAGACCACCACGACGTCCACAGTAAACCGAAACAGTACGAGTAGTAATGGCGTCGCCGGCGAGAGAAGACGGAGCAGTGACGCAGAAGCCCAGGGCGAGAGAAGAACGAGTTGGCATCCCGGTATGATTTTCGGTCGTTGAACAATACGCGTCCAACGAGTCCCAGCGACGCTCTCTCGAGAGATATGCTTTGTCCGATTTCCCTGACGGCATTGAAATGGTGGCACTTTTGCTCTGCGATTACCACTAGGTGACCTATGGTTTTTCAACGATGAGCATGAAGGGACGGGTTTTGTACTATTAGCGAGCGAACCAGCAAACGGGATTGGCGGCATTTTGCAAACTTTGTATCCTCAACAAGGAATGATTGGAACAACGATCTCTCGACAGACTTCACATGTTTATGTATGAGTATGTACATACTAATCCTGATCTGTACATATACGATATTGATATCATAATACTATCGACCAAACCATCTCGTATCCCCCCAAACTTCCACACCGGTTAATTTCCATTGCTTTGAAATACTACTACGCCTCATCGTGTTCCCAGAAACATCGATTACATGTTGGCAACAAGTCCAACGCAGGGGCGAGTTCATACTGGGAAAACAAAAATGGGAAGAACTGAAGCTCGAGAGTGAACGGTTCTGTCTTCAATTGTTACAATTTGAAAATTAGAAAACACACAACGCTGTAAATCAAAACTTAAAAACACTCAAACTATTCATATACACAGATGCCGCATGTTGGCCCCCTCCGGTCTGCCATTTCATGGGAAGTCATTGACACAAGTCTTCTTTTTTTTTGCGGCAACGCTGTCATTTGAGGAAACGTTTTGCTGATGATGACCGTTCGATCAAAAAGAAGAAGTATCCAGGTCACGACGACCACGATTTACAGAGACCGAGTGTCCATTGACAGCCCGAGTCCCACGGCAAATACCCGGCCAAGTTCCACGCCGATAACCACGACCACGACCAAGACGCATGAAACGCTAATTCCGGCCCTTTGGGGGAGGTACCTGCTTTTTGCCCACTATTTCCTTCTGAAGCGCCTTCCAGTCTACCACACGCGCCAACTCCGCAACTCGATAATGCGGAGCCGGATCCATTTCCTGCTCATCGCCCGTGAAAGGATCCTAACTTATCGTCTTTGAGTATGAGAAATTTCCGAAGCCCCCGGGTGTGATGCTTCCCATCATGCCGCCGTGAGGCACCGGTGTGTGCGAAGAGCCTGCCATGCCGATGTTGCCGGTCTGGGGAGTCGACGGTGTTCCGTTGTGGTTGTAGAAGGTGGCGCCATTCATGTTGGGAGCGCTGACACCGCCGGTGGGCATTTGTGCATTCAAGCCCCAAACTTGGAGCCGGTATTTGTCTTCTTCGATGACCCCGTTGAAGATCTTCTCCTTCATCTTGAAGTACACCTGCCCAGTAAGCAAGGAGTCTGACCCAGCCTGGTGTGCCTGGCCGATCCGCGCCACTGCGAGTTCTTCGGCAATGTCCTGTAGTCCAGATTTGGTCATGATTCGTTGCACCATCATGGCGGCCTCTTGCGTCAGCGCTTGACCGCTGTTGACTTGTCCTCTAACACCCGCATGCTTGAGCATGAATTTGATGTCGAAAAGCGACGGGAAGAACTTCTCGAGGTATTTGTGGAACTGGGCTTCATCTTCGGGAAGTGGTTTGCAGATCATCAATTTCATGAGGTAACCAAAGTCGTAGCCAGAGTGGAAGGAGATCCAGTGAACGTCAGGATCCAGGACCATGCCAGAGCTGATCAGAAGGGATCCAAAATCTTCTGGTTCTATGCCGTGCTTGGCATGTTTGTCAAAATCGATCCCAGCTTTTGTGAGCATCTGTGTCGATTCTCTAGCATACATGTCTGTTTCCAACGAAAATCTGAAGTTGAACTGCCAGGTGCAAGGTGTAGGGAGAGTGTTCGAGTGAAATTGTGATTTGCTTGGTGCGACCGCATCGGGGGGTGGAATACTGCCATCCGGCTTGAATAGTGTGATTCCGAGTTGTATCATCTTCAACAAATCCACGTTGCAGCGAAGCGTTTGATAATGGTAATCTGCTTTGGTAGTGAACTGGCCGATAGGTCTCGCAACGATGCCGGGGAATTCAGTGTCCTACAAAATGGTGTCAGTATCAGCCTAGTAAAAAATCTCAAGGATGTTGCGCACCATTGCAATATATGGATACGAGTCGACAAGTTGTCGGAGCGTAGCCATCTCTTCCTTCAAGTTGTGTTTCCAGACATTGCGAATTCGAGCATCGTCCTTGTTCTCCAAAGGTGCACCTAGACCATCGTAGTTTTGGTGCCCTTGGACTGGTCCTCCTCTGGGGAAACCCATTTGTGCCATCTGGCTAGGCAATAGCCCTCCGTCCAGCATGTTGCGATCGAAGCCATTGTTGAGGTTGCCAGCTAGAGCGAACGGGCTTGCACTGGACGATCCGGCTGCGCCAAATGAGGGTGTACCAAGATGGGTCGGAGGAGGGAGCGCGCCATGCTGGTGCGACTGGAGATGATTCTGTTGGATGTGATATGGTTGATTCCCATACCGGGGAGCCATGGTGGTTCAGCGAGGTTGTGGTGAGAGAGGGCAAAGATCCGTGGTCATCGTGTGAAGAAGAAGATCGGGGGAGTTATATATGATTTCGCGTCGTCCCCATATGAGTGCAAAGAAATGAATAAACCCTTTAGCATTAAGACGGCAGCCTGCGCAAATCCATGGTAGATTCAATACTGAAAAAGGTTAACTGTCGCAAAGGTCACGACACATGTAGAGACAACTTTGCGGGACAACTGTAACTTTACATGCCCAACTCGCTCCGCGCCCTCTGCTTAGAATAAATTCATTTTGTCTGACACAGAATTCTACCACCAGTTCACGCCGCGTATTCTTGTCAGACTTGATATCACGTGCAGATATTCCTCTCATTACGGTGAACCAGTAACGTCTCCAATATCATACGGTCACTCATAAGGCTCATAGTGTCACGCAGCCTTGGCGTTCAAGCTTCCGAACGCATCGGCATCATGCAATTGCAGACGTAACTTGTGCAGCCAACCTTGTCAGCGTCCACGTCTGTCTGTGCTACGGTGAACAGAGTGATCTGTTACGGCGGAAGCAAATCAACTCTAGGGTCCCTACGAGTCCATCAATCGAGAACGTTAACATCAACCGAAGATGGCACCGTCAACCAATCCCACCGGCTTCAACATGAAGACGTTCACAGATGCTGCTACGAGCCCGCAATGGCGTGCAAAGGATCCCTGGGCAAAGAAGTATGAAAGACCGCGTCATTTCTGCAAACACGTACTCACATCTTACAGTGAAGCGTGGCGTTACACTGGGCCATTCACACGTTGGAATCGATTCAAGGGAGCGTTCCCTGGATTCGGCATTGCCGTCGTCGCATTCACCGGCTACGTTATCTTCGAGCAGCTGTTCATGAAGGAATCACATGGACATGCTGAGGCGCATGGTGAAAAGCACTGAGCGAGAAATCCGAGCATACATCTTACTACGCGACCACGACCAAGTGCTGGAGTGGGCCTACCGAGTCACGAGAATGGAAGATGTTGCTAAGCTCAAACAATGAACATTGTACATATAAGAGGTCTATTTTGTAAATACGGGACAAGCCAACTGCAGGAAAGATGTTGCTGAGAGGATGGAAGCTTTGATTGCCATCCGAGGGTCACAAACCAAACCAATTTCAGATGGAGGTTGATGTCAGGATAGCATACAGCCTCATGAGTCAACCAAGCCTGCATCTCAAAGTCTCATTTTCGAGACTGCCTGCAGTGCATATGATGTTGACATGTCAGGCAGAGAAAAGCCCGCACACTTCAGCCAGCGTACTGGGAAGAGAACCGGTGGACCGAAATCATCTGGTCATCAGAAACAATAAAAACACATAAAAAACTACTTATTCAAGGAATAATATAAATACATAAAAACTACCTATTCGGATCCAACACTTGCCAAATGTTTTCGTGTCAACTACATCAACTTCATCGCACCGGGTTAGGAAATATATCTAGGCCTGGCTAATACCACCATCTGGAGCTCGCGGTGACTTGCTCTCTCGGACCATGAACCTGTGAGAGCCTGTGAGAGCCTGTGAGCTGCTCCTCAGATCCGAGACGTGGAGAGACGCTAAACCCCAACGAGCAAAATCTGCCACGGAACGGATATGCGCACGGTAAAGAGGAAGTCAACCACGAGGGCTGGCGAGTGAGAAGAGGCGCCTCAAGGACCCTTATCTCGTTATCATTCGTGAAAGAGGCACAGGTCGTCCAGTCTGCTGTGCTGCCGACATGGGCGGCACACAATTACCCTTTTGATCGTGAGGAGTTGCCCTACCGTCCCAGTATATATATTCATGTTAACCGCCCACCTCATTGTATGCTTAGCCTGTTCTTCCATTGCGCTCCTTGTAAGTCTTGATATTTATCACCCTTTTGAAACATGGTTCTCGAACGAGTAAAGCAGCTGGCACAGCAAGTGTCCAACGCTGTCTCTCCCGCTCATCCTTTCGACCCTCTCACATCTCTTGAGATCGAGACTGCCACCTCGCTCCTTCGCAAGGAGCACGGCAAGCTATACTACAATGCCGTCACCTTGCTTGAGCCACCCAAGGCTCAAATGCTGAAGTGGTTGGCGGATCCAAAGAGTACTTCTAAACCACTCCGCATTGCCGATATTGTGGTCATTACACCTGATGGCAAGGTCTACGACGGCCATGTCGACCTCGACAACCAGAAAGTTCTCAAGTGGGAGCATACGCCTAATGTCCAGCCCCTGATCACGACAGAGGATCTGAACGCTGTCGAAGAGGTTATGCGCAAGGATCCTGGAGTCATCGAGCAATGTGGTATTCTTGGAATTCCACCCGAGGACATGCACAAGGTCTACTGCGACCCGTGGACAATCGGCTATGATGAACGATTTGGCAACGGCGTCAGACTTCAACAGGCACTCATGTACTACCGACCTCATATTGACGACTCTCAATACACGTATCCTCTCGACTTCTGCCCTATTTATGACTCGAACAAGGAACAGATCATCCACATCGACGTCCCCAAAATTCGCCGACCCGTCAGCAAGGCTCCTCCCAACAACTACCATGTCAAGTCCATCGAAGAGATGGGTGGTTACAGGACCGACCTGAAGCCCATCAACATTACCCAACCCGAAGGCGTCAGCTTCACCATCAACGGCCGAATCATCGAGTGGCAGAACTGGTCCGTCCACGTCGGATTCAACTACAGAGAGGGCATCGTCCTCAACAACATCACCTACTTTGACAAGGTCGAGGGCAAAGCACGCCCCATCTTTTACAGACTGTCGCTCGCGGAAATGGTCGTCCCGTACGGCAACCCAGAACACCCTCATCAACGCAAGCACGCCTTCGATCTCGGCGAGTACGGCGGTGGTTACATGACCAACCCACTCAGCCTGGGCTGTGACTGCAAGGGCAGCATCCACTACATGGACGCCGAGTTCGTCAACAGGGCCGGCGCGGCCATGACCATCAAGAACGCCATCTGCATCCACGAGGAAGACGCGGGTATCTTGTTCAAGCACAGCGACTTCCGTGACGGCTTCCAATCCACCATCGTCACGCGGGCCCGCAAGCTGATCATCAGCCACATCTTCACGGCCGCCAACTACGAGTACTGCGTGTACTGGATCTTCCACCAGGATGGCACCGTCCAACTCGAGATCAAGCTCACGGGTATCCTGAACACCTACGCCATGCTCCCCGGCGAGGACACCAAGGGATGGGGGACAGAAGTGTACCCCGGCGTCAACGCGCACAACCACCAGCACCTGTTCTGTCTCCGCATCGACCCCAACATCGACGGCTCCAGCAACACCGTCTTCCAAGTCGACGCTGCCCGCGGCCCAGGCGAGGTCGGCTCCGAGGAGAACTTCTACGGCAACGCCTTTTACGCGAAGAAGACCAAGTACACCAACCCCGTCGAAGCCATGTCCGACTACGAAGGATCCACCTCGCGGACGTGGGAAATGTGCAACGAGAACAAACTCAACCCTTATTCCCACAAGCCCGTTTCATACAAGCTGGTCAGCAGAGAGGTGCCGACGTTGCTGCCCAAGGCGGGTGGTCTGGTCTGGAAACGCGCAGGTTTCGCCCGACACGCCGTACACGTTACCAAGTGTAAGTTTTCTCTCTCATCTTTCCCCCTCCCTACATCTATATCGATAGGTGTTTGTTATTTTTCTCAAGTGCTAATTTCTTTTGCCTCTCTGTAGATGCCGATGACCAGATTCATCCAGCTGGTCGCCACGTCCCCCAGACATCCGGAGAACCGTCCATGGGTCTGCCACAGTGGATCGACGCCAACCCGAGCGAGAAGATCGACAACGAGGACATTGTGCTCTGGCACACGTTCGGCATCACCCATTTCCCTTCGCCGGAAGATTACCCCGTCATGCCCGCCGAGCCCATGACGTTGCTTCTCCGACCGCGCAACTTCTTCGTCAGGAACCCGGCTCTCGACGTACCGCCCAGCTATGCCAGGACGACCAGCCAGGTCATGGCCGGCAAGACGGGCTGTGGGTGCTCGGACAAGGCGAGCGTCGCCGTCTAAACAAAATTGAATTTCTGGATAACCAATGAAAAGGAACAACAGGGCTGGCTGGGAATGAAGAGAACGGCGATCACGTCTTGATGACTTTTTTTTAGCGACCAAATTGAAAATCCAGTGATGTGTGTTAACGTCTTATCGTGTTGGTATGCAACATCTACCTCGTCTCCTACGAAGGGGGCATATATATAGGTGTCTCCTATATGTCTAGTCTATGTGAAATATACAAAATTACCACGTCCCCAAGATATTCTGTCGTGTCGAGTAATGCATGCACGCGTTTGATTTCGACTCCTCATACGATCGATTGTCGCAGTCTTATTTGTCACCATGTCTCCTGTTTATATCGGCCCTCCTTCTCTAGTCTTGCCAGATACTTTTCTGCATCTTCGTGACTCTCGATCGGATTTTCAGTCTCGTCATCTGAGGCAGCGATCGATTCTGTGTGATGTGTCAATGAGCCTTCCGAGCGTCTTTTCTGTGCCTGTTCTATGAGCGCATCAACCAGTGCCTGCCTGACTGCTTTAGGCATCTGGCCAGACGAGCCGCAGACGATGATCGTGGCATGATTCTCACGGAGGTACTCCCAGATGAGACCACTTCGCTCACGTATCCTGTCTTGAATATAGACCTTCTCTCTTTGGTCTCTTGAAAATGCAGTGACGACTTCTAGCCCGGCCGCTTCACCGTGCTCAGACTTCGACTGAAATGACGCCCACTCGTCGTGGAAAAAGTAGTCTGCCTTGGCACTTCGGCAGCCAAAGATCAATGCCGTCTTGCCCGCAACTGGAGAAGATCGCAAGGCCTCTTTTTCATGGATAAGCGCTCGTAGGGGGGCGATGCCCGTCCCGGCGCCAATGAGCAGGTGTCGGTTCCCGGCCATGTGAGAAGAGGCGGCCTTAGATGAGAAGCGACCTTCTGTCTTGAGTGAGACTTGCAGCTTAGTGCCGACGGGCAGCTGTGCCAGGTACCGGGTGCACACGCCTTCACGGATACGTTTGATGACGGTTCTGTACTTGACGATTGCGATGAGTAGTTCGAACACCGTCGAACCGTCGTCGAGGTGCTTTAGTTTGCCGCCGCTTGCTATGCTGAATTGACGCGGGCGCATGGCCGGGAATATATTCGTGACTTCCTCCCAGGGAAGTTGGACGGAGTCGAATTCTTGTAGGATCTCCAGGATACTTCGTCTCGGACGGGTGGCGTAGTCGTAGTATTCGTCCAGGTATTGAGGATCGGTGAACTCGATGAGTCGTTCCTTGTGCATGCTGTCGGTGGTGTAGTTTGCTATTGCCGCGAAGAACGACCGTCGCGGTATGGCGTTGATGTCTAGGTGCTCGGTCAAAAGTGTTCGAAGAGTGACGCCGCCATGTTGATAGATCGGGTTCGTGGCGAAGTGAGTGGAAGCAGATGTCGATGATGTGCTTGTCGAGACGAAACGGACTGGGATATCGGCAACATCTTGCCAATTCATTCGTTCAATCAGGAACGTAACATCCTTGGGCATGTTTTGAGGTAGTATGGCAATGGCATCACCTGGCGCGTAGTTGACTGTTTGAGGAGTTTTCAAAACCATGAACCGGACATCTTGAAAGTGATCGGGCGGCGTCACACGCTCGTTCTTTATCAGCGTTGATTCGAGTGACTGTGGAGGCGATGTGGAAGAGTGAGCCGGAATGTGCAGATCCGACCCATTCGGTAGCCCATTGTCAGTACTGGCATTGTCCCTGTCCAGCCGCCATTTGCTGGGAAGAGGAACGTCGTTCGCGATAGGTGTTTGGCCTTCTGGCAGTGGAAATGTCGTCAAAATAGATTGTCTGAAGTGCTCGAGCCAAGCGAGCACAGCACCGTCGGTGCCTTCATCACCTTGCTCGTCCGCCTCGCAAGACTCAATTAAGGGAATCGCTCCTAGCTGTCCGAGTCGCTTCTCTAGTTTCCTCGCCGCAAAGTTGAACTTCGGATATGAACTGTCTCCGAGACCAACTAGAGCATATTGTATGCCTGCGAGAGTGGTGGAGGAAAGCTTCTTTCGCAGGAGGCTGGTCCAGAATTTCCGAGCATTGTCGGGAAAATCACCTTGCCCAGTGGTGGCGACGACGAAGACAGTCAGCATGTATGAGTGAAGATCACCGTATACAACGTCATCGAGTCCCACGACCTCTGTATCGAACCGAAGCCGTTGAAGACAGCGACTGACTTCCTCAGCGAAATCTTGAGATGTGCCGGTTTCGGTCCCGTAAAGGATGATGACCGACCTAGGGCGGTCGGTATTGTCTGGCTGCATTATTGGAACTGGTTTCGCAAGCACTCATCATCGATCATTGTCCGTCTCTTCAAGCATCATTGTTAGTATATCTCAAGGTCGGCATACATTCAACTGCAGTGTCGTAGAGAACTTTACGCCCTTGTGACTCTGAATAGTTATTCCGGACCCGAGGGGGGGAGAAACTGTTTTTCCGGACTTGGCATTGCCAGGGAGTGTGTTCTGACCTCAGCCTCACTTGGCTGCTACCGAAGGTATGCAAAGATGTGCTGTGTCATTTCTTCACGGGCTCTCCCGCCTTCTGGTGGCCCGGGCCAGAAGCAACTATACAAGGCCTTTCCCGGCGCCTGCATTGAGGTTTGTTACACCGGGAGGCTTAGAACACATCTCTGACCACAGTTATGGTTGCAATTGATTGCGAGCAAGATATCGTGTTTACGGCATGATGATTGGACACACATAGCGCCCAATGGAAGCTATTACATGCCCCTCGGCACAGAGCCATGAGGTGTTGGGCTCGAAGCGCCTTGGAATCAGCCTAATCAAGGCATCAACTTGACATTCGTTTTCAACTGTTCATGACATGTTTCCTGACCTTCGCGCCTCTCGGTCTTTCTGTCGACTCTGCTAGACTATCATGGCTGAGGTAATCGGCGTGGTGGCTGCATCCCTCGAATTTGGCAAAGTGTTCGTGGAATTAAAGACGAAAGCCTCGTCAATCAGGCATGCTCCGGAAGAGTTGATCGTGGTGTTGGAGGAGCTCGAAGTCACTGATGCTATCTTGCAAGCCCTTGCTGATCAAGACGCACTACTATCTATCTATGCGCCGCCCAACGTGATCCAGAAATGCCGGGACTTCTGCAAAAATGCCACCGACATACTCAAACCCGTCTGCCTCGAGCTGTCCGAGACCATCAAACAGTCCCGTTGGCCAGGCTCTATCAAATTTGTTCTCAAGGAACATTTTCTTGAGAGGGCGACAAGGCGCATTGAGCGTGCGAAAATGAACCTAATATTGGCGCAGTCTGCAGCCTCCATGTGAGTATGAACGAAAGCCCGACAGGATAGCGCGATTGACGTTGCTGTAGTGCAATGAGTGCTCTCAGCCTACAACAGCAGATGACCACACAAACGCTAATAATCACGAAGTCTGATGTGAAAACTGACAAGGCAGCTTTGCAAGCTCACGGCCGAAGCAAGTTATCCGTAATGGCCGATCCTCAAGCAGATGATGCAGACATATCCCGTGGTGATGATGACGGGGCCGACGAGCAAGGGCTTGTCATCACCAAGACACAGAGAAAACTGGCTGGTCCTTTAAGAGGCGCAAAAAAGACGACTACCTCTGTCCTGACTATACAGAGTATGTGGCTTGGAAAAAGACTTCAATCCTACGAATGCGCACATCTGGTATCACCTACTTTGGCATCAAAACCCGCAATATCATTCCCTATGACTCACCCATATTCGCCGCGGTTTGCGCAGGCGATTTCTGTGCTACACGGGACCTTTTACACACAAAACAGGCTTCCATCTATGATGTAGATTTGGCGGGCAATACAGTGCTTCACGTATGGTACTTTGAGTGTTCCGAACTTCAAGCTGATATTGAGCGCAGTTAGCCTGCATGCGGCCAGATCTCTCAATCCTACAATATCTCCTGCAAGAAGGAGCCGACCCGAATGAGAGAAATTTCAAGTAGGTCTTATGTGTCCGAATCACTGGCATAGACTCTTACCTAAACCAGAGATAACACATGTTTCGACACGTTGATTACAGGATCAATAAATCTATGGGACCACCTTTCTTCTCATGTTGGTCTTCACCTTATCGACTTCATTTCTGATGCAATGCGAGTTCTGTTAGGCAAAGATGACCCTGAAAACCTTGATGGATTTTTGACATCTGGTATCTATCATTTGGCCCATTTTGAGAAAGATCGTGGACTTTTATCGCGCATGTTTATGCCTATCTTCTCCGAACTCTGGAGCAACATTGACTTTACTACAAGACTTGATGTAGCATATAACATGGTCTCCCCTTGTATGACCACGCAACTATTCTGGCATGCGCTGTCACAACGAATGCTAGATTCCAGATGCCTGATCCTACCAGCTGACGAGACGGGTCAGCCTTCCGAATGCCTTGTTGGTCACTTAGCTTGGACCATGTCGTCTGAGCCCATTGATATCAAAGGCTTGCGGTTGCTGTTGCATCAAGCTGTATCACTCGATGGGATTCAGCTTTCCTTCGAAAATCATTGTGGCTCACCAATGCTAAAATACCTGCAATTTAGCATGGAAGCGGGGATGTATATTGGGTCGTTTGCCAATCTTGAACACCAACGATTGACAAGTAGATTACGAAACTGGGCGCATGAAGTTGAGCTTGCCGGTCAGGATCTACAGACCTATGGTCACTGGGAGGAAGCACTACTCTCTGATGTAGACCTTGTGTTTGACGCGCTTTTAAGGCGTACCCCCGACGGTCCCTTCAAAGCTAGGGTGCTGAAATTCAAATATGGACCTTCTCCAGAGGACTGGGAAATTTGGGCTACAACTTCGATGGATGAAGCTGCCGCCGACTTTTGGGGAACGTTGGACGCTGATGAGCCCCTACTCCCCATTCCAGGCTCATGGCCTGAGACAGATTTATCGATTGATGATGTCTGGGATATGAAAAGCTATAACGCATCTTCAAGGAGAAGACGTATACGTGGGCTGAGATACCTGGGCTTGGGACGATCGCGTGAGTCCGAGGTGTATGGGCCGGAGTTCAAAGTCTTCTTCCTCCAGACAATGGTTGACGATGGAAAACGCAAGAAGGAGTGGAAGAGGAGATTCTACCTGGAAAATGGTATCACACCACCTTGCAGAGAGTACATCAGTTGAATGACTATGCTGGGCCACGGCTTCACACTCAAAGTGTACTCCTAGTTGCCAAAGGGAAAGGAGAGAAGGTGTTGCAAATGGTCTATACCTGGCAGGAACAGATACGACCTAGGAACCCTTTCAATCGTTGGTCGAACACAATGGGAACCAGTCATAACCACCCCACGGTACTATAAAGAAAGGAGCAAAACAATAACAGGACAAGAGAAGAATCAGTTCATCCTTCATAACAATCTTCCAAAGGCATCTGCGCACAGTCGCAAATACTCTCCACGAAGCATAATTGAGACGAAGACTTAACGGCCGGAATATTATTTTCGATGAAAGGTGTTTTGGAAGGCGAAAGGGGCTTACAAGGGTAGTTCTTCAATGAAATCATTTGTGGGATACAGTGCTCAGGGACTTCTATGCCCGGGGTATCTTTTGCTCGTGTCGAATAACCAAAGGAGCCTCTGTGATAGTGTAGCTGTACATCAAGGCTTGAATGGCATGTCGCCAGCTTCCATTTCCATAAAATGCGGTCCGCTCTCACCAGAGACCCCGACCATCCTTTGCCGGGAAGTCTGCAGCATTCGACTTGACGACCACGAGCGTATGCAGTGACGTCCAGCCGAAGTTTCTTTTCATTAGTTCTAGACGGCTATCAGAAAGTGCCGCCATCTTCGTCACCTCCGCCACCGTAGTCATCGTCATCTCCCTCGCCTCCGTCGAAATACTGTTCGGCATTATAATCGTCGTAGTCCCCGTCGTCCGACTCTTCGAACTCTGAGTCGACCGGTTCATCGTCACCCGAGTCGTCGTCGTCTTCATCACCGCTGCCGTCCGAGTTGTCCTCGTTGTGCTCGTCATCGTCGTCATCATCGTCCTCGTCGTCGGAACCGCCTCTGTTCTTGCCTGATTTCCGGCCCGGCGAACGAGGAGTGACTTCCGCGTCGGAGAATTCGTCCTCGGCGTCCAAGCCGCGCTTCTCGTGCGCTTTCTTGGTGGTGGGATCTTCGCGCCGCCGTTTCGCGGCCTTGGTGCTATTCCTGGACCGCCGTGTCCCGGACATCAGAGGATCCGAGTCGTCTGTATCGTTTCCGTCGTCGTTGCCCTTGGCCTCGTCGTCGTCCTCGCCATCGTCAATGACAAGATCCCGCTTCCGCTTCAACTTCTTGCGGGGTGCGTTCGTCTCGGCGTCGAAATCGATGTCGGTGGTCTTCCATAGAGGATTCTTTTTCCGCGGATCGAGGAGTGGCCACAACTCATGGGGGAACAAGTGTAGTGCTGTTTCCAGATCCAAGTCAGTCTCCCCGACTCGTATACTCCCGCTGCCACTCTTTTCCGCCCCGGAGCCAAACTTCTACTTACAATACTCTCGCGTGCTGAGGTCAGGGACGGCCTGCTTCTTCTTGTGGTATTTTGCGGTATATTTTTCTTGGTCGTTGAATGGGTCGAAGCCTGCACGCTTCAGGACCTTGCCGCTTTTCTCGTCCGCAATACTACTGGGGTCGAGAATGGCGTAGTATGGTCCGTTGCGCGCTCGGCTGCGGAAGGCTATTTGGCGTTTGATCGCGATGTGTTCGTCTGAGGATATTGGGCGAGGAACCGGGAGATCGATGGGCTAAGGCGCAAAGAAGTCAGTCGTTCGTATATTCCACAATGGGATCATGGCCGATGCCGTACAGGAAACGTCTCTTCAGGTCTGTTTGACACTGTGGGAGTTGCGAGAGATTCTTCATCGTCCCAAGACAAGTCTGGGCCTCGCTTCCCGCCGCCTCTTCTGCCCCGGGACATTGTGGCGGTGATTTGAAGGAAGGGTAGAGTACAGAGATGTCACCGGAAGTCGAGGAACATTGTGGATGGAGTTGGTCAGCGCTGCTGGGTGCGAGTTTATCGAGCGAAAAGTGAATGCAACTGTGAATACTAAAGCCCAAAATTCCGCGGGCAGAATAAATGGTGGGGAACGCGTTCTAGTATTTTATCGTCAGGGTTCCAGAGGCGAGGCTGAACGAGGCTGAGGCCTCATCCGCCTTGCTAAAAAAACCTGGCGTATCCGTATTTACCTACGATATCTACCACGAACGAGGATTGCTCACGACCGAGTAAATAATAATGCCTCTTGGCTTGTATTTGTCGATTATCATTTAACCTATCCCTGGACATGATACTAAGAAATGAGACGACAGATTCGGGGGTCTTCAGTGATAAGTATAGCCTTGGGCGTAATGCAGAGGTAGGTGTGCGTAATATTTACCTTGCCTATGGTCGCCCACGACCAGGTTGAGTTGCCAGCGCAGTCGAGCAAAGGCAGGAACGTTCCTTCCTCGATGCCAAACACATCCATTTTTCCAAAACGCCTTTTTGTGCTTCTTCCCTCGTCTTCCTCTCGATCAATTGCATGCACATCAACTACTTTCTCATGGTACCACCTCGCACCTGGCGGACGTCTGCAGAATCATCTAACATTCCACGCCGCTCTACCTATATCCTAAGGACGACCTGCTCATCCCAAAACCCCTGAAAATGCTTCAATATCTCCTGCTGATCATCCTCGCCGTTGCAACAACACCTACTGTCCGTTCCCTCGCCAATCCTCTTCCCCAGCAACATCGTCGAGATGACACCACCTTCCCGTGTCCGGCTGTTGATCAATGGGTCAAAGTCAACACGTACTGGATCAGAACCAGTACCAGTACCGGATGCATGGCTCTCGAATTGAACACCAGCAACATCTACGCCCTCAACGCCCTTCCGAAGCCGGTTTACACAAGCAAATTATACCCAAACCTTGTCTGCAGTCTCTGCACCAACGAGTGCGACTGGACTTATAGCCCCTTGGACCCTGTGGGATCTGGCGGCCCAGCCCCAGAATCGAATGTCAACAATGCAGAAGCTTGACTGGGATATCCTGTACACGGCAACGCAACAGAATTGTGAAAGGCTGCGAAGGACCAGATTGGGAGGAAAATTGCATTCACTGCCATGATCATGGAGAAGATGCGGACACATTACCAACAGCTGCAGTCAAATGACTCTTGGTGGGGTAAACCAACGTTGAGCAGCGCAACAGCAACATAGAACATGTTTATCGGAATACCGTTGAATCTTGCTGCTGGAGAATATGAAATCAGAGGCACGAGGTATTAAATTAGGCGCTCTGACGGGAAAGGCAACGGTTCACACTCGTTGTCGTAGTTGAAGCAAGGATCGTGAAGAGAAGTCAGAGACCTAATGAGGATTTGGCCAGCATCGTTACTTTGGTAGTCTTGCAGAAGCATTCTACTACAAACGTCAAACATTCTTGTATACCGTCAATGTCGTGCTCGTACTCACGCCGTATTGAGATTTGATTGGCGGAAGGGAAACCTTCCCCGCCACACGCCGAGTCGATGCTCCTTGTTCTCGATCTTCCCCAGATTTTCGCGCCGTTGACTCATTTTCAGCAGCACCTTTTTCAGTTGTAAAGATTTCCTTTCTTTCTGAACTTCCTCTAGATCAGGCTGAGCTGCTACTTTGACCCTGCCAGTGTGAGCTGACTGCTGATTCGAAACCAAAACCATCTCTATCATTCCTAACTCTAGACATTGAAAGCTGGGGGTCTCTCTCACCGATTTTCAGCACCAGTTAGCTCAAGAAAAATGCCTTCTCGTGCAGAAGTTGCCTACTTTGGGGCAGGGCCAGCTCCTCTACCGACCCCTGTCATTGAAGCCAGTGCCCGGGCCTTTGTCAATTTCGAAGACACCGGTCTCTCTCTGGCCGAAATCTCCCATCGCTCACCCACGGCGAATAAAATCCTCGCCGACGCCAAACAAGCACTGACCACGCTCTACGACATTCCCGATGACTACGACATCTTCTTCATGCAAGCAGGCGGGACGGGAGAGTTCAGCGCCGCCTGCCAAAACCTGGTCGGGTGCTGGATCGAACAACGGCGGAGGAAGGCCGTCGCGGATCTCGGCGAGGGCAAGGACGACGAGGTCCTCGCTCGCGTGAAGAAGGAGATCGAGAATGAGCTCAAGGTCGACTACCTCGTCACGGGTTCCTGGTCGCTCAAGGCGAGCCAGGAGGCCACGAGGCTCCTGGGCGCAAAGTACGTCAATGTCGCCCTCGACGCCCGCAAGAGCGACGGCAACAACAAATTCGGCAAGATCCCGGCCGAGACGGACTGGAAGTTGACCCCCAAGGGAAGTGCTCTGACGTACATGTGCGACAATGAGACCGTGGACGGTGTCGAATTCCCGAGCTTCCCCAAGTCCCTGGAGGAGAACGACAGGATAGTGGTGGCGGACATGTCGAGCAATTTCATGAGTAAGAAGCTCGACGTGTCCAAGTATGGAGTGATCTTTGTGAGTGTTGTCACACTTTGTTGTAAAGACGACACGGAAGCTGACTCTTTTCTTTCTTTTTGTAGGGCGGTGCCCAGAAGAATCTCGGCATCACCGGTATCACGGTGGTGATTATTCGAAAATCACTCCTCGGCCTCGTCCCACCGCCGACGTTCTTGCATCAACTTTCAGACGTGCTTCCCACCTCGGGAGCGTTGCCTCCCATCATGTTCTCGTTCTCCACCATCGCGGCGAACAACAGTCTCTACAACACCCTGCCGGTCTTCAATCTGTACGTGGCCACGCTAGTGCTGCAGAGTTTGGTGACGAAATTCAAGACGGTCTCAGGCCAGGAAGAGGTCGCCGACCAAAAGGCCAAGCTGATCTACGACACGCTCGACTCCTACCCAGACCTCTACCACGTTGTGCCCGACAAGAACGTGCGGAGCCGCATGAACATCTGCGTCCGTATCATCGCAGGCAAGTCGGAAGGCAAAGTAACGCCGGACGACGCAAAAGAAAAGGCATTCCTGGCCGGTGCCGAGAAGCGGAATCTGCTGGGACTCAAGGGTCATCGATCAGTCGGTGGTATCAGAATCAGCAATTACAATGCTGTGCCCGTTGAGAACGTGCAGAAGCTGGTGGAGTGGCTGAATGAGTTTGCAAAGTCTGGGTAATTCATAGCAGCCAAAGGCAACATTGATCGCTGTCAGGTTATATTAGACTACGAAGAAGAAATGAGAACAGGTAGATAGACGAAAAGTACTTACGGATTATGCGTTTGGTTCTTGGAGTTGTGCAACCTTTGAAAAATCTCTCCATCTTAGCAATCAATCCCCCAGATGAACGTCCACCTCATCAGATCCCAAATCCAAGGTCCCGTCCCGCATTCTTCACGCACAACCGAACACACACGTACTCGTATCTCGTAGCGTACCACCAAGAAAATCTCCATGGTGGAGTTCTGGCGACCACAGAGGCTCCGGGTATTCTCATCCTTCGATTCGTCCCAAACAGGAAATATCATGTAACGCGAAGGGCGTCGACACAAATACATCAATCAAAATCTCCAAGCACATGCAAACCGACCACGATAAGACCGACAATATGAATTGAGACCTCGTTAGAGCTCCCTTGTATTGCCCCTGAAGAAACGCTGCGCTGTTGCGTCTGCACTCATCCCTGATTTCCTGCCTCTCTCGTTTTGACTCTCAATCATTGATCACACGATGCAGACTCGTCCACCCATTCCCAACCCCGAACACTACGACATCGACCTCCGTACAGGCTTCGTGCCCAGCAAGTCCACAGCACTGCCAGAGTACTACAATCCATGGCGACATCTGTGTTCCCAAATCCCGCATCTTTTGCAGACGCAGAGCGTGCGGTCGACCATTGACGACCTCGAGGTCCTCGACACCAAACACTTGACCACGCTCGCGCACTGGCAACGAGCGTACATTCTCCTGGGGTACCTCAGTCAAGGATACATCTGGCAAGACAGAAGCAATCCGTCGTCTACCATCCCAGCTAGCATCGGCGACCCGTTCACCAAAGTCTGTGATCATCTCGGAATGCAGCCCGTCCTCAGCTACGCCGGCTCATCTCTGTGGAATTGGGAACCCATAACAGGCCACGACAAAGATCACACCGGCTCGGACTCATCAGCCTCCTCTTCTCCAGATCTCTCCAACTTCAGGACGATCAAATGCTACACCACATTCACCGGCACAAGGGACGAAGATGCCTTCAACCTCGTTCCAACCATGGTCGAAACCGAAGCTGGCCACCTCATCCCGCTCCTTCTGGGCGTGCACCAATACTCGGAGGACCTCCTCCTCCTCCACCTCCTCCCGTTCCTGGAAGAATGCACTCGCACATTCACCAAGATGACCGAGATGCTCTCGGTCCTTTTTGAAAATTGTGACCCGACCATCTTCCACCGCGACATCCGCCCCATGCTCGCCGGCAGTGCCGGCGCCGAAGAGAAAGGTCTCCCAGACGGCGTCACGTACCAATGTGGTAGTGGTAGGAGGAGTAGTGGCGGGACTCGAGGAGAAGGAGGAGGAGTCGCCGGCGTCAAGTGCGTCGGAGCCAGCGCCTGCCAGAGCGCCATGTTTCAATTCCTCGACCACATGTTCGGCATCCGTCACGAGTCGAGATTCCTCGTCACCATGCGCGCTTACATGCCCCGACATCACCGTGAGTTCCTCCAAGCCGTGGAAGCGTTACCGTCACTCCGCCAAATCATAGACGCCAACCCAAGCCCCAACGACCAAGCTCAAGTAACAACACTCGTCAATGCTGCTTTTCATGCCGTACTGGATGCGTTCAAGCAGTTCAGGACGAGACACATCGCCATCGTGTCAAGGTACATTGTGCAACCGGCCGCCGCTGAGGCGAGGAGGTTACGCGCAGAAGGGAAATCAACCAGGGAGGAAAGAGGCACGGCCGGGTCGAAACCCGTTCCCTTCTTGAAGCAATATCGCGATGAAACGGTCCTTCGATGAAAAAGAAATCGTCAGGACGTGTATCACCACTTTCCCTTTTCGTCGCGTTCTACCATCATAGTTGCCCGTGTCCGTCTGAGAGATTGGAGCCTTTAGCTTTTTCAAATCCTTGTACGGAGAGAACAGACTGACATGCTCCCTATGGAATGCCCTATGGAATATTACTCAAGGCGTCCAACCCTAGGTATAGGAACTTCTCAGCCCAATGGTAAATCCGCTCCGAATGACCATGAGTCCACCTAGATTGGACTCTCGTATTACAATGAGCCGTTGTTGAAGAAAAGATCATTCCGGGGAGCGAGAAGAATCAAAGAATGCTAGCTGGGTTCATTGTACAACGCATGAACCTGAACCTGTTCTTGTGTTTGATGGCCCCGTGCTGGTTCTGTAACGTAGCAAGGAGCGACTGAATGTTAGTATATCGGGTAGCACTGATGGAAACCCATCCACAACAAGTCAGGAGGTTGAGAACATGTATTTGACTCAATAGTATTGTCATTGATCAAGTCAATTTTTTTTGTTAACTAGTGGATCACCCGTGGTGATCATACATGAAAATGGCTTTCCATGATGGCATTTCTCATATGCCTTTCCATCTTTTCTGTCAACACATGACATGCAGAGCTCGAAAGACATTTGAAGAAAAATGAAAACTTGCAAGATTAAGGCATTGGTGACACAACACCAAGGGGTATCGTCGACGTGAGGAATGATGCAGGGGGAAAAGATATGCTCTCAAGCAAAAAAACACTGAAATGATGGTGTGCTCAGGATCAAAAGTCCAAGAGCAAAGGACCAACCCCAAGAGGGTGGCAAGAAACCATCCAAGCCCGAGGGCATGACAGGACTTTCCAGACCTCAACACTGAAAACCCCCCAACAATCTCAACCAACACGAGTGACCTGAATCTCCGAAGACGTCCAAAGTCACCAACATGTCGAGCTAGTAATGTGGAATGTAACGTCTGAAGCGAGGAGGGCCTGCAGGAACATCTTCAGTGCGAAGACGATTCATGTCCAATTCATTTTCAGCTCCTGGTGTTCCGCGATCAAACTGAGAACGACGACGTCGTTGTTCTTCACGGTATGCTTGTCCTTGCTTAGGAGCGAAAAGTCCTGTGAGAGAGATGATGTCAGTAGTCTGATGTGGTAAGTCAGAGGGCAACGAATTGTGCTCACGAGAAAGGGCGAGGGTTGCCAGAGAATGCGTCAAAGGGACTCTTGGTATCCACCAAGTATTTGCCAGGAGTCTGAGAGTCTGGAGATGACGGGGGAGTGAATTGGGCCAGGTTTGCAACACGTGCAGGAGGGAGATAGACACCATTCGCATTGAATGGGCCAGCACGTCTCATACGACGATTGCGAGGTTGGAATTTGGGGTGGTTCATGTTCCGAGGGTTCCGAGGGCCCATGGATCTGGGGAGATACAGACCGACATGTTCAGCATTTTCGACTGATCGGCGCATCTTGGAATGATTGTCGGGTGTAGGAAACTTCTCTTCTTGGCCTGCATCGGGGACATTGCCAGCAACGAACAACTGCAAGTCTCATCAGCTTCATGTGAATATCATAGCATGGATAACCTATACCTTTGGGCGGAAATTTGGGTGTTCGAGCATGACGGAGGAGTTGCGGAACTTCTGCACCAAGCAGTCTTTGCCTTGGATTGCTGCAAGGTATCATTAGTGAACTGACTGGATGATGACATGGTGTGCACTTACTAGCATAAGACACCTCAGCAACCTTGTCAGAATTGAAACAATTCCAACGTTTTCCAGCACGAGCAAGGACAAACTGCCAAAAGTGAGTGGTCAGACGAAGTGAAAAGCGGATGAAGAGGGTCATACTGGGATGATCGAAGGAGCCTAGTAGTGTCAGTAAAGTTCGAGATGAAACCAACGGAGAGGAAGGGACTCACATCGACGAAGTTGATGAAGGCATAACCGACATTGCAGTTGTTGGCAAAGTCTGGAACGAGTGAGTCAAATTCTTTGAGAAATTTGAAGTTGCAGTTACCAATGCGAAGGTACATGAAGTCGTAGCGACCAAAGCTGGTGTGATCAATCAGATCTTTGAGCATTCCTTGATCAACACGATTCGGGATGTTGCGCAACATGATCTGGAGACGGGTCATTGAGAGTTCAGCTAAGATGACAGAACAGAACTAACCGTAGTACGAACGTCCATGCCAGACTGAATTCGAGCAATGTCAACAGCATTGTGATTCGTGTTATTGAGGCGACGGCCATTGCGAAGAACGTCGCGGGTGATGGCATAGGCGAGACGATCGTAGTCTTCGTCGACTGGGACAGTGGATCGGCCAGTGATTGAGAGCTGCTCAAACGGTGCATCCGGGTCATCTGATTGAAAGATGATGTCTGGAGAGTATGCTTCGGCGTGAAGAACAGCACCACCCTAAGAACTTGTTAGTCATGAAAGCAGAGAAGCGAGGGACAAGGTGACGAACATCGAGGATGGTACCACTGATCACATCCTTGGCAACAGGAACAGCGGCAGAGTCGAAGAACTCCACGCGGAAATCGCGGCAATGAAGCTGGGTGGATGGCAGGGTGTGCATTGCCTTGACTTCGCCACATTGAGCAAGGAGACGCTTGATCTCAGCGACAATCGGAGCAGCCTCAAGTTGTTCGAAGTTGGGATTTCCATTGTAGTAGACCGACAGGATGATCTGACCTTCAAAGTCACTGACGTGACTTGGGTTGAAGCCTTGATCCGCAGCGACAGCTCTTGGGGCCAGGGCGAAGACACGAGTGTGTGGTGCGAGTTTGCCGGCGATGTCCCATGCCTTCTTTGCATCGCGAACATCGGAGAAAGCAACGGTGAACAGACCACCACCAACGACTTGAGAGGCATTGATGGTTTTCAGTGAGGGGAAGGACTCAAGCTGAAGGCAGTCAGTTTCAATAGCAACAAATGAGTGCAGAAGACAAACCTTGAAAGCTTCTGCAATGCGGCGGGAACGGAATTCAGCAGGAAGGCCGATGACTGCGAGCGCACGAGTGGCATTTTCATCGGTGCTGAAGGCTCCCTCAGCAAAGTGCACGTCGTTGATGTATTTGCCAGAGGCATTCGCCATGAAGTTCATCTGGTCAACATTCCAGATACCAAGACGATCGAGGTATGCTTCAATCTCCTTGTCACCACGGCCATTGATGCTCTTGACTTGTGGCACCGGTCGGCGGTCCTCCCAATTGGAGGTCTCATTGTCACCACGGACCGAAGTGTCTGGGACACTGTCTTGTAGGAGAGTCTTGACACCAGCAATGGTTGCAAGGGGAGCGAGAGTTTGTTGGGCACCTTGGCCACGGCGGAGACTTGGCTTGGGAGCAAAGGCTTGTGGGCGGTTGGCGCGGGGTGGGGGAACAGGACGACGAGCCACATTTGGCATTTGCGAGAAGGTGTACATGGGCTGGAAGACTTGAGCAGTGGGAGAGAGTTGCGGGCCAGAGCTCATAGTAGGTGCAGTCAAGAAGACGTCATCACTGCATACAGTCAGTCGATGGATGTTGAAAGTGTTCTGCTGCAACAGTGCATACCTGGTAGTCTGCGTCGGGGTGGTTTGTCTGATGGAGCAATGGTTTGCAGGCTCACGGGCTTCTGCATCCTCGACATATGGCTTTCTGTAGCCCTTGTTGCCAGTCACAGGAGTGAAGGAGGTCAAGTTGGTTGATGGGGTTCCATGAAAGGTGGTGTCATGTTCCGAATGAGGGCTCGAAGCCGGAGCAGACCCACGGAAGGGAGATCTCATCATGTTGACTGCACTGCAACCATTCGTCAGTATAAAATCCAATGGGGAAAGTCGTGGAATGTTTGGCAATGACTGATACATCCTGACCCCAATCCAAGGGCAAGGGTATCCGACATGCAAGGGAGTTCGCAGCCAATGCCGCCCACCACATTGAGAATGTGGAAGAAAAGAAGGGCATTGAGGTGTGCGTGGAGGCAGATAGCCCATTTCTCCAAGGAGAGAGATGGATCACCCACAACCAAGGTCGTAGGGATTCGACTCACCAGAGTCGAATGATGATGTTGAGGCAAGATGTTCGAAAAGAGCGTAGAGGTTGTCGGGAGTAAGAATGATGAATAAAGACAGGACAAAGGAGTTGTGTGATCAAGAGAAAATATGAATAATGGTGGTGGGATAAAATGAGAAGAGGGGAGGGGGAGAGGGGGTTTATATAGAAGGGAAGGAGCAATCCTCTCCCAGCCGCTCTCACCACCCAGCGTTTTCTGCCATACCTTTGTCACTGTCGGCGGAGAAAAGAAATTGGTCGTGGGTCCTTTTTGGACGATGTCATCGTCAGGAAGTGAGAGGGAATGGAAAGTGCAGAATTTCTGAAGTCCTGTCCAGGAAGCCCTCGTATCTTGCGTGTGACGGCTTTGCGACGAGCCTGTCCCATACAAAGTGCGTATTTTATACCGTATTCAACCACCAAATTCACGCCCTTACGGCAGTCCGTATTTTTCATCTAAGGTCCCAGCCGCCTCCTTCAAGCTCACCTCGTCTCACAGCAGGATTCATCATTCAACGACACCATCATCACCGCGGAGCCCAGCGCCCGAATTAACTTTTAGCCAGTTAATGGATCACATTTTTCTTCCTGTTGTTGAATTTAGTGGAGATGAGCTGAGGTCCGGTCCATCAGTCAGTAAAGACAGATACCTGGTAGGGGATGGACGGTGAGGTAATGTGAGAAGTTGTCTGGAATAGGCACATACAAATCCGTAGCTTGTGAAGCACAACCAGTTCTCTGAGCTCAGCTTGTTGTTAGTCACAATGACTTGAGACGCCAGATGTAGATTGATCCCTTCCATTTTTCTGTCTTCGACTCAATGTTGCACACGCCCATCTCTTCTCGGAGTGACAAAGGCTCTGCAATTCCCTGTATCCCTCACAACGTCGGCAAAACCACCGTTGTTTCCGCAAGCACATGGAATGGCTTGACAGTGTTCATTTTTTTATATACACGCATGAAACATTGGGAACACACATCCCAGCCCCAGCAGGGGGGAGAGGGATGTAGAGAACATCATATCATCCAAATGTGAATGATCGATATCATTGACGTTTAAAGATCGACATGCCTCATCCTCCCTTGGCAAGCCGCTAACCGGAAAGCGTTTAGCGTGGTTTTGCCTCCAGTGAACCTCTCGTGTGTCAGATCAGGAGAAGGATGTTTGTTGGTGCCGGCAATAACCTCTTGTTCAAATGTTCACACTCAATGAAAGAATATTCAGATCCCAAATGGTGTGACTCACAGTTCCTCTTTATGAATTGCTTGTTTGTCGGCTTTTGATTCCAATCCCAAGATTTTTGGATGCACGACGCGCCCTTTTCCCGCCAGTAGCCTAGATTCGACCCATCCCCGAGCTCTTCCACACGATCCGAATCTACTAGACCGGTATGCCTTCAATAGCACGATATGGGAATGACACAAGTAGTGTGCTTCAACAGGTGAACAGAGACCATTCACCCCTCGCTTTGCGATTTTCGAGCTAACCGAGACTTTGAGATTGTGACCTCATCCTCGGAAACAGACACGCTGGACCAATTGATACCTTACATAAAAGATTACAGCTATGGCAACAAGACTTCGCATCTGCTCAGTCAGCTATCTGATTTGGCTGCCGAAAGGGAGACTGAGATCGAACGACAATGTAATGCCAATCACCAAGAGTTCACAAGTTCCGTCCAGCAACTTCTCCGAATACGTCAAGGCACCGTGGCATTGACGAATGAAATTCTCGAACTAAACCAGTCCATCCAAAGCAGCACAGAAAGACTAGTCGATCAGAAGAAAGCACTCGTAGAATGCCGCGGTGTGAGGCAAAACATCGACGACGCCAGTCATGCTTTGCAGGATTGCCTAGAAGTGCTTCGCCTGGCTAATCAAGTACAAGAGCTCCGCGACCAGAAGAAACATTATGCAGCTCTACGAGCCCTTGACGAACTTCAGAGTGTCCACCTACAAAGCGTCACGCAATACAAATTGAGCGAATTGATTCAAAAATCTGTTCCAGCCATTCAAAAATCCATCGCCGAAGCCGTCATGGCCGACCTCAATACCTGGCTTTTTCGCGTTCGAGAGATGTCGCAATACCTTGGCGAACTGTCCTTCTACAATACCGACCTGCGCCAGCAACGTCTCAAAGAGCGGTCTGAGAGAAATGCATACCTTGCGAATTTCAAGCTCAATTCCGCAATCGAACTGGTCGCCGATGAACACGAAGAGTATGACCTCCTCAAAAGCGAAGACCTGGAGGTAGATTTCACTCCTCTTTTCGAAGCACTACACATCCACCGCTCTCTCGGCCAGATGGACAAATTTAAATCAGACTATACAAACAGCCGCCGGGCTCAGCGCGACCTCCTCCTACAAAACACCATCTCACTTGTCGACGAAGAGCTCGGAGACCTACACACATTGCTCGAAGATATCGCAGGCTTTGCTATAATGGAACGCGCCACTATGAAAAAGGTGCCGGACCTGCGGTCCACCACAGACGTTGAAGAGCTTTGGGATTCTCTCTGCCAAAAGGGCATTTCGCTCATGTCCAAAGCTCTGGGCGCAGTCGACAACGCCGAACACCTCTTGAAAATCAAAAACCTAATTTCTCTCTTCATACAGACAATGAATACCTTCAACTTCAACACCTCGTCCGTGTCCAACTTCGTCCTCACCCTGTTCGACAAGTACGCCGAGCTCCTCAAGCAACGATTCTCCGAGGACTTTATCGAGATCGTCAGTACGGACGACTACATGCCAATGCCAATCCAGAACGCCGAAGAATTCGAAAAGGTGGTTAATGTTTCATGGTACACACCTGACCGGCCAGTGCACGAAATGACATTCCCAACCGTCTTCCCATTCTCCCAAATGTACCCGCTCTGCTGCATCGACATCCGCAACTTCCTGAATCAGTTCTACTTCTTCAGCTCCCAAGACGAGGCGCCCTCGCCTCTCTCGACGCGCATCGATGCCCAACTTCTCACCTCGCTGGATGATCTCCTCTGCACCAAGGTCTGCGCCAGCCTCGTCTCCAAGCTCTCGTCCCAGTATCTCGGTCAGATCGTGCAGATCCTGATCAACCTCTCCCACTTCACGACGGCGTGCCACGAGCTCGAAACCCTCCTCGCCTCGGCGCGCACAACCGCGCAGGCAGGACCTGCCATCACCCTCCGCGCGACGTCGCAATTTTCCCAGCACCAAAAGACGGCGGAAAACCGCATCTTCGAGCTCGTCAACAGCAAAGTGTCGGACCTCATCGAGACGGCCGAGTACGATTGGCTGTCTCGCCAGCCGCCCACGGAACCCTCCAACTACATCCTCACCCTGACGCGCTACCTCGCCAACATCATCAACTCGGTGCTCCTGTCCCTCCCGTCGTCGCTGAAGGATCTCATGCTCTTCAACGCCATCTCGTACACGGCGTCGTCGATCCTCTCTCTGCCCCTCTCCCCGTCGGTCGGGCGCATCACCACGACCGCCATCGCCCAACTGTCCATGGACATCGACCACTTCCGCAGCTACGTCGAGACCCTCCCGAACAACTCCATCCTCCTCGAGAGTCTCGACGAGCTCATCCAGACCGTCGCCCTCATGTCCACCGACCAACCCGACGAGTTCTACGACATATCCCTGCGGAACAAGAAGTACCGCAACGTCGACCCTCTCAAGGGCCCGCAGTTGCTGGAAAAGGTCGTCCACGTCCACGTGCAGAGCCCGACCGCAGGCGGCGGCGGTCACGATCGGGGAAGTGGCGCCGGTACGCCTGGCCCTCAGAGCCCGGCCTCTGGACACCAGGCCAGCATGAGAGGCAATGCCACATTTGCCGCGCTGCAAAATAGGTTCATGAATACAGGTAGATAGGTACCCTAGGTATACAATCTCAGTACGAAAGTAACGGTGGGCGTCAGAACAACAGGTATGGTGGAAAGCGTTGTCTTGCCAGTTGTACGATACAGTGCCTAGGCTACCCACCTAGGTTGGGTAGGTACCTCCTACAGTGCACCGTGTACTGTGTACGTAAGCTACCTAATACATACCAAAATCACAACCAAAAAAACAAACCTCCTGAACAATGAAGTGAACAAGACCAAATTGGGTCTTGCGTACCTGATATTCAATGGTGTTCTGATAGGACTACCTCTAGGTACTTACCTACCTAGACCTAGGTACCTAACAGGTGCGTAATACTGCAATACGAGGATAAAATACGACATTCACTGCACAACATTCCCGTTGTGGAAAGGTGCGTAATATATGACAATACGTTAAAAACGCCACATTCACTAGGTACTCCTCGTCTAAGTAGGTACAGGTAAGGTACCTGGGTATGTACCTTGTCATCACGAGCTTGGACAAAGATCCTATCCTTGTGGAAAGGTGCGACAGGCATGACGAGTCACATACATGTACGGAGTGCCTGGGCTGAGGCGGTGAAAGAAAAGGCTTACATTCTCCCCTACTATATATCCATACAAGTTGCAAAAAAGTCGTCCGGTCAAAGAGCGTGTTTGGCCACTACCCGCTTGATCGTTGGCAAAGCGGTCCATGGTAATGATACTGTACCAATGAAAGATCAAAAAAGAATAATGCTCGTGTTCCCTGTTTCCCTCCACGTACGTCTGTGCTGACTGGTTCGGCTGACATGAATGGCGTTACTGTTCCCCGGGGGTATCGTGTATAGAGTCTGGGAAAAAAAAAGAACCAAATAGTGGTGGAATCTTAGGACCAAAGTCAAGTGTGTGTTGCAATATGCGAAACATCGAAAACAAAACTTTGCAGCGGCGACTGATGTTGCAGGCGATCAATGTTCGCCGTACATCTCAAACCAGTCACCGATTTTCTGAAATGCACATGTCCGGGTAATCCATAAGTCTTCTTCTTCATCCTCGCTTCTTCTTCTCCTGTAGGCATCTCCAGCTTTCTCTTGAACATCGACAGTACCAGCCCGTGATCAATGGGAACCTGTGCCTAGCCGGGTCCATATCCTGGCTCGTTCACAGGCTCATTACGCCCTGCTGTTCCAGGCCTTGGCGCGCCATAGCCTTGACTCTGAGGCCTCTGTCCCGGAATGTTTGAATACATCTGTAGTGGTGGATCTGGTCAGCCAAGTGTTTCGACCAAACGTGGGCTCGAGTGAATCCTGAAATGCAACGGGGTGGGACTTTTCCGTACAGTATAGAAGAAATCATAATGGATATCAGCCTACCTGTTGAGCTCCTCCGCCAAATTGACCTTGCGTGTAGGGGTTGTACATGTCGTTCCCGCCAAACATTTGAGGAGGCTGGCCATAGCCCTGGTTGGGGTCCTGCTGACCGTCACCACCCATATGGCCGGGATACATTTGTGCTCTCCCGTATTGCTGGTCTGGAGGTCCCATGGAGGGGTGCTGAGGCATGCCATAGTCTGGAGGAGCCATTTGCTGTTGAGGCTGTTGCTGTGAGACTTGGGCGGCACCTTGGCCGCTGGTGTTGGGTCGTTTTGCGCCGCTTCCATGACCGGCACTATCTTCGCGCGGGACGATGTCAATGAGGAAATCGAACATGTCGCTCTTGGCGAGCGCTGCCGCAATATCGCTCCGTTGGAGAGTCCTTCGCTTGTTATCCTCCGCATGGATCCACGCTCGCATGGTTAATTCTGTGATGAAGATGTCGCAACCCTTTGCGAATAGGATGGGCGCTTCTGCAGAGATCATCTTGACTTCGGGATCCGCCTTCATGACTTTCTTGATCCGTGCTAGCGGTAGTTGATGGATTTTGAAATCGTGAGTGTCCGTCTCCAGATGATTGATAGTTTGCTGCCAGTAAGTTGCGAGGATTTCGCGCGAAGGGCCAGTGAGACCTTGGTTGATCTAGGGAAATGTTAGAAGGGAGCTTTCGAGCAAGAGGGCGGCTAGGCACACGTACATTTGACCAAAGTCCTGAGTACAATTCCGTATGAGGAACGTAGCCTTGAGCGGATAGCTATAAAGACAAGTCAGCCGTATGTTCTGATGCGATGCGCGACCAATTGATGATTCAAAGTTCAGGTAAAACCATATGCGCTTATCGCGGATTGATTTGACTGCGGCGCATAGTACTCCCAATTTGAGGGGCCCGAAGATACATAGGGAAGCACAAAGGCCAGTACTCACAGCAGCGCTGGCTCCATAGTGACCGCCCTGGCTAATGTCATATATGGGAGGGCCGGTATTCTTCTGATTTTGCTGCTCCATGCTGAGGTAGTTATCGCGGAACGAAGGAAGGAGAAGGCAGAGTCGCAACGGCGACAGGAACACCGATATCGCAAGAGAAGGCGCACGTGGAATCCGAGTCACACGTAGACCGAGATCGAGGTTCTAGACTAAGGTGACGAGGAGGGCTTCAGTTGGTGTGTTCGAAGGAGCTGAAGGCTGGTGTCGCGATCGCGTCCTTGGTTGCGCAAATGCTGATGGGAAGCGCACCGATTCGATGTGAGGGATTTTCAACGAGCACAATTTCCTGCGAGCACGAGGCACGATAGTAAAGGCCAAACAGGATCTTGCAGGAAATGTCGGTGAGGATCGTGTGATGACGGAGATGGAACAAGTAGAAGCAAAGCCTGCGGCGGCGATCTAGGTAGTAGTAGTAGAAAAGGTGAAGGCGGGGAAGGAGGACGCTGGCTTTTTCAACTTTGAGTACTCCCGGCTCCGAGCACAGCCGCCTCTACAGCTCGACGAGATACGACTCTCTATATGTCCAGATACTTATTCTCGTAGCCACCCTGTCTATGAGTGAATCTCGATGGGACAGTTTCCATCTCAAAACAAACAACAAGCTTCATGGCCAATGGGAGTTGACCGTCATAACCACCATTAGGAACGCGACCCGTCTTGAGCCTATAAGGACGCAGCAGTCTCCGCCTCACTTCAAAGCGACCGTATATATAGCCCATGACGGTGGGAACCTCGTCCGTCAGACACTCCGTGTCCAGGCTTGCAAACCCTACGCGAGACAGCATCGCCATCTCGCTCACATCTACAGAACACGCTCACGAACTTTTCATAGTCCAATACTTTCATCACTCTCTTCGCCTTCGCATCTCGACTGTGCCTGAATATCCTGATCATCATAGTACATCATGGTGTCAAGCACTCAGGTAGGTCAGCCCTATGGCTTGCAGAAAGGTGCATCATGTATTGTCTGAGAGGTCAAGGTGGTTGCCGGACCCGACATGCAGAGCTTCAAAGAAGTCGCCTCACAGGTCGGGCAGCAAATATGTGCTGGCATGTCAGGTACACCAATCAAAGTTGAGGCCTGATCAAGGCCTCTTGCTTGACAAGGCTGCTGCACCAACAATAGCTCTTACTGTCCCACGACTGATGTAAGAATTTTTCATTTCAAAAGGCGGAGCTGCAAATTTTCTGATGATGGAGTAATCATTCGGCACTTGTCTGTACCATCCCAACAGCACACCAGGCTGCCACCATCGACAGGGTGCGTGACAGCGCGATACAATTGTGACGTTTCCGATTCTTATCTCCCTTCTTCAGTCGCCTGACAGTCTCTCTGTACACCATGAGCCATTCTCGGTCCGACGGGTTAGTATTTCTGTATTCGGTCAAGGAAATCAGACATCAAGTCCACAACTGTGCCGAACTGAGTGGCAACCCTTCTTGGACTGTTTCCTTGGACTCAGATCAGACAATTTTCAATGTTGTGAGGCCATGATGTGGCCCGAGAGACCTTGTCGGCCATGCCACTGATTCATCCTTCAATCATTCCCTTGGCTGGCAGAACACATTCAGCTGCTCTTTGCCGATACCCTCGGCATGACGAAGATCCGGCTGCAAGCTTGTTGTTGGATTGAACTGATTTTTTGTAGCCACAGTTAACCATATAATATATTGTTCATGAGTGATGCGATACGTTTGATGTACGCATATGCGTAGTATCATACGCTTGAATTCATTATTACCACCACAACTCAGCTCATAGACTCAAACGTGCGCAGAAGCACGGAAATTTCACTCGGGACATGATTTCCAGTAGCATTTTGAAGTCACAAAATCTCGTAGCTTGGTGAATGGAAACAATCCTATTGCTTTTGTACGTGATGCCATCTGGAACCCAGACAGTCTTTAGAAAGCATCCCACCGTGGTAAGGCTGAATTTTTGGAACCAATGATTAGGTCTTGTAGTGAGACGAGGCTGAGAAAGGCTGAAAGATCTTCCCTCGGCTAACTTTCTCTTTGCGAATGCACTAGGCCTTTCATGCTTCAGAATTTATTTCCCAAGATATAATACCACTGCACTTTGCACCTTCTGCATGTCGTCATGTAAGTGCATGATAATCGTCACGTACGATGGCGAAATTACTGGATGATGTCGAGATAGATCGACTTTTGTCAGAGGCTGAGGAACGCCTCCGGGCGAAGGCTGCTGCGCCAGAGACCTCCACCTCGACCGAGATCAGCCTGCACAACGGTGAACTGGAGAAAGCCTCATCAAGAAAATTGTAGGTTCTAGATGCTCAGCTCATCTCATTCCCAACTGACATTGCCCTAGGCTACCCAAGCTCCAGCATAACTTGAACCAGACAATTTACATCAAGGATCACAGTGGTGTTGCGCAGGCAAATCCTCAGCTTGCGGTGGGAAAGGACCAGAGACAGTTAGCCGACAGCCTGAAAAAAGTTGAACTTCCTGGAAAGTCGAAAAGAATTGTAAGTGCCTCCTACAACTTTATAACCCACCCAGCATCTCATATGAGGAAAATTATTCCCATTTTGTTCTTGACGCAGATCAGCAGTCCATTCTGGCCCGCCCTGCTTCCATGAGAGCACTTTTATTCATAGTTACTCTGACTTGGAAACCAAACACCATCTGATCTCACATCTGTTTTTGTGAGGCTCTTGTACTGATCGCAATAGAATGACCAAGTGTCTGCTGGTCCGAAATGGTTTGACCTACCAAAGACGAACCTGACTCCCCAACTCAAGCGTGACCTCCAGCTCATCGAGATGCGGTCGGTCCTCGATCCCCATAGACACTATAAGAAAAACACCCGAAAAGGCAAGATACCCACGTTCTCCCAGACCGGAACTGTCATCGAGGGCCCAACAGAATTCTTCAGCGCAAGGATCAATAAGAAAGACCGTTCCAATAACTTTGTGGATGAGGCAATGACAGTGGAACAAGAGACGGGACGCTTCAAGCGGAAGTATGCAGAGATACAGGACAGCAAGACAAGTGGCAAGAAGGCTCACTACAAAAAGCTCATGGCCAAGAGGAGGAAGAAGCCTTGAACTTTGGCCACCGTGTTCATGTCGAAATACATCTCGACATTGGACGCAATTCTTATTCAAGGCTTACTCGGATGAACAGTCAGTCGTCCATCCACAAGGCTGAGAAAATCTCGGCCCCTAGCATAGGGGCCGAGTAGCTGCTGCCCAAGGGTCTGGCACTGGAGTCGGTACAGACGGACGGCGTCTTTAAATTACTTAGCGACTTTCGGTCCCGTACGAAATACGGCTACCGGGCGAAAGTGTGAGGTCGAGACGGTTCTTTGAAGAGATGCCGGAGCTGGATCAGCTTCGCATATAAGGCCAGCGAGGCCACCTCGGAGCAAATAGGACCTGATCGGCCTTATAACATACTTGTGGAGATGAGAGCGACTTGGGGGCGAACTAGAGCCGAAACAAATTCACTCTCACGAGTACTTAGCATGCTCTGTGGAAGTTAAGGGGAAGGACAAAGGCGACTTGTCGTTTAAACATGCATGATGTGGTGTGGCGCTGTAAAGCCCGAGATAGAGATGATTTCGTGTCGTGCATAGCAGTACGCACCTGAGTCTATCTAAGATTAGGAAACTCTAGGTGCGCGATAGTACATAGAGAACATGCAGAAATAGAGGGATGCCCTGTTGGAAATACCCTATCATCGAGTCGTAGCTAATTGCTTATCCGTACATTGTATCCATATTACTACTCCGTACTCCGTACATGTACATTTGTTGTCTGTGCCCCTTAGTGACCCAAATCGTATGACGGTGGTCCGGGACGCCAAAGCCAACGCCCGGATGGGGAACGGCAACTTCCCAGATTCAAGGTTTGGCTCGCAACCATCAACCGCCAACTCAGCGCCTTACCAATTGTTGACTCGACGATTACGAAAATTGCAGATCTCAAATTACAACCCAAGGCGGTCGCAGATTACACGAATCCCTCTTTGCGAGTCATGAGTTTCTCCCACGAGGTCGCTAGCCAGCGCTTCGTCTTGCCCAGGGCTGGATCGGCGGCGACCAGCGATTTGGGTGCATGAAGACCAATCCATAACCGCAAATGGGCGAGGGATCGGATGCGTCTCTCCGGAAACTCAGCAAAGCTGGCTGAATCGCTACGAATCAATTGCCGCTTGCTGGAGAACATCATGCCAGGTTTTGGTCAATTGGAGGGTGGGAACAATAAGAAACGCCATGTGAGACATGACATCGAGTCGCGTACTCCGTACATACGGAGTACAATGGCCAACTTTGGTCGAGCATGTATTAAAGAGACGATGAAGTCCCCCTTTGACAGCGTTTCTGGTGCTATAGACCCTCCCTCGCGTCCTCTGCAACATCTCCCCTGACGAGAGCGGCAGGCTTTGCTTCGCTTCGACGTAAGAAGGCTTCACTTGTGTCAGTGGCAGGCCTTACTGTAAGAGCCTCAGTTAGAGTCCGCGTCTTCGGTTGTCCGAACTGCCAACAGTTCCCCAGGCCGTCTCGCTCTACAAGCCAATGATAACGACAGTTGCCCTGAGGTGACCAGATTGGCCGGTATCAGACCTGCGCCTCTACTCCGCCCCCATTTGCAGATATCTTTAGCCCCCCGCCACCTAGCACGCCCCAAAGCAGCTCCTAAACCGTTTCGAGTCTCAGCCTGGCCAGGAACTGGGTCAAGTTGGCTATATTCCAAGCTCTCCTCATGCCACTGGGCCCAACCACCGACAAAAAGACAAACGACACTGAACAAGCGACAGCTTGCTCAAAACTTCCCTCCCAAAGTCCCTGTCAACAATATCTCTCATTCTGCTTGCCAAACCATCCGTTGGTCTGTACTACGGCGTTCATACGCAATGCATCCGGGGAGTCAGCCCGGGCCGCAATTTAGACCATTGGCTTGATTGGAGCGGTGTCGACCAGATACTCGCCGAGAGCCATGACTTCTATCCTCCGTCTGGGAAGCAAAGATCGCTCTTCTTTCCTCTTCAGACGGCATGGCACTGATAACAACGGAGACACTTCGTCCGATCTGCTGGCTCATCGCCTGCCTGAATTATCGCGTGTCGATACACGATCTCTGCTAGGCCTCTTTGACGAATACAACAAGTCCGAGCACCTTGAAGCTCTGCCTAGATTCCAGTCAGATCATCAAAGGTCTACTGCTTTGAAACCACAGATTTGCCTTTCGACAGTGACCGAGCATGGCGTAATTGGAACCATGAAGCCATTCAATGAAGAGGCAGTTCAACACCCTAGGCTCGATCTGGTTCGAAATGAATCAACATCATCATCCTGTTACTCTCAGCCCAGCCAGAGGGGGAGCGACTACTCTCCTCTGGTCACAAGAAATTCGTCAAGCTCGAGTTATGTTCAGGAATCACCTTATGACCTCTCAGAAGCCCCATCACTGAAGCCGGACCCGTTAAAATTATCGACTCATTCTGCCCTCTCTCCAGCAGCACAATCACAGCCACGTAAGGTCTACCCGACGGTTGCCTCGCCAGTAACACTCCCGTCGCCACCACCAAACTTAGACAAACCGCTCCCACCAGGACCTCGTGAACCACAAAAGGCATCCGTCTCAGTTCCTGATCTTCTACTCCGGACCACATCTGCAGATCGACCTTCAAATAGACTCTCCGTCCAACCAGACAATGTCCAAGCCTCTTCATTAAGCTCGAGGAGTGCATCTGCAAGGCGCGCGTCTGACGGTCAAGCATTGGCAGAGCTCCCCTCGTGGAGATCCAAGTCTGTCCGAGACCATCGACCTGGACAGCTGGAGGTGCCAAACACAAACCAGTTACCATCGGACGCCAAAACCCAACGACATGCTGGAGTCGAAATCGAAGAGTATCGCCGCCACACAGCCGACCTCACGGTGTCGAATAGGTCGTATGAACCCAAGCCGAAGAATGTCAAAGCACGACGTGGAAAATTAATCAAGCCAATCTCGGCATCAACGGCGGAACGAGTCATTTACAAGATCATGTGCAACCTTCACAGCTTGGAAGATCTTCAATCAATGGCCATAGTTAGCAAAGGCTTCTACCGCACATTCCATCGCAATGAGTCGAACTTGGTAAGCCATTTGATCTTCAAAACATCTCGACCGGCCTGGGAATTTCGACGAATCACGCTTGCTCTTAAAGGGTCCAGCAACTTTGTCCTCAAAGACTACCGTCGCGATTGCAAGAATTTGACGGCGTTGAAAGCTTTCATTGTTGCTCACTGCGGCTCGAATTGTAAACAAGGTGTGTTGGTTGGACTTCTCGGTCAGTACGAGGATCGTACCAAGCAGATTGACAATGCTCTTTGGCGCATCTGGACTTTCTGCAGCCTCTTCGGTAACACTATGGGAAGAACGAGCCCTCCACAGGCAGAACTTGACTGGCTGAACGGTAGCAAGGCAGCCAACAAGAACATGGGCGCAGATTTTGCCGTCGGAAATGGAAGCGGCCTCACTACGGGGGAGCTTGAGGACATGATTGAGATCTGGCAATGTTTGCAAAGACTACTTTCTGGCTTTCAGGGTCGAGAATCTGAAGCCAAAAAAGCCGGTGTCTTTGACAACTGGCATCTTCGGGAAACAACTACTGAAGCTCAGCATCTGGGAGAGTGGATTTCCTATTTACTTACACTGGGCCCTCAGACAATCTTAGCCCTCTCTTCGTGCTCGTTCGATCAAGCCAGAATGTTGAGCCTCACGAAATGGCCCGCTCCGGTTGCAGGGCAGAGCCGATCATCCTTCTTGACTGCCGCAATCACCCAGGTTTATCAAGAAAGACTTCTCGAGGAGGCTACACTCAAGGCTGCGCGATTTTCAATAACCCCGATGGCTGCTCCTCAATTACAGCACCAGCGCAAACCAAGTCACCGACCCACCAGATCTTTCGACGAACGACAACTGGCTCCTCCTCCAGTACGCACGACAGTGAACCAGACTCAGTCCCTCCGAATCGACACTACCATGCTCAAAAGAAGGCCCATATCTATGATTGCACAATCTGACGTTCGGCTTGAAATCCGACCAGATTGTGATCCAGCTAATGATCTTTCCATGAACAAGTCACAGGTGTTCCCTGCTACCCCGACCGCCGATCCGACGATGTTTTACACCCTTGGAATGACACCGACAGCGAGCACGAAACTTGGGGCTACTTTGTTTCCGGTTGATTACGTGAACCCGGGACCCCGAGTACCTTTCCGCAACACTGATCAATCCCACGCTTCGACACCTGGCGTGGTAGACCCTGTGGACAGAGCCATGAGAGTTTTGGTGCAAGACCTAGGTTTCAGCGAGATTCGCGCGAGAAAGGCGCTCGCCATGTGTGACACTGGTTCGGGGATTGACCTCCAAAAAGCCATCGAGCTGCTGACGATCGATGCGAAAGACGCCAAACATCGCCTCGCACCGCCTATAGAATTACCCACGCCATCGATAGTCTCGAGTCCCGACCGGGCGAAGAGGCAGCCCACGGCTTTCTGTGACGGGCATTGCTCTCCAACCTCGTCGATCGCACATAAGAGACAGCGATCGACGGGCACGATCACCGACACCTCCATCAGCCCAATCTCAATCAGCGATGACGCCGAATGGCAAGACACAATCTCGCCGCTCGTGACTCCAGCAAATTCGACGATGCGGCCGAAAAGCATGTTACGCCGAGGTCCGAGTAAAGGGGTGAAGGCTTGGAAAGTGCTCGGGATCGAAAATGCACCGAAGCGCAAGAATTCCGTTCTCGGAATCGAGGAATACCAGGCAAAGGTCGAGCGTAGAAAGAGCATGAGGGCCGGAATCGTCGCGGGAAGTACCAGCGTGAGAGAGGGACTCGGCAAGAATTTGTTGGGTCTAGGGTTGGGCATTGGAAGTATCATGGGAGCAAAGTCTGTGGAACAACAACTCCAACAGGCTCGAGACCAAGAGAGACGCAAGAAAGAAAAGACCTCGAAAATCATCTCCATGCCTCGATATGCATGAGTGCACAGATTCCCCCGGCAGGTCATCACGATGACGCACCTGCGGCTCCCTGGACACTTCAACCGTTTTTTTTTCCTTCTTCTCTACAGTTTCATCATTTGGGGGTATATTCAGTCGGCGTTGAAAGGTGGTTCCTGTTCGTCATTGGTTTTCGAGACCAGGCATGACCGGCTCGCCCGACTTTACAGAGTCCATTACAGTCCTCCCGTTCAGTACATGCCAGCATACACGACATCTACATGTTTTTTTTTCTCGCTCTCTGTTTGCAAGCAACACGACACATACGGAAACTAGGGATGATGAACGAGACCAACGACCGAGCAACCTTTTTGACGACATTTTTTTTTGTACAAATCTATTTTTGAATTACACAGAAGGAGGGGGGGAAGGATAAGTCGATGGCCACGACAGGAGGGGAAACAGGTTCAGCAGTGGCGACGAGCAGTGGCGACGGACAGCGGCAGCGATATCGACAATGAAAGAAGATACCCTTTTTGAGAGAAGTCGATCAATTTGTTTTTTGGTTTGATTTGTTTTTGGGGGTTTGATTTGTTTTTGTCAATGGGGGCATTCAAAGGATCCCGGTCTCTCTTTCGTCCCTACTCCCTCACACGCTCTCGTTTTTGATATCTTGTCGAGGGTCAGCTGGGGATCGGATGGATGATGATGATGATGATGATGATCGGGAAGGGAGATTGGGATAATCCCCCGTACGTGGCGTTTGTTTTTGATCTTGAGATTCAATACACAAATTTCTACCTTGTACTCCCTACGGATTCCCTGTGTGACTTACTCTCGAGTGAACCCTCCACGTGCCTTTCTCGGGATGCATGCATGTGAATTCTTCTAGACTCTTTTTCCCCCTCTCTCTTTCATTCATATCTTGTTTGTTTGTTTGTAGATGATACAAGACTGCTTACTCCGTAACTCCCGTACCAAAAAAAGTTCATGGATATATGATGATGATGATGATAAAAATAATGCACCCCCTCGACACCGTCATATCTAGAGTAGAAACCCCGGTGCACTCCGATACCACAAAGCAGAAACTCTCAACCGTACCGAGTACTCATGCACAGACAAAATCAAAAAGTAAAAGGACAGGCAACAATCCAAAAAAAAGGAAGTTCTCCGGGAGGTGTCCCTGATAAAGGGAGGTGTGACGGCAAGAAATATATACTTCTGTAATTTACTCTTTTAAAAGAAAAAAAGAGACGCCAATATCGCTTGCTGTTGATGATTCCAATCATACCACGTGTACTTGAGAAGTCGGTCATTGAGTGATACGGAGGGGACGAATTGATTGTTGCTGTGGTGGTTATTGTTGTTGGATGCGATTTCCTCCCCCTGGTTTCACTTTTCTTTTCTTTCTTTCCAAGTTGAAGAAAAAGGAAAAGAATGGTCCAGAATGGTCTGATCGGTTCTCCTGTCCTGCGCCGAGTCGGAGGTGATCCATATACCAATAGTATTCGGACCTCTTGGGGGGCCATCCTGGTCGGATATATCCTGATATTGAGATAATATCTCTCTTGCTGAACCTTGCCTAGTCCGCAGCTTTTGGTCGAGATAGAACAGGTGATGCGTCCATCGAGGACGCCGAGGTACATATTCAAGAACACGTCTTAGAAGACTCGTCAAGCCTGATGCGAGACATTTCCAAAACTCGGCTCTATTGTCCAAAAAGAAATTTGGCGTACCATATACCCAATCAACGCCCTTCCACAATCTCCAGACAACCCTTCCCTCATTCCTCTTGTCATCTCGATCTCAATGAGTCACGATAAAAAAAGTATTCATGATCAAACAAGTAATCATAACCACAAGACCATAAACGGCCAAGGCGAGACTCAACCTCCTCAACAATTTCCGTCGAAGGTTCTTCGTCCGCTTCAACAGGCTCACACCACTCAGACTGAGCAGGCCAGAGTTTGCAAGCAGGGTCTGGTGTTCTCCTCCACCACCAGCTTCGGATCGGTCATTCTCGTCGTCGGATTTTGCACCGTCAGAATCGTCGTAGTCGTAGTCGTCTTCCTCCTTGAGCAGGCGTTGATGGAGCGGCGAGTCGGGTGAAGAGATCTTGTAGTAGAACAGACCCGGCAGGATGAACGAGATGGACGTACTCCCCGTCGATCCCACGTAGGCCAGGACGGCAGAGAGGCTCGAGACGGTCATGGCGACGATATAACTACAGATGACGATGACGGTCGTGATGGCGGCGAATCGAGTCTCGCTCATTTCCGTGTTGCGTTTCTTGGCCACGGGCAAGAGGGGAACGTCTCGCGGCGGACTGGAGTCGACCGAGCTCGGGGTGGCCGAAGCAGAGCGCAGCTTGGCCTTCAACTTGTCGCTCGGTCGCCATTTGAGCACGGCGTCGAGACTGGCTCGGCACGGGTGGACCTGAAGCGGGTAAGAGAACATGACCAGAACCACAATCATGGCCTGGCCGAGGGTGCTCGATACGGCCGGCGCGTATTGTGCCACGATGTTTCCGCCAATCTCGTTTCCAAAGGACAGGTAGCCCGTGATGGCGACGAGGATATAGATGAAGCCCGCGGTGCCGTTGGACGCGCAGAGCACCGAGGTGGTGCGGAAGTGCGAATTGTCCGCAATCTCGTTGAGGATACTGAACATGTTCTGGTGGCACGTGTAGGCGAAGACGATGACGGGGAAGGAGGAGAGCGTGGGCACGATGCCGGCCCATTTGAAGACGCGCAGGGGCGTCTCGTAGTGTCCGTTGGGGAGGGTGTCGTGTTTCGCGAAGTGGTAGACCACCAGGATGACCAGGTACCCGATGGAGATCAAGGCGACGACCGAGGTGTACTTGAGCGAGTCCAGCCGGCGCAGGAAGGAGAAGGGGATGACGACCAGCATGAAGGCGGTGATCCAAAAGTGCCGGTCGAACATGAACGGACTCAGGCTGTCCTCGTGGGCGAACCCGCGAACCACCCCCGGCATCAGGTCCCCGATGATGATCAGGTAGCTGACCCCGACGCCGAAGCACTTGATGGCGATGGCGGCGTCAAAGATGACCGCCGCGTTGGGGTACGTGATCTGCGACAGGGCGAAGAAGCTGGCCGACCCCCGTTCGAGGTAGCGGGCGCACCGCGTCTGGAGGTACAGCCCGAACCCTGCCGTCACCCCGGCCCATATTATGACGATCGTCCCCAGCAGTATACCCATGTGCGACATGGCCAGGGGCATCGCGAGCACGCCGGCCCCGACGATGGTGTTGAGGAGGTTGACGACGGAGGAGATCCATGATGCGTTGCCGACGGTGCCCGTGAGGTCGCGTTTCGTCGTTCGGGTGGGAGTGTGAGGACGTCTGGGCGGACCAAAAAACACAGTGTCAGTAAAGTACTCGTTGGGCGTGACACCGAGAAGATATCTCGGCAGGGTCAATCGGATGTCTTCCTTACCGCCGTGTGCGTGAATGGGAGCCATGGGAAGAAGTTGAGCCAGGCATGGTCGGATTTCCACAGAGAGAGAGTGAGTGAAGGGCGCGCGTGTGTTCAAGATTTCGAGGTTTCACCGGTTTATTAGCATAACTTCATAACCGGACATCACGCACTTCATCGAGAATGTCGTCAGCGACAGTCAAGATCAGCGACAGGATGGTAGCAAAGATTGGATGAATTAGAAAACTAGAGATTAAAAGAATAAGGTGATAATGATACCAGGCACGGAGTACGAGATCGAAAGTGGTGAAGACATTTGGGCAAAGAAGGGCGCAACAATGGGCCAAGCCGCAGTCGTAATGGCACCTTGAACCCGGCGCAGTTTTCCGTGTGACTTTTAGTCATAGTCCGTAATACAGCCGATTCCCCGGCACGCACCGGCCTGTCACCATCCAAGAAAGAGCCTCAAACGGCTCAAAGGGTGGCCAGGGTCCAGGGCCACCCCCATATCAACCATTGTTGCAGCGCATAGTACCTGTGTATAGGTATAGCCGAGGACCAACAGATGGCGAATCTATAACAGAAAGTATTCAAGTACTTGATGGAGTAAATGTTCTGACTTTGACCATCTCACATTCCATTACATCTTTCATCTTTCATCTTTCATCTTTCATCCCTCATCCTGTCCTGTGTACTGTGGCTCATGAACCACTCTTCTTCCATATCATACATTCAGGGTATCATGCTGTGTCATGTGCTTCTGGAAAATAATATCCTTAGAAAAAAGGCATCAATCGTAAAATCATCAGGTTGGTCATGCAGCACCTGTTGACCTTTCCTCCAACCCTAGCACATATTAATCACCGTATTGTTCAAATCCCAAAAAGGGTAACCCAGGTATTTTCCGACCTTGTTGCCAGAGAGCAGTGTCTGCTTACTTCCATCGAGCATTGTCCTTTAATACTTTAATAAGGACATTCGTATCCAAAAATAGTCCTATGAGGGGCCTCGGGTATCGCTTCAGCTTGTGTATCGTCGTTCCATTGCGGACATTCGTGCATTTGTTTCAAATCCCCTTGTAGTTGACATCTTCTCCCTCATCTAGGCGTATACTCCGGCTTTCTCAATTTACTCACCATCGGCGGCGGTCCCTCATCAAAGTCCAGCGGATACGGCGGTCTAGGCGCGCCATTCGACCTGCCCGTGGCCATAGGCGACGTACGTTGCCGCACGGGGAAGGCAGGGTCGTCAATTGGAGTCTTTGGTGGCCGTGGCGGTGGTTCCGAGGGGTTGTAATTGTGCGCCTGTAGTTGAGGAACAGATGGCTGATACGTGTATTTATCGTCACGTCCACCGCGATAAGGAATTTCTCCCGAGACGCGCGGCGAATTCGTCTCTCCTGGGGCAAGGGTGAATTTATCCTGGGACGGAGGATACGTGTCGTTGGGGTACGGTGGCATTCCCGAGACCCTGGGATGCTGCGGAGGGGTGAATGATGTAGTATCCTCCGCGGGAAGTTCGATTGCTCCGGGGTGCGAAGGTGCAACAACAGGTGGAGCGGGGGGTTGCGGCTTTTGTCGATACGACCAGCTCGGGTCTCTGTTGTGTGTCTCGCCTCGTTCTTGTCGTCTCTTCATGATCTCGATCTTGCCCATCTTCAGCGCCGCATCCCCCAGCAGTCGCTGCGTGTCGTCCTGTCGCAAGTATTTCCGGGTGTTTGTCTGTATCGTCGGTACCGCAGCCCATTCGTTCATGCCCACAGATCCCACGGAGCTGGTGGCGTTGAACCTGTAGTAAACCTCCTGGGGTACGCCACGTTTGGGCAGCTCTGTCTTGAGCATTTGCTGGTGTGTAGCTTCGCAGGCTTCGATCTTCGCAATGAGCCGTCTCCTGGCCTCGGCGAACATGCCCATGCTTCCACCGAGGAAATCTTCCCACCACTCATGCTCCGGGACACCACTGTTCTCCGGACGTTTTGCCGGTGCCCACGCTGACAAAGACGCCGATCTCTCGAGCCGGCCATTCGCTCAGTGTCTCCTCCAACGCAGTCACCGCAGGGTTGTACTGCCCGGCACCTTCGTCGATGAAAACGCTCTGGCCAATTTGAATGGGCTTGAAGGCCAAGCCGGTGGCACAAGTAGCCCGTCCAGCCTGCCAGATGGTACAATTGAACTCAGGCGGGGGCTCTTTTCTCGAATCGTAGGATCTCAACAAGACTGATGAGCCGTTCTTGGGGGTGCCTTGAAAAACCGCCGTGACCGCACTGCAACATCGTTAGCTTCGCGTGCCCCATCCCTGCAGGGCGTGTAACCTCAAGAAAAACTTACGTCTTCGTCCTGTTTTCCCGTCCGTCATAGAAACTCGCGTTGGGATTGCCCCAGCCATTGAACGACGGTGAGATGATGGAATTTCTCACCGTCGACGGACTCGACACTGACATGGAATTGTTACTCCTTATGCTCATGGACCGTCTTGGTGGAATCGCACTGGCCGTGCTGACGGGGCTGCTCAGATCTCCAAACTCGCGCCCACCAGTCGCGGTGCCATCGTTACCTTCATCCTCGAACACCGTGTGGTCTCTGACGCACTCGCGGATCGCCTCTTCCAACTTGGACGCCTTGAACAGGGTATGTTTGTAGGGGATTCCGGCTATTGTCTTGTCCGTTTCAAACACTCTCTTCGTCATCCGCACGTAGACGCTCATGCACGTTTCCAAGTCGAGTCGCAACCGTCCCAGCATGATGGCAATCAGACCCCCGGTGCCGGTGCCGATGATCAGATCGAAATAGTCGCATGGTTTCGGGGTGGCTTCCCTGCTCGGTGGTTTGCCTTCGGACTCGACGTAGACTCGATGCATCAGTTCTTGAAGGATGACCAGCATCGAATAACCGCGGACCCCGCCGCCATCTGTGACTCTTGTGTTAATTTGTATTTCACACACATGAAGGATGGTCCTCTCAGGCTTCGCGGACCTACCCAGTGAAAGGATGCGCAGTGGCGGACCCTTTGTCGTATCTTTTCGCCGCAAATTGTTACTATGGTCCATCTTTCGCCCAAATCATCCAGGGAACCGCGTTACAGAGGGGAATGTGACGACTTGTCGCTCGGTGTTGATGAAGCGGCAAGAGGAGATGCTCAAAGATGACTTTGTTCAAGCAACTTGGAAATGAAGTGATGCGATGTACAGAGAACGGAGTACAGAATTCCAAACGACTTTGTGTTCTGGGCAAAAGACTCGTAATTCGTAAACGAGTGACGGCTGGGCAATTTGGAACTTTTGGAGTACTGTAGGCACTAATGTACCTAGGCTAGGTATGCAGATACAATATGCAGATGCAGATGTGCAGATATGCAGGATGCAAGGAAATCCCTGAAGAAAGATACCTTAAAAAACAAAGCTGCATGAACATGTAGGAACTTTGCCCTAATTATGTAAAACCCCCTCTCTACACATATCCGTCGTGGTGGCCCAGTACCTTGGGTACCTGGTAGGTAAAACCTGCATCATGGAGTTCACAACGTGGTTGAACCTGTTGTATGGTTGACAATCTTCCGTATTTATCGGGGCTTGTTCACTGACGTGGTTCCTGGGCTTCGTTTGCTCTAACCGAGCCCCGGGGGGGAGGAAGGGGGTTTCCATCACCACAGCCACACATCAGGTACACATTTGCCTGCCCCGTTCGCCCTTCTCTTTCGTAGCAAGCAAGGAAATACTTTTTGCCCTTGAGATCGACACTCAAATGCTGGACAGGTTCGTTCGACAGGTATACACAGTGTACAGATGGCCGGCCACCAGGACATTTCCAATTCCGGATCGGATGGTTTACCATAATGCCACGCATAACTGTTCTACCAGCTTGGGAACGCCCATTGTTCATTCTTCCCCCCTTGTTCAAAAGCTGGGTTGAGTTATCCGGTAACAACCTCATGAAGCTAGGCTTAAAATGACCAATGCAAGGCTGACAAGATGTTACGACTCACATTTATCATCCATCGTACTACTCCGTAAGTGTTAGGAAGATGCGACCTTGACTACCTGGATAGGACTCGTACTCGTAAAACGTACGGTACAGTACATTTATTTCCTTTCTCTTCTCACTCATCTCTAGTCAGCTGAGAGAGAAAGGCGACCATCAGGCTGTTTGTGGCGCAGCAAAAAAACAAAAGGCTCACGTACGAATCGTCATTGGGAAAAACAACGCCCATGTTCGTTTCTTGGTGAACCTGGCTCCCTGGTGGCGACTCGGGGTTACAACACTCTCTGTACAGACAGTACGAGTGCCCAATCATTGAATTCATCATCGGTTTTGCAAAAAGGCCCTGCCCACTGTACGGATACGCGTTTGAACCATTTTGATTGCATCCGCAGCCACTCCGTAACTGAGTACCCTAATGTAGGTACCACCTACACTTGGATGTCCATGGCTCGTCAACTACGCGGATGACATGAAATACGAAGCTGGGAGCAAAACAAAATTCAATAAAGAGCAAAAAAAGTAAGAACAGGAAGCAAAAGTCCTGAATGACAATATCTTCGGGGTACAGAGATATATGAATCTGCACAGCTTTACCCAGCCGGAATATAATGATGATAAATGTTGACGATGATGTTGATGTTTGATAATGTACAAGTGGGCGAGAGCCACCATCGTAAAGCCATGCGCCTTGCCCATTCATTCTGATCCCCCCCCGGTTCGCAACCCCCCTAGATCACCCAACCCATACAAGGAAAACAAAGTCCCAAAATATGACAACAAATTCTTTGCTGAGATATTCGACCAGAGGGTATAGTCGACCTCACCCGGGTTTCTGAGAAGTGGTCATTCAAACAGGCCGTAGATGATGCACAACAGTTAAGTAGTCTTTCCTTCCAAGGTGTATCCCAAGGCTTGCTTAGTTTCGCATCCCAATTGTCTCCCTTCTCTTGATCACCCTCTGTCTTCTCATCAGCAACAATGTCAATCTTTGCCACATCCTCTCCCATTCCCACGCACACCTCCAAATTCCTCCTCGAGGTGCCTCCAACTCACTCTTGGGGGACCAATCCAGGTAATCATTCATCCACACAACAATAGCAATAAAAACACAAAGAGACACAACACAACGGGTGCCACCTGATATCGGCCGTTTCGAATATATCATAAAACTCCATGGTATGACCAAAAATGCCAGACATATACATGCCAAACGCTTCAATACTGCCACCTGCCGAATTGGAGGGTTCGTCTCGAAAAAGCAACCTAGGTCAGATTTCCATATGTTAACACAATTGCCACCCGTAAATTCATCGATTCGAGGAAAAGCTGGACGTCGTGCTGACGGCCGGATAAGATGTTGCCGGCCCAAACACTTGGGCTCGGACATGCTCGAGGATATGGCGATCCTTGGCTAGAACGGGGGATATAGCTTCGTTCTCTCTCAGGATCCGGATCGTGCGATCGTGGAGACGCTTCAAAGTGTATTCGTCCACCAACGAGCTCAACCCAGGATGCCTTGCCGTGAACGTGGCATACAGCACAAGCATATTACCAAATTGCCTGCATCAAGTCAGCTCGATTCTTGCAACACATCATCGGTAGGGGCCACCTACGCATGTACTGTACCAAAAATATTGGTGACAATCAAACGACGAGGGACCTTGTCGAAACACGTCGTGCTACGGATCGCGGCTTGGATACAAATTCTGGCCGCCTGTAGGAGATCGGGACTGATATAGGGCATATCGGAGCCATGGCGATGGAGCTGGTTGTCGCCTACGCTCGCGTGCTGGACGGAGGGTGACGTGAGCTCCGAGTTGCCATAGGCTGCAGGCGACTCATCGGAGTGATCTTTCAGCAACCCTTCGCTTATCAACAGAGCGTAATGAACTGCTGGTCGCCAGACAATGTATTTCCCTCCGTAATACTTGCCCCTCATCCGGGCCACATTGATGTCCGGGCTTTCGTGGTCGTCGTCGTCCCACGACCAGTTGTTGAGAATTCTTCTCCAGTTTTCTAGGTTCTCATCCAAGACCCCCATGATGGTAATGCTGGGCCTGGTACTGGGGTCCTTCGACTGCCGATACAGGGTCGAATGAACACTGTTCATCGTCATTCGCAATTGGATCTGGTACAGGTAGTAACGCACAATCTCGTTAGCGTTCGACGTCCCATCGAGACCGTGCTCCAGCGTAACACTCGTAGGCATGTCTTTGTGCTGCGAGCTTTCAAAGCGGGTAATGCCGCTAAGGGGTAGCTCCAGCTCCGCAGCAATGTCACTCTCCAGTTGCAGGCATGACCAGAACGCGAAGTTGATCAGGTTGCGTCGGTTGGGTTTGATCGTCTGCTCTTTGTAGGGTCTCGACTCTATCAGAATCTGTGCAGCCATGCAAGCCTTCATGATGTACTCGTAACTCGGCAGAATGCGCGCAAGCTGACCCATGTACAAACCTGCGAGAAGATTGGCTTGAATATGCGACACATCAGTGCCACCCGGGAGTTCACCCAGGATATCCGCCGCCTTTGCGAAATATGCCAGTCCAGGGATGGCATCCATGTTCTTGCCTTGAGGGTTTGCAGGGCTCGAAACACTGATGTTGTTGGTCCCGTTCAAGTTTGACTGCGTGTTGAATGGTGATGTTGGCGCAGACATTGGCATTGGCAAGTCGGAATACAAAGCACTATGAGGGGTAGAAGTGCGCATGCTGGTGGTGCTTGCTGGGCCTGGGAGCGGCTCACGGTGCGAACAAACCTTGCCCAGCGCTATCACCAGGAGCACAATGGCATTTGCAACCGAATGTTCGATGAGAGGTGCTCCAGTGGAAAGTAACCTGGCTTGCGTGCGGCTATTGACATGATTTGCTGCATGCGGCTCGTCCATCGAAGTGGGAGACTCGGTCATCTCCCGCTTTCGCTTGGTACCAATGGTAGCAGCTGTATGTGGCGTGCTGCGGACATCCAAACTGTATTTACGCTTGAAAGTATGGACCATGTGGCGGATGACTCTAGGCTCCAGGAATGGATGCAGAATATGCATATGGTCCATGTAGCTTCGGAAATACCGGTCGACAGCATCAGAATCGAGCATCAGGCCTCCATGAGGGCTCACACCACCTGGATGGTCCCGTGCAGTATGAGAGTTATGGGGCATCGAGGACGGGGTGAGCGGGTGGATCTGCCCAGTACCCCAAACGCCATGCGGTGAGGATGACGTTTCCTCATCCATGCGGCGACCTTCCGAGGAAGTACTACCAGCCGGGCTTGGAGCACCCTCATGGCCGTCATTCTTGTCTTCCCCTTCGCCAGAGCCATAGAGGCGCAACAATCCTCTTCCAGTTTCTTCGTCAATGACGTACGATGCCGTGATCTTGGGTGGAATCAATTTCTTGATAGAAGGCCAATTGAGGAGGTTCTGAGCTGCTGTAGTGTGCTTTGGCGGTAAGGTGAGTTCGAAGTTCTCCCTCTCTCCTTCTGGTCCTTGTTGCACGGTAGAAGGTTTTGGTTGCACCTGGACTGGCCGTCTTGTGGACTGAGTTTCCGAGCTCTCTCCTCTGCGGAAAGGATATGCTGGATCGATAGGGTTGTCGGTGAGCGTTGACTGCTTGTGTCGTCGCAAGGCAATGTCCAGGTGGTCATCTGGTGTTGGCGCATTGCCGGTTTCGGACTGCTGCTTCTGCTGCCATGCGTTCAGCAATAGATTGATATTCTCCGCTTGGGCCTTTTGATTCTGAATAAGCATTTCGATATTTCCGCTCATCGTCTCCAATTTGTCGGTGATGTTGAGTATCTGTTTCTCCGACTTCTGGGGAGGCACCTCTCTATAGGTACATTTCAGACCATTGTCCTTGCAATGCTGACACTCTGGTCGACCTTCGTCACATTTCGCTTTTCGTTGTCTGCACGAATCACACGCTTGTGCAGCTCGGACAGGTTTCCTTCTCTGCGGGAAACTTGGGTCGTAGTACGGAGGCGGCACATAAGGCCCAGCGGATGGCGGAGGTCCCGCTGAAGGTGGCCCATAAGGCCCAGGTGGTCCAGGAGGTTGGCTGGGCATCATGTCATGGCCTGTTACCACGTGAAGGGGCTGATGAGTTCCGTTTGGCTGGTTCTCAGGGCCAGAATAGGCATGATGGGGTGGTCGGTAGTCTGGAGGAGGCTGGTAATATGGAGGCTCGTGGGGAGTACTCCCAGGATGATATGGAGGACGTTGAAGTTCGGCGGGAGATCTTGAAGGGCCCGACACACTTCCTGGTCGTCCGTATCCTGATTCCGGGGGATAGCCTGGAGTCTCTCTTCCTGGCGGCGGTGGCGGTGGTGGTGGTGGAGGAGGAGGAGGAGGAGGATATGATTGACTTGGAGGCGGATACTGTTGTTGATGGCCAAGATCTGGCGGTGGCGGTCGATGTTCCGAGGGCTCACTATTCGTGTATGGCGACGGAGCCGGATTCCAGGCTGGGGCTGGTGGTGGCATAGTTACGCCTTGAGGTTGGTGATAGCTGTGTAACGCTGGGGTCTCGGATGGCGGCATACGGTGGATGGCGCCTGGTGGTGGTGGTAGTGACGGGGGATACGGATTGGATCGTTCGTGCTTTGCATCCACGTCACCGATATCATCCATTCTCAACCTCTGATCCTCTGTCCAGCGAGAGAACCTGTACCTCCCACGTCTCTATACCCAATGGAAGGTGGTACAACAAAGGCGGCATGACCCAATGCACAACAACTGTGGGATGCGAGTTCAACACGAAGGGCTCATGGCAAAGCGTTAGACTACGTTTGCGCCAGGCTGCATGAGATTCCTGTTGTTGCACCTCACGACCGTTGATGCAGGCAGGCTGCAGAAAGGTTCAATTGCCAACAGTAGCAATCAACAGAGGACGTTGGTTGGTGGGAAGAATGGAAATGCCAAATGGCGCAAATGGCGGGGTTTGCTTTTCCTGTCGTCGCAACGAAGGTGTCTCCTTGACAGCAAACCCGCAGGGACGCAGCGCACTCGAACAGGTGATGATAGGTAGCCGACCTCAAGCGCGATGGCGATTCAACGAATTTTGGCGAGTCGTCGATTGGTGTCCCAGAGGTGATGGCGGTCCGAGACGAAAGCGAAGCAAACACACAACGGCCCACCCAAACAATCAAGTCAATCCAGGATCGCAAAACGCAATTTGATCCAGGTCGAGGAAGTTGAGTTGCAAATTGATTGCGAGGTGGATGAGAAGGTGGTTTGATGTTTTGTGAACGGTGAAAAGTCCTAGAGCTAGGAGGTCGTCATCTGTCCCAGAACAGGGCCCAGCGGTCTAGAATGTCTCGCGCGGACACCGATTTCTGCGGTGCCAAATTGAGTTCCGTTGGGCAGCAATATCTATACTCGAGCCGTGTCGCGGTTATTCGCAAGGGTCGAGAGCGGTGTTCAAGATCTGTAGTTGTAGGGTTCTATGCACGGGCGAATGGCGAGGAGTAAAAGGACACCCGAGGTGTTGATCGTAGAAAGTCCCAGGTATCGTCGAGGCCTGAAAGACCGAGCTCCGGGGGGGAAACGAGATGAGGGCGATCGCCGTTGCTCTTTTAAAAAGTAGGCGGAGTGATGCGAAGGCGAGGCGAAGTTGGAGAGATTTAGAAACAAAGGATGCTTGCTCTGTTGGAATGTCGATCACGAAAAGAGGACTTGGGGTTTGAGTGCAGGGCTGCCCTGGTCGCTAGAGGGTCGGATGATGGAAGATAGAGCAGAGCTGTAGAGGATCCAGCTAGAGGTGTGCCGAGTCGGTTGACGGCTCCCTAAAGAGCAAATGGCGTTGCAGGGCGAAGTATTGGCGGATGTGGGCGGGGGGGCGGTCTGCGACTGGTTTTGGGTCCTGTAGGCGGAAATCATGGGCCTTGTGTGCGAGTCGAGGTCAGCGCGCAACTGTGACCTGTGAGGCCGGGATTAGTGAGGCGTTTTGGAAAGGTCGCGAGCTGGGGTGAAAGAGGAAACGGCCAGAGCGGCGACTGAGCATTCTACCTTTAGTCTTGCGGGACGAGGGCCTTGGGCCTCAATCTAGAGACCCTAAAGTCGATCCCTGTCAAAGTACGGTTTGCTCTACCCAGGCACTAACCAAACAGCCTTCCTCCGGCGATGGAGCCAACCCAGAGCTCTGGTACTCGTACCTGGTCGAGTGTGGGAGCCAGTCACAGCCCGCGCATGCGTCGTGGCGAGCTTTGCGAAATAATGAGGCGCAAAGCGAGCCCTCGGTACAGTCCACAAGTGGGCTGGTGGACAAATGGTGAAGCAGTGGATCAACAGAGTTTTATCGATCTGGGAACAGATACTGGGAAAAGTCAAGACGGAGTCGATGAGTTCGACGACCAGGACGGAGCAGGCGGAAGTGCCAGAGGTTGAGCGCCGAGGTGTCAGTGATAGCAGGTGGTGGCACTAACAGGCCAACTGGACAAGGATAGGGTCAGGGTCGCAGAGGGAGGTCACAAGCTTCGGCGTCGGCTTTGACAGGGTCAAGACTCGTATTGCACTCGTCAGAGGTGAGGGCGAGTGGGTGGGTAGTGTGAGGCAAAGACTGACAGAGGATGTCGGAGGAGTAAAAGTGGAAATTTCGATGTCAAGTCAGCCCAGGACGAGACTCCATAGAAGGTTTGGGATCGGGGGTGGTTGCTGATGGGGAGGAGGATAACTCGTATCAGGCCGAGGCGTGGGATACCTATACAAATCTCAGCTTCGGGAGGGCGAGAAGCGGGATTACATGTCTTGTCCGGTTACTCTAGATAGATTTCATTAAACCGTGGGATCAAATCTACTAAATGATATACCTATTTGGGGACCTCCAAGTACTGTAGGTAGATGATTCCACCGGTCGTCCGTACCGTATATGCACCATGAAAGCACCGGCGTGATGCCACTGCTTCACATTGTCTACTTGTAGATTCTGTATCTCGCACCATATACCATGTGTTGATAACCAGTGTCAAGCATTAGGCCCAGAAAAGGGTCGCAGCCTGCCTTCGGCGGCCATGATCATTGTCCAAATTTAGGCGTTGTGGGAGGAAGGGAAGGGCCGGCAAGAGCCTTGGAAAAAGCGTCGAGCAGGAGGCACGCACCGACCACTAGTGGCCAGTATTGTATTGTATTGTAGGCCAGGGGGAGGATTGGGGTTCACAATGGGCCTTCGTAGTAGTTGTTCTCCGTTGGTCGCTATCGATTCGATTCCAAGGGCACTTGTAGAACGGGGCTGGGACTTTCAAATGCCTGGCGGGTAAATAGTGGGCGTAGGCGAGGGCGCAGGCACTTCTAGGACACTAATAGGTACCTACCCAGGTGGTGAGTGGGAGAAAGTGGGAAAACGACTGTAACAGAGAGCGCCTTGCTCCGACGGCTATTACTGGCCAATGGCCATTTATCCGACCCTTCCAGTGTACTTGACGCCCAAATGGCACAAGTAAGCGTACTGTAGGTGCCTACTGTACAGAGTACTGCCTCCAACGGGCTGTCAGACACCATCTTTAGGAACTTACGTGCCTGAGAGTCATGGAGTAGACAATGGCATACTCTCAGAGACACCCAACACACAGTCCTCTTCGCCTAGTACTGTGCTCACCGTCGAATTTGTCGATACCTACTGAGATAGGTAGGTCTAACAGTGACTTGATTTCTACAGTATTGCAAGATATAGTATTTAGTACGGAGCAATTGATGGCGAACAAGTCGGAGAATGGGGGAAACGAGCGATGCTGATACAATACCAGGGGCTCACGTACACAGATTGGCTGTGTCAGTGTTGGGCAGTAAGATCTACTATGCGAATGCCTACAACGAGCAACCCTTTAAGCAGCATCTAATTAGTACCAGGACCCAGTTCCTACTCTGTCGTAGCCCGAATCTCCCTCACCGTGACGCGTAAACGCATCCGCACCGATGACCTCCCTGGGCACCTGGGGACTGACCTCACCAGCAAGTCGCCCACCGGATTCGCCCTTCGGCAATACGAGGACTTGGTCAGTGCTTCCTACTCTAGTTGTACATATGGACACACCTGTCTTGACCGCCAAAACATCTTGCAACCGCTATGACGGACTAATTCGCCTCGTAGTGAGAATGCGACAAGCAAGTGACCCATACTCGCACTCCGTACCTAATGTTGTCGCTCGTATTCGTTCGTACACTACTGTAAGTACTCCGGACTGGGCGTAGTTGTCCCATCACTTCTTCCTTGCTTTTGCTCTGTCCTCTATCCATACTCGTACCTCGAATGATTCAAGATGAGCTGGGTGGGACCTCCATGGCTCAAACCCTAAGTGCCAAGCTTCATGTTGCTTCCACGTCGATAGGACGAACGTTGACTGACCGAGGTACGGGCTGCCGCATGACATGGTGTCGAGGCCTGCCCACTCAGAGAATGTTATCCTGCTTTTTCTTGCTTACCTGCTTGTCACATAAGGGTGGAACATATACTGTAGTTCGGATTCAGCTGGCTACTGTGAAGTGACAGCTGTCTTGACAAAACCACACCTTCGATCGCTGGGCAGTCAATCGTTGATTCACTCGACCAGAGTTTTTCTCTGACGTGCACGCGTACTCCAGAGACACACGGACATGATCGGAAGCGATTCATGTCCCTCAGGCCCCTATTGCCGGGCCTTCCCCCAGGTGGAGCGCCATTGAACCAAACTAATCGGTTAGTTTTCAATCCACCGTCCGACTGCCTCAAATTGTCGATTCTTCAGAGCCCTGCGTCCGCTTTCAGCCCTCTCCAAACGGCTGCAGGGGTCGAGAATGCTTGACCGGCACATACTATGAAGAATTCGAGGTGACTATACCCGAACGATGCTTCACCTCTGAGTCCTTCGTTTATAGACTTTTGCTTTAGGGCGTCGGAGCTCGTATAGCAGTTCAAGTCGACGATACTTGTTCCAGTGCGGTCATGGCTATCCACATAAAATGAGCATCATTGCAACAACGGGTAGAGTCCACTCTCCAACTCCATGTGAGCGAACGGTCGGCCCGACGATGTGACACTCTGGTCAGAATCTGACAATGACAGAAGCGCGCGCAGCCTCGTCCAGCTGCTGTTACCATTGATACCACGTTCTTCACGAGACGTGTCCGCGTTGCGGTACGGCGTGACTATCTCGATGAGGAGGCTCAGACGAGGTGAATAACCAAGCAGGGAATGGCCGGCCGGCCGGCTGGCTGACTGATGTTCAATCAAAGCACCCCGCTATCGCAGATGACGATGGGACAATGAACTGCGCCTCCAGGAGGTTGGAGATTGTATTGTGGTCAAGCATCAGCGGCGATCAAAAGGGCCATCTCGCATTCTGATTTGCCTGTCTGTCGGAGCCGAAGGAAGAGTACTACGTAGTTGGCGTAGTAGTCTCGACTCGCGTACAGTGAGGCAAGAACATGAAACATCGTTCAAAAGACGGCCCCTTTTTTCTCGGATACGGTGCATCAATAACAGTCAAGCGCGTTAATATTTGGTTTTGTTGTCCACCACATTCAATATTGTATTCGTACTCGGGTAAGGGACTGATGAATCTGTAATGTACTGGAGTTACCCCGACCCTGACCCTTTCCGGCCGTGGTCGCAGCTTGCGGTGAGTATCGATTCCACGATGTTTCCGCGGGCAAAGCGTGAATCTTGAACGTCGCATTTGTGTTCTGCGTGCCCGAGGCGCTGTTCGCATGATGTTGCCTCCTTGGTGATACAAATACACAATCTTTCTTGCTTAAGTTGATCATTATTACACGAATACTGGAGACAGTAATTTCAGCCTGCTCTTGCCTGGCTTGGTGTCAACAGCGACCGAGCCGGCCGGCCACAAAATCCGAATCCGTCGTGCTTTGTATGTTTCCGTGATGCTTTGTCCAATGACTCGAAAATTATTTGACTTTTCCTTGCGCCTCGTACGCCGCCTCCTTCCCTTGATGCGGAATTTGGTCCATGTTCACATCCCGACTAGGTGCATCAAGGCGAGGAGATTAGCTTTTCGGTTAGAGCGTTGGACAGGAAATTCAGCCTTCTCGGAGGACTGCGTCTCAGACTAGTATGAGGCCATCGTTGCAGAAGATGGTTGTTCGTCAGAGTCGCGGCATAATTTGGAATCTGCCGCGGTGTACAAACAGCAATCGAGCCCCTGCGCCCAGTCCATGGTCCCGACAGGGGATCCATCAGAGAGAGATCAGTTCGAAGTCGAGATATTCGGTTGCCTCTTTGGGCTTTGTTTCTGAGTACAGACTAGTGGCTCTGACGCTGCGCCAAATCGTCGATGGATTGGACGCCCGCGGAACCGCTCGTTCGTCTAGTTCAAACCCTGGGGGATAGTGCGAGAAAGGAACATGAGGGTTCCTCTCACGGGACGATATGTCCCGGACCAGGCAGTCCGGCCCCTGATATGGTACAGATGAGGCTGCTCGGCGTCGTTGTGCATTGTTTTATGAGGGATAATAATAACGCGAGTTTGCTTCGACATAAGCGGATTATTTCTAGAGGCTTTTTGAGCAATGGCCATCGAGGCACCCTTAGAGTTCACTTGACAGCGTCCCCGGTGCCCCCCGTTAGCCTGGCCACGTGGTGAACAAAGGCCCGGAAGACTGGTCGGGTCAAGCCTAGTCATACCGACAGCCTCCCCTATGGCCAGGCTTCTTTCTTCCAGGCTTCAGAGGGGAAGCGCCGGGACGCAGACGGCATCTCGTCCCGTTTCGGGGCATTTCCCGCACTCCAACATCTCGCATGCGGACACTATCATTCTTATTATTATTAGTATGAGCAAAATCACATGCTTAGACTTTTCCGTGTCGTCGACTGGGCTTGACGCCGGCGATAAGTCAATAATGCCACGATTTTGACTCGTGCAAGTCAACTGCGCTTGTGCATAGCTAGAGCACTGTGAATCGACCGCGCCATGGTTCGCGCGAGGTGAAGGAACCTCAATGCCCCAGTATGGAATATGATGATCAAGAACGAGTGCGACTTACTAGGTGTCTCATTTCCGCGAGGCTGAAAAACCTGGCACAAGACTCCCTCCGGACGTTGGATGTTCCCACTTCCTCCATGCCGTTTTCATCGACATTTACGTGATGTCTTGCGGCAAAGTGAAATCAGAGACTCTTTTTAATCGCGCACATGGGGAACGGGTTCATGATTCCGCAATCTCCTTGAGGCAAATCTCTCTGCAACTTGAGTTTCGCCGTTATTGCAAAGAAAAAAATGTCCGGGCCTTGCTGCTTTCATCTCCGGAGCCTAGCTGCCGACCTCGCGATGATGCGAGGTTGGGCCATCGCAAAGGGTTAATGACAAGGAAGGACCAGGAGACATCCCTCGTCTAGGGGGTTGTCCCGTCGAGTCAGTTACCTTCTAGAAGCCATTCTGAAGAGCTTCGAAATGCCTTCCTCGGCCTAGCTAGCATCCACGCCGGCGTCGAACATTGACACGCCCCACACACCGTGGAGTGCAATGTGACATTATTCGCACAAGCCCAACAAACTCCTTATGATGCTACCGAAATGAAGGACACGGGAACCTTTGCGCGAAAGTGCCCTGACCAAGCGCCACTCGCAACAATTGTCTCTGATGAAGTCAAGTGCACTGGGTATTTCCCTCTCCTGCAAGTGACGCCCCGACCCGGCGTTGGCTAGGGTAGAACTTCGTAAATCAAGGGGAGCATATGCCCACTGCTTCAAAGATCCGCAATGATCGCTCGTTTGAGCGGCTAGCGTTGGGCGTCAATGCAGCAAGCGAGGTTGATCAGACCTCTTCTGACTTAAGAAGAGTTCCAGGGCGATACAGTACGTGTGAGCACACAATAGTCCTCTTGCACAGCCAGCCAGGAATTCTTTGGCGGGGTCACCTACTCTCGCGAAGTCTCGAGGTTATCACTAGGCCGTTTCAATGGTGATGCCGCCATGGAACATTGCTTCCGACTGGGCCTCGACATGGAGTTACTCGCCTTGTAGGCCTCGACATACGGACCACGGAGAACCTCGGTAGGCTACCTGGGTTGCTGCCATAGGTGGTCACTACTGTTCAGAGGTAGGAAAATTGGGTGCTACATGAGTCTCCCAGGGAGGGCCAGTATATTCTAGACCTTGTAGAAAGATGTGATTGTAACCTTGTGCTCCGTCACGCGATGTGCTGATGTCGATTAAGCATTGATGCCCAACATAATCTACCAGGACCGAGATTGACCCAGAAGAGCTTGGTCGAGCAAATCCAGAGAGGCGAGGCAGTAAGCATACAGTAAACAACGGAAATCGAGCCGTGAAAGGAGGAGCATGAAAAAATTCCCCTGTGCGTGCGATCACAGACTCGAAACCCCTTGTTCCTGTGAGAGGATGCCTTGATGCTTGCAAGTAAGTCACCTCGCCTCGCAGATTGGATGGATACTCTGGACATCGTACTGATCAACCAGACACTGGAGGGAAGACACGGCCACCAGTCTCGAGATTTCTACGCTCGTCCTCATTTCCCCCTCGGTCCGACCCCAGATAACGAAATGAACACAACGTTGGCCGGGAACAAGGTTTAGAAGACATTGTTGGTGCGTTGAGGATTCACGATGGGAGAGAATGCAGGCTTGTGTTACCATGAAAAGAGTACTCCGTCCTACGGCGTGACATCTTCGTTGATAAGTAAGGATCAACAAGCCACCTATTGACCCAGCCTAAAGTAAGATGCGAGGGTCTCGTCCAGCGACCAGAATTGTTTTCTTCAGGGGAGGACCGCAGTATGTTGCGGGCGGTGCAAGCCCCCTCACTTTGATGCAGCAAGCCTATACTGTACTCGGTAGGTGGTGAGCCTCACTCCCTGGGTACTTAAGGTATTTGTAGGCTGTCAGTTGGTGGCTTCAGAGGAAAGCCTTACCTGGAAGGCTTTGACCCCAGGCGCAACAGGCGCCGCAAGCAAGCCCGGCAACCACGTCCGAAGCCCGCCAAGAGCCTACACCAGCACCGCCTGCTGCTCGCTAGTGACTTCTTTCTACGTCTTCAAGATACATGAATTCGCTGTCAGACATGTTCAAGTATCTCAGAAGCAAGGTACTTACGAACACGAAAAGTGGAAGTGATCGCCGTTCAGAGCGAGCTGAAGTATTACGAATTACACCGACGGCAAAAGATGGGCGCGCCGATCCTGGCCGTCCCATGCTCGCCTGTGCCTCACGGCGCCACATGTCAGCGATTGGTGTTCAATCTACTCCGTAGCAACCACGACCACCCTCCCATGCAGGGTACGAAATCGGAGTTACGAGTACCCATGACCATGACAAAAATCCCTTGTCGAGCGGTCCAATCCCTGGTATGCGTGGGCAAATGAATGGAAAGGGATCTTACTCCTAACGACCCTTTGCAACCAGAATGTATCAACCGTACTTTTCTCATCACATCCGCAGGTGGCGTACGGCGCCTCCCGAGCTGATCCAAAATATCCCAAATTCAAACCGCCCTTCTCGATCTCCAGGCCCATGTCGGTGAGGCGAGACATGCCGGCTCAATCGCTCCTATCATGCAAGTCAGCATTACGAAACCGTTAACCTCAACGGGTTATAGACCTTTGTGTTTGAGTCAAACGTTCTGGTACCGCCAATGTGGCAAGGCTCCCCCCTAAGAGATTTGACAGCTGTCAAAACCACCTGCGCTACTGTACCGTAAGTAGAACAAAGGCAGCTGAGAAGGGAAAGAAACCACCCTGGTAAAGCAACAACGTTTCGCTGCAACTCTGCGCTACGAGAATCCATGTATCTCGTATTCCTAACAATGTCTCGCCACACCGCCGAACACCTTTGCCTGAGGATAGAGACAATCCCTGCCTCCCGTGCTTCAGAGCAGGCTTGTTGGTTCCTGCGGATCGCCACCCCCTTTCCAACATCTTTCAAATCCTTGCCGTGCTGCGTTGATCACATGTGGTCGTTTCACGGAAAAGAGATTTCCAGAGACCATGGCTGGACTGTCACTATAGTTGGAGGAATGTTGAATACGAGGTTGAGCAAAGTCATGCCTTTGTCCCCCGTGAACATCACACTCCGATCGTTCCCATGCGACTCCGCGGGGGACCCAAACCCGCGATCCGAACTTTCGGATCTCAACGGTCATGGCTGGCGAGTCCCCAACGGTCTTGTGTCACCATTCCAACTACCGAGTCGTGTGCACGAGTTTTGGAACACTCCACGTTGCACATCTTCTCTCTACTCGTATTGAACTGGGCCTGGTCTGGATCGGTACGGTACGGAGGATGTGCGTCAAATGACCCAAGCCGGCCTAATGATTATCTGCATTCGCATTCCGCATCACATGGACATGTACATGCATTGATGGGGTCCTGTTGGGTCAAGTTGTCGCGTCGAGACACGGCGCCGCCTGGGACCACCTTGCCCTCAGAGCTAAGAGCCTCAATCTGGACGTTAGAAGGAGAATCTGACCTGTTCGATTGATCCGAAACTCGTAGCCCAAGCACCAGGTCACATCCCAGAAAATGACGGACAGGGTAGGGCCCACATGGAGGTGATACGTTCTCGAGGCTTGGAGGTCAAGAAAAGTGGCTGGTTCGATGACACTATGATTCTTGTTGACACCTGCTCCGTACTTTCGAACGGATTGATGGATCACACCGAATAGAAGGTAACATTGACATAGTCCAGGACGCGGACCAGCCAGGCAGAGATCACGAGCGACGTCTGTAGTGGTGGGTGCATAGGGATACGATTACGACGAGTGGAGGGGTATGGATACAATCAATGTACGGATACTACGCGGAGTAATCCAGGCTGAAAATCAAGGAACAATGCATTGGATGAGCATCAGCACCTGAAAAAACTGGCGATCACACCGTACTGCGTACTCTGTATCTCACACACACCGACACTCCCTGCTCGAGGCGAGACCAGGGAATCGAAAAGTGAGCCGCCCCATCTACTCCGTACAAGGTAGGTCTGATGATGTATCCCTTGTCGTCAAGTCTGGTGATGATTTTTGAAACTTCTAATCTGTACTGCATGTGTGCTCAACTCCCTAGTCGAAGGAGTTTCTAACTCAAGGGGCGAATATTCTTATTCCCCGTAGGTCAGATCCGTGATTGATTGCACCGTTGGTCGATGGAGTGATGCCCAACCCCAATCCCAAAAGGGGGTTCGTCGTCACAATCACAGAGTCTCCTTCGAAGCTAATACCGGGTGCATTCTGGGCGCCGCAGCACTACTACTTTTCCCATCACACTTTCGACGACCCCTTGCTGAGAATGAACTCCTTGACCAGCTTCAAAGCCTCGACCGCAAAAGCCACCATGTTTGCATGCCTGTCATTGCCACAGCTAGTCATGAGATCCTTGCTCATGGCCCCATTCTTCTCGCTCACCACTGCCAAAGCGACGTAGCCCCTGTTCAAAGAGAAAGGAAGACCCCGGCCCAAGTCAGTATAAACTTTTGACCCCAAGCAAAAAGGTACGGATCGCAGAAAAAAAGGGTGCTCGAGATGGGGATTGCCTCAAGTCTTGTCCCCCAAGATCTCAAGTTCTCTAGCCATCTTCAACCTCTTTTTCTCGGTCTCGGGTTTTGGCTCTGGGTCTCAGGCTTTTATCTTTTCCTGTTTGCTTTCCACCTTTACGGCGGCTCGAGCTGGCAGGACTAGAGGAGGAAGACCAGATCAAGGAAGAAAATAAAGAGAAGACAATAAGAAAAAGAGGAGTAGTAGGCAAAACCCCCAGGCACGGTGAGTTTGGATGTTGATATTGCCCACCTCCACTCCTCTGAGGCCGAGTGGACAGAGAGGGCAAAGGGGGACAGATGGAGTTTTTACTGTTACGAGGGAAAGGAGTAAGGTAAATACTTACGGTTGCCTATTAGGTGTCTTTCCACTTGCTGTCGGTCCGGCAGTTCCGCTCTGCATTGTGAAGAAAGGAAAAAATTGTAAGCCATTTTGTCCCTTGTTCTTGGATCGTCATGTGTATGTGTGTGTGTGTGTGTGTGTGTTGAGAGTAGCGAATTGACTCCTCTCGACACACAAACGAGGTGAGAAGTGTTTTTCCTCTTTGGGTCGCAGCAGATACCCTTCCAAACGATTTGGTGAGGAAGAGAAGAAACAAATCCCCATTCATAGCTAGGTAGGTATCTCACGGGAGTAGGCAGTGATGGGGGGGTGAAGCAAGAAAAAGAAGATCATACCTCTGAAACGCAATAATCCGATTCCAAAGTCCCTCTCACGTGCCTCGCCATGCCCTCGACCAGTTCCGGCGTGGGACCGTCGTACTTGTCGATGTTGTCCTGCGTCCAGCCGGCGTACGCGAGGCGGGAAGGCAGCGTGTAAAGGGTCAGGCCTCCCTTGTAGATGCGCGACGCTCCCGGGGTGGAGAGCAACGCGGCAGACACGAGCCCTCCGGCCGCCGTCTCGGCCACGGAGATGGTCTCGCCTCGCTCGCGGAGGAGGGAGGCCACTTCCTCGGCGACGGCGGCGAGTGCGGGGGGAGGGAAATGGGCCGATGACCAAGACATGATTGTTGTTGTTGTTGTTGTTGCTGGTGTTGTCGCTGATGGCTTGCTTTCTTGGAGAGTCGAGGAACAAATTCGTCAACCACTTCGGAACAGCGGATGTGTGTAGGGGAGAAGCTCCTTTGGCGGAAGTGACCGGAAAGGTACAAGTCGACCAGACGGTATACGGTATATGTGCGGGAGGTGAATGTACTTGTTGCTGCTGTTTCACCAAGTTGGATATGCGATGGCAGAATTTTGATATCACCAACTGAGCGGTAAGTGGTTACTGTTGTAGTGACGGTGTTGATGATGACGATGTCGCCTGTCGTGTCACAAAAGTCGTCGTTCGATAATAAATCGGGTTCTTTGAATGCGGAGAGACGGACAGACAGCCGAAGTATCCGTCCGTACAGAAACAATTCATCATCCATGAGATATGGGTCTGTGCGGAGAGTTCTATAGCTATCGTATGTATCTTGTTTCATCTGTATCAACGTTGCAAATCGAGAGATTCCTTATTACCTTGTACGAACGAATCACTGCCTTTGGTTATAACTACACGGCGAGTGTTAAAGGAGGCACGATGTAGTCGGAGCAAAGACTAGGTAACTATTCACGCTCCACGTTCCTTCACGTCTCAAGTCCATGTTCCTGTTCAGCAGACAAAAGAGCCCTTAGCTATTGATGGTTTCCATGTTGTATAGAACGACACTGAATTCTCACCAGCAGTGCTGTTACGCCATAATAACTCGACAGCCTATCCACACCTCGTCCGTTGGCTCTCATTCTCATGCCATTCAATATCATTTTGCTTTGCTCATCTTTTGGCCATAGTCATATCGCTTGTTGATTGACCATGGAAGGTGTAGGCATCGGCTCCCTCGAACTGGGTCCACGATTCATGACTGCGCACAGGAGGAAGTCGAGAAGCAAAATCCAATGACACTAAATCCTTGCTCACTCTGTATGGTTGCTGCACTTAACTAGGCGGTACATCGGTGTATACCGTGCCATGGTAATGAGGGACTCGAAGTCTGACTGGCGCAGAATCTGTCGTGCTGTCGGTTGGAGTAGAATATTCACTTGTCTAGGTCCAAGAGAGCGGATTGATGCTGCCATTAATGACCATCATCGTCGGCAGTGAGTATGTGCCATTTTGCAACTGCGTATCGTCTGTTTCCCCAAGGACATTGGCAAACATATCCCATTCAATATATCGAAAGCAACTCCCCTTGTAAAGCACCATGCTCAACGACCGAGCACTGTTGCCCAGTTGAACAGTCGACGAGCTTTTCACAGAAATCTGGCCATACCTTCGGTCGTGCGCATCGTATGCTCAGACAGACGGCATAGCTAAGCCTTCATGCAACAGCGAGGAGTCCATCACCTGTGAAGAGCCCCATCAATCAGTGAGGAGTCACTGGCTTGTTGACTAACGCCAATGAATGGAAGAGGTTCGTTTGACCCTGAGAGTGGACTTTCATGTGATAGCATCTCTCAGCCACATCCGAATGCAATCCACCAGTGTTGTAGCGCAGATCCCTCGGGAAAGGCGTGTTCGCACTAGAGCAATCATATCGAACCCAGGGAGTTGGTTGCCTCCCGGCCTTTTCTTCTCGTTCCTTAGCCCCGAGCTCTTCGACCACCGTCGCGGAATAATGGCACGAAGATGGGGACCACGGACCGACGAAGCGTAAAGTATATGCTGAAGAAGATCCTCCTGTGGCTCCGTGAACGGATGTTATGTACGCGTAGCATGGCGTGGGCCGTGGATGACTGATACCGAAAACGACATAATCTGGTACTAGGGAGAAATCAGATCGCAGTTGAAGAATTGTACATAGCTCTTCATGGAGCTTGGAAAGCTGAAGCTCTTTGCCTATGAAGCATTGAATAGTCCGTAATGAGCCTTACTGCAGTACAATAATGTCATTACAGAAACAATGCCTGCAGCTTAGCAGGTCAGCAGCCGCAGCAATTTCCAGATTCCTCTTCTCATTAGGAGTGATCGCCAACTCCTTCGACGCCAAAATCGTGCCCATTGACGCCTAGATGGTTAGAAGACACGCTCCCCAGCGTATAGTTCTCTCTTAGGAACTTGCACAAGTTTGTAGCTTCACAGGGAGGTAGTAGTGGCCCGGTTGCCTCAACAGAGGATTGATGCCCAACAAACTTAGAGTAAGATCGCTGCCATCTTCGATCTAGCTTCGAGTAACGCTCCTCACCTGATACCGGCCTCCAAACTTTGAGATCCACAAAGTGAGCCGATGGTCTGGCAAGTGTTCCTGGATGTATGTATGTGCGGCCAAGCGGTACCGATTTTATCGTTGGTTCAGGCGAGTCGGATATCAGCCTTAATCGGTGGAGAATAAGAGCGCTGTTCGGGGACGACTGTTCGCGAAATTGGGAGCTGAGGCCTCGAGCTGGTGCCGCATTAACGATGTCAAGCATGATCAAGGTATCGTCCGTCCAAGAACTTGTCGTATCTTACCACTCCACGACCTTCTTTCGCTCAACAATTGTGGACGCTATAGTTTAGCCTCGAGCTTCACGCCCGTAACAGAACAGTACTGGCGCTTGCTTGGACGGGAGAGGTCACGAAGTGGTAGTACACATTACTTTAACCTTCATAGTGTGATCAGTAGGGATTCATATTTCCGGTCTCCTGTATCCACTGTCTTTTCAGTGACTGGTTCAAGGCCTTGGTAATTACGCTTGGTCAATCGAACTGTGCCGTTTGCAGTATAGATGGCTAGCCTCGAGGGACAGGCACGTTGATGACATATAATAAGTCAGTACTCCGTACCCCGTAGTGTCGATCCAATACGTGCTCGGAAAGAGATTGGATCTGGATATCTTCAGGCCCGGTCATATGCATCAGGAAGATCCGGACCTCGGTGGGTTCAAAGTTGTGAAAACTGCATACAGTATTGCATTGTTTGTTGATCCTTGGATGCCTTATCCGCTTTCTAGCGGAGATATTGGGTACAACCTCAGTCCTCATATTTTGCCTCTCGGTTCCGGTGAACCTTCATGACCATATAGTATAAGCGTGAAAAAAGTGATCGTAGTTGGGTTATATATCGGGGATCGTGTCACAAGATGTCGATGCTCTTGATTCGTTCCACCGAGAACGAACCGCATCCGAGAGAACTCCTATCTCCCGGAAGTGATCTTGCTGGTGCAGGCAATATGCGCGATCATCATTGCTGCCCAAGGGAGCTTCTGCAAGGATAGCGTGGGTTTGCCTGTATCTATGCAGTTGCCTTGCGTTTGCCCCAGGCTGCCCACCATTTGAACTCTACACCGGCTGTCTCGGCCTCGAGCTCTACCTCATCCATCAATTTGTTCCAGTCGTTCATACTTATCAAGTTAGGGTCATTCACCCTTGCCAATGCCGCAGCGATGGTGTACCTCATGCTGCTAAGCCAGATCCTCCCTGCTTCTTTGAGTTTCTCATTCTTGGCCAATACGCCGAGCTGTAGTGCAGCTTCCTTCTGGCCAATTTCGATGATCTCATTTGTCTGCGCCAGAATCTCGCTCAATCCGCCAGTCGCTCTGTTGAAGAGACCAAACTTCTTTAGAAATGAACCAACGGCTTTGGTAAACTTTAGACTTGGAGGATCGCTTTCCAAGATATCTCCCTCTTGCATGGTACTGTCTACCAACTGGACCCAGGCGCCAGGCTTAACGAGCTTAGCAAGTCTGGTCACTGCCTTGACCGCACCGTCCCAGCTCCCTGCGTTCGCGATGACTGCACGCTGATGAACGAAGTCAAACGTATTCTGCCAGGATGCGGGCCATTCCTGGTTGATGTCCTGCTTTTGCCACTCGACGTAGTCCGGCTTTCCCACGTTATCCTCAAAAGGTGCTATGTCTGTGCCGATCAGAGTAGCAGACTCCGGTTGGGCAAGCAGCGAATGTAGCTGTCTTAGAAACAGTCCATCCGCTGTGCCTGAGTCAAGAATCCGAAGGCCAGCAGCAGTCAAATCAATGGGGCATAAGACAAGCTCACCAAAAGCGGCTGTGACCAGGTCACTTTGCGCCTTGAGGCGTTTGGATTCCGACAGATCTCGAGGGCCAGGATAATGCGGTTTCGTATGTGGTTCTGAAGTAGACATCTTGGATATTTGGCTTCAAGACTGGACAAATCGCTCTAGCCCTGTATCAGACTGATCAGTTCTTCGACCCAAGAGCCTACCTTAACGACTCGTGGTAGAATTCCGAGGAGGTTGAGAGGCGCAAGGCCTCGAGCAAATGTCGTGCTTGAATCACCAGAGGTGATTCTGGGGACTGGAGGCCTTACCATCTAAGCGGTCATTGGGACGCCCTCCATTGTCGAGGCTATGGCATTTGTTGTGTCGAAATCATCAGGCCAGCCTTTTTGTCATGCATCGTCGTCACAACTTCCCCGCACTTGAGTTTCTCCAAGTGCCCCTCTAACAACAACGCAAAATAAAAATATAAAAAATGGATGTTGGAATGGAATGCGACGACATATAGACCATCCTACGAGACCTTAGAATTATTTGCGACAAAGTTGCCGACAATGCGCTCGCTACCAAACATTTTAATAGCAGGGACTCCTGGCGTTGGCAAGACCACAACCTGCAACGAAATCCTTAGCCTAGCCTCTCAAGCCTCACCACCACTCAACCTCAAACACCTGTCTATAAACGACATCGTCAAGGAGCGCACCTGCCACACAGGCTACGATGAAGAACTACAGACCCTGATTGTTGACGAAGACAAGCTCATGGATGAAGTCGAGAAAGAGATTGCGGACGGCGAAGGCGAAGGAGGTTGGGTCATTGACTGGCACTCGACCGCAGGGTTTGCCGTACGCTGGGTAGACCTGGTCGTCGTGCTCAGATGCGAAGAGACCAAGGTATTGTTTGACAGACTCTCCTCCAGAGGATACAAGGACGAGAAGGTGCAAGAGAACATGGACGCCGAGATTTTTGGTGTCGTGAGCGAAGAAGCAAAAGAGGCATGGGATGAGGAAGGACAAGTGGTCGAATTGAGGAGCGTCGCAGCCGAGGACATTGAAGAGAACGCAGAGCGAGTGGTGGCATGGGTCAGGAACTGGATGAAAGATCATGGTCAAGGATCAACAGGGTGACCGAGGCATTAAAAAATTTGTCTCTCACACACCGACACAATACATGGGTATCATCAAGTGCGAGCCACCATGCGCCAGACGATGTTTCTCGTCTCTGTCGCTGCGCTGTAAGGGGGATGACATATCAAGGCTCCGATTCCCCACCAGCAAGCCAGACTTTCAACTTGTCCAGGGCTTTACCTCTGTGAGATATCAGGTTCTGTCGCGGGTCAGCATCATTCGAGACTGGCGGAAGAGTTTGGCCTGAACAGTTGTGGCTGATCGCAGGTTTCCGGACTTGGAGCATGACCTCGGACACATACCTTTTCAGCCTTGTCCATCTCGGCATAAGTCTTGCCCTCATACTCGAACACCGGATCCCAGCCTGTGGCACGAGTCAGCACGATATCGATCGCAGTGGGGCACTGGACGTACCAAAATTCGGTGGCCCTCTGGCTGGCACGACCTTGCCCTTCGTCCGTCCCTGGAACAAAATGGGCTCTTGTCCGGGACCGGCACAATAGCCGAACGTGCAAACAGCAAAGGCTGTCTTGTCTTCGTATGCAGCCAGCATGTTGTTGAGGCCCTCATGGCCCAAAGCCGTAAGAAAGTATTTTCTAGATGGTGGACAATCAGGTCGGTCAGTAAGGCAGCATTACACAGAAGAGACTGTATGGGTAAGAGGGTTCAAACAATCACGATGCGGTAGAGAAATTTCCTGATGGTAGTGCCCGGCTTGATGTTGTCTGGTTGATAATGCAGTTCCATACCACATAACCCTCGTAAGCTTTGCGTTCTAGGGGCACGTAGACTTGGTTCGTCCAGGTTGGCTTTGGAAAAGTCAGAACTTACATGTACGGTCCCGGCAGGCCTTTCAAAGCTTGGAACTCCAACGCAGTATCTTCCGTCAGGACAGGTCCGCCAACCTATAGAAACGTACAAATTGTCAGTCTTGTTTTGGGCCTCTTTCCTTTTGGTCTGTCCGGGATCAGCGCAGCGACCGCTTCAAGCGTGTCGATTTTGGGTCGTGGAAGCGTAGATAGATTGACCATGGTCATGACCGTCGCCGTCGTGGATCGGTGTCGGTGACGGCTCCAGGCATACAGACACAACCTTTCCACGCAAAACAGTGGCACGCACTGAATGTCACCTCCGATAGACCGATAGAGTCTTCCCATTCTCACGGACTCGTTCTCAGTTGTCGCGCTGTATTATATGGTCGACTTTGCCAACACAGAAACCAACAGCGTAGTGATTGAAACGAAACCATTGGGGGGGGGGCCGGAACTCACCACTTCGGCGGCCCTAGAACATTTATCTCTGGCAACCTCCTCTATGGTCCCTTGGATCTCCGCCCCTTCGACGTTTCGACTCTGCAACGTCAGGCCGTCCACCGATCCCAAAATGGCCTGGACCTCGGCGAGTTTGTTCTTGTTGCCGGTTATGAAGTTGAGCGTCGTCGGGCGAGGTTGAGACATTTCTTGTTTTTAAACGTGTGTTTTTTTCCCTTCGTGTGTGTCTTCCTCGTATGTCTATCGTTCACAACAAAATTTCAAGACGTGTAATAAAGTTGAACAAGACAGGGCACACGCTCCTTGGTCTTGGTCTTATCTTGTGGTTGTCTGTTGTATCGATGTCTGATGTTTTCAGAGTGGAACGAATTTCGTGAATATTATTGACTTGCAAATAAGTGGACCACACACAAGGTAACCGACCTCCGACCAGATATACTTCTGCGTACTCCGATGCAACGTATACAGCACCCGTGAACATTCAGGCCTAATCCAGAGAAACTATCCATAATGGCAGAGGCAAAGTGTAGTTCAAGTGGATCAACTATTTGTTATAATTCAATCTTCACTGGGCCACCAAGAGTAGTCCTCCAAAATCTAGAATCTAGAATCACTTCGCTATGCAATGCTAAGAATCCCTCAAAGAATTTCCCATCCTGCATTCCAGAACCCAGATGCCAATATCATGTGCTGCATAGCATATTGCCCAACCAAAACGCCCTGCTACGGATCCATGAATAGAAGTCGCTCATTTCAGCCTGAGCAACTCAAAGGCTCCATACTTTCCAAGATATTTCACCCCTCGTCGATGCCCTTTAAGCAATTTTCCTGGATGGGCGCATTTGAAGTATGTGTTGCCTGAAAGAACGATCTTCTTCAACGCTGGTGATGGGTTGAACATCGGATCAAATACCACCAAGTTGACGTCACCATCGAGGTTGCTCTCGACACCAACAATAGTCATCGAATGACCTTTATGCTGGAAGTAGATTGGTGGCTTGTCCGTGATAACGACCTTGTCAACATTATCTTTCGTGCTCTCATCGTCAAAGTATTCGCAAACCGCACAAAGCATGGTCTCGACAGCTTCGACGTTGCTGGTGGTCGTGTATGCAGATGCTTCGCATGGAATGTCAAGGCTCATGAATAGGGCTTGAGCCTCGGGTGTACCAATGTACTTTCGTGTAAGTCGAATGCCTCCTGTCTCGATACGTGAGGTTGAATTGATATCTTGGTCCCATGCGTCTTCGATCATGTCTTGAAGCCTGAGGATATTAGGTAGTCTTCCAGGAAAGAATTTGGCACCCTTAGGACTGGCATGCTGAATGTAGGATATCAGCATCTGGATATTGCGGTAGCCACAAAAGCCCCCTTCTAAGTGCATCTTGCAAACATGTCGTACCTCCGGGCTGCAATAAAAGGCTCGCTCGACGTTCCGGTCAAGTTGTGACAGGCGTGCAAGCACAGGCACAAGATTGGGCGTCTCGTTTGCGATATTCTCGACCCTGATCAAATTGCCATCGGGTCCGATTCTGTTAGTGACCGAGACCTTCGCTCCTTCTTCGAGCATTCGTCTCAGCCATTTAGGCATTTGGCGTTCATGTGCGTACGGTCCAAGTTCAGCCTTCTGTGCATGGTCAGCGTGAAGTACCAGCGGAACAACTATTTTATACATACCCCGAGGCGCCTCGTCTTTCCTTCCTCTGCAGTAACAGCCGTAGTCTTCTTGGATGCCCCCGTAGTCCCCAGAAAAATATCCTTTAAGGATGGAGCTCGTCTCTTGCTATTGCTTGGACGAGTCTTCGCGTGTACCTGGTCATAATTCCGCAATGACTTTGGGAGTTTGGTGCTAAATGCGTTGGAGATATCAGATACGGGTTGCACAGCGGCAGAGGACATTTCTGCTGTGTCCATTGTAGGGAGGTCGTCGTCTTCAACGGAAATACTTTCTTGAGCATGCATTTCTGAATGTGCGTCAAGCTCAAGAATATGTATTTGCTCACCGCAGAAGCACTGAGCCCATTGAGATGCATCATTGGCGTGGCGAGAAGGAGATTGTCGACTAGACGGATTCGCACTTTCTGGTAAGTGAATCACTGCTTTGCTGGAAGGAGCTCGGGGTGGATCAGACAAGGCAAGTTCTCGAGGAAGCCCAGCTTCCTCAAAAGCGAGAATTTGAGCCAGCTCAAAATCAGTCAAGTCGGACTGGCGATCTAATGGCGGATCTGGACTGTCATGGTCGGAGTTCTGCTTATCAGAATGACAATGACGGATGTGTCTGTCCAGTTTGTTGGACTCATGACTATTATAGCAACAATATGGACAAGGAGCATATTGCTTTCGGTCTTGATGTGCCATGGCTAGAATTGTGGTTTTGGGGCACTTGTTGGACTATCACTCGTGATGCGTGGCCTAAGGCAGAATCCTGAAGAGAATCAAGGCTCAGTCGATCCTCAGCAAGGGATGTGACAAATTCCGACTGCTCGTCACCCCGGCGATGGTGGAGAGTACTTCTTGACCCTCACCAGCCTCCATGGGGGCGAGTCTGTGGGATAGAAATAACGAAGACAAAACGTGTTCTGAAGTGGGTATGTGCAAATGTGTATCACGGCGGTGAGATCGAAATACGCGGCCTCATGATGAGGTTGAGCGACGCCGAAGATCCGCCATGACTTGGCGCATGAAATAGTGTCACGTGATATTCTACTCCTGTGAATCTGAGGTTCGGAGATACTTGTTTCCGATTGCTATAGCGGTTTAGAAGGTCGTACGTACTCCGTAGAAATAGCGGCTAGCTTCGAAATCCAGTTCTCTCCCCGCCGCTTAAACAGACGCCTTATGAGCAACAGCGGGTCAATCATGGCTCCTGAGACACTTTAACGGAGAATATTGAAGAGCATGATTTCCTGCTCAGGTCGAAGTGGAAGGGAAAACTCCGTCCTGAGAAACACCCGATGTCCAAGCGTTGGAGACGATAAGGACAACCTAGGGGCTCAGCGATAAGCACTTCGACGACAAAAGGCGGATTTAGCCTACAGCCGTCCATCTCCAAACTCGGCAATCCAAGCTGTGTATCAAGCGTGACAATCTGCGTGACGACTTGAGCGGTCCAGCCATGGAATCGGATCGTGTGTCGAGCTTTTCCAGGAGTTGTATATCGTCAGACCACGATGGTACTCAGTCATACCCCTCAGTCGACGAAATATAGGAAATATGGGCTTCATAAAGTGCTTCGCGCACCCCTTGTCCAGCAAGAGCACAGCGTCTCCAGACCTCCTTTCCTCGCTCTCTTCGCGGCCTAATCCAAAGCAATTTCACGGTGTAAGGCAGTTTGTAATCGGTTCCAACACAGTAAACGCACATTCCTTACCACCATGGCCTCAGTGTCGGAAGCCAAGCAAGACATTTTGCTTCGCCAGTTGATGGCAAGCCCGGGTTCACCGGCTCGAAATCCGACCCCGTCCAAGTGGCAAGATCCTCCGTGCCGTGAGCTTTTGAATATTCGATCATCGGAGCTGCCTCTTCAACGAGACATCGTCATCATTGGATCCGGCGTTACGGGGTGCAGCGCGGCTTGGTGTTTGCTGAAAGATGGTCAGGAAAGACTGACGGTTTCGGTGCTCGAGGCTCGTGAAATCTGCTCCGGAGCTACCGGTCGCAATGGCGGCCGAGTTCACTGTACGGCAGTTCAGGACTATGACACATACTCCAAGCTGTTTGGAGAAGAAGCAGCGAAAGACATTGTGCGATTTGAACTGGCTCATTTGCCTGAATATCAAGCACTGGCGAAGGAAGCAGGACCCGACGCAACCAAACTTTCGGAATTGAGGGAAGTGACGGCTGTCTTGGGCGTCTTTGAAGAGGCAGCGCTTGAGGACCTGAGACGAATGCTCCGTAACTTCAACCAGGCATTTCCTGATTTGCAAGGGCTATACGAAGTTATTGGCTCGGCAGAGCTCCGACAGGTCAGTACTGATCTCTCATTTCAATTAGCACTGAGGATGCTAATCAGTCTGTCATAGAAGTACGGTCCATCACAGGCGATAGGAGGGCTGGTGTACAAGGTGGGCGCAGTGTGGCCGTATCGTCTCTTCACCACTGTCTACCAAACCTTGCTCGCTCGCCATGGTGCGAGATTCAACCTCGAGGCCAACACACCGATCGAGGCCGTTCGACGATCCAAGTCCGGGCATGGGTACTGCGTCACCACACCTCGCGGCTGTATTTTTGCTAAGCACGTCTTGTACTGCACCGAAGCTCACACGGCACATCTCCTTCCCAAGACGAGAGGCTTATTGATACCGCGCCGAGGCCAGATGACTGTGCAGAAGCTGGAAAATTCGAGCGCCTTCGCAGGGGGAGATGTTTGTTGGAGTTTCCTTCTCAACGGTGTTTTCGATTATGCCACGCAGAACCGCCGGACGGGAGAGATCTGGATAGGTGGCGGAGATCTCAGGGCGATAGAAACCGCCGACGATTACATAGGAGTGGCATCCGATGCCCAAGATTCCGTGGTGGCTCGAGCGCACCTGGGTGGTGTGCTTCAAGCTGTTTTCGATGTCGACAAGCTGGGAACAGGGGTTTCGCAAGTCAACGCTGCTTGGAGTGGGATCATGTGTTTTTCTCTGGACCACGCCCCTCTGGTTGGTAGTCTTCCTGCGAACTCTCTGGCCGGGCGACGACCCGGAGACGCGAGCTCGAACGAGTGGATTGCCGCAGGATACGGTGGCTACGGCATGGTAAATGCCTATCTTTGCGGGAAAGCGTTGGCACAGATGGTCCTGGGTTCGCAGCCTCCTTCATGGCTGCCTAAACAGTACTTGCTCACCGAGCAAAGGATGGAGAAGTTGACCCAGATGTTGCAGAAGATCCAAAAGGGCGGCATCAGTGATATTCGAGCATTACTATAGCCTCGTAGGAAATCCTAGATTGTCGAGACGTCCAGATCAGCCATGATTAGGGATTCGCACAGTGTAACATGTTGCATTGACAAGATGTAGTTATCATCAGAAATGGGGGCTCTCATCGCCAGAGTCGCCTGTCCATGATCAACTTTGTGCTTATCGGTGCTAGTTGATAAGGGCTTCGAGCCTAAAGTTGGGGCTGGCTACAGGGTGATTGGTGGCTCTTTTGGGGCCTTCATCCCGCTTATCGCTGGCCCGGGAGTTGCGCTAACCGAAACATTGTATGATACTTTCAGTTAAAGGAAGCTGGGGAGACTTGGCGAGGACCGTACAATAGATATGGTATTGCAATGAGGACGGCACCAACCAACCAACCAACCACGAACTTCGGCCCTTTGGTTTCCACTTCCACTTCCACGTACACTTCGACCTCGATCCAACCTGCAAGTCTATCTAAGAACTTCTTTTATATCGCAATTCCTCCCAAGTCGCTTTTACCCAACGTTTGCCCACCTTCCAACGCTTCAAACACCATTGTGTTTTCTATGGGAGACCGACGTGATCAGTGAGTGGGTGTCCCCGAACAGATTCGTGGGGCTTTTCACGGCTACAAGCCAAATTGTCCATGAAACGCCGTCGAAGCATCAAGTCTTGTGCAAGATGTTACGCGCGGAAGATCAAAGTAAGTGGAGACGACTCTATGTAGAGCAGTCGACTTGGAGTAGGGTGCATCGATGGCTGATCAAACCTGTATCAGTGTGATGGGGCAAAGCCCGCGTGTTCCAATTGTTCAAAATCTCAGCATGAGTGCGAGGGCCTCAACTCTGCCACAAGGACCGTCCAACCTCGAAGGTATATGGACAAGTATATCGGGAAAAAGAAGGGGCACTTTCACTGACGTGCGTCCCAGCATTTTGCTCCATCTACAGAAGCAAGTGTCGGACAAAGAACTTCTGCTTCGACAATGCGGCCTCCCAGATCCTGAGACTACTTCGACACTCGATGCGTCTAGATCCGAGCATACCCTGGGAGTCAAGCGTCCCCGGCAATCTCCTTTGGGGTCCCGTATGAGTGCACCTTGGAAGTTTTCCAGGTGGGCGGAGAAGTCCTTCTACAGCTCCTTCAGCAATGCACCGACATCCACCACTGCCGACTTTCCCGCCGAGACGCTCATGTCAACCCTCACTCAACCTCAGCAACAGTCGCAAGTGTCGGATGCCGCTGGAGATCCGTCAAACGGGCTGGAATTTCCCATTGACGATCCCAGGTCTGTCCGACCGCTGAGGGACCTAAAAGCCATTCCTGTCCACGTGGCCAACCGTCTCTTTGGGGAGTACGTCAATCGTATACTATTGATCTACCCAGCATTTCGACCAGACGAACTTTGGTCTCTATTCGATGTGGTCCTTGCAGAGCCACGCGAAGCCACCGAGGCGGACGACTTCGCGTTGTACATCGTTACCATGGTTTTGGCCATCTCCGTCATGTCGAACAAAAGCTACTCGCCGCCCAAAGCTTACTCGACCAGCTTGAAGCTCTACAGATATGCGCTCGAGAGGCAACACAATTTTGGCACTTCCTCTATCCAGAATATACAAAGCCTCGTTCTGCTGATTCAATACTGTTATCTAATGCCGTCAGCAGGAAATCCAGGCTTGCTTTCCAGCGCGGTGATGAGAATGGCTCTTGACTTGAAGCTACATCTTGACGACCACGACGAGAACGAAGATCACTCCGCGGGCTCAAACATTACGGGCAGATCCTTCACGGCAACCTCGCGGAGACTATTGTTCTGGACTGTGTACGTCCTCGACAGGTCGGTGTCCTTCACTCTTCACCAGAGACTTGGCATCGCTGAGCAGTTCATCGGGGTCCAAGCACCCGGCTGCGAGGACTGCTTACAAACTCCCAACAACGAAGCCCAACAGCCACAACCGTCGGATCGGATTACAAGCCCCGGACGCATCGCCATCGAATTTGTCCGTGTTGTCCGTCTTCGACAGCTGCAGTCAGAAATTTTCCAGGTCAGGTTCATGGGCCACAAATCGAGTCGAGCCATTACTGAAGACGAATGGGTCGGTCTCATAGAGAAGAGAGCAATGGACTGGCTCCACCAGCTCAAAAACACCGGGCGTCATGATGGAGAAAGTCAGGATGCTTTGGCAGGCGATGCTGAGGGTGACGAGTATGAACCGGGCTGGGGACTGGTCGGATATTACCAAGCTTTGCTTCTCCTCTACCGTCCCTGTCCAGTCGAACCCGAACCTTCAGAAGTCAAATTGGTCAAGTGCTTTGAGGCGGCGCTCAAGTTGGGAGCAACGACATTTGACTACTTGAAGAAAGGCCGGCTCCTCCTGCCGTGGCACGGTACCAATCAGTGCATGCAGGCGGCCCTGGTACTCTTATTCGCCATCAAACGCGCACGCCGACGTCTTGTGGAGGAAAAGGGCACTGCCGAGATCCTCCAATCGATCACGCTCTTCACAACGTTGTTTGCATTCCTCTCCCAAAGCTGGTCCGAGGCTGTCAAGTTCGGTGCATTGTATGAGAAGCTGCAGGGGGAAATAGTCCGAGAACTGCTGAGACCGTGGGATCGGCTGCCTGCACAGTCATCGTCACTTTCAAGACCGGCGAGCCTCCGGCTTGAGACACTGATCATGCCTCAGCGAACTTCTGAATACCATATCTTGCCGAGCTCTGAAGAATTTCCCAGAACACAAGAGCCGGCTGGTGCCGTTGAGCCAGCGCGCCATCGACACGAGGATTCGACCGAGATGCCTCTGATCGAAGTCTCAACTCCTCGAAGAGTGGAGGATAGGACCAACTCTGGGAATTCGGACATGCCGAACGGCCAATGGAGTGGTGCCAAATCACCAGCCGCGGCATCATTTGACTACGGAAGCCATCCACTGCAAAGCAACAGTGGTGTCTCAAATGCTTTCCCAATTCCTGAATCCTACCAAGGCTCCCAGCACGGCGCCGGGCATCCGCGTGGACCACCTAACCCTCGGTCTACAATGAGCAGGTCAACGATAGAAAACTGGACGAGCTCACACAGCATCACCAGCGATCCCAATTTTACACATGCTGCTCAAGTGCCACACGAGCCCAACCACCACCATCGAAGTACGACCAGTATCTGGTCCTCTGCTTCAGACACACTCCTGGCTGTGCCAGCAGGGCTCGGCAGCGCCTATCAAGCATTGCCGCCTGGAGATTACGAGACTGAGGTCCGGCATGGGAATGGCATGCATGCTTTGGCACAGAGGGAACCATCCTTAGATGGTTCGACCATGCGGTACGTTCGGACCGAAGACTCCGAGAGGACGTTCGACAATGCTTTTGGTAACGAGTTGACCTGTGTTGGTAATGTCAACCCCCGCCTTGAGACTTCTCCCGGTCCAGAGGGACGATTGACCGGTGACGATGGACCGATTCCTTTCGCACCAACCGTGGCTTCGTCAGGGTCTGTGAACATATTTGACTGGACGAATGCATTCATTGCCGGGGCCTCTGAAAGCCCGCAAGATCTGCTTGAAGGCGAGCTTGGCGAATATTCCAGCATGTGGTTGTTGTAATCAAGTACCATTCCCAGAGTTTAGACTCTGGAGTTGGGATTTCATTCTGAAAGAGATGAGGCGCCTGGCCCTGAACGCTGTAGGGCAAAAATGGCTTCGTTCAAGGTACGCGCACTCGAAGGATTGGCCTGTCCGCATGCCAGGAGCAATCGGACACAGAGATCTACTGTCGAGATCCACGGAGCATCGGTTGGCGTATTCGAGCTCGTTCCACGTACGATCTCGCTTGAGGCGCGTGTGCTTGTGGGATCGTCGGAGGTTACGCTTGCACTGAATGGCACACCAGCGGTAGAGGTGTTGGCAAATTTGCCAAGCCAGGTCTCTGTTATGGCCAAGTCAAAGACCTGCAGCGACCACGGCCACGTGCAGTGATACAGAAGAGGTATTTGGGGTCCAGTCTCTGTGGGATCATGCCGGTATCGTGCCGTGAGCAGCAAGTCGGCGTAGCTTCTCGAAAGAGAATTTACGCAGTTGGTCGCAAATCCAGTCATGCCGTCTAGTCCTGATGGCCGAAGGGTGGGAGTAGCTCGCGTTGGCATGGAGAACGACATCTGATCGGTTGATGAATTTGGCCGGCCTGTGTGCGGTGACGACATGGCGTGGGCCACGGAGAAGCAAGATCGAAAAGCAAAAAGAAGCGCTTCATCTCCGAGGGTCTGGCCGTAGAGGAGGAGCCATTCCAGATGAGGACTCCGACCTGTCGATGCATCACTCATCGAGTTGTTGTTACTTTGTGCCGAAACCAAACGGGCGGTTCGGGTCCACTGGTCCCGCCACGCTTTCACCTGCGCTTCCGTGGACGAGAGAAGCCTACTGACCTCGGACTGCCCATCAGCATTGCTTTGCAATTGAGAGTCACGAGACGAGAGCAGCATCAGGCTCAAGCACTCTTTGTGCACTGTTCCCTTGATATCAACGAGGCGTCCGAACAAGGCAGCAGGCGTCGTCTGTCTGGTTGTTATCCCGCCATTTCGTCCATGTTGGCTGTCGGAAACAGCGTACAGCTCCTGCTCGCCAAACGAGTGTTTGCTGAAGGGCAAGCCTTCTGACATTGCCACTAGCCGTTCCAACACGACGAATGTCCCGAATATCCGGTTGACCTCCAAAGAAAGCTCGAGGCTAGTGCCCGGGGGTAGAAACTCGGGATGAACCTCAATTGCTGATCCACGCACAGCCTCGTAGTGTCCAACGAGGATTCTGTCAGCAAAACCAAGGATTTGTCGTGAATTAGCTTTTTGTGGCATAAAAAGCCCATAGATGACGAGTAATAGAAGCAGCCGGACGGTCTCGAGAGCAGTGCGTAGCGCGGTTTCGGAGACCTCCTCGTCGGCGTCGGGGACATGATTGATCTCAATGAATTTCTTGACATAGATCATGGTCGTGTCTAGGATCTCCCCGGCCCAGTGCAAGAACGAATGCGCCTGCAGTTGGGTCCGGGCATCTTCACACAGATTCAAGGTGGGAGAAGATGCACACAGGACAAGTGCTATAGCCATAGACAGTTGAACGCATAGGTGTGACCCAGATGTTTCTACTAATCGAGGCCTGTTCAAAGTCAAGTCGTCAAGGATGTTGATGGCCTCGTGCGATCGCATAGAGTGGCCAAAGACTGGTAAGATCAACTCGACATTCTCGTAGTAAATATCTAAAAGGTATTGCGCCGTGGCTCTGGAGAAGGGGAGACCTTGGGGTGGTGCCCATCTTGATGTGTCGATTGCTATACCAACCCCAAGCTGAGAAGATGCCGTGGTTGTTGTTGGTGTTCGCTCGAGATGCTTGATCGTTTCATCCTTTTGCTGGACGAGATCTGAGATGGCGTATAGATAGCCAAATGAGGTCAAAGCCGGGCGGCAGGATGGTTGTGGCGGTTCCCATCTGTAGTCGTCGTGGCTTTGGCTATTTGTGCCAGTCAGCTGGGCATTATCATCCTCGTCCACGGTGCCTGCTGCATCTGGACGTGGCAACTCGGTCCCGCTCAGTGCATCATTCAAACGTTCAAGTCGTTGCGACAAGGCAAACAAAGTTCTACGAGAGGATCAAGATTGACATTAGTTTTAGAGAAATTCCTTTGACGCAATGCCTCCATGGATGGCCACTTACTTTGTGGCGACCAGACGTTCCAAGTGATGGTCATAGATTTCGCATTCGCTCCTCAACGACAGGCAATTCGAGCAGCCCGAAGGGGATTGATGACACCGGACGCGCCTCTTGCGACACCGTTCACAAGACGGGAGATGTTGGAGGAGTCCAGACACCGCGTCCATGGCATCGCTCATGTGTGGATCGTCGTCGGGACTCACTAGTTTACGTGCTCCTTACTTGTCGCGTGTGCGATCTTATCTCTCGTGAAATAATGGTTGGTCCTTTTCCAATCCGCATGTCCGAATTGACGACAAAGGCAAGTTATCGTTGAGGACAGAATCGGGTGGACAAATCCGGATAGCGCGGGGCCTCATCGGGAGAGGAAAAGAGCCAATCGACCACTCAGATAAAGATGGCAGCACCTTGAACCCCCAATTTCAGCCGCTTTAGGCGGGATAATGAGGCTCTCTCGCTAAGGTCCGTCGCGGGCATTCAGGTCCAGCACCCTCGGGTGTGTAGGCGACTCTCCAGACGTGATAAATAAATGGTCAAACATCGAACGCCGTCTTTTCTCGTGCAGGACTTCGTTTCATCTGTCTATCTCGCGAAACATTAATCCGTAAGAATGGCAGATTACTCTGAACTTGGGATCCCCAGCCCCGAATGGGCTCGATATTTCCAGGACAATCCCAACGACGTGTTTGCCAAAGGATTTGTCCCCGACATTGCTTCTCGTCCCATCGAATACCTCGAGGAATTACAACGTACGGCGAATCGCAATCAAATCGCTGCCGCACAAGCAAAATGCAAGCAAATGGGTAAGAAGAAGTCCTCTCTCGGGTCGATCTGCTGCTCCCCCTTTGTTTTTACTCTTTACTTTTCTTCAGGCAGACCTCTCGCCCTTGAGGACGTCCAACAAAAGCCGAAATGACTGACCACGGGAAATATTTTGCACTCCTTGTTTAGGCTGGACGGAATCAGTGGTCAAGACCGACCTCGAGGTCAAGAGCCGTTCAACCGGGTCCATTCCCATCAGGATATACAAAGGACGTGATCGGACGGCGACCCCGGGATCACCTCTCCCCGTCTACGTCTACTACCACGGTGGCGGGTACATGTTTGGCACCTTGGACGGCGAGGACGCCAACTGCTCTTACCTGGCGAATGAGCTCCCGATCTTGGTCGTCAACGTCTGCTACCGACACACACCTCAGTACAAGTTCCCGACCCAGCGGGAAGACGCCCTCGACTCGTACCTCTGGACCGTCGCCAACATCTCCCGGTATGGGGGTGACCCTCACCGGATCGTGATCGGCGGCATATCCGCCGGAGGAGGTCTAGCGGCTTGGTTGACGCTCACTGAATCCCAGCGTCCGTCCGTCGACCCCGGGGTTGGTCAGATCAGGGGTCAAGTCTTGGGGATCCCCTGGTTGATTCAACCTTCCGTCTTTCCCACCCATCTCCTCAAATCTCCCGAGGTCGGTTCCTACCACCAGTGTCAGTCCGCACCGGTCCTTCCACGGAGCAAGATGGAGTTTTTCGAACACTCCTTGGCCGAGCCAAACCCGACGGACGACTTTGTGGATCTGAACGAGGACGGTCTGCAGAGCCTAAAGGCCCTGCCCATGACCGCTGTCCTGGTGGCCGGCATGGACGTACTGCGTGACGAGGCTTTGCTCTACTCTCAGAACTTGAAACGGGTCAAGTAAGTCAGTTCGAAAGACATTGCCCGCAATCAATCTCTCTGATCAATAGCACTGGCTAATCTACTATTTGTTTCTGCAGAGTCCCTACTCATGTTCACATCTTCAAAGGATTGCCCCACGGGTTTCGACGTTATCAACAGCTACCGTCCGTGGCCAAGTGGAACGAGGCCACCAAGAGTGCGATAGAGTGGATGTTGGACGATCGAAAAAGCACCGAAGAAGGCGAATGGAAATCCTTCGAATCATGAACTTCGTTGTGCAACTTGCCAAGTATAAAGGCAATGCCTGCATGGTATCTGCCTTAAGACTTATATATACAATCTTGATGATGATAACAATATACTCCCCAATATTGAAACAAGCGTAACCTCACTCTGGCTTTCGAACCATCATCCACATAGCCGTCGATCCTTGGTCGTCTTTCAGCTCAACTCTACCAACCTCGGAAAATCCAAACTTTGTATAAAAGGGTATTGTCGTTTCGTCGGTACATTCCAAGATGATGGCACTCCCCTGAGCCTCCTCGATCACCGCCGACATCAGAGCTTTACCGATGCCTGTGCCCTTGGCCGCCGGATGCGAAGCAATGACCTCCAAGTAGCAATAGTCCGAATAAGCATGTGCGTATGTTTGTAAACCTTCATTGTGCTTTGCCAACATGTGTTGCCATCTCTATATCTCTCATGAGGCTTTTGTCAGTTTTGTATAGTTCCCCATGCGATCGTATCCTCGCGCGGGAAAGAAAGAAAAAACGTACCTGTTGGTTCGTATTTGGAGCGTCCATTCCAATACTGAATCGCTTCCAGTACCACTTGAGGTATCCATATTGCATGGTTCTCTTCATGACCTGGATTGACTGCCTTTGGGACGTCGGGAACATGAGCACGGCGCCTCGACATGTTTCCTGAGTCGAGCTTTCACTTGTCTGGAAAGCACCAAGGACAACTCCGTTGATTGCTGCGTCTTCGACCCTAAATTGTTGCCACCGTTGGAGGGAAGGCTCCAACTTATCCCAGGTCGGCCCTTGATCGTCCAACAACCATAAAATCAGAGGGTCAGCTGCGAATGCCTGGCTGATGACTTCCGCAACGTCTTCCACCTCGGGGCTCTCTAGTTTGGGACAGGGGGAGTTAGGTCAGCTAAATCTTATGAAGAGAACAAGAATACCACTGAGGAATGTGTGGCTGCGACAAATGAACAATTTACATACCTGCTGAAATTGAGCGTACTGTAGTGGTGATTCCCATGACGGCGACCTTTTGAAAGAGGGAGCCGTAAGAGTTGTGAAAGACGGCCAATCTCAATCAACGGCCTAAAAGGAGTATTACTGGTTGATAGATGCTTGTTGCGACGTTGAAATTAGGGACGAGAGCCACACACACACACACACACACACAGTATTGAGCTTCCTCCTACTCCGTCCCTAGAAGGTTTACCTGGAATCGAGCGAGACTCATAGCCTAAAATGAGCCAGCAGGGGTCCGTCCGGTTTAACTCTCAAAACCCTCTCTTGGGGGTCGCGGTGTTAGGCGAAGACAGCCAAGGGATAGCCCACCGGGGGTTTCGTCTGCGGCCGAAATCTCGACTCGGCCCTTGTCCAACCCCCTTTTACTATAAACCGGGTCCTGTTTCTTGTGATCTGGCTGGTTTATTCCGCAATGCTTATCAAGTACAGGAGGCGATGGGTCGAAAGGTGCCAACTGGCCAGGCCTCGATTGAAGTCCCCGGTCTTGGCCAAGTCCAGGGTCGGCTCTACTCGAACGACGTGCGTCAGTATTACGGCATCCCATATGGCCGACTGAGCAAACGATGGACTCGGGCGTCCATGGTCACTTCGTGGGATGGTGGTTTTCATAATGGTACCAAGCTAGGGTTCGTAGCCTCGCACCCCTCTAATTGTTGCTGTCGTTTCCAGGAATCTCACATTCCCGATCAGGAAACACTACCCTTCTCCACCAGAGTATGAAGATGGAAACGACATGTTGGTTCCCGTGCCCGAGACGGATCAATTCAAAGGCAACTGGCTTGCCAGCGACACCGACTGTCTTAGACTGAACATCACTCAACCACCACCGCCACCGAGTGGCAGAAGTACTGAAGGAGGACCGTATCCCGTGTTGGTGTATCTTCACGGAGGTGGGTTCGTCGTAGGAGGACCTCACTTGCCCATTTTCGACGGGGCACATTTCGTCTCGCGCTCGGTCAGTCAGGGAAACCCCATTGTATTCGTCGCCATCGGCTATCGAATCGGTCTGGGTGGGTTTCTCGCCTCCAAGGAGATTCAAGACGATCTGGCCAGAGATGGCTTCTCGGGTGCCGGAAACTTTGGACTCACCGACCAGCAACTTGGGCTTGCATGGGTACAAAAGTACATATCGGCTTTCAATGGGGACGAGTCTCGAATCACTCTCTGCGGTGAGTCGGCTGGAGGATTCTCCGTGGCGCACCAGATGAATGCACTCGAACCACCAAAATTCATCAATCGAGCCATTTTCATGTCCGGCACCAACAACATCATGGCCAGTTGGCCCGTGGAGCGGTGGCAGTTTTACTACGACGAGCTGCTTCGCTATGTTGGCATCGACCCGAATTCCCCAGACACCCTTGCCCAGCTCCGCGAGGTGCCCGAGCCCGTCCTGACCGCCGCCACGTTCCCCATCTACCACAACGATTTTCCGCTTTACAGCGCTTGCCAGGATGAATCGTTTCCCATGCGTGTTGCGGACACCGACCTCGCCACGTCGCTCCCCGACTGGCTTGAGGCTGTCATGGTGGGCGCTACCCACGACGAAGGCTCCCTTTGGAGGTCAGTCCTTCGGAACTTTAGTGGCGACAATGAGATTCTCGAACGCTTCAAGAGCCACATGGACTCGACACAGGCTCACTTGATCTTGGCCAAATATCTGCCCGGCGTCGACGTAGACCGAGCCACCCTACTCAAAGGGTTGGAGGAAATGGCCAGGGACGCATTCTTCTCCATGCCAAACTACATGCTCTCACGAGGGAGGAGTCGACCTCTGGGAAAGGATGTGTACGTGTATCACACCGACCAGGTTTCGACACTGGACAACCCGGTGAAGGGTCTGGCATATCACGCTATAGACTTGTATTATATCTTTCTCAACGGCTTGGACACCATGTCTGAAGGACAAGCGCGGCTGGCGTTCAAAATGGCCGATGACTTTATCCATTTCACCAACGCCATCGAGCCATACCCCAGTTTCAGCCAGGAGAAAAAGTGCATGGTATACGGACCCGAGGATAAATGGGAGGTCAAGACCGAGGAGGCAGATGATGCGGAACGCGGGTACACGAGGATGGCCGAGATCATTGACGGAGGATTGTACGAAAGATTTTGGAATGCCATGGACGATATAGTGGCTGATAGGTATCGTGTGGATTTGGTGCTTGAGAGAAGAGAAGACTGACACAAAAAGAGAAAGAAAGGTACTAACGGTGGCATGATGGTCGACATGGCCGAATCATTCAGTCCACCTGGCCATAAACTATGGATCATTGGGCATTTTGACCATATGAAGATTCGGGCAGAACATGAATGATAAGACATATCACAATTCCGTGCAAAAACTAGAGTAATAGGTATTGGAAAAAGCAAGTACAAGTACAATCAAAAAGAAAGTAAGTGGTTTGATGTAATCAAAAAGGCTGACTCTTCAGATATACATTCAAATAGAATTGTTTGAAAAACTCATCCTTTCAATTGTGCATATTTTAGCATTTCAATCTATTTGTTTCCTCCTTTACAAATCCTCAGTCGTAGGGATCACGCTATACCGACGATTCGCACCCATGAACCAACTGAAGACGGCGAGAAGAGTCAAAGCGCCAAAGGCCGCAATCGCCCAATTCATGTTCGACGACGAAGGGTTTGGGGAAGAAGGGAAGAAGAAGACAACAGAAATCAAAGAGGCAAAAGCCACGCCGACAATGTTGTAAACGTAACCTCTGAAGCGGCCCAGATTGTAAGGCCGATTCGCGGGCATTCGGTCTCGGCCCACGAACAGTAAGACGGCCACGGGGACGGCGCAGGCCAGAACCAAGGTGACGCTGGAGAGGGAGATGACGGCGGTCAAGACGTTGCTAATTTCGTATGTCAGTATCGGGTTTTATATATCGATAGGAGAGAGCTTATGTGCTTGAATGGATCCCAAACCAATGAAAAAGGAACAGGGGCAAGGACAAGGCTGAATATGGTCGGGAAGCCCGAAACTCACCTTGAACAAAAGTAAAAAACACCTATAATAGTGACAATAAAGGTCTGCCCTATTGTCGCACGAACAGGCATCTTCCAATAGGTCGAGGTGTGGGCGAAATAGTTGCTCCAGGGTAGACCATGGTCACGGGCGAAACCGTAAGTCAATCGACTGGCGGCGGTGGAGATGGACAAGGCGCTCACGATGGTGTTGAGTTCCAAAAGAATCATGAGGGTGGCGGCGCCTCCCTGGCCGGTGGAATCGTACAGGATCTGAACGATGGGGATGACATATGTCGTGTTGACCAGGCCACCCATGGATTTTGTACAGGCGAACATGACGACCAGGAAGATGAAACCAGTGACTAACCCGGCCCAGACGGCCAGGACCATTGTCCTGGGACCGTTTGTACTCGGTTTGGGAAGTTCTTCAATCATGTGGATCTGTAAGAGCCGAAACATTAGTACACATTCAGAGATGCGTACAAGGTGTAGGTCAAGTTACTTACAACAGAGTCCAACGCGGTGAATCCATAAGTGGCACTCAACAATCCTTGCAAGAAAGCGAACCCGTCTGGCCATCCGGATTCATTCACAAAAGTGGCAAAGATGAACTTGCCGGACTGAAAGGTCCCGTACTTGGCCGTACACGCCAACGTGGACACGAGCATGCCGACGAAAAGCAAAACGTTGGTGATCATCATGGTGGTGTTGAAGACGGGAAGGAAACGGTCGTAGCGAGTCAGGGTGATGTTGACCACGGCGTAGATCCAGATGGTAGCCTCGAAGATGACAAAGTTCTGCCACGGCTTGGGCGAGTAGTCGGGCTGAAAGATCTGGATGATGGCCACGAAGAAGGACGTGGTGAAGGTGGCGCACGAAGCGATCAGCGTCCACCACCCGGCCACGTTGATCCACCCGGTAATGTAAGACACGGTGCGCATGCCGCGTTGTTCGGGGGCGAGCTTGAGAACGAAAAATGCCTGTCCCAAACTCGTAGGGTAACAGGAGAGTAATTCGCCCAGAGACGCGGCGATGCAGTACATGCACAGACCGGCGAGGACGACCTGGTTGTTGGTCATGCGCATCAGCAATTTGCAATTGGTGTCCAGGTGAACTCTTTTTGGGAAAAAGGACAGTGGGAGGACTTACACCCCAGATGAGTGATACAGTTCCTCCGCTGTTGAGACCTGCTCCAAGATCCGCAGAAAGGGCAACTGTTGATGATCAAAGCATCGTCAGCATGTTTCTTCCTCTTTCTCTCCATTATTTGTATGTATATTCCATGGTGGTCTTCTCTTTCTTTTCACACAACCTAAGGAATCAAGGATGGATTGATCAAAACGTACCCCATGTTCCGGCGATGCTAAAGGCGAGAGATAGCATCGACCAAAATCCAAACTTCCTAGTCATGTGTTGAACGTGACCCAACTCGGCCAGGAACAGCTCGTCGGGTGTGATGATGGCTCCATTGCCACTGTCGAGAGTCTCGACCGTTTGTCTGGGCCAGTCGCCTCCCGACGAAGAAGTTCGGGCCTCGAGTGATTTGGACATGGTGATGATGGTGATGGAAACAGAAAAAGAGACCGGCCCCCAGGGTGATCCTTTGTTAAGAGATCGTCGGTGTTGGTGGACAACAACAACAACAACAACAACAGCTCTGTCTCTTTCCCAAGCTAAGGCTTCTCCCACGGTCGTTATATAAAACGTTCTCGACCACCTTGTCTTCCCCAGCAGCATGGGCCCGACCTTTGGGATCCTCCTCCCCGCTTTCGGTATTAAGCGAAAATAGGCCTCGTGTACTGCTATCTAAGCTTTGGCCCGGGCGTAAGCGGCCCACTGGAAGGACGTCCCCCAGGGTCACTACTAGACTAGCACTGGAGGGCATGGAACCGCCTATCTCTACGGTATTTGTGAGAGTCTTTAAGGGTACTCAACCGGTCACAGCCTCACCCTACCAGCTTATCAAGTTTCACATAGGTAGTGATAGTGACACACGAGATTTGTGAGGTCACAAGGTTAAAGAATCTTCCACACACAGGCCACAAAGAGACATCTCGGAGGCCGATGATGAATACAGTTTACATACAGCAAGGTTAATTTGGTGCCTTTGTCGAAGAGGATTGTGTAGTAGATATGTACTATTCATCCGATAGAAACTAATTTGAATTCTACTCCGTGCATACACCTCTACACTTCTAATTTAAAATCTCCTGGGCGGTATTGAATCTTTGCCAGGAAACATAGTCCAGAGCATCTGCAAAGGCGGTGTACACGCCCATTTGCAGGATCTTGTCGGTTCGACTGTACCTCCGGACGGGTTCGTCCTCGGCCTCGGTCTTCAAATGTGCATGTCCGTCGGGACCATATACCATCCATTTGTGACCGACATTGAATCTCTCCCACGGGTCCTTGCCGTAGGAAAAGTCGATAAAGTGACCGGCTAGAGTGTCCGACAAGGCCTTCTGTCGGTCGTCCATTCGATCGAAAAGGTTCCTAAACAGGTACAAGAGATCGATGGCGTGGTAGGCAGTCCCCTTGAGCGGGTTGTCCAAGGTTGAAGGTTGGTCGAAATGATAGCCGAACGTTTGCGGGACGTTGGACCGGTGCGCTTTTACGTAGTTCTCGGCCCGGAAGACTGTGTCGCTTGCCATGAGCTCGAACCTATCGCGTAGTTCGTTGGGCGGGAGTTCTGGTGTCACGCCATAGAGATCGAGGATGGTCTTGATGTGGTCCTGACTGAGGAATTTGGCCATGTGCTCGGTGATCATGGAGTAGGTATAAGTGTCGTTCAGACGGAAAATCACCGCCTCGTCGCCGACGTCTCCGAACATGACGGACTTGACCCACGACGGCGGAGACGTCATGTTCTCAAAAGTCGGACGGGCGCTGTCAGTCCCGTCCTTGTGAGGCCCAAGCAAGACTCCGTCGTCACAAGGGTTGTAGGTGGACACTATGGCACCTTGGAGTGGAATGCTGCACGCCGTCACGGCAGCCTCGGGCGTATTTCTGAGAGCTTCCAGGGCTCCGGGAGCGTCTGGATTGATTTGTAGACGGCGGAGGAGCGCTCTGTACTGCTTCTCGTGCTCCCGCATCGACATGACCGGGATTGTGGTGTAACCTCCCGACATACAGATCGCGCGGTGGAAGCCCGACGTCTGTCCCGGGCAGTAGTCACTCTTGGACTTCAGTTCTACCTCGGTCATGTTGAAGGCGACGGAGGTTCCTCCAGCAGATTCGCCCACGATGGTGACGTTGTCGGGATCACCACCGAACGCTCTGATGTATTTCCGGATCCATTCAAAGGCCAATCGTTGGTCTGTCAATCCAAAGTTGCCGGCGCCTGAAAAGCCATCCCTGGCCAAATCATCTTGGATGTCCCTGGAGGCCAAGAATCCCCAGATTCCGACGCGGTAGTTGAGCGCCAACGACAGCACAGGCGTTTTTCGGTCTATCGAATAATTGACCAGGTTCACTCCATCAAAGATTGATCGGTTGGCTCCGCCGTAGATGAAAGCGCCCCCATGGACGTACACCATGACCGGGTACAGTTCCGACGACAGTGGTGGCGTGGTGATGTTCATGACAAGGCAGTCGTCATGTTGATACCGAGGAATCGGCATGTGTGGAAATTGCGGTACCGGTGTGAGGTTGTTGGGTACGTGAAAAAGTTCGGGGGGATTTGGTGCTGAAGAACTGAAATCCTCGAGAACGGTCGCGTGAGTAAGACTTCATGTAAAGCGAGAATTGCTTAGATTCCCAGTGTGATGGAATCGCAGGTTTCGAAGAACACTCACCCTAGCTTGGTCCCATCGTGTTTTCCATTCTCCCAACTGTCCGCGATCACAGCTCGCGTCCATCTTTTAGCCAATCTTCCGTAGGGGATACCACAAAATTGTCGAACTCCCGAAGCATACTCGAAACCTGACGCTGTTCCGAGCTCGGGGATGTCCAAATGCGCCTGTCCTGTTGGTGTTTGATACGACATTGTCTATGTCCTCGCCTGGTCTATTCTGTTTGGCTATCTTTTATTTGTTTAGTCTGTAGGCGTGGTAGGAAATTTCCAGGCTGAAGTAGGACAACAATGATTTGGAGCGAGTGACACACATGGTATACCCTCGGATCATTTAAATGGAAATTATTTCTTACTCTTCAACTTGCATAACAGGAATGGATTTTGAATGTGGGAGAGAGTCTCTCGGGGTCTGGATCTGCTGTTTGCAACTGCAGTGTGCAGAGGTCCTCGCTTACGCCCGCTGCCCATTGATTTACTGTCTGGCCCCCACGTGATCTGTAACCCTCTATCTGGGGACTGATTTACAGTCCGAGTACAAGAGCAGAGGCAACGGAGAACTTTATGTTTGGGATTACGCATTACGATATTCCAGCAAGATATTAGCTAAAATAATCATCCACTCTACTGTACTAACATCCAAACTTTCATATCCAGGCTCGGGCTCCGCCTCAACATCTGATCTCGGATATCCTCGAGGGGGGCGTTCGGCACTGCCTGCCTGTTTGGTACTAGCGTCACCCCATACCAACCTCATGCACCAGTGAAAGGAGCCTCGTCGGCGTTTGTCGAGAGTCATGGACTCATGGGCAGATAAAAATACAGAATACGTGTGACATATCACCTTACATTTTTGCTTCTGACGCTCCGCTAATTGTTTGAACAGAGTATATATCGAAAGCGATTGTCCTTGACAACCTCTATCAAATCACGTACACTCGGCAATCCTCTTCTTGCTCCACCAACACCATCGCCATGACCCGTGACACCATTAACAATTCAGTCAACAAGGCCGGCGACAGGCTAGCACAACTGACAATGACAATGTCGCCGCCCTCGATGGGGTCGACGCCAGAGGCTCGGGAGAAAGAGGCCAGACGAGAAATCGAGGATAGGCTGAGAAAGGACCCTGGTCTACCAGCTGACAGCCCAACCATGTCGTATTGGCAAGATCCTGAACACCCATTTGCTCACTCCAGATCGAATACTCTGCCTCAAGGTGCCGACGTCGTCATCATCGGCTCAGGTATCACATCCATCAGCACCGCACAACATCTACTCCGTCTGGAACCACAATTTAAGATCATCATCCTCGAGGCTCGCGCCGCCATCTCTGGCGCCACGGGTCGCAACGGGGGACACATCAAAGCCTCGCCATGGGGCGACTACTCTGGCTTGAAGGCCCTCTTTGGCAAAGAGAGCGGCATGAAAATCATGAAGTTCCGCATGGCCCATCTGGACGCCTTTTGTCAAGAAGCCGCCCTCCTTGGAGAGGCTGGCAAGCCTGGACTTGTACGCCGGACCCAATCCCTCAGCACGTCTTACGACCTCAAGGCGTGGGAGGGATCCAAGGCGTGCCTGACGGAATTTCTGGAAGATTTTCCCCAAGAGAGAGGGAAGTGGACAGCGATAGAGGATCGTGTTGAGCTCAAGGTACGTTGATGATACTACTCTCTCGTCCCCAAGTAAAGCAAGAGAGAGACTGACCATCACAAATAGAACTTGGGACTGTCTCAAGAGGCATGCGGCACGATAAGAGGACCCGAAGGGGCGGCTTGGCCATATCGCTTCGTCGGCGCCGTGTTGAAGAAGCTGTTGAACGAAGGCCAGGTTACCCTGGAGACACACACTCCCGTGACGGCCGTGGAACGAAGTTCGTCGTTCACCCATCCTTATCGCGTTCAGACAACCAGAGGTTCCATCTCGGCCAAGCACGTGATACATTGCACGAACGGGTTCGCGGCACACCTGTTGCCTGCCCTCAGGGGTAAACTGTGGCCTTTCAGGGGACAAATGACGGTCCAATCTGTGCCACCGCAGTTCCCCAGGTTGGGAGCCGAAAGGTCCTGGAGTGCCATCTACAGGCAAGGCTTCGACTACATCACCCAATCGGCTGGGCCCGACGGCTGTCTTTACTGGGGCGGTGGTTTCCTCCAGAAAGGCTCCGGAATCCCCTCTGAGGAGGACAATCTCGCCGTGCAGGCGCAAGATTTGGGATGCTCCGACGATAGTCAGCTGAGCTTACCTTGCCTGGAACGCCTCGAGACCGCGGCCGGTCGGGCCCTCGAGCATGGAAAGGAGGCCCAGATCGTCCGCAAGTGGACCGGGATCATGGGATGCACGGGTGACGGGTTGCCCTTGGTCGGAAGGTTGACCAAGCAGTGGTCGACCCGCGAAGACTGTGACCCCCGGGTCGGAGGCGAATGGATCGCCGCCGGGTTCAACGGTTTCGGCATGGTGAACTGTTGGCTCACTGGCAAAGGTCTCGCCCACCTGGTGACGGGACGCGAGGATCAGGCTCGACCCTGGTTCCCCATCGACGAGTTTGCGTGCAAAAAGGAGAGGCTGGACGGGATGAGCCCAGAAGGGTCAATCAGTCTGTTCCTGGATCGTCTCGAGACTTGGTGAGAGATAACAATACGAAAAGCAATGTGGCAGAAACGTGTTTTCAAAAGCACTTCAAGGCCGTGTATTTTCTTTGGGACATCTGATCCATTCCTTGTTATTTCTCTGACTAGCCTGCTGTTCAAGATCAAGTGACGCTGTGCAATCTATAATATTTCTATGACCTCACAGGAAGTCCCAGTGTCCAAGCATGATCGTCTAGCGACTCGTTTATGAACTCAGGTACAGACTTTGAATGTTACAGAAGGCCTTGAGCCCCTCGATACCTCCCTCGCACCCGATGCCACTCTCTTTGTGGCCGCCAAAAGGAACGCTGACGTCAAGCGCAAGATGTGCATTCAGCCAGACGCTACCGGCTTCCAGCTTCTCGGCGATCGATCGAGCCTCGTCGAGATTCTTGGACCAAACCGACGCACCCAACCCCATCGGGGTGTCATTGGCCCGAGAGATCACATCGTCCTTGTCCGTCCAGGCAAGTAAGGGCATGATGGGTCCAAAGGGTTCCTCCGTGACAATGGATGAATCATCCGGAGGCCTGTCGATGACGGCGGGCTGAATGAAATATCCTGTGCCGGGTTGTTTGGTCGAAACACCACCCGCTACGACGGTCCAGCCTTCCTTCTCAGCAGCAGACAGAAAGCCGGAAACCTTGTCATACTGCATTTGATTCTGGACCGGACCAAGTGCGACGCCATCCTCCCGTCCGTTGCCGACCTTGAGACCATTCACGTGGCGCACAACGACGGACTTGAAGCTGTCGTAGATGGACGCATGTACGTACACTCGTTTGATTGCCAGACAGACTTGACCTGAGTTGTAAAAGGCTAGGCTTGCAATCTGTAGATATTGTCAGTCAGTGCATCTTTATCTTACCCAGGGAGAAGAACCCCAAGTTCCGAGACCTACTTGTGGTGCTACGACGTCAACGTCGACATCTTTACAGACGATTGCGGGATCGTTGCCACCCCTAGACAATGGTAAATGAAAGTCTTTTTTTTGTATTCAGCATATCCTACAGTTCCAGAGTAACTCGCTTCAGAGTTTTCGCGGCATTCTGCATAATGTGCTTCCCTGTAGCTGTTGATCCTGTGAAGCTGATCTTCTTGATGTCAGGGTGCCCAGTGAGCATTGGGCCCAGCAGATTATCTCCGCTGAGCACTTGAACTACCCCGGGTGGGAAGCATCGTTGGGCCAGTTCGCCCAGTTTGAGCCCGCAGTATGGTGTAAAGGGGGAGGGCTTGATGATGATAGTATTCCCTGTGAGCACAGCTTGCAGCATCTTCTGACACAGCTGAGCGACCGGGTAGTTCCAAGGGAGAATGCCCACGGTCAAGCCTAGTGGGACATAGCGAATGATGACCTTGAACCCTTGCTTTGTCGTTCTCATCTCATCGATGAATTCGATCTTGGCCATACCGCGCATCCAATTGAGGGTATAGGAGACCTCACCGGTGGCCAGTGACGTCTGCGTTCTGATTTAGTCCAACTTTGGTTCTGTCACCTCACATAGTTGCTGCAACCATACCGGCTTGCCTTGCTCCATAGTAAGTAACTCGGCCAAACCCTGAGCATGAGTTTCGATGGCGTCCGCAAAAGATAGAACGGCATCGCGACGCGTCGACCAGGGTTTCTGAGACCATGACTTGAAAGCCCGCTGTCCGGCGCTGACTGCAGCTTGGTCTTCTTTCTCGGTAGCTACTGGCACTTCTGGCAACGTCTCAAGCGTTGCTGGGTTCGTGCCATGCCTGGTCTCTTTCGTGGGCCTCAGGGTGCCGTCAATGCTGTTAAAGTAGCCTTTGAAAGGATTAAAGGCCCCTCCAGCATCGCTGTAGGGTCCGATAGAACCCATGTTGCCTTGCCGTACCTGTTAGATTGTAATGATAACGAGAAGATGAAATCACTTGCAGGGAATGATTTTGTCTATGCTTCTGCTGGAGGCCGTTGAATGTACGTCACAATCAGGAGCGAAAGCCTAAGAAAATCATACCATGTTATCAAAGGGTCCTGCTGGTGGAATCCAGCGGCGTTTGGCGAGACATCTCGGTGGTCAAGTTGACCTATGAAGATGTGTTGTATAGGCTGCTTATATCCGATGGGCGGCACAGGAGATCCAACTCGCTGTAGGACTGTCGTTCAACCCAATGCCATCATTGAATTCCTGGTCAAATTAGACTATTCAGATGGCCAGGGGATTATGATATTTGTCTTCGCAATCGCTGTAATGTTTGGTTGGTTCTAATGTCTCTTCTTCACTTTTTGGTCTGATATGGTTGTGCTACAAAATTGCTATGCGGTGTCGGTCTTTAGCGACGTGAACTGGAGATCGCTGTGGACAGACCAAAGCTTAGTCACCTCAGTTCATGGCCTCTTGGACCAGTTTACATCAAATGATTTGGTGTGTCAAGATCTTCTCCAGGCCACATATCAGTGGTACGGGCTCCATAAGACGTGGTCGGGATCCCAGGTGGACTTCACATGCTTCAGATCTTCGAGTCTCTTCTTGCTGAATAGTTCCTCGAGGTTCATTCCGGGACGTTGGTTATTTGCCATACAGTGATACGGGCCTTGCTCATTGCGTCTCACAATTCTCAAGAACTCATCGCCGAAATTGTCCAATACCTGCCTTGTCGTTTCGTTCATGCACCAGCGCATCGAAAACGCCATCATCTTAAATCCGCGGTGTTCAAAAAACTTTGCATTTCCAGCTTCTTCTTGGCCATTCCGATCAATGGCTTCTGAATTCCACTTGTTGAATATCAGTGTTGTTGGGTAAGCATCCCTGTACTCGTTTCCCAGCTCGATCCACTTCTCAATGGCAACTTGAATAGTTTGGCTATCTATGGTTTGTAGGAATGTGCTTGAAAACCCTTTGTAGCCATGGTTGGCGCTTAAAGGTTTCAGAGGTGCGTTAGCAAGAGCGAATGGGACCAGCTCCGTGTCCGCCTTGAGAGCCCGGTCCAGCAATTCTGGCTCATAAAGAAACGAAGTTGCTTTTTCTCCTTCGTGACTGGGTCCAAAATAGTTCGCAGTGATGATGATCAATGGACTTCCTGGCGAAGGTGAGCTCGGAGGGGCTCTTACACAGACCATGGTAAGGTGGAGAGGAGGCGGTAGTGTGCGGATGCTGCTGAACACTTGGGTGGCGACGTCAACTGCAGTCGAAGGAAGAGTCACTCGGCGCGTCCAAATGCAATCGTTTGTGAGATGTAAGGATGCTATCGAAAAAGCTTTCATGTTGACTGAGGTGACAATAGCTAGTCCAAAGCCTGCGCCACAAAGAGCATTGAATAAGTTTCGTTCTTGCCCTGTGGAAGACGGACTGACTTCAAGCTTGATTCCCTCTCCTGTAATAACTCGCATCGATTCGACGGCATCCACCATAAAACCGTGTAGCCCATTCATTGTGTCAGACCCGCCTCCTAGTAAGCATCCTACATAACCCACAGCGTCCGAGTTCGGCCACAGGGTATAGTAGCCTTCAGCTGTAGTACTCGCAATCACTTCCTCGGTAGAGGCACCTCCTCCGACGCGGACAGTATTCGAGGAAGTATTCACTGACACCTGGTTGAAGTTTCCCATGTCCAGATAGAGAGTTTTGGTTGTGATTACGACGAATGGTGCCCGACCACCATTTGTAGTCGTCACTGTAAGGTTTTTCTGTTTGGCGAAAACAAGGGCATCCACAATGTCTTCCTCACACTTTGGCTTTACAATCATGGCTGGAAGATCCAGGAAGCTGTCGGACCATCGATGGATGACATCTTTTGGCGACTGGCCAGATTCTGGAATGAGTACTTCGCATTTGAACGGCAGTGAAAGTGGACCCATTGCTTTCGAAGATAGGAACTGTGTCGCTAGCTGGTAGATGGGCGAGTGCCATGTGGTTGAGGTTGAAGATGAGAGGTGAGGATGACAGAGTCTCTTCGGAGAGTATTTCAACAGATAATGTAATCATCGGCTGGAATATCAGCCGCTTGCCGAACTTCATTGCTGACCTCAAACGAAGAGGATTCTCCTCGTAAGCCAACACATAATATCTACACGGCACGGGTCTCAGGTACAGCTACCTAGACCATTACCCGATATACCTAATCGAGCCAATGAGTGGCGTGAACCCAACACGGAAGTCAGAAGTCAGTGTTAGTCTCCAGTGGACACTTGCCTCAGCCTCCATGCCAATCGGATTTTCTTGATTGCAGATTATGGCATGACCGATCACACAGGATGCTAGAGAAGAGCATTGTCGATCGAAATACAACAATGGGGTAGAATGGTGAGAAGTCTGGAGTACAATGAATTGAGGCCAGTTAGCGAAGTGATATTCTGTATTCCGTAGGGCGATTTCAGTGCCGAATTGTGAAGGAAATAATGTACCCAGTCTGACGCTTCATATCTCGGCTGTCGCCTAAAATGAACGCTGAAGGCCTCCATTGTATGGGGCCAGATTTCCGCCCAGAGACTAATATAGCCCCTGGAATGCTGAATATCTCCTGGTCAGACTGAATTGTTCGGCTCCAGTTATACGAAGCACCAAGGAAACAAGCACATTCTCAAAGTTCTTCGAGTGCATCATTCAACAGCATTTGCCTTCGTTTAGCCAGACTCTTCATCTAGACAACGCGCTTCTTCTCGATCTGATCTCGGACAAGGTGCCTACAGAGAAGATGAATCCAGGATAAGTGAAGTCGACTGTCAGTGTTACCTGACCAACGCTAAGGGCTGTTGAAACATCAAGGCGAAACATTAGGTGTCTCGTCGAACGCCGGAATGCTATATGAAGCTACCATGCAAGGTTCTGCAGATTCATCAAGGATAACATGATAATGCAGGTGGAAATTGGACAATGCTGTATATAATGATAGACCTGAAAGCTTGTTGGGTAGGTTTTATCAACCTTTTTTTTTGAAGCAACATTCTCTTCGTCGTTCGTTCTATCCCACACGCCTGTTGACCAGGTTATCATTCTTTCGCCTGGTGCAGACGTTCTTTTTGGTTGTATTATATTGTTCATTTCTAAACGATCATGGTGGCCCTTCTTTGTGCTGCGCTTCTCGGGAGTGCATCGTTGATTGCAGGCCTCCCAGTTGCCGAGAAGCGCACTGTGACAGCACTAGACCAGGGGGCATTCGAGGAAGCTCAACAACGAGATGACACTGCGACGAGAGCGTTCTCTTCCGTTCCCATCAAGGTACTTGGAATCTTCTGTATCGACTGGCATCGCTTGTTGACTGATATGGGTAGACTTCCACGGGGCAATGTCTCTTCGTCGACGAGCTGTCTGGGGATTTTCGTGCTAATTTAACGCCTATTGAAGTTGGAACCTGTGATGGGAGTGACGGACAGCTTTGGGATGTGATAACGGCTGGAAAGCATGATGACCAACCAGGCACGATGTTGATTGTGAGCACATTGACTCAAGCTTGCTTCAATTTCGACCCACGTCGCGCAGCAGGAAACCAGGTGATCCTGTTTTCTTGTGGCGGCCGTGCCGATGGTAGTGGCAGCGTCACAGACTCTCAGCTCTTCCCTTTCGCCGGAAGTGCAGGCCCACAGTCATTCTCTCCGGTAAATTCGCCTGGTACGTGTTTGACGGTGAGCGGAGCTGTGCTTGACCAGACTGCATGTGATGCCACAGACGCAAACCAATCGTTCACATTTGGGGATGTCATCAGCGCCTCAACAGCAGTCGCCTCAGCTTCGCTCACATCTGCCACTACCGCTGTCGAGGTTGTCAGCCCTACCTCAACTTCAGGCCTGGAGATAGAAACGATTACATCACCACCCACCACTTCGCCAACCGCAGCAGCATCTACCACTTCAGCCTCCGTTGTTTCAGTCTCTCGCGCAGGTGCTGTCCTTAACTCTTCCGCAGTCGCTGAAGCGAATCCTCGTGATGTTACCGCCACCCGAGCCTTCTCGTCTGTCGCAATCAAGTCCGCTGATGGCCAATGTCTATTCATCGACCCAACAGCCGGCGATTTCCGTGAAAACCTCATACCGATTGTTCTCCAACCATGCGATGGAAGCGCCAATCAGCAGTGGGATGTCATTACCGCAGGAAAGCACAACGATCAACCAAACTCTGCCTTGATAGTCAGTTCTCTCACACAGGGTTGCTTGAACTTTGATCCAAGACGAGCGGCGGAAGATACGGTCATTACGTTCAGTTGTGGAGGGAGAGCCGATGGTGGTGGCACAGTTACCAATAGCCAACTGTTCACATTTACTTCTGGACAGACCAGCCTGACTCTGCAGCCAGAGAACGGATCGGGAGATGTCTGTCTAGTCCCCAACTCATCGGGCAGACTAGACCAGGCTACATGTAGCGGCACGGCACATCAACTGTTTACCATTGAGTAAAGAGCAAGAGAGATATCAGTCAGCGGCCAGCCATAGATAGAAGTCAAACTGTAATGTCTATCCCTGGGGAACCACCTTTAGCTGTCCTTGTGTACCCATTTGCGCTTTCGTAGTCAGCCAGATGAACAGGGGTAGATGTCAGCGAGGCACAATGAATCGATCGTATTGGAGACCACAGTATCATGAGAACATCAGCAGTGATGCGAGCGCACTCCCTTGAGTTATTTCTCGATTTCTGGAAACCATCACGTTAGCAGAAGCACAACCGTCTCGTCCTTTGGAGTTCGTATTTACAGTAAAAGCGACCAGAGAGAACGTCTCAAAGCAGATAAAAGGGAATGACGCCATCAGAAATGGCGGCGTATCATTCGCCGAAATCGGCGCCCATGGCCCCCGTCACCGCCTCGTCTGCAGCCTCCGAGTCATGCAATTTTTTTTATTCTGCCGAGTTTTTCCTGTTGAGTCGAGAATCGGCCCAGACGTCGAGTGGCACTTTTGGCAGACACTTCGCAAGGTGGGATGAGAATTGAGAAAATGATCCAGTCATAAAATCTGTCCTATCACCATACACGTCCACAGCGGCTGAAGCACGCTTAACATTTGACTCTTATCCCTCACTAGTGTGCAGCTTGCCGACGGGAGTCATCTGCGTTTGCTTATGTCCTCTGTTTTTTCTTCCAGTCTCTCTATACTCTCATTAAAAGCATGTTATACACTGACTCACCAGCCTTTTTCCGAACCACATCATGACCTCTGATTTTATGTCGAATGGTGTAGACTGCCCGACCCCTCTCACATCTGCGACTCCTCTCACAGACAGGACAAATTCACCCAGGACAAGTTCCACCAATGTCCTAAAGTTTGGCGGTCAGTCGCATTCGAAGCTTCATCCACAGCCCAAGGCTAACACTCCTTTAGGGACCAGTGTAGGCAAGTTCCCACTGGATATAGTAAATGTGGTCAAGTCGAGCTCAGTCGACAACGATGTCGCTATTGTTTGCTCAGCGGTATGATTCACACTCAATGGCGCATTCTGGATACTGAACATTTGACCTAGAGATCGAGCAACACCAAAGCTGCGGGTACCACGAACCGTTTACTACGAGCCGCGGCCGAAGCAGAAAACCACAAACAGTTTAAACATTTAATTGAGGAGGTACGGCAAGACCACATTGAGACGGCCGAATTCTACATCAAGTCAGAGCAAATCTGTTCAAGGTTAAAATCGGAGGTCGAAGAAGAATGTTCGTTAGTGGTACGAATACTGGAGGCTGCTCAAACGCTGGGCGAGACCAGCCCCAGATCAAGGGACAAGGTCATGAGTACTGGTGAAAAACTGAGCTGCCGATTCATGACCGCACTATTACAAGACCGAGGCGTGGATGCTGAATATATCGACCTCGCCGACATTATCGACTTCAAAGTGTCACATTCCCTGGATCAGCATTTCTACGACAATGTGGCCAGGAGACTCGGGGAGAAATTGTACAACATGGCCGGCAAAGTCCCCGTCATCACAGGATACTTCGGTTCTATCCCTCGTGGCTTGCTTACGACTGTAGGAAGGGGGTATACCGACCTCTGCGCCGCCCTGGTTGCTGTCGGGATCAAGGCGAAGGAGCTGCAGATATGGAAGGAAGTAGATGGCATTTTCACAGCTGACCCCCGCAAAGTTCCTACGGCCAAGTTGATTCCTCAAATCAGCCCTGCAGAAGCGGCCGAGCTTACCTTTTATGGATCTGAGGTCATCCATCCTTCCACCATGGACCAGGTCATACGCGCCCGAATACCTATACGAATCAAGAATGTCATGAACCCAAGAGGCGGTGGCACGGTCATCTACCCTGATACCCCGACCGAGCTGGATTCGGCTTTGGCGGGTCACGACCCGAAGCTGTTTCGCTCGCGTAGCTCGACCCTTTTGTCGGAGCAAAGGAAGCCAAAGCGCCCGACGGCGGTGACCATGAAGCACAAGATCTTGGTGATGAATATCCATTCCAACAAACGATCGCTCTCGCACGGCTTCTTTGCAGGTATCTTTGCCACCCTGGACAAGTGGCGACTGTCAGTTGATGTGATTTCCACCAGTGAGGTCAACATGTCCATGGCCCTGCACTCGGAAGCACCACTGTACACTGGTGGCGGTGACGACGAGTACCAGATTGTGGACCAAGACCTGCGTGGAGCAATTGAGGAGCTCCAACGCTATGGCACCGTTGACATCATCCCCGAGATGGCCATTGTCAGTCTTGTTGGGAAGCAGATGAAGAACATGGTGGGTATCGCGGGAAGGATGTTCTCGACGCTCGGGGAGAACAATGTGAACATTGAGATGATATCACAAGGTACGTGCGATGAGGTGGCTGAAGATCAACTGGCCGTGCTGACTGAATTGCCCGAGTAGGTGCGAGCGAGATCAACATCTCTTGCGTGATCGAAGAGCGCGATGCGGACCGGGCGTTGAACATCCTGCACACCAATCTCTTCACTTTCTTAGAATCATGAATGACCAGGCGCAACTTTCTGAGCGATTTCAGCGACATAAATAGCATATCGGACATTTGGACATCAGATACAGGATATAAAATGGCGTTTGGTTGACGGACGGTACGCTCCTGGGTCGGACATCTATCAAAACCACATGCGTCAATTACTGTCAAGAAATTTAACGGGGCAAAAAAATATAGTGAAAATGGTTGATTTGAGGTGCTCCACGACAATTGTATGAGATGATGTCGAAGGCTTACGCACTTGGCCTGGTGGAATGATTTGAAGTGCATAGAATTCAATAGGCCTCTGCCGGTGACAGCTGTCATTCGGAAGTTTAGACATTCTATCTTACGTTCACATCAGTCGGACCTGCATGACAAGTTTGTCGTCCGAGACATACGGCTGATCTATGGGGACTGACAGCGGCTGCAATCAGGTGAGAAGACGTTGGCAATTTCTCTCCGTGTCGGGGAAAAAGAGCTTGACGTGATGGCGGACCAGAGAAGACCACTTCAGTAGTAAGCCTCCGAATGGTGGCAGTGCAAAGCACAGGCACATGCAATCAGTACGAGTACAGTACGCAGTCCTCATGCAATGTGCAATGGCGCTGGATGTGACCGTTTCATAAAAGTACGAGTGCCAGTGGGCAAGTCTCATCGAATTGGAAAGTTGGATAGCGGCGGAAGCGAATGAATTGCTGGCAGACTTGTTCCTGAACAATGATGGGGATGCCGGTCCCATTGATGCAAGGAGATGTCCATTCCAAGCCAATCGAGATTCTCGTGCTGCAGAATACTGACACCGGATGCAGGAACAAGGCATTCCTCATCCTGGCATATCTATGGATCGAGATTAGTTTGATTGGATGCTGTGGTAGGGCAGCTGAAGCCGTGATGGAGCGTCCGTAGCGCCTGGAATTCCAGCTTTTCTTTCGCTCGCTTTCCCGTGATCTGGGAACACGACCGCGTCGATGGCCAGTCCCGCTAAACCGTATGAGGAAAGGCCGTGCCACGCCCGCGCGTCACTCGACTGGCCACGGCACGTCGATTCGTTCAACCCTCGCTGACTCTGCTCGACCAGCTTTTTTCCGAGTCCGTTCATGGCCTGTAAAAAAATCACCACTGAGACACCTTGGGAAGCCGGAAGTGCTACGGAGAATTCGTGCAGTAAAAGGTGGAAAACTGCCGTCGAGAGCAAGAGCGAGCCTGCATGTCCCTCTTCTTCGATCTTTTTCTTAGCCGCTGACCACCACCATTCACCACCCATATTCAGCCAAACCTCTCCACGTCCTGTACCACGTCCTCCTCCCACCTTCACTCACACCCATCATACTCGTACCTCTTACCTTGTACATCGATTGTAAACAATAACACCACCTTCTTCCTTGTACAATTCTTCAATTCTTCCGTCGCCATTCCAGCCCTTAGGTGGCCTCGCCATAGTCATCGCCGCCCCAAGGATCGATCTCATTCCAGACCAGCTGACCCCTCGATCCGCCGCAGCCAGGTTCCCATTGCGCTGCTCCATTCTCACGCACAGACACGTCCATTCTCTCTCCTACTTTCGACAACCCGCTCGACTCTGACGTCCATCAAATTTCTCCCTGCCCTGCTCGAGCTCCAGACTGCTCTGGTATTTCGCAAGTCTGGTGCCCCGTGTGTCCCGTCCATTCGGGCTCTGGTGCAAGCCTTAAACTTGAGCCTACGTCCCAGTCGACTTCACCTCCGGTTAATGGGACGTATAACCCTCGTTTGCACGCGACTTCTTCTACCAATTGGCCATTCCTGCTATCTCTGAACACTCTCGCCCGTTGTCGCCATGGCTTCGACGCGTCAACATCCGTATGTTCAGATCTACCAAGATCCTATGCCGCTTCCCTCCAACATGTCACCCACACATAAACCACGACCGCATTTACAGCCTTCAGCAATGCCTCTACAGCCTATGAGGAATCCACCGGTACATCCTGAAGTCATTCTCAACGCCCCAATGGTTTCAAGTCACCAAATATCACCGTTGAAGAGCCATCCCATGTCACCACCCAAGCCGAATTATTCGAATCTCAACTACATCCCCATTCCTCCACCGCCCTCGGCAGCCAACATGTACACCGACTCCCCCGCGAAGAGACATCATATGCCCCCAAATCAACACTTTGCACCAGTGCACATGATGCAGCAGCCGTTGTTCACCACATTCAATAGCAACTTTGAAACGTATGAACAAGAGAACTTCGCGCACCCGCACCCACCCATGCCGGACAATTATGGCGAATTTCCAGACCCGACATATATGCGAAAAATACCCTTGAAGAGATCATACTCTGATGCACAGCTGATCAATGACCGGCCACTCAAGAAGGCAAAGCAAGAGGAGGAGATCATTACACATATTCCTGAACCAGAAGAAATGCCCCCCATTGAGGATGATGGCAATAAGCCTTCTTACAGTTATGCTCAGATGATCGGCATGGCCATCTTGCGGGCGCCAAATCGCCGACTCACTCTCGCGCAGATCTACGAGTGGATCTCTAGCACGTTTGCCTATTATCGCGAAGACACCAAGCAGAGCTGGCACAATAGTATCAGACACAATCTGTCTTTACACAAGGCATTCACAAAGCAAGAAAGACCAAAAGGCGATGCTGGGAAAGGTAGTTACTGGGTCATTGAGCCTGGAATGGAGGGTCAATTCATTAAAGACAAGAACCGGCGGGGCAATAACATGGCACACCTCAGCATACAGTCCAATACCATGCGCTCGGATCCTTCGAAGATTGCTCAGTCACTGTCAGAGGCTTTGATGCCTAGTCCCTTCATAGTTCAGTCGAGTGAACAACCTCCATCTCGACCTCAGACGGCCCCAGCCTTGCCGGAGTTGTCTTCGGATGCAACTCTCCCAGCTTCGGACCCAGCTTTGGACGACCAAGACGCTGCAGAAGCTGAAGAACATGTGCTTCCTGCTGCTCCAAAGTCTTCACCTCCCGACGCCATCAACTCATCTCCTCCAGTGCGTGCATCAAACCACCATCGCAACATATCCTCGCCCACTGCGCGCATGCAGCGGCCAGCCTCGGTCCACCGACAGAAGCGGTCTTTGTCCAAGATGGACGATAGTGGCTACTTCTCGTCCATAGAGTCGTCGGTGCTCCGCCCGAACAAGAATGCTGTCGTACTTACTTCTGAGCTTGATATCGAGCCAATGAGGAAGAAGACTGGCAGAGCTGAAGAGGAGATTGCTCGAATTCGAAGCTCTTCTCATGATGTGACTCCAAGTCACGCACGCTTCCGCAATGCTACCGTGGACATTGCACGCTCATCGTCTCCTGTCCGAGTTAGCCCGGGCGCCAGACGGAACCCCGTAACTCCCTCGGTGGTCTTCAAGAAGCCGCTTCGGCCGCCGCCCTCGGTTTCCCCCAACACACAGTTACACCTTCATCGCAAGGCCATGCGAGATTTTGCCAATTCTCCCCTCAAGAATTTTGGACAGTTCGAATTGGACACTTATAGTCCACTCAAATGGTCAACTTTGACGGCCTACAGTGGAGCCGATGATTCGTTCGAGATCTTCACGGACCCAGCGATTGGCATGACTCCTGCCACACCGGGTTTCACCTCATCCCCGTTGAAAGCATCTGTTTCTCGACCCGCCTTGGGACGAGCATCGACGACTGGCAACGTGCTTACTGAAATGGTTGGCAGCGCTTATCGACTCAATGCAAAGACACCAACCCGTGGCAGCCTTCTTAAACCCGGAGTTCGCGCTACATTCAATGGATCCCCTCTCAAAGGGACGACGGAGAACATACCCGTCCTTGACGACCATGACCTCTTTGATTTCAATTCTTTCGAGAATGAAGCCTCTGATAATGAGGATGGTGTTGACATCTTGAAAGGATTCGAAAAGATCGGTGGGCCCTCAGTGCAGGTTTCAACTGATCACATCCGACGACCTTCGCTCGGAGGTCGCAGCTTTACTTCACGATTCTAATGTGTCGATGATTGACCTGATACATAATATTCTCTTCGGATTCAAGGGTGGAGAATTGGTTTCCTTTCTTCTTTGTTTAGCGACCTGTTGGATTTTCTTCTTTAGCGCTTTTGACGTGGATGGAATAGTGGAAAGGTCTGCTTCGGCCTTTTCCTGCAGCTGTGACATGGTGGGCAGAAGGGGCACTACGATGTCAAGAGCTAATGAAATTTCATTCGAGGCTTTTTAGAGCCCTCTTCTTTCTGATGACGATATGGGCTGTGATGACTGTTAATATTGGGAAGAAAGACACCATTACCATGAGAAGCATACCCCAGAGAATGTATGTCTCATGCAGATAGGTTAGAGTAGTTGAGCAGCAATGCAATCAAGTGCTCCGTTTCATGCAATGTGCTTTTTTATTATTCTTTTTCTTTTTGAATAAGTATTCAGGCCAAACTTGGGCGGAGGAGGTAGCAGTATTTGTCCTTCTATCAAAGACCGCATCACGTGATCATCTTTGGTATGGTAAAGTTTCTCGGCTATTTTGCGGATTGAATTTGACCATTGCTTTACGAAATTCAGACCACTCTTTCAACAGCACCAATCTAACTCGTGTCGAACGTTGGGCGTTGAGGACTCGTCCAGGGGGTTTGCGAACAGGTGTGCTGCTCGGCTGTCTGGCCACGTCTACCAAGAATGTCGACGCCGCGTTTCCTGAGGACGGCAATTGAAGCATGTCGACCTCATAAGGTATGGCATTCTCTGCGCAATTGTTTGCAACTCCTGCAAATCCATCCCTCCACTCTTTTGTCTGAGAATCAAAAATTTTTGGATTTCAGCCTTCGAGAACTCTAGCTAACCCTCGGTCATTCAGTCTCTTGCTATTCGCAGTCACCCTCAAATCCTTTCTTCGACGAGACGTGATTTCTCCTCCAACCTCCCACGATGCCTTCCCGAAGATATAACAGCAGGCTTCCCTATGCCGAAGATTGGCGTTCACAAGCTTGACGTCGATGAAGCACCAGAGACCACAGAGACCAAGCCGAAGCGACGGCAAGAAGCTAAAACTAAGATTCCAAATGCCACAAAGCCTGCCCGAGCAACGGCTCCGTCTCAAGAGCCAGCCGCTCCCTCCACCAGCTCGTCGTCGTCACCTCCTCCACCTCCGCAAGATACCGAAGTAAAGAGTGCCCCTACGTCCGAAGGAGCTCCTTCGACGACTACGCAACCTCCCGTCCCTCCAAACGTCCTTGCCGCTTATCGCACACCTCTGCGCCATAAGCCAAAATACGGTATTCCTGTCGCGCAGCTCCAGCTGCATTCGTTCTCCGTGCGTAATTTGCAATTCTACTCCGACTTCTGCGTCCGAGCAGCGTACTACCTGGGACTTCCATGCTCGGGTCCAGCTCCGCTCCCGCGAAAGAGAGAGCGCTGGACCGTCCTGAGGAGCAATTTCGTCCACAAGAAATCTCAGGAAAATTTTGAGAGGATTACAATGAAGCGACTGATAACAATCTACGACGGCGAGTCTAGTGTTGTGGAGACATGGCTCGCCTTTATAAGAAAGTGGCAGTTTTATGGTGTGGGTTTGAAGGCGAATGTGTGGCAGTGGGAGGAGCTGGGTATGTTCCTGCGGGTGATTCCCTTTTGTTGAAACAACCACTGACAAGATGATGTAGATGTTGCCGGCAAAATGGACAAGGAATTCAAGTCCCTTGAAAAGGATCTCGACGACAAATTGCGCCTATTTGGTTTCAACAAGTCTGCAGCTCACAAGACCGATCTACTCAACCTAATGGAGAGACAAAAGCACAGACAAGTCGGTGTGCCAATGAGTGAGATTCGGGAACAATCTAGAACGACACAGGATCCATTCTAGAAGCAGCAGCAACTCACGAAAAGTTGAGTTGAAGGGCAAGATGTGGATATGTATGATGTACAAACAAGAGCGAAGGTCATTCTATGGGATCAGATATTCGTCGCGAACACGATGTCTTGTGAAGTACCTGGAAGCGAATTTACTGAGCAAATCCCTACGATGCAATACTCGCTCCATTACCCTCTTTTGGAGGGTTAGCTAGCTAGGCACGGTACTGTAGCAATATTGTACGACTACTTTATATGTTCGGCAGTTGGCCTGTGCTTGAGTTGCTTCTGAATGTCCGCTTTTTGGTTGTATCAGTGGTATATACTACTTGGAAACAGCTACAGAATCACGTCTCGATAGAAGTGAGTGGAAGAAAAGATGTGTTCAGCTGGAAACGCTCTCATTGGGAAACTCCTCTTGGCAAGGCAAACCCATTTCTACTGTATATTCTGATCATCCCTAAATTTCTCCTGCTCATTCAAATACCTTTTTCACGCCTTCATGCTTTGGACCAGTTCTCCTTGACCAAGTCGGCGGCTTTTTCCCCGATACCGTACGCCGGCATCTGCGTATGACCTCCATTCAGCGATGGCATGATGCTGCAGTCGGCGACCCTCAAACCTTTGACGCCACGAACCTTGAGCTTCTCGTCGAGGACGGCCATCTTGTCGTTCGTCGGCCCCATCTTGCACGTCCCGGCGGCGTGATAGCAAGTGGTTCCTTGTTCCTTCACATAGGGAACCCACTGTTCTCGTGTGGTGTAGGCGTGATGTGTCAAGTCTGATAAAGTTTGGCTGGTTAGCTTCTCGACCCCCGGGCTAGGTTAAGACTGTGACTGAGGACCCAAGGACTCACTCGATGGCCAAGATCCCTTGACGATGTCTTTTGTTCCAGCACCGTTCATTACAATCTCGTTCCCCAGTCGGCAACCCTCGGAGATGACCAACACATCAAGAGGATCAGACAGGTAGTTACAATCGACTATGGGATTTTCCAATGGGTCGGTGGATTTCAAAGTGACGGTCCCTTTTGAACGAGGTGAGAAAAGCTCGGTGATCATTGCAAAGGCATGTTTCTTGTCTAGTAGAAATCCAAGAGTGGTCAGCGATGCCCGGGCCGGCAAGGTTCTGTTCGTATCGTCGTCGAACGAGACACACAATACTCACCGATTGGATATTGATCATAATGCTTTGGACCACCATACAGCTGTTACAGTGTTAGCAAAACACCTCACTTGCTTAAACACGGGTTGAAAAAAAGGTACCTCTGTGGTGAAGAATTCGACATTGGGTTGTTTGGAAGTCAAACCCATCGGATCACGGCCGGCTTCTCTCTTTGCTTCCTTCCACAATGGTTCATCCTTCAATCGATCGTCGAGCCTCGCATAGCCGAAGGCACCAAAGGGAAAGGTGGAGAGGACGCCTTCTTTCTTCTCCTTGTACAACATGTACGATGCCATTGCTGCATCTCCGTGGTATCTGTGGTTGATACGTCAGCATTTCTCGGATAACAACAGACTTCTTTTCTTACACTAGGTGGTCGTTGGTCAACCCTTCCTTTTCCGTCTCATAAAATGCAAAAACGATCTGGGACGAGAAGATGAATCAGCATTGCGGACCAAGTTCACGAATCTCACTTTCTTCCTCTTTCCCTGGGATTAACTGACCAGATGATCAAGTAGATTCTTGCCTACGCCAGGAGAATCAACCAGACACTTTATGCCCAGTTGTTCCAGTTCTGCTTTTGGTCCGATTCCTGATCGAAGAAGGATCGCCGGCGAGCAATATGCACCTTTTGGAGAACGTCATTAGCAGATCCAGATGGTCGGTCACGAATTCTCGGCTCCTGCCTTACCTCCAGACACGATGATCTCCTTCCTGGCCTTCACCTCTCTCTTTGTCCCGGCCTTGTCCACAAGAACGACGCTCGAAGCTTGTAATTGGCCATCCTTTTCTTGGAAATTGATCTTCTCAACCAGAGTTTCCACTACAATGTCAATGTTGTTTTTGTGTTGGTCGTTGGTGACAAAGTCGGCACCGGTCGTCCTGATGCCCCGATGAACTATATGTCGAGGTTCGCAATCTCAGTGTCTTTCTTTTGTTTAGGGCCTACGCCGGGGGAGGAGAAAAAGGTGGCATCATACCTGTTCGAGGTGCGTGACCACAACCGTGAGGAGTCTCGCCGGTGCTGAACATATCAGGCACAAGAGGTAGCCCCATGGATTCCATGGACTTCAGCAACAACTGTGAGATTGGTGCTAGGTCATGCGGTTCCGTGTGCAATGGACCGTTGTATCCGTGTGCATCCTCTTCTGCCTTGAACCATGGTTTGTTATGAAAGGTCTCGGCCTGGTCGTTGACATTTCTTGTTAGTGTGCTCGTCTGCATCCCATTTTGTTGTTTTTGTATGGCACGGTGAGAGACTCACCTTCTTCATATATTCAAACATTTCTTCTCCAGACCATCCTGGAAGACTGGGAAAAAAAAGAAAATTCAGCAAATGTCCCCGGCCTACCAACCCCCAAGCAAGGCATATGCTCTCATACAACACTTACTTCCAGTCGTCATAGTCTTGCTTGCATCCGCGAATGCACAAGGTACCATTGACACCCGACGAGCCACCGAGGAATTTCCCACGGCTCAACTTGACCTGCCTCCCGTCGACGCCGGGCATGGCTGGAGTGATCAGATTCCAATCCGTCTCACTGTCGAAATTCTTGGACCATCCTCCAGTCATGTGGACATTTTCGAGATCCTTGTTGTGAGGGCCGGCCTCCACCAAAAGGACACTGGCATTGGTTTCTTCTGCGAGACGACCTGCAACAACACAGCCTGATGTACCTGCCCCGCTGAATGGAAATTGTCAGGGTACAAAGGTTTTCAGACAGATGTTGTCCAAAAGTGGGCTTACCATATGATGAAATCATATTCATCTTTCTCTGTCAAGCGTCCTGGAGACATGCTTTCTTGTTGGCTTTGCCTTTTGAGATTCTTTCTACTGGGACCAAAAAAAGAAGAATGAAGTAAAGTTTTGGGTATAATTTATTTCATTTTTGATTTCAGAATTACTCTACAGTGGCTATCCTCGGAAATAGTCTCGATCCCATGACAAGGAGGAATTATTCCACGCGTTGCTGAGTCGGAGTCAAAATACGACCCGAAAGGCCCTGCGGAGCTACTCACTGTACGGAGCCAGTGCCTGGAATCAGCAGGGGGCGGGCATTTGAGAAAGGATCTCATGTGGGGGAGTGGTGAGTGAGATGATGGCATCTGTGTCGAGTCGAGTAAGGGCAAGTCCAAAGAAACCCCGGATTGGATCAGCGCCCCCTTGAACGCCCAAGAAAGCTGGGGTTGCCGCCAGCCTCAGCTAATCGAAGGCAATCTTATTGGTCGCACTTTGGTGAAAGGAGCTGGGTGTTCGATGAACCGCGGAATTATTCCCTTCGTCCTCAGAGGGGGGAGGGGGAAGAAAAGAGAACAACAACCCTGGACTCCACTGCCTACGGACATACATTTCTGTACAGTATATACGTGAGTACTACCTTGGAACTTATGTCTCCTATGAAAGGAGTAGGACCTCCCCGTGAAGGAAGTAGGTGTTGACTACTTTGTTACCGGGTCAGATTGATGACTAACCATGCATGCATGAATCGGTGCTCCCCCTGTCTGTCAGCGTCCCAGCTTATGGTCACAGCACAGCAAATGGAGTAAACTACTCTATACGTCTGCAGCCTTACTCATACCCGCTACTTGACCCCTTGTCAAGTTGTTTCGACCTAGAATCCAGAGTGCCTCTCTCGCTCGGGCTTTTTGCATACCTGAACATGAACCGGCGGCCGAAACATCGTCACCATATATCAGCCTTCTTCAGTCGGTATATGGCCGGCTTGAACGAGTAGAACGAGATATGGAGTACCTGAAGGGATCCTCACTGATGGCCGCCTTTTGATTTCCCTTGTTGCGGCCGTTGCCATCGCTATTGCCACACTACCAAAGACCCAATTCTTCACGGCCAAACTCCTACCTACCTTGCCTAGTTCGTTGCAACGGTATCGATTTTGGCGGAGTGGTTATCCTCGGTCAAACACAGACAACTCGCCACGGACTCTTATGAACGGTTCAGACACTACTGGCTCGGGTAAATGTAAAAGGAAGAACTGACCAACCTGACCGTATCTGTAAGGATCAAGGAAGACGTGAAAGGCCGCAATGGCCGGAAATGAATCACAATGACTCGATTGATGCCGCAATGGCGTTATTGTTGGTGTGGGCTATCTCTGTCCAAACTAAAAGAGTGGTGGAGGACCTAGCTGAGAAGACTCAGCCAAACATGCCGTTCCCGAAAGGGAAGGTATGCCTGCCAGTCAGGTGACTCCTGACAGTATCCTTGCTGACCTAACCCACAACTAGGCTATCACGACACATCGGTACGGACTGACTCAGTCATGAAAACGAATAAAATTGTTTCTCTCAAATCAGAGGTAAAGACAGACCGCTGGAGCGCCACAAATCATTGGACAATAAAGAATGGGCAGGTTCAATCTGATCCAACTGGCAACACCCTTTCTCTTCGTTCCACACACTCTCTTCCACCCCCTATGTCCTAACGGGCGTAACAGCATTTACGGCGTCTTCAATCAATGCAGTCCGAGAGGTCGACGGTCGAAGGAGGCCTCAGGCAATGACAAAATTCTTACCTAGATACTCTCAATGACGATCCATTTCAGTTTAGCAACTTGTTTGGCATCCTTGCCCCCTCTCCTGGCCATCTTCTTCGCATCCTTTTTCTCCTTTCTCGCCAACTTTCTCGCTCGCTTTTCCTCCTTTTTGGCGGCCTTTCGGGCCTTCGTGTTTGACTGGTCCGAGTCCGATGATGAATCATCTGAACTGGACGCGTCCGACCCCAGCAAAGCGAGATCCGCCTGACTCAATCGCACCCCCTGCTTTTGAGCTTGCTTGAGTCCCTTTTTTCTCGACTTGAGGATCTTCCTGTCAACGCCCTTGGCCGCCAGCTTGTCCATGACGTTTTGTTGTTGAGCGCGGGGAGGCACCTCGAACGACAAGGGGGCGATTTGACCCTGCAACGCGAGCAGTCTACGTTCCGACAGTGTGACGGCCTCGGCGGTCATGGACGGTACCACCGTGGCGCCGGCGGTGGTGCCCATCGTCGCGTCGTCCGGGTTCCTGCCGAGCGTGACGTTCAAATCTCGATCCTTTTTGATCGAGGCCTTCAGTCCTCTCGGTTCAAAGTACGCGGCGTTGACCTTCTTCATGAAGGCCGCCGACCTCCCCGCGCTCACGGCCGCGCTGCCTATCCCCGCCACCAACCCGACGGCGGCACTGGTGGCCTGGGCCCAGTGGTGAGGCACGAACCCGATGCCGTTGCTGACGAGCTGGGCGGCCTGGAAGGGGGGCGCGGGGGCCAGGGCTATGGTGACGCTGTCCAGGAAGTGCATAAAGTCTTGGACCTCCACCGAGTGTGGTCGGAGCGAAGGGGGGTAGGCTCGGAAGAACGGCATCGGCCCACTGATGAGGTTGTCCGGTTGGATCTGGGGGATACAGACCGGCAGTGACAGCCGCGGGTACGCGCCGTATCGCTGTGTCAGTGAAGAAGAAGGAGGAGGAGGTACCCAGGCCAGGGCTTTCGAGATGGCTTCGGAGTCTTCCTTCGTCTCGGTGTACGCTGGAGGTGGGTCATTATCATCATATCGTTGACGAGGTTGATGATATTCTTGAGGCTGTTCTGGTTGTTGTCGATATGACTGTGGACGTGAATGATATCCTTGAGGCTGTTCTGCTCGATATGACTGTGGAGGTACATGATATTCTCGATATTCTTGTCGGTATTCTTGAGGCGATTGTCGGTCGTAACCTCGATATCCAGAGAGGTTCATGTCTGATTTTTCCATTTTTGAGGTTTCTAATATTCTCCGGCGACGTGGGCGGGATTGAGTATGATAGTGATATGACAATGATGGTAAGAATCCAGGGTTACTGTATAACTTTCACAAAGACGTGATCAGCCTTGACAGGGTGATGTAGGAGAGTAGTAGGTGGTGTTGATGTACGTCCGTGTCATTTCTGATGTCGCGGAGGTGAGTACGGACAAGGTATTTATTCATTTTGTTCATATTACCTCCTGCCTCACTCAACGTCATTCTTTTTGTTGGGTTTTCATTTTCTCCTTCTTTCCCGTTATCAGTTTCAAGGGAGTCAAAGCGCTGAGCCCCCCTCGTCGGAGGGCCAGCCCACGGAACTAGTGTGAGAAATGAGATGGTCGTATCAACGTATTGTACTGTATTGTAATTTTTTTTAGGATTCAGGTACAGGCAAGGCTCACTGGGCTAAACCGAAAAGGGAATTAATTCTCCGGAACCGTTTTTTAATGTGCTGTATGTCCGGAGTACTGTACTCCGTACTCCATACTGTAGTTGTTTTTTATATTCTTCCATCGTACTCCGTACCTTGTAAGCAGTATGCTTCAGCCACACTTGCGGAGTACCTGGTGATTGATAAGGAAACCCTCGTACGGAAGTGATACGGAATTTACTCTTTACAGTTCTTCCGTAAAGTTTGTTCGTGGGTGACCTGATAAAGCACTGTGACTATATGTATTACATGAACGAAAACGAAAACAAAAAACAACAAAAAAAGTGGCATTCTCTCCCCTTTCTTTCTCCCCCATTTTCGGTACTCCGTAGACGACTTGAGACTTGAAACTTTCGACCGAGGGTTCAAAGATCTACACTTTGAGACTTGATCACAAAAACGGAACGAAGGTCGCCCACAAGTGTGTCTCTTTTGTTTTTTTCGGGTTCGAAACCTTTTTTGTTAGAAAATCAAAAAAAAACAGAGTTTCAAAATTACCCTTGCATAGCCTTACGATAAACAACGACAAACGTTGACCGACGGACAAAACCCAAACCAAAACCCAAACCAATCCATTCCTTGTTGGACACGGGAAGACCCCTTTGGGGAGGGGGATCCTGATCGAACCTCATACGTGGAGCACGTTGAAAAGAACTCTTACAATATCCCTAGGGAGTTGGTAAAATATGTACTGTAGGGCAAGGTGGAGAGTTGCGGGAACAAAAAAAAAGGCCCTTTCTCGATTCGGTCCATTCTGCGATTCGTCCACCGTTGCTGATGAGTAGTCCGGCCCATCCTTCGCAGATGAAAAACAACGACAACTCTACAGAAGGTATGTCCAATCGAACAAAAGAAGTTTACCTTTTTTTTGGTTTTAAGAAAAGAAAAAAAAGATAAAAAAAAAGACTCGTTTCGTATTAACGGAAAAACGGCGGTGACCACTACGAAAGAAAAAGAGAGTATCTTAGCTCTTTTGGAGACAACACAAACGCTGACACGATAATAAGCAGGAATACTTGTACGAGTGTACAGCCACCCACGCGTGTGTATGATTACAATAAATGGACCTATGACATTTCAACGGTGACATTCCAACATCTACCCCGTACATACAAATACAGATATTTGATCGAGTCTGATTCGGTCCATGTCTTTATGATGACACATGCATGAAGTAGAATTGTCTGTGTGTGTACTCCGTATGTGTTTGTAATCTGCGTAGATATGTCACCGGCCAATACTAGTTGGTATTGCACTCCGGGTGCGCCTCAACTTCGGGGGAGCCGTGCCCAAGCGGTAATCACCGGTCGACGGGTCTTGATCGAGTGCAAACCGCGAGGGCGGTGCATGATGATGATGATGATGATGATGATGATGATGATGATGATGATGGCTTGGTGCATGGTGCATTGACGGTACACGTTTCCATACACAAAAAGAACCTCGCGTAAAGTGTGAAGAGTGAAGCAATGCCCACACGGTACACCCCGCCACCATTCTTGTCCAACCGAATTGAATCTTGGTTGTATGCTTGCACACCAATCGACACGGCAGTGAGCCATGATTCGTATCGGTAGCCGGTGGTCGTTGGCTGGTAACCAAACCCAAGTCACGGTGACTCGTCGTCCGCTTCTGCAATACCGTAACGGCCATGTTCCTCTTCTCCGAGATCAGTCGTGATGCGACAAGAGTCCCGTTGGGAATATCCCCATTCGCCTGGAGGCTCTTGTGTTCCAGTGCTCGTAGTCAATCAGGGCCGGAGCGCTGTCCCGCAAGCGTCGGTCAAGCCAGGCCAGGCGGAAAATTGCATAGATCGCCCTTCTCCTTTGGGATTGACGACCCGAGCTCAGTCATGGTGTACACCTGTTGCAGTATAATCAACGTCTCAAGAGAGGCCTTCCCACAGCCGAGAGCACACTGGTGACTTTCTTCAGCCACAGATCATCAACACCATCATCCGTTTCTGCTGAGTCGAGCAACCCTCTCAAACACATCTTTCAAAGCACCCTTTTTATAGTCAACGAGCAAAGAGTCATGATTCGCCTCGGGATACGTCGACGTGACAAAGTCAACCTTCCCACTGACCTCATCACCCTGCCAGCATTGCTCAAAGTACGCCTGACCACGTTTGGCGATCATCATATCCGACCCTGCAAAGAATGAATCGATCTTCAACTTGGCCACTCCGGGTGCATTTTTACTCCCACTGAGGGCTCCCTCATTGTCGGCTATCTTCCGAATGCAGCCCGAGTAATCCGCCGCCTCAACCCACGCAGCGTCGTCGCATTTCTGGAGACACAGCTTGGCCTCTTCGTTGCCGCCCTCGTTGGGCTCTGCGAATTGCCACTTTGTCGCAAACTTCTGGATGACCTTGGCGGTATCCTTGTCGAAGCCGTATTGTTCGACGAGCGTCGTAGAATTCGACGCCTCCGCACCGGGAACTTCGGTACCGGCAGAGGATGAGAAAACGTTGGACAACGGCGAGATGAGACCTCCGGACCAAGATACACTGGGCATGATCTTGTTGTTGACGAATGAGTTGATGCCGGCCCAGGTGTCAAGAGCATTGGTCGGAAGTTTGGACGCGAGCGAAGGAACAGTCGCCCCCGAGTAAGCCTTGGGTACGAAAGGGGCTATAAAGTGCCCAAACGAGGTCAGTTTTGTTCCATTCTGTGGGATGAGCTCGGGAAAAAACCATACCCATGAACGCTACATACGGCATCTTTGGATCGAGGATGTCCCGGTACCGAATTAACGTGTTGAGTGTGTAAATCGTTCCAGCTGAATGGGTCACGATCGAGACGTGTTCGACGCCGAGTTGGTGCAGTAGAACTGGCACCGTCTCTAGCCAGACAGCCACACGAATGTCGAGTGTCACAGGTGTCGAGCCCCCAAAGCCTGGTCTGCTCTATGCTTAGCTGAAGTCACCATCCCTTTCTTATGGAATCACACACCTATCGACGAATATAACCCTGACGCCGCAGTCATTCGCCAGCTTGTTAAAGTGCAAGGCATTCCACCGGCAGCCAAACATTGGCGGAATGAAAAATATCACAGGTAGACTGACATTGTCAAAGTTCGTGGTGGTAGAGTACGTGACTCTAAGTCTGGGATGGTTGGCAGTCTGCGGAAGCCACAGTGCTCGGTGGAAGCACTTCTTGCAAATCAAGCCAATTGCTTGGTCTTCTGAAGACGTCATGGTTAAACGAATAGAATGCTATCAAAAGAATTCGAGCTCAGTCGATCTCGACGAAGAGAGGACGCTGTTATATGTTGAAAGGAAACAAGATCAGGCCACAGAGGGACATGATGTGAAGGGGGAAATATATGGAGCAACACGTGATTGGTGCAATTTGCCTGGTGCCTTGTGCATACCACAGTCGAGAAAACAAAGCACACACTTAAGACAAAATCAGGAGAACTTGATCAATTTCTCTCCAAGATTAATTAGTCTATTGAAAGGTCTTCGTACAAGTAGGGTACTGTTCTTCCCCATGGGGTATCTCGATGAAGCATCTCGCTCCTAGTACTGGTCGGTGCCATGCCGGCACTCAATGCTTTTGGTAGCCAAAAATCAACCAGTAGTACTCGTAACATCATCAGTTCGTCATAATAGTACACTTCATTCGCTGCTCTTCAAGAGCGCTCCATTCATAAGTTCAGCCACAATCCGTCGTCTTTGAAGCTGAATCTGGTCGGCATTGTACGACATGGGTGTTAATCCAAGCATGATTTGCCTGGCGCTGGTGATGGTGAAAACACCACAATCGTCCATGTTGGTTTGATGTGGTGTTTCTCCAGAATAATCAAATATCCATTCCTCTTCATTGTATGCACTGCCCAATTCCTCCTTGACCCACTTCTTAATCGTTTCGACATATGTACGCCCGTTGCCTCCCAAGCTGTTGTAGTGGGTAATGGTCTTGTTCTTTCCTGACACAACACACAAAGTCCAATGCATTCCGCGATTGATGGGAATGAACACTTGTTCTGTCTCGAGGAGTCGCTTGCCTCCAATCTTGGCTCGGTTCGCCCAGCGCTTGACACTATCATAGCCCTTTTCGGCGAGGTTATTGAAGAAAAAGGAGACAAATGCATGGTGTGTTGGTACCTGTGTCGGTCGATCGTTCTTCTTGCCATGTTCAACAATGATTTTGAGATAGCCATTAATGACTTCATCGTTGAGCCAGCTATCTGTTCCACGACCATGCAAGAGTGGTACAACACGAATGAGATCGGTAGGCTTATATTCGCCGTGTCCGCTTCGGAGGGCTTGTTGGATTTTCTTCTCCCATTCCTCGGTGAGAGCTACAATCTCATATTGACGATGTTCTTGCAACGATGCTAGCCTCTTTGCCTCAGCTCTAGTGACTCTTTGTGTCCTCTCTGCGGAATGTGGTGATGCTTTTGGAGTCGGAACGTCAGGAGTAAAAGGATCCTGGATGGTAAGTTGAGCAAAGTTCTTAACAGGGTTCTGCTCAGGCGTAGAAGGCACAGTTTGTGGTCGAGTTTCGCTAGTCGCGTGCTCAGCCTTTACTTCGGGAGGGCGCTGTGTGGGGGTTGTGGGTGCTGCAAAGGAGCCTGCATGGGGTCCATCTATTTGTGTTGTTGGTGCATCGTCATCTTCAATCTCTATCGGTAAATTGCGGTCCTGCTTCTGTTCTTTTACAGTTTCAGATTGTTGTGGTGGTATTGTCTCTCCGTTCGTTTCACTCTCAGCCTTTGGAGTAGTGGTGTCTTCTGGAGTAGTGTCGATGATGGTGGATCTTGGTGCCGCGTCGCTCGTGGTCGGCTCTGATGGTTCGTTTGTGACGACTTTCTGATTCTCTAGTATTGCCGGGTCGCTCGTAACCGGCGCTGATTGTTCATTTGTGGCGACTTTCTTATCCTCCAATATTGCCGGGTCGCTCTTAACCGGTCGATTTTCTTGGGCTTTTTCATTTGTGGCGACTTTGTTTTCTACTGGAGTGGGTGATCTCCCACCTGCAGCCATGATCATTTTGAAGAGTTTCTCGTCCGCTTCGAGATCTGGTGGCGAACCAATAAACATTGAGGAGATATCACTCTCTTGGGGTGATGTTGCTTGTGGGCGTGGAGTCGGATCGCCTAGCGAGCAATCGGCTGCTGAGGAGCTATCGTTCTTGATGGGTGTGGTGAATTTCGTTGGCTGTGGAGTTTGATTTCCTGGAGAACATTCGCAGGTCGACGATATTTCTGAACCTGGACTTTCTTCTTTGAATAAGAATTTGTTTTGTTTCGGTGTGCTCACACGTCGGTATCTGACACGTGGTGGTGATAGCAAGTCTTCGTCAACGGGGACTGGGGATTGTGTGATGACAGTACCCGTCTCTTGGACAACGATGGCCGGGGTCGGTGTTGTAGGTGCTTTAGACACGCGTAAGCTCGGACCAGGAGTGTCAATGCGCTCGATCGCCGCATCTTTCTTGGTGTCTGAATGCTTGATGGCTCTATTCTTTCGAATGCGCAGCTTCTTTGGTCGCAGTTGGTAGGATCGTAGAGAGGTGTCTGATTCATCACCCTTGTCTAATTCTGGAGGAATTTCCACCATCAAAGTTCCCGTCTCTTCCTCTTCGTCATATGTCTCGGGCGATGGCGGTCGATTCGTAGAGGTCAAGGCTTTTAATTGAGGAGTATTGGACAACTTGCGATGGTCAACTGGGAAGATGCGTTCAATCTTGTGGGGGATAGGATGATCAGGAAGTTCGGGAACAGGTGCCGGAAAATGAGGCATATCTGCGAAGATCGAGGGAGCTGAGGTAGTCTTTTCTTCCGCGATTGCGGCAGTGACCACGCGACTCTTGCGGCTGTATCTGGTCGTGCCATTAGGCAGGAAGTTTGGGATGTGATAGACTCTGTCTTTTGGAGGGGGACGAGGTTGCAGCTGCGGTTGTTTTGGTGATGGTGTGGGGGTCTTTCTGCGACGCTCGTCGTCGTCGAAAGTATCGGGAGGTGGCCGTACTCGTCGCCGAGCTTCTTCGAGTGTGACAGCGCGGTTCCATGGCGAGTCTGAAAGTGTGAATTGAGGAGGAGGGTAGGCTTGTCGAGGCGGAGTCGCGGTGCGCACTTCTCTTTGAGGTTGCGGTCGTGGTTGTCTTCTCTGGCGTTCTCGAACCCGGCGCACGATGGCGTAGGTTGGTTCTTGGACGACAAGGTGAAAGCCGCCGGTGATGACAGCGCCCAGTCCTCGACAGACTCGCTTCGCCGTCTGTACAAAGCCGGATGGTGGTGGCCGACGTGCGAATACGCCGGTGGTGGGAGGAGGAACTTGAGGACCGGGTTCTGGCCATCCGCCAGGAACATAGTTCTCGGGATACGGATTGAAGCGAGGTTCAGGAGTCGCAGGACTCCAGTCCATGAAAGAAGAGCTGTCAGCCATGGCTGACTGGGATGTTTGGAATCGATCAAGGCATGAGAAGAGGGAGTTGTTGTTTGTTTTCGAAAATGTGAATTGGTGAATTCGAATACAGATGCGAACGCGACTGAAGATCCAAATGCGTCACTTGCGCCAAGACTTGCCAGATGCCGAAGATCAGCCGGGTATATATACAGTACGGACACGAGTACGAGTACGAGGACCCCCAATGAGCGTGGATGAGGCTTACAGACGAGGAGAAATTCTTAGCATTGATTGCATCTTGTATTCAGCGTCTTTCATAACCACAGTGCCCATAACAATGGAAGGTCGAAATTCGACTCTGTGAAGTCCATTGAAAGTCGTCGTTTCCTACTCTGTGTTCAGATCTCGTCGCTCGTCAATATCAATCGGCTCTAGCCACTTGATTGCATATCAGAAGAATCTCAACTGTTAGATGTAGGAGGCACATCAATGGGTACTGAGGCTTCTCCTATACCCACATAGCGTTAATTATGATGGCATTCACCGGCCTAGATGGTACATGAAGAATAGGCCCCTTTTTTGAGCCCGGGAAGTACATCAATGTAACACGAGATGGGACATAGTCTGCACCTGTAGCTTCCATGTTCTTTAAGTGCATGGTGTACGTAGAAGAGAGGCAGGATGGTGGAGTGGACAATAGGGATTCGTAGCCATAAATCAGCGACGGTTCGGGGGATCATACAATAGTAGGCAATTGTGTTTATATATTATGTGAGACTTTTTCGGAATCTGACGCCAAACCATATTCGGTCTTCTCCTCCCTTATCGAGCTTATCATGCCTGGCCATTGTAGCTCGGAGTCTCCTGCCTTTGTAACGCTTCCAAGTCAACAAAAGTCAAAAGTCTATCGCAAAGTTGTTGGCTATAAGGCGAAAGCGATCGCTGATGCGGGATGGCTCACTCTTACCATGTCAAGACTGTGTTGTCCCTGACTCTGAGGGATATTTTCACCTTAGACACCGACTTTACCTAGATGACTTCCTTCCAGCCTGTTTGGGGTCACGGCTTAGAGCTCAGCTCTGGCCAGAGAGAGCCCATATATGAACTGTTGACGCCATTCCAGGATCTACCTCGCGAAATAACTGGCCGCACTGTGTGGAAAAAAGAAGAGCTTCAGAAGAATCCAGACCGATGGATCAGACACTTTTCAAGTAACGAAGTGAAGCAAATCGAACAAGCTATCCAAGGAGTCGAAGAGGGAAAATTACTCCTTGCAGAGGTCAATCGCTCAACCTTCAAGCTACCCTCCAACTTGCAAGCCATATTAGCTCAAGTCCGAGATGAGCTTATCAATGGCATAGGTTTTATTGTCTTGCGTGGCCTCCCCGTGGCGTCATGGACTACTCGTCAGGCTTCGATCGCTTATCTTGGAATTGGCTCTTATATCGGACGTCGGGTGAGCCAGAACCGCCTGGGTCATATGCTTGGCCATGTCAAAGATCTAGCAGAAGGAAAAGAAATCAATGGCGAAGGACGTATATATCGCACACACAAAGCCCAAACGTACCACACGGATGAGAGTGATATCGTTGGACTGCTCTGTCTACATCAAGCCATGTCGGGTGGCGAATCTCAAGTGGTCTCGACTCACCAGATATACAATGTTCTACGCAAGGAACAACCCGACGTTCTTGAACAATTATGCATACCGCATTGGTTTTATGACCGCAAGGGCGAAACTAGCGAAGGAGAAAACGAGTGGATGAGGACTCCTGGTTACTACTATTATCATGGCAAATTGAGCATGAAGTGGGATTCGTACTATGTTGGAGCCCTGCAACGTTTCTGGGAAGCTGGTTCATTGCCCGAATATACAGATGCCCAACGCGAAGCAATCAAGGTCATGGAGGAAACCTGCCAGCGCCTTTGCCTGGAGATGACATTGGAGCAAGGAGACATACAGTTTGTCACCAACACGCATAACTTACATGCTCGGTCAGCCTACCAAGATGCAGCTGATCCGACGAAGAAGAGGTGGCTACAGAGATTATGGTTGGCCACTTCGGAGGAAGAGGGAGGTTGGCCTTTGCCATTTGCTGACTCGAGGTATGCAAAGAGAGGAGGAGTTCAGGTGAATAAGACGCCGGAGTCGTATCCTCTGGAAGCAGAGTGAAGATTTGACCGGTAGGATAGCCAAAGATACAGTTTGAGATGCTTGACAATTTGAATGGCCATGAATGATCAGTTGAAGGATGAGTGTCTCTACTGTACCTGAGTAACAGGTGAGCGGATGACGAAGAGAGTCGAGTCGTTGATAAACAAGCGGCCAGTAAATAATTCCGTACTCCGTTAGTACTAAACATTTTCCCTGCGGCTTTCGCTTCGTTGCACCGCCACATTAATTTCGACAACCAGCTTGGGAGATACGAACAATACGCTGGATACGATTTCGAGCGTATAGCTCGCCGTCGTGACAGATGGTGTCCTGAATAGCCTGGACATATACACCACTAATCAGCGGCTGACGAGCTATCGCAACAACAACCTTCCTCTTCGCCAGATCCCATGGAAGCCAGTCCTTACAGAAACACCTCGAAATGGACAAGGAGAAAGATAGACCAGATGCCGGGTTAAGGTCTCTCGATCATTGTATGTCAAAACCCGTGCAAAACACACACAGACACCCTCAGACATCCCCGGCAAACGCAACTGACACAAGAGGCAGACAAGATCAAACTCCCCAAATGGCGATATTTCCTCCGTGAGCAATTCCTCCCGATCGTGCGTTGGGAGACCCCATACGTAGCATGGCTGCAAGAAAGTCTGAGGACACCGGCGTTGGACACATACTTTGCATTTTCGGCCAACCTGGGCACACATACCGCGTTTATGGTGTTACTGCCGATTCTGTTTTGGTGCGGACATACAAGTGTTGGTAGAGGGTAAATGATGTGCCCTGGAACAAAAGAGTTGGCCAAAGTGTATCTGACTTTTGCTACAGAATGGTACATGTCCTGGCAGCTGGTGTCTTTTTCACCGGCTTCATCAAGGACATGCTGTGTCTTCCCAGGCCACTGTCGCCACCTTTGCAGCGAATCACCATGTCGGGCTCTGCGGCGCTCGAGTACGGCTTTCCCTCGACCCATTCGACAAATTCCGTCTCGGTAGCGATCTACTCGCTTTACTTGCTTCACGACAACGATCAGATGAACCCGAACACCAAGTTTGGCCTGCAGATCATGTTCTATCTCTACGCCTTCTCCATCGTTCTGGGTCGGCTCTACTGTGGGATGCATGGATTCTTCGACGTGATCTGGGGTACTTTCATCGGAGCAGTTCTAGCTTGGGTCCAATGCCGCTGGGGCGCGAGCTTTGACGAATGGCTACACACGGGTGACGTGCAGCGACTTTTCCTCGTCATTCTCATTGTCCTGGTCTTGGTACGAATTCACCCCGAGCCTGCGGACGACTGCCCCTGCTTTGATGACAGTGTTTCATTTGCCGGTGTGTTCATTGGCTGCCAATACGGTGTGTGGCACTTTGCGCGGACCTCTTACGCATGGTCAGAACCAAGTCCAGGAACCGTTCCGTTCGATCTGGCTAAAATGGGTTGGGGGGTGGTGGTGATGCGCATTGGATTGGGAGTTCTCACGATCTTCGCATGGAGAGGAATCATGAAGCCGACCCTCCTGAGGATTTTCCCTCCTGTTTTCCGTGTGATCGAGCACCTTGGTCTTACACTGCCGAGACGATTCTTCAAGCCCGCTTCCGAATATGAAAAGGTGCCCAAGCAAGACAATGACGACAATGTCATCCCTCCCGCCAGGGATATCCCTCATTTGTTGTCCTCGTTCAGAAGGAGAAGGGCGATTTCGGTTGGTCCGCAGTCAGAAGCCGACGCGTACGAGGCGTTGGCGTACCGGAACAAGAGGAGGAGAGACAGTCGAATTCTCGAAGGTTCGCCCAGTCCGGCCAAACAAGCTTCCCCCGAGCCGAGTTATTTCCAGGAGGATAATAAGAATAACAGTTCGGCGCAAAGGGGTTCTCTAGCTTCTTCCGGCGGCAGGAATCGGTCGAGCAGTCTCGAGACGTTTCGCGCCCAGATGGGTGCCGGGGTAGATCAGTTGTCTCCCATGCCGTTGACGACACCCGGCGCTCGCGGTTCGCCCAGCCCTCAAGAAGTTCAGGCCATGGATCTACTACAAGAGAGGCGACTGTTTGCGAGTATCACGAGACCAAGAGTACGATATGATGTCGAGGTGGTGACGAAGTTGATTGTCTATTCCGGGATCGCCTGGTTGTCGGTTGAGGGCAATCCCATCTTGTTCAAGCATTTGGGTCTAGCGGTCGACTAGGCCGGCGGCCATGGAACAAAGAACTTGGGGTTATCATTATCATTGTTGTTTATTCTCTACCCCCGTGGTTCTAGCTTTTAGTAAAGAATGGGGAAAACCTTTGAAGGAATAAAACCTATCCTCCTCTTTCGTCTTGTTGGTTACGCTTTGTACCGAGTATCTGCGGCACGGTACAGACAACCTCCGAATGATACTTGTGGAAAGTGGTGTTTTCTTTGTGTGTAGTTCTCCTCCTTTCTCTCCCTTTTCCAAGTCAAAGGGTGAGTACGATCAGTTACGATGTTGTCCGATTGGGGTTTGGGGAGGGTGAGTAGGTATCTGGGCTGGAATGGATCCTTCCCTTGGTATATCAATCACTTGTAACGTCCTCCTGCCTTTCGCAACGAGGAGGACGCCCTGGGTACAGGATCAAGGTTCGGCGCAGGTGTGAGGGCCTATAAGGAGGTGACCTTTTGGTCATTTAAGAACATGGAGTTACTGTGCATGGAAAAACAAGCATCTCATATTTCTGTGTTATATATTGACCGTGCCTCTATTCCTCAGGGCCTCTCTGAACTGCCGAAGGGTACGGAGTATTACTTCTTTTCAATTTTGGCCAACCACTCATTTGTGTTGAGGACTTCATCCACGATCGTAGGCCAGATGATCTCGGTAGCAGCCTCTTTCAATGCTTGACTGAATCCAGCTGTCGCGTCGGATCTATTCACTCAAGAGAAAAACATCATGTCAGTTTGTTTATCACAGTAGGAGTGGCTTCGCTGGCGAATACTCACATGAGTGTGACTTTATAACCCCTGTTTTGTGGTGTGAGTTGATGGTCATGTCAGCAAAGAAAAGTACGACGTGATGACCGGGGTCGAGTGTGTGAGGTTCACAAAACTTACAACTCTATAGCTTCTCTGGCGGTGGACTCGATACAAGTGTTCGCCACCATACCGGCCATGATCAAGTGTGTGACATCTCTCTGACGAAGTTGATAATCTAAATCGGTACCTTTGAAGGAACTAAAACATCACCACCATTCCATTAGCCTTTGATCATCACCATCATTGACATACTCTCTCCTTCTCCCTTAAAGAAGGGGTCTGAGGGTCTTTCTTCATCATCCTGAACTCATGTGTTGCCTCGGTGGGTAGGTGGGTGAGTTTACTCGCACGTACCTGCTATTCCAATGCCTAGAAACGACGACGTCCCCATTGTCCAAGTTTGGTTCGAACCCTTCGAGGATCTCACCTCCCCAGCCACCAAAGGTGTGACCTTGGTCGGTCATCTGGTGTACGGGCCTCATGTGGTTCCACCCTGAATATTTCCCAGGTTCCCATTGTTGGTGGAGGCCGTAGTAGATCGAAATCCCGGCATTTCTCGCCCCTTGGACCAGTTTGGTCATGTTGTCAAGAGATTTGGTGGCCGTCAAGCTCTCTTGCAAGAGACCATACAGTTTCCCCTTGGGGTGGACAAAGTCGTTGAGTGGATCAACCAGTAAAAGTACTGGTTCTGTGGTGGTGGTAGTAGACATGATTACGCAGAATGGTCAGTCACTCAGTACTGGATACTCGTATGGGGAGGTATATATGTCAAAGCCAAGAATGTCTACAACAGGTGAATCAAGGGATGGATGATAGGTCGTGACATTCTCTGCTCGAAATAAGTCCTTACTTATACCTACCTCTCAAGGCTCACGGACTCTGACCGGAAAACCCACCTTTGCCTTCTCGACATCACAGGTATTTTCTCTTTCCGAGTTCATCAAAAAGATGGATGGCCTCAACAACTAAGCAGATCTCACCTCCATAGTCGCAAGCGAATCCATACTTGGCTCAACAATTACTCCAGTTGGGTTCAGATGGGTCATGAATGTTTACTATTCATTTTTCCCGGGGGGGGTGTGAAGGTTACCTTGCGGGAAGCAAACCGCAAAAGCATTCAGATGGCACCGGGTCGGGATCGGTAGGCATAGACAACCCGTATAACTCGACGACATCTGATTGTACAGTACTCGAACACTTTTGGTCCGAACTGAAGCGATCGAATGTCCATGGTTACATAACCGGGTGGTGTGAAGTCCAGGTCGAGGATGACAAACATTGCAGATATTTTTTGATTAATGATCGAAATTACACAAAAAGATTCCACGCAAACAACAACGACGGCATTCACTTTCGGGAAAGGGCTCCCTAAACGTTTCCCCATGGATACATTCGTTTCGGCCGTTATTGAAATGATAAGACCGATTATGAGAACGGAACGAGCACCGGAAAAGAAATCGCAAGGTCAGCGGAGGTGTCAACTTTTTTGTTGAGTCGAGTTGATTTCGTTCAGGTTCCAATCTTGAGTCATGCTACTCGACATTGTCAACTGGCAAACAATGACAGATCTATACCAATCAATGGATGGGCGACAAAACATTGTACCAAGATACCAAGGCATTGAAAACTACACTAACCAGTCTTATATTCTCCTTTGAGAACCCTTTCACTAAGCTCCTTCAACGCTCTCGCACAGTACTCAAAGTCCTCGACCTCCAAATAGACCATGGCCGAAAACCTCGTCCACAATGCCCCTGAGACATACGACACATTGACAAAAACGTTGTAGTCCTCATACAAGTGTCTCATGATCCAACTCAGCACGAGGGGTGCATCATCTAGGGGGACTCCTTTCGGATCCTTGCGCTCGGTTGGTGAGACCTCAATAGGGAGTCGTAGATTAGCAAAGAAGGTTCTGTCTGCTTCAGAGATAGGTATTGGCTCGGTCCCGAGAATCTGAGCAGCTCGAGTCTCGCCTTCTTTGGCCAGTTCCCGACAGTACTTGCGAATCTTCTCTTCCCCGCCACAAACGTTTTGTCGAAAGTCTATCGCAGCAGGAATACATAGCGGTGGCCCAAAATCGATGGTGCCAGAGTACTGAAAGAGGGAAACAAATTCATTCGTGCTTTCTTTGTGCGGCCTCACGAACGTTTTCCCGTTGAGGATTTCCGGCAATGGCTGGAAGCCATGCGAGGTAGGCAGTGTAGACCGCATGAGCTTCTGGTTGCGAAGCGGGACGTACAGGACCGCACAGACGTGGGGAGCCAGGAGCCACCTATTGCATCAAGTCTCAGCTATTGTCGCAACGGAATATTGCCGGTGCGGGTTTGGTACAACTTACTTGTGGCAATTGCTGACCAGAAAATCCGGGTCTAAGGTCTTCAAGTCCAAATCAATGAGACCTATGCCGTGGGCAGCATCGACTGCACTCAAAACACCATTGTCTTTACAGATCCCAACAAGTTTCTCAAAAGGCATTCTCACGCCAGGCATGCTCATAACCGCGTCGAAGATGGCCACCTTTATCTGGCCTTGGTGTGCCTCCACCGTTGATCGGAAGGATTGGATGAGTTTCTCCTGATCATTGACAGTAGGGTCGAAATCGATACATATACTCTCAACTGGCGTTGTTTCGACCAGGTAATGAACGGTCTTCTCAATGGCGCCGTATGTGCCTTGGACGTAGACGATCTTGTCTCCGGGCTTGTAGACAATGTTTCGAAGAACCGCATTGAGGCCAGTCGTGGCATTGGGGACCAACACTACTTCATCCTCATTCGCATGAAGAAATTGAGCCACAGCACGTCGCGATTGTGTCAGACGTTCCGGGTAAATGTATCGAATGAAAACATCCGGATGAGCTTGGACTTCGTCTTGGAATGATCTCAACGCATCTCGTACAGGGCGAGGGTACCCTCCGAATGCACCTATGCCTGGTCAGGTCTTCCTAAGCGCAACCAGAATCCCAACAGACGGACATGCCTTGATTCAAGTGTCTGTATCCGGGTTCGAACATGAAATATTTCTTGCCGAATGCCTTGCCGAATTGTGTCTCGGTGGAAGCAACTGAGGTGTCCATAGTACTCATGTCGAAGATGCCAGTATCTTTGCGGTCTTTGGTGCAATTCCTTCTCGGTGTTGTCGCGCGTGGACCTGAAAATGCCGGGACTTCGATTTACAACAACCTATTTGTCCAAAGGCCGAGAATATGACTCACCTTTTTTTCGACGAATTGATTATAAAGGTGTTGTAGGACACACTTCTAGGATGACAGACGATATAACAAATCTTTCTTGTTGAATAGACACTTGTCGCGTATATCGGCGTATCCTGGCGTACCCTGGCGTACCTCCACGGACATATAACGGAGGTTGATCAGGTCGATCGATTGTCTTTGCATTTGGGGTAATTCAGATTCTAGGCAGAGGTTCCACCGTTACACCCATACAGAAGATGTCCACCATACAAGTTGTCAAGGCCAGCGATGCACCCACTCCTGTATCCCATTTCTCCCAAGCACGGATTTGGAATGGAGTGGTGTATTGTTCAGGTGACCTAGGACTTGATCCAAAAACCAATCAACTGGTGGATGGCACGACAACGGAACGAACAGTACGGGCTCCTCTGTGTTATTTCTTTTTTTTCAAACAGATATACTTACGCAAAGGTCTGCGCAGGTACAGGCTATTCGAAACTTGTCCACTATCCTGGAAGCTGCAGGATCCTCATTGAAGCATGTCATCAAAGTCAACGTGTACCTTACCACAATGGATAACTTTGCAGCCATGAATCAAGGTTATGCTCAATGCTTTGAGCAGCCATTCCCAGTAAGTCAGGTCTCTACCAAACAGGACGTTTGTGAAGCTGATATGTTTTGAAACAGTCTCGAACTTGCGTCAATGTTGTGGCACTTCCACTCGGCGGAGATGTCGAGATTGAATGCATCGCTGCCCTGGCATAGGCGTGACTCAAAATACAGAGAAAGACACCTGCGGGCTCGACTCTCAAAGCCCTTTTTGTATGCAATTGACCGTGGTGAGATCATGCAAAACAAGAGTTGTGGAAAACTGTGCAGCCCAATTGCTTCGGTAAATAAATCCTGGTCTCGGGTTATCCAAGAAGCGAGGTGTGCGCCCTCCTCATGCAAGTCATCGGATTGTTTTGCATGGCTTACTGTATGTATCCTGTAGAATGTTTCGAGAGGCTCTTAAGGGGAGTAATAACCCGTGTTTCACGCGTGGGGTGATTGTTGTTGCCCGGTAACGGGCCATGTAAATAAGTCGCCTGCGCCAGTTTCTTTCCCTGCGTCATGCTCGACAAGGTGACAAAATATCTGGAACTTGAAATCAAAATCCTGGAGACTTAAAAAGAATACTCAATGGTATTTATTTCTCGTTGACCTGCTTACCGGGTGATTGAAAAGTATCGTGCTACTTGCAGTAATACCAAACACATATAATACTGCAGCACCCATCATAAACAAAACAAGTCAACCCAACGCTTCAATCAATCGCGAACCGCGCTATCCCAGTATTCACCACCTTTTCCCACCATGGTCACCGAAACAGATCAATATTACCCTTCGCGGTCCTCCACGGTTCTGTCGGAAAAGCGTCGGTCAAGCTCATACATCAACCCACCATCTCCGACCAAGCGACCTAGTCGAATGCAAAGCACGAGAACGAGCGATGGTACCGTGAGCACGAGAATGAGTTACACCAGCAGTGGAAGGGTGTCGGAAGCCACAAACATCACACAGCCAGCATCCTACTCCAAGAAGTTTGTGGTGGTTGGAGATGGTGGATGTGGCAAGACTTGTCTCTTGATCAGCTACGCACAAGGTTATTTTCCAGAGGTAGGTTGGTGGTTTTGCATCGCACCGATCCGTGTCGACCCGAGTCAGAGTTGACCTTTTGTTGTTTGCAGAAATATGTCCCGACCGTGTTCGAAAACTACATCACACAAACTACCCACAAGCCAACAGGAAAAACGGTCGAACTCGCCTTATGGGATACGGCCGGACAAGAAGAGTATGACCGCTTGAGGCCATTGTCGTATCCCGAAACAGATCTGTTGTTCGTCTGCTTCGCAATCGACTGTCCCAACTCTTTAGAAAATGTCATGGACAAGGTCAGTTGATGAAACATGTAGACTTGGATTCAAGACTTGTTTACTGACAATGATCCAATAACAGTGGTACCCTGAAGTCCTACACTTTTGTCCCACGACTCCTCTCGTCCTCGTTGGCCTGAAATCAGATCTACGAAACAAGAGAACCTGCATCGAACTCCTCCGCACACAGGGCCTGACACCAGTGACACCAGAACAAGGTCAAGCAGTGGCAAAGAGAATGGGAGCGGCCTACATCGAATGCAGCGCCAAGGAGAACAAGGGTATTCAAGAGGTGTTCGACTTGGCCATCAACACAGCCATCCAAGTCGAAGAGGCCAGTTACGAGTCAAAGCCGAACAGCAAGGGAGTCAAGGTCAAGAAGGCAAAGAAGAGGAAATGTGCCATCCTCTGATTTGATGAACGCTTGAAATGTTCAATGTTCAGTGTCATTACTGCATTGAATTCCCCTTCTTTGACTTGACCACCGAAAACTTGTCCATGTCTCTTTTCTTCCCTCTTCGACCACAGGTTTGGTCTTGATGTACACGCATACTACTAGATGGGGCGTTTTTTGCTGCATGAGTGCATGACTGGAGTTGTATTGGGTGTGTGTGTTTGTCCCATTGATATGTCCCCCATTTTTTGGCGGCCTCGTCATACCTAGGGACACAATCGGGGGTTTGACTTTGTAGGTATATGAATTAGCAATCAAGGGCAGGTTTTGCTCGAAGTTAGCACATGAATTGTTCAAAACTGGTTTTGAATGTTTGATTGACAGTGCCTCGGAAGATGTCGTTGTTGTCGTTGCCGCTGTCACTTTCGTGCCCGTCATCATCATCATCGTCGCAACGTCGTCGTTGGTATGTTTCACTCGGGTTCGCTAGTTGAGTCCGTACATGGTCGGATTTTGTTTCTGCCTCTATCTTCAACCCCCGTTAGGTTCTTGACAGTTCCTGACTGATCATGCCTCGACCCATACCATTTACTATGTACTACTCTCGTCGATGGTTTCGTCGTCTCGATCGGTCCTATTCTGTTGGTTGGTGGACTCGTCCTCGTCTCCTCTTCCCATGACGGTTTCGAATTGACTCCAAAGTGCCTCGACGGAAGAAAATTCATTTCCAATCTATGTCAGTGTGTCAACGTCAATGACAAGGACCGACGACGGTGATGAGGTCCACGTTTGGGGGTCGGTATTGACTGTAAAACAAAAAAAGAGAGACTCACTTCAATGATCCCTTCCAAACTTCGATTCAGAGCGTTGATGTGCGTGAGGACTTGTTCGAGGGACTGTTTTTGTGTTGCAAGGGTTGTCAATCAGAATCATTCGTTCTTTCTCCTTTTATTTCATTCATGGTCTCGTGGAGTTCCTCATGACTCGAAAGTTGTTGTTGAAGAGTGCATGAATGGTGTTCAAAAAACCAAAAAAGAAGACTTACCTCTCCTATATCATTTACCAGTAAAGCACGTCTGGTCTCAAATTCTTTTTGTTGTTGTTGAGGAGGTGGCGCGTCGCCGCCGCCGCCGTTGCCGCCGACAAAGGTTTGTTGGTGGTGCTGATGATGGGATGTTGCCATTTTTGATTCAAGTGTGTGTGTGTGTGTGTGTCCTTGTAATCGAAATTGTAATTGATCAGAGAGGTGTCCTTCCGTATAGAGTCGAAACTTATCGGGCAAAAAGAAAGTGTCAAGGTCGTGTTTGATATATTTACATGAAACCGACCTTTTGAGATGTTTATAGTCAGACACTTTTGTCTGACGCGTTTCATTATTAGTATTTACTACCCCAAAGTTACCAGAAAGTAACTCCCATAACATGCAGGGATATATACTTCGTGCTGTATCTGTCGCTCGATATTTTGACTCGCTTCCTTTTGTTTTCATTTCCTTTTCTTACCAATAAAGGAGTTTTAACGGTTTCTTTGATGGCAGTCTTTCGCCTTCTCATCCCATTTTACCCATTTTGTTAGGAAAGGTCTCGTAAGACGTCTTCCACAACCAGAGAATTTATATGAATCACTCCAAAGCTCATACCACACAACATAACAGTGATGCCCGTTATTGATGATGATGATGGACAAGTAGCACCGCATGCTATGGAGCGTGGCCCATAGTAACATCAATATCAAGATTTACACAAGGGACGGATCAACAAATGTCTCCGGGTGGAATGATAATACTAATTCAAACTGAGAACTACAAGTATCAATGTGTCTTTCGTCGTAATCCATGCATCAATTTAGTTCGTAGGATTCGCCTGAGCGAGGACAATCACCATCAAAGCCAGGCCTTGGGGGTCGTCAGCACCTTATTCCATACGATACTCCCGGATCCACTCCTCTCGTACGGTACACTGCAATTGCAAACACCATGCTTGGTAAAGCCAGTAACCAGTCCAGTGATCACTTCTTCTCACCGGAGATGGTGTTGGCGAGATCTGTAGGTAATCAAATCAGTACGACACAAAAACAACATCATGTCGATCTAGACTTACCAGATGCAGCCTTACTGGCACTATTCAAGGCATTCGCAGCCATCTCCTGAGCTTGTCCAATGTAGGACTTTCCCGTGTCTTGAGCATCAGTGCCATCGTCCTTGGCCTTTTGAGTGACATTGGACGCAGTCTCTTGAATGTTCTTCTGTGCAGCCGCAGTATTGTCACTGGCCTGAGTGCCCAAATCGGCAGCCTTGGTTTGCACATTCTCAAAGGTGGAACCGGCGGTAGAGGAAGCTTTCTGGGTCAAGTTGGAGAGAGTGTCCTGGGCGGAACCGGTGTTGGAGGAAGCCTCATCAGAGAGCTTTTGGCTTGTAGACTTGCTGTCACCTAGAAACGAAGTTAGAACCAGCCAACGAAAGGGGAAACAGACGCACCTGGTTGAACCATGCCTGCTACGTTGTCCAAGGCACCGGTAGCAGACTCTTTGGCTTGGTCGGCATATGACTTTTGAGAGTCGGGAGTGATGGTCTCGCCAACACCTACGCGGGGCGAGAACGGTCAGTCAGTCAGTCAGTCAGTCAAGCAGCGGGACAGAGGGCACGTGTGCTCAAGGACACGTACGGTCAGAGAGAGGCTTGCGGCCGGGGTCAGACATGATGAGGGATCCTAAAAGGTCTCGGAATAGTGTATCGTATTGGTATGGGCCGGGATCAAGTGGGTGAGTAGTGAGTAGTTTGAGTGAGAGTATGAGGAACAGACAAAAGACTGAGAAGGGATGAAAGATGTCGGGAGCAGAATTTCTGGAATTGTTACGAGGACGAAAACAGGCAGGAGCCAATTCAGTTCAATTCGATTCCACAGGCAAACAAAATGCAGAAGGAACACAACAGTTTCATGAGCATCTTCCAAATTGAATGCCCCGCGACCGACGGTGACTCGAACTACGTCATAGCAACGGAAAGCATTCCCGCAGTTTAACAGCCACACCAGGGTAATATTCGTTAGTTACGCCAACGACGAAATATCCTCCTCATGAGACGACTAGATTATGCCTATGGGTATTGTAGAGAGAAAAGCAGGGGGTCCTGCTAAGGGTGATGTGATTAGCTGCTGAGTACGCGAGAGGTGTGAGTGCCATTGCTTCTCCAATCAAGTTTCGCGAGAATGATAATCCTCGAAATAGTCTCTACGTGCAAGAAGTACTTCTGAGTTCGAGGTCGTTGTTGTCGAGTTATAGACATGCCCCAAGTGCACTTGTTATAATACCTATCACTATATTCTAAAGTATGTTAGACCATTAAAATAAGCTAAGAGAAATAAATCCCTTTCCTCCCTCAGACAACATACGGAAGGAATTGATTAGCTTATTTTGAAGACAACGTATATAGATTCTTATATCTGTAATAAGACTTTATGTGGATAAAGAGAGTAATGGAGAGAGTTTCGAGCGATAACAAGACTATGAGAGACTAAAGAGTTGAAAGAGTGAGAAATCTACGGAGAAGTCCTGGGTAAGTGACGGGTCTCAAGTTGCCCTAGTAGACATAGATCACAAGCCCCATTTGGCCCCTAACTAACGAAAAATAGGCCTGTAGTACTGTAGTGTACGAGAACGAGGACGAAAACAAGTAGAGAGAGAATCATGGATTTGACCTAAACGCACATAAAGGAGAGCGTAGAAAAGGCATGCAATAGCGCAGGCAACAAGGGTATCTATCTACGCACGCCATCCATCAAATAAATCAAGCAATGCAATCCAGAATCACAAACATCCAGCCAGACTTCCTGCCTTGCCCCGTCTTCCTCATTACCCCAGGAATATCAATGCTGTCCCAAGTGCTACTCGTCAGGAGGCCAACACTTTTTTTCACATCTCTTGCAATCTCCGTAGGAAAGCACATTGCCGGTCTTGGAAATCCTCATATCGAACTTTGTTGTTCATGCCTTGGCTTCGGCATCTTCCAAAGCAGTCTGTCTCCCAAAGACACTCAGGTCCTGACCCTTGCCGCCGTACTCTTTGGGCAACTCATCGGCCAGATTCTTGACCTTGCTGCTCGTCGCCAACTCTCTCGCCAGGTTGGCCCCGTTGCTCATGGGGTGGAACTTTTTGATCGTCTTCTGTGCGACGAACAACTTCATGAAGGCGTAGATGAACCCCATGAACGCAGGCACATTGACGAAGAACTTCTCCTTCAACAGTTCCGGATAATTCTGCGCAAAAACCTTGATGGTCTCGGTACTGGCCGTCTTCACCACGGGCGACTGTCTCAAGAAACTGATGGATTTGTAGTCGTGGACCTGCACGATCTTGTACGGGTCGTGTTCCGAGGTGATGGGCTTGATGGCTTTGCCGATGTTGAGTGATTGCAAGGCCTCTTCCATCAGAACCACGCGCCATTCGAGGAACCTGCGTACAAAGTTTAGTGTCCTGTTTCTTTTTCGGGGATGGTACTCGGAATTTTCCTACTCTTCCAGGTTTCCAAAGGTTTGTTCAATGTTCTTGACACTCCCGTAGATGTTCCAAGTGAAGATCTCTTTTGCTTCCGGTTCTGCACCTTCGGGGCCGAAAGTGGTCACATAGCCCAATCCCTCGAATTTGGCCCGGTTGAATTTCTTCTTCATCAATTCCAAAGGCTTCATCTTGGCTCGCCATTCCAACGTCTTGGTGAGTTGATCCTTGGCTTTGGTCAGATCGCCATCGTTGGCGTTGAGGTACTTTTGTAGCACCACCTGCGTCGGAACGTGAGTTTCAGGATCGGCCAGCGTGACTCCCCAGACCTCGGGGTGACCAATGGATTGAGCCAGAGCCCAAAGTTCCTGAATAGGTGTCACCTTCTTCACCTACGCTAGTTAGTACTCCTCCCCCCAAAGAGCAAAAGACAGGCAGTGGATTTTCGTCTCACAGTCGGGGTTGCGGCATCTTTCTTCTCTGCTGCAGTATCAGGTACGACTCCCGATACCTCACCAGGAAGACTGGTGTTGTTGGGTGCATCGGTCGTAGTCTGTTCTACATTGTCGTTGTCGTTGGATGCGTCATTCGTGGTCGTGGCCTTTGCCTTCTCGCCCCCATCAGGCACAACTCCAGACACCTCCCCCGGCAAAGTCGTACTGTTTTGAGCGTCAGTGGTGGCGGTGGCGGTCTTGTCCTTTTCCAATGACACTTCTGGAACGATTCCAGAGACCTCACCGGGCAGGGTGGTACTGTTGGGTGCAGCACTGGTGTCTGCAGAAGCCATCTTCGTGGTTTAAAGTTATTGCCAATATCCTGCGTCCTCTTCCTTCCAAGTGTGAAACGCAGTCGCGTATTGTAGACAAAAGTTGTCGTGGCTAGTCTTGAAAGAAATAAAAGCTCTCTGAGTTCCGATAATTTGATGCAAATGAATTGATTGAGCTGAATTGAAACTGAAACGACAGAATTCGTGTAAAAAGGAGATGCCTGATATTCTTCTTTTTTGATGATCTTATCTGATGAGATGATCGGTCTATCACTACCTTGAGTAATAAGGTGTTTTAGTGGCCGATTATCTCCGAGACAACGGAAAGTTTCATTCAATGCCCAGAATCGACTTCGGGCTTCATTCCATGTGCTTTCGATCATCTTCCTCCATGTATCAGGATATCTGTGCTGTAAGAGAAACAGGGATTCTGAGTTAGTTGAAATCATTCATCTCAAAATAACTCGATTTGCTTCATGTATCAAATTGTTTCTAACACTTCATTACTCAGTGTATCTCTAGATTGTTCTTTACCTGTCTTTCCATTTCAAAAACATCATCTGCGTCTCTATTCCAAGAGCTTTCATTAAACCTCCTCCTGCTAAACCATCATCTCAATTCGTCTCAGGGTATCTCAACCATCTGCTGTCTGGCCCAACACGGGGCCAAAATCTCAATACAACCACCCCCTTCTCTCTCATCTCTCTTCTCATAACAAAAAGCAAAATGCGCACTTCTGCTCGAAGCCGTAGAATCCCACGGCCTTTCGAAAACAGACGCGGTGATATCACTGAAAACGACGGAAAAGCAAATTGATAACCCAGAAATTCCCCATCATTATATTTGCACAACAGCAAAAAAGTCTCAGACAAGATTCCTCTCTTGACCGACTTTGGCCCTGTAATGTTGCATTTCGGAGCCAACCCGCCTTCTCACCAGAGGTGTGAAGACTATAGAAAGTCCTGTATTGCGTGGCCGTCATGTCGTATAACTGGTGTTGGTGTAGGAAAAATAATCGACTTGGTCTATGTGCAACACAGAAAAGAACGGTAGGGTGCGCGAAATCGACGTGGTGAAACCTTGAACCCTCCAATTGCGATCGTCGGCCTTGTGCCGTAAAACGTTGATCACAAACTCATGGTCAGCCATTCCCATTCTTGGCTGTTTCCATGTGGTCCTCCTGGCATGTTTTGCACACCCGGATTCAACAATCCGCCCTGCATCACAGATGCCATGGTGGTTACCCCGGCCGTTGTGGACATGCTGGCCGCTTTGGCTCGAGTAACGGGTGCTTGGGTCGGTTTGGGAGTGGACTGTCCAACATCTTGCATCTCGTCGTCGTTGCTTGACCCGGTGTTCGTGGACGTGGTCGACAGATTGCTTGTGTTGGGCAAATTGGTAGTGGAAGCGCGCGACTGTCTTCGCTGACGTTTCGGCGTAACCTGGACTGGTCGACCCATGTTAGGGCCCGGCTGAACAGGGGGCTTGGGCGGCGCAGCTGCAATGGGAACCACACCGGGTTTCCCGCCTGTCGTCCCCGCTGGATAACTCGTTGGCGTAGTCACAACAGACCCCGAGTGAGTAGAACCCTGCACCGAAGCTGGTGATGCTGAGTTGTGCTCACTTGCCGCTGTCGGAGTCGTAGCTGGAGTCTGTTGTACCGAGTTTTTTCTAGACGACTTTTTCGATGCTCGGGTTGCAGCAGAGCCCATGGGCACAGCATTTCCACTGCCACGGTTGCGTTTCTTGATGACATCGGTTTTCAATGACAGAGGTCTAACTACGCCGTGAAGTTTGAGGAAAAGACCACATGCGTTACAAAGAGGATGGCCTTCAGGATTGCGTCGCCACAAGGGCGTGGTCTGCGTGAAACAGTTGGTGCATGTGGTGGGGACGCCATTCTGGTCAGTACTCTTCGGACCAGGGCTTCCGGGCCTCGAGGGCTGGCGACTGCTGAGTCCAGATTCTGCAGGCGAACTTTGGGCGGACTGCATTTGGTGGTTGGACAGCGCAGGAGTCGAGGTGGTCCTGGGAATTTTTTGTCGCCGAGGGTCCTGGTCTCGATTTCGGATATCGCTGATGGACGCTGCTGAACCATGTGTCCGACTAAGCATCGAGCCACTCCAATCTGGAGGAGAATTGACCATCTCTGCTCCGCCAATGCGGACTTGCTTTCCATTGCCACTGTAGCGAGACATGCTGTTGTAGTCGACCGTCGGATCCCATTGTAAGCCCGAATTGAGATCGAGGGTTGGATCGCCGATCTGGCCATAATCGGACTGCATCATAAGACTACGATCGTTGTAGTTACCATCATCATCTTCGTTGTCAGAGTCTGCTCCAAATTGGAACATGTTGTCATTTCCAGCCATTGACACACCAGGAGAGACTCGGCGGCCATAGTCAGGACCAAGAACATTGGAGGGATCTACATGTTGCTGAATTGTGAAGCCATTGATTGACGGTGCCGAGCTGACACCATTCATGGAAGTATACATCTGCTCATTGTTGTTCCCATAGGCGAAATTAGCGGACATAGGAGTCATCATAGGATTCGCTCGTTGAGCGGCATAGAAGGGCAGCGATCGGGAATGGCTCTGGTCGAAATAGAAATGCGAATTATCGTCGTGGCCCGCTTGCGGCGTGGAGACGGCGGAGGCATAACCAGATTGAGGTGGGGAATAGAAGTCTGCTGAGTTTAGCGAAGAGGCCATGGAGGTTTGGTTATAGACGTTTGCAAAGGGCCCATTTGTGACCATAGGCGAGGCCCCTGGGGAAAAGGCAAAGTTTTGTTGGAACGGTCCGGCTGATGTAAGGATTGGATCCTCACTCAGATGGAAAGAGTCCAAATGCATCGACATTTGGCCCTGGAAGCTCGCTGGGCCACTGAATTGAGAAGGCGTAGGTTGGTCAAGGGCATAGTCGGGCACACCAGAATCACCCTCGGCGTTATTGGGCAGGTTTGGCGCGACCAAAGGAGGTACCTGGGGAGAGAATTCTGCGGGACGTTTTCGTCCCTGGAAATTGTTAGACTCTAGTCTACAGCCATGAAAGGAAATTATACTCACTCCTTTCCTCTCATCGATGCTAGTCTTGCGAACCCTTTTTTGTACATAGTCGAATTCGGACGCTCTGAAAAAGGGAATGGAGGACTGTGGCGCCGAAGAGGGCGGCAAGTCTTTGGGTATCTGCACATGCATCTTGTTGCGAGCACTTATAGGGATTCCCGGGGTCTGGAACTGTCTGTTCTGATTGTCCGAGGGAGAAGGTGCCGTGATACCAGCGGGCGAAGCCACCGAGCTAGGAATGATGAAGTCGTCCAGGTTCATGGGATCAGAAGGTGATGGCTCACGATCGGCTGACTGGTCGACAGACTTGCGAAGTTGTTGAGCGATGCCACTGGGAGCGTTCGAGGGCTGTGCTGGACTCTTGAACTGGGTCTTCTTTGCACTAGAAACCAGGTCGTCAGCACCGGCCATGCGAGAGTCGCTGCCGGATTGAATGGATATTCCATACGCTGCTTGTTCCTCCTCCTGCTCCTGCTGCTGCTGTTGTTGTTGCTGTTGTTGCTCTCGCTCCCGCTGTCGGCGAAGATTCATCGCCATCATCCGCCAGGTCAGATTCTCCATGCGTTCCTGGTTGGGAAGTCGGGACTTCGTGCGATGGTACAGTTTCCATATCTGGGTCCCTAGAGGATCCTTTTTTTGTAGGTCTTCGGGACTGTCGAAATCAACAGGACCGGCATCGTCCTTCCACTCGGGGAAGACAGGTTCCCGCAGTAAGGCCTCATTGCGGGCGAGGGCTTCGGACGTAGAGAGATCCAGGTTGGGCTGGGTGGGTTTGGAGGTCAAGGTAGATTGAGAGTCTGCTGTCGAGGAGAAGTTGGCGGGGGAAAGGTTGGTCGAAGAAGTATTTCCGGTCAATGGACCTGCTAAACTAGACCAGGTAGAAGAGTCTGTGTCGTCCAGACTGGACGAGGGTTGAGTGGTAGGGTAATGGAAGTGGTCCATCGGGGATTGGACGGCGGAGGTTGCGCGCGAAGCTGCAGGCCCCCCACGTTCCTCATACTTGTAGTCTACACTCGACATCACCGGGGTCGAGTGGAAGCGTCGCGTGCAGCAGGCCGGATGAAAAGGAAACGATGATGATGATTATGGTGGAGGAGGAGGACGACGCAGTCCAGGTATAGCATCAGCAGGCGCAGCTATACGAAATGATGTGGTGGGCGTGGTGGGAAAAAAAGACTCGGAATGCGTTATGGGTGTTTCTTAGAAAGTGTCTGGTGAGCGGCAAGGGCAGTAGTGTCATCAACCACCACGAGATTAAAAAAGTCGAGCCGACAGGAGAGAAGGGCAGGGAATGAGCCTGAGGTATTGGCTTCGGTGTCGGTCGCAAGGTGGGAGGTTTGCAGGGTCAAGAGGCACACAACCTATGAACGGGAGAAGAGAGGCATTGGACGAGGATTCCCAGCGGCGCAGGATGGTGCAGGGTGGGTTTGGGAGGCTTGACGCTTGCTCTTTGGCAAAGAGGTGTGTGCGTCAAGTGCGGCCAGGGTTAAAAGGATGGGCGCATTAGTGCTGCTGAAGCTGCCGGCTAATGAGACCCTAGTGGAGGAAATTGGAGCTCCCTTTGGGGGGGCAATAATTCGAGGCCTGATTCGAGAGAACGGCTAACAGGACGGATATTGTTGGACTCGTCGACGGAGAGTAGTAGATCGAAGGATTGAGAGATCGGAGGTTTCGCCATTACTCGGACAGATACATAGATACCTCTGCCTTTAATCCAGTGCCCGGGTTAGAAGCCTGACGTACTCCGGGTGGAAGAAGGGGATTGATGCCTACGTGCACCTACAGAGTACCATACCTAGGTAGGGTAACTGTGACTCCCACGCCTTGTCCCGACAAGTGTATGTCTACAAATCTTGAGCTACGGACCCAACAAGCACACAGACACGCACACGACACCTCTCCCATTCCCCAGCAGATGGAGCAATGGAGAATCCGCAGCAATAATAGCAGACGGTACAATCACAGCAGTTGGGAGACGATCTCTCTCGAAAGCCCATGCCTCACAGACGCACCAGGCTCACCACGCCCCGCGAGGCCCCTCTGGACGAACAAGGTAATGCCGAGAAGGCCAGGGAGGAGAGAATATTCCCACCAGCGGCTTCAGATCGAGTTTCACCCTTAAGACAGCCACTCAAAAACGGCCCAATAGACGGATTATACCCTGGATCTGCTCTTCTACGACCCTTTTCTTCCTTTCTCGTTGGCCGATGCGCCCCGTCCGCAGGGAATGGACCACATTCGGAGCACCACCGGTCGAGTATCGACATGGCGCCTGTGGACACCCATGAGCGGGCTAGGACCTCCTGCACGGCCAGTGATGGCATCGCAGCCTCCATGCCTCGGGATATTGCGTACATAGTACCGTAGCATGGCAACATTCTATTGCTTAGGTCGCTGGAGCCATAGTGTCTGTCAGAAAGCAACGAGAGTTTAGGTTTCCACCTTCGACTCGATCGTCGAAACTCGAGTTCGGGTGCATTGGAATGGTGGCGAATTACCGATGGATCTGTTCCTTCCTGCTCGACGTCAGCAGTGCTTGGTAGAGGGGTGCTACTCGTTGAAAAAACAGCCCCCAGGGTCAAGACTGACCGACAGTGCGAATGAGCCAGCAAAGGCGCATGGAACCTGTTGAAGTGTGCAGGGTATACGAAAGGCACCGATCGTCTATTCGGCAGACTGGAAGGAGGGGCACAGTAGTCGTCCTCGTAAAGGGCATACTCGTACTCCGTACACCAGCTGCGGAAGTGACGAGTTGACCGGGATGGAGGAGATGAGGAACGTGCCAGTGGCCGGGAGGGGCAAACGCCTGGAAGGCTTCGGGGGGCCCATCGGTGAGCTGCCTATTGTACTTGCACAGACAAGGGTGTTTGAGCATTGGCCTGACGGGTGGACTCGAGGCTGGCACACTCTCCCCCTCTGGCCTTCGTCCTTATTTTAAGCGATCCATCTTTCGGGTCAAAGGTTCGCCAAAAGGGTGCAGTAGCGTGGGTTTGGTGGATATGGTTCTTCCGGCCGTCGCGTGGGAGATGCTGAGCCTTGACGGCGATTGTCCTGTAGTCAGCCTGGTTACTGCGTCGGCTATAATCATAGGCGTTGTTCTCTCCTACGCAGTACGCAGAGCACTTGGTAATAAGAACAATAATGCAATGCCATGCTCCCTACAAGGACGTGGAGGGCCAACCCTTGGTAGCCTGTTGATGCATGCATTGTTGCTATTTCGCATCGGTCGGTACATGTTAACTCCAAGTATCTTGCATACAGAAGCTGTGACAATCAGCCGTGGCAGCTTTTGGTATTTCTGTTTGGGTGGCACTGTTTCTACATCGAAGGATGTCGCCCCGTTAGCAGCACTGGCCAGGCCACTGTCTCGTGAACCGTCCATGTCGCTATTGCGCTCTCGGAAGAGCGACAGAATCAGCGAAAAATGCGACTGAGCGATTTCCACGTAAGTTTTCCCGTAGCCATCCTCTGGGTTGCAACAACTCGCTGTAAATGTTGGATCAGAATCACCACACCTCAGGCGAATGCCGAAAGTCAGCTGCATGCGACATGAAAAATTTTGCCATCTCGTGTGCATCTGGCCATCAGGAGGTGAGCAAAAGCATAGTGATTGAGTTTTGTTTTTTGTTTTGGTTATGACGACTGGCAGACCAGGCTGGCCCATCCCTCGTGCTTCGAGACATGTGAGAGAAGCAAGGCCGAAGCCACGGAACACGAGGCGGGCCATGAAGCAACTAAGCAAGCCCCCGGTCGAGGTGCTTGGGGGATTCTGTTCATGACGCCCCGAGGCTGGCTTAGCCTACGACAGGTCCTAGATACCTGAATAGGGGGATCCCTGGTCTACGAGCACTGTGCTAGAAGTACAGAGTACTGTACAATTTACGAGTACAATAAGGTATCCAGAATCCACCATCAACCTCCACAGGGCTTGCATACATGTAAGTATCCATCAGTCCATCATTGCATCAGGCTGTTTGACAGGTGCTCGTACTCGTAGTCCCTACATTATATTCGCGTATGCCCCTCCCTCAACGATACGAAGTACTTGATCCAGCAACTCGACAGTGTGCGAATTGCTCCACCACTACCTAGTCAACATGTGGCCTTCGGTGTCTTGATGTCCGGATCTTGCTTGATGACTATCAAGTATTGGTGAAGGAAACACAACCTATCTAAATCTATGATTACAACTGCCCAGTAGTCAGTCAATAATGGAGTCGTCAATTCGAGTGGCGGTTGTTGGGTAGCTGCTGGTTTGATCGTAGGTCCCGTGTCCTCCCCATACAATTTTCGCTGACCCAGCTTGGTCGTCAAGGAGTGAAGGGCTACTCATCTCCCGCAGTTCGCCATCTCTCCCGTTCGTAGTGGACTGGAGCTGCCATAGTGTTGTTGTTGTTGTTACTCCAGTGACCTGGGTGATGTTGAATCCATCAGCACCCATCCACAAAAGAGCCGCCTATACTGTACTGTACCAGTAAACGCTTTGGCCAGAAGGCGATAGTATCAACTGCGGCGGTACTTTTTCGTGAATGCTTGAGATGCAACTACAGTACAGTCCTTGGCAACTGCAACATCACCACCACCACCGCCGTCTCGGTTCCTCTCCGATCGTTCAAGTGGTCGGAAATTGTCCATGCTCCCCTGCACCCGGCTTGCCAGCAGCTGGAACCCAGTACCGAGCTTGACTGGCCTGCATCGGCCTGCATCGGCCTGAAAACCTATAAACAGCGAAACAGGCCTCATCACCGACTTGACTTGGTGGATCCTCAGCGGCCACTAATCCCGGCAGCCAGTTAATGGATGGATGGGAAGTCGTCCTTGGGACCGATGTCAAAGTCGCACCCTCTTCCGTTCTCTTGGAACCCAACAATTGCTTATTAGCCCAGAGCGCCGCCGCCACGATTCCTACTTTTCCCGCGTCTCTCTCCGAACAGATACGAGCACTAGATCAGCATTTGTGCCGGATATGTACCACCAAGGTTGCCACGCCTGGTCTCTCCATTCGGTAGCTCGCGTGTGAATTGCCCCAGAAGCATGTGCTGTTCGACTCCATCAACGCGTCTCGAAATTCGGCCTCTTCCCGTCAAGACCAAACACCATATCCACACTTTCGAGCAAAGGCACATGGGCAATCCCTTTGGCGCGCCTTGTACAACTTCCGAGCTGTAGCCGTCCATTCCATCCCTCCCAAGGATCAAGACTGCTTGATACCCAATGCTGGACAGAATCCATCGTCTGTCCTTAGCGTGGGTGGTATCTATGTAAAGGCCATGACTTGCTGCAGTCGGAAAATCATTTGATTCTGTGGGAAGATGTCTCTTCCCAGTCTTTGATGTCAAATGCGAAACGACCATCCAGTGTTATTTGTCGCTTCATGAAGGGTCTGACATACTGTACTTGTACTCGAGACACTCTAGGCTTTTCGCAGGACCAATTGATATTGTCGCAATATGTAGATCAGATGCCGGGAGGATTCACAAAGTGGTCTGGGGGTGCAGACTTGAATTTAACCGGCCTCGAGCCTTCGACTGCTGGCCCGACTGGGACATCCGGCACCGCCGATCTGGCTCATGTCGCACCTCAAGGGTCCCCCAGCCCTCGCCATCTCATTTCTGAGACTCGTCCTACGAATCGTGACCCTAGCACCCCTTATGATACATCGCAATGCTGATCAGCAATAACTCTGCTGTGCACCTGAGATCGAACGAATTATGGTCAGTTGCATTGCGAGCAATTCATACAATCCATCTCGCTTTTGCAAGAATTCTAAGACTTTATGCCATTGGGGGGATTCATGTATATTCATGATCATCGAAAGGTAGGGTTTTCCTAGGCATTTGCCCTGAACGATGTATTCACGCAGTCGAACCAACCTTGGCTATACCTATGACATTGACTGAGAAAGGAGCTGTGCAGCCCAGAGCCGTTGGTTTTGACGTTAACAGCCAATTGGAATAATGTTGTTGTGCCTGACCAACACCACAGATACACGAGTCATAAAGATATCTCCTTGAACAGCCGATGTTCTGCACCGCAAGTCACTAAGGGCAGGAAGCTACCCATCCGTTATCTTGATATCGTAGAAAAGGACGACTTGTACGTGCTCTCCATGAACAACTTTGTCGTCTTGTCTCGACCAGCTTGAACCTGACCGTTCAAGAGGCATCGCACTGCCATACGAGTCACCGAGTCCTTGAGTCGATCAAGAGCAAGGATGAGGCTCGTCGGTTGGTGCTGAGGACGTACGTAAGTTATCGGCAGAACGCAGACCGGACTTGCGGGTTTCGGTTGGGCCAAGGGCATCCTGAAATAGTCGGGCTTGGACGATGCGTGATGACCATAACTGTAACGGGCACGCGAGCAACCTACCTGGCGATCCATTTTTGTTTTAGCGTAGAGCGATGAAAGGCCGCAAAATACTCCGTACGAGGAGGACATTTGAGAGTATGGTTGCTTGACTTGTTGGCTTTCACATGAGGGAAGGATTTGAGAGAAGAAACTATTCTTCTGGCTCCCAGTATCACATCTTCGTAGCAGAAAACAAACCCAGTGTCGCCGGCTTCGATACTTCTTCGTTGGGCACGTCGGGGCCTAGAAGGCTCTGCGGGATAAATGGATGAAACTCGCTGATAGCGGTGGTAAGGCCATGATCCCAGCAGTTCAGAGGGTTCTGGTAGTGTGGAAGTACGTGCGTTCGGGTGCAATTAGGTGCAGGCTTAGCACGATAATCGGTCGACTCGGCGGGCCACAAGGGTCGTTCTTGGAACAGGCATCACCCCTGTTCAATAATGAGCCTCCACTCCTTCGCCGGCTTCTTGGGTGCCACCTTCTGCTAGCAGCACCATCATCACCCGTCATCAGCATCACCGCCGCACACCTCTTCTCGCCGGGTGAAATTCCAAGCCTCGAGTCGCCTGCTCAGCCTGATGATCGCTCCACCCATGGACCCTGGCCAATGCCGATCACATGCTGTCGAGAAGCACTTTCAAGATTGCATAGCCTGGCACTGTTCTCTCGTAGAGATCGATGGTTGAGCGTACTCGTCGTACTCGTCCGAGCAATTCAACATGGATTGGTTAGTCGATTGAAACGGTTGATCTCGATCTTGAAAATATTCCCCCTTCCCAATTGCAAGGATAGGCCAATCCTCACGAGATGGGCAACACTTCCAGCCAGTCTAGTCGAACATCTGTATCGACCTGAGATGCGTTCACCCCCACACTAGTACATGTCGGTCCTAGTCGACGCACCTCGCTGCTGACAAGCCACTCTGGAGTGTGCCTCCGACGTCCTAGATTGATGAATTACGGTCCCGTATTCGCAGCAAGGGCTGATTTCAAATCTCTCAGTCGGCACATCAAGAAGAGTTCTTGTGAAACAGTGAAGCGGCTCGCCAGTCCTTGCATCGTCGAGGTGTCGGCATCGCCAATATTACAAGCGAGATTCTCTTTGCAGGATTCGAAAGACAGGGCTTCGTAGCAAGTTGACGGCTTCAAACGGCGTGTGGGATGATCATTGTCCCGCGACACCCTTTGTGAGATTCAGTCCCTCTCTCTTCTACCACCGGATCGTGCCTGCATCATGCACTAGTGACCTCTGCTGTTTTCGAGCCAACGACCGAAATGGGAAATCATGCGAAGTCAGGACATGGTCCTTTGTACAGTGTATGTTGGATCGCGTAGCCACGAGTACCATACCACGTTGTTGGCATATGCGTCGACGTTTGCGGTGGAAGTCCACTCCTGCCTGAAGCGTCAGAAATGGCGCGAAACTTGCATTCTTTATAGAGATTTTCACATCCTTAAGTAATTTTCTTCTTCTACCGAACGCTTCACGATAAGGTGCAAGGAGATCAGCGGAAAAGAAAGTGTTTGTAACGTTGTGATAAGTATCCAAGTGATAGCAGGCTCTTGTTCTCGAGTTCGATAGGCTAGCGAGGCTGTGATAAGGGGAGGTACAGCACGAACTTGGGGTTGATAAGCATCAGTCTGTGCGATAACAGGACAACGTCTTTGCCAAAAGATAAACCGTCCATGGCACTAAGTCAATCAAAGAAGGCCACCACGACTCGATCGGATTCTGTGCCCTTCATAAATTACCATTGAAGACGTTCCTTGGACCATTTCAACTCCCATGTGATTTTAGTGTTACATTGCATGATGTGTCTGCATGTGGTTGCGTGCAGCCTTATCGCTATCCTGGACACAACAATGCAATTGTAGTTTCGATCTGCAGTTCGTTGAGGAATGACATCGTCCACGTTGCCTAGTGACTGACTCGAGTCAAGCGTCAACAACCTCCAGCTGAGAATGTCGTAACGCCTTGTGGAGGCTGTTACCTTCTGCTTTCCACGGCATTGCTTGCTTTGCCCGCTCTCTGGACCACGCAACAAATGTAATTGGCATCGGGGAAAATAATAATCTCTTGGTGTTTGATGCGCAGGCGAAGCAATTGAACCTCGTCCTCGCTATCCCGGAAATCTATCTCTTCGTCAACCACCTCCTTTTTTGATCCGTTGGATATGGCGTTGTATCCTGCTGTTGTGAGTGGTGCGTCTCCACCAAAGATATTACGAGACGTGCTTCCAAGTGTTTGTCCTAAAGAGCTGGCACTGTTGACAAATTGAAATACAGATGCGGCAAGTACTTCTGCTGGCTGTGGCTTGCTGCCAGTGTCATTCACATCCCCTCGTTTGTTTGTTCCGTCCGTATCGGCCTCAGGCCTTGGGTCTTGCTGAGGCGACGTCCACCGGTAGGAAGCATCTGTGCTCGAAGTGGCCGGTTTTCCCAAGCGATCGAGTCCTGTAGCTCGTATGATTGATCCATCTTTTCTCGATAGTATCAGAGTAGACTGCACGTTAGGCCGTTCGGTGAGACCGCGTAGCATCGCATCGATCGAAGGGCCATGTGGATTGTCCTACCGAGCTTGTTAACAACCTGGAGGACGAAGAAACATTCCGGGGGACAGACCTTGCTGATCTGTGCCATGATCGCAACCCAAGATCAACAAGCCGGCTCCGCAGATATGTCTCATAAGTTATCGCATGTCTCTAGGCCGCCGCTGGTAAATGTCTGCAATTTGTTGGAGTTAGGCGAAGCTGCACTAGGGCTGGAACACGAACGGGGAAAAGGAGAGGAGGTCCGGAGAATCTGGGGAGAATGTCGTCGAAGTAAGCGTCAAATGGATCAAGCGAAGGTAATCATCAACGATGAAATCTCGATGAGGTTCATTTACAGTCTGAGATCGTGGCGAGGCCGGCGCAGTGATCCTAGGGTTTCTATTACAACATGAAATGCCAGGCGGAGGACGCAGTTTTGCTGGAATCAGAAAAGAAAAACAACCTGGACAACTCCGCTCCAGCCCATGCGGCTCGGCCCGTTGGGCTAAACCTTAGTCGTCACAAGGCTTGTGCAAAATCTTTTCGATCGCAAAGTCCCAAGTCCCCATGCAAGTACGGAGTACGTACGACTCCGTCATTGCAAATCTTCTACACGACACTCTGTATGCTGTCCTTCCTCCGTTGACTTCACACACACTGTGCTAGGCTTCCGGCAGTCAACATGGGGTCCAGCGCAAAGAAGAAGCGTGAGAAGAAGAAGGATTTTCAGGTCAACCCAGCAATCCCACTCAAACTCCTACCTTGACTAATGTCCTAGCAGAAGCAGAAATTGAAAGTCGGCAAAGCAAGACCAAAGGCTGATAATCATACAGATACCAGCTTTAGGTCCAAAGGTAAGAAGTCTTGAGTCATACGTTGAGATTTATCGGCTACTGATCAGATGCACAGCTATCGTGCTAAATCAACAATTGGACGTCAATGCTCCAACTCAAGCGTCTGTATTCCTTCATCAGGTTTCTCTCCTGAATTCTCGTGCCGATACCCAACGTCGCGATGCTCTGGCGTATTTGACAACATACGTTGCTGCGACACCAGGCGGGAAATCGCTCCCCATCACAATGAACAACTTCCTCACTAGCCTGTGTCCTCTGATGTTGGACGGCTCGGCAGCAGTGAGGACGCAGCTTCTCAAGCTCTTCCAGACGTTGCCAAAGGAAGATGTCAAGGATAATGTCGCAAAGATTCTTCCTTACATTCGCGCTGGTATGACTCATTTATCCAAGGACATTCGGGTATCTTCTATCGAGTTTCTGTCCTGTTTGATTGAGCTGGCAGGATCCGAATTAGTTTCTTGCCCGGGCGGGTGGTATCAAACGCTGCAATGCTTTACCTCCATTCTTGACTGGAAATCGTCCGATCCAACCAAATGGTCGTCTGGCAAGGCGGGTTTTAGCGCTGATGCAAAGTCGACGGCACGAATCATGCAAGTTCTTGCTTTATTTCTTCAACAAGGACTCTCGGGTGATGGGATCTCATCGTCTGCTCCCAATCCTGTGGCGACTGATTTTCCTCTGTGGCACACGGGGTGGATAATGATACCTCAAAAATCCAACCCTTACGCCTATCTAAACCTTTTCGGAGTTCAACAGGATGAAGAAAAGCAGACTCTTGACGACAGAGAAGACAGACTTCGAGTTTACAACAGTCATTTTCAACCGCTCATCGTTGCTGGTATTGAAACCGCAAAGAAAGAGGGCGGGGAGCTTGGGCGCGCTTCGGGCCTATTGGTGAAGACACTCGAGCGCTCTGTAAACAAGTGAGGTGATCTCTGCAGATGGAGACCATTGTCAAGCTACTCGTTATCGACTAGGTCAGTACTTCTCATTCCGAGAAGCCCAGTCGCCTCCTAATCGGCATCTTCGAGAACGACTGCGTCCCCCCAGGCCTCGCAAATACCAAGAGCACTTCGATTCTACGGTACAACCCGAGAGGCGCCCTCTGCTTCACACAATATTGTAATTGAATGCCATTCTGACCACTACATACGACTGTGCCGGCTAGTACATCATACATCATCGGCTCCAAGTTCGTTTGCATGTGTAGAACCTCAGCCATACTCCAGGTTCGCCATCTGAAGCAGCTGCGGACAATGCAAGCGGCGTTCCGGAAGAAGTATTGACCAACACCTATGGAGCATACTAGAGCTATGAGTGAAGGCTTTCGAGAATCTCGACATCAAAGGTCTTTCTCTACGCTTTCTCTCCTGGCAATCGCACGCTCGCCCACTCTTTCTCTTCAACGCCTTTCCATTCGTCCCTGTCAAACCAACCTATATAATTTCTGTCGCCAAACCCACCGATCCAATAAACCTCCATTACCACCATCCTCATCCAAAGGCCTTTATGTGCCGCCCATTTCTTGCCTGGCAGCCACATCACACTGTCACCGTGTACCCTTGTAAAGCAGCTTGGAATATTGTGGCTCTCAACTTCTTCTGCAGTCATCTCCTCAAGATATCCTATCATACTTAGTCGAGGCAGATTTGCAGCCGACCAGGGTTGCCTGTGTGTTAGGTGCACGTACTCGTCCCACCACGACAGAGAGAGCGACACATTCGACCCTGCCACGGCATTCTTCGTTGACGTTGACACAGTGAGCGCTAGTAAAGTTGGATTGCCGCTCGGCTCTTCACATGAGGCAATATAATCCGGCAGCCCAATCGGGGTGTTGGCGACATCCGCAGGCACGCGAGACGATGTTGTGTTCTCTGGGAAGACGGTTGTTAGAACTCCCGTTTTCGAAAGGCCGAGAAGGCGTCGACCGAGGACGGTGGATTCATAACGGGAGGGAATCCGTAAAGAACTTTCATCTTCGTCAACGAAGGCGGGATTAAAACTGTCAACGTCACTCGGGTTGTTGATCTCGGACTGGATTTCTAGCCGAGGCAGCTGAAGTTGCTCCGGTGTTTCAACTGGAGCACAACCGGCATGAGAAGTGAGCAGTAGTACCATCGAGACGATTGCTCTGGGGACGTGCATCTTGAGTAGGGTCACTGAAGACTTGGATATCCGTTGATCCTTGTGGATTGGAGGAAAGTATGAGGTGGTGTTAGAAATCCAAGCTCTTTACAATCCAAGTCGAACGTATGCCTTCTCTGTGCTGTGTTTGCACTTCAAAATCGTCGTGGTAGTACGTTGCGTTCGCAAAAATGGGCAATGGCTATCTTTAGGTCTGCTGCCAGTGTTTTCCCCGGGTCGTTCTGTGGCCAAAGAGATCTGGTGGTAGGGTTTGTGATTCGACCGAGGACTTGTCGGTTTGATAGGAAACAATCGGCCGGATGTGTTGGCCAACAAAACGCGGTCTGTCTTGAATCCTGTGCTCATCAAGGTGCTACAAGTCTCACGGTGAGCAACGGCACAGATAGGTTTCAATCCGCAGGCAGCGAGGGCTCGGGGGTGAAGGTTGTCTGTCTCATGTGAGAAGCGTTGTCAAGTGATTCCTGCAGCCGATATCGCATCAAATCTTATCTTATCGCGTGACCTGCTTCGAACTTGGCAATCAGATAGTATCATTGACGATCCCAGAATGAACTTAACGTTGTACACATCGCGCTTCACTTTTGGCCATGGCTATAAGAAGATATTGATGGCTCCGAATCATTACCAAGATTTGGGATCTCAACCTATGTCGTCAAGGTAAATTGACAATGCCTTTCTGTATGACGCTGATTGTTCTACAACGCTGGCCGGGGTAACGCGGGCGAGGGACTAGGTTGACCTAAGAAAAGAAAGAAAAGAAAAACGAGTGCTTGTTTGTGTCTACTTTCTAGAAGATTTTTTTTGGCAATCGTAACAAGAAAGCAATCAGATCAGATCGTTATCGTCTATAACTTTGCACGCAGACCACTCTCCTTGCCATCGTCCTTGAGCCCCTTGATGATCTCCAAAGCGCCATTCTCACCACTCCGGACCGCCCCTTCCATGTACCCTCGCCAGTAGGTACTGAACTCTGTGCCGACGAAATGAAGATTGCCGGCTGGCGCACAGAGGGCCTCCCAGCCGTCACCCAGTACTCCAGGCGGCATTGACGGACAGGGGCAGCCCCAACCGGCATACTCTTCGCCCATCCAGGGCGACTCGTACACTTCCTTGAAGTATGGAGTCACGTCTTCTCCGCCCGCGAGCATCTGGCTGATCTGTCGCAACACCGTCGACTTCTTGGTCGCTTCGTCTAGCGCGGCCCACCTCCGCCCAAACTTCCCGCCGATGAAACACGTCAGGCAATGACTGTCGTCACCGATGCTGGTGTCTCGGAAAACCGAGACCGGGCCCGTGAACGATTGTGCCAGGCCACAGAGGCCTCTCTCCGCCCAGAACGGCTTCGAGAAGCTGATGATGTATTTCGTGTAGAAGCCGTACCGCGTCTGGTTGAGCACGGCGGTTTTGGCCGTGGGAAGCGGCGGGGAGAACTTTATCGTCTTGTAAACAGGTGTCGGGACGGAGACGATCACTTTGCGGGCTTGATAAGTTTGAGCTTGTGGCGCTTTCGCCGACACGGAGACCACGCCATTTGATTTCTGTTCGATGCCGACGACCGGGCTGTTCAATTTCAGTGAACCGGGCTTCAGCTTCGATGCCATGCCGTTGCAAAAGGCCTGCGTCCCTTCCCGAATTCGCAAGTACTGACCACCATCCTTGCAGTCGGATCGCATGGTCATGAGCCCTCCGCCGGCTGCACAGTATTCGATGAAACACAACGCCGACACGTCTGAAGGATCGACTCCGAGCATGGCATGCGTCCAGACCTGGGCGGTGGCAAAAGCTTTGTCGGTCACCTTTGACTCGCGTAGGTATGTCTCGAATGAGATCGAGTCGAGATGTTTGCGCTGCGGCCCTGCTGTGAAGATTGACGGCGATGTGCTGGTGGAGAGTTTCTCGACCAGGTCTCGGATAGCAATGCATGATTCCGTGTCTTGTTTGGATGGATACTATTGAATCTTGGTCAGACCCTGAGACAGTCTCTCACACTAGGACTCATTGACAACTTACCTGAGGCACTTCACCGTATGGAAATTCGACCAGGGTCCCGTCCAAGTCCTGCACCACAACGTTTCCCGTGGTGTTTTGAGTATACGTGTGCAACCCGAGCTCCTGTGCCAGCTCCCACATTCGACTTTGATTTGTATCATTGATCCAGGCGGCCCCTAGATCGGACTTGATCTTACCATTGCTGTCCTTGAGCGTCAACGTCTTGCCACCGACCCTGTCACGTGCCTCGAGGACAAGGTACTTGAGTCCCTCACGCTGCAGCGTCAGTGCGGCTTGTAGGCCAGCAAGACCTGCCCCCACCACGATGGCGTCGTACATTGCGAATCTGCTGTTGAGATTTGCAGGTCAATGATATCTATCAGTCGCACACGAAAATTGCCAACCGATACCGCAATTCGCCATATTTATATATATATGTGAATATTTGGTCATTCCATGAGTGGAGTTTGGCCTCGGAGCTGGCATTCATTCTGTGGCAGTTTATGAGCGAGCGCCCTTCTCCGCTGGAGAAATTCGGAACTCGATTGTCTTTATCTCGGAACTCATCATTCTCAGATCTTCTCTTTCCGGCAGTCGACGGCGATGGATTCCCCTTCTCTGAGGTTGGTGAATTTCGAGGATTCCAGTGTAAGGTTGGGAGTATGGCGCTGTGGACGAATATTTCTCTCGGCGCGCGTGAGTCACCATGACTCAATCTGAACGATATTCCTTTGGGAGTAGCAAACCCAGCAGGTAGGGGTCGCTTCGGTCGCATCATGGCTGGTAAATGCCCGCCCAAAGGCCAGGCCGTGCCGTAGGAGTTATCTTGACCATGGACTTGGAGCAATACAAAGAATGGGAGAAGACTCTTGGGGGTTTTTTGTCTTACCTGGGAAGCGGTATTGTTTTCCAGTCAAAACGAATCTCGTCGCCGGTGTAAGTTGAAAACTCGGACCGTTTGGACTCGACATGCACTTGCTATCTGTCAAAGCTATCGGCGACCTGATCTTGAGCAGAGAGCGTCGCGTCTCCTTCACTGGCTGGGGCGCAGAACTTCGAACCAAGCATCTGTGAGCTACGGCAGATGACAAGATGAGCCCCATGGTCAAGAAGAACAAGAACCTAACGACGCGCCATCAGTTTTTACAGCAAGACCACAAACAAGAAGCCCCTGGAGCGCAGACTCTGAAGGCGCGTTTGAAGGAAAAGCCAGCGGTCGATAAAGATGCTGGTGGTGCAGCAACTCACGGGCCTATTGACGCGTTCGGGATTGTTGCTGTTGAACGGGAGCACTTTCGATATTGAACGGTCAAAAGATGACGCTCTCTGAGGCTCTCATCCTTGATACCGTCTGGATAATTCACCGCACCCGTGGCCTGATGGGATCGAGGGAGTTCAGGCTTCGATCGTTGTCACTGAGGCACTGCCTGAGCTCACTTCGATCAAAGGACACACCTTTCATCAGCGTTTATTGAAGAGCATTGTCTTTGATGTGGATATTGATCTTTTCACACGTCACCCCTCTGAAAGGATCACTCTGAGAGGCAGTGATCGAGGGCGACACAGTGAATGAAAGTACGGAGTCTGTGAAATCTCTGCAGTATCAACAACAATGCCTGCACTCTTCAATTCACTGCGTCGACTGCACCAGGCTTCTGCCACGTCCTTCTCAACTTCTCTTCCACTTCCACTTCCTCTTTTCCATTTCCACGTTCGAAAGACACGCTTCGCTTGCTACAAACATCTCGTCAACTTGCCCAAAGCGTTTCTTTCCTCTATTTCCTCTGCTCTTCGATCTTCCCTTTCCCTCCGATAACAAACTTACCTCCAAAATGAAGACCAGCCAGGTTTTCCGCATTTCGGCCCAGACCAAGGGCGCGACCTTCACGAGCCGAATCAGCCATGGCATTTCAAAGCCATTTCGTGCTCCGCCATCACCAAAATGGGATGGCAAGATTATGAAGAAGGTGGCTGCCGCCGCCAAGTCATCATTCCACCGCGTCCCCCTCTCCAACTCCCCAGTAAGTTCAAATCCCGACCCTCGCCTCTGTCAAAATGATTGATGAAACACCATGGACACTTGTCCTTGTGTCTTCCTTCATTTCAGCGGAACATCGTGGTTGACGCATTTGCAGATCCCGGCCTTCAAAAAGACAACCAGACAATCCCCACGCCTGGACTTGGAGCGTTGCCTCGAGGCATTCCAAGCGGTCGTGTGTGCACAGAAAGAGCGGGTTCACAGAATTGAACCAGGAAAGGAGGCAGCAGCAGCTGTCTCGCCACCAACCAGCCCTTGCCCATTTGGGCGCCCGGAGATATACTACTCTACAGGGCTTCAGGGTGGGGACTCCGTCTGGGCTTGTCCCTGCTTTCGACCAACCTCAAGGACGACGTCCTGGGGCGCAACAGACCACTTGAGACGCCAAGAGGCGATCAAGGAAGGTCGGCCGTTTCAATGGCCACCACTCCGGTACCCAGAACCGGAGGCCGTGCCTGAGGATGAGAGGTGTGCCTATTGTCGGGGATGGGCAACGCCTATGGATATCGATGACCCATTGGAGTTGCTTCCAACGCACTCCGTGGGCGCAGAGGACTTTGACTATGGCGATCCAATGGACCTCGACTAATGGACAATATGAGTCCACTCCTCGTGAGAAACGAGGATCAACCGGGTTTATGGAGGACCACCTGAGTTGAGCTAAAAGAATGCTCACCAGGTAATAGTCAGTCCCACCTCAGGCACGGGCAGGTCGATGCAGGGACTCTCGATGGGGGCAGGTTGGAGACGACGGACTCCTTCTGCAGGCAGGAGGAGTTCCATGAGGACGGTGTCATTGCCAAGATCGGGAAGGTGCAGAACCGGGAAGGGGGTGTAGGATAGCGAGGACAAGACTGAAGAAAGCTTGCAGCGAAAGAGGAGGTTGGTTGTCAGGAATTCGTCGTTGCCAACGTCGGGCAGGTGGATGGATATGGATGGGAGGGTACTTGAGAGGAGCAGCAGGCTTCCTTGAAGGAGCAACGCTCATCTTTCCCCTAGAAAGAGGAGGAATCACAGGACATCATGGGAAGATGAGGCAGGACCTCGGGGGGTTTGAAAGCTGTTGGGACAAAGGCAATGGCGGGCTGGGATGATTCCAGGGTGATTGATGAATCTTTCCGCTTTGATTTTGGTTGGAGCAGTATGTGGTCGACTGCCAGTAACAGCAACCAAAAGGGTCAACTAGATTTGCAGACAAAAAGAATGTCATTGATTCCTTTTACCAAATTTCAGGCACATTGCTGAGTTTGTCCTTTGTTCGATGGCAGCAGCTTACAGCGCAGCGCAACCCACTGTAAACAACTGGTATGTGGGCATGATGAGCCTGGGTTAGGCTGCTAAAAGTCCACCAGGCAGTTTTTGGGTGGATTAGCTAACTACCAGTAGGGGTCTTCTCGAATCGAATCATGTCTTGTCACCCACCGAGGTTCAAATCTTTAAATTTGAACGTGGGCATCTTTAGAAGGTTGTTGTTTCCCCTTTCCAAGGGTTGAGCGGTACCGGTGCAGTGGTGCTATGCAAGTCTGCCCCGTTGATTCCATGGTTCGTACGTCCGCATTGTATGGTCTGAAGGATGCTGGTAAGAAAAAAGCCACCGCTCGCGTCAGTCGACGTCCAATTACACAATCTAAATAAGATGGTTCCGTGTGAGAATGAGAGAGAGAGCGGTACCGATCTTGACGAAAGGAGCGTCGTTGGTGGACTATCGATAAGCAAGTGCATAGTTGCTCGGCATTTAAAGGGGGACCACCTACTGGTATAGGTAAAGACCCATTTACCTAGGCGGATATTGCAGCCCCTCGCCATGATCGCTTCTCGGGTTTACACCACTGTACCTAGTCTTTACAGTACCCCGGTACCTAGGTGCCTACCTAGACCTAGGGAAGTACAGGTGGTATTGGGGGCCATGACTGTAGTGTATGTACGAATGCTGAAGAACTAACAAAATACCTACCCAGGTACCTAGCCTTAATCCGATAGTCACCTATTGAGCATGGAGTACTCGTAGTCTGCATTACTTCGTACAGTAGCTAGTATCAAACATTATCAATATTTTACCTACCCTGAAAGACACCTTCGCGCGGTTCCGCTTGTGAGCACCAAGACGCAGTAGCTACTAAACTATTTCTTGCAAGGCCAAAGCTGGATACAGATATCATTCATGTTACTTATCATCAGGCCCGTAGTTTTGTGTTCACTTATTAGGTCTGTTCTTTACTCTTAGATCCCAATGATTGAGAATTGCGAGGAGTAGTGAGGATATGGATCGATGCTCGGAGGGCAATGGTGGTGAAGCTCTTGAGGGTACTGACGCCCCAAGCCTCGAGCCTCAAGCCTGAAGCCTGAAGCCTGAAGCGCTCCCGCACTGCGGGGTTTCGGGTTGTAATACCTCATTGTATACGGAGTACGGAGTACCCTACTTACTAGGTAGGTAGTAGTTAGTGTAGTCCGTAATAAGCCATTGTGAAGCGATCTATCTCTCTTACTCCGGAGCTCCTCGTCCCTTCGTCATCCCTCGATCCATAGTTTTCATTACCCTTACCACTTACAACTTACCACTAAGACCACCTGCTTCCCTGTAAGCGAGTCGAACAGCTCGACAACTCCTCACCACCATGGCCAGAGCTGCTCGACTCAATTATCCATAAAATGCCTGCTAGACCCTCCCGTCTTGTTCGCAGCCATGGGATCCGTCCAGCTGTCGTTCTTCAAACTACTCAGACCACTGACACCAGTTAGATCCGCATTTTTTGAGTTCTTGTCCTTTACATCTATCTTGCCCGTGCAGTCTTCTTTTTCTTGTGTGTGACATTGCCATTTTCCCCCTTTCTACCTCTCACACAACATCAAGTTCAAACAGATTACTCTGTACATATCTATATATATTCATAACCTACACTCAAATCACACGACCGAGATAATGGGAAGAGAAGACATCGAATTCAAGACCTCGGATAGGGTCACCTTGAGAGGATGGTTCTACAGCAGTGAGCTCGCGACTTCGCCCAAATCTCCATGTCTGGTCATGTCCCATGGCTTCTCAGCCCTGAAGGAGATGGACCTCAACACCTTCGCTGAACATTTCATCTCAAAACTTCCGATCCATTGCCTGGTTTATGATAACCGTGGATTTGGTGACAGCGATGCCGCCGAGGGTGAACCACGGAGCGAGATCGTCCCCATGACCCAATGCAGCGACATGTCGGATGCTATCACGTACGCAGCCTCGAGGCCCGAGGTCAATGCGGACAAGATTGGCATCTGGGGATCGTCTTACAGTGGTGGCCACGTTCTTTATGTCGGCGCCGCGGATCGAAGGGTGAAGGCCGTCCTCAGTCAGGCGCCCTGCGTGAGTGGTTGGGATAACTTTAAACGCCTCGTGCGAGGGGACTTTGAGGTCGGATTCAATGCGGCCTTTGCAGCAGGTGAGCTAATATACCCTGGACCATCCATCTGCTCCTCCATCCTCACGGAAACTGACCGACCGTGAAAATCCAGATCGACAAGCGAGAGCAGAAGGCAAAGAACCGATAATGGTGCCTGTGGTTGATGCTGACCCACTCAAGCCATCTGCCCTGCCTACACCTGACAGCTACGAATTCTTCTCTGCCTGGGAGAAGAAGTGCAACTGGAAAAATACTGTGACCATGAAGACGTAGGTACCTCTTTTCTGCAACCATTTACGCACGATAGTACTGACGGGCTATGCAGTGTTGAGCTCTTTAGGGCCTATGAACCACAGCAACTTATCGACAAGATCTCACCGACGCCCCTACTCATGACTATCGCACGTGGTGATGTCCTTACCCCGGCTGATTTGGCGTTGGGCGCATTCGCTCGCGCCAGAGAACCCAAACAACTGCAGCTCTTGCCGTGTGGACATTTTGAAGCTTACTCTGGCCCGTACTTCGAGCGAAACGCAGGGACCCAGACCGAGTTCTTGAAGAAGTGGTTGGTCGAGGATTGAAGAGGTGTCTTGGGTTCTCGTCAGACGGACAGCATTGAGATGAGATGAGAGTTTCATAGCCACAAATTGCACAGTTTATCTAATACAAACTTTGGACATACAGAATATCAATACTCTAGTATTTAAATTGACAATGTGAATGTGGATAGTCTTTCTATCCACAAGTGCCAGCCTCGTTTGCTGCGAGTAGACATAGCCTCGTCGGCAGCCTGGACGTCATAGTATTAGTCAGCGAAGATATGATGCCTTGTCACTTCATCTCATGGAACTTTCTAACCATACATTGTGGTTGCCTATTGTTTGGTACCGACAATGATGGAAGTTAAATTCATTATCCTGATTGCTCGATGATAGACCATGGCCGACTCCGAATCTGTCATTTCGGCTTCGGACGAGTCGAAAGCAGGGTCGGTACCGCCCAGTCAAGATGGTACACGACCACAGCGGAACGAAATTAATCAACAAACGTCGTCGTCGCCGGTTCTTAGCACTACATCTAGTTTGAAGAATGTAGTTTTGCACCGGAGGGAAAGACCAACTGAAGATGACGAGTCGATAGCTTCGTATGAATCATCACAACAAGCGTATATGGAAGATGGGGTCACCAAGTCAAACTTTCCTCTCTCGAAACGAGAGAAGAAGGCGATACTCAGGAGGAAAGGTGGCTCAGCCGACGAGGAACTGCTCATAGACACCACGGAGGCCCTCACCCTGAACTCGAAGAAGACGGCACGTTTGCAGAAGAAGCAAGAAAAGAAACAATCGCGCACCAAAGTCCACTCGCACATCCAGTCCTTTCTCGATTTCCCTCCGGAGATCCTGTCGCTCATTTTGGGTTTCCTCCGCCCGAGCGACGTTTTTGGTCTGGCCCGACTGAACCGTTTCATGCGCGACTTCATCCTCGAAAACGAGAGGTCGATCGCCGAGCCCATCATGGCCCGACGCTACTGGGTGCTGAGACAGTGTTTTCCTTTGCCCGTGTTGTTGGAACACGTCCCCCCAACGGCACGCCCTGTCCTCCTCAGCCCTCAGTGGCAGGACCGAATCAAGATCCACCGAAACCCGTACCAGCACATCAAACAGGTCGACCCGGAGATCATATGCACGTGCATGAGTTGTCTCTTGGCTTGGAACAACCTCAACATCGTCCTGGATCTCGCCCACTGGCAGCGCAACTTTGAAAACAGAGAACCTTTGCCCATCATCCCTCGAGGCAAGAATCCCGAGTGGAACACCAAGCTCCTCTCCTGCAATGCCGATATCGTGGTCAGAGCCGTCCACAGTCCGCTGGCGCACGCACGAATCCTACAGACCCACCTCAACGTGACCACGCGCACCATCGTCCGGTCCGCGAGGTGGCGAAAGAAGGGCGAGAAGACCACCACACCAAAGCCGCGACTGTACCATCTCACGGACGACGAAGCCGAGACGGGAACGGATGAGTATCTGGAAAGGAGCGGTCCGCCGTCGTACCAGCCCATCTACATGCGGGACAACTATTACAACGTCGAGGCGTTTGTGCCCAACAGAAAATGGGACAAGGAAAGCCAGAGATGGCATTATTACTCCAAGTGGCCGAAGCCACACGAGAACGATTTGGCCTGGCTCGTTGCTCGATTTTCTTCGTATCAGGTTCGGGTTCAGGCTCAAAAGCAACCAGCCACACAACCACTACCGAATTGGGGATCGTCAAGCTGACCTTGATTGAAAGATACAGTACTTCCTGTACATCTACATGGAAGCTCACGATCTGTTCAACATATTCAGTGCACGACTAGACCGCCGTCGACTAGTTTGTGACTTGGTTACACTTGAACAAAAAAAGCCCATAACACAGATGGTACCTTCATGATGACTCAACATCCCATTCAATCACCTCACCTTGTCCACTCAACCAGGGTTTACATGCATGCCAAAGTCTCTGCAACTCTCCGTTCCCAAACTCAAGTAATCTCTCCGAAGCCTGCTCGTCAACACGTTGGAACCAAGCGAGGAATGCCACGACGATGAAATCTGGATAACTCGGCACATCACCGTTTATGAATGGACCTCCTCCTTTACCTTTAGACAACATGTTCGTGATCGACTCCAACTCCCGGGTCATTTCTACCCACAATTGTGTCGCCTCTGTTTCCGACTTGGGTCCAAGCTCATCCAAGGCCTCGACTCCGAACCACGTGGTCCTTGTGTCGACAAAGTATTTCCTCCCGCGTTCGTCCAAAACTTTGGGAACTCGAGGCAAAATCAGCCTCCTCGCAACCCCCACGGCACGAGTGATGCACCGCTGCACCTCTTCAGTTTGCTTGTCACTCTGTTGGAAGGGGAACAAGACCTTCCAATTGGGCGGGGGGAAACAAGTGTCTAGCGCCCGCGCGATGGGGAGTGTCCCACAGACAGCCCTTGACGCTTCATAGTCGAGCTTTCCTTGTAAGGCCAGATTGAGCAGGAAACTACCTGTGGTTTGAAGGGACTCATGGTTTTCAGGAACGGTCTCGATGAGGATCACGGGAAGTGTGTACTTCGGTGAAGATTGTGTCTGGCCACGGTTCTGGGTGGCGGGCAAACCTAGGTCTGCATAGAGGGCCTTGATGTCGGCATAGGAGATGGCAGACTCTGTGTAGTCGATGCGCTTGTAGTTCAGGGACAGGCGGGTCCGGATGGTATTGGGTGAGAACGGTCCGACTAGAGATTTGATGTCGAAGAAATGGACACGTGGTGGACGTGTGAGTTTGCCGAATAGACGAGTGAATGGTGGCATTTGGTATAGAGTATTCTTGCCAGGCTGACAAGATGAAGAGGTCTTGTCTGCCTGGGTACTTGGAAATCCGTCTCAAGAGCCTCCAGCTTGCCAAGTATCAGATGCACAGTGTCATCGATGATCTTTGTCCAATGTTCATTTCACATACGGGGTAATCAAACATGGGGATATCCGAAGTAGAGAGTGAACTCCAGGCTTTCTCCCTAGATACTCAAGCCTCTCGGAGGGTTATTTGACACTCAGCTCTTGACCCTTGCCGCCATTTTGAGAGACAAAGATTCCTCACGCGGCATGCCTGAGAGATGGAGTAACACGACTTAGTCAGGTAGTCGAACTTCCAAATGGAAGTACGGGTGTTTCTAGTCCCTCGTAGTAAAGAGACATGGAGTCCGTGAAGACGGAGTAAGGATTCCTCGGTGATCTCAAAATCCCGATAAGCGATAAGCAAGAAATTTCTCTACTGGGCAAGTTTGCCGGCTCTCACTCCGCTAGAAGAGAAACATTTTTTGTCTCTGCGGTAGCGAATCGTTCGACTGCGAATTCATATCCCAGAAAAAAAGTCCAGTACACATACTCGGTACTTTCTTTTGACGCCTTTGTACGGCCATCTCTCCTCAAATTCCTCCTTCTCTTCTTCCTCGTCCTTCGTCTAGATTTTACATTCTGCCTTGACGTCGAATTGCCTTTCTTTTCAACCTCTCGCCCAACATGTCTTCCGACGAAATCGTCTGGCAAGTCATAAACCAGCAATTCTGCTCGTTCAAATTAAAGTAAGCAAGAACCGAATCAATTCTTGGGGGGATTGTAGAAAACGTTGGCTAACACTTTTTTTGCTCGACAGGCTCAACACCAAAGAACAAAACTTTTGCAGAAACGAGTACAACCTGACTGGGTTTTGCAACCGACAGTCTTGTCCACTTGCGAATTCACGCTACGCCACCGTCCGACCAGACCCTGAGACGGGCGCCCTGTGTCTTTTCATCAAGAGTCCCGAACGAGCCCACCTGCCCTCGAAATGGTGGGAGAAGATTCGCTTGCCGAACAACTACGAAAAGGCCCTCGCCCAGATCGACGACAAACTGGTGTACTGGCCGAAATTCTACATTCACAAGTGCAAGCAGCGGCTGACGAGGTTGACACAAGTGGCCATTCGGGAAAGGAGAATCGCAAAAGAGGAAGAGAGGCTGGGTGAGAAGTTGGTCCCCAGATTGGCGCCCAAGGTGCGTCGCAGGGAAGAGACGAGAGAACGCAAGGCCGAGAGTGCGGCCAAGGTCGAGAGGGCGATCGAGAGGGAACTGATTGAACGATTGAGGAGTGGGGCGTACGGTGATCGGCCCATCAACGTCGAGGAGGGCGTGTGGAAGAAGGTGTTGAGGGGCTTGGAGAGAGCCGAGAAGGGAGAGGAAGAGGAAGACATCGAAGCCGAAGAGGAGGAAGAAATTGAAGGCGAGGCCGAGGTCGAGTACGTTTCGGATGTCGAAGAGAGTGACGGCGAAGAAGCAATGGAAGATTTCGACGATTGGTTCGGCGGAGAGAGTCCCGATGAAGATGAATTTTCCGACGAAGGTGACAGCGATGAGGACAGCGACGAGCCCAGCGATGATGAAGGTGAAGATGACGAGGATGATGCCAGCGCTGTCGTTGGCAAGAAGAGGAAGCGAGCAGTACCACCACCTTCGAAGAAGAAACAACCCAAGAAACGAGGCAAGGTGGAGATTGAGTACGAGACCGAGTTGCCACAAAAGCAGGCACTCTATGCTTGAGCGATTGGGACAAAGCACGCAAGCACGTTTATGAACCATTCATTGTCAGTTTTAAAAGCAGTTTTAAAAGCAGTCATTCTCATAGCATGAAGGAGTTTGGGGAGGCATCTTCAATATTTACATTTCGTGCCTGTTCACACGGAGTATATACCTGACCTCGGTACGTATATACGTGGTAGCGATATGTCGAGATTTGTTGTTATTGTGTCATTGCGACCCATCCACTTCAGGCATGAGCCTTTCGACAGATTCCTTTGACGTATCGAAAGACCTTTGGTGTGAGGAACACCAAGTCAGTTAGCACTCTCTCCCCCCCGTCTACCATGCATGAACGAACGCAGGAACCGGAAGTAGCAGGTACATACCTCGTATCCTTTGTAATCACCGATGGTGGAGATATTTCTATCCTCCCATCCACCCATGCCCAACACGATCTTGTCCACTTTGCCTTTGAGTCGACACCCGCCCATGAACACTGGCCAGATCCAATCGATACACCAGGCGTAAGACATGGTGATGGTGTCGGTGTTGTTCTCGACGTGCTCGAAAAAGAGAAACTCTCCTCCGGGCTTGAGGAGGGCCTGCACGACGGCCACGGTCGCTGCCAACTCGGCTTGGGGCGCCGAACACATTGACTTGATGGCGACGACGGTGTCGAAGACTCCTTCTTCTGGTATCAGACTATTACTACTCGATGTCGTCGCCGTGCCCTTGCCGGTGCCGACAAGCAAATTTGCCTTCTTCAGGGCCGGTAGTAAACTAGCAGGTTGAGCTCCGGCCTCGAGAGGGATAAACTTCCCCCACAATTTCTTCTCGGCCACCTCGGTCAATTTTGGGTGAAGAAAGGCGTTGGGTTCCGCTCCGTACAGAGTCTCGATTTGGTTCGGTTTGTAGTGAAACATTTGATCGCCCGCTCCCGGTCCGAGTTCGAGGACCGTACCGTGGGCCCTGGACATGAGCGCCTCGATGTGGTCGACCTGGACCTCGGAGGCTGCCATCTTGGGCCCGATGACACGCCAGAAACTCTCGAACCATTTTGACCGAAAGGTTCTGGGGGATGTAATAAACAAAAGAGGATGAAAGACCAAAGTGATGGGCAGGTAACCTATTGAGATGCCGAGGAGGACCAAAGGGTCAAAGTAGGCTTGTAGTCGGGCAAGAATTGGGACACCCATGGTGTGATAATATAGGTAACACTCTCAGGATGGAGGGGAGAAAGAGATTGAGATGAAGGAAAAAGCACAGAGTCTTCCTATTATATATCCTACCTTTTTGTATCGTAAGAAAAAGGGCACCCGAGGGTATTGAACATGAAGAGATACGAGATATTGGAGAAGGGTCAACGCCAATACTTGGACTCAGTAATACGGGATACGAGATGAGGCTGTTGAGGCTGCTCGCTATAGGGCGCGGGCAAAAAAAAAACGAGGGGCAGATAGAATGCAAGGTACGGGAAACTCCGCTATCGGGCTGCGGGCAGATGTTTGATATTTTTTTGGTAGACACTCAGCGGTGACTCGTTCGACTCATTTTATTTTGTTCCCCAAAAACACAACCCAAAGCACGAGAGCAGTTATATCTAGAAAACAAGCAAACATGGCATCTCTCACCACATCCATCCAGTCTAAACTGGGCTACTCGTCCAAAAAGGCTTTGCTTTTGGGTGCTGGCTTCGTCACCAAACCCACCGTTCAGATCCTGGCCGATGCAGGTGTTGAGGTAACAGTCGGTAAGTCTTTGCTTTGGGCTTTCAATGACAAAGTCGTCCATGGTCTTTCGCTAACTATCATAACCCCAGCCTGCCGAACATTGGACAGCGCAAAGAAGCTCTGCGAAGGTATCAAAAACACCAAACCGATCTCGCTGGACGTCTCCAAAGATGCCGATCTCGACGCCGCCGTCGAGCAGAGTGACCTGGTCATTTCTCTGATCCCTTACACCTTCCACGCCGCCGTCATCAAGTCGGCGATCCGCAAGAAGAAGAACGTGGTGACGACGAGTTACGTCTCGGACGCCATGAAGGAGTTGGAACAACAGGCCATCGACGCGGGCATCACGGTCATGAACGAGATCGGTCTGGACCCTGGCATCGACCATTTGTACGCCGTCAAGACCATCGAGGAGGTCCACAAGGCCGGAGGCAAGATCAAGTCCTTCTGGTCCTACTGCGGTGGTCTGCCCGCCCCCGAGGCGAGCGACAACCCTCTCGGTTACAAGTTCTCGTGGTCGAGCCGGGGTGTCCTGCTCGCCCTCCGCAACGCCGCCAAGTTCTACGAGGGCGGCAGCGTCAAGAACATCGCCGGCCCCGACCTGATGGCCAGCGCGAAACCCTACTTCATCTACCCCGGTTTTGCTTTTGTCGCCTACCCCAACCGGGACTCCACGCCGTACAGGGAACGCTACAACATCCCAGAGGCCGAGACCGTCGTCCGGGGCACGCTGAGGTACCAGGGTTTCCCTGAATTCGTCAAGGTGCTGGTCGACATTGGTTTCCTGTCGGACGCCGAGCAGCCGTACCTCAAGCGCTCCGAAAAGCCAATCTCATGGGCCGAGGCGACCCAGAAGATCATCGGGTCCTCGACCAACAAGGAGGCCGACCTGACCTGGGCCATTCAGTCAAAAACGAAATTCAACGACACCGCCGAAAAGCAGCGCATCATCTCCGGCATGAAGTGGTTGGGTCTGTTTTCCGAGAAACCCATCACCCCCCGCGGCAACCCCCTGGACACCCTGTGCGCCACCCTGGAGGAGAAGATGCAGTACGAGGAGGGCGAGCGTGACATGGTCATGCTGCAGCACAAGTTCGAGATCGTCCACAAGGACGGCAGCACCGAGACGAGGACCAGCACTCTGGTCGACTACGGCGACCCCAAGGGCTACAGCTCCATGGCCAAGCTGGTCGGCGTCCCCTGCGGCCTCGCGTGCTTGATGGTCTTGGACGGCAGGATCAACAAAAAGGGAGTCTTAGCCCCCGTCACCTGGGACCTCGCCGAGCCTTTGCTCGTCGAGTTGAAGGAAAAGTATGGAATCTTTTTGACCGAGAAGACTATTGAATAGATCCGTCATTTTAGGAACCGACAAAGAGGTGAAAAAAGGGAAAGAAGTTACGTGATGTGACATGGGCGTTTTTATGGGATTGGCATTTACCGAGGAATACTCGTATGTAGTCAGTTCCGGGCTCGGGCTGTGGCTATCGAAATGAGAATGAGACTGAGAAAAGCTGAAAAAGATTCACCAACTACTCATCAGACAAGTAAATACTCTGAATTAAGTTCACATTCAGACGTATGCCCTTTGTGTCGTTTGATGCACGAAATCCCGACTCTTGGGCCGACTCGTTTCAAGAAAGCAACGCAAATACATGTTTCTTCTGTACTCCCATACTCTTCCCTGAGTTTAGTAAACTTATGGGCGGGAGATTCTTTTCCCCCAGCAAAGGTACCTGGGTACGGTATCCATCAAAGTTAGGGAAACAAAAACCTCCCCTTCTTCGACCAGGACGATGTTTCTTCTCCTTCTTCGTCACCATTGAACCGATTCCATTGCCAGAGGCCATATAGTCGTAGCTTTGTAGGTTAATGAGCTAGGTTCTGCAGGCAGACTTGATCAACTCTCAATCCGAAGACTTTCGGAACGTCCTCCGAGGGGCCTCCTCATCAATGGCCCATGAGTCTTGGACTTCGCTACGACTGACCTGGTTGTCTGAACCCCTTCTACAAGAAAACCATTCAATCCGCTAGATATATCGTCACGGCCTCTGCTCCCTGACTCGCTTCTTAGCTTTCCAGACACTTCTGCTATTCCAACCACCATCCATGGCAGCGCAGACGCACAGTCCGAGTGATGATGCCATCCTCCGGCAGTATTATCGCGACTTCATCTCGGGTAGCCACATTCTTCACTTTCACAATGTCCTGGACGCCTTTGGGCACCTTTCATTCCGGCACCCTTTCAATCCAGGCGTCTTCGTCATGTCTCGGAACGCGGCTCCAGGCACGATTTCTTCTCCTGGGGATTTGATCGCGTACCGCGTCGAAGATGCTCAGCCCGTCGACCCCAACGCGGCTCCTGGGTTTCTGGAGCGATGTATCCACGGCGAATGCTACAAAAAGTACCCTTCCGTACAAAGTGTGATTCACAGCCACTCCGAGGCCGTGGTGCCGTACAGCATCAGCGGTGTTCCCCTGCGGGCGTGCTACCACATGGCCGGCTTCCTCGGTGCCAGTGTGCCCGTCTGGGACATCGCGGAAGCGCAGAAACCGGGCGACACGTGCGATCTACTGGTGCGCGACACCCACCTGGGGGCCTCTCTTGCGGCCGCGTTCTCTCCCGGCGCCGACCATGTGGGAGGAGATGCGCCACAATCGGTGGTCGTGCTGATGCGTGGCCACGGTTTCACCGTGCTCGCGGGCAGCATCCAAGATTGCGTCATGAGGGCCGTCTACACGCAGAAGAACGCCATGATCCAGACGACGGCTTTGACGACGAGGGCCGCCGATCCTTCTGCCGCCGCCACCGCTGTGAGGTACCTCAGTCAAAAAGAGGTGGACGACACTACGTGGTCGATCAGACAGTCTGCCCATCGGCCCTGGGGACTTTGGCTACGTGAGGTGGAAGCCTGCGGCCTCTATGTAAACTCGGCTTGAACTGCCCTGCAGCTTTGGGGCCCAAATTAGCATCTTATACCTGGAAGGCCAGAAGAAACTAGTCAATGTGCTGCTGCTGGAATCTGCATTTCGGCTGGGCCACAATGTCCGTAGTAAATTCCGCAAGGTTTGAGTCCCTGGCCTCACCGGGGTGTTTCATATCACCGTCTTGTCGCCAGAAAATTGTGTCTATTTGTTTAAGGCTCACTCTCAAGTGATGGTCTCTCCCTCTCGGCACACACAGTCAAAGTTGGTTACTCTTCGTCTCGCTACGAGCTGGGCAAATTCCATGCGCATGACTCGTCGTCTATCAGAATCAGAGACTCGGATGACACTCCGAGCAGTCAATCCAAGAGGGAATCGGAAACGGAGGCAACCCTTTCTCTTTCCCTCGCCGTGTGGGGACTACCGAGGAATTCTTGGTTGCATTTAGAACGACGTCGGAATCCGGAGAATGGTAGTCTGGTGGGTTCTCTAAACAACTCGGACCCACTTCCTATTGGCCGCGTGCTCCCTAATTTTGGAATGGAATGTCTCGAGTAGGTAGAACGCGGAACACATTCAAACCAGGCCATGGTTCCCCAAGTTGTGGGAGCTTCAACTTGGGAGGATGCAAAAGTCCTCAACTACCTCGACCTTTCCATCCTCTCCAGGTGTGTCAAGTACGAGATCCATCAACGGAACCGAGAAATGACACCTGCAATCACTTCAAAATTCAATATCATTGTCTGTGGCGCAGGCCTCGGCGGTCTCGCTGCGGGTATTGGTCTGGCGAGGAAAGGCCACCAAGTGACACTAGTTGAGTCAAGTCAAGTCCTCAACGAGGTCGGCGCTGGCATACAAATCCCTCCGAACAGCGCACGCATCCTCGACGCGTACGGTCTGACACCGAAGCTTGCTGAGACTGTGACCTGGCCGGAGAGCCTACAGCTAAAACGATATGCCAACAGCGGTGTAATTGCCCGGACGCCTTTACAACCCCAAACCACTGAGCTTTACGGACACCCGTGAGATTCCCTCCCAAAACGAGTCTCCTACCTTGTCATGGGCCGCCCAGGCTGACCAGCTACAGGTACTGGCTCATTCATCGTGCAGACTTCCAGCGCATCCTTTACGATGCAGCTGTCGCCGCCGGCGTGGACGTGCGTTTAGGCTGCCATGTTGAGCGCGTGGATGCGCACGTCCCGGCGGTGCATCTTAAAGGAGGAGACGTGGTCGAGGCTGACTTCATCGTTGGTGCCGACGGGGTCAAGTCTAAAGTGCGTCGGGCCGTCATCCCTGACGAGCATATAGATGCAATATCCTCGCCCAACTGCGCATACCGAGCCGTTGTGCCAGCGGAAGTCATGCGTGCCGACCCTGAGCTCGTCAAACTTCTCGAGGATAAGAACGCAAACTGCTGGATAGGGTACCGCCGCCACCTCATGGCTTACCCTATCCGAAAGAGCAGCATGTTCAATCTGGTCATGTCCCACCCAGGCCAAGCGCCGGTCGGGGCGTGGTCAGAGCTCGGCGATATTGAGGACATGAGATGGCAGTATCGCCATTTTGATCCGGTCCTCCAAAAACTCCTCACCCACGTCACGAGCTGCAAGAAGTGGAAACTGGCCGAACTCGAGCCTTTGCCGACGTGGGTGAGCGACAGTGGACGCGTCGTACTTTTGGGTGACGCCGCCCACGCGACACTGCCGTACCTCGCGGCAGGAGCAGCCATGGCCGTCGAGGATGGCGCCGTACTCGCCGAATGTTTGGACCGGTGCAGGGATGTCTCGGATCTGCCTCGGGCGGCCAGAGCTTACGAGAAACTACGCAAGCGGCGCTGCGAGACAGTCATCAAGGGGTCTCATGCGAATGGTGACCTTTGGCACCTTCCTGATGGTGACGACCAAATCGAACGGGACGTCTCCATGAGCAACAACGGCGACCAGCGTCCCCAAAATGGCGAGAAAAGTGGAAACCCCAACCAATGGTCAGATCCTTGTAAGTCTTCCCTATTCAGTTGGCCTCTTGCCATCACAAACCCGTTCGCTGACAGGAGCAAACCAGCATTCCAACGGTGGCTATGGGGCCATGATGCGTTTGAAGAGGCCAATAAGTACCTGGACCAGCATTTCCGAGGCTGGAAGATCTAGGACATGACGTTATTCACCAGTAGTCTCGTTTAATTGAGCATTCGCCTGGTGCCGACCGGAGGAGAGTTACCAGATGTAGACCTTCCAATAGATCACTTTGAAAAAAGGGCACGACGCTGCTTCCCGTGGGTGACTGTGAAAAGTGAGAAGACGAACCTGGCCGCATTCTCTGGCGAGAGGTCTCCCTTAATGATATTTTAATGGGGACAGTGTAGAAAAGGTCCATCTTTTGAGGTTCCTTGTGAAGTGCTTTTCTATTAGAACCCACTCCATCACTTAGAGTGGTGATATGAAGAAAGTCACCTAGAACCACCTAGAAGCATGAGAACTTACAAATGTTGGCAGCACCAAGCACGGTGTTGGTCCGGCGAAACTGTACATGTTAGGGCACCCATAATTCTCATTGCAATACCAACATTAAAGTAGGGAGAAAGGGTTGATTAGACTTGAAGTGCAAAGTGGGGTCGCTCGGGTGGGCCACCGATCTATGTATGAGAGAAATGTCCCACTTTGTTATTGGCTGGACTCCGCATAATCACGACGGTGTAATTCTTACTCCGTACTTCCTACTCCGTACTATACAGAGGACGAGTAGTTGTTACTCCAAACCCCGTCCGGCAGTAATTTCCTCAACTCCGCTTCTCGGTTTCTTCCCCCATAAGTCCTCACGTTTGCCCTTGTGCCGCATGTGAGACCGAGTCCGCAGCAGCGCCGTCATGGACCAGCACAGTACTTCCCGCGAACCTCATCTCCCCAAATCTGCGCGCAAGAGGCAGAAGGTGGTGACTGCGTGTGACCGATGCAGGACTCGGAAAGTATGGTTTATCTCACCTCTGGCTCGGTTTTCGTTCCTTTACCGCAAAAGGTCGAGCTGACACGGAACAATGTTTCATAGGTCAAGTGCGATGGATGTCGACCAGGTAAGGCATCATTTCTGTACCGCTTCTGTCTTCCTTGCACCGTCTTCGCCTGAAGTCAGTGCCGGCCACTCGACTAACACTCCATCATTCAGTGTGCTCTCAATGCCAAAAACAGAGGACGTCGGCCGAATGCATTTGGGATGAGCGGCCCTCTCGCGTCAACCATCATGCTTCTTTGCAGTATGTTCAGTTGCTCGAGGACCGGATTCGCGAATTAGAACAGCAGAGATTGCCGCCGACCCAGAGCTGTCCCGAAGATAATACAGAAGAACAAGCAACTTGGATGGACACTTCGCTGCTTTCTCCCTCGGGAAGGACCAGCATCTCACAGGGAGAGGTACAACGGACGGGCAAACATCAATCATCCTTGATGGACGTGCGAATGCCATTTTCTGATCCAGGTGAACAATCAGCCTTGGCCGCCAGCGGCGGCATGTCTGTAATGATCGGACCAGCCACAAACGAGTCACGCAGGCAGCAACTTTCCGAAAGCTCGAGCGCGCGCAGTTTCATACAGCATGTGCGTCAAGTGGCCGAGCAGAAAAAAACCCCGCCAACTATGGCCAACGGATCGGTACCAACACGAGACCAAGATAACCTTCCGCTTATGGTGCCCAACGAGGACCTCAAACGAACAACCAATGATTATACCTTACCTACGCGAACCAGGGCAGACGGCCTGATGTCCGTATACTGGACTTACGTTCATACGCTATATCCGATCCTAGAGAAACAAATGACGACAGCTGATTATGAGAGACTATGGATGAGCGATAGCTGTATTCCACATGAACGTTCATTTCTGTGTCTTCTCAACATCATTTTCTCGCTTACGAGTCAACTCACAGATGCCGTTGAGCCTTATGATCGAGCAGCATCTGCTGCCGTGTTTTTCACTAGGGCTAGAGAGCTTTTGGATATCGATAGCAATGCCTGCGTCCGTTATGTCCAGATCTTCCTTCTTTTCGGCATGTATTTACAAAGTACAAACGAACCCCATCAGTGCTGGGTCTTTGTTGGTCTGGCGATTCGAACAGCTCAAAGTCTCGAGCTTCACATACCGGAGAGAAACGAACGGCCGACTAATGCGCGGCATCGAGCTCTACTCCGTAGAGTATGGCACGGATGTGTCCTGATGGACAGAGTTATGGCTTTGACGTATGGTCGCCCATGTATGATCGACCGTAAAGTGGCTCTCTCAGTACCTCATCCTCTTCCAGTCGAAGGAGAAGAACTACTTGCAGACCCTGGCATGTCGACAAGCTTAGGAGAAACAGAACACCCTACCTTAGTTGACTTCTTCTCCCAGTCTTTGGCTCTATACGACATTCTGCATGATATACTTCTCAACTTCTATTCGCCAGAGACTTCACCTATCCAGTCATTAGACGACGTCTATCGATGTTACTTCGAAGGTTTAGGACGTGAGTTTAGCATCCATGGTATCGATCGAAGGCTCTATACCTGGGAAAAGGGTCTCCCAAGCTATTTGAGAGCAAGTAGCTACCCTGCTCAGCATAGAGCAGTGACGGTGCTTTCTCGGCAAGCCGTCGTTATCCGTCAAAGGTGCATCCCAGTTACATCCCATTCTTTGCTTCAGCTGACAGGAATCTAATGTAGGTATCTGCATGTTCGCCTCTTATCCCTACGTCCAGTACTATCAGCTTTCATAAGTCTTGACAGCCACGAAAGAGATGGTCATCCCTGGCTGGATTCCTTCCTGTGTCGCCCTTCGATCTTCCATTGTTCCGTTCTCTGTGTCCGAGTCGCACAAGAGGCAGTCGAACTTGTACACGACAGGCGGACAGAAGATCCAGGCGCTTCGGCTGACTTGGCCGCGTGGTGGTACAATGTTTTGTACTTGTATACCGCCGGTACGGTTCTCGTTGCTGCGCGTCTCAGTCCATTCATCTTGTCGGAAATATCAGAAGCCGCCATCTTCGACTCATGGCGGCAAGTGATGCAGGCACTCGATCGTTACACCGTCTTTGGCAGTCAGATCAAGCACCTCATTTCCACGTTGGGACTCCTCTTCGACACCGTCCCGCAACATTTCTCGCGGCTCCGGCCAATTCCAGAGGAGAACTTTGCCCAACAGCAGAGAAATGATCTCGCGAATGCCACACTGACATTGGGACAGGACGGGTTGGTCGATTCTCGGTCTACAGCGATGTCGCGGGACCTGACTCCCACTTTCTTTGAGCGGAATATAGCTGATATGGACGGCTTTGGCTTCGATATAAACAACCCTGCAGCCTTACTTGCCGCATTCGACACCAATGACATGTCCTGGCTCACGACGGTTCCATTTGAAATGTGATGAGCTCTTTGCGTCATGAGTTCTCAAGGACTGGAGTTATGGCCATCCGGCCCAAGCCAAAATCTGGCGAACGAAGACCCCCAAGCCTTTAATGTGCCTGACTAGGATCTTAAGAACCCTTTGGACTCAGAGGAAAGTCTGTATCTCGGCAAGTTGCAGTGTTTGACTACGAAACGATAGGCAGCGTCTGCTGTACATGGTAACGAAAATTTCAGTTGCGGCGATTTGTCCAGATCATGCTTTAATGAATGCCTGCCCAGAAACATGACCATAAAAGTTCCAACGCAGAATTTCTGTTCCACGCTCTACGTCTCAACCAATCAACCTATCAGGGTCTGTCTATAAGAACTTTTGCAGCGGAGTCATCACACAAACTCTCTCACCCCCTTTTCCCATACTATATTTCTTCTCGTGGGAGAATTGTCGCAGAACCAATTTATCGCGTTGAAACAGTTCTTTTTTACCGGTCGATCCCTTCCCTATTTTCCAGAGGCCGGATGTACTTGGGCCTTCTCTCGGTGAAAATTTCTTTGTCAGGTATGTAGAAATCGAGCCTGTTCCGACATACAAAGAGAGTTAGTCGGCAACACCAAAGTGTTTGGCTAAGAACCCAACTCCCTCGTGTCACACTTTGGGTTCTGAACAAACCGCCCTTCTTCTAAAGGACTAACTTACCCTCCATCTATCAGTGACGAGCGGATCATCCACTTGGTACCGGAGTGATGCATCGGCACCGTCCAAAGGGTACAGCCACAACGTCCACAAAAGTGCTTTTCCTTGACGTACCCGCTCTGAGTCTTTTCGATGACCCACTTGCTGATGATCTCTCCCGGGTCGTGCACGTTGACTTGATCCGCTTCGTAACCTAGGACCTATAGGATATATCGGAGGGGCGTTAGGGACAAGATTAGATACATGATGGAGAGAGGTGGACCGAAAGGTATAAAAAAAGGGGGGTGGGCGAAGGGGAAATGGACGACTCTTGGAAACCAAAGCCCTGCAATGCAGCAACACGTACAATCTGAAAGGGTCCACCTGCGCCCTTTTGACAGTCTAGACAATAACACTGTAGTACCTTGAAAGGCTCACTTTCCAACTCGAAGCTGACTTGTCCACAGAGACAGGATCCTCGACGCAACGAAGTAGATGATTCCGTCATTTTTGGAGTCGTGAGGAGCATTGGGCGAGATCACAAATGTTTACGAATGACTGGGAAAGAATTTTGAGTATTTGCTTTTCCTCATATATGTATTTAGCGTCTAAAAAAGACCTGGTACATCACAATCGGTCCCCCAGACGGGTCAGGTCAAGCTGACGGCTTGATATTCGGATACCGTTCCGAGAGGAGAGAGACGGCATCCATATTGAGCCGCATGAAGGCCCGGCTATTGTTACACAGAGTCTCACCATAGTACTACAGTTTAGGAACATGTGCTTCGTCTCCGAAAAATTGGTACAAACAGTGATTGAAGTTGTGTGTGAATTTATGTGCGCGAGCGCATGATCTTACGTCTAGGGTCTAACTAGGCATATACCGTCAGATCTGGAGAAGTTCTTCATAACACGAGCTTGGGCTGATATGCAGGGCTGTTGGCGCCCCGTCGTGATCTACCTACTTCTTCTTGTGCCACACCGTACCATTACGTTCAAACACCATGCGGTTCTTGAGTGACCCGAGATGCTGGATTTTCACCTCCACCGTGTCCCCATCGTTCAACCACCGGGGTGGATTCATACCCAGAGCCACTCCAGCCGGTGTCCCCGTCATGATGATCGTCCCTTTTTGCAGGGTGGTACCTTGACTGCAAAAGCTCACAATGTCGGCGACGCCGAACAGCAAGTCTGAGGTGTTTGTGTGCTGGCGAATCTGGCCGTTGACAAGTGTCTGAAGTTCTAGGTTGCCCGCGTGCCCGACGATTTCCGGGGAGACGATCATCGGTCCAACCGGGGCGAATCTGTCGAACCCTTTGGCGAAACACCATTGCGGCACGTTGCCGGCGAAGTCGGGATCCCGCTGCCAGGTCCGGGCGGTGATGTCGTTACCGACGGTATAGCCGGCGACATATTCCAGAGCCCGCTCCCGGGGAATGTTCTTTCCATCTTGACCGACGTATATGCACTAGGGGATCCGGTCAAACGTGTTTTATTCCTCGGCCACCAACAGAAAAAAAGAGATAAAAACAATACCCGACCCCAGACTTGAGGGTGCGTGTGTAGAAGAAGGTGCGGGATTCCTTACAAGTTCGCCTTCGTAGTCCAACTGGTCCTTTTGTGCCACGGGATGGATCAGGATGTCCTCGTTCCACGATGCGATGCTCGGAGACCCCTTGATGAAGATGGAAGGGTACGGTGGAGGCGTACGTCCGGCTTCCTTGACTGTACCATGAATTTGTCAGTCCAACCTTGGTCACCCCTGGCGCGAGATAACGTACTGTGTTTGATGTAGTTCAGCCCGATGCATTTTATAATGGGCACGTCGTCAGGGCTCAACGGTCCCATGAGCTCCGCGACCACAGACTTGATGCCCGATGGCCGCAAATCTGGAATGCTGTCGCCCGTGAGCTGGTTCGCTTCGAGGGTTCCCAGGGCAAGTTTCTCAGCCAGCTCGTCGGCGGTATCGATGATGGGTTCTCCATAGTGTACCCTCCCCTGCGGGTCTTGGAACTTGATGAGCCTTTGCCAAGACATGGTGTACATGGGACAAGGCTTGTACCCAAAAAAGTGGTGTATGACTGTTGATAGTCCAGGCAGAAGTTGCAATGTTCGACCTCTTACACTTTTCATAGTAGCGGATCTTTTTGAACGTCGAGGGGACGTTGGCTGTTACATTACTCTATGCATCAGAGACTAGCATGCCGTCGTCTCAAGGGGATTTGGCCCACACCCCCACAAACTGACTGGCAAATCGGAGCACTATCCGGCTCGAACGTCAACGGCGAGCATGTCGGCAGACATACAGGCCTCGGGTCACCAGCGGATCACTACGCCGGACGACGGAAGGCGAAATGGTAAGGTGCAACAATAACAACTACTACAGCAATGTAGGACATCCTTTCACAGCCTTGAATGGGTTTCCATCCACAAGTGGCCAACTTGTTCCATTTTGCATCGAAGTTCGGACCCTGAAGATTGTACGAGTATGACAGGCAAAATGGTGTCCGCGACGGTTCCCGAAAGCGTCAATAGTGGGAAGAAGTCAGAGCTTCTCAGCGGCCTGGCCTCCAAAAATCTAGGTCCCCTATGGACGGTCATGAATGCTCTAGTTACACATGTCCCTTCTCCTCAAGCAAGTCCAACCATCTGGAGATATGACCAAGTCCGACCAGACCTCATCAAGGCTGGGGAAATGGTCCCCGAGGAGGAAGCAGAGCGCCGGGTGCTGATGTTGATAAACTCGTCCATGAGTAAGTCCCCCCTCCCCCCTTCCCAAGGGTAAACGTTCAGATATATGGGAGGCTGAAGCGAAGCAACAAAGGGGCGCCATATACGACGGATACCCTCTACGCGGGATTACAACTGGTGAACCCCGGAGAAACGGCTCCTGCCCACAGACATGTGGCCTTTGCCCTGCGTTTCATCATCGAGGGCACCAGAGGATTTACCGCCGTCGATGGGCAGAAGATGTACATGGAGAAAGGGGACATGATTCTCACTCCATCTTGGGCATGGCACGACCACGGCAATGAAGGAGATAGCCCCATGATCTGGCTTGACGGTCTTGATTTGCCTCTCTTCCAAGCTCTTCCCGTCAATTTCGCCGATGAATACCATGAAAAACGATTCCCCAGCGAGTAAGTCTTGCCAGTCCAGAATTCGATGCTGTGCGTTACAAAAATTAGCATTGGTAGAAGAAGTGACTTGACTGACCACGTTTGGGGAAAACCATTAGGGTGACTGAAGGCAGCGCATCACTTGCATTCCCGTGGGCCATGGTCCAGACTGCTCTTGATGTCGAAGCTGCTCCTCATGCCATTTACCATTACAGGAAAAAGGATGGAGAGGAGGTTTCAAACACGATCGCCGCACAAGCCGAGCGCATTAGGGCAGGCACCACTACGGAGCCAAGTCGCCGAACGTGCTCTTTCGTGTATCACTGTGCAAAGGGTCACGGGTCTACCGAGGTATTTTCTGCAAATGGAACGCTGACGACTCTCGACTGGAAGGAGAACGATACTTTTGCCGCGCAAGCCTGGTCGAGGATAGCGCACACTGCTTCAGGATCTGAGGATGCATACCTGTTTGCCTTCTGCGATCGACCTCTCCTCCAGAGCTTGGGTATGTACCGCGAAGAGTAGCCTCAGACTACAGTAAGATCTTGATACTTGCTCGTTATCCATTTATACTATGGTTGGCAGGCTGGGTCACGCTTATCATGGACCCAAAGGGGAAGTGTTGGAGGACGCATCGAAAGTGGGGCTAGCAACAATGAATCTGGGGACGTAAGTTAGGACATTCAGGGCTCTACCCGCCTTTCGATGAAAGCCACAATTTACTTTACCATCTGAAAAGATACTCATATTCTTTGGAATAGGGATAGTTCAACTATTCTAGTCTTGGCTCAACTTGAAAAATAACTAGTTATTTTCCTGTATCTCAAAACAGTTCCCAGCACTCGGAGCGCGGACCGTGAATGAAATCGCCGAACTCACATCGGAAGACTTCCGATTTGGATGTTCTGATATGAGGACCGGTTGGTAGCTCTCTGGTTTCTAGGTATGTAACCTCAAAGACAGTGTTGCGAGTTCTTGTGTGTTTCTGCAATTGTAAACCACTTTTGTCCCTTTTCGGTTCTCCAGGGTGTGCACTATTCCTCCTCTTTATCTTCACGGTCGGTGCATCGATGGAACTGAACTCCACATCAAACATGGTGAATGAAAAACCAAAGCAAGATCAGCAAATCGAGTGCGTGGATAAAGAAATCGGTGTCAGCGAGAGCCGAGAGCCTGCGCTCAAGCTCGACGAGGACGGAATTCCCCTGAATCCTCAGCCGACCGACTCCAAACATGATCCTCTCAACTGGCCATACTTGGCCAAAGTCTACATCGTACTGCTGGTCTCTGGATTGGGCTTCGTGAACCAGCTGGGTTCGGCCCTGATCAACCCCGCGTTCGTCGTCATGTCCGAGGACCTGGGTATCACGGTCGAAAAAGCATCCTATTGCACCACGGTAGTCATCTTGTTCATGGGGGTGTGTCCCATGTTCGTCGTCCCCTTCTCCAACGTCTACGGTCGGAGGATCCTGTACGTCATTTTCACGACAATCGCAGCCGCGTGCCAGTTCGGTTCGGGAGCTTCAAGCACGTACGGTGGTCTCATCACCGGGAGGATCTTCTACGGACTGGGCGCCAGCATTCCCCTGGGTCTGGGGGCTGCGACGATCTGCGACCTGTTCCCGCAACGCGAGCGTGGTAAATACCTGGGTATCTACACCCTGTGCGTCAACAACGGACCGCACTTGGCACCTATCGTGGGCGGATACATCGCCCTGAATCTATCCTGGCGCTGGTGCCTGTACGTGCCGGGCATCATTCAGGTCGGCTTGCTCATCTGCTTCATATTCACCTTTCCCGAAACACTCTTCTCCCGAACCGAACGACATGGACCCGAGGAAGATGATACCGCATCTTACTTTTCGAGGCTTCTTCCTCGCGGAAAGATCCTCGATCGCCCCATCAAACCTCGCCACTTCCTCCAGCCGTACATCATGATCCGCTACTGGGCCGTTTCCCTGTCGGGCGTCTACTGGATGACGGCGAACACGTACGGGAGCACCCTCTTCGCCGTGACGGGGTCCAAGATTGCGCACACGCTCTACGACTTCGACGTCGCCCAGACCGGATTGCTCATGGGTCTCCCGCAGACCATCGGATGTATGGTCGGAGAGGCCTGTGCAGGTTGGGTCAGCGACCTCACCATCAACACGTACGCCAAAAGGCACGACGGCCACCGCAAGCCCGAAGTCCGCCTGGCCCTGCTTCCAGGCTGCTTCGCCCTCGTCGCCGGCGTCATCGGATACGGCATATGTGTGGATCGCCACTCACCGTGGATCGCACTCGCCATGACAATGGGGGTGGCAAGCTTCGGGCTGCAGGTCGGAGCGACCATGATATACGCTTACGCCACCGATTGCTACAAACCCCAGGCTCCTGAGGTGGGAGTGGTCATCAACCTGTACAAGTCCGGTGAGGAACTTGACCCTAAACCCCTAACCCAAAACCACCCAAACTGCCGAGCGGCCATGTCTTTCCTTCTTCACATGCGTGCCTCACTGCTTCTACTGACTCGGGATATTTTGCAGTGTTCGCCTTCACCATCGGGTTTTACGCCGTCCCCTTTGGTGAAAAGGCTGGGTACAACGTCTCCTTCCCCGTCCTCGGCACCATCAACGGCCTGACACTGTTGCCGCTTATCGGCCTCTATTTTTACGGTGAGAGGGTTCGGGAATGGCAAGGGATACCGAGAATTCACGAGGACCTTTGATTACATAGGTGGGCTGATGTATGGGCGGAGCTAGCTATCTATCTACCTCTTACCCAGTATGATGGGACATTGTAGAACCTGAGATCCTTGCGAAAGGGGATAGCGCATACAAAGATGACTGAGTGGATGAGCACGAGCATCTGTGTGTATGTACCAGGTATATATCACACCCTCTGGACATGTTTCTTGTCAGGCATCGCAAAACGACACCTGTATCTCGATCATGTATTCGTTGACACCTAGAACAATTCTTGCTCGCTGCCCTCTTTCTTTTCACCGCCTATTGCCTTGATCTATCATTGTCTCTATTCCAAGATCAATTCGTACATCCCACTCCCTCCCGGTCCCAAAACATCCCATTGATAGACAACATGCCTCACATACCTCCCGCCCCCGCGAAACCCTGGCTTCACTGGCCCAAGCAATCCAAGACATACGGGCCCTTAATCTCTGTGAAGGCGCTCGGCCAGACCATCATCATCGCATCTTCACTGTCCATCGTTCCGGACCTCCCTGGAAGGAAAGCGCTCCTCGGCAATATCATCCCAGGCCAGCTTCGCCTTCGGCTCCAAGTTATGCGGCTGGGAATATGGACCGGCCATGGTGCCCTCCTCATCTCGCATCCGCGCGTAACGGGATCATTGCACTCGTCCCACGTAACTGGCCCTGCTATCCAGCAACATCGAGACCGAGACAGCGCTGTTCTTGTTCAAAGGGATCTGAATGACCACTCGACGTATTGCGGCTGATCTGCACATAAGCAGGCAGTATCATTCTTAAGGTGAGTTACGGGTACACGATGGAGCCGTCAGGACCTGATCGGCCGGTGGACGTATGTGATGGTTACAGTATCCAAGAGGGGAGCTCGTTGATGGCCGACATTCGGTGTGGTGTTGGTTTTGTTGTTTGTATTGTATTACGTCGAACGCTTTTCTTCATGGCCGTCCGTTGACTTGATGTTATGGCATGGCAATGTCGTCTTCTTCACATCGGTTCGCCCAACATCAACACCACCAACCGATGCTATTCCCTCTCTTTCCGTATCTCGCTCATGCTCTTCCTCTAGGTCTCCCATGTGCTCATATTCCTCATCGTCCTCTTCCTCATCCTCCTCACGATTCTCCCCTTCGCCCCCGGGCTGGTTCAACTTTTTGTATTTTCTCCTACTCTTCTTCACCCGACTCGCCTTTTTCCGTCTCGCCCGGTCCACGACTTTTGCCACCCGACTCTCCTCCCCTTTGCTCAGAAACTCGACCTTTTCCGCGAGGATCCGTTTTGCGATTTTGAAATTGTCGTTTCGGCTCCGTGTCGCCTGACACTTGACCACGATTCCGGTGGGGAGGTGGGTGACTTGAGCCGCCGAGTTCGTCTTGTTTATTTTTTGTCCTCCAGGGCCCGTCCCTTTCACAAAGGTATGCTTGAGTTCATCGTCCGGTAAGGAAGGACGAGGAGGGAGGGCCGGTTGATGTTTCATTTTGAGGAAACTGTGAGTGCTGAACGAGAGACGAGCGGCGAGGTTGCTACAGGCGTAGCCGTAGCCATATCCAAGTACGTCAATGTCAGTCGTACATCTGAACCTCATCCGCGTTCTAGTCGCCGCCATCGTGGGCCTTCCCGAATCGGCGAGGCATCTTGTTGCACCTCTATGATGTCCCAGGTGTATAATTGTCGGCCGCAAGGGCTGAAGACTGTGCATGCTACATAGCCAAACTCGATAATGTCGTGACGACCGAAAGACCAACAAATGGTTCTTCTACTCTAGTCACTCGTCTTGTGAGGATGCTCTCGATAGCTAGATACCTCACATGAATCATACATAAATTGGGAGACTAAATTGTATTGCCAATCACAAATGGGCAAGTTTGCCGGACACCTACGGAGTGTGAGTACGACTCCTCCTCGTTAGTACACAAACAACCCGAGGCTGAGGTATGAAAGGAAAAGCATGCTACTCGTACATCCCAACTTCAACCTCTCATTACGTCTCTTCATCACTTAAGCTACGACTTGGGAGAAAAGATAATACTCTTGTAAAGAGTTTTTTGGCATCAACTTTTGATCGACACCAATTCAGGGAAATAACCACCAAGTTGCTTCATCTGATCTGGACGAGTCTATATATTTCGCTTTTCATCTCCTCAAGTCATTCTCACAGACTCATGTAAGCATTCAGAACCTTCTTCGCGTCTGGACTCAACGTCTCCCCAACGGTCTTGCCTATGCGACCTCCATGTCTTTGGTCAGCTGCTTTCAAGTATTGACCGACCCATTTCCTCAGATCTGTCACTTCCGGGTACAGGTCAGTGGTCGGTCGACGGACGGTGTTGAGTTGTGTGAAGCCAACGCCAAAGCTACTATCTTCCACATCAAGTTCTGCAATCACGTCGGCTTCAGTGGGTGGTAAAGGTGGGTTCTCCAACAATTTGAGCAATGCATTACATGTCAACGTCCATCCTTTTGCGTATCGCTCTTGGAATGCCTTGGAATCCGCCAAAGTCTTGGTCAATGATATCGCGGCGACCTTGCGATCCAACGGACGAGCAAGTTCTTGTGTTTTGGTCAGAATAATGCCTGGGTACAGTTGTCGGAAGACGTCGTTTTGAATTCTGTCGGTGACAGCGATGAAAAAGTCTGCACCCAAACCCTTGTCGTCTCGCGAGGACACGAAATGGTAAAATCGGACAAACCGTAGGTTGAATGCTTGTGAAGGGTTCTTTTGCAAGCGTTTGAGCATAAGCGTGACCAGTTCCACCCAAAATGGCTCGAGTGCAGGTGCTGGAAAGGTAGTGACGACGGTTTCAAGAAGATCGAATCCGTAACCTTCGTACACCTTTGTTGACACCAGCTTTTGGAATATACCCAAAACACTGACGACTTGATTGGCACTTAGTAGCTCGTCTGCGGCTCGGGGCACAATAGCTGACAAAAGTCGTGTCGCAGCAGGGATGTTACCTCGCTGTTCCCACACCGAAGGCCCAAGTATAGGAGCGATAAGCTGTTTGTACTGTTCAGTCAGAGGCTTTGTAGGCTCGGCTTCGAACAAAGCCGCCACAAGCTGGAACACGTAGGGGATGAACTCGTCGACTGGTTTGCTGAGAATGGCTGCAAAGGGAGCGAACAGGACTGCTCCTACTGCCTCCGCGTGTGTGGACGCGGTAAACCTAATGAGGGCGCCGATGCTTTCGAAATGATAGTAGTAGAACTTGGGGTTGCTTGGGTTGGCAGAAATAATAGTGGTAATAGAAACGAGATGTTGGAGGACACTTTCGGCAACTGCACTGATACCGTCTTTGAGGACAATCAACACTCTCATGATGCAGCGCATCACAAACTCGTTTTCTTGTACCTTCTCGGGAGCACTATCCTTTTCAACTAAGCTGAACAAGTGTTCGAGAAGGCTGCTCGCCAGTGGCTTAATGCTTGCAGGGTCAATTACTGGCTTGCCAGTCTCGTCTGTCATTGCCAACACTCTATCCACTGCAACGGCGGCGTACGTGTAGACGCAGTAGTTCGAATTTCCAAGGTGGTTGACCAGTAACGGCATAACCTGTTGCCATTGTTCTTTTGTGATGATGCTGCGGAAAACGTACAAATATTTGATGGCGTCGACTTTGATCAATGGCTGAGCATCGTCCTTTTGAAGGTCGCTTGCTAGATTGGTGGAAAAGAAGTCGCCGATATTGACCAAGCTATTGGTTTTGGTAACACCATGAGTCGAGGTCGTGGCTCCCTTTGATGCCAATGCATAGAAAAGGCTGACTGCTGTATCCTTGGATCTCCAATTTTCCGAAGGATTGCTCGAGAATTCTTGCAAGCAGTTTTGTATCAGTGTCATTGCAATCTGCGTCACAGACTGCTCGAACTGATCACTAAGCTGTCTCAGGAAGTCGCCCGCCGCTCTCCGACGAGTCTCGCTGTCTGAGCCTTCCAGATCTCGTCGGATAAATTCGATAGGCTCATCCTCGAACATCTCGACATCAGAATCCCTCAGCGCCACATTTGGGAGGATGACCTTCTCCATTATCTGATTCTGGACCGCGGGATCACTAAAATTCTGCACTTGCTCTCTGTTACCTGCAACAGAGGTCAAAAAGTGCAAAGCTTTGCTCACAAGAATATCATTCTTGGGCTCTGCTCCGGTAGTGGTGAGGAGATGCCATGAGCTTTCCACAAAGCCTGTAACATGCCGTCCAAAATCTTCATAGTACTTGCCAATATACAATGTCAATGCTTCGAAGATATTAGCCTTGGTGTTCTCGAGTGGCCCAGGTTCTGACTCGTCATCAGTCTGTAAAAGCTTGTTGTTGTATGTCAAATACTTCAGAAGCAGTGAACTGATTCCCTGCAAATTTTCTTCAAAGGTCGGAGGCATGTCCTGGCAGGACAGATCGTAAAAGAGGAGGAGAGTCAGGTCAAGTTCTGCGAAGGCTTCCTGAAGAGCTTTCTTATCACCGCTGTGGCTCTCGATATAAGCGTCGAGCCTCTGCCATAGAGAGAGGAATGGCTGTGAGAACTTCGAAAGGACATGATTGATCTCAGTGTAAAGTTCGTCCGTCCGCATCAAAGGCCGCCATCTCGCAAAGATAGAATGTGCCACCTGTAGCACTCCAGCATTGGTTACAGGGTCGTCAGGCTTTAACCGAGACACAAGGTCATCAACAAGGGTATCCCAGCGCTCCCAGAAGTCACTGTCCGCTATAACACTGATGGCTTCACCTAATTGTGACTGAATGCCTCGGGGCACGGAAATCATGAGCCCCACGATCTCAGTTTTGATTGCCATGACATCCTGAGGAGGAAGTTTGTAGTTGCCCTCCACATCTGTCCAATTCCGTCTGATAAAGTTCTTGAAGAACAGGGCACTGGCAAGTCTAGTGTTATACTGAAAGTTGCCGGACGCAGTTATCTGGAGGAGGGAAAGAGCGAAACCAGGCTTCTTTTCTTCGGCGCGGATCTTGAGCTCGGCTGCGATTTTGTTACCATAACTGCGGACTAAATACAAGCGGGTATGCTTACCTTCTTTGTTTTGTCGAGGATCAAGACTGGCATCCAGCAATTGTGCTAGAGTTGCTAGGTCGGCCATGATTGCAGGGTACCTCAAGTTGTCTGTGTTCGTGGTGCCTGTTCAAGCCATACGCATAGCTGCGAAACGTCAAAAAGGCTTCGTGAATGCTTTGGAATTTCAAGGATTGCAAGAGTACAGTGATCGGAACCCTGTGTTCCAAGATGCACTGTATAGTGTAGGAGATCGATCTGAAGGCAACTCTAGACAAGATCCGTCGCAACGCAGAAAACGACGTCAATGATCTAAATGAAATAAATTGAATTGTTTACTTGGTTCTATGCCTGGCGATGCCACTGGCAGAATAATTACCGCGACCCTGACCGCCTTGCATTTGCTTGCGTGAGTGGTCCTCCGTTCAGCAATTCGAGGTGATATGCATCACCGTAGACCCTGGCTAGCGACGGAAATACGTGGTCCCACACGTGATCAGGGTGGCGGCTTGGGTGATGATTCTTTTCTCATCAGGCGTTCTCAATTCGACTTTGATTTGGCCTGGAACCAGCGATAACGATATTTGCCTCATTCACTTTTTCATCCCCTGCTTTAGCGATTACAGAAAATTCTCTCGGTGTTATGCAGCCTTCATCAGATGCAGGTCGATTCTAGATCCTCCCTGCACCCAAAAGTGCCAGATTTCCTTAGGCAGAATTGACTTCCACGGCGGAGATTTGCTCGAGGCTCCGATTTCCGTTTCTTGACGCTGGGACTTTCATCCTATCAAGGGTTTCATACCACGGATTCAAGGGAAATCTCTGATTCTGGTTTAAACCCGGCTGTGACGTTTCTTTTGCGGCGGGTTCCTGCTCAAGCTGCCTTTCACTGTCAAACTCAACTCTCGGTAAGAACTACACTATCACAGTTTTACTGTCCTGGGCAAACGTTGTCCACTCCCTCACACCACACAAGCATCCTACACAATTTGGTGCCTTTGGGTCTTCACAAACCATGCCTCCACGGTAATTGTTACCGAGTCGGCCATCTGTCGCATACATCACCCTTGTCTGGCATCGTTGTACGCTTTTATCTTAGCCGTCAACCGCGCTGGTGATGATTCTTTCGCCTAGTGGGCATGCTCACGATACACAATGTCTCACATGCTGATTACTGGACGTCCAGAAAGACGGTCACATCGTATGTCGACTGGAAATGACCCGGCAAGAGAAAGGTCTGCCACTGGGGCCGGCGACAAGGACTCGAGAAGGAGGTCCGTATGGAATGTGCCGGTATTGACGCCCAAATTTCATACAGACGACGCTATACCCCAAGACCGACATGCCGAGAAAGTCGCCCCAGCTGAGACTCCTATCATTCCTGAAGATGTGCTTGATAATGGGCTCGAACTGGTTGACTCGCCGGACGAAGCACGGGCCTGGCTGCTTGGGTTCGGCGATTTGAAGCCCGGGACAGACGTTTCATTGAAATTTCTCAATCTTCGATGTGGTTCACGATCATTATTGTCGTTGTTGACTCAGTGGCTACCGGTGTGGGCTGGTAAAGCCGACAAAGCCAAAAAGGACAACAAGGCTTCGAGATCAGCACCGTTGAAAGAGATCAAGAATCTTGAATGGCTTCTGCAGTACATCCACGATTACCTTAACATCGGTCACATTGATTTTGACTCACTGGAACTTACACAGACTGTTGAAACAGTCACCACGTTTTGCTTGAACGCGAACAGATACCCGGACATCAATAGTGGCATCAATATCCTGTACGCCATAGCATCCAATTTCGATTTTCCAAAGTCCGGCCTTGAACAAACTCTGGTGGTTCTGTGCGCTTCGATCGCAAATCTCCAAGAAACGCCTGACCACTTATTCGATTGCACTAAACTTCTTGCACAGAGCGACTTGAGTAATGAGGTGATCATAATTCTCTATTCCTTCATTCGGGTGCCCACGCTCGAGAACAACAGCAAAAACTTGTCACATGCCCGAGGATCGACTCACCTTCTCCGCAATCTAATAGACGAGCGATCAAAAGAAGGACAGTATGTTGTCGACTTACAGGGTTTTATCAGGGAGCTTCACATCGCGGCATCTGAAGGTATTTTCCGATTCAGCCACGACATACTAGCCTCTGTCCATGCTATTCTTTCCTCCCCGAGATTACCAGAGATCCAAGCCCTGGATTTTGGCAAGGTCCTGGAAATCATATTATTGTGCTTGGAGATGTCTCCATCAAAGCCTTTGAACACCACGCAGAATCTGCTTACACCTGTGATAAGTCCGGATGAGGACAAAACACGGGTATACGAAAGGCATTACCGGGATAGAGAGACGATGACAAAGAAACTTGCCGATGATTTCCAGTTACTCTGGAAACACCTTTCTCCCGTCAACCAGGACACCATCCACGAATTTTTCCTGGATTATCCCCGCTTCGCTGACACCGAGCAGATACAACGTGCTCTGGCTTTTGCCGAAACTAAATACCTGAATTCAGGAGACCGAGAGGAGAAGAACCAGTACATTCGAGATCTCCATGAGCGCACAGTGCAGAACCAACAGCTAGCCGCAGCATCTCGCATCAATGCAATACAAGTCCTAGTTCGAGCTTGTAACGTCCATTCTACTAGCCCGACTTCCGATGAACAATTTGATGATTTATATGCATGGATGCTTGATGAACTCCTATCTCAGGTCACTATCGAGCAGGATGGACAAGTCCTTACCGAATTTTTGTTGGCTTTGCAGGAGATGGTGTCCAACTACGAAGAGGCAGCCAAACACACAAAGTCAATCAGACACATGACCAAGACCTTGAGGGACCTTGTCCTCCTACACTCCGCGAGAGCCTTTTTCACCGATACGCTTGCAGCTGAAGCTACCAAAATCCTTGTGACAGTATTCTGCTACGGCATTCATGTTGACCCCACGGCTGCTGTGGAAGGGTTTGATACGCTCCAGAGCCTTGCAAGTTCATCCTGTCGCTTCCGATCCGCGCGACTTGTCGCCAAACGGCTCCTTTTCCGTGTGAGGGCTGATGACGCGGGCTTCATCTATATCATTAGTGAGAGTGAAAGCCAGCACATCGCAAGCGCTCTTCTTCGCACGCGAGAATCAGCAGATACCTTTCAATTCGAAGCACCAACCGCACAACGACATTCAGCAAGCAGCACTAGCATGTCAACGAAATCAGACGTTCATGAACCAATGTGGATGTATCCCGAGTCTGAGGATGTGACATTTCTATTCAGTAACCGTCCGTCAACATATCTCAACGTTGATGTTTCTGCACATCCTGAAAGTCAAACGGAACTTGACATGGATACTTGGTTGATGAACATCATCAGATGTCTTCAGGCAGATACAGATTGGGAAACTTATAGTTATACCATTGTCCACGTGGCAGCACAATTGAGCAATATAGCCCTCTTCCTGAATTCCATGGAGGCTGTCGTGAAGTTCCGACAGGTGTTGTGTGAGCAAATTGTCAACAACACCTTTCGTGAGGCTCCTCCTTCAACTGGGCTCAAGAAGTCAGATGTTGCGTTGTGCATGTTCAACATCCTGATACCCCTGATTGCATACGCGACGATGAAGCACGAAACGGTGCAAAAAGGATTTGGTGATGACCTTGTGAGAGCATTTCTCACCGGTATTTCCGGGGCCTGGGAAGGTACATCAAGGCCATGCATACATGCTTTGTCGATCTGCAGCCTTGAGATACCGTCGTCTGTTGCTTCGCTATACCCTACAATCATCGACAAGATGTCCAAGAACATGACGCAGGCGCATCTCACCGCGCATATCCTCGAGTTCTTGATCCACATGGCATTATTGCCGGAAATGCACTCAAATCTCAATGCGGACGAGATACAGATGATCTTGGGCATGTGTATTCAGTTTTTGGAGAAGACGCGAGAACAACATCAGGCGTCGATTTCATCGCCCACAGGACGGTTGAGCTTGCAATCGAGGCATAGTGGCTTGAACTTTCGCCGACCACCATACCGGGCGTCAATGTTGACAGATATTGGTCTGCCCCAGTACGCTGCTGCGTTAGCCTATCATGTTATCATTTTCTGGTTTCTCTCCCTCCGTCTGGAGTCTAGGGCTAAATATGTCTCGTGGATTGTTACAAGACTCATTTGGAAGAACCCTCAAGGACTAGAAATGATTGATGAGCAGAGTCAAGTCCTAATTGACATGATGCAGCGGACTGCGTTTTCTGATTTGGGAGAAACAGCACCACAAGCAGATTTTGCAGGACAGGACGACGGACCCATTTCTTCAGCATCTTGGATTGCAGGTCTCAGTGTGATTACTGCCCAAACCGCTGGCCATACTGGCAAGACCCAGATCATCAAACGACAGGCTTCAGGTACGACATATGCTCGCTATCAACAATTGACCAGCGAGCTGCCGTCCCACCACACGCCTAGCCATACAGAGATCCGACATCATGAGGCTACCACCGAAATGCTACCTTCACATATTATCCTTCAAATGGTGGCAAGTGCAGCCACAACGAAAGTTGCCGACCAGCCAGTGCTTCTACCGGACGAGGATTATGTTCGAAGAGCACTTGATTCATTCGATCGCATACCGACTGTATCGAGTCACAAGATCGGCGTTCTCTATATTGGGAAAGATCAGTCTGCCGAGTCTGACTATCTCGCAAATACGAGTGGCTCTCAAGATTACGAGCGATTCCTCAGTGAGCTTGGTTCCGTCGTTTCTCTGCAGCCGCCTCTCCGCTACAACCCGCAAGGATTGGAATTCCCGAGAGACGGAGAAAATACCATGGCCTGGCGCAATCGTGTGGACGAGATTGTCTACCATGTTCCGACTATGATGCCGACCGATCTAGAAGAGGACCCTCAGTGCATCAACAAGAAGGCACATGTTGGGAATTGCCATGTGAATGTTGTTTTCAATCGTTCCGGACTTCCTTGGGGTTTTGAGAATTTTCAATCTCAGTTGAACTACATCAACATTGTAATTCGACCTGCTTGCCGTGGTCGTCAGGCTTTGGATCCAAACTTCATGCCTGGGTTCTACTGGGTTCAGGTTGTCACCAGAGACGATTTGCCCAACATCTCACCGGTGGCAGACACCAAAATCATTTCAGCCGCTCAGCTGGCGCCTTTTGTCAGGGCTTTGGCATTGAACGCAAGCATGTTTTCTCAGTGTTGGAATACGAAAGACAGTGATTCTGAATTTCCAAGCGGTTGGCGAGCTCGACTCCAACAGATCAAGAGATTGAAGGAAAGAGTGTTGAGCAAAATGGCTGAAAAGCAAGGACTGACGGCCACATCGTCGGGCACCGTGAACAATGTTGTTACGGGTGGTCAAGGCGGCAGGAGGACCCCTGTCCCCAGAGATGAAGCGGGTGGTTCACGCAAAGACGTGACTTTGGCATCTCAGCTAGATTTCAGCTCATGGACGGTGTGAAGGGAGGTGGGTTGGTTTTCACAACAACTGGGAGTATGGCGAGAATCATGGGTTAAGATAACAGGTCAATGACATAGCACGGCGTTGGAAGGATCAGGAATCGGATGGGAAAAGTACTGTTCATTAGGGAGGCATTTTTGTTCTAGTAGTCTAGTATTCTACTCTTCACTCGTGCTGCCATTGTACAATGGCTCGAGTCATGTATAGCAAAAGTCTGATTACGACGATTGACTGATTGATTGATGTTGTTATTGCTGTGAGGGATTAATCAAATAAAATGCTCTTCGGGTTCATGCCTAGGGTAAATGCTGCCTGCAGAGTTGGGTGGTCAGTGGCTGTGAGAGTGACGCCTATTTACCTATTTCGACATCTGATAAGGGTCGAGATGCGGAGGCGTGATTTGAGGAGCTCAGCTCAGCCTTGGGCGGATTATTGTTGCCCCTCCAGATGATCCAGATCCATCATCGTCACCTGCGCCTGGCAACGCCGACGTCACCTCCTTCGCTCGCCCTCCCAGGCATCAGGAATTGTATCCGACCTTTCTCACCACCACAACCTCCACCACCATCATCTTATGTATAACCTGTGTGAACATCCTTTCTTCCAAGATTACTCCAATCCTACAGTCTCGCCTTGCACAAGCATGACCGGGTAGATCAGCTACAGCCCGAACCAGCAGCCATGCCCGAAACATCCTCGAAACCAGACCCTCCCTCTCCCTCTGCTTCATTCTACGATGTCTCGGACGACGAAGAGGGAGGATATAATACAATAGCACATACATCCCTTTCAAGAGGTGTCAAACTACTATACTCGAAAAGCAAAGTCTACGTGCATCCTACCAAATCGGCCAAGGACAACATTCCCGGCTTCATCGCCCTTGTGCAGCAAAAGTCCCCCCAGACTCTCACAGATGAACGACCGACTTCTGCAGATTCGTCCAAGAAGAAGAACAACTCCTCGTCCTATCTGCTGGCTTGGGTGCCGGAGTCTGCTCTGTCACAAGATGACCTAAGCACATATGTTAAAGTCGACATGAAAGACGGCCAATCCCCGCCGAGGCAGTCGTACCTAGTGCCTCCTCTTCCTCTTGCAACTACGTTTGATGAATCGCCTGTCGGCCCATACGCCTTCTCACTACCTCTCTCAAGTATATATTCGATCCACGTTCGACCGCCGAGTTTGGGGTGGTGGTACGGCAGTGTTGTTATCAACACTCGCGCTGGCTCAAGTCTACCGGCTTTGTTTTTCCATGACTCTGAATGCGAAAGCACAATTCTTCAGAAGAGAAGGAGAGCCCGCGAGACTTTCGATCCCTTTGGAGAAACCGGGGATTTGTACTGGGGAGGAGACGAAGTCTTGCGCTGGCTCAAGCGATCTGTCACGGTCGAACGGAGCACGGCTGAGCCGTCCATATATCTGATAGACCCGTCCGAAGAGGACCTTCTTGGATTTGGACAAGGTCGAAAGTCAATGGAGAACCAAAGGCAACGGGGCAAGAGCACTTCAGAACAGAAAAAGCCTTCCCAACAGCAGAAGCAGCCTCCCGGACCAGGAATGGATCCTTTGACCAAGGCCTTGAAGGAAACGAGGTGGAAGATCCTCGAGCAGCTATCCAAGGTCACCACTTTCACTCGTCGCACTGCGGAGGACCTTGCCAACAATAAGAATCTTCCACCTCAGTTGCGTCGAATCCTGCAAAACCCAGAGATCCAAACTTGGCAGGATGAGTATGATAGTGCGAAGCTATACCTCGCTAAATGGGCAGCGAGTATCGCCGAGCAAAGTGACCGGGAGAAGAGACAGCGCATTTGGACCGCCAGAGATGTTCTTGATTCTGAAGAAACCAGTGTCGGCGATTTCGAAATCCTCGAGATGGAGGCCGGTCGGATGGATTTGACAGGCAGCAAACGTCGACCGGTTGATCTAGACGAATGGAGATCCTTTTTCGACGCCAAAGGTAGCTTGCAGGTCACGGCCGACGAGGTGAAGGAACGTATATTTCACGGTGGTTTGGATGCAGAGGATGGCGTCCGTAAGGAGGCTTGGCCCTTCCTCCTCGGTGTTTATGACTGGAACAGCACCGAACAAGAACGACATACATACATGAACGGCAAACGTGATGAATACGTCCAGCTAAAAGGAGCGTGGTGGGAACGCATGGCTGATAACGAAGCCACTCCAGAACAGGAAGAATGGTGGAAGGAGCAAAAGAATCGCATCGGTAAGCATGAACCTTACCTCCATGTGGCTATGAGACCAGTTCCTGACAGATTGTCCACTGACCTTGCAATCCGCCATGTAGAGAAAGATGTCCACCGTACCGATAGACATATTCCACTTTTTGCGGGTGAGGACATTCCTCATCCAGACCCAACTTCACCCTTCTACAACGCCGACGGTCCCGGCACAAATGTGCACATGGAACAGCTTAAAGATATGCTCCTCACATATCTGGAGTACGATACACCATCTTCGTCGGTCGCCGCCTCGAATCAACCTTCATCCTCATCGTCTCCACGACGTGTATACCAAAATCAAAACCCTCATCCACAGAATCTAGGCTATGTTCAAGGCATGTCTGATCTTCTGTCTCCGCTCTACGCCGTCTTCCAAGACGATGCCCTGGCTTTCTGGGCCTTTGTCTGCTTCATGCGCCGCATGAACCGAAACTTCGTCCGCAGCCAATCTGGCATGCGGGCACAACTGGCCACCCTGGACCAGATGGTTCAAATCCTTGATCCGAAACTGTACCTCCATCTCCAATCAGCCGACAGCACGAACTTCTTCTTCTTCCGCATGCTGCTGGTTTGGTATAAACGTGAATTCGAGTGGTCCGACGTGTTGCGATTATGGGAGAGTTTGTGGACGGATTTTTACAGCTCACAGTTTCACCTCTTCGTCGCTGTGGCTATCCTCGAGAAGCATCGCGACTTCATCATGGATCATCTTGAGCACTTTGACGAGGTCCTGAAGTACGTCAATGACCTGAGTGGACATATCGAGCTGCAAGAGACTTTGGTCCGGGCCGAGGCCTTGTTCAAACGTTTCGAGAAGACGGTGGAGGCGGTGGATCGGCGCAACGCTTTTCCCGCGCCTGGACAGACTCAGGGTCAATCCGATTCTGGTACAAAGCAGGGCGGTGATGGTGAAAGCACCCAAAATACGACCAGACCCAATCCGGCCGCAGCAGGGTCTTCGAGAAGCCCTGGACGTCAGAGCTCGAGGCCCATATCTCAGGGTAGACCGACGTCAAAGGGGGGCAAAGCCCCCGAAAAGGACCAGGAGAAGGTCATTACGCCGGAGCTGAGGTTGCTGCTGAGTAAGAAGATCATCACCCTGGAAGGAGAGGATAGCAACGAGGCGGATGGGTCAAGAACCAGGGCCAGCGGGTTGAAGGACTAAAGTCCTATAGATTGTTGACAGGAAAGCCTTGATAGATGGGCGTTCTTCCTTGACGGAGGGCTCGGTACGTCCCCTGGTTTGATGAGTGATGAATTATTATACGTGGGACAAAAAGCAAATGACGAGCTGGCCGGGATAGCCAGAATCGACACTGGGCGTATTTGGGATCTACCTGGGGCATTCATGTAGTGTGCAAGACAAGACTCCTTTTCGGTCCGATCCTTCTCAGCTTTACGCATTGTATTTCTATCCCCTTTGGTTGGTTGTGTATAGCCTTTACAATTGGTGAATTTTTCAACCTCGTCGTGACGTGGCCGAATTTATGTCTCCTTTCCAACTTTCATCGGACAGCATATTTCGCGAGATAGCTACCTTGGAATCCACCTAACCAGGGGTTATTTGGGTCACCGTCTGACTCTCTCCCCTCTCCTAGGATGAAGATGGAAGCAGCCACGTTCGTCGGAGATGGCTCTGCCGATTCTGTCATGGATGGTTGGAGACAAAAGTTGTCAATCGATCACGATCCCTGTCCCGACGATCTTGAATCGTTGTTTGATGCGATTGATCCTTCGTTCCAGCACGGTCCGTTCGACCTCGACGTCCTGCGGGAGGTACACGTTGCCCACGTACCTGTTGCGTCGATCGAAAGGGCACCACTTTGCCCTCTGTTGGCTCGTCGTGCTCGTGGCATTGTTGTCGCGATCGATGTAAGGGCAGATGTGGTCCCACAAGAGCGTGGACACCTTGAGGTTTGCGGCAGGGTTCAACATCCGATGTGGTGAAGTGCCGGTTTGGTTCAACAGCAGTTGACACTCGACACCGACATCGTGCGTGGCCGTGACGAAATCTCTCTTGCGGTCCAGCCAGCCCGTGGTGTCTATCCAAAAGGTCGACACGTCACCGTCCGCGAGTGCGACTTGAGCCACGCGCGACAGGGCGTCGTTGATGATCCGGTCGAGGCGGGTTTTCTTGGTGACGAGGTGCCCTGAAGAGGAAAAGGGGGCGATGAGGAATATCGGCAACGTCGAAGGTGCCGAGTTTGAGATGTAAGTCGGATCGTCAATTGCGTTTCTCCGAGCAGAAGAGAGAGATTCTGAATTGAACGGGTATGCCGTTCTCCGGATCGCCTTGAGAAATTTGACGTACGCGTTGACAAATTCGTTGATGAAATGCTCTCGCGAGCGGGTGTTGCGATTCTCTGGGTCTGCGAAAAACGTGGTAAACTCGTCCAAGCCCAGTTGTAGGATCAGTACGGACGGACTGTAGGTCGTAAAGGTCCACGGACGGGCGAAGAGGGTTGTTCCCGGAGGACCAGAACGGAAGAAGAGGTGTGAGACGGTGGCACGCATCTCATCGGAGGAGGGTAATAGACGTAAGTCTTTGGTGGACATGGTGATGGCATCAATGTTGTGTGTAGATCCTAGCTGATCATACCAGACACTGGCTCTGTTGATCATAGTGTCTTGGTTTTCCTTCTTCGAGATGGGACAGAATGATATTTCGGAAGTGAGGATCTCAATTGTCCTTTTCGTCGCAACTTGTACAGTCTGAGCTTCCTCCATCCTCTCTCTGGATGAAATATTTTTAGCATTGTTCGAGGGGTGTGCAGGCTGTGTCTCGGGATGCTCAGTGAGCTTTTCCACCCAGATTCCATTGAACTCGAGAACCCGGCCGGTCAAATTCGGCCCTCCCATATGCGTCGCTCTGAGTAGGTATCTATTTCTAGGGTCAAGATCGCTCGCGACGGGGACGATGGCTCTGGCATTCGTGAAGGTGGTATAGGTGTCGTTCAGCTGGACAACCAAGTTGACTGGTTCAGAGGCGATATGATCGGACGTGGCGAGCCTCAAATCGATGTGGTCAAGATCATGGGGTTCCGCATCTTCTACCGGTCGTTTCGACGAGGAGACAGCGTTGTTGAGAGATAGGGAGATTGACCTGGTATTGGTGATGATTATCTCGACAGATGAGCCTTGATACGGATCAGCTGCTGTCTAATCACTACCATACCAGGCGTTCACACTGACCTGGAAACGCGGCATCTCGTCTGCGCCCGTCTGATGTCGAGGTCCAACGGCCAACCCTCTATTCACAAGTCAATACCAATGCTTGGATGAAGAGGTGGAAAGACATACGTGCATGTGAGGATGACCAGCGTCAATAAACGTTGAATGCAAAGCCATGTATCGAGTCGCGGCTGCCCTGTAGTACCACAAGGTATTGAAAGAGCCATTTTGAGTAGATATGAACGACGTCTTGGACACAAGAATGTAGATACACAAGAGCAATACGCAAGCGATGATGCCCGGAAAGGGAGACGACGGCAACCTGTACAGCCTCCTCGTCAGGGATTGAAACATTGCGAAGGCTTGGATTGTGAGGGTTTCCCGGTTCCATGGAGAGGCAAGAATTCATATCGCTATGGACGCGAGAAATCTATTGTATGTAGACGCGTTTGAGCAGCGCATTCACTGGTAGAATCATCCTTAATGGTTGCTTGGGGGCCACTTTGCTTCACTTACTGACTCCTAGAGGCCAATGGGGGCCTTCAAGCACAACAGTTTGAATATTCAAGGGGTTATATTTTCAAAAAGTTGAATATCCCCCAACAATTCCTCGTGGCTACCCGTGTCACCTGACCCACCGGGGGTCGGATGGCGTAAGGGGATTTCACCAGACATGAGGCAGTTTACTTGGGCCAAGCCGCGAATCCTAGAGACAAGGCCCTGACACCGATGATCCCGGTAGGATGAGGTGTTCCCCAGCTTTCATGGCATTCTACTCGTGAATGACCAAGTTGGGGAGTAACCTGGCGATACCACGGAAAAAATCCTCTCAAAAGGATTTCCCTCGACCTCAACGTCAACCACTCAACGTGTGGTTGGCCTTGAGGTTAGAGTTTTGCCGGTTGAAAAAAATGACTTCTTTTTTTGGTCATGGCGCGACTTGAACTGCCTTCCTGTGTGGTGGTGGTGATAAACTGTGAAGGGGTCGCGGGAAAAAAAAGGCAGTCCGCGTGGTGAAGACTGTGGTGGTGAGTATCAGCTCAAGAATCCATTTCCAGAAGTGAACACACACCATTAATGTATCAACTCGAACAAGTTCTTCCCTGCTTCAAGTCGTTCATGCCTTACCTTGACACTGTGACATTATAGTTTACGGAATGGTCAGCGCACTGTGGAGAGTAGCCGGCCGAAGTACAAGGAAACAAGTTTGAGAGCTCTGCTAGATATTCAGACATTCATGCCGCATGCATTCTCTCGTTCAGAAAGTCTTCGGCAAACATCAGAACTGGCCTACCCTCAGGGAGCCAGAGATGAATGCAATAAACCTCCAAGTCAAAGCAGTTGCTGATTGCAGCGTCAAATGAATAGGTTTCTGGTGATTTAATCATCCAAAGCGATCAGAGCGGGATTCGAACATGGCTCTCTGTCTTGATCATGAAGACTCTCAAGCCATCTAGATCCCTTTTTTCGCTGTCGGTCATTTGACAAGGCTGAAAGGTCTCACCACCTGACAGGAGCAAGGCTGCCAAAAGACCGATCTTGGCGGTGCGCAAGCAAACCCACCAAGAAGTCATCCATGGAGGTCAAGGATCTCACACAATCAATGTATAACATTTTATAGATAATCGAGAGTATCGATGCTGAGCATTTTGAGAGCGAGAGAATAAGCGAGTGGAAAAGAGAAGGGCACGAAACTTTAGTTTAGGCGTTGCAGTTGCTTTAAACTCATCTGAGACTTCAAGATCTCAGGGAAAACGCCACTAATACATATCGGGCAGGAGGCAACGAATCCGTTATAACCGGCGCAGGATGGATCTTGGTCCTAGCAATGGACATGGAACTCCGGGAATAACAACTATCTACTCCGTACAAATCTGTGGGAGCGATATGTTGATGGGGCATTTTCCTGTGAATCCTGACGTAGCTACTCGCTCTCCATATTCAACTGCCGATAGCTAATTAAGATATATATTCCACACCGATCGTCTCGACATTAAAGGTTTCATGTGAATTTATTTGGGAGTACTGTCAAGCGTTCAATTCTGCTCCCTATCATCATCCCTTACTCGTCTTTTTTCCAGCATAATATTCCTGTCAATTGTGACCTGAGAAAGGAACGTGGCAAATCACAAATGATGGATCCTTCAATGGGTACGAGCCGATCCTGCCTTTACAAAGCTAATAACTCATACAAGCAGGAATTAATTTTGTGGCGACCTCCCACCATGATACATACCCGGCAATAGATCCTTCACAAGCCGACTTGAGCGGCAAGATTGTCCTGATCACCGGCGCCAGCAAAGGTATTGGCAGGGCGACAGCGTTATCATTCGCCAAGGCTGGTGCATCTGGCATCGTCCTTCTCGCACGTTCTGATCTGTCCTCTCTCGAAAAGGAATTGCTCGAGAAAGCAAAGGCGGCCGGCCGTACACCGCCCAAGGTTCTATGCCTGACCGTCGATGCCACAGACCGAGCACAGGTCGAGAAAGCCGCCAAGGAAGTGGAGTCCAGATTCGGCAGCATCGACATCTTGATCAACAACGCCGGCTACCTGGAGAAATCTCAGCTCATGGGCGACAGTGACCCGGACGAATGGTGGTACGTGTACGAGATCAACGTCAAGGCGGTCTACCTCATGACACGATCATTCCTGCCGTTGGTCCTGAAGAGCAAGGACAAGACCATCATCGTGACGTCGAGCATCGGGGCGCTCGGCACCAGACCAGGCCTGTCGGCATACCAGAGCACGAAGACGACCGTTCTGCGACTGAACGATTTTCTCATGGCCGAGTATGGGAACCAGGGCCTTTTGGCGTATGGCATTCACCCCGGCGGAGTCATGACGGAGCTGGCGCAGAACATGCCAAAAGAGACGCATGGCTTCTTGAACGACAAGCCCGAACTCGCTGGAGACTCATTTGTGTGGCTCACCAAAGAGCGAAGAGAATGGTAAGGACATGTCCCTGCTTTGCTGAGAGCTGTGGCGATATGTGACTGTATACCCCGTACAATGCTGATTCAAATATGTGACAGGCTTGCCGATCGATATATCAGCGTGAACTGGGATGTGAACGAATTGTTGGCCAAGAAGGACGAGATCATGGATAAGGACCTGCTCAAGATCAGGTTGCGTGTAGAATAGGGCTCTCATACTCCTTGCGGCGTACATCTGGAGCGACGATAACCTTAAAGTGTTCATAGACGAAGAAAAGAGCCTCCCTCGATACGAAGTATTATTTAAGACAGTTTGAGGAAGATATACAATGGGGTATTGTCTCGGCCATCTTCGGGAACCATAGTGTGCAGGCCGCGGAACTGCCGCATCTTAGGGGCTCGTCATGTTTCCTGAACCGAACTCATACGATCGAGGACAAAGGCCTCACCTTGACATGGACGGAGGACGAAGCAAGGAAAGTTGTCTCAAAGGCGACGGTCCATTGGACTGTACGAGGATTGATAACACGCAAGGAAGAACGCTCATATATTTGTCTGTTCTCGCCGGCGTCACCGCCTACACGTCTTGGTTTTTCTCGCCCGAATTCTCTGGCTGCGTATTTTCAGCATGATCGACATGCATTGCCGTGACTTGTTCTTTTCCAGCCTCCACCGAGAGCTCCTGGCCATTATCTTCGATCAGAGTGACCTGGTTTCCGGTTCCGTACGTCTTCGCCTTACTGAACTGCCACGCCCATAATTTCCGCTGAAAGATATTGTCAGCTAATTACGTTCTTATCGATTAAGAAGATGGGAGTCTCTCACCTCAAAGAGCTCGTCAACCTCTTCCAGCGACCGGCCTTTGAGCTCCGGCATGAACAGAACGAAGAAGAAGAAAGACAAGGCCGCCAATCCCATGAAGACGTAACCCACCTTGGCACCCAGCTGCACATGAGGTCCAGCTTGAAGGTATGGCGTAAAGAAAGTTACCAAGAATGCAGCAAGGACGTCTATAGCAACGCCCCAGCCCATCAACTTCTTTCGCATCTGAATTCCGCCAATCTCGGAGCCGACGAGCCAACACTGGCTTGCCACACCGAGCTTACAGACACCATTCAGGAGGATCACGGAAGCAATGACAACATTGCTGTCTGTCGTGTTGTTGTCAGCTCCTGGTTTGGAGCCGACGGACCCGATGAGGGCTCCAAACATGGTAGCAAGAGCGGCACCAATGTAACAGAGCGTGCGACGGCCGATAGTGTCGGTTGTTAATACGGCAATGATGCAACCGCATAGACCAGCAAGTGGAATAAGGATAGAGTAAGCGAACAAACGGTCCGGGGCGAGACCCATGGATTTGAAGAATCTATATAGAGTGTAAGCCTCTCCAATTCAATGATATTGGGCCAGTGTGGAACATACGTAGGGCCATAGGAGTTTGCGAATTGCTGACCTGTGGTTTGTTGGAAGAAAAACATGAGCGTGACAATCTGCATTTGGTCAGCCATAGATGGCCAGATCGCTTGACCATCTGCCATGAGACACGTACAATTGTGCGTCTCAAATACTTCCTGTTGAACAAGTCAAGCCATGAACCCTGATTCATCGACCTGCTCTCTGCGATGGCCTGCTCGATGGCGTCGATTTCACGGGCAGTCCTCCCACTCTCCTCGTAAGCTCGAGGCCTTACGCGGTTCATCGCTTTCAAGGCCTCGTCCTGCAAATATGGCACCCATCAGCTCGTGTCCAAGTTCAGGAAAGCTCAAAAAGGAAGGAGACGTACTTTGCGGCCGTGAGCGAGCAGCCACCGGGGCGACTCGATACAAAACGGTGTAAAGATGAGAAGTAAGACAGCTGGGATCATCTGCATAGAAACAGGGACCATCCATCCCCTTTTCCCTTGCTCGTAGGCATATGCGCGACTCATTCCAGCGCCCCAGATGCTTCCGAGATGTACAAGAACCTGGACATTGCCCGCAAAGAATCCACGAAGAGCGGCCGGTGCCATCTCGGCTTGGTACATGGGGATGGTAGGTTCGACGATGCCGACAGCGAGGTAAGCAAGAACTCGGCCGGCACAGAATTGAATCCAGCTATTGGAAGAAAGTAGAACTGATGTGGTCAGACTTCTCCAGAGGGCATTTCAAATCGGATGGCTTTGTATGCTCACGCGTAACTGCGACGATCTGTATTATGGAAAGAATGTAGATGGTCTTTCTAAATCCAAGATTCTCCACGAGAGGCTCGAAAATGGCACATCCGACCAGTTTTCCAGTCCAGTTCACTAGACACAGTCAATGGAAAGCTTCTCCGAGCAACTGCCCTCGACAGGAAGGGAGAACTCGCCTGAGTTCAGGATGCTCTTCCTCTGAGTGGAAAGCGCATATTCTCCTTTGCTATTGAGCTGCCCGAATTGGTGCAAAAAGCTCGGGAGAGTCTGCAAAGATCCAAAGGATGCAACGTCTCTGTCTGGCTTGTCAGCACTCAGCAGATCTATGGTGGAACAGAGACAAGTTTCAGGCCATACATTCCAAACAACACATTACCTGCGTTGAAGACAAAACAGCAATAAAGCATGTACGGCGTGACCGCATGCCAGTCCGAACGTCTCATCTCGTCTGATCCTCGCGACGGAGCGATACTGAAGAGACCTGAACGACGAGGAAGCTGCTGTCTTGAAGCGAAGCCCTTAGAAGGATGTGAACGAACAGAGAGAGAAGCAGACGTCGGTGATCCTGCAGTCCTGGCGAACCAGGGTTAGTTGGTTTATCAGGAAGACGAAAAGTCTTGTAAACTCAAGTAAACGATGTCTCCGCCTCCATACAGGAAACATTCGCCATCCCCGGGCCATGGAGATTTGGTGTGGAACCGTTCGTGGGGTCCCCAGGTAAGGGCCTTGTCAGCACCTCCCTCCGTAACCGACCCTGCCGACGTCCCAGCCGAGAGTTGACTATCGCATTGGGGACAATCGAGCGACGAGACCCATGTCTATGAGGCCACAGCATCGGTTGATCTCTGTCCGCCCCGGTCTTCGGGAGTGAGTTTGCAGTGCGATGCTGCCTCGTGCCCTTTTATGCTCCTTCAGAATACTCAACCAGATATAAAGGGTGAGATTTCAAGGCCAACAAAAAAGTTGAATCTCTCATCGGGAACTTGATACATCCCTTCGAAACTTAATCGGCTACCCGCAATTAAATCAGATACAACAATGTCTCCATCAAGAATTGACGAGCAGAGTGGCTTCCTTCAGGATATGCCTGTCAACAAGGCTATCTTCCCCGATGGCTATAAAACATCGGGGCAGCATGAACCTATCTACTCCCTCGTGAAGCCATACGAGAAGTTTCCCAAGGAGATTACAGGTCCTACCGTGTGGATGGCCTCGGACTTCAAGAACAACCCGGAAAAATGGACGTATACGTTCACAGAGGACGACATTGCCGAGATCGAGGCTGCGGCGGACAGGTTTCTTGAAGAAGCACGCCCTCTCACAGGGATCACAAAGGTACGTTCCTACATACCACCGATGACTTGTCTGTCAGTAAAGAGGGGGGAACATTTCCACTCATCAAAGCAAATCAGGAACACTTCCCACTCCCGACGTTAGCTCCTCGCATGAAAAGCCTCCGTAAGACTTTGATCGACGGTCAGGGCTTCTGGCTCTTCAAGGGCCTTCCTGTTCGACAATGGGGGCTCAAGAAGTCGGCGACAGCTTACATGGGCCTGGGAACCCATCTGGGATACTTTGTCAGCCAGAACAGTCGTGGCCACGTACTCGGCCACGTTAAAGACCTGGGCGAGGATGCCACCGCGACGGACAAGGTCCGTATCTACAGGACCAATGCTAGGTATGTGCATGCCTCGGTCGTTCTCGACGTACACGTTGAAGGGGAAAAGGAGAAGAAGGAATGAAGCTCCAATTCGCTCACTGACTACTATGTGTGAACTTAGGCAATACTTCCACACCGATGCCGCTGACATTGTCGGCCTCCTCTGCATGGCCAAGTCGATGGAAGGAGGCGAATCGGATATCGTGTCGATGCACCACATTTTTAATTGCTTGCAAAGGGAACACCCCGACGTCGCCCGTACCCTCTGCGAACCTGTCTGGTATCTGGACCGTAAAGGTGAGGTTTCCGAAGGACAGAAACCATGGATCCGAGCCGGCGTCTTCTACCTGGAGAATGACGAGTCCGGCAATGCGCGAGTGTACGGCAAATTCGATCCGATGAACGTCACATCGCTGGCACGATTCAATTCGGGTCCCGACGCCCAGATCCCACCGGTATCCGAAGCACAAAAGCACGCCATGAACGTGCTGGAGGAGACGTGTTTGAGGGAATCTCTGCACATGATATTGAACCCGGGAGAGATTCAACTACTGAGCAATTCACAGGTTTTCCACGCTCGCACAGCATACAAAGACTGGGCTCCGGGGAGTATCGACGAGAACGGCAACCCACGACCTCGGAGGCACTTGATGAGGCTGTGGTTGTCCGTGCCCATCGAGGAAGGTGGCTGGAAGTTGCCATACCCCCAGGCGAATTTCAAGAAACGGGGGGGCATCCAGGTCAACGATACTCCTCCAGTTTGCCCTGTAGATGCCGAGTGAGAAGAGGGCTCATGAAATACTGCATGAAAATCTTTTGTGTGTAACTCTGAGATAGTCTTTCGTAATGTACCTATTTCAGTCGAAAAGCTCCGATTAGTTTCTCTTGGAGATGATCCCACAATGAATGAGACATGTGCCGCATTACTAGATACGTCCAAAGGATCTGAGAGAGTCCGCTGGGACCTCCCAAGTAAATGAGCTCGTAAAAGGAGATCTATATGCGGAGAAGTACGAAGGAAGATCTATTTGAAGGATAGTCTAGTGAAGGAATGGACTGTATAATGTATATAAGGAATGGACAATCTCTATATTCCAGATATAACGGCCAAATTTATGCTGATGCCGTCCTACTAGCAGCCGCAGCCTCGGCCGCACGCCTCTCGATCTCGGTCTGGCCTACCTCACCAAAGATGTCAACGGCCCAGTCATAGGGCAGATTGAATCTTTTGTGCTTGTCGAGTCCATTGATTTCTTCAAACTCAGCGGGGGGGATGACGAAACCTGTTTTTTGCCATGTTAATAGTGTTGGTGAATTTGCAAATTGTCTAAGGCCTGACAAGGAGCTCGCAGAAGATGTTGTCTGGGAGATGTCGTTTTCACTCACCTTTCAAGTTCGATTCTATTCTAGAGGGCGTCACGCTTTTGGGAAGGACGACGGTGCCACGTTGCACAGCCCAATTCACCAACATCTGGCCGACGTCGACATTTAATCGTTTGGCAATTGTGTTGATGGTCGGATCATCGATGACGCTGTGATTCATTGTCTTATCAGTTTTGCTCTGTTTTGTCAACGACAGGAAAGATGATGGCCTACCGATCGTGACCGTAGATGTTATTACCCAACGGGCTATACGACTCGATCAAAATGTTCTGCAAAAAAAGAGTAATCGCTGTCAGCAATTCGCCCGCGCACATGACTGCTCGAACGACATGATAACATAACAACAGGGTTGCCTACTTTTGATTTCAAGTATTCGAACAGTTTCGGTTGTTGCAACCACGGATGGGCTTCAATTTGGTTGACCGCAGGAGGAATTTTGGCTGTCTTGAGAAGCTCTTCAATTCTTTCGATGGTGAAGTTGCTGACACCAATACTCTTGACCTTTCCAGTGCCAACAAGTTTCTCCATCGCAGCCCATGTATCGCTGATTGACACGTTGAGATGCTGGAAAAGTCCTGTCGTAGGATCTTTCGGGAATAGCTCCCCTGGACGGTAGACAAACGATACTGGCCAGTGGATCTGCTTCATTCAGTTGCCCTCTTCTGAGCCAAACAGTTTTCATCTAGTACGAGTACTGACGAGATAGAGATCGAGATAGTCGGTCTGCAAGTCTTTCAAGGTCGCATCGAGGGCGGCTTCGACCCTGCCAGGATGGTGGTCGGTGTTCCAAAGCTTGCTGGTGATCTATACATTTTCAAGTTGGTAAATATGCAATTGGCACCTGCGCACGTCTCAGTTATACTCACAAAGATATCCTCTCGCGGCACACCGGACCTTTTCCATCCTCGACCTACTTCATGCTCGTTTTGGTAAATGGCGGCAGCATCAATGTGTCGATAGCCAACTTTGAGCGCGTGCTCAACCGCCAATGCAACCTCGTTGGGTTTAGATAGCTGTTTTTGGCGTCAGCAAATCTATTCGGCCTACATCCTTACTACCCCCAAAGCCAAGCATTGGGAGCCTCACCCAGGTCCCCAGACCAACAGCCGGGATCTCGTAACCCGAGTTGAGCTTAAATTTCTGAGGTTGAGGCATGGCGACGCGCAATAGGGATGGAACAGAACTAAAGGATAACTGGACTCTGAGATGGGAGAAGAAAAAGCAAACCGGGGGGAGAATGTTGGAAGAAGAGATCCTATACTGAGGTGGACCGAGACATACCATCCGAGGGCTGTATTCCCTCGTGAAGGCTCATCATCTCATGCCATGGATTTCACCCAGACAGGAGGCCCACTGCGAGCCGATTGCCATGTCTTGCGTTGTCCGAAATATCGTGGATGTGTTATTATACTATGGGCTTGTGCTCTGTGACTTGCTGGACGTCCATACTTCTCAATGTCTCCACCCTGTGAGTAGGGGCAATTGAAAAGGTCCCCGCCTCCCCCAACAGCTTGCCGACGACCACGTAAAATAACCGAAGATTCCAGCCGACACACCCATCCGACCCTTCCCCTCCTTGGCATCGTAAGCGACGGAATAGAAGAAGGTCGGCTTTTTATATGGCACCCAGCCGAAGCTCGCCTGGAGAGAAGTCAGTGATATCAATGCCCGAGGAGCAACAATCTAAGAAGAGACGATCTCGCCTGAGTGAGTGCCGAGAGGGCCTTGAAGGACACCGTACAACATAACAGGAGGCTGATGTTGAGATCCATCAGGCTGTGATAACTGTCGCAGGAGGAAGGTACGTCCGTGAACGACTGCTTTACATCCCTCTCACAGGATATGCACCTCTAGGTGAAATGCGACGAGCGCCAGGGCGGATGCGCCAACTGCGAACGGCTGCTTCTGAAGTGCTCTGGATCCCGTCGGGCACAGACGGGGGTTCTTAGAAGCCAGCACTCACTGGGAAACCAATCTGGGCCCAGAACCTATCGCGCCTGCGATCAGTGTCGAACAGCGAGGTCTAAGTGCTCTGGCGAGCGTCCTGCTTGCCAGAGATGTCTCCAGAACAACCAGCAATGCTCGTTCCAAAGCTCTCCCGATCATGTGCAAATCGACCAGTCTCGAGAATCTCCGTCCAATGTCGACTTATCAATGCAGACTGAGACAGACATTGCTTCAGATCCGGGACACTCTGACCGTCAGCCTGACGGCAATTCTACTTTGCCTTGGTAGCAACTCCACCACCGGAAAATGATTGCTTTCTAATGCCATTGCAGGCTACACAGCAAGGAGCTCCCAGATCCCAAACGCATTCGTGTCTTGCTCGCTCATTACTTTCAACATTTTCACACTCTTCGATGCTTCGCCTTCATCCATAAGACTTCGTTCCTCCAAAAACTAGATGACGACTTGGCTGCAAGGGCTCACAACAAGTCCTCGTTACTGCACATGATGTGTAGTATCGGAGCACAGTTCGATCCACTTTGGCGGGTTTCATTGATCATGAACTGATTTTTGGAACAGATTTTATGCTCTGGAATACAGTGAAACAGTTGAACAGTTCCCACCCAAGACAATCCTAGCAGCTGGGAGCCAGTGGGCGGCAACAGCTAGAAGCCTCCTGCTTGGCAGTTTCGACCAAATATCTGTTGAGAACTTGATGGTCAGTATCATGGCCATGTACACCCTGGTGCAATCACTGAAGATAGCACAGACAGCTCAGTTGCTGTACGATTATTCCCTTCGAATGGCAAATTACACCCAAGCTTTCATGCTCAGCGCCCTCATGACACGGATGACCCACGCTCTCCAGATCAATCTTGAATACACTGACGACATTCTTGGGCACCATGTCGATTCCAACTCACTCTCAGTAACCGCCCGTGAATCTCGTCGCAGGCTAATGTGGAGCTGCTACATTACGGACGCTCAATGCGGGAGTGGCGTCGATCAACTCATGCTTCTTGAAGACAAGGATATCAAGATTCAGCTTCCCTGCGATGAGCAAAATTTTCTTCAAGAACGCCCTTGTATCACGCGAATGCTGAGCGGCTCACCGCTGCCTTTTGTTCCCGTGGATCTCGTCTCTGCAAATTCGACCAACACCATCAGCATAGCGGCATACTTCATCCAACATATCGAGATTCGGAAACGTGTACTGAAGTACATCAAACATTTAGACCAAGCATCTCTGCCTTGGCTCCCTGATTCTGAGTTCCATCTCTTCGACGATGAACTTCAAACGTGGCATTCGTCGCTCCCGGCAGAGATTCAATTCACGCCATCCGTTATCTACCTACGCAAAGAATCAAATGAACTGGGCGCACTGGCTCTGCTCCATTGCGCTTACTACCAAACGATGTGTGACCTGTATCGACTAGGAGCCCCGGCCTTGTACAAGCTTCGATCCGCTTTCTACTTTCCTCCCGAACAAGATCAGTTCCTGAGACACCTTCAACTGTCACTCTTCAAAGCTGCGAGAAGTATAGCTGCCATCATAGCGGATGCCGCGCGGCATGGGCCAGCAATGGTCGCGGACACCTGGCTGCCCTCCATCACGTACGACAGTAACCGGATCATGTTATATTACTTGACCATCATCTTTAACCCATCGGACCAAGGCACGAAACATCTTGTGATCAATACGATTCCCTATCTGCAGAGCAATGTACAGGCTCTTAAGATGATGAGTGCCACAAACGCGGTCGCAGAAGACATGGTAAGTTCAACTCTACCGTGCACAAGAACGTTCTTGCTGACAATAAGGGACCAGTACCATGCGTCTCATTCTATGCTTGAGAAACTTGGGGTTGCATCCGACAGCATCTCTCCTCAACCACAGCTTGTCCTTGACGATCCGTATCTCGCCAATTTCGGCGCTGGGAGAGATAGCACACCAGGAACCCCTTCCCAAACGGCCCCTGACTACGTCCTGAACCCGCTCTCGATATTCCGCATGGCCCGTAGCGACATTCCAGAACGGCATGCTCCGGAAAAGACGCACAACACACCAATCGACACGGGTAGCAGCTCGGCGGCGCTGGCAGCTCCAGGGCACAATGATCAGCAGGACTCGAACATTGATCAGGGTCAAGCCTTTGGCCCCAATCTTGACATGTTCATCACTCCAAACTTGATATGGGACTGGCAGCCAATGGAAACTGCGGTAGGTTCTGGCATGAATAGCGAGGGCTTGTTACCGTGGGTGGACACTTCATATACTTCATACGTGGGTGATTTTATATCCTAGGACAGGCACAGAGCGACAATCAGATTTTACGAGTATTACTGAGAAAGTGTCCAAGCAAAAGCGTCAAGTTGAAGAGTATCCAGGTGAGAAGACGACGGTGATAAGAGATGTGTCACCCGTGGCGAGCTTGTCGATTCTTAAAAGCGGCACTAATTTGACCAATACTCATGCCTAAGCCACTTAACCTATAACTAACCTATAATAAGTCAAGCGCCTAAGGTTGCCGTAAGTCTGCGAAGATCCCTCGCATCGAATCTCGTCTCACAATCTCGTACTGAGTATGGAAGAGAATGGTGCCCAACAATTTTTCTTTCCTTCTTCCCACTCGCTTCTTCCGGGTGGGAGAAGAGAGTATTTTAGCTACTGTGTAACAACAAAGAAGTATCGTTTGCTTTTGTGTGGCCGTACTTTGTAACTTGTCTTTCGATAAACCCCCCCAGTCGCCAATCATCCTGGTTTGCGGAGTACGGAGTCCCAAAAAAATCCCCCTTTACACCGTACATTTCCCCGGATTCGACTTTTGAAGAAACCCTTTCGTCGAGCCCATCTGCTTTTTCTTCGAGTGCGCGCACGTATCCTACTCCGTGCTATACGAGTCTTTTTCTCTCTCTCGAGAACGTAGGCTGGCCTTGGGAGAGAGGAAAAACTGTACCGACAAAGCGGCCAAACCATGCCTACCACTCAACTCGTGGTGACGACTCTACAAGCGACTGCACTGTCTGCTGCTTCGAATATACTGGCACAATTACTGAAAGCTTATCGAGAGAATGTATGCATTTTTACCTATTTACTCCCCCCCTTCACTGAGGCCATTGGTTGGTGTCGAGAAGGTCAACTACCGAATATCACAAAAGGACTGCTTTTCTTTTTGGGGGGTTTTTTGACTTATCACTGACAGCTCTCGTGTCGCCCGCAGCTTTCCTTCACCATTTCCTTCCGTCCACTTTTCCACTTTGTCGTCTTCACCCTCATATCTTGTCCGCCAAATATATTATGGCAGGATTTCCTCGAGGATCGATTCCCGGGTTACACCTCGACCAACATCGGCGACGGCGGCGCCTCTCCCTCTTCTTCCGACAAGATCATCCTCGATAGGTCCAATACCGCACGCAAACTTTTGTTCGATCAGACTTTGGGTGCTTTCGTCAACACGATAGCATTTATAGCAGCCATGGCGGCGTTCAAGGGAAAGACTGCAAAAGCTGTACAAAAGCAGGTTGAAAGGGTAAACCACTCCTCACCTTCTATACCGTCCTGCGCTCCTCCCACCACCCTCGCAGGTGCGACTATGCGACAGGTGTAAGGATACATGCTGATGAAAAGGTCGGATAGGACACGATACCTCTGATGATCAATGGGTGGAAATTATGGCCCATGGTAGCCCTTTTCAACTTTGTCTTTGTCCCCGTTCATCGTAGGGTCATTGTCGCAAGCATCGTCGGTCTGTTTTGGGGCATATACCTCTCGCTCTTTGCGGCGCTGGATTGAATTGAAGTCGAGGAGGTATACGTCTCGCTGATTTAGATTCATTGGACGACTCAACAACCGACATGTATGGCGGGCTTGTTACAGGACTACACCACCTCAACATCCCAACGCTTCGGTTTCTCTCAGCATCTTCAACATGACGATTCCGGCTTCGGTTCCAACCATGACCGTACAAGTACATCGTTGTACTTGGTGGTCATGTTTAGGCTCGACCGGCACAAAAAAGGAAAACGCCGACAGAGGGTTCGTCGAGATAATAACGGCCAGAGTGTGGTGGGATATGATAGTGCGCCGTGCCCCCAGACCTCCTCAACGTCTCGACTCCATGGTGTATTCGGACCTCTACCATTAGCTTGGGCCGATTCTTGATGCAAACGTACGATTCTGGTCTGGTCAGAACCCTCATCTCTGAGAATGAACGGGTCGGATGCGTACGACGAACCTCGGAGACTTCCTCGTACGGTGGCTCACGTCTCCGCTAGGCCAGCTTTCACCTCCCTCGGACAGCAATATACCGTAAAGGACGCGGAGGAATAATCCCAGGAGCACAGAAAGGACTTTGGCGATCAGATGGGTCAAAGATGCAAAGAGCTTCGGGCGACAATCCGGTTTGTCTCGCAATGCCGCCGAATTTTAGTGCCAGGAGAAAAACATACCCCGAGCATCAACCCCGGGTCTGCTGCCATGTGCAATGAGAATTCGCACCGTCAGGCTCGGCATCAGGCCACATTTTGAGGGTTCTATGCCACGGCAGAAACGAATCGGCCCAGGCTGTCGGCTGACCTCAACTTCTGGTCCTTGCTAGGTAGTCATTCGCGAACATCGCGTAACAAGATCATAATGGCCACAACCAAGACCACCAATGTTGGACCTGACCGGTCACAATACTGTGTGTATGGAAGCCATGGAAAACGGAATCCTGAAGAGATGATCTTGCATCGTATGAAATTCATCGTAATATTACACCCGAGCACTTAAAGACTATCTTTTCTAACGAAGAACTTATCTCGCACTGGTTCGTATAATGATATACTTGTCAAAAGCCGGCGCTCGTACGTCTGAACCCGGTTGAAAGACCGGACGGAGGCAGGGGGGATTTTTGTTTTCTTTTCTCCAAGCAAGCACCCATGACCGTTTTCGCACTTGCATTAGGACTACCGCCGTAATGAAACCATTCGACTTGTACTGATATATCCACTCAAGTTTAAAGTATACTGCAACTTGACAATGACTGTAGTTAAATCGGCCTGGAACGAGGCAGAATGCCGTGTTCAATAATATTTGGGTGCGAAATCCCACCAAAGGCTGATGGGGGTTGAATCTCGGTATGAACGGAACATCATTCGAGTCCAGACTCTTCAAAATTCTTATGACCGACCTAGTTGTTGTTCTGGCTGTTCAAAATGCGCAGGATGGCGAGGAACAAGTTGAGAATGTCCAGGTACAAGCTGATGCTCGCGGCAATGTATTCATCCACGTGATAGTGTCTCATGACCAACTGAGTGTCCACGAGGATGTAGCCGCTGAAGATGAGGGCTGCGACACCGCCGTAAATGAGTTCGGTCGTGGAGTTTCGTGGGAAAAAGGCGGCCATGAAGCCGAAGATGATCATCAGCCACAAGGCGCCAAACAGGTATGGGATCCAGCTCGTGAAGTCGTACTTGGTCTGGCATGCGAACATGGTCAAGAAGACGAAGACGCCCAAGGTCATGATGAGGGCCTGGATGACGATGCGGCTCTCGTAGAACGACGTGATGACGCTGATGCTGTACGCTTCCAGGGCGGTGAAGCCGCTCAGGAAGATCATGTTTTGAGGATAACTCTTGCGCTTCCAGTACGTCAAAAGCATGAAGCCGATGGCGCCAAACAGAGACACCCACATCATCCACGAGTTGGATTGGATCCAGTTTCGGTAGCCGGAGGAGAAGAAGGAGACGCACGAGAGGGCCATGGTCATGAAGATTTGGACGGTCAGGATGCTGTAGACCTTGCGGACAAAGGCCATGCGGATGTCGAGTGTCGCTTCGTAGACGGAACCACCAAACTAAAAGAGAACATGTCAGTATGGCCAAAGAAGAAGAGAGATGGATGGATTGCAGTCGACTGCTTACCTTGAAGTCGTCAGGAACATTGTCGTCTTCCTCTCGAGGGGTGCCATATCCTCCTTGGTTGATTCCTTGGTTAATTCCTTGATTGAGGCTGGGGCCTGCGGCATTGTAACTGGGAGGTGGCTCATCGAACGAGTCGCGTTGCGGCGCAGGTTGATATTTGGCTTTGGACGCCATGACGATGGTAGGGACAAGTCGCGTAGACAAAGGTATCAGGGATCAGGAATTGTTTTGATCGTGGTCAGTCGGTGGTGTTGACTGGTGGTGGCGTGTAGGGATGATGGAAAGATGTTGGAAAGATGTTTGCGTGAGTCTAGTTAGGGATAAATAGTTGGGTGGCTCAGTACTAACTGCGTCATGCGGGAGGCCACTGAGGGTACGAGTAATAAATTAGGCGCATGCCTAGAAGGTCGAATCTTCCAGCGACCAGCCAAGTCCCCCAAGGTGGCGGTGGCTTTGTCACGTGTTTCATTTGAGCGAATTCACTCCCAATGGCCTGCCTACAATTTTCTAATTATTTTCAAGTGAATGCATTGCACCCAAAAAAATTGTCACGAATAAATATGGATAAAAAAAATGACTTGCGTGAACCGCGACTTCAGTTCATATTAGATGAGATTCTGTGCGATAAATGATTGAGCTTTCGCCTACCTCGAACGCGGACCCCGCGCATGGGAAGCGCGGATTCTAACCCTTGAACTATTCACGCTCATTTTCTCTCGGAGAGATTGTGTTGCCATTTCGAACTAAATTTTGCCTTCAAAAAGATCATATAGGATCAAAATTTGCCCCATCCCCTTGGGGCTTAGTGAGGGGTCGCACTCTAGAGCCTTGGGCGATTGTCAGCAGCCGAGGCTTTTCTTGTGCCTTCTACGAATGCTAGACATGTCAAGGTTGTCAACCTCTTCCTACGCTGAATGACCTATAGGCAGTGCAACAGATGGTCCCAACTTCACAACATTGATTACGTCGATACTTTTCCCTTGGTCGATCGTCCATGGCCATGAGTCCCGAGTCCGAGCAAGACTACTTTTTGCACACACATTCTAGTCTGTTGCGTGCCTCTAATCTCTGACTTTGTGCAACCCAGGTTATCTTCCTACTTCTCTCTTGAACCCACCTACTTGAAACGTATCTACTCGAGAATGGCTCTATAGAATTTATATCCTAGTCAGATGTTGTGAGGGAGAGGAATGTGAACATTGGAAACCTCATGTAATGAAGGATGACCAATCACTGTGCCTTCAGACAACGCCTAACGACAGCGACCAAATACCTCAACGTGAACACTCTCATGTCCAGCAGACTGATCACCGTCAAGGTGATGCGAAGGCTTGCCTTGCTCCCAAATGCGATTTGCTGGCGACGACGGCGGCGGCGGAAACTGTCTCCCTTGTTCCATAAATGAAGCGACATAACTCGAGGTATGTGGGAAAGGACAGAATGTTTCGAGACCGGTCATGAGCAGGCCCATCACTATCGGGAGCAACGGCGTGAAATACTTGATAGCAAAACAGACTGTCTGTTATCAGAAACCTTGACAATAATGTACTTCTAAAAGGGTGATTCCACGCCCTAAAGTACGAGCTGCTCAGATAGAGCATACTCGACCTGATACTGGACATCTCTCCACAAGGAATCAATTCTTCATGATGTGGTTGGATGTCTCGCTGACTACTGCCGTCGACCTCATTGAGTGGAGTCTCCCATCTGGCCGGATAGAGAGATGCAGGGACCATCCCGGCACCACCACAATAAATTAGTCTCCTGACGTTACCACGTTTCGCTTCTGGAACACGAGGACGAAGATCGGATTGCGTAAAACAAAAGACATTCATCCTTCTCCGACTCCGCACTCCGGAATTCATTAATGCTCGAGCCATTGCCACTGGCTCTATGAGGTAAAATTTTTAAAAAGTCGCTGATTTCCCCCATATTCATTGTTTGTTGACCATTTCCATTCTGCCCCCAAACCTCCAGCGAGGATGGCTACCACTGTTACCAATGGGAAAGATGCCAGCGCGACTGGAAAACAATCCGTCACGTCTGCCGACCAGGATGTTGATCGAAGCAAAGGCGAACTCGTAAATGCTTCTGGACACGTCCAAGAGCTTGAACGTCAGTTCAATCTGGTCAGTCTTGCAGGAGCCGGGCTTGTGACAGGTAAGATCGAGACTCGAATGTTCATGTTAGATATATTCTGACAATCCTAGGAAACGTATGGCCAGCCCTGGGTGGAAGCATTTTGGTGGCAATTTTCAACGGAGGCCCACCAGGTATGTTGCATAGACATCCACCTTGGCCCCTGCATGTTCAAGTCTAATGTGACTGCAGGTGTTTTGTACGAGTTCATTGCGGTGTCTGTGTTTTATTGGATTGTCGCTGCAAGCATTGCGGAATTGGCCTCTGCGATTCCTTCCAGCGGCGGAGTCTACCATTGGGCATCGGTGACCGCTGGCCGCAAATGGGGTCGCGTGAATGGTGGGAAGCCTGCTCGAAGTACTCTGATCTTTACTCACTGTTGTCAGGATTCTTTGGTGGCTACTGGAACTGGCTGGCCTGGGTTTTTGGCTGCGCTTCCATGAGTTTCATCTTCGCCAACACTGTGGTGCAAATGTACGGTGTGACTCATGCCGATTTCACGGCAAAGCCGTGGCACGTCTTCGTGGTTTACCTGATCGTTACATGGCTCGCATGCTTCGTGGTATGCTGCTTCAACCGTGCCATGCCATACATGACCCAAGTCGGTATTTTCCTCATTTTGGCCGGATTCTTGATCACCGTGGTCGTCTGGTAAGAAAACCTTGTTTTGCCCATTGGTCCACCCTCACTGACATTTTTACCAAGTGCTGCGATGCCCGGACATGGTGGAAGACCTGCCCACGCCACCTCAAGCTTCGTCTGGAGCGAATGGCACGCTGATATTGGATACGGCGCTGGCTTTACATTCGTGGCAGGCATGCTGAACGGTGCCTTTGCAGTTGGAACACCAGACGTCACAACCCATTTGGCCGAAGAAATTCCCAGCCCACAGACAAAAGTCCCACAAGCCATCGCCTGGCAAATGGGTATTGGCTTCGTGACAGGCCTCCTATACCTCATCGCCATTCTTTATGCCATCAACGATTATGATGCGCTCTTCAAATCCCCTTTCCCGATTGCTGAGATCTATCGACAAGCCACAGGCTCTTCCGCTGGCGCTATCGGTCTGCTGTGTCTGTTGTTGTTCTGCATTACCCTCAACGTGGTGGGCGTCTACATCACCGCAGGACGGACACTTTGGACACTGGCCCGTGACAGAGCCACGCCCTTCCCAGGGCTCCTCAGCCAAGTCAGCCCTCGTTTGGGCATGCCTTTCAACGCAACCATCGTTTGCGCTGTTTTTGCCACTATTCTCGGATGGTACTGCCTCCCCTTCTGATCATGATGTTGTGATGATGCTAACCCAAACTAGTATCTACGTCGGAAGCACCACCGCTTTCAGCGCCTTTGTGGGTAGCTACGTCCTGATGAGCTCGGCGTCCTACCTTGCCGCTATCCTTCCTCACTTGCTCACTGGCCGGAAAAACATCATCTTTGGGCCTTTCAGGCTCAAGGGTTGGTTGGGTTACGCCATGAACTTCGTCGGCTGCGGGTACATGATGTCTTGGTTTGTCATCTACTCGTTCCCAGTCTCCCTTCCGGTCAGCGCGCAGAACATGAATTATGCATGTCTCATCTGGGGAGGTCTGACCATTTTTGTGGCGGTCTGGTGGTTCATTGGAGCTCGCAAGAATTACGAGGGCCCTACAACGACTGGAGGCACATCGGAGGTGGAGCAGATTCGACGCGCGAGCGTGGAAATGAGGAAGGGATCAGTTTAAGCATCTTCGATGACTGTGTTGATATTGGTGTCATGCTGGTCGCGATCTGTGACCAGCAGAAAGAAATCTTACGGAATGTATTTCATGCCTTGGTTCTAAAGCATAAGCCGTCCAATGGAAACCTGTTGCGCTCTCTTTCAAACTCGTATATCATCGGAGCTGCAGTAAATGATCTTCTGGCCGTATTGAATTATTGCATAATTTCACATGTAGCGAATAGTTGAAACAGCGCCTCGTATACCAACTCGCCGAGTATCGAGTCTTTGTCATTTTAAAACGTCGAGGAGTAGATTTCAAGCTGTCGTATTCCTTCCTGGTAGGTGTATCATATCCTCCACGGCGTCCAGATATCGTTTTCAATTTCTTCGTTTGTCAAGCGCCAAAATCTTCAGGTCCGGCCAGAAGTTGCACAAGCGAGAGACAGTCATCTATCATGGTCTTTGCGTTCCTGCTATGCTGACACAGATAGCGAGCTCATAGGAGCAAGCTTGACTTGTTTTGTGGTGAGAGTTTTGGAGCGTCGAGAATACGCCACTGCCCGTGAGACAGCTCAAGTTCGTAGTTTTGGCCGTCGAAGATCTTGTTGAGCCGAGGACGGAGTTTGTTCGAGTCGACGAACCGCGCGTCCAAGAGCTGGACTGGTATAGTCTGGATGCTGTCCAGTGAACTCTGGGTTGATGTCCGCGAAGGTGCCGAATAATACATCTTTGTATGCCTGGAAGAATTGCAGTGTCAGATGTCTCTTTGGTCATGAACTTTGTCAGCGTCGGGAGCACAAGTCCTTATCAAAAGGGGGTCTTTTTCATCTTATTATATCAATAGGACCATCGCCACGTTCGCAACAAATACCTCCGATCAGCTGAAAAAAGAATTAGACCGGTGAACGGGCCGTCGAATGGGCCACGTTGAACGAGGCTGACAGATCAATGCGACGCGGCAAATTTTGGCGGCATCGCACTTAACAACCAAGCCCCGTCGATATACGGCAGCATCACAAAACATTTCCCTACGTGGCGCAAGGTGGTCGCGCGCACTCTAGCTGGCGTTTGAGACCGCAAATTCCAACGCATTCCGGATGGGCTGAAAGATCCGGGCGAGGATTTGGGCAGGAGAAAGTGGGCGTGGGGTGGTACAAGGAGAACACGCGGTGCGAGACAGACCCCTGTCGATGTGGGCGGTGCGAGTCTCGACACTGAACACTGCCACCACAGCCTGACACCATCTTTACAGTCCGATCCGAAGCGCCCGAGAATAATGCTCCGGACCTGTGAACAACCTCAGTGAGAGCTGGTTCGAAGAATTTGCTCCGTCATGTCTGGTGCCGATAGACACGTCCTACACTCACAGTAAAACAGGACATTGAACCGGAATTCCTAGGATGATACGAGGCCACGCAAACCATTCTGGCGACATCATTAGAAGGTTGGATGACATCGACAATCGAGTATGGGAGTCGGTAGTGGATGATTTGTTCGTCGATCAGCGTGACGGGCGCTCACGTATTGAGGTGTATCCGGCGCACCTCCTCCTGCCTCAAAACGTTGAACATCAGCAGTCGAATCATGGAATCAAGCAAGCAGACGCAACGACCGACATCAACCATGGATCTCCTGCCAATGACAAAGACAATCCATCGATGGACCTAGTCGCACTGTCTTCACCCCAACGCGTCGCTGACTACATACAAACGACCCCGAAGTTCCAAGCATTCTTCATCCGACAAAGCTTTTCGTGGGGTCCATTGCTGGTGACGAACGAGCTGTTTATAGGACTGCTGCTCAACGCTCGATTACCACAGCACCTGAAGAGCTTCATCATGTTTTTCGGACCGAGAGAGCGCGAGGTTGAAATTTCACCTCCGGCTCTGAGATTTACGCCGCTCTCAACCACAGGACACTCATCTGATCAAAGTCACCACTGCACATATGGCCTGAGGTTTATTGAGCGTAACCGCCACCATCACATGTCATCTCCATCGAAAGCATGGTCTCTTCGACAATGCGCAATCACCTGCCGCTATGTTCACAAAGAAGGAGGTGCATCGTGGGCATTTGTTACCATTTCTGTCGACATGCAACGGAGGTTGGATGCAGCGGCACTCACGGGCGACTTCACCCACAACACAGACCCGTTCGAAGTACATCAAATGATCATAGACTCTGCGATTACGAGCTGGAGGCAATATCTCATCGACCTCTCCGAAGAAACCGACGCACATCATGCTCAGATTTTAGGGACGTCGCCAAACGACAAAGGGCCCGTCAAACTACATGAAGCCGGTAGACGTCAAGATCTTTTAATGCTGGATGAAACCCTTTTGAATGCATTGCTGGCAATTACGGCTACTACGGATACGTCGTCTGCGTTGTCATCTGCTTGGGAGTTTGTGATTAGAGATACTTCGACCTTAGATCCAGGCTACCTCGACCTCATGCGAAAAAGCTTCACACATCACCAACGCTCACTGGCTCTCCTGTCTGCGCAAATCACACATCTCAGAACAAAACTCGGAGGTATCATCAGCCTACTTTCAAGCTTCCTGGATCTGAGCAGCGGATACTCCCTCCAGAATCTTGCTCTACAGGCTGGCGAAGAGAACGAAGAGATGCGCAAGTTGACGGACCGCATGCACAAACTGGCAGAGAAGAGCACACAGGATGCTGCAGCTGTCAAAGTCCTGACTATTTTGACACTGATCTATCTGCCGGTTACAGTGGTGTCCAACTTTTTTTCAACCTCGTTTGTCAGTTCCAAGAATTCAGCGGATGGAGGCCTTGGAAGCATCTCCGTGACTGGCGACTGGGGGATTTTGTTTGCAGCCTCCATCCCACTGACACTTCTCACTATATATATATGGCTGGTCTGGACACGCATTCAAGCGAACCCTCGGGGGCAGGTTTGGTGGAAGTATGTGTTGGGAATTCGCTTATTCAGCGGCGACATTTCCAACTCATCAATGGAGAGTGGGAATGCAGCGATGACGACAAAGGTTCCTGTACTCATTGAAAGGGCATACTCGAGAGAGCATACGGATGGGCTTTTTGAGCATGGGTTGAGGAGGACGACTTCTGGGATTTGCTAAGCCTCTTCGTGGACCAGATAATAATTGGACAAATTCCTGAAAGGTTTACAGGATAGCCCAAATCCCAAGAGTCATTCCTCAAACTCGTTTGCCCACTTCCACGCGGGGGTAACACAACGGAATTGTCATTGCGGGGCTTCATTCAGCTCGCCAAGCGGCACCCCTGTGAGACCAGTGCCACTAATGCAGCCACATTGGGCATGCTCCAACCAGGAGAAGGTTGAGCCAACCACTGCCTGACCTTGGACTGGGGGACTCTGTAGGGCGTTGGAACGAGTCATCGAGTCCAAACGCCTGACCGGTTAGCAGCGCCCATTCGGTTGTGCCAGCAAGGTTCTTCATTGGGACACAGCAATTGCGCCTCGATGCGGCTCTGGGAATTGGGAACGTCTCGAGCATGCATTGTTTGCGGAGTGCCCCCACCTGTATGCCTGGCGGCTGTTATTTATCAAAGAGACTTCACCGAATTCTCCTCAGACTCCCTCTACAAGCTCGTCAACGTGGGTGCATAGTGACCCACCGAACACACCTGCTGTTGCTTTCGTAGTTTCATCCTTCTACGAAGGCCGCCTACCCTTCGGAAGCGCATGAGAGCCCTCTTGATATGCGTAATTCTCTCCGACCAGACTCAGAATTTTCGCCGAACCAAAAGAACAAGGATGGGCCATCTTCCATGAAGGGCTTCCGGCGGTTCTTCCATCGAAGTAATAACTCTCTTCCCAATCAAGATGGGCAGACGTCAAATACTCCTTCCATCATGTCTGGAGTAGATTACCAGGTTGCCCCTGGATCAGATGACAAACGGTTCTTGACACCAAACCCCAAGAACACTTCTGCGAACGCCAGAAGACCATCAACGTCTCACGAGAGCGTACGGTCAACGACATCATCTGTCCACTCCCGACGCCGAAAGTCTTCCAGCGTTAGTCGTAAGCAATATGTCCGCGAGCCTGGTCTTGAACAAGCCATTTCCGCCCTTGGTACCGTCCGGCTCAATGCTAGCCAAGTCCGGTGCACCTTTATCGTCGCATACCACCATGGCACAGGATCGTCGCCCGCAAAAAGTCGGCGGCACGAAGTCGCTCGCATTGAAAACTTGACGGTAGAGTTCGAGGAAGATGCAGCGTTCGACGAACTACACGACAAGGCTATTGAGCATCTAGTCAAACAATACAAACGGACCACCGAGGCTTACTACCTTAAAGTGGGACGGTTCAGGCTGATTCGTGAAGAGCCTCGAACGGTAGCAGCTCGAGGCATCTTGGAGCGGAAGGACGACTGGACGGAAAATCTGGGTCGAAACATCCAAGCGTTCCGTGGTCAGAACTTCAAGGTGGACTTCCATGTCGACATTGAGTGGGAATACTCAAGTCTGCACATCCAACAGGTTCCAGGAACTCTGTATGCCGAGACCATTCGTGGTGCCCTCGAAAGCAAGATCCGTCTCAACTGGGAAGGCAAACTTTATGTTCCAAGGAAAGATCTTCGACAGATAATGACTGAAGATACTATCAAGAAGCTGGTTCTCGACGACCAAAGTCTCCATACTCCCGAAGCCCTACGCCTAAACGGTGGATCTCCGGTCGAACTGAACACTCTAGCCAAAGATATCTACACTTGGGCTGTGTGTTTGTTGGCCTGGTGCGTCTATTCCGACTTGCAACTGGTGTGCCTGTACCACATGCTCAAGAAGGGTCTCCAAGACACCAATCTACCTCTCACGATCGACAACTGTCCAGACAATGCCTACATTACAAAGTTTAGAAACTGCGTGAACCACTCGGGAGGGTTCGCAGCCTACACGTTCGCCCGGAACGAAAAGCGCCTGGTCGACCATCAAGTACTACACGATGGAGCTGTGGTTCCCATCATCTTTGACGAGCGAGACCCAAGGTGCAAGTTGGGTCAAGGCAGCTTCGGAGTTGTGTATAAGGTCCGCATCGACAGAGACCACCATTCCTTTTCCGACCGCGACGATGAGTATTTTGCCTTTAAGATATTTCGCGATGTCGACGCGAATGTCGCTGCCAACGTCAAAGCCGAGTCCGAGATACTCGCCAAGTTGGCCGATGCCCCACACAACAACATCACGACTCACATAGCGTCATGGAGACAAAAGGGAGTTTGTTACATGTTGTTCAGATGTGCGGATTGCAACCTGCGGAAATACATGACCGACAACCCTTCCCCAGAATGGACCAAGGCCAAGTTGGTGGCCGTTATATCCCAGATGGCGGGCCTTGCCGATGGCTTGAATCACATTCACAACCTGGGCCCTGCGAAGCTCCAGCCGGAAGAGGTCGATCTTGTAGCTCGTGGAGGTGGTGGCAGCCACCACTACCACCGACGCTCGAGTCAATCAGGGTTTCACCATGATTTAAAACCGGGAAACATCCTGGTGACCACCAACGAGGACACGGGCCAATTGTTGTTTTCCATCAGTGACTTTGGCTCCGCGAGGATCGGTCAGATCTTGTCCGGCTCTGGACAACGCAGCACGTTCACCCCGAATATGTACCCTGGCGATCCTGTCTACGGTGCTCCCGACGTCCTCATCGACGGTAGGAACTCCCGCCCTTACGACATATGGTCGATGGGTTGCATCCTTCTGGAGTTGCTGACGTGGATGGTGGGCGAGGAGGGATACGACGTGAGATCGTTTGAGATGAAGCGACTCGAAACCCTGGCCAATGCCTACGGCAACCAGGACACAGCGTTCTGGTATCAGGACATCTCCGGCGAGATCAGGTTGAAACCGGCCGTGGTCGACCAGCTGAAGATGCTCAAGACGTACTGTCGGGGACGAGGGGTGTTTCCCGAATTGGTCCGCCTGACAGGAAGGCTGCTGAACATCCACCCTCGCGAACGTCCTGACGCTTCACAGCTGTTGAACGCTTTCCAGGCGATTCTGCTACAACTCAACCAGGACCTGAAGAATGAGAATTTCTACTTGAGTGGCAATGATCCGCCGCCGCCGCACAGGGTCACTCTGGCGGCTCCCCCCACCCCGACCGGAGCCTTGGGTGGTCTCTCTAGAACTCACAGTATCGACGAGGGTGGTGTCCAAGCACGGTACTCTGAATCGCTTTCACCAGCAGACACGAGAACAACACATCATAATACTAATAGACGGTCAACGGTGGGGTCCATCCATCCTCCTGACGTCGGATTGAGAAGAACGGCAGCCGCCGCCGGCGCCGGTGGTGTTGGTGGTCACGCGAGACACTACAGCGCTTCTGATGCTTTGGGCTTACGACGGCCACCGACACGGCTTCGAACCGATGTTGTCGATACATTTGCCACTGCTGCTCATTCTTCCGGCTTTACAGACAGCAGTGATCAACCCGAGACGACTCCCAATACTCCTAGGATATCACTTTCGGATTATGATGACGATCCAGATCGAGTTGTGGTGTTCGATTGAGATTAGTCGCTCCTTTACATTCATTGTGCCACCAAAACAATCATGTCACTTCAAAAGATTGGATTCGTCACCACTCAGTCCTACCTGACTACCTGAATATTGGTATTCATATGACGACGGTCGACACGAAAAAGGTTACCTAGGCAAGGCAAGTACTGTATAGATTTTTGTTTCGTATAATTTTGTATGGCTATACGGAGACGGATATGGATATGATTAATACTTAGCAAGGTAGATACCCCCCTCGGACACTTGGATGGTCAACAATTTGGCGTTGAAGATTGGAAAACGGCGTTGTTGTGCAGAACTACGAGCACCAAAGATTCATATCAAGTACAGTATCACCAATATCAGACATGAATTCCTTCTTTCCACAGGAAGTCCACTCTGAGTGGGCCTAGAAATCGGCCAAAGGGCCAAGGGACGTGTAACTGCGTAAACAGCCCAGGGGGCGCCCGGCGAGCGAACTTACAAAGCAGACGATTGACTCACCATCACCACCACTCAAATACAGTACGGCTCTCGTAGGTCGGTTGAGATGGGGTCTCGCTTAGATCCCAGGCGTCGGTAAGGAGGAAACTTCACACCAGACGAAGGGAGCAAGCCAAAAAGATTGCCCGAGTGAGGCTGACGAGTTTAGCCAAAGAGCCCCTGTAACAAGTAAAGCCTTTCCAATTAGTCTGGTTCTGTAACTCCGCCACCCCCATCGTCCTCTCTGTACTCCCGTACAAAAGTACCCTTACCGGATGCAGAAGTACAAGCCAAAGTCCTCTCCGTGTGATTCTGTCCGTTGTGTGGTTGTCTGCCTCACAGCCCTGCCCCGAGGCGACCAAATCCAATAGTTACACGTGTCACACACACAAATACACACACAGACAGACACACAAACCCTCTTGATTGCTGTGCTACCGGTAAACCAACCACTCATTAAGTGCCGTGGCTTTGGGCACCTTGCGGGTTTGAGTCATTCTCAATCAGGGCGTATTCTGTCAGTTTTACCTTGCCTTGGTTCTTCCCTCGTTGAGCCCTGGGCTGTGAGATGTGGAGACCTGAAGCCTGAAAGAGTATCATACTGATTGCTCCGTCTCGTGTTTTCCTTTCTCAGAACTTTTTACGCAGTGGTTTACACTTACATTTTCATCTCCAACTCAACTTCCGCTCAACTACCAGTATAGTCTTCATACAATACCATACTTCGCACTCATACCTATACCTCCATCGACAACCATCGAATCCTCGGCGATCCAGTCTTACGGCTTTGTCCTGTTAATTTTTGGTCGCCCTTGACGCCTTTCGACCGTCACCATCGTCTCTCGTAAAACAAAAGCCCTCGTTCAAACACAATGTCCGTGTCATCCTCCACTTCATCGCTTCTCTCGATGGACTCGAAGGCTCCATGGCCCGATTTCATTATCAAGAGACTGGAATGGCCCGCTAGTGGCGTTCGGTTCTCGTTTCGTGATCGCTACCTCAATCCAGACAAGTTGTCGCTTTGGCTTCATACATCTTTTGGGCCGGGAAAGGCAAAGTTCGCGGTATGTCTCATTTTTGCTGTTTGTCGTTGACGATCATGTTCCAGGAAAAAGTTAGTGAATTAGGTATACATACATGTGTTGTGGTTGAGTGCGCAGAAACCGTGTCTGATGAATATATTTGGTTGTATACTGACATTTTCTCCCCCTTGGGACTTGTCAAACAGCTATACAATAGCCACTATTATGTCATGGCACCGAGGAAGCCAAACAAGGTACGTAATTTTTTTTCCCTTCTCATCTCTTTCTTTTTTACTCTACCCTGCACGTATTCGAACTCCTTCACACGTACTCGACTTAAGCAAAAGTGGATCGGTCCGGAACGGCACGATGTGGACCGAGCGTTGACTTCAAGTGTCTTGGGTCACCGCAAGGGCCAAGATATGAAGACTTATAGGTAGTTCTTACAGAAATCAGGTCACGATTTGCTGACGATACACAATCAATGCAGAAGGAAATACAATGGCTCATGGATCCTGATAGACTGAGTGGAGTGGAGGTCGAGGGAGTGGGATATCTTGCATTGACGCGATAGAGGATCAGATCATGGACGTTACAGTGTGCTGGGCGGAAGACAGTAGGATAGTTGAGAGAGTGTTTTGCTTCCTTTTTTCTTGTGTACTTCATTGTATCCAAAGGCATGTAGTAACCAATAGACCACCGACTCTGTCTCAGTACCATTAGAAAACAGTCTGTGCAAGTCCAATCTCATTGTTCCCAAGATCGTAATAAACATACGCCGACCTCAAGAACGTATCACCCAGGATCAACTGTTCCCCGGCGTCGAAGAATCCAAGTTGACACAATCCCGTCGTACTGTCGAGGAGCGCCAATTCCGAAAAGGGGACTTGGATCGTGACGTCCACGAAACCAAACGAAACGTACCCTTTGGTCTGACTGAGTTTGCAATCGACGACTTGGTTCTCGTCTGCGCCAAAGTAGTTGGCCAGTTCGGCGTAGATGGCGCTGGGGACGAAGATGTTTGTTGTCCCGGAGTCGAGAAGGGCGGCACCGTTGAAGGTCGATGAGGTGAAGGTTGTCGTTTTGCCGTTGTACATGGCGCCGAGGGAGATCATCGAGACGAGGAACGAGCTGATGACTCCGTCGGATTTAGTAGGGTCTGGGAGAGTGGGCATCGTCGTGAGCGAACCTTGGAACTTGGAAGGGTCGTAGCCGCCAAAGAGGATTGTACCGGTCGATGCGGCTGAAGAATGATTAGTTGCCCCACACCGTATCAGGAGATTACACAGGTCCTCACCTAAATCGTCTAGCCAGAGACTGTACGAGTAACTCCCAATGATATCTTGAGAGACCATTTCGTATACCATATTTGGATACTCGTTTGCGGGATTGACATTCGCGACAGCTTCATTCGCTCTGTACCCAACGCCCATAAGACCAGAAGACGTGGTGGATGCTGACAATTGCCCTGTGTTTGCTAGGCCCATCATCAAGGAGGAGATCGTGGCGCCGCCAACTCCGATATTATCGGTGAAATAGTCGCCTTCGACGTGAGAATGGTCGTTGTAAGTTATTGCGAAGGACCCAGGTGAAGTTTCGTCAAAGGTGGAAGAGTCACTGGGGTCGACTAGGGTTTGATTTGAATTTCTTAGCTAATTCGTCGGGAATTCATTGTGCAAAGTGGCCAAGTAGGCTGTGCAAGTTGACTTACAGGATGCTGCACAATTCGTGTCGCTCGAGCATGCTTCAGGTGAGAACACCCAAGTATCGCTGCTGCCGGTGTCGAGAACAATTGACAAAGATTGTGGTGGTGTGCCTACTTTGACATCGATGAGATAGTCCCATTCCTCGTTGTGTAGGGTACTGGATAGAACATTTGAACGTTTTGCATGGCCTGAAACTTGTCGACGAATAGGTAGTCGTAGTGTCTTTGGAGATGACGGCGTTTCTGTAGTTTTGCTGATTGAACTGAGTGGTATAGAGGCAACGAAAACCGTGAGTACGCTTAGTCCTACAAGCACAATAGGTGTGCGGAAATTGCTTGAATGCATGTTGAATGAATTAGTTCAGGCGAGGATGAATTGCAGGTAGGTCTCGATCATCAGCAGCATATCATCTTTGTATTCGTGGGTTATATACAACCAGGAAGAGCCTGTCGGAACCAGAGTCTCATGCTCCCTGATCGCTTTTCCAAGAAGGCGTGCAAACAATAGGCATCATTCCGGGAAAGAAAGGTCACAGATGTGGGCAGGTGGTGCCGAGGCTGAATTCATGTGTCTCTGAGGATGCAACCATTGCAAGCGAGGCTGTACCATGTCACATAAGTGCAGAGCATGAAGGGACCAACACACAGATCAACATTAAGCTTCGGCAAGCAATATGCCCTGTTATTGTCGTTCTGGATCTGGATAATGGTAGCGCCGTGGCTTGTATAGTCTCTTGAGGCTGAGAGAAACAGTCAGGGAACACCAGACATCACTGACCTCTTTGAGGTTTCCCTGCCGATCGGTAATGCCAAAGACAAAATCACTTATCTCCAGCGGCAGGGTATCGCTTCAAGTGGACTGAAATAAGCATTGAAAGAGAGTGTCGGCGTGAAGGAAGATCCAAGCCACCAAAGATTAGCCTTGCTCAGAGAATTCCAGGAAGTCCACAAGACAGCTCCGTTCTCCCTCTCATTCAGCAGGGCATGGTGCGACGGAGGTCGCTGCATTTGCACCATATGCCCAGATTAGATAAGTGATGTTACCGAGGGATGGTGTCAAACGAAGAAGGTCCGATCTAGGCCACGACTAGTCTCACAAGTTACGCGAGGGAGGCGGGCTGCAGAGTTGTTCGGTTCAAGCCTCGTCAGCCTGACTGTCACAAAGGCTCCCGGGTGTTGGAGATGCTGAGATACCACTCGGTCGGTCGAAGAGAGTCATTCTCTTGATGGGCAATGTTGGTTTTTCTAGTGAGGAAGTCCAAGTGTTGTTGTACTGTCTATGGCTAGTCGTCGCCGCTTTTGATTCTGATAAGACTCACATCGTCTTCTTAAGGGCAGCAGGAAAGCTTGGCGCATGCTTCATCGAACACCCAGAACTACCGTAGTAGATTCACCATCAAGCTGAGTTCCGAGACCTTTACACCCTAGGTACTGTACCTAAGACCCAGCTGTTGCATCAAGTTGATTCATTGCGACAAGCCTCCTAGCCGATCGAGCTGCAGGACGCTCATTCGAGAGCTTTTCGACCCTGCAGCCTGACGGTCGCCTAAAATGTCTACGAGATACAGAACCCCGGCACCTGACAACCCTTTCGAGTTCTGAAGGCTCAATGTGGCTTTTCTTCTTTCCTACTAAAGCCTGGATCAGGAAGCTAAAATCACTGGTCACAAACTACTTAGAAAGTCTTCAGCCAGCCGCACACTTCGGCTAACCATGTGTCTGTTGCACACCGGAAGCTTGATTGACTCAAGACGAGCCTCGCTTCGAGTACAAGCTTGTAAGTCTCGATTCGTCTCGATTAACGATGATGCACACCAGGACGTTTGCGTCGGCAGCGAAACAGTCGACCGCTAAAAGTAGACACACCACTACTGAGGTGAAGCTGTCAGGTAGGCATACTTTCTGTCTAAAGAGTCTAGAAAGAATCCGACTCCGGATAGAGTGTCCTATCTATTTCTTTTTGCGTGCAGCCAACCTTAGGTATGAGGGATAATCAACTTCCTTACTACTATGCACATCCATACTTTTACCCTTGGGGTTTAATCGACCGAGCTGCATGAACGATGAACACTTCACCTACGCGTGTACGGCGCAAGCCGATACCTGTCGTCTCGTCGCCGCTGCCGCCTCCTCCTGATAACCGACCTGATATGCAAGGGAACAGACATGAGTCTGACAATAGGGCCGTTCAGTCTCCAGGTGAGATCGTTGTGGTGCCGGCAACAAAGGCAAGGACAACCTCCACTATTCTTGAAGAACCACCACACCAACCTAAGCCAAAGATATCAAGGTCAAAGACATCCGCTGCTTGGGATCCAATAGCGCTCCACTGGCTCACTCTGGTAACATTCTCGATTGTCTTCATACTGATGCTCGCTACCGTCATTGTACTGTTTGAAATCTCGAGATCGGATGAGGGACTCGCCCACTCCAAACCCTCTTATCACTACGCATGGACATACGGTCCCATGGCTTTACTGGTGGTTGTTGCAGGGGCATGGTATCAAGTTGACTATCAATGTCGGATGCTTGCCCCATGGAAGTCATTGGCCTCTGGACCAAAGCCAGCTGTGACAACATTACTCCTCGACTACATATCGCCGATGCCTCCAGTTGCCTGCTTCCAAGCCGTGAGGAATCGCGATTGGGCAGTCGCTGCTAGTTCTGCTGCCGGTATGCTTCTGGATCTTGCCTTGGTCTTCTCCACGGCTTTGTTGGTTTTGATTCCCGTAAGGATCAGCCAGGATGATAACCATATCCCACTCACAACAAGTTTTTCGAACCAAAATATGGTCAACTACAGCGGTGACTCAGCGGCAGTGATGAGCTACTGGGCTACCCTCGATCGCGGGCTGGGGTTGCCTTATGGATCAACGCATTCGAACGCGTTCAGCCAGGTCAACTTGAGCATTGAGGGCCTGCAAAATGGATCTCTCGTCGCCCATGTACCAACATTCGTACCAAAACTGCGTTGCGAGAGAGCAGATCTGAATTTCACCATTGGCCACAGAAGTGCTTGGAAATATGACAGCCCCGAACTGGATGCGGAGCTCATCTTCGACCTCTCACAGTCTACCCCGTCCTGCCAGACAATGACTCTGAACTATGGAGGACCCAATATGCTCCAGGATGTCGTCCCGCCCAGAATACTGACCGGCATAGTTGGGGACGCGGATGTTTGCGAAGATCTCAATGCTGGCTATGTCCCTCCATGGACATGGACAGTACTAGACATGAGATATACACAGATCTTTGGACCATCTCAGGACGACACCCTCAATGTCACCATGTGGCACGCTGAATTAGCTAACGCAACTGGCATCATGTGCTACCCGAGTTATGCAATTAGATCAGCTATTATCACAACTGACACGAACACGGAAAAGCTGATTTCTCTGGTCGTCGAGGATGAATCTCCTACAGAAAAAATCGAGAATTTCAACGACACCCTATTCAGCATCACCCTCTCGCTTGCATTGGATAGACTCTTTCAGACCCTACCACCAAGATGGCAACCTCTTGATCTCACCCAACAAGCGAGTGATAGCGCCGGGTTTACACTGATGTCAATGTTGCAACCGGACACTACCATTGAGAAATTCCTTGATGCCCATGAGTTGATCAACGCCGCAGAAACTGTCTTCAATGGCATCGCGGCTCAATTTGCACATATCGAGCTCTCGACTCCGTCCACTTCCTTCGTTCATGGATCAAGGGAATTTTCTGAGCTTCGTATCGTTGTCAAAGAGATGCCAATGATAGTGCTATCTGTGTGCTTTGGGCTGCTTGCCATTCTTTCTATTGTCATCTTAATGGTTCGACCAAGAGGAGTCGTTCCTCTGTCTCCGCGATCATTGATGGCGAACGCATCCTTGATGCAAGAGAGCCCTGCCGTAAGACAAAGACTCTCATCCTGTGGCCACCTTTCCAACTCTGGTCTCGAGCTTTCGTTGCTTGGATCCACCTATCACTCTAGGCTTGACGACGATGTTACGATCGTGGTAGAAGAAACGACCTTGCTACAGGACGTGCAGGCTTCGCAGTTGACCTCATTTGGTTGGTGGCGCCCCTTTGCTTCAAGACTCTACTTCGTAATCATCATAATCACCGTCCTCTGCGGGCTCATCTCTGGCTTACAAGTCGTCGAGCACTTCTCTCACCCGACCAGCGGGTTTTTGTATCTCGATACGAGCGGCGCAGACGCAAGAAAATGGTCTTCAATTGTTCCAACCGCAGTAATGGTGCTCACGAAGTTAGCAATACAATCCAGCGGAGGTGCACTGCTACTCTTCGTCCCTTTTGCGATGCTAAAACGAGCACGCCCTTCCTCGTGGAGAGCTCTTGAAAGAAGCCCAACGGGCCAGCTTCCCATCGTCAACCTCTTACGAGAAGTGGGATATCCCAAAATATCTGTCATTGTGGTGTCCCTGTCCCTCGTACTTTGCAGCTTTCTTTCCATCATAGTGTCGGGCTTGTACACGGTGGCTGATTGTGACCATATCACCAACAAGACTGTTTCAACTTTGGACTACTTTGACTTCAATTGGAATACAACAGCCAACAAATCGAGCCCAGACAATTATGCCGGGCTAAATTTTGCCTTGCTAAACTTGCACAACTTGTCATATCCGGCATGGACGTTTGATGAGTTGGTGTATCCAAGGATTGACCAGTCCACCTTAACAACCGGACTGGAAAGCAGTATTTTAGCAGGCAAAGTCAAAGTTAGAATAGAGGTCCCTGCAATCAGAGCGTCTCTGGATTGTTCTTTTGCCATCCCCAGCCGCGCGACCTCGGTCTGGGTGAAGGATGCCCCCGGTCCTTCGAACGAGATGGTCTTTGTTCAGAACAACCAGATATACGTTCCGCAGGCATGCTTCCCCAGCTTTGAGCCCGAAATTATAAACACGACAACGACCGTCCCGGCCATAATTCTCAACGATGGAGGACAGTACTACAGCATCCAAAATGAATACCCGTGGCCTCCTTACAACACCTCAAGCAAGGATTTTCCGGGGCAATGTCCACAATTTGGCTTCACGTTCGGATTCGCCGGACCCCATTCCAATAGCACCGATAACGTCACGAGTATAACTTGCTACCAACGCATAGAGCGGGTGCAGACACTGACCACTTTCGTCCTTCCGGAATGGACCATCGACGTGATGTCTCGGCCCGTGGTCGACGAAAATTCAATACAGACCGTGGTCGAGTACGCAGACTACTTTTTGGGAGACATCTTTTCGGGTGGTCTAGGGGAAGAAACTTACGCGCCTCTGGAGCCTTTTTTCATCAACGTGATCAACGGGAGTGAAGGGGTCCCCGAGGCAGATATGCTGGGCCCCCAGAACCAGGAGAGATTGCTTTCTGCCGTACAGCATATTTACAGGAAGTACATGGCCCAAGCGATACATTTGAACATGCGTAAGGACGTCACGACGCCTTCGACACAGGCACAGACGTATACTGCGTCGGTGGTCGACGGAGGCAGAATGTGTCTGTTTCAAAACAGAAGTCCCAAAATCGTATTGCAAGCCGTCCTCGGCACGATCCTGCTCTGTATCCTGGCGGGCTGGGTGCTCATCCCGACCCGTCAAGTCCTGCCTCATGACCCACTCTCGATCGCCGGAACTTGGTCACTGCTTGCAAATGGGCCATTCGGACAAGGTATGGCACATCGCGGTCGGGTGGTGTCCCTGGACGTTAGTACGGCTTTCCGGGATGCACGAAAGGGGAAATCCAGGCCACGTCTGGGCTTCTGGTCGGAAGGTGGGAAACCCGTGACGATGGAAAACGGTGAAGAGCAGCTATCGCGACGATATCAGAGCAACAATGATTCCAAGGTCTGGTATGGCATTGGGATTGTGTGTGACGAACATGATGTAGAACACGGTGAAGGTGATGAGGAAGATCAGGCTCCAGGACCCGATCATCCTTTTATGGAGCACCATGCTAGTGGAGCCAGTCAAGATGAGCCATGACGCATGTATCGTTTCCGTGTATCATTTATCATTATCGTCATAACATCATACTGGGCTGTCTACCTACTTGTCTCCTGTTCTTTATGCTTGATCAACCATTCTCGCCGGACCACTATCTTACCAGTCTGGGTGCTCTCGAATCTTTACAGCTTTCGAATCCTAGAGAATCTTGATTCGTTTGCGTCGGGCCTCACCAGTCCATTGCAGAGGACAGTTGAACCAACCAACTCTATACCAATGCACATCGTCGGTCTCGGAATCTTGTTCTTGCCGCACAACGATCGACGCGGTCCGGTGCTGAGTGTGGGATCGCTCGATCAGGACGCAGCGTAGACGCGTTCCATAACGAACGTGGTCAGAGGAGTTCTTTTTAAGACTGACATCTGCTTGGAACCTCGACGTCTCTCCATCTTTCTCCAGGTCGTACAAATGCGGCCACGAATCCTTTTCCTTCGTCCGAGCTAGGCGGAGGTCGACGACGGGTGCCTCAAGCACAATGTATCCACTCTTCACCTGTCCAAACGGATCACTCGTGGACGGCGTACATTTGACCTTTACGACTCTGGCGACAATGTCTGAGTCTGGCATGTACCGGACATACCCTTCTATCACGGCCACCACCGCCGGCCACGCCCAAGTCGGTGCCCGATAGTCTGCTGGACGTTCGACGCGACCGTCTGGCGCTTCTGGTAGGGCACGGAGCGGTCGCCACAACAGCGCAGCGGGCATCTGGCCTTCCCACAAGCCTGCGTGATACTTGCCCAGCTCTGGTGAATTGACCAGCTGAGCGAAGCCAGATAGAGCCGGCAGACGATCGCTTTCCACGGTCAATGTCCGGGCGCTGTACGCTCGGATGACGTCGTACCACGCCTTCAATCGTGGCTCCTGCTTCTTGTTCCGGAGTGTGACGGCTTGTCGACGCTTGAAATTTCCATTCGTCTCAGCCAGTGCATCTGGTCGAATGGCGCGACATTCGCAATCCAGCGCCTCGTTGCACTCCCACACTATTTCGTGCTCGGAAAAGTGGACGACTCTGCGAGCCAGTAGACGCTCTTGAAAGCACCAAGCCCTTGCAAAAAGAGGGGACGACTTGAAATTACGTGGTTCACCGGTGATAAAGTCGTCGTGGGTGAGGACTGGCCTCACATACGCAGTCAACGAAGGACCTCGTCGAGAGGAATGCGTGATCTTCTTTGGCTTGTGTCGACGATGAAAAATACCGACGTCGCCGGTGGCCGCGCGCAGTGCAGAGATCACCAGATGGGCCTGTCCGTATATCTTTGCCATCTGGCTAGCTTGTTCGGCGAAGTCGTCGTCATCGTCCTGTAAGATGCACAATGCATCTATCCAGATATAGCGCAAGCCCAAATGTCTGGCGGCGGTGACAGCGTCCTGGAATGTCTTGGTGAGCTCGCCGAATGGGATACCACGTAGTCTGGTTTTCTGTGTCTTGGTCGTTGTTTTCGGGATCGGTTTGATGCGCTGTTGCTTCAGGCCCCAGGAGTGGCTCAATGCTGCGTACTTGGTTGACTTTGAGATAGTCTTGGTGGACACAAGTCTTATCTCTTCGTCACAGTCATCTGGTGTGACGTCGACGAGTCGTGTCGGTAGGAACGACCCTTCCGAGGAAGTGGAACCGCAAAGCTGATGATGCTTTACACAAGTCCTGATCCAAGATTTGATGGTTTCGAAGCAAGAGTCCGAGTCAGACGACACTGGCACGCTTGGCCGAGGGAGCATGTCTGGGAATAGAGGTTCATTACCTGGATGATATCAGCATCTTATCAAAAAGAGACTTGAGCGTCAGAGTAGGTGGTGTTCCAAGGTGGTGTTCCGCCATGGGGTTTCGCCAGAGTGGTCATCCCAAGGAAATTTGATCATCCTACCCTCGGTGAAGTACATCTGGAGATCGAACTTTTTCCACCGCTCATCAGGCTCCCAAGACTCGGCTTTGGCTTTGTTCGGCCACCTGACCCATATCTCACGCAGGTTTCCGCCCTCGTACTCTCCAGGAATACTGACTCGAACTTCGCGAGAGGGTAAGCCAGACCATCGACGAGAGAATTCGCCGATACCGGCTACGATGATTGAGCACCTCGGACAACCTTTGTTGGCCGCTTCTTCGAAATCATATAAGCTGGCATAGGGCCACTCGTTGAGCCGAACGACATTAGTGCAGCATTGGCAGGGTTGCCGTAGTCTCTGCACCAGGTTCATCATGTTGGATGCGCTTTCTCGGGAGATTTGTTGGACTTGGCGACCATAGGTTGATCAGATGAATACTATCACAGCAGACAAGGTAGATGCAAGGGGTCACAGGGGAGCTTCCATCATTGAAAAGGTTGAGGCTGAAGCTGATGTGCCGGTACATTAGTAGTCGTAGGTAAAGTGGTATTCGGGCAGACTCCGTACTGTTTGTAGTAAGCGTTAGAAGTGACCGTAATTTACCGTATTGGGGGCAAAAATACCAGCTCTTGGCTTGCAATTCGGTCTCATGAATTTCTTCTGTACCTTAGCTTCAACCGCTACCTCAAGACTATCATTCATTGCTCCATCCATCAAAGTCCGAGCGTGTCATTTGCACGTGTGCACTCATTTTTGATTTATGCGATGATCTCAGGCAGCCGTTTGGCGCGACGACATGGATTATTGAAATGGCGGAATCTTTGTTGTAGATGCTACAGCGAGGCACCCCTACGGCCACCACAGGAATGGCTGGAAGGCAAGCCAGTGCGAGGTCAGTGGGACAGCGATGAGAACAGTCCCGAACAACACGAACGCACTCTACTGCAGAGAAGGAGAGTTTTCTCGGGAATCCAGCCCACAGGTGTGCCGCATCTGGGCAATTATCTAGGGGCTCTTCGTCAATGGAAATTGCTGCACGACAGTTCGGCGAATACAAAGCTACTAGGCGACACAAAGCACGACCAGTTCTTTTCCGTGGTGGACTTGCACGCCTTGACGTCGTCAGATGTCCCAGGCCATGTGCGCAGACAGCTGAGGAGGGAGTCGTATGCTTCCTTGATGGCTATTGGTCTTCAAAACACTCAGCAGACTACTCTATTCTTTCAATCTGATGCAAGTCAAGCCTTCCTTGGGAACTCGACGAGATTTCCGGAGTTAACCGTGCTCGCAGGTAACAGCACACACTGAGTTAATGTGGATCTTGAGCACCATTGCATCGACGGGCTATCTTTCCCGCATGACCCAATGGAAGGTGAGGAGTGTGCTTCATCCACGTCTCTAGAAACAAGAATCACTAACATGGACGCGCAGAGTAAATTAAATCTGTCGGACGATGCAGACTTGCACAGCGACGAAGCTACGGCAAAGCTAAAGCTTGGCCTATTCTCCTATCCCGTTCTTCAGGCGGCTGATATCTTGCTATATCAGTGAGTGAGTCATTTTCGGGCGTATCACCACACACTGACAACTATTCAGAGCAACCTTGGTACCCGTTGGTGCCGACCAGTTACAACATATCGAATTTGCTAGGTCACTGGCTAGAAGCTTCAATTCTCATGTCAGATCCAGGCCTGAAAGTGGCGGTAACGTCTTCAGAGTACCCTGGCCGGCGCTGTGTAAGTTATTGCAAGGATCCCTTCTCGTTGACATTTCTTTCTCACAAAGCGCATCGCAGCTGCCGCTCAACGGATCATGTCGCTGAAACGGCCGACGCAAAAGATGTCCAAATCCGACCCGGACCCGAAATCACGCATCCTCATCACCGACACACGCGAAGAGATCCACGCAAAGATCAAGGGCGCCGTGACCGATTCGGAACCAGGGATAAGCTATGACATTGACAAAAGACCCGGCGTCTCAAATTTGGTCGACATACTTCGGAACGTGACCTCTCTCAGTCTAGCCCCGGAGGCCATCGCAAAGGACCTCGAAAACATGACGATGCGGGCGTTCAAGGAAATGGTGGCGGACAATGTTTGCCAGTGCTTGGAAGGAGTGCATGATAGGTTTGAAGAGCTCATGGACCCTTCGAATCAAACTCTCAACATTGAGGCCGAAGAAGGGGCTAAGAAGGCCCGACGGGTCGCCATACGGACCATGAGGTCGGTCAAAAACTCCCTGGGTCTAGAATCGTTTTGTGCCTCGTCCAACATGTGGGATCGGGAAATGATCAGGGAGTCGGGTACGGATAACACCATCGCAGAAGATTCAAACACTACGATACGATACATTACGACCAAGGAGGGAACAGCGGATGCTATTCAAGAAGCATTGGCAGGGCTCAACAAGCAATCCTCGCAGGTGGACGAGCCGGAGACCACTAAACCACAATGATTGACGAGATGATATCCGATTAATGGTATTCGTACCATTTGTATATCCAGATACCCGGGATCCTTCACGGTGGCACAAAAGACTGTTTCTGGTAACGAGGCTGCGGTTGTATTACATTACCATACAGCTTGGAAATTTACCGCCGCCGAAATTCCCGATGAAAAGCGACGTCACTCGCCAAGAGGGCGAAACATTTCTGTATTATTACTTCTTATCCGGATACGAGTACGGAGCATGTATAGCACTCTGTGAATCAGAGCTTGATAGATTTCCTTTCGACAGACTCATTACTCTCACTAATTGACGGTTCTACGAGTCCCTCCTCTACCCTCCCTCCCTCCCTCCCTCACTCCTAATTTGTGGGCCTGCTGGAAATGCACTGTCCTCGAGTGCCCAGCTCCTCGTACGCTCCCATCTCGCGACGGTTGTTCTCAACCACCAAGCGACGCTGCGATGTCGTCGACCTCGCTTTCCACCGACATGACGCTCCGGACGCAAGCACCAAAGGTCCGCCCATCGTCCTCATGCACGGTCTATTCGGCTCGCAGCGAAACAATCGCACGATGAGTAAGTAAGGAATTAACCGACACCTTGTATTTCTCGCGCGTAGAGCGGACCAAAAAAAGAAAAAACCAGGCCACTGACTTTGTGACCTCCCTTGCAGAGTCCTAGCCAAAGACCTTTCTCGTCCGGTGTACACTCTCGACCTCCGAAACCACGGAGACTCCCCTCACAATCCCGTCCACGACTACACCTCCATGGCGGTCGACGTGGAACACTTTTTGTCGAAGCAGTCGATAACGCGGCCCACGTTGATCGGACACTCGATGGGGGCCAAGGTCGCCATGACGATGGCCCTGCGACGGCCCACCGAATACTCTGCCCTGGTCCCCGTCGACAACGCCCCCGTCGACGCGGCCCTCAAGTCCGACTTCCACACCTACGTCCGGGCCATGCACGAGATCGAGGCCCACCACCCTCCCATGACGAAACAATCCGAGGCCGACAAGATCCTGGCAAAGTACGAGCCCAACGTGGCGATCCGACAGTTTTTGCTCACGAACCTCGTCAAGAAACCGGCCGGGGGGGCGGAACATCACACCCACCACAAGGGCGAGCACAGGCACGCTCAAAAGACGGAACTCGGGTTCCGCATACCTCTACACACCCTCGCGAAGGCGTTGCCGGCCATGGCGGATTTCCCCTTCAAGGACCCCGACGAGGCGAGGTACGAAGGCCCGACGTTGGTCGTGCGTGGCACCAAGAGTCACTACGTCGCCGACGACACCCTCCCGCTCATAGGCAGGTTCTTCCCGAAATTCGAGCTCCTGGACTGCGACTGTGGCCATTGGGTCATGAGCGAAAAGTTCGAGGAGTTCCGGACCGGCGTGGTCGAATGGATCACTCGCGTCGTCGACGAGAAATGATGGATGGGGTGCAATTGGAAAAGAAGCAAAAAAAAAAATTCCCCCGTGCTAAACTGCACTTGTAACTTTTCTCATTGTGGTGGTGTGCTTGGCCAGAGCAGACGGTTTTGAATGAGCCCTCCCGGTTTGGACAGGGGGGCACCTTCGGAATGTACCTTGGACCAGGTAGGCACGTGTCGTCGGGCATTGTGATACAGCTGGGTCTAGTACGAGTAACAGGCGTCTCGATATCAAATAGATAGATGGCGACGGTGGTTTGTGGCTGTCCCACGAGACCAGCCAATTGTAACCTGTAGGATCTGCGAAAGAGGCTCTTATAGAGATGGCATCGACGGGCTGTTGTCAAAATGTACTCAATCAACAAGTTCATATCACTGTAGGTCGATGCGAATGGTCATTTTAAACTTGTGTGAATTGTGTCTTTGTTGGTAGATGCTATGCTGTCCTATCTCTACGAGCGGTAGCATGAAAACATCCGTTATGCAGTCCTTACTGTTTGCGACATCAGGGGCATCGCAAGGACAACCATTTGAAGTCCATCGAGACAACACAAAAAATCACCCTCATCGTCTACCCATGACGCCTTTGACTTGCATAACCTTTTCTTCTCTTTTCTCATCCATGTCCTGCCACTATAGCACAGTGCAACCAGGAGCAACGGACTCTCCTCGTCTGCTTTTTTTCCGATTGTCTTCAACCTTGGTGCCTCAGAGAAGAAGAAAACCGTAATCATCACCTAATCATGCTTCCAAATAGTGTCGAATTTACACGCTCTCCAAAGGTGCCGGCTCCTTGAACTCTCGCTCGACCTTTTGGCCAGAGTCATCCTGCGTGCTCTCACCGTGCAGACCCAACAGGGCACCAAGATCGAACTTGGGTGCCTTGAGCAGCTTAACCTTTCGGATGTGGACGTTCTGGAGAGGGTAGATTCCTTGCGTGCTCTTCTCGATCTCACGGCCAATGACTTCGGGGATGAGCTTGCCGGTGAGCTGGGCGAGGGTGACGCTGGTGGCCTCACGCTGGATGATCTCGGTCATCTTCTTGCGGATGGCCCGGATCTGTGACGAAGCAGCGTATGTGGTCTTCTTGATCTGGTTTGGTCGGCGCTTGGTGAAGGCGATGGCGAACAGGCGGAGGAGGTAGTCGTCGGTGGTCTTGACGGTGACGTTGGCCTCGATCAGGGTTTGCCACTTGCGGACGAGGGATCGGAGCTTGTCAGAGGTGAAGTCGAGACCGTGGAAGTTGGTCAAGCAGTTCTTGCCCTGGACCTCATCGACTCGGAGCTTGACCTTGCGGAAAGCGTGGTCTTCATCATTCTGGAGATCGGCCAAGCTGACTTCGAAGATTCGGCCCTTGAGGGCATCGTTGGCGGATTTCAGACCGGTGGTTCGGTTTACGAGAGTCTTGCCAACACTGTGATAAAAGTCTTGTTAGTTTGTTGATCCCTCCTCTGTGCGGTTCTGAATTTCCACATACTCTCTCTGGTTGAAGGTGGATGGCGCCTTGATCGAGTACCAATCTTTTCGGGTGAAGGGATCCTGGGCTCTCTTCTTGAGACCCTTCTTTCCTTTGGAAAGTCTCTTGTTCCTGTGGGAAGAAAGAAACTGATGTTAGCCTGCGATCTTTGACATGCGACAATCAAAAGTCGTCTTCGAGGTAACCCAATGCACACTCGAAGACCCTGGCGGGTTGACTTACTTGCCGACAGCCATGATTGCGACCTTGATCTATCTTCCAAGTGCAAAGATAGATTTGTGTCTGGCGCGAGTTTGCTGTGTGGTGAGAATGTCGATGGACTTTGACTTAAGACCTGCAAGTTTTGGTGGTTGTGTGGCCGCAGCGACTTCCACTTTTCGGTGGTGGACTTGGCGTCTTGGCGCCGATTACATAATACACCCACCATGAATTTTGATGCAAAAGCGCATTGTTTCCAATCTGCGAAAGTTCGTGAAAGTGTCCAACACAGCCAACATCTTCCACAGTCACCATGTCTGAAGTCTCAAACGTCTCCGGCGACCTCATCTGGGAGATTGTCCGTAAGTTCACATTGCCGGGTTCTTTGTCGCAGGCAACAAAGGCTGATTTTGTCACTTCTGCAGGAGGCAACAATGCCTACCTAGTCAAGCGCAGCAGCGCCGGTGGTGTTCAATTCTCTCGAGACCCCTTCAACCTCACGAACAAGCACTCGCGAACACATGAGGGATTCGTCAATGACAAGGCCGTCTCGGTCCAGGCCAACGACAAGGGCGGTGTCACGCTGATGACCAAGAAGGGTGGAAAGTCAAACACCCCCAAGGCTGCCTACAACACACACGCATACGGCAAGACTACGTCGAACAGAAAGTGAGCGAGATCCATGATGAAACATTATCCATGCCCTACGGTGGTGGCGGCCATGTTAAAATTAAGAATACCTTTCTAACATGTTCATATATAGAATCTTCAAGAACATCGCAGACGCTGTCGGCAAGAAATCATACCGTGGTGACCTGAACAAGGTTGCCGTTTCCCGCGCCAGCAACCTCAAGTACTCCCAGGCACCGAAGAAGGATACCCCAGAGCGGAAGCCTCGCGGCGGCAAGGCAACGAAGACGGAGGCATAAACACCCTCGCTCTTGTCAGCATGAAGGAAAGTTGGGCCTCGCTCGTGAGCGATTGTTGACCGGGGGGTGTCCTGCTCCTGAGGTCATCATCCGATGATGGAAAAGATCTCTCTGTGAGAGCATGCTTTTCTCGGAGAGCTGTAGTGTCCCCGGATCACGATTCTCGATTCACTCCCAAGCATCCACCCAAGTCAGTGTGTGTGAGTTTTTCAACTCAGTTCCTCTACGGGCATGGTTCGGATGCTGCTCCAGCTCCATAGCTTGGAAATGCATCCGAGGCATCTCCTTCGACGAAGATAGCATTGGCCGAGTGGCAAGATGATGAAAGAACTGAAAAAAATGCGAATCTAGCCAAAAGGAGGTCAAGCCTCATCCGAAGTATTCTCGTGTGTATGTCTGTAGCCTCGTCTTCCGTGAGTAGAATCAACCCTGTACTCGTCCTTAGAAGCTCGTCCATTGGTGCACACGGTAACAAGCCGGCCAGGCGGACAGACGCGGGGTTTCTTGCATTTGATTACCTCTATTACCCATACAGCAAACGCTCTCGCTTGGCGGGGAATCTTTGCTCTCTGCTCGTCACGTTTGTTCACCAAGTCAGACCGCTTTTGCTTTTGTTGACCTTTACCTCACTTGCTTCCTTTGACACAGTTCTACAAAAACCACCTCTCTTTCACATTTTCTTCCTCTGAACTTCTTGTCAGATCTCTTCTTCAGGTAAACAAGGTCAAGTAACACTGTTGGAAACGTCCGCGTCTGATCCTCGTCGCAGTTCATTTACCCCTCACCCAATTCCATCATGGTCAAGGCCGTCGTTCTCGGTGCCGCTGGTGGCATTGGCCAGGTGAGGTCAACCAAATTCAATGACGCTACATGAACGACGACTGACAATCACCTTCATAGCCATTGTCTCTGCTTTGCAAGATCTCTCCTCTCATCGACGAGCTCGCTCTCTTTGATGTTGTCAACACACCTGGCGTCGCTGCCGATCTGTCCCACATCTCCTCTGTCGCTGTACGTCTGTCCTCTCCTCTCCTCCCCCCATCCATTCGACCGTTCCAGCGATCCGAAAGAACAAACTAACTCTTGCGTCACAGAACATCGGTGGCTTCGTCGCTGCCAAGGGTGACTTCAAGGGCGAGAAGCCAGAGACGGAAGAAGCAAAGAAACAAGCCTTGACCGGCGCAGATGTTGTCATTATCCCAGCTGGTGTCCCCCGTATGTCTATATATCTCTCTATATCCAGTCATGTGAACAACGGATCCGGGGCTGACAAAAAGTGCAGGGAAACCGGGCATGACCCGCGATGACCTTTTCAAGACCAATGCTGGCATTGTCAAGGATCTGATCGTTGCTTGCGCAAAGTACTGCCCAAAGGCCGCCATCTGTGTCATCTCCAACCCTGTCAACTCCACCGTCCCAATTGCCGCTGAAGTTCTCAAGGAGGCCGGTGTCTTTGACCCCAAGAAGCTCTTTGGTGTCACAACTCTGGATGTCGTTCGTGCTCAGACCTTCGTCGGAGAGATCACAGGCGAGAAAGATCCCCGCAAGCTCACAATCCCTGTTGTTGGTGGACACTCCGGCAACACCATCGTTCCCATGTTCAGTCAGGCCAAGCCATCAGTGAACATTCCTGCTGACAAGCTCGACGCACTGGTCAACCGTGTCCAATTCGGAGGTGATGAAGTTGTCAAGGCCAAAGACGGTGCTGGATCTGCAACCCTATCCATGGCATACGCTGGCTTCAGATTCGCAGAGTCTCTCTTGAAGGCAGCCAAGGGTGAGAAGGGCATCGTCGAGCCGACCTTTGTCTACCTGCCTGGTGTCGAGGGTGGTGACGCTATCGCCAAGGCAACTGGCTGCGAATACTTCTCTGTCCCTGTCGAACTCGGCGTAAGTTTAGAATATGCCTGTCCCTTTTGTCCAGACTAACATCTCGACAGCCTGGTGGAGCTGAAAAGGCCATCAACATTCTCAGCAGTGCCAACGACTATGAGAAGAAGCTCCTCGATGAAGCCATCAAGGGTCTCAAGACCAACATCGAGGCCGGCGTCAGCTTCGTCAAGAACCCACCAAAGTATGTGCACTCCTCTTCTTCATCTGTGTTTTACTCGCCTGACATTTCTCGTAGGTAGGACGTGAGCGACTTCTATCCCAGAACGAGCCTGCCTGCCGATACCATTGCCGATGTTTGCCATGATTTTAAAAAATCAAAATACAATCATCAGACACTGACCAAAACCCGGGTGCAGATTGTGAAAACCCCATAGTCACCAAGAAACGGTTTCCCATCGAGTCGAGCTGGCACCACAACCTGTCAAGACTTGAGAGACAATTTTCCGCAGAGACAGCGTAGACAAAATTAATTCCGCGTTTCATGCAATATTCCAATTGTTCTGATTGTGGTAGCACAACTCCTCGTGATTTCGTGACTTGTACTCGTTCATTTCAGCTCCGTGAGGGCACAGTGCTCGTGGTTTTGAAGGCTGTTTCCAGAGGCCTGACTGAGCCATTTAGGCTCTCGTTTAATGTTCATCAGTCCTGGAATCAGCCTCGGTCATTGCTGGAGAATGAATATTGTATTTTCAGAGGCTGATTGAAGTTCCCAATTGTTACTGCTGTGACTTGCACGATGCATGACTTCAAGGCTTTGCATGGGCGGTCTTGATCTGAAACGTGGCAGTAGGTAGTTCGGCCGTCTCGGCTTGCACCGTAGCCTTGATGCCCAGACTGGACAGGACACCTCTGATGATGCCACAGGGGAAGTACAGGTGCGGTTGAGCGCGTGCAACGGCGTCCGCGTGAGTGGTCATGCTCATACGAGCAAACGGTCGGAATTTGCTATCCGTCAGAACAAATACGCCCTATTTTTTGTGGAAGGAAAAGTGGTCAGCTTTTCATGTTTGGGTTCATTTGGGGCTAGATGCGTGTGTCTTGCTCACGGCCTTTCAGGAGGAGGAGAAAAAGAAGTTCAAGTCATGCTTGATGGAGGGGCCAGAGCAGAACTTACCCTGTGGTTCGTCTTGAGATTGTCAATTTGTTTCTTGAACACGACCGTCCACAGATCCTTGCAGAGGAACTTGATCACGTCGAGCTGGTCGGTGAGCCGAGGTCTGTCTCGAGAGAACCGTTCACTCAACCCTTCGCCGACCCTGAACCCCAGACGCTCGAGCCGGACGTAGACACTGTCCCGGAATATCGTGGTGCTGGGTAATCCGTCCGCCGCCATGACTATCCCTGTGCCCGATGACGGGGCTCCTGTTCCAGCTCCTGCACCCGCGTTCGCCCCGCCAGCCACGTTTGACGACACCGCCGCCTGTGTATTGGAAGGAATACTACCACCGGCGGTGGTGGCACTGGCCGCGCCACGTTTGGAAGTCGGAGACGCAGGGCCGAGGCTGTGGCCGTCTAAGCTCGCCTCGAAGGTGCGAGCCATGCGCTCCGCCAGTGGGACGAGTTCAATGAGGAGCAGGTCGAAGCAGGAGATGTTGACCAGTGGGTTGTTTGGGTCCGAGAGGGCATCGACCGGGGCCTGGGCCGCCATGGCTTATACGGTTATGGTACCGGCGGTGGTGCCGTTATTGTAACAGTAGTGTTATTGAATGCGTTCGCGAAGTCTCGAGTGAGCAAGCGGCAGCAGACGACTGGTGGCTACGAGGAGGGAACGAAGGATGGTAGAAGCGAGCAAGGTGCGACGGTGGAACAGTGCGACTCTGGCTTTCGCATAGCGTAAAGATACGTTGATAGAGGGCTGGAATCGTAGAACCGTGTCAAAGCAACGGCAGTTTCGTAGGCTAGGCTCAGTTGTACCAAAACCTCTTCGAGGAGCAAAAGACACGTTGATCACCCAGAACTACTCATAGCAAAGGTCTAGGTTCGGGGCCGTCATTCGCAGCCTTGCCAACTAACTGGTCGATCTTGATCACGTGTAATTTGGCTCACGAGGCTGAGTAGTGGTTTTATACTACTTTAGTCAGCAGCCTCAATGACAGAAGGATCTTGCAATCAGATCGCCCGCGATATACTGCATTTCGACATCTCGATGGCATATATACATCCATTCCTCAAAATTACTATACATAGGATCGTTAGAAAGACCGGCGTAACACATAGTGTTACTTCTATTTAGCCATAACATCCACATAACGTCCTTTGGCCTTCTTGGCCCCCTTGCCAGCACCTTTGCGTCCAGTGGCAGGGCCAATAAGATCATCGATACTGCTAGCATTGCTGGTGGCCGTGCTAGGTCGAGGAGGAGCGAGTCCAGGGGCAGAAGTTGGAGCTGGTGGAGGCGTTCCAGTGCCACTTGGAGGACCAGACATACCAGGCAGAGGTGATGGCACGGTCGGCCCACTGGCTGGTGTTCCTGATCGGCTACCAGGACCAGACATCGGACCAACGCTCATGTTTGGAAGACTTGGATTCGAGGTATGCGCGATTGAAGGACCCATGGAAGGTGCTGGGGTCCCGCCCATCCGTGGAGGTGGTGGAGTTGCTGTTTTCTTCGCCGCATCGGGATTGTCTGGGTTCACCCATTTTCCCAAGTCCTTGTCATAATAAAGCTTCATCTTCGACTCGCCTAGTTTCGCCTTGTAGATCTTGGGCTCTGCACCTCCACCTTTGCCACTATCCAGTCCTTGCTCCGCCTTTTTACCTCCCAGCCATCCGCCGAACCAAGACGAGGACCTCTTTGCCTGTGCCTTTTCTTTCTCCTGTGCGGCGTCAGCTTCTGCGGCAGCACGGAAAGCAGCTTCAGCAGCTTCGTCATTAGCTCGTTTTCGTGCAGCTTCGTCATCGCCACCAACAGATGGCTGCGACGTGGGAGGCTGTGAATGATTCGACATCTTAGGGAAGTAGTCATCATCGTCATCCATGAACGACTTCTTCTTAGGCTTTTTGTTCTCTTCCGGCGAATCAGGCTCCGGAACATAGGGCACGTAGCCGGAGTCAGGAGGTTCGTAGCCATATGACTGCGAAAGGGGGGCAAACCCTGCTTCGCCAGCCTGATCATGCTGGGGAGCTGTTGCAGTTTCCTGTGGCTGGGGCGGCTCAAAGCCACCATATCCAACAGGTACCTCATTCATTCGCGTCGAGACAGAATCTTTGTCGTAGCCAAACGACTGTTGAGTTATTTCCTCGGCTGGAGGAGTTGGCACATAAGAAGGCTGAGGTAGATCTTCCGGAATTGGATTAAATGTGTTGTTGGGCACGTACGAAGACCTGGGCGGGCTTTGAGGAAAAGACGAAGGAGGCGAGGCTGCCGCAAACGCTTGGTAAGGATTGAAGGACTGTGCAGCCCCAGTCTGTTGGAGCATGTTCATTGGCTCATATTGTCGATTGTGGGAATGAGATGTTGACGGGGGTGACCTCTGTGAATCCAAGGACGGCCTTCCTCTGGTAAGTTCCGACGAAGAGCGAGTAGAGTGGACTCCATTTGGCGCATATCGTGAATTTGAGACCGTCGCAGGCAGGCTCTGACTGTATGCACCATACAGGTCTGATTGCGAGCCTGTCCTGCTCACCGAAGGCGTCCCAGCAACATTGGCGAAGGGTCCTGCTTCAGCTGCATCCTTTCCAGAGCCCTTAGATTCTGCATCACTATCGTCACCGACGACAAAGCTACTAAACTTGTTCCAAACAGAGCCAGATACCTTTTCGAGACTTGGCTTGCCTAGCCACGAAGAAGAGCCTTGGATTGGTGTCTGCTTCAGGCGGTTTGAAAGGTCGTCCAGCTCAGACAGGAAGACTGAGTGATAGTAGAGCGACATCTTTGTATTCGATTTGAGAGTTGCAGCGATGGCATCACAATATGCTTGTGCCTCCACCTTCTGCCCCTTGTCGGCCAACGTCTTCGCCCGTTGGAGCTTGTAAGCAGACAGATGGGGCATGAACGAGGTTGTAGCACCTGCAGCCAGTATGCTTGTCGCAAATTCGACGATTTCCGTGAGAACTATGGCTTCGTTGTCACGGCCGAAATCAAAGGGTTGTTTCTTATGGTTTGCACCAAGCAGGGTGATAGGTGTTTGATCATCGTCCCCTCCACCGAAAATGGTTGGTTTGGCTGGACTCCTCGAAAATAAATAGCAAATGTGGGCGGCCTCAATGCGGTCATAGTCTTCCAATAGCTTCCCAAGCACCACCAGGGCTTGTTGATCGCCCTGACAGCGGTTGTTCAAGACGAGACCTAAGGTCTCCTTCCAGCGATTCAGTCCATCGAGCGCATTCTTGGTGGGACCAGTGCTGTCAATTTTGCTGACCATTGTCAGACCCGCCCTAGCCGAAGGGGGCACAAGCTCATCGATACTCTCCTCCAGATTCCCGCCGAATATTTCATATAGCGCCGACAATGGCTCGGAATTTTCGCCCACAGTCTTGACCTCCTGGCGGACGAATTCCCGCACAACCTGGCTCCAGACCGAACGCTCCATCGTCGAAGAAATTATCAACGCGTGTGACCAGAGGCGGTTGTCCATAGCATGAAAAACGGCTGCTTGTCTATCGCCACTAAGCAGCCGCTTTCGAAGAGTTTCAACGGCCATAGGATCGATGGAATCGGTACGTGCGTTATTGCCGGATGGTCGGTATATTCCAGAAACTTCGGAGTCTGTGCGATACTGCGTAGCAGTTTGCTCGTCCAGCGCATGTACTTCTGGAGACAAGATGAGGTTCACAGACCTCAAAGCAGTACCGTCGAGAATGCCATCGTGCTCCACCAACGCTTTGACAACTTTCCAAAGTAACAACTTTTCATGATGACGACTTCCGGGATCAGGCATAGACGGAGACGCCCCAGTATTTGGCCCAGACGACTCCAGTGCACCAATATATTCGGACATCCACGACAACACATCCTTCTTCTTTGATTTTCCACGTAGTGGTCCAGGAAAGTTATCCAACGCGTCTAGAGGCACGAGGTCATCTTTTAGATTACGCGTGGATACTTCGCCAGGGGCAGCCTTGATCTGAGGCCTTGCTGATCCTGCAGTATATCGCGGAACATGCTTTGGAAAGGTGCTGACTACCGACCCACCAAAACCGAAATTGAAAACTGGCGCGCCTTTCCAACGCTCCAGAGGATCAAATTGAGCCTCGTCAATGGGCCGCACAAACTCAAGGCCAGTAGCCAATCCTCGAGCTTGCGCTTGCGGCCGAGCAGGTGGCATGCTCTCCAACGGCGCCCTCCCAACTACTGGTTGACCGTAGGCTGAAGCAGGACGGTTTGGTACATCGCTGATATGGGTAGGAAAGGCAGCTTGCGGCCGCTGTTTGGACGGAGACTGCGTCTGTGATCGTCGCGGAGGGGGCAATCTTTCGACCCCGGGAGGCTTAGCAGGAGAGCCATAGACAGATGCGTCAAAGGCAGAGGACATCTCGGGCGAAGCTACTGATTGTGACGGAATAGCTCCCGCAGCAGACACTTGTCGTAGCAACCCACCTGCTCTTTGCGCTTGGCTTGTCGAGACCTCATTGGCGCTCTCATCAACAGAACTCTTATGATATGCTAAAGGGCTAGAGGTTCTGGGTTGGAAAGGTAAGACTGGAGGAGGTGCTGCAGCATGCACATGTGGCTGCGAGGCGTATCTATGTAGCATGGGCGGCGCTGCTTGGCCCGATGCATGTGGAACTGCTGGTTGAGTTGCATACCTATTCAGAGTGTTGGTAGGGGGTCCTGCTGGAGGGGGCGCGGGAGAATATCGGGGTGAAGGTCCTGTACGTGATGCCGAAGCTAGGGAGGAAGCTGGGGGTGCTGGAGAATATCTGGTAGTCGATACTGCCGGTTGAGCGGGTGGCTGAAGAGCAACATTGGCATAAGGATCCATGCGCTCTGGCGCTCGTAGTTGAAATTGAGCATAAGGGTCAGACGGTGGAGGAGGCGAGGAGCGCACTCGAGGAGGCGAAAAGGCAGCGCGAGGTGGACTTTGGGGAGGCAATTGTGGCGGAGAAGTAGTGATGTTGTTATGCGGCGTATACCGTCCATGGCCGCTAGAGGGACGATGCTTGGGCACGATGGGCAGTTCCTCGAAGAAACTTGAGGAGCTTGATTTTGGTCTCTCCGATTTCCCAGACGATGGCATAGCAGAAACGCTTCGACTTTGCATATTTAGGGCGGGCGCGGTAGGCGGCGCAGGTCCAGCACTTGCCATGGACGGGACGAACGGTGACTGCAGGGGCTTGTCGGACAGACTACTGCTCCGTGGTGGGGGTGCAACTGTTGTGGGTGTCTGAACATGTGCAGGGGCATGGGCTCTTTTTCTGGGCTTGCTGATGTCTATGGGCAAATCGTATGGCGACTTGTAGCCGTCCTTGGCCTGGTCGACAAAGCTCTTCATCGGTTGCACTGACGGTCTCTGTTGGAGCTGCGCTTGGAAAGAATTCATTGGTGCAAGCTCAGGTCGAGAGATGCCGATATTGTTGTGCGTAGTTTTTGCTGTAGGAGATAATTGTAGCATATCGGCTGTGGATGGTTGATGAGGTGCGTACGGGTTGGCTGACATTTGTCTTTGCGGCTGAGGTCTTGCACCATTAGGACCCGGAGCCACTTGTGTGTTTGACGCATTGGAGTTGTCCTGAACCGATGGCGAAGTATCTTGCCGGAGGGCGGCTTCGAAAGATGAGGGCGATCCAGGCTCGGAATCGGGGAGAAGGTCATCGGCGTCCTCGACAAGGAATTCATCATCACTAAGAGCAGCAGCCCAAGCAGCAGCGTCAACGTCAGTAGTTTCGGTAGGCTTGGAATCTCCGGTGGTGGGATGGATTTCGGTTCCATTCTGATCAGCCAGCATTTCGAAGAACGACGACTCCGGAGCTTCAGGCTTCTGTTCCACGGCGGGAGAATCTAGCGCATCACTTGTCGAGAAGTTCAGAGAGCCAAGGACTTGAGTGGTGGACTTGCGATCCAGTGATGGAGCCTCGGGCGCAGAATCAGTGGTGCCATTGATCTGGGAGAAGAACGACGTCTCTTCGTCGTCAGCGCTCACAGCGAGGTGGTTGAATGACGATGAAATTTCTTTGTCCTCGGAGAGCTTCGCAGCTGGCTCCTCGGCCTGCATCAGAGGAACCCCTTCGTCGAATCTTCCGGCAGCTTCATCCACTGCTGGTGATTGCTCGGGTATAGTCCATTCATGCGGATCTCGTGTGCCATCATGTTCATCCTGCATCCATTCGAGACTATGCGGCTCTGTAGGAGGGTCTGCCTGTTGCGATATGTTGGTCTTCTCAATCTCAGCAACCATGGTATGCTGCTCGAGCACAGAATCAGGGGTGCCTCGATCAACGGAATTATTATGGGTATCTGGAGTCGAGAAATCCGGGAATGTTGTCGACCGGTTAACGCCTTCCAAAATGCGACTTGTGTCTGTTCGCGCTATGCCCAAGGCTGGATCTAATCGTTCATCATCATCTTCCGACGGGAGTTCATCGCCCCCCAAGTGCACTCCTGCAGGTTCTGGTGACCAGGGTGGAGGCACTGTGCTGGTAGCCTCGGTCGTCTTGATTTCAGGTGAGAACTCATTATGGTTCTCTACATGTGGCATCTCAGGAAAGCCATGTGCAGATGCGCCTCCTGATTCACTCTCTTCCAGCGATGAGGACGGAGGTATTATATGAGATTCCTCATTCACAAAGCCTGTTGGTAGGTTCTCAACCGTGTTCGAGAGACTGTCGGCATTTGGAGACACTTCATCTGCCTCTAGGACTTCTGGTCGTAATGCTGGTAGCCAGTGGCCAGCTCGACTGATAACAGCGGAGGTAGGGACGTGGTTCGCATGGCTGGCAGACTCCATTGCGACTCTTAAGTACCAAGAGAGTTCGCGTGAGATCACCAGGGGAGGGTTCCCGGGAGTGAACCACAATGGAAGCGGAAAAGATCCAAAAAGAAGATCATACACAGTTAAAAGACATGTCTATGTCCAGCAGATTCTCCACGAACGCACCCAAATGTTCACGCCGTGAAGCAAGACTTCAGAGGCTTCGGGATGATGTTGAACGGCCAAAATGTTCTTGTCGCTGTTGCAAGCTGCGCCTGCGGAACCAGAGCGCGGAAGGGCCACGTTTGTCATTTTCAGGCTCTAGCGCGCCATGCTCCCTAGAACTTCCCATCCCGGGCGCCCCTAACGGCTTTTGGCCTACGCCTAAACAATTAGTCCGGAGAATGGATACGGGAGAACGCGCACCCGCACCCACCGCGACAGCCTCGTCCACATGCTGTTGTGGCCATGCTGGTCCCTGCCAGGCTACCGTATATGTACCCTCCTGCGAATCACACATTCAATCATCGTCGTGATGAATCTACACCTTTTGAGAAAGTGACCTTTGATACCGATAGATATTCTGTGTCTCGGTATATTTCATTACCCTTGCGACATGATCTTCGCCTAAAAACCGAACACCAGTCAGCATTTGCGTTTGCGTTTGGGCACTCCGGGTCTGATATTGGATGACAATGACCGAGAGCCTTCATGTCGCGCCAAAACCCAATACACGCAGGGCCCGACATTGACTCGGCCTCTGATGATGACCTTGATCTCGATGAACTCGATCCCGCCGTTACGTCTCTAAATGGTCACGTTGCAAATGTAGGAAACGGCTCAAAAGAGCAGCTGCAGGGCAAGACGGGAAACATCCCATTGCAGAGACTACAGAAGTACGGTGGCAGTCGTCTATGGCGGTCAAGAAGCAGACAACGAGATGAATACGCTGTGGAGGAAGATACAGAAGGCTTACTCAATGGCTGGCCCGGACAATCGCGAAGTAATGGCCACCTCAGAAGATGGTCCGAGGAACAAACCGGTTGGAATGTCAGGAACAAGAGACGACAGAACAGCGATGGACAAAGCGGTGCGGCGCAGCTACGAGAAACACCTTCGCGACGCCCGAGTCAGAACATGCAATTCCAGCAATTTGTCCGACAAGAGCTGGCCGATATGCGTGAGGAGCAGGACAGCGACAACGTCGAGTCCCGTGAAATTCAAGTCGGCCAGGCTCAGAAGAAGCGATTTCCTACCAACGTCGTCTCGAATGCCAAATATACCGCCTGGTCCTTCCTGCCACGAACACTGTACAACGAATTTTCTTTCTTCTTGAACATATATTTTCTATTGGTGGCCTTGTCACAAATTATACCCTTTCTGCGTATTGGTTACATGTCGACTTATATTGTTCCATTAGCATGTGTGCTTACGATCACGATTGGGAAGGAGGCCATAGACGACATTGCACGAAGACGTCGGGACGCCGAAGCGAATGCAGAGCTTTTTACGGCCCTTTCATTTCCAGATGCTTCGCGCTCGCGAGAAAATGGTGGGGTCGAGATTCAGAAGCGATCTCGGGATATCAAGGTTGGCGATATACTGAAATTGGAAAAGAACCAAAGAGCACCTGCAGACGTGGTTATCTTGCAAAGCCATCTCACCGAGGCCCTTGGTGGGTTGACCACCGACGAAACGGGAGACTCGGCGACTACTGCTTCCACCGCCAGCACGGGAGAAACCTTTATACGAACAGATCAGCTCGACGGCGAGACTGATTGGAAACTTCGACTTCCCAGCCCTTTGAGCCAGAATCTCAAGTTGTCGGAGTTGCATCGTCTACAAATTCAAGCTGGAGCACCGGACAAAAGAGTGAACGATTTTGTTGGAACTCTAGAGCTTCGATCAACTCATCCTTCTGCCTACGACCCCCATCCTCGTCGAGAGGATCAAAGCCTGGACAGCACTGATGAAGCTAATCTGGATGTTCACTCACACAACAATTCTACCTCTGCTCCGCTAACGATCGATAACACAGCATGGGCAAATACAGTCCTGGCCTCCAGTACTGTCACCTATTGCGCCGTGATATACACAGGCCGACAGACTCGCTCTGCGCTTTCCACCTCTCCTTCAAGATCAAAAACAGGACTTTTAGAACTAGAGATCAACAGTCTCACCAAAATTCTGTGTATCATGACCCTTACACTCAGCATCATCCTAGTTGCGCTTGAAGGTTTCGAGCCATCGAACAAAAAGCCATGGTATGTCGCTATCATGATCTACCTTATCCTCTTCTCGACCATTATCCCAATCAGTCTACGCGTCAACCTCGACATGGGCAAAACAGTGTATGCCCGATTCATTGAGCGCGACAAAGGAATCCCTGATACCGTTGTACGGACGAGTACTATTCCCGAAGATCTTGGTCGAATTGAATACCTGCTATCCGATAAGACCGGGACGCTCACCCAGAACGAAATGCAGCTGAGGAAGATCCACGTTGGAACAGTCGCATACTCTGGTGAAGCGATGGAAGAAGTGGCCGCCTATGTTGATCAAACATTCTCTTCGGGTCAGGATGCTGATACACGAGGAACGAGCACCACCAAGACTCGCCGTGAGATCGGAGTGCGAGTCCGTGATCTTATTCTAGCTCTTGCTTTGTGTCACAACGTCACGCCCACAACCGACGAAGTGGACGGAGAAAAGGTCATTTCATATCAGGCCTCGAGCCCGGACGAGATTGCCATTGTCGAATTTACCGAATCCGTGGGCCTTCGACTCCTGCATCGCGACCGTGAAACAATTGTCCTTCAGTCCACTACCACGAACCAGGTTGTAGTACGAGCTGAGATCAAAGACATCTTCCCCTTTACATCCGACAGCAAGCGAATGGGCATCATTGTGCAACTATCTTCGGACGTTCTCGGTCTCACACCTGCCGACAACGAGCTTTGGTTCTTTCAAAAAGGTGCAGATACCGTCATGACCTCGATAGTTGCGGCAAATGACTGGCTCGACGAAGAGACTGCTAACATGGCTCGAGAAGGCTTGCGAACCCTCGTGGTTGGGCGTAAACGTCTGTCCCCTGCGCAATATTCTGACTTCAGCAATGCGTATACAGATGCCAGTCTAGCCCTACACGAGCGCGATGCAGGCATGGCAGCTGTCGTCAAGGCACACCTTGAACATGACTTGGAACTTCTCGGAGTGACGGGTGTGGAGGATCGCCTTCAAAAGGACGTGAAGCCGTCTCTCGAGCTTCTTCGTAATGCGGGCGTCAAGATCTGGATGTTGACTGGTGACAAGATCGAAACAGCACGCTGCGTGGCCGTATCGGCGCGTCTCGTTGCTCGAGGGCAGCACATTCAGACCATGGCCCGCTTCAAGACGAAGCAACAAGCCAAAGATGCTCTGGACCTCATGCGCAATCAAACCGAATCGTGCCTTCTCATCGACGGCGAGAGTCTTTCTCTCATGCTGTCTCAGTACCGCACCGACTTCATCACCATCGCGGTCCAGCTCCCCGCCGTGATTGCTTGCCGCTGCTCCCCGACCCAAAAGGCCGACGTTGCACAACTCATCCGCAAACACACGCGCAAGCGTGTCTGCTGCATCGGTGACGGTGGCAATGACGTCTCCATGATCCAAGCCGCCGACGTCGGGATCGGGATCGTCGGCAAAGAAGGTCGCCAGGCCAGTCTCGCCGCCGATTTCAGCATCACGCAGTTCTGCCACCTGACCAAGCTTCTCGTCTGGCACGGCCGGAACAGTTACAAGCGTAGTGCGAAACTGGCGCAGTTTATCATCCATCGAGGTTTGATCATCAGTGTGTGTCAAACCATGTACAACATTGCGGGACATTTTGATCCCAAGGGCTTGTTCAAAGATTGGTTGCTCGTGGGCTACGCGACGGTCTACACAAGTGCCCCCGTCTTTTCACTAGTGCTAGATCGGGACGTCGATGAGCAACTTGCAAATCTCTACCCAGAACTATACAAGGAGCTCAAGGCGGGGAAGAGCCTCAGTTACCAGACCTTTTTCACCTGGGTTTTGGTTTCGGTGTACCAGGGCATCATCATACAGGGCCTCACACAGCTGCTTGTGGGCGAGGTCGACGGCAAGAGGATGCTCAGCGTCAGCTTCACGGTGCTTGTCCTGAACGAGCTGATCATGGTGGCCGTATCAGTGACCACGTGGCACCCAGTCATGATCATCTGCATCCTAGGCACGGCTGCCATCTATGCGGCGAGTGTGCCTTTTCTTGGCGGGTATTTCGATTTAGAGTATGTTGCCAGCTGGAGTTGGGTCTGGCGGGTTCTGGCGGTGGGAGCCATCAGTCTGGTCCCTGTCTGGGGTGGCAAGGCAATACGGCGTATGTGGAAGCCGCCGAATTACCGCAAAGTGCAAGGGATATAGCGAGTCATGACCGGTGTACAGATGATTGCAAACAGTACTCGCGTGCTCTTTGTTTTTGAATTCAACCTTGCTCGCTTTTTTTCTGCATGGCGCGTGAAACTGTGGTTCTTGAGAATGGTTTTCCCCCTTCTAACTGCCAGAAAGATCGTGCCAGAGCATTGGGTGCCCAGAATCGCTGATTCCCATTTGATGCCACCATGCGTGTCCAGCGTTCTTGTGCTACGTCAAGGGACAGCGGCCACAACTTAGCACATGCCTCGACTGGGTGCGCGAGTCGCGTAGGTCGACGCAGCTGTCCACACTGGCCTTCCTCGTTCCAGAAGATCACTGGCTTGGCCCGTTAGGGGAAGGGATCGTGTAACGTAGAGCGCCATGCGTCTTTGCAGAAGGACATCCCGCGGCCAGTTGCATCTGTAGCCCACGCCAGGTGCATCCTGGTACAACCCGTCGTGTTTTGACGTGCATATCGACCAGAACACTCCGTTCCAGCAATTTGGATCGCCATTCTGTCGGTGGTGGCGGATTTCCGACGAGGCCAGTCATGACATTTCCTACCTTCTCCTTAGCCGACCTTGATCTTTTTCAAAGAATGGGTCCGCCGCGTCATCGCCTGAGTTGCTGTCACGGGACGAAAGCAGTCATCGTGACATGCCTGGATAACCTCGCTCTAAAGGAACCGGATGCAGCTGCGGGCGCTGCAAACACCCGAATGAGGAGTGACGGTGCTGGTGGCAGAGGGAAAGGGGAATGGATGAGTGTGTGGAAAAAAAGGATTCCCCAGCATAGGTCCGGATGAAGCGGTGCTTCATGCGGCGAGAAGCGAGCGAGGGAATTGTCCGGCAACTGCTCGTTACGGTGAAGCCATCCTTGTGTCGCCTGCATTAGTCCGCTTGGAGACAGTTTGAGTTGGTCGCGTTCTCGATGTTTAAGGACGGTTCCGACAGAGCACGCTGGCAGGACGAGTATCCTACGATGAATAAGTCGAGGTTAGCTCTTGCTCCGCTTGACCTCGGAGAGAGCAACGGACGGAAGATTGGGGCTTGCTTGAGGAAACACGGTTTGGTAGAAAAGCCACACCTGAGGGTAACGAAGATACCGAGCAGGCCATGTGTAGGCCAGATTAGAACCTGTGTTCAAAGATCCATCCTCGCACCACCACCACTAGGGTGCAAGCCCATGGTCGATAATGAACAACATCCGAGACCACAGTGAGCCATGGTCTGATTCTGTATGACATCTGCCGCCGGGGTTGGAGCACTGTCAGCCCATACTTCTATCATCTTGGTTGACCCACGCAGAGCGAATTGACCTTTGCCGTAACGTTCTTCGAGACCGTGTTGGAATGCTGACATTCCCTCAACCATCTTTTGTCTCACAAGCCCAAGCTGGGCTGTGCATTGAATTTCCTTGGTCGGAGTTTGAAGGGGTCTTGTGAAATCCACGCGCTTTGTGCATGATCGGGCTGCTGCAGGGCAGCGAGGAGGCAACGGCTGACTTTCTGAATTCTCAGTGAGGGATGACATTTCGCCAGGGTGTGAATGGGCTGCAATCTTTCTTTCAAATTCACCGCGGGTGGCGTAAAAGGCGTGTTATCAGAGGCTGTCCTCACTGCTTGTTTGAGTTGAATTGGTCGGTTGCAGAGTGAAAGGAGGTGAAAGAGGTAGATTGATCTGTTTTTCTTCGTCTGCCTGCATCGCCCTCATCTTTCTTTTCTCGCGGCGCGTCGTTTACCATCAAAGCAACAACCCACTAACTGTGAAGAATTGACATCGACAAAATGGATCCTTCTGCAGAAGAGATAATTGCTTTGGCAGAGCAACTTACTCAAACAGCGAAGGGCTTAGCTTCTGAGACTCACCCACCAGCGCGCAAACAACAAACAGCCTGCCTTGTCCTGCAGGCAAAGCAATTGATATGGAGTGTTCAAGATCCGCACGATGCACTCATGGACCATATTGTGAATGTGAGAATGAGACAGTCATGTCGTGCGATGTTGAAGAAAGTCGCTCTCCTAACAACTTGTTCAGGGTTATACGATCTCAGCATGCCTTGCAGCATCGAAGCTTGGTATCTTTGAAGCTGTCCCTCTTACTGGCACTACTAGTGCAAAACAGGTCGCCCAGCGATGCAACGCCGCAGAAGAACTGATTGGTAGGATGAAGTCTTTGCAATATTCAAACCTTCGACTGACTCTCGTAGTGCGATTGATGCGTCAACTGACTTGTGTCAACATCTTCAACGAGGTGCGTTTGGGAGAATGGGCACATAATCGACTTTCACTTGTGCACAGTGAACATGCTGGTCCCACCAGTGGCAAATGGTTGTATACTGTGTCGTGAGTCGCCCTCTGAAGCATGTTGATTTAAGTCATAATTGCCCTCACATGAATTGACACTCCTAGACTTGACGAAATGATGCCAGCAATGTATCGACTCAACCATTATCTTGAGCACTTTGGAAACCACTCTCTCCTCGACACCTACATCGAGACCCCGCACTCCTGGTTTTATGGTATGATCGGCAAGAACTTCTGGGAGGTCATGAATTCCTCACATGATCGAATCGAGAACTTCATTCGAGGCCTGGCACTGTTTGACTCGCTCCATCCTGTGGTTGCCATGTTCCCCTTTGAGAAGATTCTTCGAAATGGAAGTAATCCCAAGCGCCCATTGATGGTCGACATTGGTGGAGGTCGAGGTCTTGCACTGTTGGAAATGAGAAAGGGCTGCCCAAGCCTAAGCGGCGATCTGATCTTGCAGGACCGTCCATGCGTGCTCGAGGACATCTCCTATGACGACCTACCGGGAGTGACCAAGATGGCCCACGATTTTTTCCAGGAGCAGCCAGTGCACAATGCACAAGTCTACTACATCCGCCGCGTAATGCATGACTGGCAGGACAACGACGCCGCCCGCATCTTGAAAGCAATCATTCCAGCAATGGGTCCTGACAGTCGAATACTCATCTCCGACATGGCCATTCCAGAACCAGTGACTAGCAGAGATGCAGGAGCAATTTGGCTCGACTTAATGATGATGAGTATTGGTGGGAAGGAACGAACTATTCGAGATTGGCAATACCTGGCAGTATTAAGTGGGTTGAAGTTGGTGAAGGTCTGGCAGGAGCCAGAGAAATTCGGTCCCTTGTGCGTTGTCGAGTACATGCTTCCGGATGCCGACCATACTCCGTCACTCGGTCGAGCTATGGTGGATGGTGCTGCCGACGAGAACGAGATCACAACGCCAAAACTGGGTCCGAACGATGGAGGAAGCTTCATTGAGTATGATCTGGATTCTCCTGAGTCCAGGGACGTGGACTGGGAGGAAAGAACAGTGGTTGCTGATCGCGAGCAGAGCATGGAACTTTGAGCATTAAATTCAAAACAGCCTCTCATTCAAGCTGAGAAGCTTCGAATCCTTGTCCGACAGAATCGATACAGGCTCCTAGACCATGGTATGCTGCGAAAACATGCACCTATGCGACATGGTTCCTAACCTCCACCGAAACAGTCGATGTCGACCACAGACGAGTTGCCGCGAAATACGTCCCTACAGAATGTTGAATGGAACCACAGCATATGTTTGACAAGGGTTAATGTACCAACTACCGGACACTGAAAGTCGTGAGACCTACAAGCTTAAAGATACAGATGTTCAGGTCTACATAGACAACGCATTGAAACCCCAAGCTGAATAAACGTACTTGTCCATAAGCTGCAAGGGGTCAAGTGGTGACTCAGAACAGCCTCGTCACGTGTCAGGCTGTGAGGGGCATGTCACACCTCTCTTTCCTCGCTCTTGACCTGCGACCGAACTGTGACACTCGCTGTAACACGATTTCGAGGTTTGTCAACAAAACAACAGACCATTCTCTGCTACAAGTCAACAACGACCCGGCGCTACAAACCCTACATAAGCCTGTTGTCGACGCTGTGACTTCTTCATCTGGTCGACCGCTCCAGTCATGGCTTCTTATCTTTCGTACTTCACATCAAATTCATCGAGCGCACCCCCAACGTCCCACTCCTCAACTACACCCAACTCTAATTCGACATGGTCAAGTACCTTCTCCTCCAGATTCGCAAATCTACGCAAGGCTTTAACGAAGGATTCTGAGGAAGATGATCCTGACAACGAGGACTGCTCACATATCTCAAATGTCCTCCGGGCTTATTACGCTGAGAAAGGCCGCCCCTTGCCTGAATGGCTCCCTCCTGATCCCAAAAAGCCTGTTGCTGCTCCTCAGCTTCAAGGCTCGTATGGGCAGTATGGGAATGTCTACGGCTCACAATTCAACAACCAGCAAGTGCACTCGAGAGGATCATCGGGTGGGAGAGGAGGTGGACTCTCAGATCTCTGGGATTCTGCGCCTGCATCAGCTGCGCCTCCTGGCCAAAGTCTCAGAGCTGCCCGCCCGACACCACATTCTCTACGCTCGAACGATTCAGCGAGATCACATTCCAGTGGCAGCAGTCAAACAGCATCCTTCGGGGCGGCGGCGCCGATTGCCCGACCGCTTCCCAGTCAAAGAGCAGGAAGTTACCAAACAAACCCCACTGCAAATGCCCAGGCTTTGGGATCTCGAGACAGGTTGCGGGCTCGATTACAAGGAGGCAGCAGTGGTAGAAGCAGTCCAGCGGGAGCTATGAGCGGAGGTCAATCGTCCCATGGCTCCTCGGGCGGAAACCTAAGTACTCAAGATCGCAGTGGATCAACGCAGCCCTATGTTTCAGCTTCACAGCCCTGGGAAACGGGCGGCGAGGCATATGGGTACAATGGTGGCTACAACAGTGCAGGTCTTCCATCTTCGCCTTATGGCAACCAAGACCGTCGACAGCGCCCTGGAGGCCCGAGATGAAAGCATCTGATCTGATTGTGTAATCACAAAGACGATCTCAGACTAAAAGAAAGCGGTAACTTATAAGTGAGTGGCGTGAGAGCTCTAGCGACCGTCCACGGTATCGGTTATGCCGTTGGCCCCATCATGGAAGCTCATCCATGCAGGCAAATCACCCAGATCTGGACGCCGGAAGTTGTGGCGTTCTTTGTGCGTCTCGCCAATAGCTGTCGCCAGGGGGTCGAGAAGTGACCAACGCCTTTACCATGTCCTTTTGTTCCGCCTGAAAGAGAGCCTTTTCGGACCGTCCCAGCCTTGCCGATGAAACCAATTCCCGCGAGACCCTCTATAAACGAGCTCAAGGACGGATCTGGCGGGGTTGGCATTCGGCTATCTCATGTGCATCGCTGGAGTATACGAGCGAGCATGGAAAAAAATCTGTGGCTGACACTAGTAAGCCCTTGGCCGGGGACTTTGGTCACTGGAATCTCAGGCCATAGGGGCTTGGACATTGGGCTGAAGCAACGCCATCACAAAAAAGAGTAATCACTTCGAGAAGGGAATTGGAACCTGGTGGTTTGACACAGCCTCACATGTCAGAGGCTGAGGCAACACCAATCTTGAAGCAGCATAGTGTCATTCACCTAGCTTACTCATCACCCGCGGCTGACCTATGGACAACTTGGGTGATAACCGTCATCATTTATGTGGCACCATCGTCTGGAATTGTCGAATGAATGGACGCGAGACCCAGGTTCGATCCGCGTCCCTCTCCGGACTCACTACCCATCCGATCTGCCGACTCAAACGGTGGCCAGAGGCCTCAACCCTCTGGGTCCAACTATGAATAAGGTCGCCCTCGTTCTCCTGATTCCGATTATGTCCCGACATCCACATCGCAGGTAACCTTGGCTCGCTCCCACACTCTGCTGCTCTTCGGTCTAGCTTCCCCGGCCCCCACTTGGCATTCTGGCGAGTACCTCGCTAATACCTGAGCCGTCTATGATGTCGAAATCTGCGTCAGATGCTGGCTCGCCAGTCAATGGGTCTCATGCCCAGAAACAGTTGAGCTGCCAATTACAAGATTCGAGGCTGGAAACCTGAGGTTTCACTGTTCCCGAGGTCAAAGCGGACCAACTTTGAGGTCCGTTACAATGTTCGGATGATGACAATACCGAGCCTTGGGGTGGCGTGGAAATCGACGAGCAAGTCAAAGTACAATCCTTTTCCATTCTTGTCATGGCGCAGGCGAAACGTATCTGGAGAAGGCTAATGCCAGAACAGTATTTGTCCGAAAGTCCCTAGATAATACACCTGGGGAACTAAATCTGTCAGCCCTATCTATCTCTTTACCTTGAATTGTCACGTTGGTTCACCTCCATACACTGCCATATGACTTCCCATCGTGGGTGCTTGGCCCTATTTGTCTACTTCTGCGGTCTGACTAAGTCTTTGCAGCCCCCTTCCTGAGCTGGCAACTCCTGTCTTCGTTCATTGCTGCTTCACACATATAGTGCCTTATATCATCGCGATTATTCAAGCCAACCAAGGCTTTACACCCGCGAGGCGTGCCACTTGAGTTTTACTGTTTATGGACGAGAGCCACGGGCATGCTTCGAGCGACTACCAATCTTCACAAAGTTCACAGAGATCATCAGCGCATACTCGGAAAGACGAGGGGACACGTCAACTGAGCCAACCTCCTCCATCTGCCAGTTGCCCTTCTTATAGTCCATCCTCCCCTTCGTCAAATGCCTTTTCAACTTCCAACTCTCAAGAAGAACAGTCAACATCCTGAAGACCAACAACTTCACTTCAAGTACCGGCATCGATACAGGACAGCACCATGTCGCGACAACCCTCTGGAAATGTGGGTCGATCGCAACACTATCAACTGGTCTCTCCTGGAACTCCAGCTGATCCTCGTACCATGAGCCAAGTCAGTCCAGGTTTCGTTTTTGTAATAGTTCCTATGTTTGCGAGTCCTGCGTTGCCTTGATCTATTCACTTCCTTGTTTCATTTTCCCCTTCTCCTTTCTTGTCATCTTGCGTTTGAGTTCTTTGAATGTATTTCAAATATTTCAAATGCTTCAATGTTTTCGCGCACTCTCTTCTTGAAAGCCACTCGAAAGCTGACAAGAGATACAGAACAACAAAGACCAGTTGATCCAGTCGCTGCGAACACATCGCGTCAATACCATTACTGAACTACGTCGCATTGAGAAGATATTTGCCTATCTCGATTCTGCGGAGGTGACTGAACCCATGACCACGGCGTGGGCTCATTATGTCAACTCTAACAATCTCCTCAACGAACTGAGAGGTCTCACTCGAACGTACCCATTCAGTTCAGAATGCCTTGACGAAGCGAAATCTTTGGTGGTGCGAGACCCCAACAGCGTTCGCAGCTGGAACTATTGCTGGTTGGTATTGGTGAAGATGGAAAGAGAGTAAGCACTATATCGCCTTCCAACTTCAGTCACGTGGGCGCTGACTATTGGGACCTAGAAGCCTCGTCACCAAGCATGCCCGAGCTCTTGCGTCGAAAGCAAGTACATGGGGTGGGCGCCGGCCTACCGCCGCCGAATTCGACAAGTTGGTCAATGCATGTGTGGCAGAATGGACCCGTGCACTCAGGCAGATGCTCAGACATTGGGACAACCCCCCCAGCACGACTGGAAACTAGGCTCTCCTAGATATCGCAAGGACAGACAGACATGGACGTGTGCCCCATAGGGATATATTCGAAACATGCGGTCGTTACGCCAATGAGAATTTTGATGGTCTATTTGCTCGTTACTAGAGCTCAAGTACATGCCAGTGGACACGTAGCCTGGCAAGGCAAAGGAGGTTGCCTGAAGGTGGAGGAGCGGAGCTGGCCTTCGGTCAATGTACAATTTGGGTTAACTGTGACATGGGTTATGGTCTGTTGGCGTTTCTGGAGTACCACTTGTCAATGCAGGGCATGGGTCGAACCCCGGCGGCCGGCCTAACTAGCGAGGGGATTCTGGACTAGCGATGCGGACATGGTAGCTGGGTGTTTATTACGGAGTACCTGTCGATGCATTGTGTCTTTCAATACTCCGTATTCTTAGCACAGATGGGTCAAGATTTATCAGCACCCGCACACAATCCTGGCACTACTATATCTAAGCTCGATAGATCTATCGAGCGTCTACTGGTTAGATCAGTTCGACTGCGAGTGCGTGCGATTATCCCGTAAAACAAGTGCCGGATGATGCGCGAGGCTCAGACACACGGCCTGACGCCGTGGTACATGTGCGATGTATCTCGAGCTTATCCCGACCTCCATGTCGAACAGGAAGGTGCAAGAGTCAAAGTAGGTGGAACACAAAAAGCCCGGCAAGCAGCCTTCTACAGCTTTCCTTATGGCTGTTGATCTAGATCAGGACATTTATGCTTTCCTTTTTAGGCAGGCTGACGCCTTCAAATTCTTGAAGCTTCCACCCTCCAAGTTCTCGAGAGAAGACTCTTCTCATCTGCAAGGGCGAGGTTGCGCGCGAGAAGGTGGTTGCTCGCAAAGTTCGCGTCCCATGACACAATGGTTAGTGTGAGCTTATGGCACGAGGGTATGTGTGTGTTGTGTGATCACGGAGTAGCCCTAGGCGCATGCATGAGCTCTTAAGGTCGCAGCCTTGATATTTCGGCCCGACTTTGAGGCTTTCGGCAATATATTGTCAAATGATGCGCGAGATAAAGAACAAAGTCGATGGTCGTCTAGAAGTGGATCCCACTGTTGCCCCTTCGGCAGCAAAGACCATGACATATCCTTTTCTGGACCATTTCCTGAAACGCCGTGCCCAGGAAAGGAGATTTGTGTCCTCATCGTCGTGCTTGGTTTACGCGAACACACACCATGTTCGTCCATGACGGTCGATCGATGTCGAGAAAAGTTGGTGTTTTTGTCATGGTTCGGGGAATGGAGCCCCGAGTTGCAGTTCCAGATTGATCTGCGGTCGATCATTGATGAACAAGGTGGGAATGAAAAGAAAGTGATCTGCTGTTCGCACAGTACGAGTACGAGTAGAAGCCGCCGTGGAATATCAGAACAATACGGGGTAATGCTATCGTGCCATTTCTCACCAAACCCGGCCATGACAACGGACGTTGCGATTGGGGCCAAACCTCTACCGCATCTAGTAGTTCGCCATCTTCACCGGTCTGGCGCGTGGCAGCTGACGGGTACCTGATCCAAAACCCACCACATTGGGTGTCAGTACTGAGAAAAAGGGGTGTGGTGCCTTTTGAGAAGGTTGGTCCGGTACCTGGGTTGACTGATTACTCTTTGTTCAGATAACGGCCGATAGATCAACATTGTAGATTGAGCCCATCAGAAGCCGATATAGTGGTTCAACAGCCAGTAATCATCTACTCTCCCCTGCTCTCACCACAAACTCACCGTATTTGGCCGTGATGTGATGAGATCACATAACAATGCTTTCCATCCCAAGGAGGAAATAAATTGCCACACCAAATGTACCAATTTTGATCAATGCATCGTCGGAAACACTTTCTATCTTTGGTCTGAGTTTAAAAAATAAGGTCTGCACGTAACGGGAACGACCTTCGAAGTCGAAGGCATTTGCAATAATTACAACTTCGGGATTCATTTTATTTTTAATGATATTTACGAGAAATATGTCCCACCACTGTCACTTGTTCCTTTACCTACTGGTCAAGAGCCACCATATTCATCCTCGGAGTCAGATCGCAAGGCCACGACGAGATCGGACCTAGAAGAACAAAAAGTCATACGATATCGCAGGTAATGAACTCGAATACTTCAATGGTGATGGGTCGCTAATGAATTTAGTAAATGCAGCTGAATAATCCCGATGATGGTGGAATTCTCAATTGGCAAATCGTCCGCGTCCATATGATTGGAAATCTTCGCCTTCGCCACCTCCACCATCCACCACCTCGTCGACAGAATCTGAGGCGACCTATTACTCCCCCAAGTAGTGACAGTAGTTCACTCTACAACACACTATTTGGACCAGCGGATCCATCAAGCCGTCGCCCACTCCATCCCTACCTTTCGCCTCTTTAGGCCATCTCGGCTCCAGATCGCCAACTTCGAACCGTTTATTCCCCCATTCCGAACTCCTCCCTTCTGCCTCGCGCCGTGCATGTGGCGGTGGCGTGTGCTCGTATCCTCTTTTTCTGCCTGCTTATGCCGCCTTCAAGACGTATCGAAACACGCAGATCTCACAATGCACCGCATCGAGAGTAATGTGGCGACCTACGATTCATCGCATCTTGGGTCCAAAAGTTCAGAACGAGGGGAATAATATGTCATCAAGTCCGACAGAAACGTATACCAGCTGACAATGCATGCGAACACGCCATGTGAGACTATCGACTTACAGCGACTCCTCTACGGTGCCATCGGCGCAAGAGGCTTGCCATCTCGGACTCGGCACAAGGCTACAGTGTACGCCTCATCGACCAGCGTCCTCCCGCGCACGGAGGCTTTACCAAAATGCCCTTCGTCCTGCCGTCGCGGAGTAATCGTCTGATGGCCTAGAGAGCGTCCTATGACCAACACGGTTTCCACGGGGCCATGCCGTCGAACAGTCTAACAATATTGTCCGGTGCCGGGCCAGTTCAACTACTAGAAACCGTCGCCCGTCTCGGGATTTGATGCCCCGATCGTCGCTCAAATCGAGTCTTCTGCCTCTTTTAGGCCCAAAGAAGAAACAAGTGTACTCGTCAAAAGTCACACTTTGATGAAGTCTACTCGGCCTGACCCACTGACAAAGTGTATTGAGGCTACTCAGACACTCAAATGGTGTGTCTGTGGTCCTATGGTCGCGCATTGTTGGTCCAGAGAGAATACGTCCTGGGTGGTACCTTGGGGACCATACTTCGGACTACATTCTATTCCACCAAATGCCAAAGTTGGTATGGTTCGCTGCCACTTCTGCTAGTCTATTGGAGGCTTAACACCCATCAAATTGTTCATGTCTGATCGGTAGTTCCATACCTAAGGTGTCAAGGCGCTGACTTCTGCCTTCACTAGCGCCTGGGTTGGCGACTGCAGAGCAACAAAATAACCGGGCACTCTCGCCACGACACTACTGCTCGTCCGGACCTGCTGGGTCTGTCATTTGGTCAGACTGCCTCAGTCTACTGCCCAAAGTGCTACAGTCGCCTCGCAACAGGGTTGTTTTGGCCCCTTTTGACGTTTCGTGATGGGAGCGAACGTTCTCTAGATTGATGCCTGCGCGCATTCGACGGGTTCCGAATACGATGGCGGGAGTTTTTCCCGTATCATTAAAGAATCGTGGATCCTCAACTCCTTTCCAAAAGGACCATCGGTGAGCGAGGTCGCCCAGACATCAGACAATAATGTCGGCACTTGTCCCTCACCGGTAGGTATCCGCGGGAACATGTGCATGATGATCGTTGATACGCGTGATGCTCAAGGCAACCAGTTCAGGAATCTAATCAGCGATTGTGACCAGGATGGTAGCCAATTTTGCACGGCGGCGGTTCCGAAAGCAGGGAAAGGAACGACGTGATCACTTCCATTGCTGGTGACCAGCTCGGGCCCTTTCTTTGCATCAAGTGGATACTCATTCGAAAAGCTGTTGCATCTTCTTTCATGAACTAGCTACGCTACTGCAGCGCTATGGAGTTCCCTCACCTGGGCCTGGCTTACATATACAGGGCATTTTTACGAAGGGATGCTGACCTAAGGACTGGGACCCCACCAGTGGGTGGTCCGATGCAAGTATCATCCCCCGTCGGGGTCTTTGTTGGGCGCGCGGGACAAGCCCCTGGACTTTCGTGGATTTTCGGCCTGTTTGAGTTCGTTCTTGGGCGTCCAATACGCTCACGATTTGACCTTTGAACGATATCTCCTGCGGAGCTAAGGTTGACGATGTGCGCGGTCGAATTTCAGGACGCAGGTTCGCGCCGATACGAGTACGGTATGGGGCATCATATGCAGAGACCAACAGAATATTGCGTAACGCTGATAATTTCTGCAAGGTTGAGCTGTTGTTCTCCGGCCATCGGAGATTTCAACCACTGCAGCAGCAGGACTTCTTTCGGTCAGCCATCAGAAGGAGAGCAACGACGCCTTTCCCGGTTGACGCGATTGGTTATCTGCCAGCCTTTGGGTCTGGGAATTGAGCCAAGTTGGGTCACCATGTAACGGAGAGACCGTCCCGTGGAGGTGTACATGGTGGTTCATGAGACACGACATCTTTTTGTGCATATCGTCCAAGGGGCCCACCTGTCTGGCACATGAACAAATACGTGTTCTGGTCTCGCTCTGCTCAACCCCTTGAAGCGAGCCATCCTGATTCTTACTTGAACATCCCGGTATACCTGATGGTTGTGAGTCGTCTCACTATCTCTGCACTGACGTGGTCCTTCAGACTTGAAACCTTGTTTCCATGGTATGACCCGGCCCCCCTCCCCCCGTTATGCATGTGGTGAACCGGGCACTGCACGATGCTTCACCCTCATTCGAAACTCCGATAGGTTCGTTGCAGCGTCTCTGACCTGCATATGCTCGGTCAGAGCAAAGTTTGCCGTAGGAAAATCCCTTGGAAGTTTGCCGCAGTTCGTATATTCGTCCCTGCAAGCATGCTCGCAAGAGCTAGCTCGGTCTGGACAAGGCAATGTGGTCGTTGTAAAGAGCCAAGACAGGTCAAATGCGGCCCGGTTTGTGTGTGTATGCCCACAGCTCCCACTCTCTGGAGCGACATACAGTACACGACCTTTCGATCATGGCGGGCCGACCGCTCGTGCGCGCTTGCCGCTTAACCGGTAACCATCCATTGTTTCCGTTTTCCTCCTACCGTGGCATTGTCAAGGATGAGGTTTGTCAGTCGAGTAACTCAGAATAGCCTTTTGCGCCCTCGAAAACTTGTTTTAGTCCCGCGTGGGATGAGACGGATCAGTCACGGTTGGGGGACGTTTGAACGGTTTACCTGTTCCATGTCCTTCCAGGTTTGTAGTGGGTGTTTTTCCCCTTGCCTACCGAAAATATCCCCGAGGTCAGAAGATTTACCGTGCTTGTACTTTTCTTAGTAGGAGGAGAGAAGCAATTGTCCTATTCTTCTAGACCATGTTCGTTTGGGAGGTTTAGAATTGTCTACGGAACGACATTGCCCGTGTTCTCCTGGACTAGGTTTGTTCTTGTTACTCGTTTCCTTGTCTCCCCATCAGGTCCTTGGTTGTGCTTCGAACGCAGAAAAAGACACTTGCTCAATGTGACCAATAGCTTTGAAGTAAGTTGGGCTGTGAACATTGAAAAATTGAACGACATGCGAAGATTTTGAACCAAGTAATGTGCCTGTGTGGTAAGAAGAGAAAGGCAGGAAGATGATGTAAGCAAGCATCTAATTTGCTTAAACGGAAGGGTTTTCTTTTCATGTTTATCAAATCACCGTAACAAAGTCGGTTCATTCCACCAATGGATCTCATTTGATTGTGTGTATCGTGGCATTGTTCTGGAAAGAAAAAAGGGGGGAAGGAAGAAAGGATTCCGGGGGTTATTCTCTGATGGTCCGTCGTCCAGGGCTGCTGAGCTGAAGAATGAAGCACTTGTGTCACAACCTAGGTATGTTTTACATCCAGAAACCATTTCTGGACCACCACCACCATCATCATCATCGCTGTTCCGTCTCTGTCCGTCGTGATTAACCGTTCGCATCTGCTGTCGATGGTAGATGCATAAACGACGACGATTCTCCCTTGTGGCGCAGTAGAGACGTTCCCCCAGGGGTCCACGAAAAGGATTTTTCTGAAAGAATCGACCGGCTCGAAACCTCGCAACGATACGAGAGCGGTCAGGCACGTCTTGTCATGTCCACCCTCCGGGGGGTGGATCGAATACCCGTTTCAAGGTCCAGGCCCATTCAGGAAGGCTTTCTTAAGCTAGGAATATGCGTTGGGTTGTAGAAAGAGAGAGGCGAGGAATTGGTCATGGGTGAAACGTAATTGTTGAATCACGCACGAATGTCGCGGATTCTTTTATAACAAATGGTATCGTCAACGTCATTGTATTTCTTTTTTTGTTTAGGCGTCATCTAAACCTTGGGTCCGCTCAATTTGCTAGCAACGGTCTTGACGGCAGCCTCTTCACGGCTCAAAATCCACATGAACAACATTTGTACGAAAAAGGCGTACAGGGCCAAAAAATATGTCCTTCGGTTCTTTTGTGCTCGAGCCACGGTATATGAACTCCCACCACGCATGGCCGAAGGATCTCCAGAGCTATCCGGTAGGAGAACGTACTTTAAAGACCGAAGCTGCAAAATGTTTATTAGTGATAGTCCCCCAGATCTCATCCCGGAACATTGCCTTGCACGCGGTCCGGAGGGGGAGGGTACACTTACCAAAAAGAATGCGTTCGCGTACCATGTGTACAAGAACAGTGTCCAACCGACCCAGTTGTTCGTTCCACTTCCTCCGGTCAAGACTTCGCTGAAGAACAAGGTGACTATCACCCCGACAAACTTGTAACCAGAATACGCCATCAAGTCGAGTAGTTGAGAATCGTTGCTGATGCTGAGCATGTACATGGCTAACTTGAGAACGATGATCTCGAAAAAGATGACCGCAATCGCCGTGCTCGTGATGCTGCCCAATAGTTCGGGATGGAAGGATCCTCTTATGCCCGCCAAAACGGTCGAGAGCAGAATGTAGGTTATTAACGCCATGATCGGAATGTACATGTCTGGAGAGTTGAGGTCGTCGCGGGGAGGGAGGTAATTGAACGAGTAGGACTGTTGGGTCATGGTGCCGTCTGCCGCCGTGGAGGAGGTGGTCATCCTTGCTTGTTGTCGAGTCCATGGTTTGTGGCGCCACGGAAAGAGGACGAGGATCAACTTTCGGACGACGTACGAGTTCGACACGTTGAAGTAGTGTTTCAACGCGGATATGGAAATGTACCGGTTCAACTGCGCGAGACGGGAGAGGGGTCAGCGAATGGGGTCCCTTGGGTGAATCACCAAGGGTGCGTCGTGTTTCTACAACGTACGTTTTGCTCCATGTATTCTTGACCGGCCTTCATCGCATGTTGGCCGACTTGAAACGACATCTGCGCAGTCGGATCATTTATGAAGTTGAAGTTCTGCCCGAATCCTCCTGCTCCTGCTCCACCGGCGCCCCCGCCGCCAGCTGCCGGAGGAGACTGGTAAGGGTTGCCATAGCTATTCATCTGAGGTTGCGAACCTTGCTGGGACACCGGAGGAGGCGGTGACCGCAGGTTGGGTACCTGTGAGATGTGCTGAGGTCGGGGATGGAAGAGTTCGGGGGATTTCTGAGGCGGCTGAAAGGGTGTCCGTTGCATTTTCCCGTGAGCAGAGAGATCTTTTTTGGGTCTTTGCAGGTGGCCAGGGGAATTTGGAATCTCGGGTCTTTTCAAGTCTCACGAACGTTGACGATGCCAGTCTGTCATGTTCAAAGGTCCCTTTTAATTATTTGTTAGCGTTTGGACACGGTTTGGAGATGTTTCTCCGCTGCTGCCTCTTCGAGAAACTCTGCATTGCTGCTTTTATTTGCTCTCAGCCTTGCGCACCCCTGGCATTGTCAGCCTGACCACTCTCCTCCAGCGAAAGCTGATAGGAAAAAGGCTCTCGCACTGAGTTGATTGATATTTTGTCTTGAGAGCAATTTGTAAAATTCTAGTGTAGTGAGAAGGAGAACTTATGGAGCTAAGGCTTTCCGAAGATCCATAAAGCCAACCATAAAAGACAACTACTCGAAGATGTCGCGCCAGCAAATCCCTTGAACGTAGAAACAAAGTGATCTTCTACCGCACCGTAGCTAAGAAACATCCACCTCTGCCTATATGGCTTCCATTCATCTTCAAACATTCTAATAGGGCACTCAATGAGCAAAACGAACGTTAAGTCTCTTGGTACCAGTATCCTTGGTAGTCGACAAGTAGTTCGCTTGGTCGAAGTCGCTCAGAGCGTTCCATCGCTTGCCTTTCCGCTGATTTCGCTTGACGTAGTACCATTTTGCCACATAGAACAGTACAATATTGGCCGAAGTAATGCCCACAAGGATCTTGTTTCCACGATAGTCTGTGTGAAAATGATATCAGCACAACAGATCGAAGACATGGCTAGCATTATGCTGAGGTTGTAAAAGACTCACAGTAGGGCTTGTCGTCGTTTCGATAGATATTGACTGCCACAATAGAACCTATTTGATAACAAATGTTGTATACTGCTGCCGACACAGCTCTTGTACCGACACTGTTGGAGTTTCGAGAGATCATCCCGACAAGGATCGCATGAGCTGTTTTTGACCGTGGTTAACGACACATTGAAATGCCAGAAGATAAGCTTCACTCACAATAAGGCTCGCCGTTTATTCCCGTGAGCAGTGCGTAGCGTACCCATGGACTAGCCGTCGCCGGTATCGCTAGCAGACCGATGAAGAATGGCAACATCCACCAATTGCTGAGGGAACTGAAAATAAGACGTTCGCGGTATCTTTCGCTCATCCAGACAACCACAAGAATCTTATCGCATTGTCAGTCAGGAGATCCGTCAATACTATGTCTTGCTCACTCACGTTGACGAAGAATAGAAAATAGCCTGGAATTGCTAACATGTTCGCTTCAAAGACAGAGTATCCGAGAGTCCGTAGGGTCAGAGAGAGATAATTGGCAGCAGGTTGGAACGGGATGAATGCTGTGATTCCAAGCTTGTACATCAGCGTTAGCCATGGTCATAATTAGCGGTCACGGAGCTCACAATATAAGTTGGCCAAAGATCATAGTCTGTGACCGCATGCCAGATACCTTTGAGGTCAACATGTTGTCGGTTGTTCATGTCTCCCTTGGAAGGATCGTCGCGGAGAATCCGATTGACGCCAATCTTCTCTTCTCTCTCAGTGAACCACCCGGTCTTTGAATGTAGCCAAGCTGCTCGACCTCGGAAGATCTTATGGGTCTCGGCAATACTAGCTGGCATCACCAAGAACGTGACTAGCCCAACAACCACGCTTAGAAGACCTTCAATTAAAAGGCTAACCTGGTATTAGCCTTTTGGAAAACGGTAAAAGCCAATCGATACCTACAGCCATTGCCATCCTGCCCAGTTGTGTAATCCTCGCATCTTCAGAAGTCCAGCTGCCAGCAAAGCTCCGACGATCTGGGTCAGAGGAATCGCCGTCCAAAATATCGAAAGTCGGATAGGTAATTCGTTGGATTTATAAAAGTAGGAAAGGTAGAGAACCATCTCGGGAATGAACCCTTGTAGATTGTCAGCATCAGGTATAGAGACATATGTTATTCTGAGCCAGTAATGATCATTGCACAAAACTTGACTCGTATAGATATGACAAACCTCCTTGGGAGAAGCCCAGTAGAGCTCTTGTGATGAAAAAGCCGGTGCGGTTCTTGATTACAGACTGACAAGCGCAGATAATGCCCCAAATACAGATCGAGATTGGAGTCATAACATCAGGACCAATCTTCTTGCTCAACAGGCCTCCTGGGAGCTCGGCTGCAAGGAAAGATGCGAGGTAGATTGTTTGCCCACTGTTGAAATCGTTGGTGTTCATATTGAGGTCATCAAGCTATCGAAATGAGCTTCATTGTGCCAGCCATTGGCCGAAATATGGTTCTTACCATGTTGTCTGAAATCGCACGATTGATATTCCGCCGGACTAGGTCAAGTGAGGCGAACATGATCCAGACCCAGACCATGATGCGCCAATTGAGCTTGGAATAACTGTCAAAGACCACAGACGCACAGTGCTTAGGCCATGATGATAACATACCTTCCGTACAAGTTTTTTCTCTTCGCTCGCACTCCATTGACACGTTGGATCAAATCGATGTCGACCCTCGTATTTGGCCGTCTCGTAAACACTTTGCCAATATTGAGCATTCTCGGGCGCACTGAAGGGGTGTTGCTGAGTTGATCCAAGCCATGTATCTTTGTTACTGCTCTGGTCGTCCTCGATATCAAAAGGGACCGTAGCCCCCATCTCAATACCTTTAGATTCTTCGTTTTTGGCCATTTCGGATGTATGAGTGCTTTTCTCATCCATACTATTTGAAGATGAACAGTAGAGATACTATATTGAGTGAACTCTATACCGGATGAAAATGTTGATATATTAGTAGTATGTGGTGTGAAGACCCTGGGAGATCTTATAGGTTTCTGCATATCGCAACGAGCCTCTTTCTCTGCTTTCGCTGCAGATAGCTTTATCGGTTGGTTGAGTGCACCAAAACACAGCTGTATCACGCAATATCTCTGGAAATGACGGAAAGACCAGAAAAGTCCTTGATTGCACCAAGGAACACGGCAGACCGTCGTGGGTTGAGGTCAGCATACGGGCCTGTACTTCTTCCCTCACGGGGGCTCCAAAGCCTCGAAGGTTAGGGAGTCTCCACTTCAATTTTCCGCCTTACGATTTAGGTAGCGGTATTATGGTTGAAGGGTATAATCTTTCGGGGTGAAACTCCATGGGAGAAGAATCCTTGCACCTCGACAGCCATATCATGCCAATGAACGGAGTGGATCTCCGACGACGTGGAATCTTGACACTAACGGACTTGGACTCCTAAGCCTTGGATCCACATTTGCTGGCTTATCGCAATGCTTTGCTCGTGAGTCGGCAACACCTTGAATTGACTCAGATCAAGGCGGTCCGTCAGGCTTGGTATTCTTGCACTTGGCTCACTGGGAAGATTACGATAGCTTTCTCCCTTGAGGTTCAAACAAGCACTTGATACTGCGGAATTGCACGAATCAACTCCAGGATCAGAAACATCAGCCATAATTTAGATACCAACTTTAATATTTTATCTCAACGGCTAAGACAGTACTGCAAGAACGTAATCTATCCGAGAAACTAAGAGGCTCGCCCTTTTTGGCCGATGTTCTCTGAGAAGCTGTATCAAGTTGATTTGACCATCGCTCAAGCACTTCAAGTGTTGTATGTCACTAAGATCGATGGAGACTTTTCCCTTTGGCGAAGAATGCAGATATCAGTGCGACTGCCGCAACTGCCGTATTCGCAATGAACGCATATCGAAGTGCTGTGTAATAGACATGACGGGCGGCCAATTGAACGTCGGGTGGGAGTGTCTTGAGCACAGATACAGAGTGCCGAATCTCGTCAATGAGCTGTGCCAATCTGGGTTAGCAGATGTAATTCATTGATTGTCCGAAGGCTGCTTACTTTGTCTTGGTTTGGCATCCCGTGAAGCGCCGACGGCAGCTCTTGTGCGAGGATGTTTTGTATCAATGTAGATGACGCCGCAACACCCCAGACCGTACCCATGGAGCGAAAGAGATATACCATTGAGGTAGAAACGGCTTGCTCTACAGAGGGTAAGCTGAAGCACCATACCTTGAGGGGACGTACTCACGATCGTGATCAAAGGCAGCCAAGAAGGTGAAAAGGATGGCAGGGTACGACATCCCCTGTCCGAAGTTTGCTGGAAATAAGTACACCAAGTATTTCCACGACGAGTCTTCGTATTCCAGGGAAGCGACAAGGGCATTCCCTACCATCATCAGCAGGCATCCAGTCCGAACAAGCTCACTCAGGCGGCCCCAGCGGGACATTATGATGCCCGATATGAGCCCACCCACTGGTGTTGCCAAAGATGGTATGACAAGTCGCATCCCTGCCTGTGAGGCACTGTCGCGGAGAACAACTTGGAAAAAAAGGGGAAGAACAAACAGAAACTATTCATCCTTCAGCAAGTATTTGCCTAATTTATGGCAGGATGACTTACCGAGTATGCTGCCATGCCGACGCAAACATTGCTGATTAGATTCGATACAGCAAGAGTTCCTTTCAACATGGACATGGGCATCACTGCAATAGCTCCAGTACGGATCTCGACGCGTACCAAGGCCACGAGTAATAACATACTCACAAGCAGAGCAGTGAGTACTCGAAAATCTCCCCAAGGATAGTCATTGCCACCCATACTCAAGGCTGCCAATTGCGCAGAAAGCCCGAGAACAAGGAGTAATGCGCCACCGAAATCAATTTGCCTCCACCTCGAGTTAGATTCAGGAGAAGTTGCAGCCTCTTCATCCGATGCTGGGCGCGCTTTGTCGTCTTGTTTTATCACAAAATACCCAACGGTGAAGGCAAACATTGACACAGGCACTTGACAGAGGAAGCACCAGCGCCAACCGATGGTGTCTGCAATTAAGCCCCCCAAGGACGCTCCGCAGATAGAGCCAAATCCGTGAAGTACATTCTGGCAAGCTTGATACATCCCCCTCTCTTTGAATGGTATCATGTCTGAGTTTATGATGGTAGCCATCGTCATGAGCCCTCCCCCACCGAGCCCAGTAAGCGCTCTCATGAGGTTCAAGGTGATTATATCTGGCGCAAGAGCACAGCCCAAACAGCCAAGCAGGAACGTTATAGTGGCGGTGAAGAAGCAAGTTCGCCGCCCCAAGACATCAGAGAATCGTCCATACAGTGGCTGGAATGCAGTGCTCGTGATCAGGTACGATGTTGTAAGCCATGATATTGTGTTCGCAGCGTTGAATTCGGATCCAATAACAGCATAGGTCGATGCGGTAATGGTACCATCGAAACCGGACAGGAAGACATTCGAAAAGATCGCTAGCATATGGTCAGAATTACACTCCCGACAAAAGGCTGTCTGCTCTTACCAATCTCAATCCAAATGAACCCAGAACCAGGTTTCCACTTCTCTCTTGTCTGAGCTGTAGCGTCTGCGCAGCCAGCCGTGAGAGGTGTTGTCTCATCAGGCTTGTTGATCGTTTGCTCGGAGGAAGTCACTGTCCGACCACCTCCTCGAGACATGGTAGGATGAAGACCCATTGTCAGGAATTCACCATCTGAGGCTTCAATTGAAGAGAAGCAGGGGTGCTTGTTAATTTCAACGGACACAGGCCGCAAGTTTTGAAACAAGTGATAGGAGATCTTGTCGAGAATATTTGATGGCCAAACGTTTCAGCATGCTAGACAATCAACTTAGATCAACCCATGCTCTTCCTGTCAAAAGATGGGTAAATCTACAGCTCAAATTGATAGAAAAGTGGACCCCCGCATGGCAGTGTTAGATCTTGCGGAAAAGGTGTTGCATAGAACGTAATGGTGCCAGTACCTTCAAAACCCGCCGAAAAAATGATAGGAGACGATGTCCGCCAAATGACTTCTCGCGGCAACAGTGGACACGGGCATCAGCCCCGATGGTGGTGGAAACGTCCCCACAACGACCCCATCGAGGCCACGGACATGCTGTCCGTCTTGACAACATGATGGAACACCACAAGCCAGCTAGGCTATGAGGTGATCGATAGTCCATGCTCAAAGCGAATATGCCAATGGTTTCTTGGAGGAGTATTAGTGTACTGTAACTTGCTAGGCCAATTTCGAGGGGTTGCGACTGTTCCGTCGACAGAAGAGGAAAGCAAGGAAACAGTGCCGCCATATAAACGCCCCAGGCCCCTTGTCCAAGTTCGGCGTATCTATCCTCATTGCAACTGTGCAAGAGACACAATGCACCCGTCTAGCAAGATGTCACAGCTATTTGCCTCGACCTGTGCCCTCACATGGCTCTTGTCGTCAATGCCGCTGGCTTCGGCCAACTGGCGGTACAAATCAAGGCCAGACCTGGCACCTCCAACTCTCAACATCACTATCCCAGCAACAAGCGAAGTGGAGAAGGGATATCTATTCATGGCACCATTCTCGGGATATGCTGAAGGCACTCGTCATGGGCCCTTACAAGCAGCACCTTATATCTTTACCGATACGGGAGATCTTGTATGGTCCGGCTTCACTTACTTTTCGATCTGGGCGACAAACTTCCAAGCCGCGAAATACAAGGGGCGAGACGTACTTTTCTGCTTCGAAGGTAGCCACAACGCGGCCTATGGTCACGGACACGGACATACGACCTTCTTGGATCAGAACTATGAGACTATCCGAGAGCTTCGAGCTGGCAACCACCGCTTGACAGACAAACACGAGTTCCACATCATCAACGAAGAGACTGCTTTAATTCAAATCTACCATCCCGTACCCTACGACCTGAGTCCATATGGTGGCGGCGAGCAGCAACAATGGATCGTCGACGCTAGATTTCAAGGTGAGTGGTACTCCCATCGACTTGAGCGCATTCCAGTTGACATGAAATTCAGAACTCGATATCGAGACTGGTGAAGTACTATTCGAATGGAGTAGTTTGGATCACGTTGATCCGTCAGGTACGTACAAGTAGGCCATACTGTCAGGGGTTTGGGAGAGATTGACGCAAAAACAGAGGGTTACCTTCCCTTGAATCCTGGACAGGCCGGTGCCGGTTACAACAGCTCTGACGCCTGGGACTACTTCCACATCAACTCGGTCGATAAAGACGATGAAGGAAACTACCTGATCTCGGCTCGAGACGCCAATGCTGCGTACAAGATCAATGGCACCACGGGAGAAATTATCTGGCAACTCTCCGGCAAGTCATCCAGCTTCAAGATGGGCGATGAAGTCGAGTTCGCCTTCCAACATCATGCTCGCTTCCAGGGTCGAAACGAAGACGGCACGAAAGAGATCATCAGTATCTACGACAACTCGGCACACGGTACAGAGAACGGAGGCGGTCACGAGGTCCACTTCTACCACATTTCCCGTGGCAAAATCATCGAAGTGGACACCAAATCCTGGGAGGCGACTATCGTGCAGGCCTTCCACCCCCCGGACGATCTGCTGTCCAAATCACAGGGTTCTACTCAGGTGCTGCCAAACGGGAACGTCCTGGTCAACTGGGGCTCTGAAGGTGCGATGACGGAGTTCAAGGCCGACGGCACACCGATCTTCCACACCTACATGGACTCTGGCTTCCTGGGTCTCGGTGTCGAGAACTATCGAGGATTCCGCTACAACTGGACCGGTATTCCTAACGAAGCACCGGCCATTGTTGCTCTCGAAGACGGCAATTCTACCAACATCTACGTCTCCTGGAATGGTGATACACGCACCAAAGTGTGGCGCTTCTATGAAGTCAAGGATGAGCGTCGTTCGTACTTGGGTGAATCCAGACGCGAGAGTTTCGAGACCGAGCTGAAACTCGATCGTGCCAATGTGAAGAGCGTACAAGCCGAAGCACTGGATGCCGAAGGTAGTGTGCTTGTTGACACGTCAAAGGTGAAGCCAGAAATAATGATCCACGAGTACAAGGGACAGGGCAGAAAGACACAAGAGAAATCCGGTCTCATTCCATGGCTCACGTTCAAAGGCCAGAAGTTTTTCAGAAGTAAGGATCTTTGAGTTATCAAGCAGGATGCCTGGGGAAATAGGGACGGGTAATGCGCAGTCTGGCATCTGCATATGTAGTAGTCCCTTGGGACTGAAAGTCTTAGAATTCACATCTTGAAGTTCTTCTTAGGTCTTGTCTGAAACTTGCTAGCCCGAGCGAAAAATACTCAATTGATAGGTGCATGCACGTGTTTGCTTGAGGCTCGCAATACACTGTGTAAAATGGTCAATAGGCGCGAGGCTGTCCAATCAAGAGCAAGATTTCGAATTTCGGGGTTGCACCCCGTGGTGGGGCGATTGCGTGCTTATCAGGGAGTGCAGGCGGTATATCAACATCGTCTCATGCCTCCATTGTTTCTTTTCCCTCTTCTGCATATCTTCGTGTCTCTTGAGAGAAATCACTCCTGAGGCGTCTTTCGTGCTCCTCCCAAATCTATTGTGCTGACCCTGACCATCAAGTCCATCCCAAATGCACCGGAGCGGGGAGAAAAGGATATCGTAAGTGGGCCTGATGTTCAGGCCTGGATAAGTAACTAGACTGACATTTACGTACCTCAAAAAGATGCAAGCGATGTCAGACACGAAAGGTACGTACAGATTCATTCTGCGAAAGCGTCGCGTCATCTTTCTAACATATGGGGGGAGAAACAGATTAGATGTTCCCGAACCACACCCTGTCGTAGCTGTGCAACCGCTGGGGTCAAGTGCGAATTCCGATCGGATGATTGGAAGCGCGTCCCTGTCTCCCAAGAGTACGTGACTGCGCTGGAAGGCCGGGTGGCCAGTCTAGAGTCGTTCTTGTCAAACATAAAGACCTCGACGGGCGACCAGCGCGACGAAATCATCAGTAGCATTGACGTCGACGACCACTTGCCCACCAGGGTCGACGACCGCACACGCCCAGCGACTTTGTCCTTTGAGGACGTCGAAACATTCACACCACCGGGACACTGGGACAGAACCGCAGAAGGTGATGAAGCACTCCATGTGTTCGTGGGACGTTTGTTCCCTTGCTAACATTGCTGCAAAAGGCTTTTCAATCTTCCATCGAGCGGGTAGCGCCTACGGTACGGGACTGATTCAATCATGCCCATCGTCCCCACAGCCGGTGTCCAATACGTGGGTACACAGCAACATCTCCGGTATACCTGGTCTCGTGGTGGATGAATGTATCGATCTGTTCTTCCAATGGCAACGACCTTTTTGTCGGATACTGGATAGAGATTCGATCCCGTCCCGCACGGGCAACTTCACGGGGCCCCTTTCCGGACTCGTCCATGCCGTCTGTGCCCTGGGAGCTCTCATGTCTCACGACCAGAACATCAAGCATTTGGCGCCGTTGTTCATTGCCGCCGCGGAAAATGAGATCGCAAAGTCATTCCACACCCTCGACGTGACGACCACTCAAACTTTCCTGTTGTGCGCGGTTTTCGAGAGTGGAAGGGGAAACGTGTCCAAAGGTTGGATGTATTCGGGTACGTGTACAGTCTGCAAGGCGTTCACCCCGCGCGCCTCCAAGGTAGGCATGTCACTTACTTGCAACGCCAGGCGTGGCTCTCCGTATGGCCGAAGCTCTTGGTATCCACGAGGATCACCTACCACCACCACCACCACCACCACCACCACCACCTGTCTCGGAGACAGGACCCTCAGGTACGCTGCCCGTCGACTTTGAGTCGCGGCGGCGTATGTCTCTAACCCTAGCTATATCCGATAAGTTCCCACCATTTCCTTGACAATGGCAGACTTCACTAACTCAAACCCCCCAGGATGTTGAGTCTCTTCTTCGGTCAGACGCCGATGATGAATAATCCGGTCGAATGCGATCTGGACGCGAAGTCGATTGAACCTGTCTTTGCTGCCCCGGCAGCTCCCGACGATGCAACCGCCGCCTACCGGAGTTCACCTCAGACTACACCTCCGCAGATGATGCCGAGTTGCCCGTCTGATGATGATGACGACTCGGGAGGCTTTTACAGTCTTCTACTCCAGAAACAGGCACAACTTGCAGCAATTATAGGAGATCTTCAAAATCACACATACTTGTCAAGGCGGCGGAAACCTTCCCGATGGAGCGAGGCTGTAAATGGAACAGTCCACAACAAACTAAACGCTCGTCTACTAGGCTGGTACAATTCTTTACCCAGCGAACTGCGTTGGAGTAGGTGGACCTCGAATATTGAGACTCTCGATCCAGGCCTAGCGACCACGCAGTAAGTAGCCCCCTTCTGAACGCGACGCCTCGTATTGTGATGTTGAAGCCATTCACAGTGTTCTCTACCATATTGTGCGGCTCGCATTGAACAGACCTCTGCTGGCCGTGCAGCAGCAGCACCACCATCATCCGCCACATACACAGCATCCGGCGGCTGTTGCCAATCAAGCATCAGACATTTGCGAAGATTCTGTCGAGACGATTGTCGGCATCCTCCGCCGATTCAGAGTCCAGCATACTCTGATGAACGCACCACTTGTCTTTGTGCACGGAGTCATCGCCGCCGCGGACACAACACTGGCAATAGCTTCGAGGAAATCGCAACAGGTTCACTCGCCACGCCACCTGCAGGAGAAGGACAGTCTTCTCCCGTTCCTGGACATGCTCCTGTCTGAGCTGTCCTATTCGTGGAGTGTCGCCGACAATGCCAGGGATGGTCTGAGGACGCGTTTGCAGCAGCAGCATCAAATGCAAATTGGAGCTCTCCAAAGAGAGGACAAGTGCTTCAGCTCGCCGTCAATGTCGACGACCACCGAATATTCATCCGAGTTCTCGGACTTCCAACAGTCGACGGATCTGACAACCACGTCGGATTTTGGGAGTGGTACAGTGTTGCCGCAAGATCCTCCGCCGTGGCCTGGGCCTGGGCCGAAACAGCGGTTGGATCTAGAGATCCTCGGAGCGACCGACTTGGAGTTTGACCTTGCAAACGTTTTTCAGTACGGTGGCGGCGGCGTGTCTGAAATGTACACCTTTTGAAAAAGCCTCTCTCCGTAAACATGAATGAAAACCTAATATTCTGGACGTCTTTCATAATCATCATTCTAACGATCCTGACGTAGTGCCGACATCTTCTTCCGACGTCTTTTTAACTTCTTTCACATAAGCCTTTGGTTTATTATGGATGATGAACTTTCGTCACACATTGGTAGTTTCGACTCGGCGCCCCATGCCGACGTCTTTCTCACTTTCGTGTAGTTGCTGCTGTGGTGGTGGTGGAGATGACTCTGTCACGGCGGGGGTGACTACAACGCTGTCCTCCAAAACAGGATCGACCTGTACCTGAACCGTGTCTGATTTTTCATCGGGCCTCTCCAGACCCTTGTCTTCGACAAAGACCATGGTCAGAAAACACAAAAACATCATGGGCGCCCACAGGATGAAGACGGCTCTTGCAGCATGGGCATAAGCATCAAGTACGCCTTCTCGTTGCTCATGGTTCAAGACATTGAGATTGGGTGTCTTGAATATAGACGCCGTGACAGTCTGACGAAATGATTCCGGTAACGATGGAGGCAGATCTGCCTGCAACACATTGGAGAAGATGGCGGCACAGATGGCCAAGCCGACAGCGGCTCCGAAGGTTCTGCAGAAATTCCGGGTGCTGATGACGACGGCTCGATCCGCCTTGACGCAATGTGCTTGAGAAGCGACGAGGGCTGTACAACGATCAAAGATTAGACCAACAACATACCGAAGTACTAGGAACAAAGACGGGCTTACTTGGCTGGAAGCAACAACCGACTCCTACACCCTCGACAAGCAAGAAGATAGCCATGGCCCAGATCGGCAGCGACCGGGTGAACAGGCAGCACAGGGCCGCGCCGACCGTCCAAATGCCGTACCCGAACCACAAAACTTCGCCGTATCGACCGCGTCTGGAAATGTACTGGCCAGATGCGATCGAGGTGATGCTCTGGGCGACGACCATGCAGACAATCACTCCCGCAGATGCCACGGGGCTCAGGCCGCGTACGTTCTGGAGTGCGATGGGGATGTAGTATAGGATGCTGTAGTAAACGGAGCCGAAGAGGAAGTTCTGGAACAGGATCATGCAGACAGCTCGGTTCTGGAAAAGGCGAACTACACATGATGATTGCATCTCCAACGTCAATCATGGTGATGCATGACACAAGGTAAAAAGGCCGTAGTAGAGACAAATGGAGGGGGAAAAACTCACTTGGCATCGTAGGCAACTGAGCGACTTTCCACTCGACGAGCACAAAGGCAATCAAGCACAACCCGCCGAACACGAACATGACTATGACCATGACGCTGCGCCATTCAAAGTAGGTCCCCCCGCCGGAGATGGGGATCAAGAGCAAGATCATGCCCGCCGTGCTGAAGAAGGACCCGATAAAGTCAATCTTGCGAAATTTGGACATGAAGCTGCCACTGGGTGTCTTTTGCGGGAGGACAATGAGTACAATGCCGCCAGCGAGTATGGCCAAAGGAGATATGAACCAGAACATGGCTCGCCATGTGGTCGTCTCGGTGAAGGCCGCTGCGAGGAACGGGCCGATGATGTTTCCCAGACCGATGCAAGATCCCAGAATCCCTTGATACCTACCTAATGTCAATATATGGTATACCAGTACGGACGTGGACGTGAACGGTTCTTTGAGATCAGAGTGTTTTTAAGTGCGCACGTACTTGCCTCGCTCCCTCAACGTGACGATATCACTCGTCACCATCATCGACAAGGCTGTGATGCCCGCGCTGCCCACTCCACTCAACCCTCGCAGTGCGTATAGCTGCGGACCATTCTGGGCGAACCCACATCCCAAATCACCCGCAGCGAGGAGCACAATGGCCGTCAAAAGGACACCCTTTCGGCCAAAGATGTCACTCAACCTGCCATATAGGACTTGAAAGGTGGTGTTGGCTATCAGGTTGGCCGTGGCCGCCCAAGATATGGTAGTTGCTGCGTTGAGATCACCGCCGATGGTGGTTAGCATGACACCCACCGAGTTCTGGTCGATGAAGGTGACGAGCAATATACATGCTAGTGCCGAGAAGACGATGACGACCTGCTTTTTGGGCAAGAGGTTCGCCTGGTCGTCGAGCTCGTACTGCTCCCGAGCCATTTTCGGGAATCGCTAACCAGCCAGGTACCAACGAGCATCACTTGGTACCTATAATGCGATACTCACTTATGGCGTCTGAGTGGGAAAGTAGATATAAAAATATCCTATAGTATCGTAGGCCAGGGAAAAGAAAAATGGTAAGAAAGACGACGGGGAAGAACGAAGCATTCGGTAATGGCTAACACGGAGTCAAGACTCAACAAGCTCATTGATTTCCACGTAAAGGGGACTATCAGCGCCGAATAGGAGCTCAAGAGGACAAGGTAGAATGCCGTTACAGGGCGTGGAGTGGGACGATTGCCGTGCCGCTTAGCCGGCATACATGATCTGCCCTTGATGGAGTACTTTGAACTGTGGTGCGGATGTCGGAATGAGATGTTTTTGACGAAGACTTCAGTCATCATGGCCGACTACCACCTACGGTCGGCTATGATATGCGCCTGGCAGTGGTGACCTACACTTTGCACTTTAAGGGATCAGTAGACATGGCACGTACCGGGTCAAAGCCCTTATTGCTCTGAGCCCATAGCGGTTGTGTTGACTGCGAGGTTGTGTGGTTGCGGTGACGAGGTTGAAAATCCTGCAAAACGCCGCGTCTGCTCGGCGCTTTCCCAAAGAGGGAATTCGTGCGGACAAAATGCCGAGAATCGCCGTGACTCCATTGGGATATTCAGCAAAACGCAGACATCACGTGCAACCTTCCCAATTGGCAATTGCTCCCTGTTCTCTGCAAGACGCAGAGAGCGTTCTCTGTGATGCCTATGATGCATATGTTGGCGGCGGAAAACGAGACATTAATTATTTGTACGGAGTATGGGGACGGATTCCTCATTGCACGGCTCGTCGTATCTTAGCTGTCACTATTAGTGTCGTCGTCCTTGTTGGTGTCGTCGTTGCATATGTGTAGATTTACAATAATTAGGGTGTCTTAGGGTGAGGACCTACAAGGGAGTAATTAAGATCTACTGTAAGTATTTGGAGAAGTGCTCATAGTTAGTTATTCGTGTCTATTTTAATAAACGTGAAATACTAACAAGGTGATAAAAAAGTATTCCCAGTAAGGAAGGCAACTCGAGAGCCGTTCGTTTTACTTTTTGCTAGTGATACGTGACCCCAAGTTCTCCTCGTTTTACCCATCGCCCTTCATTGGGGTTGTTCCGAGAGATGTAAATACAACACTTCTACATCTTTTGAATCTACAAGTAGGTGGTTGCATCTTAAGCGCAGGACGATAAAAGCCAGCCTGGTGAAGAAGTTCTTGGATATACATCTGTGTATGCAATATGGCCGCGTTCTCCATGGATTTCCCTGCTTCTCAGCACACTGTCCGCGTCCGACTGATCAACACCACGGCAGTCATGACGATCAAGGCTGAGTTGTTCATCAGGCCCGTTCAGAAAGGCCAGGAGTCGTTGAATGTCACGAGCGCCGCATTCCTGATCGAGCACGAAGCTTCCAACCGAAAAATCATGTTCGACTTGGGCGTGCGCAAGGATTATTGGAATCTTTCTCCGGCCGTTCAGAAACGTCTGGGGACCGTCATTACGAGTCTGAAAGTCGACACCGACACGCCCACAATTCTCCAGGACAACGGTATCGGTCTAGATTCAATATGTGGGTTTACTTCCCTAGGTGTCGATACCCTGTGTCGACGGTTCCATGCTTGCAACTTCGGACGTGTTGGGAATGGTGCAAGTCGATTTCTGACATTGGTATTTGACATTTAGCATCTGTCGTGTTCTCCCATTACCATTGGGATCACGTTGGCGACATGTCTTTATTCCCGTCGTCGACCGAGATCGTGGTTGGACCGGGTTTCAAGGCCTCACCTGTCATCCTTCCAGGTCACCCTGAGAAACCTGACTCATTCTTGAACTCGTCGGATTTTGCAGGTCGTCATTTGAATGAGATTGACTTCGGGGATGCAGGCTTACGGATTGGTGGTTTTCGGGCTCATGACTTCTTCGGTGATGGCTCTTTCTATCTGTTGGGTATGTGTGAAACCAAGCATCTTAGAAAAGAACCTCCGACGACGAGAGGAGAACCTCGAATTACTGACGTTGAAAAGACTCACCTGGCCACTGTGTAGGCCATATGTGCGGTCTGGCTCGGACGACGGGAGGCGACGATAGCACTTTCGTCCTGATGGGCGGCGACATCTGTCACTTTATCGGGGACATTAGACCGAGCAAAGCATTTCCCATGCCAAACCCACTACCACCTGGTGTACTTGATGGCGACCTTCCCACACCGTGCCCATGCACCTTCTTCACCGATCATCACCCGCAAGGTCTCGAAGAAGCGGGACAGGATGAACGGAGAAGCACGCCGTTCTATCTCGTCTCCGAATCCACGGCATCATATGCTGACCCCAAAACGGCCCAGGTGTCAGTCGACAAACTCCTCAAATTTGAGCAATCATCAAACGTTCTCATCTGCATTGCACACGACGGTGCACTGCTGAAATACCTACCGACGCTCAATTCGGATCCGAGCGCAGACATGAACGACTGGCACCAGCGCGGGTGGAAGGAGAGATGTAGATGGGAGTGGTTGAATGAGCTACCGCGTAGCGGGAAGCCCGGTAGACCAGCCCATGTGGAAGGATTCTGGCGAGACGGCAAAAAATGGGACAGACCCCAACCAACATGAAGAATACTTTACGGATTCGTAATAATCATTCGAATATCTTTATATCTTGAAGGTTGCCGACGCCTTCATGTCCCGAAAATTAGAAAGAACATTGCAACAAACACAGCGGTGACATTCCGCAACTTGCAGCTTACATCTCTCGTTCATGGCCCATCTCTCGTCTCGCATATTTGCTCAGTGCTTCAAAACCTCATTGATGTCGATATCCACCCCGACGAGCCTCAACAGGAAAAACATCAAGACGACCGTGCTCACCGCACTCAGGACGGCCGTGAGTAACAAATGTCTCAGCACAAACACCCTCTGCGATGGTTTGTATTTTCCATTGGCCAGCGCCGCACAAGGCCCGACCATTTTTTTGATCGGTTTGACCTTGTCCGTCACCGCGGTGTGCAAACCTCGTTGCATGCCAGGGAGACCGTCCATACTCCAAGCGTTTTTGTATGCCCAGTACCTTGACCACCACCACCACAAGTCAGCGCGACCATTCATTCTCATTCTTTCGTCTTGTCCACAACGTAATGTATAGAGTTGTATTGTGATGTGATGCAAAGTGATGCAAAGTCGATTGGAATTCGAGCTCACCTTTCGATCCCATCCTCCCTCTTACCGGCCTTTTCATTCGCCACCCTCTTTTCAAAAAAGTCGTGCAGTGTCGGTCTGAATTCGACAAAGTCGTACTTTGGGACACTGAACCCACAAGACGTCCCGACCTGATCGATATCGACCAAGACGATGGATCTCGTGCCGGGGATGATTTTGATCTTTTGGGATTCGATGACCTGGTTGAATTCAGGTGTACCGTATTCCAAAACGTTGCCTTTATCGTATCGTGAAACGATGATTGTCAACATTGTACTAACATTACCCAGTACACAAATGAAAAAAAATAGAACAACATATGACCAGACGCGGACGAAGACGACCGTTTTGATCATTCTTAGGGTGTTTTTGGTTTTTATCACAATTACACTCACCTTTTCCGTAAATCCTCAAGATTCGGGGCGGTCCATCAAAAGCCATAAACATGACCGTGATCCTTCCGTTACCGGGTTCGTGGAGGTGACTTGTCGTCTCGATCCCGCTGCCCGTCAGGTCCATGTACCAGAACTTTTTGATCACGACATCTTTGCCGTTGTTGTCGTCGGCGTCGGTCGAGGTGGACGACAAGACCTTCCCGGGGATCGACTTTGATTCTTTGATGACACCGAAAAACGGTCCCCCTCCTCTATCCGTCACTCCTTTCGGTGAGACGTTGATGTGCCCCGAACCACTGAGAGGAGCGGACCCGATCCAATAGACTTTCTGTTCCAGGAGCCACGTTACCAGTGAAGGGGGTAGGGTTTCGTAGAATACACCCATCGTCGTTGACAAAAAATAAAAAGAATCCGACGGAGTATAAGCCAAGCCCCTCAACGGAAACCTATCTCCCACCGAGGACCGTCGAACGATGATACACTCGGCACGGAATACAAAGTACGTTTAAGTGAAAGAACAAGAAATGTATGTGCCGTCGTCCCTCAAAGAAAGATCTTTTCTTGCAATTCTGAGTCAGTACTGAGAGTACGAATACGACGATACGTTGACGTCGGATAAGTCCTACTCTACCGTTGATGTTCCCCCGCGTCTTTAGTTTCGGCATCATCACCGTATTACAAGTACAAGATTATGGTACTCTCCGATATCGGTGGTTTCAATATCCAATCCAACATCACTCGTACTCGCGTAGGAGATAGCAAAACCTACATGTTTGGCTATCATGTGGAATTCATCACTCGATGATCCTCCTCGATCAATGCGGTACTTGATTACACCCAATGGCCATCACCACATTAGGTATCTTCCAATGCTCCCAACCATCATTGGTATATCAATTCCTCCGTACTCGTCCACTCTCGACAAGACAACATACTGTAAGTTCAAACACCAGGATCATGGTCATGAATTCAATCATACACAACTACTCCGGAATAACATATACAATCCAATCACCAGTCCCTTGACCCCTCTGATAGTAACATAAGCCACCATCTTGGTAACTGCTGACCCTCCAATATCCAATCCTAGTGCCTAGATTTTGGCCCTCTTAGCCTGGTCTGCAGCGTTCATGATCTCGTCTTCTTCACGCTTCCGCCTACAGAATTCCTCGAAACTGTTTCCTTCTTTAATCCAGACATCTTTGACTTCCCATGTCCGTCGATCCCATTCTGCTGCTTTGGCCGCCCATTCTTGCCAAGCCTTTTCATTCTCCTCCCGATTCTTGTTGGTCTGATCGGTGTATGGTTTCTTTTCTTCCTCGGACAGAGCAGCCCACATCTTGCCCATCTCGACACGGACTTGGTCACGCTCTGATGATTTGCCTTTCTTTCCGACCTTACGGTTCTCGGTGAAGCGATTCTTGACCTCTTCCCAATGTTCGCCAGAATAAAGAAGGAACGCATTGACGTTGGCTTTTGTTGGTTTGACAGGCGGAGGCCCCAGGTCATCATAGATGCGAACCCACATGGCTGCATCCCATGCTTCCTTCAACGAGTTGTCCTTTTCCTTAACGGGTCGAGTGAAGGTGCCTGCAGGAAGTAGTTCATCCCCTTTCCTCTTCCCACCAACTGCCATGTGGGTGTCCATCTGAGTCAAATCAATAGCAGAGTTGCTGTTTCTCTTGAGCCCAGCCGGAGGGACCAATGTTGGTGGGATGGGAATTGGTCCTACCATCGACTCAAAGACTTCATTGGCGGCTCGAAGACCCGAGAGATATGCGCCGTGGACAGTGGCTGGATGGGTGGCGATCGTTGCTTCACCAGCGAAAAACAGATTTTGAATTGGCGCTGCGATGAGATCGTAGTCACCTGGTCTTGCCTCGGCCGCAACAAATGAGTATGTGCCTCGTGCGAATCGGTCCGAACCCCATCGTGTGACGATCGATTCGACTGGTGGTGGCACATTCATGGCACCAAAAACGTTCCGGAGTTGATGGATACATTCTCCAACCAGAACCTCATCGCTGACTTTTTCGGCTTCATGTGCTGATTCACCAGCCATAAGTGCAATTAAGACAGGCAAGCCACTTGTTTCGATGCAATTCCAGAACAGGTAAAATTGTCCTCGACCCTCCTTGTAGTCACTCTGGTCGTTGCCATTACCGGTACGAGGTGGTCGGAGCAAACCAAACATGTCTCTTTCTACATCCCAGAAAGGCTTCTCAAAAACAAGGACCACCTTGTTCAAGAGTCCAAAGCCCATTCTTCGAATCGCATCCCGCTTCCACTGTGGCAACGGTGGATCGAACTGAATCGATTGTTCTTTCAGAACTCCGAGAGGAGCAGAAAAGACGATTTTGTCGGCCTCGATGGATTGACCATCCTCGCAGGTCACCGTGGCCTTACCAGAAGACCCAGCAGCGGGGTATCTGATGCTTTTGACAGGTTTGTGGGTTCGAACATCCAGGGGATCTGGATGACGCCAAAGTGCACGAGGCAGTTGTTGGTATCCGCCCACCACCTGTGCATGTTCACCCTCAAACTCGTTGCCAATATCTTGATCCCAGCCCCGGAGACTCAGCTTGTCAACATTCGCAGCATTCGCGTATTCGAGATTCGCAAAATGCCAGTTGATCAATCTAAGAGCATATGGCTTAAGGTCGAGATATTGTTGGTATCGGCTGACACCGGCGTTCATGACCGCACCGAGGGACTGATTGAGTTGAGACGCAAGTTCGTCCAACTCGAGTGTCTCATGCAGCTGCGTTGTCTTCCGAAGTAGAAACCCAAACTCTTTTGCTGCTTGAGCAGCGGGCAATTGCGTCTTTGTCTCTGTGCTTGTCTCTACCTCTTCTGTAGATTTATCGCCCTTCGCAGCTCGATGGCCTGCACCTCGGCGTCTCGACTTCTTGTTAGGAAGTAATTGATCGATCGTGCCAAGTGCGGTGGCCTCCTCGAATTGCTTGATAGTAAGGCCGTCATCGTGTGTAGAATCTCGCCCTGCGTCAATCAGGTCTTTTTCTCCCTGTGCAGTCTTCTTGACCGTATGTTTCAATCGGTAGTGCCCAGTTCGGTCGAGTACATCATTGTACAATCTTTCTATCATTGCATCATTTACACCATTGACTGGGGTGCCATCGACATCGTACAGGGTAGATAGGTCTCGAAGGAGGTGATAATCTAGGGCAAGTTGGCCACGAATAATGGCGTCAAGAGGGTTTCCACGGTCGAACCCAACGATGATGTGGGCACCCATCTCAGCGATAGGTCTTTGGTCAGGTGAGAGCTTGGTCGACCGCATGCTAGTTAGCGGATGTGAGTATATGCGCCCACCTATTCTGTCGCGGCCTTCCAGAACAATGATCTTGGGAAGAGCCCGATCAGGGTAGTGTTGGAATAGGTTGGTGAGCTGACGAGCAGTACTCAAGCCAGCCATACCACCTCCAATAACAACGATTGTTTCACGTGGTATCTCCTTCTTGCGACCACGTCCACTGGACTTGGTAATCGCAGGTGGGTTGACACAGCCGAAATTAATGTAGCCTCTTCGAAGAAGCCACTCGTATGCAAAACAGGCAAGACGAGTCCATCTTTCGTCCTTTGTGCAACCGATCGCCTCTTCCAGGTTGACGCTCACACTCGGGTTTCGAGCCCACAGCCTCAAAATTCCATTTCGAATATTGAGATAGACACTGACGTGGGAATAGCATAATTTATCTTGTAGTAATTTATGCTCATCTTCATGCAATGCATAAGGATCGAGCCTCGATGCTTCGGCCGCCGCAACGCATTGGCTGGCATATTCGGATGGGGATAGTCGGGAAGGGATTGATGATTTGGACCGGCAGGTCGAAGGTGCTTTCAAAAACATGTATGGGCTTACGTTGTTAGTGGCTTCTTCAGATTTTCCTTCCACTTTGCTTATCATTTTGGCCTTTTGTTCAGGCATGGATGGAGCGATTGAAGCTGAAGTCATGGAACTATTGGGTGAATCACGGTTGTCGCTTTCGAGCTGAAGACTTCTCAGGGTAGAGGCTTGTCCGGCGAAAGAAGAGTCATCATCACCGTCGTCTTCTTCCATTTTGATGTAGGAATCATCCGAATCGTCGAGCATAGGTTCATCATGACTGGGTTTATAATCAGTATCCAAGCGTCACTTTTATACTTGGGTATATGGATGAAAAATATCATCACCCATACCTCGAGAGACCCAGACTCGGTGCTTCCGCCATATTCACATGGGTAGTCATGGTGGACATTGTATTCGTAGGATGCGAAAGTGTTAATGCTGACGCCATGAAGACAACTGTTCAGATAAAGAATGGCTTGATATTGGCAATCGCCGATGGTAAAGATTGGAGTCTGAATCAAGAGACCAAGGCAGATGGTCTAAAGAGGAGTTTTCGATAGATTCTGGTTTCTGTCAGCACTGATTGTGTCCATGCAGGTTGTATAGTTTTTGGATATGGTACCTCTTGTGTGTCCGTGTACGTATGATATGCTGCACAAGGCCCGCTCCCGATGACTTATCCGATGTTGAGTATCCACGACCACGACGTTCTCTCATCGCAATCCCCTCCGCATCGTTCGGTAAAGGAGTGTAGGGGGGTGGGTAAGCATTATCAGGCCACTATACTGAGGAAGTGATGTCTTGAGGTGATGTGGGAAGAGGTTTGCCAGCCGTGCGGTGGTCGGGGCCACTAAGAATGACCTTCTCGGCAACGTCTGTTCCAACCGCAACTCATCAACGACGAGCTTCCTATTCTTTGATATATCATCCCGGAAAGCACGATGAACATTCTGCTATATCTATCTGCTGACAATGGCTTCTTATGAAGCCGCAGTAGGGTTTTTCCATGCGATTGGTCTCACAAGACTTCGACCTCTTCTCCTGCTACCCCTCATCGCCACCCGTTCCAAGTGGCCCTGCGCTGAATCTTGATATAACCAGATATGTTTGATTGTCCTCGAGGAAGAAGAATATCCACAAAACAATGAGAATGGCTTCCTACGGAAGATGAACATGTCAGAATATCGGCCCTTTTGAGATGCTCTCAACACGTTGGTGCTCCCTATCATGACCGGGTGAAAATTCTGCACCTCCAGCCTCCTGAAAATGTACACATCAGATTGGGTCAATATCACGATCAATTCCTTCACTTCACGATTAATATCCTCAGAGATGACATCTATGGTGGGTATTTCGATCAAGAAAGGTTTTTTGGTCACATCACCGTCAGTATGAAAATGCTGCGCTCTGTGAATAAAATGCAAAGTGGTCGTACCTGGCGCAGATCACTTCATATATTATGCTCGAGTCGTTTTATCTCAAGGTGTAGTATCTACTTCTTTGTCTTAAATGACTTTTCTATTGGTATTTTTTATCTGCTCTTGTCGTCTACGCATGTGTCTATTACAAATCTGATAGACATCCATTTGATCTGCGAGATCTTCCACCTGATACATGCTCGAAATACCATCAGCTCGTCCTCCAAATTTCTCGACACTGTATCGAATGATATTTCCATAACCATCCCACTACCATTTGACCTTTTGTGAATGACAAGAATGATGGTTTGCCTGGATGTGTTGCAAGAGTACCTACTCTAGGGTAGCTGGGACGTCGTTGAAGGATCCTCAAATCATGAATAATTTGTATACCATTATGATATTGTATTGTCTCGTGTAGCAACACCTGTATATCCTTGCGGAAAGCTGTATAAAAGTGCGACTTTCTCGGATCGATAGAGGAAGAGTGCAGGCACTGATAGGATCATATGTGGCGTCTGGACTCTGCGAATTAGATATGAACTGAGGAGTCCGTACTCACATTGACCCAGGACAACATTCACGAGGGTAGTCTAACAGTAATACAAACAACAATGAAGTCGAACTTGTCGGGATGAAACACATGACTTGTAGAATGCATCCAGTGCGTTGAATATGTACAATGAGTTGAGTAGACTGCGAAATGGACTCGCGACTTACATGTGGGGTCGAGCACCACCACATCTCTTGTCTCTGTCTCTTGCGACCCATCAATGAGCCATCCTCATTCCTCGTCAGGTCACAGAACTTGGAACAGAATAGAGTCCATCATAGATTAAACCCCCACGTTTTCGAATAATTCAAAGGGCATATACAGCAATGATGGAATAATGAGCTTTCCAATCATCCTACGGCGGGCCTGCACTCACTCCACATTCTTCAAGACATCCATAAGTCTTGGAATTGTCCAAGCTTCATTTCCCTTCCTCACAAGAAGCATGGCCACCGTCAAAGACTCAATACCACACATGATCCGCACCGCGGAAGACCCTCGGCAGCAAGGCGTGTGGACTGCACGCCTGGGCAAGATTGAGCAGGTCAACTCCAAGATACGATTGATCAGACTGAATCTTCCGAGAGATGGGGTAGGTGCCCCGAGAATGAAAGAGACATACGCAGATGGTTCCAAAATGACCCCATCGCGAGATCTCAAGAGCTCAACTCGTAATTGCATTTTTGCGCGATTCACTTGCTGCTGCCCATGAGTTTCCATGTAGCGAATTACGCGGTTCGGAATACTTGATATGATACTGGCTCACACATGACGCGATCTAGTAGCCGCCGCTCCGACACATGCCAGGACAGTACATCGACCTCTACATCCCCAACGTCGACGTGGTGGGCGGTTTCACAATCACCTCTCCACCCCAATCCGCCTCGTCTCAACAACATCATCAAGCTGATCCACACATCGAGTTGGCGATTCAAGATTCGCCGACCAACCCGCCGGCCGCGTACCTCTGGAGACCCGTCCCAGAAATCTTGGACTCGACGGTGACGTTCCGGGTCGGTGGGAACTTTGCGTACCCTCCACTCACGCTCGACAGGGACCAATGCGCAAATATAGACCGGGTAGTCTTCGTGGCCGGCGGGGTTGGCATCAACCCCATCATGAGTATGATCTCGGCCATGGATGAGATGGGCACAAGGAGCAAGTTGGGCGGAATGGTCAAGACAGTGAGGGTTTTGTATACGGCGAGAAGAGAACATTCCCAAGGCGGCGGCGACCGAGCGAAAAAAGAAGAAGTATTGTTCGAAAAGAGGTTGAACGACGTGGCCCGGAAATGGAGTAGCCATCAACAAGTCGATTACCAATATACGTTTTTCGAAACAAGCGGGAGTGGCGGTCCAGATGCACAAGAGACGGTGGCTGAGAACATTACACATCGGTATCGACGGATAAACCACGATGACCTTTTCCAGGCACTTGGACCAGAAGACACGCGGCACAACGCTGTCGTCTATGTTTGCGGGCTGCCGACCATGACTGATGAATTTGTAGAACTGCTAAAAAAGGCCAAATGCATGGACGAGAAGAGGGTTCTCTGTGAGAAATGGTGGTAGATATACTCACAATACAGATATAGAATTTTATACGTCAATGGCCATGGACATCGTATTATATGTGGGATCGTGTTGCCCCCATCCTGCTTTAACTTCCTCCCAGGGTACAATATATGCCCAAGTAGCCAATCTTTACTGAACACAATGCGTGCGTTATCTTTATAAGCGAGAACGACAGGTTCGTAAATCGTAGGGCGGAAACGAATCTACAGATCAACGACGACCTTTCCGCCGTCGACAATGATCTGTTCGTCGATTCGGCTTTTGGTATCTCCCCACTCCAGTCTTTTCCATGTGGTGATTCTCGCCTCATTCATGTCAAAGTCGAAAAATCTCACACGGCGATGATAGCCATAGTATCCTCCATAACCACCAAAGCCGGCGCCGCCCCCATAGCACATCCACAGTGCAGGCTTCTTTTTATCTTTGTCCAGTGCAGGAAGACAGTAGTCATTGACGTGATCATGTCCACAGCTCACCATGACAATGCCTTCCTCGACAAGAGCGTCCTTGAAGTTACTGTTGTACGCTGGTGCAGTTGGCGGTTCGGTCCAATTACCCACCCACTTGAGCCCGTCGGGATTTCTATACTCCGGAAGTGGAATGTGTATGAACGCCAGGTCCATGTGGATGTGCGTGTATTCTCGGTGCTTGCGCTTCAGATGCTGGCTTGTGGTTTTGAACCAATCGATTTGAGACTGCTTGAGCCAGTCATATCCATGGTATTTGTGTTCATCTGGCGAATATGCGTGCGTGTCGAGCATGTACAGCGTCAAAGCGGAGTGGGACGTCGAGCCTCGCCCAAGGATCTCAACGACGTAATTGCCGACACCATCGACGTCCTCCGGACCAGCAGTGGACAGCGAATAGGGTAATCCGTCCATGATGGCCATACTCGCTGCTCGATCCAAGTCGCCTTCGTCGTCATGATTGCCGAATATGCCGGCGTAAGGAATACGATGCCGTGCAAAGAGCTCGGAATATTTGTATATAGCTGTCTGAGAGTCGGGCGCGGTGTCACCATTGACTTGGTCGCCAGACAGAACGACAAAATCCGGACTCTCTTCGTCAATCAGACGTTCAAGAAATTCAAATGTCCGAGGATCGGCTTCACATTTCGACCTCTCGGGAAGAGCATGCCTGCATTCTCCTAGTCCTGTCGCAAGATGAAGGTCTGCGGCTTGCATGATTTTGAACTTGCCGTCCTTGCGAATTCGTGGTATAGGCTTTTCAACTTTAATAGCCGGGCCCTTGCGTACAGTCAGGCGTGGTTCGGCGGCGTTGCTGCCGCCATCGATAAAGAGAGATATATCTTGGACATTCCAGTTGGATCGCGGGTCTGCGGCATCAGCACCGAAGAGCACGTCCACTCCGGTAACGATCTTGTGTTCATCATTACGTTTGGCAGATTTTTTGATCCATATTCCTGCCGGGCGAGATTCCCAGCGTTCGTCTTTAGAGGTCGTGCCAATACTAGATGGTTGAAGGCGTCCTACCTTGATATCATGGACGACTTCTTCATGTGGTTTGAGATCGGTTTCGCGTTTCCGTTCGACGAGGAGGTAGGCTTTCGATATGTAGCCTTTATTGAGGTATAGGTCCTTGTTGATGCGGTGCCAGTATGCGCCGTCTTTTGTACAGCTGGAAAAAGGGTTCAACGAAGAGCATGTGACAACTGTGATGTCTGTTACTACAAAGCCCGGATGATGCGCAGGCAGATGATTGTGGATTGATGTAGGGAGGACTCGGTATCGGTTGTCGAGAAATATGATGGTGAGGAGAACGAGAGTGGCTATGACGCCCAACTGGATGCCGGTACGGAACTGTGTTGGACGTTAGACAATCGAAACTGCGCACAAGTTAAAGGAGAACTTACTAGTCTCCTCGTCATGCTGGCATGTGGTTTGAGGGCGATGCCCACGCTGGCTGTTATGTGCCTCGCATCAGCCTAGCAAAGACCAAGACGTGCCTTGAAACCCGAGTAGGGGAGGCTTCGCCACAATGCTGCGAATGCGAATTTGAAGAATTGGATATTGATGTGACAAGTGGCAGGCACACACTAATAAAGAGCATTGAAGCCTTCGAGGCTCTTTAGAACATTCTTCGCCTATGCAGGGATGATCTGCCACCCGTCGCCATTTCAAGGCTAGTACAATCTGGGGTTTCGGCAGACCTTCCCTCGGAAGCCGCGCCCAAAAAAGTCCACGCCGCTGGTAGATACAAGTACTTACTCATTGCGACGCATTCGAAAGAGAAAGCGAGGGTGCTGTGGCATGTCGGGGCTGTTTCGTGCCCTGAGAAAAGCCCTTGGTTTCTCAAAGGCTCCAAAGCGAGCGATACTTCCCATCCGGGACTTGGCCAAGTTTGCGGGTAATTCCACTCCAGACGACCTTCCGATGGATCTGTACTAAGTTGTCCAAGAGGGTGAGAGGGTGCTCGTAGACGGCTTGAAGCTCTCAGCACCACTTCAGAAGAATGGCTCCTCAAATTACAAGAATGGTTTACTCCCTCACAACGATATAATTGGCAAACCATTGTCATCTTTCTACATTCGAGGTCCGAAGGGAATATACAAAATCGATGCCCCTACACTGGACGACTATGTCTCCCTGACACCAAGACTTGTGACTCCAGTATGCTACTTCCCATGCCAGTCTCTGTGTAGAAAGCTTACTTTCAAGGTTTACGCAAACTATGCCTCTTCCATCGTGTCACTTCTGGACATTCATCCCATTCCTTGGACCGACGAGAAGTCCCCGGTTTCTTCGCCTCTCGAAATACTTGAAGCAGGCACCGGCCATGGTAGTCTGACACTGCATATATCGCGCGCCATCGCCGCCGCCAACCCCCCTCCTCTAAATATCCCCGTCCCTCAATACCAGAAGAACGAATCCCAACAACCAGAGCCTGCTCTAGAGACCGGCGTAAGGCAAGCGTGGTCAGAATGGAAACAAAGTCGCCGTGCTATCCTTCACACCGTTGAGAAAGTTGAAGCCAACCGCTGGCATGCCGAGAAGATTGTTCGTGGTTACCGACAAGGTCTGTACTGGCCACACGTCGACTTCTATGCCGGCGACGCGAGTACATGGATTCAGGCACAATCCACCCAACGCAAGTTGAGCACTTGGAATCCCTTCGCCAGCACTTCCGAGGATGGATTCCTGGACTATGTCCTTCTCGACATGCCGGGCGTCCATACACAATTACAATACGTCAGCGGTGCCATGCGCGACGGTGCAAAAGTGGTTGTTTTCACGCCGAGCGTGACGCAGATAGGTGAATGCGCGAAAGCAATACAAGACTCGAACTTACCCTTGGTGATGGAGAGAGTTCTCGAACTAGGTGAGGGGATCAGCACCGGCCGTAGATGGGACGTAAGGATGGTCATGCCGCGAAAGCACAAAGATCGCTCCAAACCCTCGACAACCGAGCCAGTTGCCGGTGTCGAGATGTACAAAGAGCCTCCACAGATCGACTCGAACGAAGATGACGACAGCATTGTCGAGAAAGCGGCACTGGAAGCGCTTGGGGATCGCTTGCCTGAAGAACAGCCAGACGAGCCGGTCATGATATGCCGGCCTCTGGTCGGCGAGAGGACGATGGGAGGCGGCTTCATCGCATTGTTCAAGAAGATTTCGCCCGAGTCTGCAGCGATAGCGGCTGAATGGCGGAGAGGCCAAACAGGTGCGTCTAGCCTCTGCGTTGTTTTCCTATCCCGAAAAATTCCAAATAACCATTCCCCTTGGTTATGATCATCATACAGTCAGCGACGGCATGCTGACCTCTTACAGGATGGGCTAAAAAGAGGAATCGATGAATAATGTTTGTGCACAGCTACTCAAGTTCGACCAGCCAATAGACGATGGCACATTCAGCATTACATGTGACACTTGTTTTCACATGTGCTGCTTCACACTGTACAGGAACATCTTGTGAACACCGACTATACAATATCGCATATTGAGTCTTTACGATTTGAATGTACCAGATTCAAAAAATTTCTGTATATATATTGCAAACCCTGAAAATAGAACAGAAGATAGCCAAAGCAAGTCTTGTCTACTCAACCAAGCCGCGTTTACAGCCTGGTGGTCTTGTTTCCCACTTTTCTCTGGTACCAGGCCCATCCCCTCTGGAAAGACATGATATGACACTGCGTCACAAAAAAAGACATTCATCCCATGAACCGGAATGTAATCATTTGCCGTACCGCTCCATGCTCCGTAACAAATGCAAGTCCTCTCGCCATTCCAACTTCCTCAGATCTATCTCAATGGATTCGACTAGTCAGGAACTCTTGGTTTTCAGGTCTCCTGACCGAACAGGTCACCCGACCTACATCCGTTCGCCCCGTTTGTACAACCCGCCAGGAGCATAGCTAGAGCACGATCTTTACTTCGCTGTTGCTGGGAAAGCAGTCTTGGCCTTCTCAAGAACGTTTTCCGCGACAGGCATGGCACGACTTTTCAAGGTCTCGGCCACTGGAGCAGCCTGCTCCTTGAGCTGGGCAGCCAATTTCGCCCGCTTCGTCTTCGCGGCACGCAGATAGGCGAACAGTAGGACAAACAGCAACTCGACTCTCTCCTTGGTCATCATAAGCAGACCTTGGACCAACAGACCCTTGAGCAGTTGGGGACCAATGCCCTTGAAGAGGGCAAAAGGGCCTTCGTGCTCGATAATATAGGCCATGACTTCTCCAAACGTCTTGAACGGCTTGCCCTCGCGGGCTGGGGGTGGTCGTGATTGCAGACCAACTTTGGCGACGATCAGTGGTTGAGTTGTTAGTGTCGCCAGTGATTTGGACATGGCTCCGAGAACTAGACTGCGGTTAGTGATATCCAATCAAAACAACATTGCACAAAGAAGTGTACGTACCGAAAGCCTCCCACGGATGTAGTCGTGCTCGTCCTGGGTACATTATATCTTTCAGGCGCTGATAGGCACCGTATGTGATGGCCGGGTTGACACACAGCACGAGAGAAGCCTTGAGGCCTCTCCATAATCCACTCCAGCCGTCCTCGCTGTGGACCACGTCCTTTCCAGTCTCCCAGAAGCCCTTCTTGTGGCCCTTGGGTTGTGTTTGTTGCCTTGTTGTGATCACGGCGACGGGGATCGTGAACACCTGAGCGAGAGCCCCTGCAACTGCACCAAGGGACAATTCAACTGCTGTACCCGGATGTTGGCCGGGAGTTGTCTCATATTTTGTCCACAGATCTCGCACCACCGAATACCAGTAGAAATAGGCAAAGTTTGTGGACGCAACTCCGGCCAGGGCTCCTGCAAGGCCGGAGTAGAGGCCATGTATACCCTCATGTTCAACAATCTTCAAGATAGCATCGATCGTGGACTCGTAGTGATGATGTTCGGCACTGTGATGGTTCTCCTGGTTCTTCTTTTTGATTTGCACTTGTAACCTAGTTTTCACGCTGCAATGCCCATTAGAATGTGACCATCAATTCGACAAATGAGAACATATCATACATATCAAGAGGATATACTAGGGCGTTGGCCAGAACCGCACCAGATGCACCCGCAATGGCGCTCTCCCATGGCGCCAACTTTCCCTCGCCCGACATTGCTCGGCTCGCTTTCAGCTGGAGATATCTTTATCACACCTATCAACCTGCCGCGAAGTAGAGTGCTGGTGACGTAGGGATTCCGTGCTACAGACTTGTTTCGATATCTCGGTGAGGATATGCCGCCGACCGATAAGAAGTGTCGGATCAGGTGGAGGAATGCAGTGTAGACCGTGTGAAGCTTGGGAGACGGTAAAAGGGAGATAAAGAACGGCAGAAAGGAAAACAATGGCAGCAACAAGTGTATCTAAAGAAATTCAATTCGGTTCCAGATCCTCATTCCCCCGAGAAACCCTTGCGGGATGACATGGGGGATGCCTTCGCCTTTCCCAGCCGCTCCGTTAGAGCTTGTGCCGAGGTAACAACTAGAACAGGACGGCAACTTTTGGGAGAATCTGCCAAAATCCGAACTATTCAGCGCCCGATCCCGGATCGTGCTCGGCATTCGCACGGCACGGCTCTGCGCAATCAATCTTACGGCCGACCATAGCATTACGGTCGATCACAGCTTCCCTCAAACATACGCACTCCAAGCCATTACATCAAGGTCATTGCCTCCTAGAATCCGATATATCACCGGGGATGGCTGCCAAATGGTCGATGCTTGAGCAGCAGGCTCTCTCCATAGAGAACAATGCCTCCAAGACTGGGTCAACGGCGGATCTTGAGGCTACAATCAACAGCGTTGAGCTGTACCTTCAAGCCCTCCGGCTGGTCGATACCCCTTCAGATCGCAAAAGGCTCGACACCAAGTGTAAGGAACTTCTAGCACGAGCTGAAAAGATCAAGAATGGATCATATACCTGTTCGACGTCGTCCAACAGGGTCCTGGTCAGACGTGAACTCAAGGCGCCTGTTTCGGCTCGCAAGCTTACAACAAGAGAAAACATCATAATTCTCGAGGGCTCAAAATTGAATGGTTTTATTTTCAAGCCTTGGACAAGTGCACCTGGTCCCGATGAATTCCTGCTACGAGAAGGGCAAGAACCATTCACTGATTCGCCGCTTCTTCCACTTTCTTCAGAGCAACTGGAAACCTTTGGTGGCTGGAAACGGGCGGACGATGCTATTTCTTCCATGAGCAACAGAACTACTGAACAGCATTCTCCCGTCAAAGCGATGATGCACACTAATGAGCCAATGGACCTTGTCCAGGACTTGACATCTGACTGTTCAGTAGTCGCAAGCCTATGTGCGGGTATCTCCCGAGTTCAAGCCGGTCACCCCAAGGTAGGTTACCCGGTTCTATTTTATGCCCAATTGACATTAGAACAGATTCTTCGTTCGATTGTACACCCATATGACTTTGAAAATGACCAGATTTCCTTTTCCCCGAACAGGAAATATATTTTGAAACTATACTTCAATGGCTGTTGGCGTAGGGTCGAAATCGACGACTTTCTACCGAGCTCAAAGTCCTCCCGAGTGCTTCATGTCATAGACCGTCGAAATCCTGGCTTATTATGGCCAGCACTGGTCGAAAAGGCCTATCTCAAAGTACGAGGAGGCTACGACTTCCCTGGAAGTAACTCTGGCACTGATCTTGCAGTCCTCACCGGTTGGTTGCCTCAGCAGGTATTCTTGCACGATGAAGGAGTTGAACCGGATCGTCTGTGGGAAGAAATCGCCACTAATTTCACCGAGGGGAACGTGCTGATCACCATTGGCACCGGCAAACTACCAAGCCGCGAGCAGAAGTACCTTGGACTTGCAGCAGAACATGACTATGCAGTCTTGGCTCTATCATCCAACAAAGATGTTAGGGAAATTCTAGTAAAAAATCCCTGGGCGGATGGTGATGTCTGGAAAGGTGCGTCAAGAAGAAGACCCAATCAAGAGGACGGAAGTGGATCCACAGCAGACGAAGAAATGCTCCCTGGGACTTTCTGGATGGAGTTCAATAGCATGTTCAACTATTTCGAAAATATGTATATCAACTGGAACCCTGGCCTTTTCGCTAACCGGGAAGAACTTCATTTTTCCTGGCAACAACAAGGCCTCGATCAAAGCGGAAACATTCTGGTAGACAATCCTCAGTTCGCGATCACCGCAGGGAAAGATTCAGAAGTCTGGATATTATTGAGCAGACATTTCAGAACAGGGGATTATTCTCAAGAAACCGTTGGGAAAAATGGCTACATCAGCATCTATCTGTATGAGCGCCATGGGTGGAGAGTGCTAGCGAGTGGTAGTGCAAAGATACGGGGCCCTTTTGTCGACTCCCCGAACACTCTATTGAGGTTCAAGGCCACAGCACGGACTGCTTATACTGCTGTCGTGGTTTTCCAAGAACTACCTCCTGGTAAAATGAATTTTACTCTATCTGCGCTCTCAAAGGGCCCAGTCACGGTTTCGGAAGCTCGACTTCGTTATCCTGAAAGATCTAGCATCAAGTCATCATGGCATGGATCAACCGCTGGCGGCAACTCGGACTCTCCCAACTACCTGGCCAATCCACAATTTCGGATACGACTCTCGAGCAAGCAGCGCTTGGCGTTACTTCTTCGCGTCAAGTGCGACGAAAAACAGGAATCAAACATTCATGTTAAAATGCTGCTTGTGTTCAGCGATGGCTCAAGAATTGTGCGCCTGCGACCGAGAGATGTGCTCGCACACTCAGGGGACTATCGGCGTGGGAGTGCCTTTTTTGAGACAGAATTAGATAGTGGCAATTACACTATCATCTGCTCAACTTTCGACCCCAACCAGCACGCTGATTTTACGCTTGAACTCTACTCCAACGAGAATACTCCGTTGATCCAACTACCCCCTGACGGCAGTGGCCGACTCAGTATCAGAAGCGCACCAGCGGTCTTCGATACGAATACGGATCGACTTCTGGCTCCTCTGACTATTAAGAGGATGAGTCGTGTGACTGTTATAGCGCGACATGAAACGCCACCTGCAGTCGCACAGTCACTATTTAAAATGACGCTTGAACAAGGTCAAGGACCGTACAAGCAGGTGCTGGCGAGCAGCAAATTTGACAATGAAGAGTTTACTAGTGTCTCTGCCGGAATACGTGTCGGGGATGTAGACCTTCAGCCTTCCATGTGCAGCCCGGGAACTGGTGGTCTGTGGCTAGTACTGGAACGACTGAGTCAAGGGCAAGCTTCTCCCCGAGTTGAGACTCTTGAAGTTGAAGTATTCACAGATGAGAAACTCGAGATGGGCCCATGGGGTTTGGGAGAAGGGTAGGCTGAAACCTTTTAGAGATACTTTGCAATGCACATCTTCGACATCGGTTAGTATCACATTCCCTGGCTGCTCCTCGTTCAAGTTGAACGAAAACTGCATATCCCGGTTATTGCGTTGCGCACTACCAAAAAATAGGGTGGAGTACGTCATACTCTTAGCGCTATCGCAAGTCGTAATATGAAGTCGACAACATGTCAATAGAATAAACAGTCATACCACCCAGGAGATAAACTCTGCAGTCCTGCACTACGAGCCCTTCAGACTCCTCGACAATAAAACTCGAGCACTCTGCTTCATTGGATTGCCAGGTATATTTCGCAAAGATGCTGGTGTCCCTGACCGTGGGCAAGGTCGATGCAGGTGTTGCGGTTCTGCTCACCGAAGACAAACGACTCGTGAGTTTCATTCTGCTGAAGTGGACAGCCATTCTGACAGCCATTCTAGATAGAGTTCCCATCGATACTCCTGCCTTCATCTATAACCTCGGGCTCCATTGTTGACATCACCGTAAAACAAAACTTCGAGGCCGAACAAAAAACGCACGCCGCATTCTCCTCCCTACAGAAGCAAATCCTGAACACTTATGGCATCAACACCCCAGCTACACCTGCACTACGACTGCGAAATGCTACCCAGACATCTCTTGTCCTCGAATGGGATCCTATCCAGCTCGCGACCACTACTCTTCACTCCCTGGCACTGTACCGAAATGGGAGCAAGGCAGGCAACATCCCGCGACCAATGGAACAAACAGCCACCAAGATCAGCGGACTGGCTGTAGATACTGAGTACTCCTTCTATCTCGTACTCAAGACGAGTGGTGGCACCTACACGAGTAACGAGCTTACTGTCAAGACACATGCCATGAACAATTTGACAGGAATCACGGTGACTCCTGGTATCTTGCCCCCACCAATGAGGGAGACTCTTGAAACAGCTATCGAGCGCATTGGTGCGAAGATGATCGACACGATTCGCATCGATACTACGCATTTCATATGCACTGAAGGCCGTGGACGTGACTGGGAAAGAGCCAATGAAATGAACATTCCGGTGGTGAGACCTGAGTGGATAGAAGGGTGCGAAAGAGAAGGGAAGATCATAGGCGTGCGCGGATACTATTTGGATGCAGATCCCAAGCAAAGACAAATTGGATCGAATCCATCTCTGGCTGGTCGGCCATCGACAGTTGCCGCTCCTTCACAAAGTAGCATTCCACAACGGTCTAAAGAGCCAGTAACATCACCAAAGAGTCCTGACAGAGAGAGTACGGTCAGCGGTGAGCCTGGACCTGAAGTACCACCAACGCCACCACAAAAAGACCTGCCACCCACCCCTGCTGCCGGTGAAGAGGATGACGACGAAGAGGAAGAAAGCGAAGAAGAGCCAGAGCCACAGGCGACCGAGGCTAAGGACAAGCAGAAGGCCGAAAAATCAGATGCAGAAGAGGACGACGAGAATGACGAAGAGCCAGAGGAAGATTCCTCGGACGACAAATCCCAGGACCCTCATACTGAAGAGAAACATCAGCCCCTGGTTGAGGACGCGAAGGAAGGCGCCGAGATGGAGGATGTGGCGTTATGATACAGATAATTAGGTGGGAAACCCTCAGCCGAATGAGTTGTTGTACGCCTTCGAGTGAGAGCTCTGATCGAGAATGCCCGTTAGAGGCTTGTGTCTTGATCACCAGCTGTTACACAACACTATACTCCCTACCTTTTAGGACGCTCCCACACACGGACACAGTATCGTTCTTCACCTTTAGAGGACCGGTGGACTCGTTTTCAGCACACACTCAAACGGTGGTGCATGTGGTAATCGGGGACAAGGAATTCTCGAAACCTGGATTCTTTTTGGACCAATCACAACCTCTTCCATCCTTACTCAAGCTGGCAAACAAGATACTATTTTCATCGCAGCGGGAAATCAATTGGCTGGGATTCAGCCTCGTCAGAATTCGATCCTAGTGCCTATGTTTGGCAAAGCATCAACCCCGGATTTTCAAAAGTGATATGTGGCTGAAGGACGAGGTCGGAGTATTAATTGGGAGGCGAGGCTCTGTTTCCCAGGTCCTATCTATGGACAGACCACGGGTTGGCCCAAATCTCATCAAGCTACGGAGAGACGCACGCGGCTGGGGAGAAATGGTCCCAGCTTCAGCCTGATGCAGTGGTGTTAGCGTTGTATCCCGGGCCACCGTTTGGCCCATTCACCTTCCAGCCTCGTCAAACCAAGAGCCTGGTGCCTTCAGCCTCGCGCATTTCCTCTTTCGGTGCGAATATTCTTACAATAGATCAGGACGACGAACTACATAGCCAACTGCGCCCAACCACTTGCTGACATCTCACACGTTTTCACTTCCATTCTTAGCCTTTCCTCGCCAATCTCGTGTCCGAGCGTAAGAGGGAATGTGCCTGTCTATCTTCATTTGTGGCTCGCACTGACCTCTCCGAGAGCTGTGATTCTCCCACCTCCTCATAGATCCCATCCTCTCTATATACACTGACTACTGAACACAGCGGCATTCAACAAGTATAATTAACCTTCGTTTTTCTCTTTTCTTGCTTCTTTTATTTCTTATCATTCATTCTCACCTCCTAGTCACAATCACTACAAGACTAATTCAATCAATACTACTTCTTACTACCAAAACACCCTTCACAAAACAAGTCCAGAGCACTTCAAAAGACTTTGGCAACTCGGAAATTTTCTAAGCCAAATAGCAAAACTTTACACCAGAAGACAACTTCTTTTCTATATAACACAGAAGAAAATGGGTCAATCAACGATGATCGCTGCCACCATCCTCGGCGGAATTCTCTCTTCTGCCATGCTTTCTCAAGCTGCTCCCTTGACCGTCCGCCAATCCGGCTCTTCTTCCACCACCTCATGCAACAGCGGCGGCGGATACCCCATGACCAACACAACCACACCGCCCTCGACCTCGGGTACTACTTTCTCCTGGGGCTCATACACGGGATACCCGACGTCCGGGACGGCGGTCGCGACCATCTATCCCGAGTACACTTCCCAGTACAACGTGGCGACGGGCGCGGTCAACTTCAACACGGCTCGCGGCTTTGTGTCCCGGTCTTACACCAACGGCGGCGCCGACTCGACGGCCATCGTCACCTTCGCCGTCCCCGCGCAGTACTCGCAGAACTGGTGCCGGGTGGCGTTCGGCCTCGAGGCCGCGGGCTCGTACGCCTCGGGTTCGCTCAAGGCCCAGCTGTTCACGAGCCTCGCGCCCGCCACGGCCAGCACCACCACCTGGCCCTCGGGCAACCTGAGGAACCAGAACATCGGCGCCATCGACGTCGTCCCCGGCGGCGAGGCCGTGTGGCAGGTCGGGTCCGGACCCGCCGCCACGTCCAACGGATTCTTCCCTTGTTCCTTGGTGGCCGGCCAGGTCTTTGGCGGTGAGGTCGTCCCCCAGGGTGACCAGGTCGAGATCTCCTGGCCCGCCGGTCAGGATGGTATCAAGATTATGGTTTATTAGTGTCTGTGTGTGTTTTTCATGGTCCACAAGCATAGCGATTTCGGGACCTGAAAAAGAAAGAGCATGGGAAAAGTTTTGGTCTTTTTTTTTGTGTTTTTACGAGCGAGCGATGGCGCTGGGTTGAAACACTGTTATTGATATTGTGAGACTTGGAAAGTCCTTTTTTTTCTCTTATTTTTATTTCTTCTGTATACTTTCTATAGGATATATGAATATCTATATTTCCCAAAGAAAATCATGTCCTCGTCTTGTGCTCTTAGCGGCAAGTCCAAGTGTATTGTCTTACTCCATTCCACTGTATATTAGTCTTCCAAATCAGGAAATATCTACGTGGTATATCATTCTTTGAAACCATTTCGCTTTACTAAAATCTGCGTCTTCAACCCTCTGATGTCACGGAGTAAATGTCATGTCCCTCACACCCGAAACCATTCCATCCTGATCTACGCCCAAAACCCGACACGATTAGATCCTTCAGCACCGACGCCGCCAATTGGCTCGTCTTGTACGGGCAGCCATGCGCGAGGGAATCTCTTCTTGCTGGTACATCATCATCTCGAGTGTCAGCTAGGGTCAGGAACTCGTGCAGAAGATCCATCAACGTCTTCGACCTCGCCGATCGTCATGTCACGGTAAGGTCACTGTCTTTGTGAAGTGTTGGGGGTATCAGAGGGATGAGGTCGGGTGTCACTTTCGGTGTTGGCTCGTTGCCTGACGACGATGATGATCCAGTAGTGAATCATCTGGGTCTGGTGCAGGGGGCGGTGTGTGCGGTGGTGTTGGTGGAGGGGTGGGTGGTGGCGATGGAGGTGGTGTCGGCGGCGGTGTCTTTTGTGGTCAAAATTTCAAACATCAGACTTGCTTTCTTTCTAAGGGCTTTGTGAATGAGCTCAAACTGTTGACGGGGTGACTTTACATTTATGTCTTCGTCCTCCCAACAGGGCGAGGGTCTTCCTTGGATCGTCAAGGTTGGGTGGCTGTGACTTGTTGTAGTACCTTGGTCCACCGGGTGGACGCTGGTGATTCTCTCTTCTATGGACGCCAAAGTGCCCATGGCTTTTGTGATATGTCCTGCACGCACACACGTTGGAAGGCTCAGGGTATTTTGGCAATATGGACAAGAAAAATCCACAGAGATGAACATGGTATTCGTAAACGAGAACCTGCATCAATCCAATCCCTTTTATATGCGCGGTCGATGTGTGAGGATGATGATGAGCCAGATCGGTGACGAAGTCGCGCTTCACCGTGGCATGGAATCGATTGATTGATCATGGGTGTGTGAACATCACGCAAAGTGAGATAATTCATCAGAGTCGCTTCCCTTCATGTCCGTTCTTGCACGAGGTGATTATGAAGTCGAGATATCATCTCTGCAATCACACTGCCTACCTGTTTAAACATCGTGACCTGTGCCACCACCACAACAGGCCTTTGCCATCGATTGTCCGAGTGAGTGGTCTGGTAAATGCTTTGTGCCTACAGGTTTTGGAAAGCGACTTGACTGAGAAAGATTTAGAGTGAGGGGGTACACACAGGAGAAGAAAATGATAAAGTGATGGTATATACGTATATTTACGGTGTGTTGTTTGGGCGAGGATAAAAACTAACGTCGCATCAGGCTGAGAGCCCCGTACAAGGCTGAGCTTGACCCGAGGTACAGCCTTTATTTTTAGCTCAGTCAGTCGATGACATCTCACTTACGAGTTACAGTGACACGTCCTTTACACCTGCTGATACCGACGATTCGAAAGTGAGTGAAGTATGGCGTTGTACTCGTACTAAGTATCAACTCTTGAATATTTCTTCTCACACATTCCAGTCCATCATGTCCAACGACAAGAAATGGCCCGTCAAAAAGGTGACACTCTCACCTCCTCCACTGCACGCTCTAGCTGAAGCCATCACCCCCACACTGTCGTCCAACTTCTCCTCGTCGTCATGCACGGTGGAAACGCCGCCTGATCTCACCCTCCCGCCATACCACCTGGCCGGCCCGGGGTTGACGGGTTCGCCTCGTGTCGTCGAGGTTGGCGATCCGTCGTACCTGGTCCGGTCCGACCTCGGTCGTAGGTACGAACTGCGAGCCATATCCCGCCAGACAGACATGTCTCCTACGTCCGGCCTGCTGATCGGTGCCGGCGCCGGTCCCTTCTTCGTGCTGGGCCAGAACACCGAACTGATGCCCAACTTTGCCTACGGGACCGCGGCGGGAGACTCCGGTGTAGATCCTTCTGCAGACACGATGACGACGCGCAACCGCACGCACTATGCCAAAATCACCCCGTCCGACGCCGTGGCGTGTTGTGCCTTGCCGGACAGCTCGAACTTCGGGCTCATGTGCAACTTGTTCTGCTGTGACGGAGCGGCGGGCCCGTGTCTGCACGTCAAGGCGCGGTCGCGGAAAGGTCCGCTCAACTTCACCCAGGCCATCCAGCAGGGGCTGAAATCGGCGTTCGGCGGCGACCTCATTTCTCTCGGCGGCGTGTTTCTCATCCGCTCGGGCAAGGCAAAGTTGCATGTCATGCCGGATTTCCCGGCGCAGCCGTTCCGCGACCACGACGACGTGGTGAAGTGGTTGCGCTTCTTCGACATGGAGTTCAATGATGACGAGCGGGCGCCCGCCGATGGGCCGCTGGTGTGTTTGAGCGTCGTTCACTCAGGAGACGACAAGGGCCTCAACTTGCGCATGGAACATACACACTGTTTCACGGAGGCGAAGGATGGAAGCTTAGAAACGGCCCAAGGAGGCCATTATCATTACGATATAGACGAGACGAGGGAGGAGATCGAGTACGAAGGGTGGTTCAATGTTGCCGAGTCGGTGTATAGAGTTGACTATCCCTGACGTTCGCTCATGGCCCTGACTTAGGTAACTATTCGGACCATCGTCGTACTATTTAGAGGCCTCCAGATATCTCGATGACACTGCCATTAACGTAGCTACTTTGCTCAGAGAACAAAAATGCCACTACATTGGCGACCTCTTCTGCAGTTCCCATCCTTCTGAGAGCCACGCCCTGCTCGGTCCGTTCGATGACCTCCTGCCCTTGACGGACAGAATTGTTCGTCGGAGTCTTTATCGACCCTGGAGCAACCGCATTCACTCTGATGCCCTGGGGTCCGAGTTCAAGTGCCATGGATTGTGAGAATCCGATCACGCCAAACTTTGCTGCGTTGTATATGGCATGGCCAGCGCTCGCTTTGAGTCCTGCCACCGAAGACACGTTGACGATTACAGATCCTCTGGTCAAATGTGGAATGCTGGATCTGGTCATGAGGTACGTTCCTTTCAAGCTTGTGTCCACGATCTTGTCCCAATACTCATCCGTCGTGGACTGAAGAGGTAAAGTTGTCGGGTTTATACCAGCACAGTTGAAAAGGCAGTCTATCTTGCCAAAGTCGCCGACAATGTTAGTGATTGTGTCCTGACATTGCTGGCTTGACGTCACGTCAAGATGGAAGACTTTGTGATGGGGAGACTGTAGATCTTCAGCAAGCTGCTTCAGGCCAGCGCTATTCACATCACACAGGGCGAGCTGGGCTTGGTCAGTGTGAAGGCGTTTTGCCACGGCGAGGCTGTCCTCTCAACATTCAGCAGGAGTTCAAATCAATCTGTCGTTGATGACTGACCCAATTCCACTGGCGGCTCCTGTGATCACAATCACCTTGCCTTTGAAGTCGAAAGCCATTGACCTGTTGACGATGGCCTATGCTGTGATAGTAGAACCCGGCACAAGGGGTTTAATAAAGGACTTGAATAGCAGCAACAGTTACAGCGCTCTTTCTCTCATCAACTTGGTGGAAATGTCCGAGCCAAGACATTTCACCAGGAACTGTACCGTATGCATCTAGATAGGTAGCAGGAGTGCACCGTCTGTCATAGAAAACACTGTCAAGACACATTGCTGGTCTGCTTGTTACGACGTAGTTCGGTCTGCCCTGAATCCCTTTGCAGGTCAATCATCACGACGACTGGAGTATAAAAATAAAATAAATAGTACTCGTACAAGTGCTCGAGCCAGTGTGGACTCGGAATCGGGGGAGGTGCCTAGAACTCCGAGCTCACGTTTTTTTGGCCGACGTCCGGGGAAGTTCTAGTGGGCGGGTCAGGCTTATTAAGGGCCTAGTGGGAGCACCTAAAGTAGGTGCAGTACAGTACAGTACGAGTTTCCTGTGTACCTCGTACTGCAGCTTGGCTCTTTTTGCTGTGGGTAACACCGACTTCGCTCGCTTGCCGGCCTCCATCCCCAAAATTTTGTCTTCCAGCGTTGACCTCTTGCTATCTCTGACTCACATTGCTCTTGTGAAAAAAGATAACACGGAGTAGTCTCTCCATGAATTAATTCCCTTCATCGAGTCTGAATCCATACAAGCCGCCACCATGGCAGGCACGCGCAATCTCCTCACCTTTGCTGGTAGGAATGCGCTGCGAAGTTATCGTGCACAGAGCGGACCTTCATTCCTCGACACTCTCACACCCGCCTCGACAAGATCAAAAAGCACAAATTCTACCTCTGCGCTAGCTTACAAGGCTCTGCACCGGCGATCTCCTCTTCCTCTTCCGGTGACCGACACCTCTCCCCAGTATGGCGCGGCAGCAGCGGTTTCCTCCATCCTCTACGAAACCCCTGTAGCCTCTCAAGCTCCACCAAAGAAACACATTCTCAACTGCTTGGTTCAGAACGAGCCGGGTGTGCTGTCTCGTGTGTCGGGGATCCTAGCTGCCAGAGGTTTCAACATTGATTCGCTCGTGGTGTGTAACACCGAAGTGGAGGATCTCAGTCGAATGACTATTGTGCTCCAAGGCCAAGATGGCGTCGTGGAACAAGCTCGACGTCAACTGGAAGATTTGGTGCCTGTTTGGGCAGTGCTTGATTACACCTCTGCCGCCTTGGTGCAACGTGAATTGCTTCTGGCTAAGGTTTCCATCCTGGGCCCTGAAGTTTACGAGGAACTGATGGAGCACCATCGCGAGATGACCAGCCAGGAATACGACGAAACAAGCGAAGGAGACCACGAATATCCAGAGGAAAACGCGGAGAAGAGACTGCAGGAGTTGGAAGGAAACAAGCAAGACGAAGCAAGCCTCGTACAGCGAGCAAAGGAAATGCTCGGTCAAGGTGTTAGCTATCATCCCAACCGCCTTGCTGCAAGCCAGGCCCTTCGACACAAACATGAGCATCTGGAAGCCATTACTCACTTGACGCATCAATTCGGCGGGAAAGTGCTTGACATTAGCACAAACAACTGCATTGTCGAGGTGTAAGTTACAAATCTTGAACTTTAGCTGGGAGAAGTCTAACTGTATCTAGGTCCGCGAAGCCGAGCAGAATCGATTCATTCATGAAATTGATTGCTCCATTCGGCATTCTCGAATCAGCTCGAACTGGTCTTATGGCTTTGCCTCGCTCACCCTTGTACGGACCGAACGAGGATCTGCAGCGGGACGCTGATGAGGTTGTTGACGCGAGCACACTCCCTCCGGGTTAAGATATTTCTATCGTCCATAATAGATCAGGCGCCGGGGGGAAGTCTACTGTAATTCGGTATTGGGGGCGGATGAGCTGTTTGATAGTGTGATTCAATGAGAAGAATCTCTCGTACCAATTCTAGAGTTGCCATCATGAGTCATGTGGATTTGCTGTCAACTTCACCACCTCCCTCGTGTAGATTATCTGGCAGTTCCTGCTTGGATGTAGCAGGCAGTAATGGCACATAAATGGTCTGTTTGTTGAAGCACCAGGAGTGGCTAGTGCAGCGTTTCTAATTCACTACAATGACAGAAACAGATGGAAAACTTGTTGACATCACAATTCAGGGAGATTTCATTCCACCTCCCGCCACGGAAGCTCTTCTCTGACAGTACAAGGAATACACCTCGAATGTTTGATTGTTCTCAAGTTCCCTTATTAACGCTCTTTATTGATCCCGACCATGTCATCTTGGCTAGCTGGCCTCCCTTCTCCAGGGGAATTTTTCCCGCCCACGCCCCGAGTTTCGAGCTTTTTGATGAACTTCTACAGAATATGGCCAATTGTAGGTGCTGACATGTTATAATATACCTCTGAAGAAAGGGATCTTTGGGTCTAGTCAGCATACATTGTGCTGAAGACGCTGCGGGTTTGAAAAAAGAACCACTGGATAGAGTCGGATCGCGTGTCGTGAGCTTCCGCTGATCAGGCCTTCTACTAGTTGTCAATTTTACAATGGACGCCTTTGAGGAGCCTCCAAGCGATGGGCAAGACGTCCTCCAATTCGCGATTCAACATTCCTGGTCGACTTGCATGGTCGATCGCCGAAGGCGCTGGGCCGCTCAATCTTCTCTACATCCTCTACACCCTCCCAGCAAAGCTGAAGCCTACCCCGGATGCATCAACCAGTTTCATGGGTACAGGACTCCCAGCACAGTCTGAAATCCTGGCGTGTTTGTACCTCGCTCACTACCTGAACCGAGCATTCTACACTCCATGGTTTGTTGCTGCGAGCATGTCGCCCATCCATCCGATTATAGCCCTCTTCATGGGCGTCCACCAGTACTTGAACTCGAGCAACATTGCCTATGGTCTAGTATATTCCGTTCGGAGTGATGAAGCCCAGGATCATCGCCAACTCTTTTCTTATGGCTCTGTCCTTGGCACCATCATTGGACTCGCACTTTTCTCCGAGGGACTATGGAGAAACATGAGCTCAGAGGCAATACTGCACAACATGCGGCGAGATGCAGCAAAACGCAAGGCAAGATCAGAAGGCAAGGTCGAGATCAGCTATGACAAGGTGTATGTTATTCCTCCACCGCAGGGATACTTTCGAAACATTCTTTGTCCACACTACGTCTGGGAATGGATTGAGTGGGCGGGATATTACATCCTCGGAGGGACTTGGGGACTCGGCTGGGGATGGCAAAGCCCAGCCTTGTGGTTCGTTATTGTTGAGGTGACCACAATGCTACCAAGAGCCGTGACACAGCGGAACTGGTACATGGAGAAGTTTGGGAAAAGGGCTGTTGCTGGAAGAGCTGCTGCTATACCTGGTGTCTTGTAGATATTCGGTTCTCAACCTACGCTTTCATATAGGGTCTTTTTGCCGGACGAGCATGTGAAGGAGGGTGAATGGCTCTACATAAGCGAAGACCCCAAATACTCCGTAGCCAGCACGATATTAATCCTCACCGATCATGGCGTGATAACCAAAACCCTCGGAAGCGAAAGGAACAAGCTCCCGAGAGGCGGCTTTGAGTGGTGGGTGTCGCCGGTACCGCAGTGTTAGGCACTTCTAGCCAGGTATGAATAGGCAGTACTAGACGTGATTAGGCATCCGTCAGGCATTGTTAGGTACCCCGCTGACCCCTCCGAAGGTCCCTTGTGCCTCTAGTGGCCAATCTTTCCGAAGTCAGCGAAGTCTGAGATGAGTCTAACTGAGTGCAGAGAAACATCCCACCAAAGATCATCCCCTGTCACGTCAACGCTCACTAAAATAATAATAACTGATGGATGATTAAAATTTCCATCTCTGATATTCTTGCTGTCTCACCGCTCTCCTCTTCACTTTCTCTACTTTTCCTGTTCGATTTACGACACACATCCTTCTCTACAGTCTCAATCGAGCTTTCGAGAGGATCGTTGAATCATTTCTATCCTACCCCGCCTCAAATTTTCACTCACTACCGCCAGGATGGTTCAATCGTAGGTCCAACGACCTGCTTTTCTTTATAAAGACCTTGCTGACTGAGCCTTATAGCTCCATCCTTGGTTTCCCTCGCATGGGTGCCAACCGAGACCTCAAGAAGGCCACCGAAGCATACTGGGGTGGCAAAATCTCTCAGGATGACCTGTTGGCTGAGGGCAAGAGACTCAGATTGGAGCACTGGAAGATTCAGAAAGATGCCGGAATCGATATCATTCCAAGCAACGACTTTGCTTTCTATGATCAGGTTCTAGACCACATCCAGCTGTTCGGTGTTATTCCCGAACGCTACACCAAGTACAACCTCGCTCCTATCGATGAGTACTTTGCCATGGGTCGTGGTCTGCAAAGACCTGCCACCGGCGGTGCTCCAGCTGTCGATGTGCCTGCCTTGGTGAGTTGCATACCATCATATATTAAAAAATTCCAATACAATATCTAATGATGCTCAGGAAATGGTCAAATGGTTCGACTCAAACTACCACTATGTCAAGCCTACCCTCCAGGACAACCAAGTCTTCAAGCTCTCCTCCAAACCCAAACCCGTCACAGAATTCCTTGAAGCCAAGGAAGCTGGCATCGTCACGAGACCTGTTCTTCTTGGACCGGTGTCCTTCCTGTACCTCGGAAAGGCGGACCGTGGTCAATCCATCGACCCCATTTCTGCCCTTGACAAGCTCCTGCCTCTCTACGTGGATCTGCTCAAGCAATTGAAAGAAGCGGGCGCAGAAACTGTCCAGATCGACGAGCCCATCTTGGTCTTCGATCTGCCTGCGGCTGTGAAGCAAGCATTCAAGCCTGCCTACGAGAAGCTTGGAGGTCTCGGAAGCAAAATTGTTCTCGCTACCTACTTTGGTGACATTGTCCACAACATTGAAGTTCTTGAGTCATTGAAGAACCTCTACGCCATCCACGTCGACCTGGTCCGCAATCCCGAGCAGTTTGAGACCGTCGCTGCTGCGTTGGGCCCTCAACAAATCTTGTCGGCTGGTGTTGTCAACGGTCGTAACATCTGGAAGACCAACTTCAAGCATGCCATTGAGATTGTCGAGACCGCCATCCAGAAACTTGGCAAGGATCGAGTCATCGTTGCCAGCTCCAGCTCTCTTTTGCACACTCCTCATACTCTCGCTAGCGAGAAGAAGTTGTCCCCTGAGATTGCTGACTGGTTCAGCTTTGCATGCGAGAAGGCCAAAGAAATTGCCACCATTGCAAAGGCTGTCACTGATGGCCCCGCTTCCGTCCGAGAAGCCCTCGAAGCCAACGCTAAGTCAATGCAATCCCGTGCTTCTTCAAGCATCACCAACGATCCGGCTGTCAAGGACCGACAAAGCAAGGTTACCGAACAGATGCACAACCGCAAGTCGCCTTTCCCTGCTCGTATTTCTCAACAACAGCAGCGCCTCAACTTGCCTCTGTTCCCAACCACCACTATTGGATCTTTCCCTCAAACCAAGGAAATCCGTGTCCAGCGTAACAAGCTGACCAAGAACGAGATCTCTGCTGAGCAATACGAGAAGTTCATTGAGCAGGAGATCCAGGCCAATGTCAAGATTCAGGATGAGCTCGATCTTGATGTCTACGTTCATGGTGAGCCAGAGCGAAATGACATGGTTCAATACTTTGGTGAACGCCTGAAGGGTTACGCCTTCACCACCAATGGGTGGGTCCAATCATATGGTTCTCGTTGCGTCCGACCACCCATCGTTGTAGGAGACATTTCACGACCACTTCCAATGACTGTCAAGGAATCGAAATATGCAGCTTCGATCTCCAAGAAGCCCATGAAGGGCATGTTGACAGGTCCCATCACTTGCTTGCGATGGTCATTCCCGCGTGATGATGTCCACCAGTCCGTTCAGGCTCAACAATTGGCTCTCGCACTTCGTGATGAAGTCGTTGACCTAGAGAAAGCCGGCGTCTACGTTATCCAGGTCGATGAACCTGCTCTGCGTGAAGGTCTGCCTCTCCGTACTGGCAAGGAGCGCACCGATTACTTGAAATGGGCTGTCGATTCTTTCCGCCTTTCAACTGCGGGTGTCGAAGATGGCACACAGATCCACAGCCATTTCTGCTACTCGGAGTTCCAGGACTTCTTCTATGCTATTGCAGCTCTCGATGCTGACGTTCTCTCCATCGAGAACAGCAAGTCTGATGCTAAGCTGCTCAAGGTCTTTGTCGACGAAGCTTATCCTCGTCACATTGGACCCGGTGTCTATGACATCCATTCTCCTCGAGTCCCCTCCCAGAAGGAGATCGAGGACCGCATTGCCGAGATGTTGCAATACTTGAAGCCAGAACAGTTGTGGATCGACCCTGACTGTGGTCTCAAGACTCGTCAATGGACTGAAACCAAGGCTGCCTTGGTCAACATGGTCAACGCGGCCAAGACTTTCCGTGCCAAGTACACTAAGTAAAAAAGTGACCTCCCAACAGCTTACATTGGGTCTATCCGGCGTGAAATGGTGTGTTTAATGGAATTACTCGATCAATCAACCTGATCTGAGGTCTATGGCGTTACTTTTGGGGGGCGAGAACAATCAAAAAAATAATCAATGGTGAAAAAGAAATGGTTGGACGGATGAATTGACGAAGCGAAACGAAAAAAAGTGTTTTTCAACATGATACCACTGATAGCATGGGAGCTGGCGATAGTCGATTTAACATCGGCGTTATTATCTTTTCAACACGGGCTAGCTCTGATACCAGGCAGGAGAGTTTTAACATCATGGGCGATTGAGATGATGATGATGACAATGTATGTGTGTGTTGTTGTTTTGTGTGTTATGGGATATGGGATATGATGGGTCACTTCAACAGCAATTAACTTGCACGACCCATGGTTTTTCATATAGGCAATTCATCTGACGAGTACCTATTGTACTTGTCGAGAATTGAGAATTGTGAGAGTAGATTCGATTCCTGCATATGACATTATGGTGTTAGTAAATGAGCATGAGTAAATTGCTCCCTTTCTGTAGACTGTCGATCCTTTTTATGGTTTAGAGTCCTATTTACGAAGAAACTCCGTCGGTACTAGTACAGAATACTAGTAACGTGAGTCACCTCATGAGGGAGAAAATCAGGCAACAGGCGATAAGGTAACAGTCAACGAGGGAGGGTGGAATGCCGGGGACTTTGTATGTCTCCGTTAGAAACGATAAACAGAGGACGAGGCTGGCGAGGCTACGCTACTCTGAGGCGGGGGGCGAAATGTCTCCGACCATTTCGGAAACATATTGATTGATACGTCCTTTTACTTCATTTGACTGACCCACGACTACCGATCAACGGGTATATAAAAGGAAAGGCACTGCCCAGACCTGAAAGATTGTTGCACAGTAGGTACATTTTCATCTTTCATCACTTCCCTTTCAACCTTGTGGTGATCTTGAACCTTTTTTCGAGCTACATCGACCGACACCTTTACTTCGGATTCATTGGTTACTACAGTACTTGGTACTCTTTGCGTACTTCGTGCTTCCAAAGTACACCACACGAGTTCGTTACTCTGTACAAGATACACAACGACACATATTGTACTCGGCACAGGCAAATAGAATGGCGGATCATCATCACCATCACCACCACCACGACCATGGCCATTCTCATGGAACAGAAGACGCCGCAGCCTTTACAGAAGTAAACAGACAACATTGGAAGTGAGTTTTTTTTGGACCTTGAGTCCTTTTCTCACTCTCACTCTCTCCTCGACACAAACTGACGTATATTTCCTGTTGTACAGTAAAATGGCGACGTCATACACGGCCGAAGAATGGCAACGTGACCTGATCAACAAAATCACTTCTTTCATTCAATCAAACATTTCATTCATTGGCGTTTCGTTCCTGGACCCTTCGGCGGCCTTTGAAAAGAAGTCGGAACCCCAAAAAAGTGTCCGGGTGTTGGATTACGCATGTGGTCCCGGTACCATCACCGCAATCCTGGCGGGTCGAGCCACCGAATTCGTCGGGGTCGACCTATCCGAAAACATGGTACAAGCTTACAATTCACGGTTCACCTCTGAAAAGGGTGGCGAAACAGCAGACGACGAAAAGATCAACGCTCACGCCGTAGTGGGTAATTTGATATCGACCGGCGCCGAGGCGGACGCGCTCGATGGGCCCAACTTTCGTGACTTTGACCTGGCCGTCGTAGGCATGGGTTTTCACCATTTCACAGACATTCGATTGGCGACTCGACGATTGGTGGAGAGACTCAAACCCGGTGGTGTTTTTATGATTGTGGACTTTGTCACCCACGCGATGGAGGCAGAGGTGCACCCCGACCTGAAAGACGCCGTCAACACCATCAGTCATCACGGGTTCGGGGAGGAAGAGTTGCGGAAAGTCTTTGCAGAGGCGGGATTGACGGATTTCGCCTTGGTCAGGATGGGTGAAGAAGTCACGTTGAGGGGAACATCAAAGAGGGAACCGTTCATGGCCAGGGGAACAAAGATTTAGTTTGGTGGGAGGCACGAGTACTCATCAAGCAAGCAAGCAAGCAAGCAAGCAAGCAACAAACATTTCTTCAAGAAGCATTGTCAACATGGCATTCGCATCAAAGGTCGATGGTGACATTATCAGCCTTTGATGATATTCCACTGGCAGATTCTATTCTTTTCGTCGAGCCCCATGATTTCTAACTCGGCAACGACACAAACTCCCTTCAAACGACCTTGAGTGCTCCGAGTCCTGCATCTAGTTCGTCCGAGTCACCTTCTCGGTTTTCTCTTTGTGATCGCCTTTCCTCTTCTCTTTCCTTCCTCTGTCTGGCCAATCCTTCCTCCCTTTTCCTTCTTCGTCTTGCATCTTTATCTTCCCACTGTACGGGTTCCTCGCCCGACTCCGCCGATGATGACGACCCCCCAAACCCTTCCTTTGCCATTGCTCGTTTTAGTTCCGCTCTGAACCTCTCTCTTCGTTCATGGTTCCATCGAAATCTCTCATTGACCACACCCGCACACATTGCAAGGTATTCTTCACCGACTATACTTTGTATCACCTCTCGGTTTGTGTCTGGTTGTTCATCGTTTGGTCCTGTAGTAGAAGAAGAAGACGAAGAAGGGCAAACGACACCAACGACAGTCTCGAATGATAACCCGGCGGTACGTATAGCTACCATGACACCGTGGTCGGGATCGTCCAAGACCCTCAGACTTTGGACGCCACTTTCGCGGAACCCAGAATTGACGGCGGCGGCCACAAGAGGTCGAGCGTGTCTCAAGGTGGCGCAGTGCACGTGTAGGATCAGAGGCGAGAAGGTGAGGTGGATCAGTCTGGGACTTTTCGAGGTTGTGTTGTTGTTGTTGGGTTGTTGGGGCGTAGTTGATGAGGAGGGTGTCAATCTGAACAAGGTCGTGAAATCTTGTGCCGTAGTCGAAGGTCCAGCTTGACCATCGGCATGGAGAGGTTCGATAGGATCATGAGAGACGTACAACCATTTTCCACCACCCTTGCCTCCGGGTGATGTCGCTGTTGTCGTCGTCGTAGTAGTAGTAGCCGTGGCGGCGGCGGCGGCGGCGGAGGAGGAGGAGGAGGAGGAGGAGGAGGAGGAGGAGGAGGAGGAGGAGTTGGTGGTGGTGACCCCAATCACAGGGTCTCCTGTCATCTGTTCATCTTCCCCTTCTCCAGCATCGTTCACGTCTCCCGCCTTCGCGGTCGACCTAGGTCCCTCCACGAACACGGCAACCCGACCGGCGCAACTGCTCGTCGTCACGAGGCCATCGTAACCGTTGATCTCTTGTATGAGGTGTAGGATCTGATGGTCCACCGTCCCCTTGGGTGACTTGTCGGTGTACTCGTCTTCGGGTTGCGTGAGCAACGACAAGATTTGAGATTTCTTGGCCACGAACGACGCCGGGATGGTCGACGGTTGAGAGTGTCGAGATTGTGGCATAAGAATATCCTTTTTTTTTGCTGCCTTCTCGATATGACTGACACCGGAAGACCCAGCCAGAGCCTCGTTCCACCGACGGATATCTGTGTTTTGCCCGTGTCAACGAAAACCACCTGCCACTGCTCAGCACTTGATGAGCGTGCCACCGAGAAACACCAAGGGTCACCCTGACGATGAATCCGATCAAACAGCGTAACGACGAACCGATACAAAATGGAAACAATCAAAGAGAGGCAAAAGTCAAGGGCAATAGAAGTGGTGATTGGTAAGTAATCGTAGAGTCTTTGAAAGCATCTATACTCCTTGACGTCGGACAGACATGAAAGAATTGGGACCCATTTTAGTTTGGGCCGAAAGAACTTCAAAAGACCGACATTTGAATTTATTCCGAATTCAACAAGCAAAGATCTATGGCTCGGATTAGATTCTAGCAAACATACTCTGAAGGTATCGCTCTCTCTCTCTCTCTCTCTAGCTAAATCTATTAGAGTCTTTCGCTGTCATCTCTTTAAAGTATATGATCATAATCAAATTCCCCCGAGTGTAGTGTTTCTTTCCTGAACGCCTCTCGCTATTGTGCTGAGTTCAAAATCGAAAATACAGTGGAATGTGCTGAAGTTGGTTGTCCCATACTATTTTGGACAGGAGCAAGCGCTGAACGAGAACAACATCAAGCAACTGGTGCAGCGACAGCAGCCTTTGCAGCGTCCGCATTAGGCACTTTTGTTGCTGGCTGGGTGAAGGTCTCTGGCCACATGAAAGCCTTTTCTTCCTTGGACGGACTGAGCGCCGCGAAAAGAGAGACCGATGTTTTGCTGCTGGCTCTTCTCCACATGTTGGCCCGAGGGTTAAAGGTCGTCGGCAGACCTTTACCATGTGTCTTTTCGTCGTCGATCTTGGCGATCTTGATTACTTCCCTCTGAATATCGGCAAACGTGTCGAATGGAATATAAGGCAGATTGTGCTCAACGCAGTACTCCTCCAACTTCAGCCCACGACGCGCAAAGAGCACGTCGGCTTCTCGTGCCGCTGGAAGATCGGAAACACCATCTCCGATGAAGACGATCAATGGAATCGTGCCATTGTCGCTTTGCATTGCGGCCATCTCTCTGTATTCGTTGATCGACTGGGCCTTGTCGTGGCCGAGGTGGGTGTCGTGTCGCCAAACAGCCTCCCATTTGCTGCCGTCTTCGGCAATCTTTGCGTCGTTGGCGACAATTTCGATGTGCTTGCTCATGTCTTCCCCGATGAAATGATCTAGTACTTTTCGTAGAACGGGTTTCAGACCAGCCGAAATAACGTTGAAAGGGATGGTATTGTTGACGCAAAACTCGTGAAAGGACTGGAAGTCGGGGTCAATATCCAGTGCAGTCTTCATGACCTCGAAGCCGTCCTCGAAGGGAACGTCTAGAGAAGCATACAGCTCATCTGAGACTTCCCGGAAAGTTCGCTCTCCGGATTCCATCTGATGAGCAAGAACGGCTCGTCGCTCCGGGCCACAACCAAAATTGTCAAACAAGGTGTGACCAGTGTCTTGCATGAAGATTGTTCCATCAAAGTCTGCGAGTGCGATTAGAGAAGGGTTCTCTGTCGATCATTTGAGTTAAAACTCACCTGAGAAGCAGATGATCTTCCTCTTGGTGCCCATGTTAGCAGTGTTGGCACGCTGGAGGCCAGGACGAGCCTTGACCTCCACCGGGGGAGGGGTAATAGCGACTGGTGCCATGATGACAATTGTAGGCGAACAAGGCTGTCTTGGGGAAGGCTGCTTGATAATTGTGGATGTACAGCAGAGAAGTTATGAGAGTTTGAGGAATGTACTGTATATACAGACAAGACAAAGCAAAACAGAGGGTGACGGGACCTAATAGATATACGTAGGAGGCGCAGCGGCTGGCATCAGATTGAAATTGAAATTTGGTGGGTGCTCGAGCGTTGCCGCTCTGACTAGAAGTCGAACCTGAGAGAACGACCTACCTACAATTGCAAGGTCAATCGTCAGAACTCTGGTCCCCCTTCTTGACATCTGGTCAAGAGTACGACATGGATTGATTGGGCAAGGCCGTGAAACATATGCATAACGACGCCATCACAGTCAAGAAGATGAGGCGAAGAAGAGGGCTGGCAGGAGAAGGTGGATACAAAGAGTGGCCTAGCAAAGAGGTGGCAAAGATGTTGAGAGGTTACAGATGGTACATGGGTACTTCGATGTCTGTGCTAGCTTCCTGGTGGCTCCATTTTCCGGCCGGTTGGCTGCAGATAAGAGCACATGCTTAGCTTCTGTACCTTGCTCGGGCCTCCTGAAAGATGGCTTTCTCGAGATGCATTGTGACGCCATGACATTGTCCATTGGTCAAACACCCCTTAGGATATGTCGGAAGGCCACCAGTCTGATTGTGAGAATCCAATGCGTGGGAAGGCGGTCAGCAGCTGCTGGGAAGGATTTCGATTGTGGACGTCAGAAAACTCCATGTCCACATACAAAGCCCATGTGTGTTGGCGTTAGTGGGACAGACCCCATGGCGAGGGATTTCTACTTGTGGAGAATGGGCTGTGTAGTAGCATGAAAGAGGCCGTGGTCTTCGATTTCGATGTCGATTTCTGTTGAGAAGGTCGATCTTCAAGTCCAGACCAAGATGGAGAGTCCAAATTTTCATCAGGCTGTGATTGTGCGTGTCGGAACGGAACAATGTTCCACCGTCCAATCAATTGACCGGGAGATCGACTGCGGCTCAGGACTCGATCAACACGGATCAGCGCAGATGCAACAACTTTCTTTGGATGTCTTTTTACTGTCTGGTGTAGCTCGAGGAATGAAGCCGATTGAAGGCGCTTCCGTCTAGTCCAAGCTTATGGTTCACGATTTTCCAATGATGTTGGAGAGACAGACCATGATGGTCCTGTCAAGGGCGCGAGGGCGTTTGGAAGGCAGTACATTGACAGACGTTGGATCAAGTTGATTGATGAATACGGATCGAGGAAAGATAGAAGCAACGGTTTGTCATAACAAGCATCTGATGGCATATGAATATTTGTCTTGTCTTGGAGGAAATCGTAGCATGAGTTTGCGATTCAAAGCCATTTGATGCATCCATTGCATAGTTGTCAAGGAAAATGGTTTTGTCATGAGTAGAAAAGTGCAGTCTGTTTGACAATGCCTTGCATTTGACTGTCTCCCTGTCCCCTTTGCAGAGTCGACTCTTAGAGATAAGATTGTACATAGCCACCTACAATCAACAGAGTGCACCGAATATCTGTTTGGCCAGGTACTCCGTACAGTAGATACTACATATTTTGCGGAACAACGGAGACTCCCCCACGCATCCTTGATTCCTCGGTATTTGGACTATTCGGTACGCTGCGGCTACACGCGGCATTGGCATCAAGGACCTCGAGTATACGACTCTCAGTTAGAAAGCGCGACAAGTTGACCATCAGAAAGATGTCAATTCTTTGTTTCTTTTTTTGTACACCACTTGCACAAAGTGTGCCCTTTGCGTCTCAGTGATACGAAGTGATATAGTGGCTATTTATAAACAATCTCGACGATGGCATCCTCCCTCCTCCCTCGAATAGCCCGGCCGACGGCTCACCTCGCCCACTATGCCCCTCGGGTCCTCTGCCCTCACACGACCGTCAGGTTAGCCTCGACATCGAAATCGAAGCACCCAAGCGGCTTCACCCCGCCGTCGAGAGAAGACTTATACGAACTCCGCGAGCGCGTGCAGGAATTCACGCGGCGCGAGATCCCCGAAGAGACGGCCGCGCGGACAGACTCGTCGAACGAGTTCCCAAATGAAATGTGGAAGAAGCTGGGCGAGGCCGGATTCCTGGGACCTACGGCGGACGAAGAATACGGCGGCCTCTCCATGGGCTACCAGGCACACTGCGTGATCCTCGAGGAGCTCAGCCGGGCGTCGGCGTCGATCGCCCTCTCTTACGCGGCGCACTCGCAACTCTGCGTGAACCAACTGTGCCTGAACGGCAGCAAGGACCAAAAGGAGCGCATCCTCCCGGGCCTGATCTCGGGCGACAAGGTCGGCGCGCTCGCCATGTCCGAACACTCTGCTGGCAGCGACGTGGTGAGCATGAAGACGACGGCCAAGAAGGTGGACGGAGGGTACAAACTCAATGGGACCAAGATGTGGATCACCAACGGGCCCGACGCCGACTACATCGTCGTCTACGCCAAGACGGAGCCCGAGAGGAAGAGCAAGGGCATCACGGCATTTATCGTGGAAAAAGAATTTACCGGCTTCAGTGTGGCGAGGAAGTTGGACAAGCTCGGCATGCGAGGCTCCAACACTGGCGAGCTGGTCTTCGAGGACGTCTTCGTACCCACAGAGAACATCCTCGGTGAGGTCAACAAGGGCGTCACCGTTCTTATGGAAGGTCTCGACCTCGAGAGGCTCGTCCTCAGCGCCGGACCCTTGGGCATCATGCAGGCGTGTCTGGACCTCGTGCTGCCGTACACGCACCAGCGGAAACAGTTCGACACCCCCATCGCCCACAACCAGTTGATCCAGGGGAAATTGGCCGACATGTACACGAAATTGCAGGCCAGTAGGGCTTACACGTACGAGACGGCCCGCAAGGTGGATGAGGAAGGGGAGATTCGGACGCAGGATTGCGCGGGCGCCATCTTGTACGCCGCCGAGCGGGCCACCGAGTGCGGCCTCGACGCCATACAATTGATGGGCGGAAACGGTTATGTCAACGAGATCCCCGCCGGAAGGTTACTCAGGGACGCGAAGCTGTATGAGATTGGCGCGGGTACGAGTGAAATCCGGAGGATGGTCATTGGGAGGGCGTTTAATAAGGAGTACAAAGATCAAGCTATGTAGGGTTTGGTTTAGGAAAATGAAAGAAAAAAAAAATCATCGCTCCAAGAGACATAAAGTCATTGTATGTTGCAAAACATCTTGGAATACTTGTTGTAAGGTGTGTGATACCCAAAATCTCAACCAAAATGGAGACGAAAACTATCCAAAAGCAAGTCGACTCTGGCCCTTTTCTGGTTTCGACCCTCGACCTCGACTGTTTGATCCTGTGCCTCCTCGTTTCGTCTTATTTGTGTGCAAGGGGCCGGGGGGGCGACTATTGCTTGGCCCTGTTACGGCAGGCGCGTCTTGAGCCTGGAGTTGTTTGGCAAAATGCCAGTCTTCATGCTCGCCACGATCGGGTTCGTTGATGGACTTTTGACACTCCTGACAAAAGTAGGTGGCGATGTCTCGTTCTTGCATGGCGTGAGTGAGGTGTTGGTCGGGTCCTTCGTCGTGGTAGACCTCGTCGCCGTTGCCATTGCCGTCGTTGTTCGCTTCGAGATGATGCTCCTGCGCTACAATATCTTCGTCGGCAGATTCGCTAGCTTCCTCTGTGCTTTCGCCCTTTGCGAAGAAGCGAGCAATGTTAGTAGGAGCGTCGTTGAGTCTTCGACGCTTGGCTGGTATCAAATCTTCGATATTGGGTGTCGTAGTGTTACTTCGAGACGGTGCTTCGATGGCAGCTTTGGCCTCTTCACCTTTCAACAAAAACATGTCGATGCCCTTGTTACCAGCCACGCCTTCTTCGAATCCTCCGACACTGAGGGAGAGGTTGGCGCACGGCCACGCCCGGCCGTCGACGACCACCTGCCCGAGTAGTGTCTTTGCGAGCTCAAACAGGATAGTCTCGTCGATCTTCTTGCCCGAGGGGATCGGCAACTGCTTCGATTTTGTTTGCCCGCCCTGACGATGATGCAGGGTTATCGTCTTCGGTCTTCTCTTATTCTCCAGGACACCTTCCTCGACGAGCCGGGCGTAAATGTCCGCCACAAAGATGCGCAGCCACTTGTTCGCTTGATCCGTGGTGTTGATGCTTGGTCTAAAGGATTTTGCCGACAACATGGATTTGATCTGTGTTCGGGAGCTGACTTCGCTATGGTCTTCACCGCGAATGGTCCCATACAGCCACGTCCCCGTCTCTTCCCCCATTTTCGACTTGAGCTGTTCAAGGGGAATCTTGAGTAGTTCGGTGACCTCGTCGGTGTTGAACGTGTCCACCACTTGATCCCCAAGCTTACCACCCAAGTTACGGATTTTGGTAAACTTGTAGCCCGACAGGAAATGCTGCACGGCTCGATTTCGCACGATCGTCTGCTGATTGGGCTTCCTGTATCCGGCACCTAGTTTCGCCATCATCTTGTTGCGCGCCACACCAGCCGAGCAAGTGTATTTGAGCCTTTCACGGATGGTGGCACGCACACCGCGGACAATTTCGGACCCAATGTTCATGGCCACATCATCCCAATCCGGGTCGTCATCTTCAGTTTCTGCCGAGTCGAGGTCGACAAGAGCGTCGGCTTGCCAGTCCAGAGCGGTTGATGGCGGTAGTGGCAGGTGCTCGGTCGGGTCATCGTATGGCGCGTACTTGAGTTCGGGGTATCTTTCGAGAAGTATCTGATGGATCTGTGCAGACAAATCGAGGAAGACCTCATCGATGCTGGCCTTTTCAACTTTCTGGATAGGTGGTGGTGGTAGTATCTCTTTGACCAGTGCCAGAGACTTTCTAGATTCAAGACGATACGGGTCCAGGGACACTTTGTCTGTTTGAATATGGCTGGCCGCGTCGTCTCGATAAGCCCACTTGGTGTCGCCTTCTCTCCAGGTGGCAACATGCTGGATCACAATCTCGGGACACTTTGCTTTCGCTTCGGTGATGGGGACATGTCGACTCAACCCATACTCGCGAGCCGGATAGTTGATGGCAATGAGACCTTGCCATTGTTGAACGGCAAGAGGTTGAGACTCGACCACACCTAGCCGTACCATTTCACACTGGGCGTAAAAGGCGTCATAGTCGATCAAAGCGATGACTCTCAATGGGCACGTCGTGGAAGACTGGCCGAGCAAGTGAAGATGCTTGTATGTGAAACGGGACTTTCTCCTTTTGCCGCCTGCTAAAGGGGAGGATGGTTGGAAGGGCTGAGAGGACGACATTGTCCTAACCTGATGGCGAGCATGTTTGTTACGTCGCCTTCACCTTGCTGTCTTGAAATTTGCGACTCATCATCTCGACGTGTGTCTTTTGATCCAGAGTCAACTCAGTATCATTGGGATGTTCTAGTACAGTAGCAGTATTCCATCAACGCTGACAAAGACCGCGTGCCTCAGTCGAAGAAACGCGTTGCCGTCATCGATAATGCAGACACTTTTACAGTAGACACGGCGAGATAAAGCGGCGGCATTTAACTCGGTACGGCAAATCTAAGTGTCGTATTCGTATCTCAGAATACTGTGATGCCTACTTCCTCCGTGTCACCTGGAAGTCGCTTTTCGTATGAGTTGCGTACCTTTCTCGTGGACACCGTTGAACTCTACACTGATAGAGCTTCCTCAAAGGGCATGGTATGGTGATCCTGCTAACAATGTAGGTGGCCTTGAAAGTTGGTTTCTACACTCACCGGTACTTCTACCTCACCCACCGTTGAAGTCCGTCTCGTTTAAAGACAACCTCATTTACTCCCGGCGAACGCCATATCAGATAGCAACCAAGGACTCAGGCGATTTAGCTAGGAACAATGTTACTTGGTTTCGGCACCCTCAGTGCGGCCTTTGGTGCCCTCATCGTCTCGACCCTAGCCACAACGACGCCTTACTACTCTTCTGATGGCTACTTCGACTGGACACTTGTGAAGCCTTCTGCAGAGCTGGAATACGTCCAATGCTACGAATTCTTCGAGTGCGCCAGGTTGGAGGTACCTCTTGACTGGACCAATCTGTCCAACCCCAATCGTGCCTCAATTGCAATTGCACGCCTCCCCGCCGCCGTCGATGTAACAGACGCGTCGTTCGGCGGCACAATCGTAATCAATCCTGGTGGCCCGGGTGGATCTGGCATTGACATTCTTTTGCGTTCAGCCAAATCACTCCAGAGCGTGGTCGACTCCCACAAGCATTTCGAGATCCTGTCGTTCGATCCTCGAGGCATGAAATTCTCGACGCCCTCAACGGCATGCTTTGCAGATGATCTTTATCGGACAGTTGTTGAGACGCTCGCTCTGGATGTCGGCGATATTATCTCGGATCCTCAAGCCCTGAATGTTAAATGGAACATCGACAGAGGACTGGGCCAACTGTGCACTTCAGCTCAGAACGGTGACTTTGGCGACGGAACCAACATCCATCAATTCGTCAGCACTGCTCTCGTGGCTCACGACATGGTGGAAATCATCGACCAGGTCGATGCTCATCTGTCAAAGCAGCTAAGTTCCACAAAAATGTCTGCATCGGACATCCATCAGATTCCTCTTGGAAACGACCACAGCCCCGTCCCACTGCTCAATTACTGGGGCTTGAGTTATGGGACGTACCTCGGAAATACCTTTGCGTCCATGTTCCCCGAGCGCATCGGCCGAATAGTACTGGACGGCGTTGTCGATGCAGACGATTATGCGGCCACAGGATGGACGACCAACTTACAGAACAACAACCAAACATGGACAAAGTTCTTCCAATACTGCTTCGAGGCAGGTCCTAGGTGCGCTCTCTTCGACGTCACCACCACAAGCCACGTCGACATTCAAAGCAGGGTCGAAGAGTTTTTATTTGGATTAATAGATGACCCCCTGCCTCTCTTAGTGAATGGAAACTTAGCCATGATCACCTATCACCAACTCAGAGCCGGCATCCACGTGGCTTTGTACTTTCCGAACGAGTATTGGCCATTGTTGGCAGTCAGTCTCCGTTTGTTGCTCGAGGGAGACGCACAAGGATTTTTTACTCTTGTTGAGTCCGCAGCAGACATGTTCCGCAATACAAATGGCTCATCTGGCGATGGCGAGTTCACGCCCTCCGCTGCTACGCCTCTGGGTTTCGATCATAACCCATTGCCCGGACACCAACAGATGATGGGCCAGATGTCCGAGTCATCCGAACCATACGTACCAGGATACCCGTGGCAACTCGAAGCGGGCATCTCTGTCTTGTGCGGCGACGGCGACGGAGACGACCTCACTTCATGGACCAAGGAAAAGTTTCTTACAGAACGTGTCAACTTGCTAGAATCTCAATCACCCATAATCGGACCTCTCTGGGCCGAGATCCCAATGTACTGCGTCCATTGGCCCGAGTCGGTTCGACCGGCGTCGAGAAATCGGTTCACGGGCCCATTCGGTTCGAACCTAAGTGACTATGACGAGCGAGCGAGTCCGTTGCTCTTCGTTGGCAATACTGCCGACCCCGTCACTCCCGTGGGTAACGCCGTCAAGATGTCCGAAAAGCACCAAGGAAGTGTGGTCTTGACGCAAGACACCCCGGGACATTGTTGTGGCACTGGGAACGCCGGCGTGTGCGCACACGGGATCCTGAAACGGTTTTTTGCAAACGGTACATTGCCACCGCCCGGTGTGGTCTGCAAAGATGTCAAGAGTCCTTGGGGTGTCGATTCTTGAAGACACGGGCAATGTTCATTACGGAGCAAAAAACTTGATGGTTACTCGAACCCTTCTCTGAGACTAGCCACCTAACGTAGACTCCTTCGGACGTAACCTATCAAAATGTACATGATGACATTTATTTCAAAGTGTAATCAGCATTTTTGGTGACTTACTTCCGAGCCATTGAAAGCAAATGTCAACATCCGAAGCTTTATCGTGAATAAGTATACTCAGTACCTGTCCAGTTGATTGTATATGCCTTCGGGCCGAGCAAATCGACTACACCACCTTGAACTGAAGTTTGCTCCGAAGCACCATTAAAATAAAACACAACCTCCGAAGACAAGCTAGAATCGTATTTTTTCTAGAGAAAAAAAAAGAGCAATAAATGTACGGGATATAGTCTCTTGGAATCCGACTTCGCTTCGAGTAGGGTCGCAGTTCATTCCACTGTCGCCTTGTTGAACTAGGAAAAGTGGGTAAAGACTTGGGACATACCGTACCTTCATTCGACCATTTGTTCTGAGAGAGAGAAGCATCTATTGGTGTAAGATACAGAACAAACAAGGATCGAATATCAAACACGCATTATGTAGCTACCTATCTAGGATCTAGGTACCTAGGACTAAGAAAATCCCTGGTGACCCTGGAACTTGACACCGTCTCTCCATATCCCTTTGATGTTCAAGGTGTCCGTGATGTTACTCAGAGGATTTCCTTCGACGAGAAGCAAGTCGGCCTTCAGACCCTCTGCTATCCTACCTCTATCGTTCCACCCGAACAGGTCGGCCGTCAAGCTCGTCGCACCTCTCAGGACTTCTTGGGTTGGCATCCCTGCTTTCTCCGCGAGCAAATACATCTCAATGTGTAGATTGACACCAAAGACGGACCCCGGAGCTCCCGGCGCCGCGTCAGAACCACTGTATCGTTCAGAAGCATTAGCTACGGTTCCAGAAACCAAGTTTTGACGCAAGGCAGTGGGCACACAGCAAAAGCTTACCAAATGATGTTGAGGCCGGCATCTCTGAGCTGGCGGACGTTGTCAATGGCGTATTCCCACTTTGCACCGGGGGCCTTCAAATGTAAACAGTGGTGCATGAGTTCAACGTCCCCCGTTGACAATTTATTCTTGACTCGTTCGTCCTCGGAGAATTGCTTGGATATATCTAGCGCATCGCCCGTCAGAGCTCCTAAACATGCCAGGGTCGGATTGACCCAGACATTGTTGCGCTTGTGGAGCTCGATCATTTCGGGGGTCATGGGCTCGTCGAAGAATGTGTGAGCCATGCCGTCGACGCCGGCCCTCAATACTTGGCGGGTGTCTTCAAGTGACAAGGCATGCGCGACGACCTTGAAACCTCGTTGATGCGCCGCCCGGACGACGGCTTCTTGCACAGCCTCCGTAGGTTTTGAAATTTGACCCTCAGGGATCCCGAGAGCCCGTCCATCTTCGTGCATCAATTTGATGTAGTCATACTTGCCTTCGATTGCTTTCTGGATGTAAGCCTCGGCCGCTTCCTCGCTGTTGACATTTGGATAATCCTCGAAGCGGGCAGGCTGGTGCGTGCAAATAAAAGAACGGTCAGCTTGGAGCGCTTTACCAGGGCACACTTTCACCTTCAATGCCTTCGTCTCTTGATCAATTCGTAAGTACTTACTTCAATACCGGGCAACTTCATTTCCACCCAAGCTGGCCAACCATTCTTTACCGTTGCAGCATAGTGGCAACTTTTTATGTCGGGAATGTCCTTTCTCTCTTGTGCCCATGTCTTCAACTGCACCGCGTTTTCGTGCACATTGTGCATGTCCATAAGTGTGGTTATGCCAAATCGGTACGACTGCTCCAACATCTTGACCTCGCGGTCAGGGTGGGAATGCGCATCAATGAGGCCTGGGAGTAATGTGTGGCCGGGCATCGAGATATTTGGGAGGTTGCTTGGGTTCAAGCCATGTCCAACCTGTTTGATGATGCCATCTTCCACGAGGACATCGGCATCTTCTAGGACATTTTCCCCATCGAAGATACGAACGTTGGTGATGGCAAAGGAGGTCATTTTGGATGAAGTTTGCTCCCTCAGACCAAAAATTGTGCAAATTGAAAGTCATTCGAAAGAAGAAACCTACAAACTTCCAGGCCTCTTTATACATGACCTTGGATCATCTGGATATGTCATCACGAGGTGGCCGTTGCCATTCCACACATCAGCTTCTGTAAACGAGATGCTTGGCTCGGGCCGATCGTCTTGAACCTCGACATTTCTGGCGGTTGCTCCGAAGCTGTATGTTCCGTGGTCGAGGTCAGTATTGAGAGTGTCAGAGGCCCGATAGGCTCTGCCATTATTGCGAGTACACGGAACTAGAGACGAGTCGGTAGAAACGCTGCGCTGAGGGGACCTTTGGATCGAAGATCATGGGTGGCCTCAAGCCATCCCTAGATGGAGGAATTTGAAAACAGTGTATCCATCGGTAACAAGATTTAGGTTGTATCTTTTCGGATGTTAGGGCTGTAGTCCGAGAGCCAGATGGCACATGGTGAGGTCGCATCATGTCCTGATGCTCATGATCTTCCGAACATGACGGACTGAGTAAAATGAGAAAGGATCCGTTTGTACTTCGGGAAATCTCTGGGCCTCGTTTTTTAAGCTGTAGGATTCGTTTAAGGCTCCCTTTAATTCGTCCCGAGCTAGAAGTAGCCATCAAGGCCATCACTCATCGCGATTGACCATCATAATTGCAGGGCGAGATGGTGTGTAAATGCAGGATTGACCACTGCTGCGACATTCACCACGATGCCGATCACGATGGGAGGAGTAAGGACTTCTGTTGTCCCTAAAAACACTCATTCTAGCAAGGTCCCGAGAAACTCCAACTGTATGGGTAGTAAGTCTACTATGAGAGCGACTAAATCAAGAATGCGCTGCTCTAGGTCGATTGAGTAGAATTCACGTCATCAAGAGATGCATTTTCCCACTCACACCACCCATCTTCTCTCAGGGCGAATGATTGAATGGCTACACCCATGTCACGCCGCTCATTGCCAGTTCCAACACGAGGGCACAGAGAGCAACCCCGCGTTCGCCGACGACCCCTGGACCGGAAAGGGCACACGACACGAACCCCTCCGGATGCCGCTCATACGACATATATACTCATTACATACAGCTTTGTCCTGCGCTGACTTCATCCTGGGAGCTTCAAATCCATCTGCTGTGAATCAAAAAAAAGCCAGTGAGATTGAAAACCTTTTGCTTCTAAGACAACGCTACTCGTATTCCTACCAATATCCCTTCCCTACCATCCAAACCTACGTATCACACAATGACTTCCAAACAAGGTGTGCCAGCTACCGCTGCAGCTGCTGCTACTACTACTCCCATGGGTGGCACCCACCGTCGCTCAAGCAGCGGTATCTCTGATGACGTTGCTAAATCGGCACACGACTTCATGGCGGGCACGATCCGTCGCTCCAGCAGCGGAGTCACTGACGAGGCGGCAACAGCTGCTCATGACTTTATGCGGACCGCCAAAGGCACCGGACCAGGCTTGACTGACGATCTCACTGACAAGGCTCACAAGTTCATGGTCGGGCCTGCCACTCACCGCGAAAGTCATAGCAAATACCTCCCAGACGTGACTGTCCCCGGACTGACTGATCAGATTGTTGAAGAAGCTGTGGAATTTGAAGACAGTGTCGAAAAAGACAGCAAGGCATAAACAATATTGACCTTTGTGCGTGTTATGAATGAGGCAATGATAAGGCAAAGGAGAAAAAAAGGGAAGAGAGGGAGAATGTGTATTATACCCAAATTGCAAGGTTCGAATTCTGTGTTGGTGTTTGGGGGCAAATCTCAGGTGACTCAGTTAAGTGTATCGATATTCAAAAGTCTGCTTTACCAGTTATGACCTGTATACGAATGTTGATTCCATATGCATTCAGTCAAAGTCCAGACTCCATATTGTACCTTGTGCAGCCTCTGGTAGAGTCCATGGTGCCTCTCAAGTCGTCGCCCATGGGGTCATCGATACTCGAAATCTTCTCTCGCAACATGTATGCTTCTCATGATACATACACGTCAACCTTGGTCAGAGATACTGGAATCATGGAGTCCGAAACCTGGATGTATCTTCAGACGAGGAATGTATCTATTGCCGGAATTTCGTGGATGCGTGGTGTGAGTGGGTGTGGCTCAGAGGGCAGACCTTGCGAGACGTCTCCATCGCTGACCAACCCAAGCGATTGTCATGACATCCAACACCTCCTCAACATGGCCTGGTGTCCCGTAAAAACAACATAAATTCAAACTCTGCCCAGCGTCGTAAGGACTAAGGTGAGTTATACTTGCACAGAGAGTGTTGTTCACAAGGAAAATGACTCAGCACTTGCCCATCTTCCATCGGACGAATTTCGTCCGGCCAGCCGTCGGACGAACTTTCGAGGTCTACACAGCATGGAATTGACCCATCATGAGGATAGCATCACTCAGGAGATTGATATGTGTTACTGTTGATGAGATGTTATGAAAGATAAATTCACAGCAATCAACAACTTTGAGAAGTGCAGTAAGTTCTTCAGCATCTCATCTCTCCAGCATATCAACTTAGCAAACGCTATTCCTTTCCTTAGCCAAAAGCCGGGACGGAACCCAGTTACTTCCAACAACACCACCAACAACAACAAATCATGACTGAACCACCGAAGCCTCATGTGCTCGTCGTTGGCGCAGGAGCCATGGGCCTGATCATGGGGTACATCCTCACGCTGGGTGGCGCCGACGTTACGTTCCTGGTTCGGCCACATCGAGCGGAAATCCTGAGCCGGCCGCAGCTCCTCTACTCATTCGATGACCATCAGCTTAAGACATACAAGGACTACACGTTCATCACGGACCCCGCAAAGATGGTTGGTGCAGACTTCGACTATATCCTCATAACGCTCGACGGCCACGTCTTGAAGAGCGAAACTGGTGTGAAACTGGTAAAGACAATGGGAGAGGCGGTTCGCGGGACGAAAACGCGCGTTGTTATCGGCACGGTTTTTGTCGACTTGAGACCTTGGTTCTTGGAGACGTCGGGCATCAGTGGTGACCAAGTGACCTCTTCCCAACTCTTGATCCACTCTTACGAACCCAAGAACGTGACACTCCGTCTGAACGAAGGAACGAACCCAGAGCTCTTGCAACAGGCCGACCAGGCGTATACCGACAAGCTCGGTCCCGGGTTCATGATCGACGACAGCAGTCCGGCGGTGGCAGAGGGCTTTGCGAAGCTGTACAACGCCAGTGGATTATCGAGGTGTGACATAGTATCCCCGGAGCAACTTGGAGCAGCTTCTGGGCCGTTGTTTCCCCTCTTGGCGGCCTCCGATATATTGGGCTGGCCGGATTATGAAGAGGTTGATCCCAATGGGGAAGCGTGGACTCTTGCTGTGAATTCGGCGAAAGAGATTCAAGGGCTCAAGATCTTTGGACAAACGGGTCAAAAGTTGATGGAAACCACGACCCCGGAAGGTATGAGGGAGCAGTGGATCGGTATACAGAAAGTGATGCTTCCCATGGATTGGGTGGGATTCAACAAGTATCACCACGGCGGCAAGGTCAACGTTCAGGACCAGGAACTGCTTCGAACTTGTATTGCCTATGGTGAGGCCGAGGGGAAGACAATGTCCGCAACCAAAGAGTTGCTCAAAAAGGTGGAAGCAAAGCATCAGTAGCTTTCCTGGGCGGTGGTGTCCAAATATGCGAGAATCCAGTGTCAGTTGACCAAGCTCTAGTGAGAATATTACCTCCTGCGTAAAGACCACCTGATGCTCCCCCTGCTTGTCAATTGTGGAAAGTCCTGGTTCCCTCCATTTTGATATTCCAATTGTTGATGTAGCGTAAAGCAGTCGAAGAGCAGCGCCGTCTCGAGAGCTATTTTTCTCGTGGAATGCCCCGCCGAGTAACCCCTGAGTGACGCGAGTGCTTTCCTCACGTCCACCACATACAAGCTGCAAGGAGAACAGCAGTACCGAATTCGATATGTGCCAAGTTCTCCCATCCACCCTTGAGGGTATACATTATGACTGAAGCCACAACTCTGGATACCAGCGAGAACCAGTATATGTTCCAATTGTCTTCTAGCGCACCGAGGATGTTGTAGAGGCCGATCGAGCCCATAGAGAAAGCTTTGGAAGAGAAATTCAAACATCAGTCCTTGAGCGACGTACTTTGCAGCTTTTGCAAGACAAAACGAATGATTCATTGAACAAACTTACCCATGAATCGTACTGAATTCTCTTCACGGATATTAAACTCTTCCATCACAGGCTTGACGTCGATGAAGGCCATAATCTGACGGAGGACCATCACGGCACCAAGTACGAACAAGAACCATCCGGGTGGGTTGCGAGGCCAGGAGAGACGGGCCATTATGACTGACTGGCAAGGAGAATTTTTTGAGAGACCACCCGGGGGGTAAGATGAGATTTGGGTAAATAGGAAGATTGTGCTGGTGGCCTTACCCTAGTATTTGCGGTGACAATCAGTCATCAAGATGCAGCGGTCATGTCTTCGGTCGATGGCGCACTGTCAGTCTCTTTTGTGCGAAACATATATCGTAACAACAACATCGTAGACAACTTGCTCGTTAGGAATTAATTCTTGAGAGAGGGACTAGAATTCATCCATGGATCTTCCTAACAATACCTCCGATGGGTTTAATATCATCACCGAAGCAAGCATCTCTCTCGACCAGCATTCTTGCAGTCTGCGGAAACCTGACTAGGTATTTAAGACATTCACGAGTCTAGTCGTCTCGGATCGAACACAGTTTATTCAATACCTCATCCAGGGATTGGGCTGCCTTAGTCAGCTCTCGCCCGCAGCCTTGTCACGTGTGATGACGCAGCCTTTCCACGTGTGTCTGCGTCTCCGACGTCGACCTTGAGTGTTCGTTCCACCTACGCGCGACTGTTCCCAGCAATCTTCGAATGCAGCAGCCCCCGACTATTTGCTCCCGCCATATACCACTGTTGACAATGCGCTGAGCCTGGTGATTACAGCGCGCGATGGCGCTGGATCTTGACGAAGGATATGTGGCTCAAGGCCTAGCCCAGGGAGGTGTCGACACGAGCCTACCCATTTTCAATGTCGAACGAGTACAATTGCAGTTCAACATCGCCTCGGACTTTGTCGCGGGTCAAGTTGCAAATAATGTTTTGATTCTTGCTCTTGCGACGGGACGTATCCTGCGGATAGACCTGGAGAGTCCTTCAGATATTGATGGTTCATATATTCCCACCTACCTCAGTCGATGCAGTCAAGCTAACTACCTGCCCTCAAGATGTTGACCTACCAAAGAAGACCAGCGAGGTTGGCCTCATTCGACGCATGTTCCTAGACCCTTCTGCTTCCCACCTCATTATTAGTACGACCCTCGGCGAGAACTTTTATCTTCATAGCCAGTCTAAACAACCCAAGTCCCTCTCCAGGTTGAAAGGAGTCTCCATCGAATCTATTGCATGGAATTCATCCCAGCCAACAGCGTCCACACGTGAGATCTTGGTCGGAGCAACAGATGGCAACATATACGAAATCTACATCGAGCCCGCCTCCGAGTTCTACCGCCGTGAAGAGCGATACGCGGCCAATGTGTGGAAGATCCCGGAAGGCGCTGTGACGGGACTATGGGCGGAAACTATCCAGGGGAAGTCAGATACACGAAGAGTGGTTGTCGCGTCACATTCGAAGCTGTACCATTGGATAGGTAAGACTGCAGGACGGGGTAAAGAAGGTTCAGCTTCGATATACGCAGAATTGTTGTCCAAAGAAGAACCGATCATTCATGCGACGACTGGCGCTTCCTCAACAGCTCCAGCGTCCTTATCGGTCTCCCCAGAGTCGTCAGAAGCTGGTTTAGACGAACCAAGGAGTTTCGCATGGCTATATTCCCAGGGCGTCCTGACCGGCGAACTCCTCAGTACCCCGGCCACGGCTGAGCTAGGCAGCCGAATTTTCAAGGAATCCAAGTTGCATCCTCGCTCCGTCTTCCCCGAAACGGTATCTGCGCGTGGCGGGAGGAAACTCATACAAGACCCGATAGTATCAGCTATCCTGTCGCAATGGCATGTGTTGGCACTTGTGGAGGGTCGTATTGTTGCTGTCAACCGCCTCGATGGCAGTGTTGTCTATGACCAAGCCGTACTAGAGCCGGGCCAGAGTGCGCTCGGGCTCGTATCAGATCAAAAGAAGAACACCTTCTGGCTCTTCACAAACCAAGAAATCTTTGAAATCGTGGCGAATGACGAAGAACGAGATATCTGGAAGATTATGTTACAGAACCAGGACTACGATGCTGCGTTGCGATATGCCAGAGGGGCTGCACAAAAAGACTCTGTTGCCACGGCATCTGGAGACTACCTCTCAAGCAAAGGACAATATATGGACGCGGCGAGCGTTTGGGGGAGAAGCAGCAAAGCATTTGAAGAGGTCTGCCTGTCACTCATCGACAACGGACAAGATGATGCCCTCAGAAAATATTTGATGGCCAAGCTCGGTGCTTACAAGAAGTCATCGGTCATGCAGAGAGTGATGATTGCGACGTGGCTCATACAGATTTTCATGGCCAAGCTGAATTCTCTCGATGACATGGTAGCCACCAAAGCAGAGTTGCTCGAGAACACCGATGCGGGTGGTGCCAAACGCGACTTGGAACAAACCCGAAGTGAGTTCCAAGAGTTCGTCACCAAACATAAAACAGACCTCGACGCCAAAACGGTGTACGAAGTGATATCCAGCCATGACAGAGAAGACGAATTACTCTTTTTCGCCAACACCATTACAGACTATGACTATGTCCTCTCATATTGGGTACAACGAGAGAAATGGACAGAAGCACTGTCAGTGCTAAACAAGCAAAGCAACCCGGAGACGTTCTATCGATATAGCAATGTACTCATGATCCACGTCCCCACCGGATTGGTCGAGATCCTGGTACGACGAAGTAACCTTGATGCTCAAAAGATGGTTCCAGCACTGTTGGCGTACAACGAAACTGCCAATGTACCGCTGGCACAAAACCAAGCTGTTCGATATCTGAATTTCGTGGTTAGCAACAATTTCGAGGTCCCAGCTTCGGTACACAATGCTCTCATCTCGATTATGGCTTCGCACCCTTCGCCATCAGAGAGTGCGTTGTTGGGTTACCTCGAAAGTCAACCCTCGCCTCCATTGTATGATGCCGATTTTGCATTACGTCTTTGCATTCAGCATGACCGTGTGCAGTCCTGTGTGCATATCTACAGCACCATGGGACAGTATCAGCAGGCTGTGCAACTTGCGTTACAGCACGACGACATCGACCTGGCCGCCATCGTCGCCGATCGACTCGAGGGAAATGATAAGATGAGGAAGAAGCTCTGGCTCTTGATTGCAGAGAAGAAGATCAGAGAGGCGGAATCCATCAAAGAAGCCATCAACTTCTTGAAACGTTGCGAACTCCTCCGAATCGAAGATCTTATTCCATTATTTCCAGATTTTGTGGTCATCGACGATTTCAAAGAGGAGATATGTGAGGCGCTGGAAGAATACTCACGGCATATTGACAGTCTGAAACAGGAGATGGATATCTCGCAGCATACGGCCGAACAAATCAAGGCAGAAATTGCCGCCCTAGACCACCGATATGCCATTGTCGAATCGGGTGAGCGGTGTTGGATCTGCACGCTGCCAGTATTGAGTCGACAGTTTTTTGTGTTCCCTTGTCAGCACGCCTTCCACAGCGACTGTCTCGGAAAGCGAGTACTCGAAAGTTCGGGAAGCAGCAAGCGGAAACGAATCAAAGATCTCCAGACAGAAGTCAACCAGGGGTTGAGTGTCGGGGTGCAGAGGCAGAAACTAGTACAGGAACTAGACGGGCTAGTTGCTGAACAATGTGTTCTTTGTGGAGATCTGGGTATCAAGCAGATCGATGAGCCATTCATACACAAGGGCGACGATGTAGAGGCTTGGGCCATTTGATGAAGTTACATGGGTGTGGTTTACATAATTGCTTATGTATGTCTGTAGGATCGCGTCTCAAGTTGAGCCGGAGACAAAATCCCTTGTATAAACGAACAGGAGGCGGAGAATATGTAGCGTCATCAGCCCGGGCATTTTTAGGTGTCACATTAACAGCTGACTAAGATTGGACTGTGCATATTGGTAGCGAATGCAGCGTTTAGTAGCTCTTGGCTGCTGCGAGTACGAGTACCAGCTATAGGGACAAACTTGTGTATTTGTGATAGTATCTACATTGTGGTTGATGTGTAGTGGATGTGTACGCTGGATAGATGTTCGGTGTTTGCATAGAGTAAGCCAGTGAGTCACGGACCTGATCGCCTTCGACTTCCTGTTGAATTCGAAAGACTTCGAGAGTATGTTCGCAACATGTCGAACATACTGTATCGAGTTAGGGAGGACGGAGATACCGTAAAGGGTTTAGGTCGACGGCACGTGAAACGGATATAAGCAGGTGAGAAATAAGGTTCTCCAATCATGCAGTGCTTACAAACTGCCCGTTTACATATGCTTTTGAACTTTTCTTGGCTTCGTCATGGACGCAACTCTGATGTTCCTGGCTCTGATTGGTCATTTATCGCTCTCCCCAACATTTTTTCCATCTTCCTCCATCGTTTTTCGGCCGGATTCTGCATCATCTCTAAGCCGATTTTTCTTGCTCCGTATCTCCCCTGTCGACCTTTTGGCTGCAATATTCGACCGAGTGTCAGGGTCCGTGGCCGCTTCTAGTGGAGCAATCACGCATCTCCGTGTCACTTTTGCTTACCCCCGACTCCACAGTACAGCGTTTTGCGAGATCTGCCTACTGTAGGGCTATTGATTATTCAGATACCACAGTACAGGCCACCCATAACCCTTGTCTGTTAGGTTTTGGATGTGAAATCCTCCCAGATAATGACATCGAAAATGCTCCGATGTACCATACAAAGTGTCTAGTCCTCCAAGTCTCAAAAAGTAGGTATATAGGACCAGTCGATTGCTCCTCTACAAACTCTCTCGTCTTCCATCGTTCCCAAGCAGCACAGTCTTCTAAGGCGAGTGGTTCTACTCTCTTCAGCCTTACTCCCCTTCCATCATCATACTCCCACTTTGCCTACCTACCTCTTTTTACCATTTTCCTTGATTTACCCACTGCCACCGAAAACTCCATTCACGGCAAAGTCATCTGGACACAAAAACACAAATGTCCGCCCTCTTGCGTGATGCCCCGGTGGGCCAAGTCATCCGCTGGGTGACCGGCTCTAAATACTTCCAATACCCAGAAGAACAGTCTACCTTCCAAGTACCTTCTAGCTATCAGAAAGATACGAAAAGCGTACGGTCGGGGTCTACCACACCGGCCGTCGCTACCCCGGCAATCGAAAAGGACCTCGAAAATCTCCCTGGTTCCGATGCCCTCACCAAGGCAGAGACGGCCGCGGATCGCGAGTCACTGGCAGCACTGTCGGATCGCACGCTCTCGAAGATCATGACCCGACCAGAGTTGAGCCAAGTCAACACCCGAGCCGACCTCGAGGCCGCCTACACCAATGCCACGAGACAAGAAACGTTGAAGACTCAGCAAAGCAGACCCATCAAGCCCGCGGTGACCTCTGACGGGACGATCTTGGTTGATTGGTACACCACCGACGACGCTGAAAACCCGCAGAACTGGTCTCGCGGCAAGAAGGCCGTCGTCGTCCTGCAGATCTACCTCTACACCTTGGCCGTCTACATGGGTTCGGCCATCTTTACGCCATCAGAACCGTACATCGTCGAGAAGATGGGCGTGTCCCCCAACGTCGCAGCACTCGGTCTGTCCATGTACGTTCTCGGCTACGGTATCGGACCTCTGATATTCTCACCACTCTCCGAGATCCCCCTGATCGGACGCAACCCACCGTACATGGTCACTCTCGGCATTTTCGTCATCATCTCCATCCCCACCGCCGTGGTGAACAGTTTCCCTGCCCTCGTCGTTCTGCGGTTCCTTCAAGGTTTCTTCGGCAGTCCTTGTCTGGCCACTGGTGGTGCATCCATCGGCGACATTTACTCCCTGCTCAAGATGCCGTACTTCTTGACCGGATGGGCGGCGTTCGCGACGGCAGGTCCAGCTCTGGGACCCATCATTTCTGGTTTCTCCGTGCCCGCCACCAACTGGCACTGGTCTTTGTGGGAGATTGTCTGGCTCGCCGCGCCCGTGTACATCTCTCTCTTGTTCTTTCTCCCCGAGACCTCGGCCAGCAACATCCTGCTCCGCCGAGCCCAACGCCTGCGCAAGATGACCGGCAACCCTAACCTGAAATCCCAGTCCGAGATCGACCAGGAAAAGATGAGCGTCAACGAGGTGGTGATTGGCAACCTCTGGCGACCTGTACAGATCAACGCTCTCGACCCTGCCGTCCTCTTTACTAGCTTGTACACCGCCCTCATGTACAGCATCTTTTACTCCTTCTTCGAGGTGTTCCCTCTCGTCTACGCGACGGGCAACCCGGGCACCGCCACTCACGGCTACGGCATGAACGCTGGGGAGATCGGTCTGATCTTCCTGTCCATCTCCGTCGGAGTCAGTATCGCCATCGTCGTGTACATCTGGTATTTGCGGTACGTGTTTGAACCGGAGATTTTGACAAAGGGACTGGGCGAACCCGAGAGACGACTCATCCCAGCTCTACCGGCCAGTCTGTTGTTGCCCGTCGGCCTCTTTGTCTTCGCCTGGACGGGCAACTCGTCGCCCAAGATCCACTGGATCGTCCCGACCATCGGGGTCGTCATCTTCACCATCGGAATCTTCATCATGTTCCAGTGCATCTTCATCTACATCCCCCTGACGTACCCGCAATTCGCCGCCAGTCTGTTCGCCGGCAACGACTTCGCCAGGAGTTCCATCGCCGCGGGGGCGATCCACTTCTCGCGCCCCCTGTTTGGCAACCTCGGGGTCGGCAGAGGCGTCAGTCTGCTGGCTGGCTTGACCGTCGGCGGTATCATTGGTATCTTTGTCTTGTGGAAGTTTGGGGCCGCGTTGAGAGCCAGATCCAGATTCGCCGCCAAATGAGACACGCGAAAATTATGTGGTGGTGATTATGATCTCGGTGGTGGTACGATGTAAGATAAAGGGAGGTTGAACTTGATTTGCATCGCATTCAGCGTTGGGACAAGCAAGCGATTGTTTTTCTTTTTTTGGGAACGCACTTTTAGAATCTTTCTCATGACAACGACGAGGTATACATTATAGGTAATAATCACGGCTAAACATCAATACTATGATAATAATACTGCTCTTCATTTCACCTTCCTGTACTTTGAGGTTATGAACGTATGTATCATACCTAAAGTGCACAGTTTATCTGGTACGAATGTTCAACAAGACTGGAACTACTACTTCGTACCATGGACTGCCAACACTGGTATCCTCAGGTAGAGTAAGATCGAGATAGGCGAGGCTTCGGGATCACCAAAGCATTAAAAAGGAGAGGATATGGCTTTGCCCTGCCTATTTGGTACAGAAATGAGTTCAATGCTCATCATTATTGCAATGCGTCCTCGATACATTCGGTATTCTCGTACACAGTAGTGGAAATACCCAATCTAAAGGTGCTTGGGTACCAATATCCAACAGCCCAGGTCAACCCTTGAATTGAGAGTGAGACTGTCATTTCCCATTCCTCATTCCTACAGGATTCGAGAACAAGCCCAAGGCTTTTCTTCGACTTCCCCGCTGTTGTGAACAAGGAACCCGATTTCCATGAATCGATTCCCCAAAACAAAAAAAACGCCTCATCCCTAGATATTCATTTGGTGTTTTGAAAGTGATGGCCAAAGTAACCCGTATCCCTATGGCCCCTTGTTTTTTCTTTTTTTCTTTTCTTTGAAAATGGTTGGTGACGACTAGTTCTAGTTTTGCACCTTGTCCTGCTCGGCCTGTCGAGTCTGTAGGGACTGTTTGGCTAATGTTTTGGCAAAGAGCATTTGTGGCTTTGCGTTCCTATAGTAATCCAAAGAAGGGGAAGAAGTCAGTAATCTGCATGGTCCTGATTTTGTAAAGATGAGAAAAAAACAAATCCTGTGATGGTGACGCACGCGAATCTCTTGCCCTTGATGGCACTCAGTTTCTTCGTCGTAGGGCTGGCAATGGCGTCCGAGGGTGAGATGTATGTCTGGTTCTGGCCGTGTCCGGCTATGTATTGCTGGGCGGAAACGTTGAAGCGAGGCATGGCCTTTTCGTCAATGCTCTGCTTGGTCTTTTCTGATGATTGGGATTTTGTTGGAGAGCATGTGTTTGGCGAACGCTCGGCGAGTGCGCCGGCCGAAGGTGAGGTCTTGCTTGGAGACATTGTGTGAGTGGTAAAAGGTATGTCGGTGGTGGTGTTGGTTTATAATACAATTTTATGGTAGGCTAGGTGAGTTCGTTCGGTCGGGAGAAGAATCGGCTGGATGGCAAGGGTGGAAGATCGGTTTTTGCAGCTTGAAGGAATTTTGATGCTTAAGGTACTGGTATCCTTGTACTCCTACGTTGCCCAGTGAGCCGCACGGCCTCGAAAAAAAAAGTGGTGTGTGGGATCAATGCGTTCGGTAATAAAGTCGTACGAGTACTGGTACCCTGCTTTTTGGTGGGCGGTATGTGTGAGGACGTGTTTGGCACCTGCGCAGGCGAAAAATATGTGTTTACATTGTAACGTCATCCAACCAGATAAGGGAGTTGGCGGGGTAACCACCCCAGCCTGGAGCCTACCGACCCTTTTTCGCTTCAGCCTCATCGTCTTTATAATCTACTAGAGCAGTCATCATATTCATGTTTGAAAAGTCGAGGTCATATATTTTGCTGGAAGCAACTCTTTTACCATGGCCGGCCTTCTAACAAATAACAAGAGAGTGTATACCTCAATATCTATCTATGCCGCAAACTTTTCTGTCCTGTCCTGTCCTTGTCTATGCGGTCGTTTGTTTTCCATCCCTCAACATCAAAAGTTCAGTAAACTGCCCATCAAACATGACTACTTTGTCCACTTCTTTGAATCCAAATTTCTTATAGACAGGTGCTCCTGGTGGGCTTGCTTCCACATAAGCTTCTTTTCCCTCCTTGTCTACCAAGCCAAGACCATATTCCAGCAACATACGTCCAGCGCCTCGGCCTTGATGGGACGGGCTGCAGCACAATAGACCCAGATACCAGTACTCCCGGCCCTTCATGATCTCCATTCTCTTCTTTCTCAATTGAGGAAAGAAGATTTTGGAAACTTCCACGTTGCCCCCGGAAGGGTACTGTGGACCCTCGGGAGGGGGAGCATCTTTGTCACAGTCCACCCATCTTGAGTAGGCGATGACAGGACTCCCTGGTAGTGCTGTGTCGACGACACATCTGGTGTGACACTTTGGATCGGCCATTCCTTTCTTCAAGATGTTCTCCCAGAAAGCTCGAACGTCGGGTACATCTGGGAAACATTGTTTCATGACGAGATCATTTGCAAATGCATTAAAGAAGATGTCGCAAAGAACGGTGATGTCGGATTCCTGTGCGTCACGCTGGGCGAGAGCCATGTTGTTCGACCTTGCGAAGAAGAAATAATGGGAGGTGTGCTGGATAGAGTGATTCCTTTTCTTGACCGAGCATCAAGACAAATAAGTTCTAGTTGCCAGTGCTTGAAGTTTTTGTGTCCCGCTCCCTCGATGTTCCTCCACTGTTCAACTCAGTTCATTCTTGGCAGCTGCCTGGACCACAGCTTCGTTCCAAGCCAGCGGTATTAATGTGGTGCGGCACGTGAGCTGGCGGGCTCCGGGACGGATCATCCCTTACTCCGGGAGAGGCTCTGGGCTTCATTTGCAGCGGCTGCTTTGTACTCCTGATCGCTGCCCACTTGCTTCGCCCGCCGCCGTTCCAAGGCGCAGCGAACCAGCCAGAAGATGCATAGCCTCAAGCCACAAGTCGCCCGTAGCCGACTCATGGTCTCCTACGAGTACTTTTGTCTTACTGGAGCCATGGTGCTTCAGCAGACAAAACGAACTCCAACTTCTACACTTATGAGTTAATGCCTTCATGAAGTTTCACTGTTTCTCCATTACATTAAATGCGTCCTTGAGATAGCACCTTCAGCCTGCCCTCTTCAATGCCACCATGGTAGTCCCACCTCTCGATGCCTTGAGTATTGCTGCAGCCGTCGTTCAGTTTGTCGATTTCTCATGCCGAATAATATCCAAGGGAAATGAATACCACAAAAGCGTCGATGGTGCTATCGTGGAAAATAAAGAGCTCGAGGTGGTCGCAGCCAATATCCAAGATCTCAGTGGGAGGCTCCATTACTCGCTCAGCTCCAAGGCTAAACGGGCTCTGAGGAAGCACCTGGATGGTTCAACCGGTCAGAAACAAGATCAGCCGCTGTCGTATGAAGAGCAGGCCTTGCAGGCTGTGGTTGTAGACTGCCAGGGCTTCGCCTCAGAACTCTTGGAGGCGCTTGAGCGACTGAAACTCCGCGGTAATAGCACGAGGTGGAAGAGCTTTCGCCAGGCCTTCAAGACAATATGGGCGAAAGAAAAGATCGAGGCCATGTTGACGAAGCTCGGCCAAGCTCGTCAGCAGCTTGTCGTCAATCTGCTTGTTGTCCTTAGGTAACCATTCTGAGCCCACCGCTTCAGACACAGACTGATTCAACGCCATTCCAGTACTCATTCAGAGTCCGAATTCACCCAGATCAAAGAGTCTAACGCACGGCTGGAGGCCACTATTTTGACCACCATCAAGGATTCAGGCGCCAGTATACAAAAGGAAATCGCAAAATTATCTCTTGTGCCGAGCTATAATTCAGTGCAGCAAAAAGAGAATTTCAAGTCGACCTGGTCATCCAGGAATGAAGACGATGTGTCTCGAATGGCATTGGCCTTGACGGAAGTGACTCGCCAGGACAGGTCGAACGCTATCAACACAATGCTGCTTGATAGCCTATATTTTACCCAGATCGCCGAACGAAGATCCAACATCCGGGAAGCGCACCACAGTACTTTCAAGTGGGTATTTCAGCCGACGGCAGAACTTGAGGATCGATGGACCAACCTGCCACGCTGGCTCGATGGTACGGATCCTGGTCAGAACGTGTACTGGATCACGGGCAAGGCTGGGTCTGGCAAGAGCACATTGATGAGATATCTGTACGAAGCAAAAGAGACAAAGAACCTCCTCAATGTCTGGGCTGGTAGCAGCAGATTACTCACGGCCTGTTGCTTCTTTTGGAACCCTGGAAATGATATTCAAAAGTCGCTGAATGGCCTTTTGCGGACCTTACTACACGAACTTCTCACAACCTGCCCTCAATGCATCAAGATAGTCGCCCCTTGGAGATGGAGGTCACTGGATCTTGGAGCCAAATTCCTGGAACCATGGACCGACGCCGAGCTTCTGAATGTTCTAGATGCATTTTTCCGCAACACGGCCAAGAATACCCACATCTGTCTGTTTGTTGATGGTCTGGATGAGTTTCACGGCACCGACGAGACACGGGAGAATCTCATTGATTTGCTTCAAAAATTAGCTTCCAAAGATAACGCGAAGATTTGCTTGTCGAGTCGTCCCTGGAACATATTCGAGGATGCATTCGGCCGTGGGCCAATGCTTCGCCTAGAAGACTTGACCCGCCCAGATATCCAGCGTTATGTCAGTGAGAAGCTGACCCAACACCGACGGTTCGAAGTGCTGAAGCAATTATATGAGGAGGAGTGCATAGCGCTAGTTGATAACATTGTCGACAAGGCCTCAGGCGTCTTCTTGTGGGTGTACCTGGTAGTACGGTCTCTGACGCAAGGGTTGCGTGACGAGGACGGGATATCGGACCTCACGAGGAGACTGGAGCTTATTCCCGCTGACCTCGAGCTCTATTTCGACCAGATGTTGTCAACGATTGACCCGTTCCACCTTCCACGTTCAAGTGAGCTTTTTCAGCTCACCATGTGCACCGACCGCCGACTGTCGCAGTTAACTCTCTCTTTTATACACGAGGACAAACCCGATGCCCTCGTCAATCTTCTCAGGAGGGACAGAGAAGCCGCAATCTCGCACGCATACAGCTCAACAAGCCGTCGAGTGAACGCGCTGAGTAAAGGCCTGCTTGAAGTCAACAGGACCGAATCGACCAATCCCTATTTCAGGTACGGTGTCGATTTCCTTCACAGGACAGTGCGTGATTTCCTGGCCATGGACGAGGTTCGTCAAAAGCTGGAAAAGTACTCCAAGGGAGCATTCCCGTGCCACCTACATCTCTGTACAGCGGTCCTGGCTCAGATCCGATCTCTGGGCCCAAATTACGAATCTCTTACGGACGCTGAAGCTTTCTTGCGACTTCTGGACGAGTTTTTGTTTTATGCCTCGGCTTTGGAATCCCGAGGTTGCAGGGTCCCTGAGAACCTGTTCACCACGCTCAAAGGGCAGCTTGATCTGTTTGACACGAGCAATGTCGTGGACAAGGCATGTCTTCGCTCGCGGGAAGTGCAAGCCCTGGACCTGAGAAACAATCTCAAAATGTTTACTTCGGCACACTGGTCAGATGGCGTTGCCGAAGACAAGAACAATCAGCTCAGTTTCTTCATCTCCTCAGGTCTCTTCTACCCCGTCGAAAGGTTGATCGAAAGCGACCCTAGCGCAATAAGCGACAAAAAAGGCCGTCCGTTGTTAGACTACGCGCTACGACGAGATCGGAACGCGGCCGTCGAGCTCAAGGTGCCGAATCTGCAGACGACGCGTTTTCTGCTCGGGAGCGGCGCAGACCCGAACCAGATGTACAATGAGCGCACCGTGTGGCATGTGTTTTTGAGTTGGATGAGAGACAACAAGCGATGTATCGATCCGTCCCCAGAGGCTTGGGTGGCCGCGACGAAATTGATGATCGAACATGGTGCCGACGCTTTCCCCACGGTCGGAGCTTTCTTCAGAGAAATTTTTGATACCCAGACGGCCAAGGACTTGAATACGATGCTCAGTGAAAGGGACACCGAAGCAGAACCTGAAGCCGAACCCGGCATCGACAAAGAGCACAAGCATGATGTCACTGTTGAGGAGCCTCAATCAGAGAAAAACAAAAAGGAACCGGACCTGGGAGTGAAGACCGATCAGGGGATTCTGTCAGGGTTTCGGCAAATGTTTTTGTGGTCACGGTGGGGATGAGACCTTCTTGTCAGGTCAATGCTCTATGTGTAGGACGGTTCTATCATTTTTTTTGTACATTTCGAGCCGTCTTATGAGATGATGAAAATGGTCCATGGATGGATGTTGTTTGGTTACTGCTTTTAAGGGATGAATTGAAAAGATACGACTGGCATTGAATGATACCCTTCCCGAATACAGTACGGAGTTCTCGCAGCTGACAATGATGATGATGATGATGATGATGATGATGATGATGGACGACACACATGAACCCTGAAAAGCATGCATTTCACGCCGTGGCACTCGTACTCTACTTGATCTCGTACTTGTTTTTGGATCGACGTCGTACTCTCGTGAGTTGGTCCAACGGCCACCTAATCTTGCGACAGAATGGAGTGCGAACGGTAACAGGGTGGAGAAGCTCTCAACCTTACACGGAACAAGAAAGACTGTACCTTGCCCTGTACATCTTTTTATTCCTTTTATTCCTTCGGACATTACTTTTACACACGAGGTCGTCGTCGTCGTCATCTGTGAAGCAACAACTTGTCCACCATGTCCACCATGTATGTAAATAGTATTGATGCGACTCGACTAAACACAAGATTCTGTATCACCATTACTCTAGTATACCTCGATGATAACAAAATCATACATTTCAAGCGATATAGAACAGTTGATTCAATCCGAATTTTTTTTTTCAACGCCAGCCGCCATGTCAGTCGTGATGCCCAAATCTCGTCGCGTATTCACCGTACATCCCTTCTCACTCATGCACAAGAACCCTTTTTCCCCAACCAGTGACCCCTTGATTGCTATACACCCAAACCCGGGCACAAGAGATCATGACTTGTCCCCCCACCTGCGAGTTGTTGACAGACCGTGCAAACATGACTAGGCACCTGGTGGTTCCTTTTCTAGCCTTCTTCACCGTCATAGTCCGTCAACGAAATCGACGGTGTGCGTGGTCTGCGGCGATTGCTGGGGCCTGCCGCAGAGTCGTCTTCCGAGGTGCTCGTGTCTCTGTGGACCAACGGCGCGTGTCCACTCGCGGAAGAAGACCTTCGGCGGCTGACCGGACTCACCGGGGGAGACAAGAACTCTGCCTGGGTCGTCCGAGCCATTTCGGTGTGGTCGGGATCGTTGACATTGGTGCCCCCGTGGATCAGAATGCGCTCTCGAGACGGTCCTGCTTCCACAGGCGGTTCAGAATACGACACCAGATTTGCCACATCCTCGTGGTCAAAAACAGCAGGCCGCACCTGCTCACTGCTTGCGGAAAGGGTTCTTCGACTCAACCTGTCCGGGCTCGTCCGCGCAGTCAATATCTCATCCAAGTTCCGGGTCGGCAGGTTACGAACGGGATCTGCACCGCCTTGATCTGCGTTGCGCTGGCTCCCCGCGTCCGTGTTGGATTGGGAGGCAAAGGGGATGCGATGACTGCCTGGACGTGTATAGAAATCTTCATGCCCGGCTGACAGATTGGCACGCACCTGAAGATCGATGGTTTTCAAGGTGCCAAGCACGGACTCGGCCGTCGGTCTATGTGCAGGTTTGATGCTGAGCATTGTGCGCACCAAGTCCACCAGGGTGTCGAATTGGTCGTACTCCTGGGTTCTGCGACCGAGGAAGTCTAGTCGCTTCTCGACGGGAGGTGAGAGAAGGTACTTGCCGCTTTTCTTCTCCTTGTACCAGTATCTTGCGATATGTCCAATATCATCCGTCTGGTACTCGAGCCTCTCGTCGCCGAATACATCTAGTCTGTGGCGCGGCTGCAACTCAGGATTATCACCACCCAAGCCATCAAGTTGATCATCGGTACCTTCTTCGAACAGCGTCAGGAGTATCTCGAGAAAGATACACCCAAGTGACCAGATGTCGTATTTTCTTCCACTTGGCGTACCTTGGGTGGGATCCGGAGGGCCATATTCGGGATCTCCTAGTTCCTTATCAAGGATATCAATGGAGCTCTTCCCGGAAACTATCTGCAAAATCCGAGAAGTACCAAAATCCGATATCTTCCACCCATCATGGAAGATGATAATGTTCCCAGGCTTCAGATCGCGATGACATACGCTGTGATTCAGTCGATGCTCTGCAGGTGGAGGGCGCAATGATGCGCTGCCCACGTCTCCGAGAGACAGGTCTGCCGGCGCGAGTCGATGGATGGCATCGAGACCTTCAGCGATTTTCAATAGCTGACGCATCAAGTGCAGAACGAAGTCTTTGGTCAATTTTGGACGCTCTCGATGTTCTCTCAAGTACTCGGCCAGACTCCCTTCGCCTAATGGATACAGCATGCAAAATGTATCGGAGCTGGGACCCGTAGAATGTTTCTTCCTCCACATGGCCAAAGGTATAAGAATGGCAGGATGCTCGACCTTCATTATATTGGAGAAGACGTCATGTTCCTGCTTGAATGCTGTCGACACACCCATTCTCGGTGTGTGGAGCTGCTTCAAAGCGAACATGTCCTGCACCTAAATTAACACGGGGGGTTTGAAGCTAGAACGGGGTAGGCCATACCATGTCAAAATTGTGATGCTCTTGGTGGATGCTGACCTCATGGACGGTACCAAAGGCGCCTTGCCCCAATAGTTTCCCTGGACCCAAAATTGGTATCGTAGTGAACTCATCGATGATTTCGTATGAACCATTGTTCATTTTCGCCCTCAGCTCATTCTTATCAAAATCGTAGACTTGGAAAATTTTCTGGCTTTTTTGAATTTCGCGCAAGTAAACCTTTTCAAGCCAGTCGTTTCTGCCGTCAACATGCGGTACCTGAGCCGGCCCCCTCAGAGGTAGATGACGATCCTCGTATTTAGCTTTGCAGACCAGAACATGAAGGCGCGAAAGAGGCACCTCAGCTGAGATGCAGCTTGCTAGCAAACGAGTACCAAAGTTGAGCACCCTTTCAACGAAGGCTATTCTGTCCGGGCATGCTTCACTGGGCCCGAACTTATCGCGCAGACTTCTATCCTTGTTGATCAATTCGCGAATGTGTTCATGGGTGAGGATGGCCTCACGTGCAGGTCTTGAAAGGAAGTCCTCTTTGATGTAATTGGTTTCATAGTTCTGTTTCATTTGCCAGCGTAACCTCTTAGCCAGTGATTCGGTGCTAGAGCCTCCTCCGGCTGCTGGACCCAGGTCATAGAAGTCAAATCTCCATGTAATCCGCAACTGCAACAAACTGCCCGGGTTCTTTGCACCGTATCTTGCGATTTCGATGGGAACATACTTTGCCCACGCATGAATATGTTTCGTTTGAACCTGGCCGACCACCTTTGACTCCCCATTTGCAAAATACGTAAGGAGTTCTGCTTCTGCAGAAGTTCGATATATCTGAGGCTCGCCGTTCCGATAATTTTCTTTGAGATGGGACAGGCAGGCCCTGCTCGCATTTTTCACTATTTCATAGGAATCATGATCGAGCCACCTGATTGGAAAGTCCCTTTCTAGTCGTTTCTCGCGCAAGAAGGTGATCAACTGACAATCGATTTGTGGTCGTATTGAAAAGTTTACCACTGTATTGGTCCTGATGCCGTCTGTTAAATTTTGCTCCGACCATATACGGCGCAGGCGCAAGGCATGTGGAGGCGGGGCCGCTTCTCTTTGCTGATTTTGAGCATGACGATGATCGGTAGACCTTTTTGGTCGAAAGACCATCATGATACGTTGCCATGGCTTGCTCGAGGAGGCTCCAGCATCTGGTTGCGCTTCAGGCTGCCCGTTGGGAGCCATGGAGAAATGCAGTAAGAACCTACGCAGAGGTGGAAGGCTTGCCTTCTTTCTGGCTGCAAACCGCTACTCCAGGCAGTTGTTATTCATATAGTTCGCTTCTCCACACCTTGCCCCATGATGAGGCTCTGTGCAGGCAATCAACCCTCCTTAGCAACATGGCTGTGATCTCAGCTCGTCTAGTATCCCAGTCTTTGGGGGGCTCCATTAACCAAACTTCTGACGAATGACGAGCTTGGGAATTGGGAGGACAAAAGAAATAACGTCGAGTACTTCCAAAGAGGGTCAGATATTGTGTTGTTAGCAGTATGTGGCTTGCAGAATGATGGAACGTTCGGGGGTATTCTTTTGCTCCAACAGAGCACAGTTCAGGAACTATCGCTATAACCCTGCAGTCCATGACCAATTATACGTTTGAAAGGGCTGGAATCGCCCCCTAAGATAGGGGTTAGCCAGCCTCCAGCAGGGATAGTATGAATCGCAAGAAGCCTCCTGCATGCGACTTTCATTGGAGGCTGAGACAATTTCATGTCAATTGGTGCACGCGCATGGTGTTAGGCGGCTAGGAGTAATCGATGGCCGCCCGGGAGTTTGTCACTTCCAATCCATGACACATAGCCCATGGATGTTATTGAGATCACCGTGACTCTGTAAGGCGTCTTTGAGAGAGGGCTTGTGGATAGTGGGCACAGAAGCCTTGCCACTTTTTTCCTTACCTGACGGAAATAGCAGTCGTAGAGTGCCGCAGCTCCCTGTTCACAAGGTAAGTCTTCTGTTCGAAAGGCTAAAATTTCAGCCTGATAGTGAATTCCAGCCTGATGAAAAGAAATTGCTGGCTGAGACATAGCGAGCTCCTGTCCAGCAGATGCTGTTCTAGACCAGAAGGTCTCTCGTTTCGAAAGGAATGACCTGGCATCAGATAGAGGCTGAGAGGATCATTATTGAAACGGGCAAGGAATTGGGCACAAAGAAATGAAATGTTGATCTCCGTATGGTGGTGACAAGGAGGGATGATCAGGCTGAGATTTTGGCAACCCACCATCAAATAAATAGTGTGTGGGCTTATCCTCCAATGGCTGAATTCCGACCACATTCACCCTAGACATACCTATGTAGCTGCAAGGCCGACGCCGCCACCACCGAGGCCTGTGCGACTTTGCCAGGAGACGACTCCGATGTATAAATAAGCGACTGAGTATGCACACTCCCTCGGCTACCCGCTCTTTCCCAAAATTGGTACTTTTGTCCGTTCAGGTACTTTTGCTCAGTCATGGCAAAGACTACTACCACTACTATTAGCAACCTTCAGACACCCTCCAAGTCTTCGATAGGACCATCTCAAACCATTCCCGACTACGTATCTAAACGCATGTTGCATTCTCGGCTTCGATATTTCTATGGCGACAACGAGATAAAGTACGAGTGGCGGTCCGGACAGTATCATATCATTGATGCGCCCTTCCCGCTGACGAAGGCAAGTTACACATCCCTTTGAAGTATCGAGACGAGTTCTAATGAAAGAAAAACCAGGACCAGCTGGCCAGCTTGAGGAATTGAGATTTTTGTACTTCACCCTCCAAGAAGCGATTTCACCAGATTTCGCTCCCATGAGCACGACTCATTGGACTTCGCGCTGCGTCGTTTGTCTTTTGAAGCCTCATGCCCACGATTATGCATTCAGGAATGCAATTTGTGCAACAAGGGTCAAATATCGGATGGAATAATATCAGAGCGAGCAGTGTGTTTTGTGTTTGGTAATAGCTGTCTTCAGAGCATGCGGCGACCTATTATAGATTCGTCAAAGGCATTTGGATCATTGAATCTCGGGCTATAGCTATGGACTGCTAGTGGGGGTAGTAGTTCGCGTTTCAGACTTGTGGAATCTTTGATCACAGATCATCCTAGGAATTCGATGATCTCTTCAGCTCCCTTCCCAGCTCTGCGACGTACGCGCCTTTTGGATAGTCCGGGCTTTTGATCCAATCTTCTTCGTCCTGTACAAAACTGTCAATATGAGTAGACCCCGCCGATCAGTGCTGGTGTCGTGGGTTGCTGACGCACATTAGTCCATTCTCGAGGTGCAATTATTTCGTATACGTGGTTGCGTTTCTACGCAAAGCATCGGCGGCGCGTGAATCATAGCCCTAAAACTCGACATACCGTGTACTCTTTCTCCCCTTGCGTGAAGCAGGCCAACCATGCTTTTAGTTTATCCTATCAGTGCTATAGAATGTCACCATCTTGCAGACTTTGACGACGAACGGAGCAGTGAATTGTTGGATATGTGGGCGAGCGTGAAAGGTTGGTCGAGAGGGTCTTGGGCAGCATGCCATTATATTGTTGAGTTGTCGAACCAATAAGGCTGAAATCTGCAAGCAAAACTCGGGTTCATGTTTCTGCACGATAAACCATCGAGGGGCACTTGACTGCCAGCCAGTAGGCAATAAAATGATCAAAATGGTTTGGTCAGGCTATTGTGCTGGTCGACGACGCAGGGCCATGTTGCACGTACTTGGGCGGCTAGAGGATGCCCAAGCAAAAGCTGGAAGGTTTTTTTTGGGTCAGGCTGAATTTCAAACACTGGGGTCAAGAGTTCGATCGGGCTGCCTCTCAGGCTGGAATTGCTGCATCAATCGGGCAAACTGGAAATCGTGACAGTGGCGTCCTCGCGCCCATCCTTTTCGTCCCTCCATGCGAGATGCGCTGACCGGTAGAGATGCAAAGCCCGAATCACACTGCCGAAGTATGCAATCCTCTCGAGTGGTACGGAGTACTGTAAGGGTTACTGCCGGCCATAATCGAGGGATTATTTGTCGTTCGCTGAAATCATCAGCTCTCGAAAGGTTTCCGTTCGACCTATTGGCCTGAACCCATTCCCTACCAACAACAACATTGCACACCCTTTGATGCACCTCCAAATGGATTTCCTACCGGGCTACTATTCGCTGCCCTTCTAGCAGACATTGTCGAGGTGCCTCCGAGGGCTTCAAATTTTGCGGCACGCACAATGTAAGTAGCCAGAGCGTACCTTCACCCAAACCCACCAGGAACCTATACAGAGCATCCCCGAAACCGCCCTCCCCTCTGTATATATGTTGTGAGTTTCTTTCGTAGAAGCTTTAAATTATAGGGTGCTTCAACTGCCTGTTTAGTGATAGTAGTAGCTACCCGGCCGCCTCTTCCCGAGGTTTCTGTGATACCGGTCAACTACCAAAAATACACTGAGTAATACATGATTTATACAGTACAGTTCTCACCACACACCACGTATTAATGAGGCTATAAGAGGCTCATATGCTACAGAAGTGCTCGCTCTCAATAGCTATGAGAATATTTAGCTACGAGAATCACTGGTGATTCATTGTAGTGCTATACCAGTAATCACTCCATCCCCTTCGGTTTCAAGGTTTATTTCGATATTGCTCCTAGCGCCCGCCTGCACCCAATTTAGCGATCGGTGTCACAGCTGCAAATCATGCGCTCCTACAATACCCCCTTAACACCGTTTGGGGTCTGCTGCGAGAAAGGGCAACAAAAGAGGATCAACGTCGGCCACTACGCTTATGCTCGCGCAAAGAGATCTACATGTCAGTGCTGAAGAGGAAGCGTCGGGCCGACCAGCAGTTTGGCAGAAGGCATACACCCTCTTTCGCTGTCCGAGTCCATGCGATCGTGGAGCTCACTGCTGGATCGATCCAGACGGGAAGAAGCATTACAGGCTGAGAGCGCCTCACATGAGAAGTCTCATTGAGTATGTCACTCAGGGCGACACCCTGGAGACCCATGATTATGTTCTTCCAAACATTCGGCAACAATTGTATCTGGAGGAAGAGCAGAGACTGAATCGCAAGGCAAAAGAGAATAAACCTTCTCCCCTTAATATCCCCCAATCAATGATGATAGGGTGAGGTGATCGGCGTTGTGCAGTCGACATATTCGCTGTTGTTTCCTCGAAGTGTACTCCGTACAGCACAGTAAATGAAATCTAGACTCTTCCAGCTCGAAGAAAGGAATGTGAGCCGCGTAACCTTCCATCTCATCTGCTCCAAAGCCACATCTCGTGGCGTCGCTCAGACGTGGTTAATATCAGGCGCTCCTGTGGCTTAAATTCAGGCTTGACAGGATGCTTTCTCTCATCTTGACTACTTTGCGACTGTCGGTGATCAGTAGACTCCCGCAGACATGTCCACAATGCCATCCTCGTTCGTTGGCCTTCCGAATGAAACCATTATCCAAATCTGTCACAGTCTCCACTCTCTTCAAGAAGTCCATCGTCTTGGTCTGACTTGTAAAAGGCTATATGGAGTTTTATCTAGCATTGACTACCGCCATCTTTGTCGGATCCTACTCTGTGTGTCAGGACGAGAAAAATCGTCCGATTCAATTGCGAGAAGTCTAAGCGAGGCGGACTCTCTCGGATGGGCCACCGCACTCATTGCACAGTCCATTGCAGAGGCTCTTGATCGGACGCCGCATTATTTCCACGGAAGAGGACCTCCCAAGAAAGATCGGATAACCCTGCAAGGATGTCAGAATTGGCCAGCGAGGAAGGAGATATTTGCAGCCTTTCTTTCAATCCCTGCCAAGAAGAGCAGTTCGGGGCCATTCCGTCGGGTCTGCTTCTGGCTTGAGCAGGGAGAGTGGGAAGATCGATTCACGCAAATCAGCAAGGAAATGATTTTACGAATGGCATACGAGGAAAAAGGTGAGACAGCGCACTATATGCTTTCCTCGTTGTGCGAATGTCTGAGATTCCATGGAGAGCCCTATAACTTGAGTGAAATCGAAGATTTAGTGCGGGCGCGGACGGGCAGCTATCAAAGTTGTCGACTATGTCTGGTCTGGACTGGAGACCTATTCTGATTACGGCTCAGCGTGGGATTACGCACTGTTGATGCGCACTACGACATATATCGTGATGGAAGAGATAGCTCTCGAAGCATATTGTTGCGTGGATATAGGAGGGGATCGATCGACTACTGTACGCTTACATCCCGCACATAACGAATGCATTGTGTTATTGTTTATAAAGCTAAAAAAAAGGTCAGCATCTGTACTAACGTTCCTCAATCGAAGTGATGTACTTGTAAGAATCGTTCCAAGTCCCTTTGATCTGTCAAATTTAGGGGCTTCGTTCCTTCATAATCTACCACAAGATCAAATGCATCGTTAACATCTGTTGCAGTGGTTTGGAGTTTCTCATGTGTAATATTTGGGTCCCATATTTCTTCGAGATCTTCGCTCTCAGTAGGAGTAGTAGTAGTAGTAGTAGTAGTAGTAGTAGTAGTAGTAGTAGTAGTAGTAGTAGTAGTAGTAGTAGTAGTAGTAGTAGTAGTAGTAGTAGTAG